ATTTATATTCTAATAAAGCTTTCAAATTTTATAAATTTTCGAAGAATTTAATAAATCTTTTATATTATATTGAAATTTCTTTTTTATTAATTTTATCAATTAATAAAGGATCTATTGTTACTATAATATAATATCCAATCACTTTAGAAATCTATTCCTTCGAACTATATAATCATTTGTTATTACAATTACAATAATTGAATATTAAGATATCTTTTATCCAATTAATATTTAGATTATATTTCTTAATCTATAAAATATCAAAAATAATTATATATCTGTTCAATAGTATTAAATCCATTTTAATTTGCTTAATATACTTATCTAATATAATCATTTTGATAATACTAATTTCTCTATATATCTAATCATTAATTCCAGTTTTCTTTCCTTTTAATAATATCAATTAATAGAAATCCTATTTTAATTCTATAAGAATTCTATTCTCTCTTACAAAATGAAGATCTATAAATATATTTATAACTTCAAAATCAATCAAAACATTGATTTATTGATTCTTTAATTTGATTTTTACAATTAACTATTCAATCCCTAAAATATCATTGAATTCTAATAATAATGATTCAATAATTTATTCTTTAATAAAGAAATTCATTTATTTATATCAATATTCATTTTTATTTAATAATTGATAAAGTATAATAAGCAATAATCTTATTGATTTTATTTGAAAATCTCGATAATAATCTTAGTTTAATACTTTTCTATCATTTCTATCGATTTTTTATCAAATACAACGAATCCCGATTTGTAATAGAATTTCCTATATATTTCCAATTTCCAAATCATATTCATTATATTCTTATACTTCATTGAAAAATAAAGAATCTATATTTGCAATATACCTTCTAATATCACTTGTTTTAGTATTTTCTTTAAATATTATATAATAAACATTATTGTATATTATTATATAAAATACTAACAAAATAAGATAATTATGAATTCTATATTTTTCAATAAAATTAGATTTCTTTTTTTTATAATAATACTATATCCATTTTTTATCTAAATAACTAATTAGATATTATAACTCATTTTCCCGAAATAGATAATAAAACTCAATTAATTGTTGATCCTCTTCGAATTCTTTGTTTTCTAACTCGAAATCTTTTAAAGGTTCTTTTTTATAATTATTATTATTCTTAATATTAATTCTAAAGTTTTGATTATTGATATTCAATTCCTTTAATTACTCAGAATTAAATTAAAATAATTCTTTTTTCAATAATTCTATTTCTTTCAAATTTCTTTCCAAAATCTCTATTTCTTGAGAATTCTATTTTTTGTTCTCAAATTTTATTTATTTTCTATCCTTTATAATAAATAATCTTTTCTTTTAAAAACAATCTCGGAATATATATCCATTTTTTTTATAGATATAATATAAGTTATTCTCTCTATATTTCTTCTTTTCGTTAACATTTAGATTATTTAACTTTATATAACATCATTCGATACTATTCAATTTCATAGAATCGTCAACATCATAATGCCTATTCTAATAATAAGGTTTTTAAAACTTTCTGCTTTTCTAAATAATTCCTTTCTTCTTTATTCATCGTTTATAGAATCGATTATCAATAAAAATAAAGATTTCGATTAATTCGAAAAGATTAAATAATTTCGAAGCTTTTATTAACTTGTTCTTAATAATATTTTTTAATCTTTTATAGAATTATGATTTTAAATAATTATTATTCTATATAATATATTCAATATATTATTGAAATTTGATAATATAAATCATAACTAACCCGATCTACCTGAATTATCACAATACTCTTTCAATCATATAATCAGGGTTTACTTCCCCGAATACCCTATCGAATCCCTATCTGAACGATTTATAACTGAAAAAGAGACAATGAATCTCAGATTTCATACTCTTATTTAATTAACCATCAATAATCTTGATTATTAGATCATTGAAGAATAATTCAATCCAATTAAATACGATTCCTCAGAAAAAGAAAATCAACTACAAAATTCTTTACATAAAAATCAAGAAAAATTGTTCATTAAAGACATAATAAAGATCAACTTATACAACAAAAGCTCAATATTTGCTACAATCTTTATAAAATAAATCAAAAATAAATATCTGAATCGTTTATCTATATTCTATAATAATAATAATCTAAACAAAAACCTCAATTGAATTGAATGAAGACAATTCGATAAATTACTAATTAGAAGCTATTATATTATATATAACTTAACTATAATAATATTCAAAATATAACAATCTAATAAAGATAACAATTGTCTCAGATTTCATCTGATTAATAATTATAGATTAAAACTAATAATTACTGATTATTCATTCAAAGATAAATATATTATTAAATCAATTGGAATATAAATATACTAATTGATAACTAAATTGAGTATAAAACTTCTAAATTATAAAACTATTCTAATTATATACTAATCACTTTCCTATACTAACTATACTAACTGATTAACAAAACTAACACATCACATGATTGATCCTGAAACCTCTCATATCCCAAAGCCTTTCCTTTTCTAAAACACTTATCCCAGAAGCTTTCCTTCTAGAAATTATAACCTTAGAATACAATATCCTTTAGGATAATAATCCTATTACAATCAATTAGATAGAACACTTATTTTATTCTATTATAATTATCTAAAATACTTATCCTAGGAATCCTAAAGTCTTAGGCTTAGATAATCAAGACCCTCGAAAACAATGGTTAAATCACACCCCCTTTATAATCGGCCTATAAATCATCGATGTTAATAATACTACTATAAAGAAAACTATGAATCGTGACAAAAAACAAACTTCGACTTTTTGTAAACAAATTCAAAAGATATATCAAAATCGAAAACAAAAATAATAAGAATATTAATAGATTATATAAACAAGAAATGATAATAATTTTTAATGAAATTATAAATAAGATTGTTCTTGAATCTTTCAAATATCTTCAAAAATACATTTAAAATTGCAATTTTCTTATAAAGATTTTCAAGATCAGGATCAGATTCAAAGAAGGATAATAACGATATCGAAGAATATATTAGCTTGAAAAATTAACAAAAAAAATCAAAGATATCGATACTTAAAGGATAATATAAATAAGGATTAATATTATTAATAGAAAAAAATAAGATAAAATCGAAAAGATTTATTATAGATTCGAATTAGGAAATTATATTGTATAGAATTTCTTGAAAATATAAAATCAAAAGTTGATCATTTGATTATACTTAGATAAATCCAATAAGAATCATTACTTTTAATTAATCGATAAATTAAAATGATACATAATTACCTGAAATCAAAAAGAAACAAGAAAATCAATAATTACTTTTGAAATCAAGAAAATGAGATTATAGAAAACAAAAAAAATGAGATTATTTACAACTTTTCGATTAATCAATTGAAAAAGTGTATATAACAATAATAAACAACAATCTAAGAATTTGAAAAAAATTTGAAAACGAATTAACAATTTTCGATAATAATATATAAATGATTATTTCAAAGATAAATAAACATTATATATATATAAATGATCGAATAAATACAAATCCCAAAACAAAACCAAAAAATCCTATAGATATCATCAGAAAAGCAAATAGTTTTAGAAGATAAAGATATAAATTGAAGAATAAAATTGATAAAGTATTTATATTCAAATCAGTATTAGATCTAAACTAAATTAATATATATGTGATCTGATAAAATTACTCTCGTTATACTCTCCTTCCAGCAAGTATTAAACTCCGAACACTAGGGAATAATTGTCTGTATTGGTCAAAGTGCCCAGATTCCAACGCTCAATCAGAGTGCCTGGCAACATGTAATTCTGCTGATCTATCGCTAATTAGGTTTAAACATCCGCTTGTCCGGTCCTTAGCGTAGGTTTTAGATTGATGGGGGCGGGGTAGGTCAGGCCACCCACAAGCTTTCAATTCTGCAAAGAATTCTTCAATCAGATTAGAGGAAAACCACAAATAAACAGGGTTTCATTTTTCATTTCAGTTTTAATTATTGCTTGAGAGTTTCCACACCATTTCAGCAGGCTGCGCTTAACTTGGTTCCCGGATTAGGTTTCGCGTACTATATATTCTACACAAATTCTGCCTTCTTTTTGCTTTGCTTCTCCATCGAACATCACAATATTCCATTGCCACTTCAATATTCCTCGCCATTTCGACCGCCTTTTCTATTTTCTATACCCTCCATCACCCATGTCTATCTCGCCCAAACCCATAACCAATGTGCCCTCGCCATTTCGATTTTAATTTCCCATCGCCATCTCGACTTCCGTTCATTCGCTGTGGAAACGCGAAATGTGGTGGTGGTAACGTCCTCACTCCGGCGAACGGCCCCGATGCGATCTGTTCTAAATAGCAAATGCTGAAGAGCGTAACCATTATCATATTCTGTGACCATGATTGAACAACCCCATCATGTTCTATGGTCAGTGGTTGAACAACAACCCCATCATGTTCTATGGTCAGTGGTTGAGCAACGATCCGTCACATTCTATGATAGTGGTTCTGTAGCCCTTTCATATCCTATGGTCAGCATTTGCTGCTTAGAATAGTTCTGGCAATACGTGGTGGTGGTTATGTCCTGAACAAGCGAAACCTGCAATTATTATCATTATCGAGGAGTTTTATTTGTTTTTTGTATTATTATAGATAGAAGCACTTGCTATTATAGCTTTTGTGGGAGATGATGGCCTTAGCCTTGTGCTTCACGCTTGATCCTCATTGCAATGCCTGGCGTGCCGGGCATGTGAAGAGGACCCATGATCATATTCACCAATAAAACCACGCTTTTGATAGCCTTCGGCGTGCAAATGTCACATTTATAGCCCCTTAGCCACTTACGCATCTGCCACTAGAATAGTCCTAGCACGCATGATAACGTGGTTACGTTCTTTGACATATATTATTGTGCATGGCCCACCACTTTTCAAAATTCATCAACCAGCTCGGTCTCGTCTTGCCCTAAAAATCAAGGCTGCTTACACCTAAATAGATTGTTAAATCCCACGTACCGTATGAGGAACAGCATTTTTCTTCTTTCACTAAGTTTCTCGCTAATTATGGTTACAGGAATATATCATGTCTGTTCAGGTTGAGAAACCTCAGCTACAAACTCTGCTTCGCGAGAGAGTGTTTGTAGCATGGGTGAATTCAGCAGGAAAGCCTTTGACGCTGGGTTCTTGTTTGCATCGTAACAAGCAGCGTCCTGAGTTTTATATGGAAGCAGGTTATGATATGGAAGGACATGTTCATATTCACTTTTCTCTCATGGCGACTGTCATGGTTGCCGGCGAAAGTCAACCACTGGAGATGTTGTTCGTTGTTCCGCCAAACGCCAATTTCGCAAATGCCCCTATGCCTCTATCAAAACTGGACGCCGACGATACACCACTCCCCAGCGACTCATTTTTTCCCGACGCCTCTGCACTTCACGAAGCCGGCATAAGCGAATCGGCGCATGTCATCCTCGTGCCGTTCAACCTCACAGCGAAAGGATTCGTCATTATGAAGAACACTTCTGCGACCGTTAGGCCCAGCAGCCACACTTCAAACCAATTGATTCGTAACCTTGAATCTCTATCTGATATGTCTCTCTTCAGCGTATACATTAGGCCGAGTGATTACGCGCGGGAGGGTCTGAAAGAAATTTGCAAGCGTTTAAGCAACACTGGTGTTGCCACACACAAAACTGACATGAAGGAAATGTACATTCAACACGGGGGTATGGTAGTGGAGTGGACTAAATTTAGGTATCGTCCTCGACAAGAAAGGCAACCGCCACCATATACCGGTAATCCTGCTCTGCCAACACCGGAAGTGCAAGTTCCTCGGTCACCACCGATCACACTCGAAAGGGAAGTGCTACCCGCCAATACCATCGAAGAGGTGATTGCAGAGACACCAACCCGGTCTCCAGTTGACCCGAATCCTGCACCGGTATTACATGGCATTTTCTCTTCCAGTGCTGAGGTGCCATCGGGCGACGAAGTGGAAGTGGGCGGTGTCGAGGAGGACTCGATATCCATCGAAGGAGAGTTCGACGTGGACTCAGCCGAAGAATATCTCGCCAACTTGAGACCTCGAGAACTAAGTCAGCAATCCAAAGACGACTTGGCAGTTCCAAAGATACTTGAGTCGAAGCTTGTGGAGTGGCTAAACGGTGCTATAACGATAAGCCCAATTGTTCACAAACACAAACGTTTAATCACTAAGTTATCAACTCTTGGTTATTGTATCCGTACATCGAATATTAAATTATTTGATGCTACAATACCATGGTGTTCTGCCTTATTGTTCTATGATCCGCTCGATTCCAACAAAGCTTTTGAATCACAGGAGGAGAAAAACCGATGGTTTATTTCCGATATGGCCGAGCTAATTAAATGGGCTAACACATTTCGCTATGGTGTCGAGATCAGCTCGCTATTAATCAATGATTTCGTGAAGCTAGGTAGTGCTGCTCGCAAACTTGCCCTGCGCCCTGGATATGATAAAGCCGAGTACAACCATCAGAAATGTATGTGCATTACTCGTGTATTGGTTCAATTTGGAAAGATTGGAAACATTAGTGGGGAGAGTATCGGGCCTGATTCTCGAAAACGGGCTACCTTGGAAGCTACTGGCAGCACGTCTAAGCGAGCAAGAAATATCATCTGAAAGACGATTAGTTCTCTATCTTTAATTTCCAACCACTTTAGCCTCATATACTTTCAATATGAGAAACTCATGATCTTCTTGATTTTTTGTTTCATCGTGAGATTTTTTTTGGTTTGGCAGACTTGTCCCATCTGGAAAAAGTAGCCGAGGAAAATAAGATCTTACATTTATTGTCGTCCATTGTGTACAGACATCTTGTTCTCCAAATTAGGGCATTTTTAGCCAGCTAATAGTAGTAGTAAATACATAACTGATTTGCTCTAATTAACGTCGATAAAATAACTATAACCCCGTGGGAGTTCTATGATATTCTTGTGCAGGCTGTCTCGTATAGACTAATCGCAGACCTTCAATCCACTGGCCACCAAGCCAAAGCTTTCCGTTGAGTAGAAATTCATCTTCAGCGATAACCAAGCTTGTGAAAAACTCAGCTTTATCCACTTCCATGAACAACGTCCATATCTCATCAAGTCTATGAGAGCCTCAATATTTCCCCTCCTCCACTTGTACCCTTTTATACTCTATATATTCAAAAGCAAATTCCCTCACTCACTTCCCCGTCACCACATCTGCAACAAAAAAATCAACTGGAAAATCAAAAGACTGACAGCTAAGGGCCTAAAACGGGATTGAACCGGAGACCTCTTACAATTTAGGAATACCCAAAGCAAGAATTCTACCACTGAACTATCAGGCCGCTATGCTTAGGCATTTAATAATGAATGAGTGAGGTTTTTTACTTAGCCTTAGCTAAGTCAAGGAATTGTGTTAATCGAGGGGGAAAAGGGGGGCAGCAACGTGGTTGATATTTAGACTACCTCTGGGACTCGGGAATACTGAGACTAGTAGGATAGGTTACCTTTTAATCTTAAGATGGCGATTTAATAATAGGGAAATATATTATTTATACAGGACATCCATTTAATGGCCTTAATAGTTAGTGTAGATGTGCCGGTTTCTTTTTGCGGGTGAGATTTCTTTCTCGTCAATTTAACCGTCGCTTTTGTTTCCGTTACTGTTTGTTCATCTTGTGCCATATAGTATCATGAGCGTCATTATATCCTTAATATTCGCAGTTGCGATCTACTCTAGAAGAAATACAATTCCTAATTTACCCGTCCATTTTTAGAATTCTCGTAACATAAACAAGTGAACCCAATATAAACATCTCTACTCTCAAGCAGCTCTTCAAGAACAATCCATCCATCTACCTCTTAGCTACGTAGACACTAGACACTAGACACGGCCCAGAAAACCCAAACAAACCATCCACTAACCCACCGCACATTCTCTCCTCCGTTCCCCACAGCCTCCTATCCTAAACTAATACCTACCTCTCAGTTTCTCCTCCATCTTCCTCTCCCTCTCATCCCTACACCTATTAACATAACACACTCGCCAATTGCAAGCACACCATAATTCCTCCCCACAGACAGAGCCCACATATAGAGAATTCCGAATGTTGCAACGAACCCCTGATCGTGGTTTCCCCGCCCGGGAACAATTTTTAAATTTGTGCAGAAATTCAAAATCGGCATACTTGGTAGTAGATCTAGAAGATGAATCTTTCGCACATTTTGATGGCTTATGTGAGAAGCCTTGGGTGTGGGGGAGGTTTGCTTGAGACTGGTTAAATTGAGGTTATGGAGATGGTCGTTATAGGGGGTTTAGAATTGAAGGTTTAAATATCGGATGGAAATGGGTGATGATGGGGAGTGATTTTTTGATGATTAGTTTTCTGATAAGTTCTACTAATACATAAATGACATTGATTTTAGACGGAGAAGTTCAGTTTCTTCTTTGTTTACTCCAGAAAGAGATTTTTGCACGAGGTTGAATAAAGCTGTTGTCTCCTAACTTACCTAAAGTCTAACAGAATAGCTTCATTTATCTAGAAGATGTTCTTCGTGAGGTCATATTATACTTGATACAGTAATCCGGGTGTAAAAGAAGACACCGAACCCGCAAGGTTCCTAACACCTGGACTTGTATTGAAAAGTTGTACTGTAGGTTTATATGCCGATGGTAACATATAGAGGTGTGAAAAAGTCGAATAGTGGATATGACTTTTGATATTGGTGGAGTTGGAAAGGTTTACGATTTTGGTCATGGTCTTTATAAATTTGTAGTGAAGTCACTGCAATAAATTGATTTAAAACAGATTCACAAAAATGTCGAGGGAGCTTCTGAGTTGTAAATGGACCAGTTGTATAGTCACCTAGAATCGTACCAAGCCCATTCACTGTGCTCGCAATGCAAGTTCGTAGAGGTTATTGTAGAACACAACTTATATTCTTTAGATTCACTGGCTCCCTATACTTTAAGTATTATCATCCCTTCTCTTCTAGTCCCCATCTTATCCCATCGTGTCTTATCCTAGCACCCATATCAAAAATATACCAACAATGCCTCACTAGCCGCAACGGTAAATTCAGCAATACCAGCACTCCCCACCTTTACCCTCTCAAAAGTTTCCTTCCCCTCAATAACACAAGTACCATTAGCAACAACTTGACCTCCAAACGACGGATTAGATCCCCGATCAACCCTACTCAACGCACTTCCCGCCGTCAACCTCTTCGCCTTTGTTTCTTTCCCTGCTTTTAACCCTCCAAGTACAAATGTTTCACTTCCTCTTGTGCCTGTTCCATCGTAATAATCACTGTTGATCAGTACAGCTTTGACGGGATCTTTATTCTTATTGTAAAGCACGTAAATAGCGTAATTGGTAGTACCAGCATCGATTTGTTGAATGTAGGAAGATCCGGCAAAAGCAGATGCTGCGAGCCAGGCTCCGTAGTAAGGGGTACCGGCGTCGTATTTTCCCCACCAACAATAGTAGCAGGCACCGATGCTTCCATGGTGGTAATAGATGGTAGTGATATTCAAAACGGTGGCTTGAAGAGCATAATCAAGGGTCCAAATGGCTGCGCCGAAAGTTGGAGAGACTGTTGCGGCACCACCACCGGAGGCTACAAATGAGGTTGTTAGCTTTGCATAAGATCTTCAACTCATTTAGTAGTCTAGGACTTTCAGAAGAAAGTAGGACAAGAAAAAGGTCGATGAAATAAAACAACAAAGAAAGTCACCACAAACCTGAATTCGTCTCTCCCAAAACATATTCCTTCCCTACAGCAGTCGCAGCTTTCCTATCCGTTCCAATCAACCCCAAGTTACTAACGATCCCACTATGACTCATCAAACTCTGCAAACTTCCTCCTGGATAATTATGATGCGCATAATCCTTGACATAAGTTCTCACAGTAGCATTTCCACTAGCGATAAGTTCCGCAGCTCCCCAAGTAGGTGGTGCCTTATTGGAGTTTCCAGCTTGAATGAAATCAGTGGCTTGAAGAGCCTTTCCAACTAAGATGTCCCAGTTGTTTTGAGAGGCGGCGTCGATGGCGGGAGTCCAGGAGGGAAAGGCAATAGGTTGGCCATCACTAACGTAATCTAGATGGGTGGATTAGATTTATTTTCGATATGGTATTGATTAGAGGATGAGAGGGTTAATATAAACATACATTCTGGCTCATTACCAAGTTCCATAGCCTTTAGATTTTCCATACTGCCCTTTGCGTATTTTGCTGCAGCAATAGTATTTGTGATATTATTAAGGCCACGATTGAGTCCTTTGATATTAGTCAGATGAGATAAATAATTTCCTCATTTTAGAGTACGAAAGAAAATAGGGAACGTACCCAACACGACAGTTCCAGGATATGTAGAAGCAAGTTTGATGAAATTAGGACCAAATTTTAATGAAGCTGGTGCGTCAACAGACGAATTAACATGGTAATCGACATATGCACTCAAATCTGAATCATAAGTTGCACGATCTCTATGAATTTCCATTAATACCAATAATTTTCTCATTTCTTGAGGATATGTACATACTGTGTAGTACCACCAATTCGAATAGGAGGCCATGTTCCACTCAAATTTTTGAAATTCGCCAAACATTGATTTGTGGCTGTAACATCTTTGAAATATGCAGGATACGCAAAGAACTCAAAACTGACGAAATGTTAGTATTGATATTGCGTTCATATTCGAGTTGAAAATATCGTGAAATAAAAAGACATACGATAAACCCACAGGAGCGGGAGCAAGTTTTGCTGCACCGGTAGGTGCTGTAGAGGGGATTGAATAATTTACCGTGGCAGCTTGCGCAAAAACAGGTAATAATGACCAGGAAATTTCTTTCGATAAAATCATAATGAAAAAATAGCGATCAGTGTCTAATGAATACTCAAACTCATTCCGAATTTTCAATTATAATATTGGGATTTAAACACATATTCATGTCGTCCCCCCATCCTCACGTCGTCATCCGCTACGTACCATCCTTACTTTTGATCTCCGTACCGTGGGGCATTGCTGCGGAAATTTCAAAGCTGTCGGCTTCAATTACCCCGGATCTTTGGGCCCAGATGTTTCGTACTATGCTTCTAGTAGTTGATGAGAGCCTCCTCATTTCTTTGACCGCCAGCAGAGCACAGGCATGAGAGTCAAGCAAGGCATAGTGTGCTCCGGGCCCATATGAATTAGAGCGTCGGTACCGGTATAATGTCCACCAATGGGGCAGGAGATGCTATGGCAACTTGCTTGATCTCTTTAGACAGGGTATTAAAATAATTAAAGACAAATCTTCAACCGTGCAAATAAAGTTACCGGTCGAACGATGAAGATCATCAACTTTTCAACACATCAAAGTGCGGGGTGTTCGGGGGAAGGGGTTCTTCCCGCAATTAATCCCCGAGTAAATCAATTGATTCTTCTCACAGGATGAGCGTAACGATAGATAATGTCAACAGCAAACTTGGGGCCGTGCTGAAGCAATGCATTGTTACTATCATGGCTCGAGCATGTATTGTAGGTTGGTATCATCTCAAAGTTGATTTGTGTCAATTAATTGGCAAGCAAAACTTCATTTTGGTGAGACGAATGAAGAATCTAATTGCTTCAAGTCAGTGTTCGACCTATATATATGGAAACTCTTGGGATTATTCTCAAACCTCCACACGACTATGTGCTTGAGCTAATGCTCTTAGTTTCTTCCTCTGGTGAAACCCGATGATTTTCCACAGTCCCTTGAACCAAAGGAGAAAGTTATATATACCCAATTTTCACAAGTCCGGCCATGAGTGGATCCGGACGAAATGGTCCAACCAACATCTATCAATTACTGTATAAATTTAGTAACTTTATACAACACTAGGCCTATTTGTAACGATCTGGTCGAGGCAGCGGCTGCCTGAGGTTCGTATGGTTGGTAGTTATGGGTTAAGGCTATTAATCACTGGTTATTCACTAGAACGTGAATCCGTTACTAGATCAAGTAGAATATAGGTAAACTAATTGATAACTAAGTTGAGCACGAAGCTCTTAAACTATGAAATTATTCTGACTATATACTAATAAATAGAAAAGAGCTTTATGAAGCCCAAAAGCTTCCAAAAGCTCCTCATCACGTGATCGATCATGAGGCTTCTCCTTTCCTGGAACACTTATCCCAGGAACTTTCCTCTAGGAACCTCTACCCTAGGATACGATATCCTCTACGCCCCCTGAAAGCAACGGTTAAATCACACCCCCCCGGTAATCGGCATTTAAATCACCGATATCAATAATACTACTATAATCTAAACCGTGAATCGTGACACTATTCCCCATAAGGTTTTTCGGATAAATATAAGGTTATACTTATTTTGGGATTAGTTTGATATCAAATTCAAAAGTGAGGGTAATCAATTGTATGGAGCAGGATACTTTTTACCTGATCTGATTTTTGATTAATCAAAAACAATTATTATAATTATTGATATTATATACAACTTTAATGAGTTGAGATAAAAAACAATATATGAATAATATTTTGAAATTTTCAAAACTTATTTGATATAGATTTAAAATAATTTTGAAGTTGTATTATAATATAAAAGAGGTTGAAAAAGCATCGGAGCTTGAAGATTCCAAATCTTTAACCCACGGGCGATCATTTTCTGAAATAGACTTAGTGTTGTGTGAAGTTACTGAGTTTATACGGTACTTACTCATCACATAATTGAAAATCCCTGGATCATTTTTGGTGAGGGACCCTGTGGTATTTGTATATTGAATGAAAGAGATCTGTAATATTTCACATGTAAAGTCCACCCATCCAGTTCTATACCAGCCCAATGTACATAAAAATCTATGACCTGTATCCTTCTAATTATATTTTCAACGCCCGCTATCCTATGCCCATTAAACCTTTTAGGGTGCCAAAGACCCACGGTCGGCTTTTGTAAAGAATGACTATACACCCGCTAAAACCTATCATTGCATCCGAGAATTCTTCAGTGAGCGTCTTCATCCTTTCCGGGCCACATTATCTTCTTCTGTGAAACAGCTTTGATGTGAGCAAATACAATCGAAATCCATAACAAGAATAGCACAACTCCCATCCCAGTCCCTACTGCTAGTATTGGACCGCTGTTTAATCTTTCTCCGATCTTAATCGTGGCGATAGTAAACCCCACATTTGGGAATACATATGCATACCAGTTTAGATGGAAATCATTTCTGTTAAATGCTTCAATTGCTGCGAAGGTTGCGATGGCGAAGAACCAAAATGCCAGAGCCCAGAGGAAGATCGCCGAAAGAAGAGCACCGAGTTGTAACATGTCAGGAATCGCAGCTGGGTTGGTAATGCCTGGAAGGTTGTAGTATTCGGTAAAGACTTTGGTGATTGTTGCGTCTTGCGCCATACCAATGAGTGCAAGAGCTGTGAAAGAAGGTGGCCCAACTGCAATGAACATGGCAGGTCGAGAAGCATCGACGGGAAGACCAGAAGTGAGAAGTCGACCAAAGTAAATCCCGTACATCATGATAGCTAACATCATTCCAAGACCTTGAAATGTGAGACCAGCCACCAACATTTGTGCCGCGGATTCCACAGGTTGTGTTTTAGCGATAGCAGACGCGAGAGTACCGACTAACATGGCAGGGAAGATTGGAAGAACCCAACCAGGTAGGACATTGGTAATGACAAGTTTCTTGACTGTAAAAAGGACATGGTAGTAGACGATGGCGAGAACTGTGGCACAAACGGTATACGTCCAGAAAGCTAATCGAAGAGCACCGATGAGCCAAGGGCCAGTGTTTGGGATACCATATGCAGTAGTATTCGTCATCATTGTGGCCAAAGTGAGCCACCCGGTAGCGAAAAAGAATCCCTCATGCGGGTTCGTGAACGAGTGGATGAATGTCCCAGGGTGAATTATGAAGCGAGTGATCATGAGACCGGTGATAGCCAAAAAGACCATGATATTGATAACAAACAAGGCCTTGCCGAGTACTATGAGCGCATCCGATTCGATGGGAAGCACAGAGAGAGTAAAGGCTATTCCTCCTGTTGACATAGTACATGCGTACCAAGCTTTCAAAAGTTAGTAATGCAAATCACGTGAGGAGTTCTGGTGTTTAGGTACCATAAGTGAAATGCTTTAATCGCTCTGAGAAAGTAAGTGTCTGAATGGATTCTTCCTTTTCCGGTATTTCCTTGAGGGCATGTTCAAGGTCATCTCCTCTGAAATCTTTTCCAAGAATGTTTTCCATCGATGAGTCTGCAGAAAAGTTTGGAGAGGCCATTTTGGCTCTGTTGGACTGAGCCAGCAGTCTAGATTTTCAGGGTTTTGATGAGGATAAAAGAAAAATATCGAAACGTGCGAACGAGGGGATAATGAGAGTTAGTTCGGCGAACACAAATACATTCAACTACTTCCGTCGAGAGAGCAGTTCGTATTGTATTAGTGCTCTAATGTAGTTAACTGAGGTTAGGAAAAGTGGAATGAAGTTAGGAAAAGTGACTCTGAATACGTATTTGACAGATGCGGGATGACGACCTCATTTTGAAGATTTCATGTCCACACGTACTGGAGGCGATAATCTTCTCGCAGTGGAGCACCCATTTGTCTCGTAATTACTACCAAGGATCCAAGATGTCAAAAATATAACTAAAACGACACCAAATGGAGCTTTCGATGGCCAAGTTTGTCGTAACACAAAGGAAACAACGAAAATATGCCCGAAACTGAAAAAAAGTGGAAAACCAAGAGATAAGAGCCTTCAGATGGGGAGCCTCAATTAGGGTCTCAAGGAGACACTCTCAACCCAAAGGATGATCATCAAGCTCCCGGTACTTCGAACTCGTTGGAGCCAAGTTGGATTTAACTACTAAGACTTGGCTCCAAGGAGCTCCCGGGTAGCTTTAAGGATGGCAAACGGCCCAACCCAGCAGCATATGCAGTATTTGAGGGACTCAGTGTTCCGTAATAATCCGACTTTGTCAATGCCACAGCAAAAATCTTTTAAGGATTGTTAAAGTTCGACGAAGTATAAGATGTGATTCATGACATGGAAGGGCGACGTGAAATAGCAGTGAATATATAACGGGGACTTGGCTGGGGCGTCCAGCGCTCAAGGGAGCCCCTTTCACATACTCAGCGAAGACATCAAGAACTTATTTCATGAGTCTAGAAGCTCCACGCCAGAGATCTATATTTTGAAAGAAAATAGACTGCCAAGAAATCTTCTTACAAAACGGAGAAAGTTTAAATAAAAATAGGTTGCTTATATTTCGGTATTGATTTAGCATGCCATTACGGTTCGTGCTAAAAAGAAACCTTACCGGCAAAGTTAATTTATAATTGGATTTAGACGCCTCCTGTGAACATTGGGGCCAAGATGATATTGAGCCTTAGTTGAACGGCATTGATGAAATTGTGTCCACATAAAAGACAGAATTGATGATCTCTATGACGAAGCACCGTAGAAGCGCCTTGGGCTAGGTTATCAAGATAAAGTTATCTACTTGGCCATCATTTCAATACAATTCGATCGTCAATGATCAGTTTCTCAACTACGGAGTATGTCGCCGCCCCCAGCAGCACAGCCACGAATGGTGTGAAGTCGATCAGTGTGTGAGCCCAGTGTAAGTTGGTGGTAAAGATACTAAATTTATTTAGTTCGAAAAGATTCTCATAAATGCAGAAAGGATGAATAGAAACGGGAAAATATCTGTAATTTTTGATGGGTTGATGGGTTGATGTCTGATACTTGATGCTTTGATGTTTTATTGTTTTGAACCTCAACCTTGGGTTTGAGTCGTATAGAAAAGAGGGCGCACTAATATCAAAGCAGATAAGTGTACTATTGTCAGCCTTGGCACGTGATTTTAATACAATTTGAGCCTTTTCGTTTCATTTCTCATTCTCATTTCAACATTTCCATTCCATCTTCGAAACACGTGTAAAACAATCTCAATTCCATTCTATTATTATCTCGTTTCTCGTTGGCCGCTGTTGCCGTGGTTAACACGTGATATTCAAAGTCTTTCCTTCTTTCCTCTTGCTTCGGACACCCGCAGTAAGTAGCCTGGTTCTACCGGTATTCCTGGATCATGATTCTTCTATGAAATGTATTATGACCACATGTTGAAGCTTTTCCCGGAAAATGAAATACCGAGATGGTAAGATCCACAATGCAACGACGTGCGGGGAACTGATGATATGTACCATCACAGTCGTGGTCCGAGGTTGAAAGGGAAAAATATTTTCCATACAGTATGTGTACCAGAGTATGAATTCAATCGCAAATTTTAATCACATCGAGGTAGTTCTCTTGATGTGGTTGTTAGGATTTGTAGAAGAGAAATAGCGCATCTCCTGGAAATTATCTTGCAGCTCTCTCGACTGCTGCCTTTGTCGTTCCTACGGGGTCTCATTTCATGTAGCTTTGATGTATCTATTTTCTTATCATGAGATTTTCCAGTTTTACCGCTAAACGAATGCTACCTGGGCATAACTCGTATTTCCATTCACATATGTAGATTTACCCCATGTTTTGGACGGATATTGTGGGGTTTATAGTGGACGACGGGCGCGATGGCATGACTTGGAAACCAATAATCACAAATCATATCATTGGAGCGCAAAAAGAGTTATTAGCTCAATATAGGAGGTACGGCTTGATTGGATCGGGGTAAGAGCAGATCTTATACTCACTTCAGCCTTGAATCCCGCAACCACGGGAGCATCCAGACTCAGGTATATAGAGAAGGTCATGATTCGAATTCGAATGTCGAATCTTCTGCAGCAGTACAATGACTGAGCGCAAAATTTTCAAAATGTTGCACACTGTCTTTTTGCTACTTTCTATTTGCAGCAGTTACGCACTTGCTTCACTTCAAATTGTGTGTATCGCCTCTGAGAATGATTGCTAAGGCTTACGCGTTTCTAGATATCAGGTGCAACGTGGACAGCTTCTGGTATTAATCAACACATCCAAGCTCATGGGGGTGGAATTATCCAAGTCGGCTCGACCTAGTCAGTAAAACCCTCCTTGCTCTAGCAAACTGACCATTGACCAATCACAGTTATTGGGCCGGGGAGAATAAACTCAATGGAAGTGCTTTCCAATCGATCAATTGCTACTCCAGCACTGACCTTGTGAACTGGAAATTCAATTCTTATCTTCTTACATTACAGTCGTCTGGAGATTTGGGACCCAATCGAGTTGTGGAACGTCCACACATAATGTACAATGATGCAACAGCTAAATATGTCTTGTGGATGCACATTGATTCATCAAATTATGGCGAAGCAAAGGCTGGAGTTGCAACTAGCGACAGTGTTTGTGGACCTTATACATATTTGTGAGTTAATTGATTCGATTATCGCGGAGGGCGATAATCTCAAATAAGCTTAGGGGATGGTAAGACTAATGAAGCGTAAAACAGAGGAGCAAGCCAACCATTGGGCTACCAAAGTAGAGATCTCAATGTATTTAAAGGTATGGATTATTGACATTTCACATCTCAATAACTAACGTGGGGTTAGACACCGATGGAACAGGTTATCTATTGACCGAAGATGTATTCTTACTCACCCCTTTCTGTTAGAATAGTTCTGATCATTATATAGCGAGCAAACGGTTTACGTATTGACAAGCTTTCCGCCAATTACACATCGGTTGTGTCAGCTGTTTATCTTTTTGCTGATTATGAGGCTCCCGCCATATATAAGAGCGACGATACTTATTTTATGTTTGCCAGTCATTTATCTGGGTGGTGTATGCATTTTTTTCATCTCCCGCGCTTTAATTTTCCCCCAGCAATCCTATTTTACACCTCGGACGTTAAGACGGGCAATGCTAGATCTTTGATTTGTTCAGAATGTTAGCTGATTGCCTATAACAGCTCCAAACGATAACGTCTACGCTACAGCAACGAATTTATCAGGGCCTTGGTCTGCTTGGTCCAACTTTGCAACGGTCGGGACAAATACCTATAGCAGTCAGACTGCGGCTGTTGTTAATATTAATGGAGTTGTCATGTAAGTTTTTTTCCGATCATCTTCGGACTTGGGAAATATTTTAGGGTTATTCGTAGAAAATAGGGCTAATTAGTTGCAGGTACATGGGAGATCGATGGGAATCATCCAACCTTATGACTTCCACCTACGTCTGGCTCCCTTTGACAATCTCCGGGACCAAGGCATCCATGGTATATACCTTGTCCAAAAGAGTCGCCCAGAAATTAACGTTGAACAGAGCAACGAAGTCAACTGGATCATCGACCCCGCGGCAGGAACGTGGACCACCGGCCCCAGCGAAGCATGGCTAGAAGCCGATGCTGCCACAAATACCCTCGCTAACGGTGCTAAAAATATCACATGTTCCGGTTGCTCGGATGGTGTACGAGTCGGGTATATTGGTGGACCTAGTCCTGGGGGTACGTTGACCATGGACGGAGTGAGTAGCTCCGTAGCAACAACTACCACAATTCGAATTCATCATTTGAATGGTGATTCGACGCAACGCTATGCGAAAGTTGTAGTCAATGGAGTCAGCAATATTATTGCGTTTTTGCCGACAGCGGATGGTAATACACCTGGCACAAGCGTCTTGACGACTCCATTGAAGAGTGGGGCTGGAAATTCCATTGAATTCGAGTCGTATAATTCTGGATGGGGTAAGTCTACGATGTTCATTATTCATATCTCATTATTCGTTACTAGTACGCCAATACGTCTACCTGTGCTAATATATGATGCAGCACCAGACATTGACCGCATAATGATCCCCGTCTCTTAAACACCTCATTTTTCTTTTCATGCGTGGAGGGTGTCATGTCATGGAATGCACGCATCACCAGTAGTCCTTCTCTTCTTTTCCATCCTCAAAACCTTATAGCTCTCACTCAATAAATCAATGGGATCAAGATTCCCCTTTCCAAAACTCTGCATAACTCTCCCAGGCAAAGAATATTTCCTCCTCAAAACCTTTCTATTCCCCCAAACCTCCCACCGTCCCCTAATCATACTCCTCGAAATAAGACTCACCACGCTCGTTGGCGGCATAGGTGCATTCGTACAAATTTCCCTCAACATATTCTCTAATCCCCTAAAAATCCCCGGATCCACGACCCGTAAATGCGCCAGTTCTTTCCGCGTCTCCTTAATGGCCGTCTCAGTCGCATATTCATACTGACACCCCACCATCCTAAATCTCAAATACTTCGCAAGAACCGTCGAACACAACAATGCCAAGCCCCCATTCATATGCGCCAATACCTTTCCAGTGCGATAATAACACGGTATCTCAATCGTAGTAATTGCGCGTTTCCGCAACGCAAATGTCCCAATCTGTATATCCACCTGGGAAAATTCCCCCCATCCCTCATCTGCAGCCTCCCCCTCATCCACAATATTACTCGGAGATATGTACACCCATATATAACCCGTCGCACACGCACACAGCGAATACGTAGCCCCATCACTCAAGTTATCCTTTTGGAAAAAAGCAGCTGAGCCATGCGCTTTGATATCCGCGAAATTGGCCGTTAATTCGGTGCCGAATTTCGAGAGTATATTCTCGTCTGTTACGTTGATATCTGGCATGCTGATTCCCGAATCATGGTTGCGCGTTATGTAGAATATTGGCTGTGTCATGAATCCGGAGTCTATAGTGCGCGCATTGTGTACACGGGTGATTTTTAAATTCGGTGCGGAAACTATGGATTTGATTAATTTTATGGGGTTCCTGGATTTCGAGAAGCGGATACTTGAGGAGATGAACTTACATTCGGTGGAAACAAGAGCTTCTTGTATCATATCGGGTAATTGAGCGAATATTCTTTCGTTACGCGAATTAACATTGATGATCGAAGGCGCTTTATTGCGACTTGTGACTAGGATTTCTTCTTCGTTGTTGTGGGTGCTCATATTTGCCTTAATGTGCTAGTTATAATTCTTGTGTTTGAATAGAACTGTCGACTTTACTCTTGGTACTGCTAGCAGTGGCTGTCTTGGTATGTAAGACTTATTTTCACAAACGAAGGGGGTTTTCGCGCATGACGGGAATAAAATCATTATATATCTCATCCATCTAAGATCTTACTATTCATCTCTTGCGAGATTGGCCCTTTATATAACTCCAAAGAACATTTACGTACATCATATTCGCGAGCGAGCCTTATCGATCATGTAATTGATCAAAACCCATGTGCATCCTATCTTACAATATGGCAATGCCATTTCATCTCGTATCAAACCAAGACAATATCTCCGATCCTACTTCCTCGTGTCGTTCTATAAATAGCCACGTTTCTAAACAAAACATACTGTGAAAAGGCTTAGCTAGAATACGACAAATTGTTTGACAGCTGGCTGGCCCATTCCGGAAAATATGAAACGTATCGAAAATTAATCAAAGGTATCTGTTCAATTTTTGTTCAATTTTTTCCTAATTGATGATGCGGTGTGTTTATCATGAGGTAGGGTATCAAAAAAAGTAAGAATGTGGGGCCAAAAATGGATTTGGGATTTTGGGATTTAGGCTTCTTATTATATGTGGATTGGAGCTCGGGAAAAGCAACAGTAGCAGTTAGCATAGCCTTTGAAGGATGCTGATGCTTGAAAGTATTTCTTGGGTAACATGAGTTGTTTAATATGCCCGTGGTATACTGTGTGTGGAGTTGTGGGTGGTACTGTTTTGTAGTGAATAAGGGTATCCGTGATTGTGAATTAAGAGATGCAGTAAGGTCAGTGAATTGATATTCTATTATTGTCTTTTCCGGGGTTAATGATGGTAGTAGATATTTCGCTTAGGTAAACGAGGATGAAGGGGTATGCGATGAATATGAGATACTCTGAAAAATTCGATGAAGAGGAAGGAAAGGAAGGACGAGGGTTCACGTGATACGTGCTTGTGCAATTTATACGTCCATAGATAAAGGAAGAGGAGGCGGCTCAGCCTAGATATTAATAAGAATTGCTTCGCCTTGATATATATATGGAATGGTATCAGTTGAGAATGATAATGCATGTACGGAAATTGAAATTTATTAAATATTACTACATAAATTGATGTGGTATCAATCCCAATTCAATAATTTTGAGCTTTTGAGTTTTTGAACGCCGTGTGCCCTGTGATCGTAACCCATTCCCTTAACCTAATTCCATCACAACAATGAACGACGAGTTCTATGCATGTCTTTTCTCGAAACACATCAAGCTTTTCGTCTAACCAAGAGACACCTTCTACCATCTCGCTTTAAATTCCATCCTACGCTTGCGCATATTTCTTTCAGTGTTCCTTCTCTATCCATCAACCTATCGTTCACAGCGATTACATCTAGTGCCATTGACTGTTTGCCTAGTAAGATTGAAGAGCGAATCTTACTCTGTTCTGCCAATGTCATTCCCCTGATGTCAAGATATCTCAAGCTGTGTTTCGCGCCAGTAAAAGTAGGCAATGGAGTAATGGAGATCCTTCGTCGTAACTTGGTAATCGCAATTGCACGTTCCATAGGTTCGAGAACAGTGGTATATTTTGAGTCGATCTCTGATGAATCGATTGCATCTTCCTGATTCCGGGAGTCATTGTCTTCGTCATCTAGAAAAATAGATTCGAGGTCTCGCATGCGGAGGCCAGTGCCTATGCTTAGCTCTTCTATGGTTTGATTCAAACTCTTGAGCTGAGCGACGCAAGCTGAACCCATCTTCCATCCTCTTAGCTTGAGAGTCTTGATTGTCCTTGGTGCATATCTCAAGAGCAACTCTGTTTCCTTTTCCTTGATCTCTTCACTAACCGTAAGGTCAACCGAGGCATCAAGGTATACCAATGTATGCTTCACAGACGGATGAGATGTTACAAAGTCGACAAGAGAGACGTCTTCAAGTAATGGACAATGATTGATTGCTAGATGTGAAATTCTAGCAGTAGGAGGCAGAAGTTGTAAAGCCTCTGTCGTGATATGAGTGTGTGATAACGTCATCGATTGTATGGAGCCGAGTCGTGAAAATAGCGAGTCGAAGGTTGAAGCCGGTAGAGCCGTGCAATTTTCTAAGGATAATGATTTGATCGGAAGTAAAGCAGCCTTTGGTAGACGATCGAGTATGCTAGGTATGCATCCCAGTGTTGATGATGTGCAATTGCCCAGATCTAACGTCTTCAGATGTGGCAACCCAACAAAAAGAAGTCGAAGTAAGGATCCGCTCAAAAAACCATTTAGGTTGGTATCCCTCGGAAGTCGGAATTCTCGAAGATGTGGAGCGAGTGAAACCATTCCGTAAAGAGAATTTGAAAATCCTCTCATTGGACGTGCAGTTTTCAGCTCGGAGAAATCAAGACGTCGAATAGTTCTTCCCAAGATGGGATTCTGGGTAAGTTGAGCAAGTATATGGTTAAATGCGGACATGTGAGTAACCGTAACACTTCGATAGGTAATGAAAAGTGCATTCATGTAAATGGCTTTTGATACACGAAGACATGAAAATAAAGTAGGTCTTTCCAAATGTGGACAGTTGATTTCACTGGAATCTACGAGATGTCAATATTATATTGAGTTTAATGGTAGGTATTGAAGGTATAGTCTTACCACTGCTTGAACCGCCTTCTTTGTGATCGTATTTCAATTCCAAATTCCCAAGGATCTTTTGAAGAAGTTCAGGTGGAAGTAGCTCGAAGGGTGATTGACCAGCTTCATATGCTTGCCTCCTACTTGAGTTTCTCTGGAATGAAGAGCTCGACATTGTGTATTGAAGGGTTGAAGAGTTGAAACGTTTTGGCAGTAGATTCTTGATTTGGAGGTTTATGTATTTGAAAACTTATATAGCTGAGAGTAAGTGCACCGAGGCACGGATGTCTGAATGTATACAGGGCGTAAAAGTATTTTCTGATTTCTTAGCACCATTGTAGACAGCTTTTGAGGTTATCGTGGGACTCTTATACCCAGCAACATGTTGCAAGAAAGAATCTGGGCCTTCCAAATCGAACAGTTTGTTACTCAATGCATAAAAAGTCTGCATACCAAACACTGGAGAAATTGCGAAATTGCCTCCCATGACTCTCTTTTACATCGTCAGAGCTCAAGCACAGCTCGTGATGTTATCCAATACTATCCACCGCCAACACGTCCTCGTTTCATTGTTACGTAAATGTATAGCAATAAAGCAATAAATGTATATAAGACGACATCATGAGGCAATAAGGAATTAATAATTGGTTCATTTTATTTGGAAGTCAAAGAAATCACGAGTTAAAGCGATTGGTGATTTCCCCAGGAAAAGGTTAAAAAGAGAAGCACGATTTATAAAAAGGCGGGGTTAGCGTCTTGGCTTTCGGCACGTGGGATGTCGAAGTTTCCCATGCACGTGATTTAGTTTGGAGAAATGTTTTATTTTTGGTTGTCAATTCAATCTAAAAGCTAAAAAGCTAAAAAGATGTCTTGTTTAGTTTTCAAATCCCGGACTATCGGGAAAGGACGAATGGATGAGACGCTTCCCTCGGGATTTGATCATAAATTCCATGTTGTTGATCTTTCTTACCCCTTTTTTTAACTCAAATTTTCAAATCCCTCATTGAGCCATTTTTGAATATTGATGTTGTCGTCTACGCAGAACTATTTAATAAGGCACATCAATGCCATGTTAAGTTTACTCTACAGAGTTAAGACGAAAGCTTTGAGTCGTCCATCAATGTATGCCCAGTATACCGGATTTGGAAGAAAGTTGATGGTGTAACTGGCAGTACGTATACGTGGTATGTCAATGCAGTCTGAGGCTGAGTTAGTGTGGTTCTACTACTCGAGGATGCATCACTGGTATGTACTTCCCAACAACATCGAAACTGTACTTTGCTGCTTTTTCCTCACCGACCTTACCTTGCTTCGGTTTACCACCGGCTTAAGGTAAAAAAGTATACATATCAACTAACTGGAAGGTATAAATGCTGCATCTGATCTACGGAGTAAACAGCTCATGATCACCATTATTTATAATGTGGGTATGTAACTTTAATAGTCCCAAGGACTATGCTGCAAAGGTTTTATTTCATCAAATGGTTCTATTCTTTTTATTCTCCCTTTTCTCTTATTTGGTTAAAATTCAAATGATCCTTAAAATCTGAAACAGCTCTTTGAGTTGTCAACCATTAGTGTGCTACTTGCTTCATCCCTGCATTGGGGAAGGAGCTGAAAGTCACATATTCATAAAATTCGTGAGTAAACTTGCCTGCGTTATTTAGGAAACAAATCATCGTTTGTGTTGCAGAGATCACAACTATCTCAATCTTTAGGTCCTCACAAAAGTCTTTGTGTCTGATGCTTATTGCTTACTTCCTTCACATCGCGTCGAGAAAGAAATTTCCTGAAACACCTTTGGCCCTGCCAGAATGGCAAAACCAAACCAATCATCAAGAATAACTGGGAAATTGCGACCATATCAAAACACTATTGGATCATGCTGCTGGCTATAGGTGCAAATTAGCTTCCTCAGTTCTTTATGCTTAGCTGACGTGCGGAATAACATTGAAAAGGACGAAGACGTCAGGCCTAAAGAAATAAGGAATATCACTCGATTCGACGCAGCAATCTCGAAATACGGCATTAACCAGTAACGAAATCGGAAACAGGTTCCATTGACTTTTCCAAAGCCTATAATTTGTTGGCATACAAAGACTCGAAGCCCACTGTGTCATGAGTTAGATTCCTCTTTCCTGTAACAACACGCGGCTCCTTTCGGTGTACAAAAGTGTGCCTGATTTCTTGAACCTATCTAATACTTCATGTACTGTGAAATGTTATCATGTCTCTTAAAAGTGCTTGGGTCAATAATGGGTGCTACTAGAAAGTGGTCCTGGAAATTGAGCTCTACCTTCTTCGCTGAACTGAAGTTATTGATGACCAGGTAATAGCCGCCCACTGTTTTGTGAAATCAAACATGGCACCCTCAAAGATTATGTACATTTGAAAAGATACACTATGCTGAACATCGAAAGGTAGTCGCCGACGGTCTCTGATATCATGATCCTCGTAGAGGCCGAAATCTGTGATGAAAGGTCTGCTCTTGCATTCATGCTCGGGTTTCTAGAGTTGCAATGCGCGATTGATCAGCATGCTCATGGATAGTAGCCAGGTGCATTTAGTGTTGGTGTGTGTGGTCTTTTTTTCTTGAGCGGATGATTGTCGTTCTTTGCGACGATCATGAAAGAATCATTAAGCTCATCAAACCCGACAGAATCCTAACATAACCGAAGTTCCACTTCCGGAATGCAGTACATTTCTTATCAATGGTTATACTTTGGTCTTCGTTAGGACCAAAATTTCTTTTCATCTGCATATCGTTAGTCTGGCATGTGATGAATTTGTGTGTATGTATAATAGAGATAGGAAAGATGCTTGAGATGCTGTTGATGGGGGTTATCCCGGGGTATCAATGGCTGGTTACGAGCTTGTGATAAATTATAAGATAGGTCCGGTAGATTGTACGTAGGCTTGATGAATTTAGTCATATTATCCCTTGCTTCTCTCCCATAAATTTGGTCCTGGACGGGGATATAAAAACTCTCTAGAGCTATTGTTAAATAACGTTACGCTTGAATATACCCATTTTTCCCTCTACGAGTGTTTTTGTGCGATGACGAATTGGTATTCATTCTTATACGTTCTTATTCTTGTATGAGAATCTGCAGGTAGGACTCTAGCATCTTCCTTCTCTCTTTTTATACAAACTCATCTTTTAGTGAGACAAGCGATGCTCGTCGAGAAGAAACGTGGTGTTAATATTAATCGTATTTCTATCAGACTGGCAGAAGGAGATGTGTATTTATGAATCTCATTTTGCATATGGATTCCCATCTTACAGTACCTAAAGTAGAGTCCTAGTATACAACATGAGGCTCCTAAAAATATAATTTTGTGTATTCTAAGTACAACAGAGGAAGAAACCGAAAAGGCACTTCATGTCCCTCTTATATATATACATATCAGTGAAATCACAACCTAATTTATGCCCCAAAATCAACCATCACTGCTCCCGAATCTTCAACCGGTACAGTGAATTTTCCATCCTTAGCCTTAACAGTATGTCCAACCGTTACATTGGGCAATCGTACAGGAAGTCCATTATTGAGTTCATAGTTGTAAGAATATCCATCGTATGTAATACCCGTGATTGCATCACTACCATTTGCATGAAGGGCTCTTAGTGTTGCCGACTTGGGCAATGCGGCTGGGGCATTAGCGCGTGATGATCTAGCTGCCTTGTCGGTGGGGATTGTGATGGTGTATTTTCTGGTTGGACGAGGGTCGGGGTTTAAGAGCGTAGATGTTCCATTGATGGTATAGTTGTATTGGTGCATGTTGATAATGATGATGCGCTTTAGAGCGCCATTGACATAAGCTGCATAAGCGGATTCCATCTCGTTGGTCAATGGAATTTCGGCTATGGTTGTGGTGGATGCGGTAAGATTAGAGAGGAAGGCAGCTGCAGCGATGTTTCCGTAGTACGGAGCTTTTGTGCCCTTTGTGACAGTATCCGTGTCCTGAGGTTGCCAAGCCCCGTAGCGGAAGCCGACTCCCTCGTGGAAACTAGGAGATAGGTTGTCAGCATTTTGTTGAGATTAATGACTTATAAGGACTTTACATACTTGATGCGACTAATATTCTTGCTTGCGCAGTAGAGTGCGAAGTCTATGTTCCACTGTATAGAAGTCAATACTTATAGATGATGATCGGCCACGGAGAAAACGTACTAGAGCAGCACCATATGCATTTGACAACCCTGGTGCACCTTCATTGTAAAGAGAGTTGGTTTCTCCGAGAGTGAACGGTAAGTTGAAAGGGGAAAGGAGGTTAGATACATTTAGTTGAAGGGCGACAGACGCCACGGTTGAGGTGTGGTTCATGAGGGTTTTTTGGAGTGTGACACCTGGTTGTGTCGCACCACCAATATAACTTTGTTCAGTCCGTTAGCATTTGGAATGTGAAATCGTGAGTTAGACCATACTTATGTGATGATATCAATTCAATATCCTTATCAACATCTAATCCGTCCCTCCATGTCGTAATAGGATTAAGATGGTTGTTAACACCCGCATAGGAGGGTGCCAAGAACCCATAGGAAGCTAGATCAGGACAAGCTGCTGCCACTCCTTCCTTGATTTGGCGGCTTCCGTTTAGCCATTGGCTTACGTATGTTGATTCGTTCCAAGTCCGAGGTCGAACTGGTCCTTGTGCAGAGGTAGAATACAGATCTGGTTCATTTCCGTACTCCCACATGAGAAGTTTTCCACCTCCTAGAGCTTTACATGCCAAAGGTATCGTATCTAGTAGTGTCTGCCATCCAGCAGAATTGTTGGCGCCCAGTGCCATGTTGAATCCATGACTAAATTTGACATCTGGCCAAGTACTGTACGATTCAAAAAAGGAAGGGCCAATGTAAACAGTTGTTGGGTAATCCACGGCCCTCGCTGGATTAATTGTACCATTCACCGCGTATGGAAGATTTGCATCGTATAGAGCATAATCTTGTGTGTTTCCTCCTACTCGAATGTACGGTTTAGTACCTTGGAAGTGGGCAAGATTGTTGAGCAGGTTATTTGAAAAAGTACCCGGACTTGAGGCATTTCCTAAAAATGTGAGCACGTGAGCTGGTTGATATGCCTTTGAACCATTGACATACCAGCGTAATCCGGAAAGAAAGCGAGCTCAATGGAGTAGCTTATGAAGGCTGGAAATGGGGTACCGGCACTTGCTGGGGCAGTGCTAGCAACAGTAAAGTTGCTTTGAGCATGAATTGCTTGCGCCAGGCTTAGAAGTGCGACTCCAGTGATGCGAGCCATGTTGTGAATATCCAATTCTCTATTTTCGAAACATCAATCAGAGATAGGGGATAACAGGCAAAAGACAACGGTGAAGTTTGACAAGTTTAAGTAACCTACTCGGAATCTGCAAGGTGCAGATCTCTGGTTCTTTCTTAATACCTCATTGCTACGGATAGTAACTGCATGTCCTACGTGGGACTCGCAATGCATCATACCGGAAACCGAAGTGATGGATGAATGAAGCTGGATAAATTAATGCTCGCAACTCAATTAAATTAACATCATACTCCATAATAATTTCCAACGCGGGGAAGTCGGGGATCGAGCATACACAAGGCCTAGAGGGGCTGGCGTGCTACATGGAATGTACTGTATAATCTCACGATACTAACACTCGGTTTAACTTCGATCGGATAAAATATCATACCGATGATCTTTTGTATTCTGAATGACGATATCAGTATTCTGCAGCTTAAATATAGAATATAGTCTATAGCTTTAGATACAATGAGACCGCAGGGACAGTCTGTTATTCATCCAATGAAAAAAAAAGTCCGCATGCCAAGACCGCGAATCTCTCTCGAGATTTAGAGTATAAGTATGCATTATGCATATGATGTAGAATACGAGGTAGTATTCCGACGATTCCTATCCCGTTCCTTGCCCACTAGATGGAAGAGGGGTTGATGGAGTTCGGAGGAAGGGTGATGTGATAGGAATTAAATACATATAACAGCCGTAAATATAATTAGCCCTAGCCCTCTCGTATATTTTAAAGTAACTCTAGAACTACTCGAGTATTATCATTTCAAATGGATATTTGGTCGATGCCTTTTTGTTGTGTATGTTATAATTATGTAAAAATGTATTCAATGTTTTCACATCGTGTCTATCTCCTGTTTGATTACACATTTCTCAATTACGTACCTCCGGATATCCATTTGATGTGATATCACCTATGTTAGGTTTAGCGGTAGCCCCGCGGTGTAGCTTATCCTTCACGATAAATCCGATAAAAGAACATCTTCATCAAGCTCTCCGGAACTCCAGTTACTCCAGTTGATTCAATTCCGGCACACCATTTTCACTAAGGTACAATACCGTCCCTTTCTTCTACTCACCTGGTTAATGTTTGTTTGTTATCACATAATCAGACATCAATTGTCAGCAACCAATTGTTGTTCCATGGTGACGTTGGTGCTAGAACTGGAATTGCTACAATAAAAGCCCCGAGCTTGACACCCCGCCCCTCAACATGAATAACATAATAAGATCAACAACAAGAATACTACCACATTCACGATTTCAACCATTTACTTTACCAATTATCAATTCACGAAAAGCTTCCAACATGTCGCATACCGTGCCAAAACTCAATGACCCAACACTGTTCAAGACCGGAGTTGCGTATGTTAATGGGGAATGGGTAAAGGCAGCTTCTGGACAGACATTTGAGGTTACCGGTATGCTTCGCGGTCATTATGAGTCAATATGAAGTTAAAGAGCTAACATAGTTACTCTGCAGATCCATCTACTGGAAAGTTCATTGGAAATGCTCCAGAGTTCGATGTAGATGACACGAAGAAAGCAATCGATGCCGCAGCCGCAGCCTTCCCCTCATTCAGAACTACAACAGGACGCGAGCGAGCCAAGCTATTACGGAAGTGGTATGATTTGATGGTACGCCAGACAAATAACGTCGAATACAGTGAGGATAGTCACTGATTGATTTCATGCAGATTGAAAACAGTGAGGATCTTGCCAGGCTCATAACATGGGAGAATGGAAAGCCTTTGGCGGATGCAAAGGGAGAGACAACATACGCAGCCAACTTTTTGGAGTGGTTCAGTGAAGAAGCTCCTAGAAATTATGGTGACGTTATCCCATCGTCCATTCCTGGGAACAGAGTTATCACCTTGAAGGAGCCTGTTGGTGTCGTTGGACTTATTACGCCGTACGTCTACCCACATGAGAGCTACGCAATACTAATTTAGTCTAGATGGAACTTCCCAGCTGCTATGATCACAAGGAAGATTGCACCTGCGTTGGCAGCTGGTTGTACAGTTGTTGCAAAGTCTCCTGGTGAGACACCCTTCACCTCACTTGCCCTCGCCGAACTTGCACATAGAGCAGGGATTCCTAAAGGTGTAGTCAACTTTGTCAGCGCTCTCAAGAACACACCCGCTGTAGGCGAGCTCCTCACTACATCCCCGATCATTAAAAAAGTCTCTTTCACTGGATCTACTGGCGTGGGTAAAATTTTGATGAAGCAGTCATCTTCAACATTAAAGAAATTGTCTTTTGAGCTTGGTGGAAATGCTCCCTTTATTGTATTCGACGATGCAGACCTTGATGTTGCAGTAGCTGGCGCCATTGCATGCAAATTCCGTTCATCTGGACAAACTTGCGTCTGTGCTAACCGCATCTTTGTGCAATCTGGAATTTACGATGCCTTTGCCGAAAAATTTGCGGCAAAAGTTAAGGATTTCAAAGTTGGAGGTGGTTTCTCCGATGGTATTACCCATGGGCCCGTTATTCATGACCGTGCTGTCGACAAGGTGGAAGCACATGTTCGAGACGCTGAGAAGAAGGGAGGAAAGGTCATCCAAGGTGGGCAAAGGATTCCTGAGCTTGGGGTCAACTTTTTCCAACCTACTGTCATCACTGGTGTCACTCCTGATATGGATATCGCGAACGAGGAAACTTTTGGCCCTGTTGCCGGATTACTTAAATTCGATACGGAAGCGGAAGTGGTTCGAATTGCAAACTCTGCCGATGTCGGCTTAGCAGGCTATTTCTTTACCAAAGATGTTGAAAGGGCCACTAGAATCTCCGAGGAACTAGAGCTTGGAATGGTTGGTATCAATACTGGCTTGATTAGCGATGTTGCATCTCCATTTGGTGGTGTTAAGGAGTCCGGATTTGGACGCGAGGGAAGCAAATATGGAATTGCAGAGTATCAAACCATCAAGACAGTCACAATTGGAGGCATGGGAAAGCCATTGCAAAGTTAGAGGATCAAAAAAACTTGGAATAGGGCAGAGAAATGATACCACATGTTTTTACGTTTTCATACAGTGAAATTTTCCGAGCTCTCAATATTACTGGTGAGCCATTGTAGTATGTGCTAGGTAGTTAACTTGCTAACAAATCTAGAACGCATATCATTCTTCGCTAGTGCCGCGCAATCCTTTTTCACTACTGCTCAAATGAGTAAAATTCAAAACTAAAGTGACTGTTCGCAACACGATCTTTGCGTACTCTCGCAAGTACATTAAACCAACTGCTTTCTTCAAAACAAAAGAACTTCCCAACTAGAGTCCAGAATCAACCGTCTTTGGAAATCGCCAACCATGAACCTGGGTGGGAGGGAAATTGCTGAGAATCAAAAAGTTGCACGAAATTTAATGCAAGGCATATTCGACCCCCTACCTCACCCATTTATAGCGCTGCAAGATTTCGTAGACGAAGAGACTATCATGCCAAACAAACAAAAGGCTCCTCGACGCGACATGAATGACCAGAATTTTCATTTCAGAGGTTCCGATTTGATTCCTGGCTTCCCTTTCTGGGAGTTTCGAGGCGCTCCTCGAAACTCCAAGGATATTACGAATGTTCCTAATACCACTTATCACAAAGTAGAACAGAGGTAGGTTGAGAAGCGCGTTGCCAATAATTTAGATCTGCTGACGCCCTTCAGCTTTCTCGACCTTATTAAGCGTGCACCGTCAGAAATTCGCGCTCATATTTTCGCTCAGATACCCTGTGGGAGAATGGCAAAAGACAGTGATATAGATTCAGAAGGACATATCAAGAAGAGTTCCTATCTTATGCAAGACTACATAGCCCCAGAGGCCGGCCTTCAATTTGCACCTGTCAAGTACTCTATTCGAACAGCTATTTAGTTTTTAGACTATGGTTTTCCTGATTCTCACCGACAGGTTAACACTAATTCGTAAGAGCCTGACGATGATATAGCATTGAAGACGGAAGAATATATATGCTCCGAAACCATTCTTCGAATTGGTACCTAAGTCTAAGTGGGCTTTTTGATTGTCGAATTCGGATTTAGACTAGTGTCCTAGATTTAGAATTGAAGTTGTTTTCCAGTATCTCAACCTCGGACATTATTTGTATGTCGAGGATATTTTCCTTCATAATGGAAATTAGAAGTTGGAAAAAAGTGGTTATGATTGGGATTAACTGTATTTGCATGCCTTCTTCTCATCCCACACAACCCTTTCCCTTCAGCAGAAGATCAATGCATCCTCTGATTGTCCACGTACCGAAGCAAAAATGTCCTGTCCCATATTAACACTAAAGAAGATGTTTCTCCTGCAGCTGAAGAAGGAAATGCTGACAGATACATCTCAAAAGGGAGCTCAGTCTAGGTATTCCATTTCAGGAATCCGAAGGCATTTAGAGCCATATAAAGTTCCGGATCGATACCAATACCCAGCTGGTTGAAGGAAAACTGGTTTGTTGCGCGAATCAAAATTTAATCACCTCTTAGTTCCTTTAAATCACCTTCACACGTGCCGTCGCTGCTCATTTTGTCTTCTCACTAATTAGTCGTAGAACCCTAGTCTTCTCAAAAAAGTAACTTTTGAAATTCAGTTCAAGAAGGTATATTTACACAGATTGTAGAGGAGCATGTCACAGGACTTGAGATAGATTATTTACCTACAGGCCTAAATCTGGCGCTGAGCTAGGAGCTGGATTCTGATATTGACAATGGACTCGCTATGGGCTTCATAATTTCTTCGAAACTGTCTCATATGTTAAATTAAATTACTCATCCATAAAAATACTCTTTGCGCACAAAGAAGAATCTTCAGAATGCGTGGTCGCGCTACATGATTAATGAATTGAAGAGTGTTTGACTAACGCACACAAGTGAGCAGTGATGTGAATTTATATGATGTATAAATGAGTCGTGCTCCTTTATTTACTGCTGATATACCTCCCCTAATCTATGGCCGGCTAAAACAATCAATACATGGGACGGACATGCTGAAGAAGAGTTCCTGAGCTATTAAAATTTTGTGGAAAGCGATTATATCATTGTTCGCTCGTACAATGAGTTACTGGAATTTACTAAAGCAATTACTCATTTTGAGAAATTTGTCCTGGATTATAAACATATCAAGGTTAAAGACTCTAGGATGGAAGAGCGGTGCAAAGAACTCCAATTTTGACAGATTTTCATCATGGATTTGGCGAAAATCTAAGCCGGAACTTACTTGCGAAGTTAAGCCTCCTGTTTTTTAAACGAAAGAAGGGGCAGCGATCGAAGAGCTGCTGATCTCAGGCAAACCTAGACGTGCAACAAATGGTTATAGGCTGATGCCATTCGACCGAGGAGAAGTAAGCGAGCGTAGTGAAGGAGGGAGGGTATTTGACTGTGATGAAGGGGATACAGTTTGCTGATAGCACTCCTAAAAGAATTTTAGTATACACAGTGGGATAAATTCCCTTGGGTTTCAAAATATATCAGGACCCTGTATAGTCGAATACAGGCAATGTAAGATTATAATATTTAAAAGCGGGCAAATCGAGCGGGAGAAGGTAGTGTAAAGTGCATATTCAACATTGAAGCTAAATGATCACGAACGGCTCATTCTTCAATGTCCGCCAAAAAATTGAATGTTATTTTGAGGAAGAACGGATGTCACTATAGGGAGGATCACCTGTGTTTACATTTGAACACAAACAGGAGGTGTATGGGGAAACATCCCGGGTTTTCACGATGCCTCGCAGGCTTGCCAACGGATCCGCAACCTACAGAAGATCCCAAAGTGGCTTCAAAATTATCTCTTCGTGTGCATTCAAACAATTACTATAATTTGCAAATCCATCATTTTCAATTGTTTTTATCCTGCGATTAAATCCTTTACACACAAACCGTAATTTTCTCTGGTTTCTTGTTGAGATGTTATTCATTACTACTCTCTACTCTATGATAAACTCAAACGTTTCAGCAGGTTACAGGCTTAAAAGAGGGGTAGTTTACCCCGCACTTCGCCTGTAAGCCCTTTAAACTAACGCCCAAATATCCCATACATTCAATGGTCTTTCAGCTCGTCTTGGGGCCTTACAATATCTATCATGTCCTTTGAGAGAACCGAGAATTTCTAAAGCTCGTCTATTAATGTCTTTGTATTTAGTTGCAACTGATCACTAGCTGGCCAAATATCGGTGTCTAATCCTAGATATTTGAAGGAGAGGCAGTAGGCTCAGTGACAAAGATCTCTTCAATAGCCATCATTTTGCACAGTTGAGTTCTGCCTGATGAAACTCGCCATGCCATTCAATTCATCTGCCACAACGACATGTCCTAAATCTTCATATAATTTCCACTCAACTTTATACCCAACAGCCTCCAAGACCTTCTTCATATCCTCACCCCATTCTGGCTTTACTTTCCCGTCATTAGTCCCATGAGCCAAGAAAATCCTCATACCTTTTCCGAAAGACTCTGTGCTATCTAGAGGCGACACAGGTGGAAGACCCAACTCACTCCTCAACCACTTTTGAACCAGAATTCTCTTCTCCGTCGAATTTTTCCCAACAGCAGCAACCTCATCAATTTGTCTTCTGAAAGGTAACCAACCACTAAACCCCACAAACCCACCAAACTTCCGCGATAACCCTAATCTATCCAACTCCCCACTCAACAACAAAATCATACTCGTAGCACATCCCTGGCTCAAGCCTCCTACAAAAACATCGAAATTTCCATCACGAGATTTATCTTCCACTACGTCCCGGACGAGCTGACCAAGATATTCCACGCTCTCCTTCAATCCCTCTTTCTGTTGTTGTTCTCCTTTCGTCCGGTCTGCGAAATCGGTAATGTCGAACCAAGCATGGGTTAATTTTCCACCGAATACAGTAGTTTTCCGTAGACTTCCCGATGGGAAAATAAGTTTAGTGTACGGGAGTAGTACATCAAAGTGGACCAGATTTAGGACTTCTTTGGCGAATGCTGTTCCATAGGATGATGTACCGTGGAGAAGAATAAGAGTGTTTTTGTTTACCTCTGGGGATTCGACAATTAATGGTGGTGGACGGATGTCAGATTGTAAAACGGGTGGGGATGCCATTTTGTGTGCGGCGAATATCAAATTAGATACTTGGTGCTCGAAGTAGTTTGTGTTATTTAAGATAATACTTGATAGACCTAAGAGAGAAATAGATAGGAATACTCTAATTACCATCCGCATGACGAACAAATGATGTGATTTGGGGCAAACCTGGTTGAGGTGGGGATTTCCACACATTGCACCTCCTCCTATTGGTTACACTACGTCACGTGAATATATACGTATTTGGACATCGGGGGTTGCTATCTTTTATGCTATTACATCAATTGTATGGCTGTCTGAATGATTGTGATTCTTTGCATAGCTATGAACTTTTCTTCATATTGACTTTCAAGCTGTGCCGTTGATGTATATCTTCACCTCCACTTCGTTACTCCATCCACTGGAAAGCCCAAGTTCCTTCCAAGCCGTCAATGTGTCAATTTCGAGTACATGGGGGTCAGTCTTGCTGATGCTAACTGTGTGACTTGGGAGAATCTTTCCAAGGATGGTGACTAGCAAGTGGTCTTCATACGATATGTTGGGAAGAGTAGAGATGTAGATCCCTGAAAGTCAAATTAGAATCCAAAATTGGTTGATGAATGAATCATACTTACCAAGAGTTCCCAGAGCTTTAACATTCGTGTCAATTGTAATCTTGTCATTCTCAGCCTTCGTCATTTCGCTGCTGACAATCGCTGCCGCCCCAGCCATTTTGCCAAGAAGACCCAGGTTAGCTATCCATGTAGTGTTTTCTTGCCCTTGGTTAACGAACCCGCGCAATGGGTAGGCCGACAAGATATCGTAACCTCTCACATCGAGAGACACGTATATCAAAGCCTCCGAGTCTACTACTTGCATAGGCTTAGAGACAGCCCCACTGGAATGGGCGCGGATGATATAAAATTGTGCCTCCTCAACACCAGGGAACTTGGACAATGGCACTAACTCGCTAAGTGGTCTCTGAGATACATTGAAGAAGCCAATGATTCCAGTTCCTGTATAGGCAGCGCCATGGTACGTCCCAATTGCGAGTATGTGGTCGTCATCGTATCCATTATACGGATCCAGACTCTTGCCAACGACGCTAGGTCTAAAAATAACAGTCTTTCCCCGCGGAGTAGGGCCAGTCATTTGGTTTATAAGGTCAAGATCATGTTGACCAGGCACATCCGTGATGTATATTGGACCACCGCTAACACATCTAGCAGCTGCATGGAAACCAGAATAGTCATGAACGGTTTGAAACATGTCCCAATCTGGAATCAGATTAAGATGTTGTGTAAATAAAGCATTGTGGGCATTGGTAAAGACATGCCATGGGTGACTAGTAGGAATTTCGGGGAAAAAGTCGTCGGAGTTCCGCACGAGGATTGGAGGTCTGTTCTGGGGCAATTGAGAATGAAAGAGGATTTGCGGGATTTGTGACATGCAAGAGATTGCCTTAACACTGAAATGTTGAAGAGTCGAAAGGGTCCACGCATCTTGGTATGCGGATATCAAATCACTACGATCTTGAGCAGACTCAAAGAGATCAAGCATAAATTGGGCACTAGGTTATGTCAGCACAGAAAAGGTAAGCATCAGCCACTTACTCTGTCTTGACAGCATCAACCCCACAGGATGAAAGAAATGAATAAAAATCGTTGTAGAACCTCCGCACATCTTCTTTGGCGACCACTGTCATTTTGCCGCCCAAAGGTAGATTCCGTCTCTCAGAATCTCGCCGAATTACTTCAACTGTTTTGTAAGCCTTGGCAATCTTACCGTCTGAGGCAAGGCCACCCCAATAACCTAAAATTGCGTGCCATACGGCTACATGCTGTATACTAGGCTGTTTTTCTCGGATAAGAGATATAGTGTGCTTCAAGCCATTGGGAAATGCCTCTCTTTCTGCCTCAAACTCAATCCAACCGTGTTGAAACTGACCATGCCCCTGGTAGTCGATGGCTTGCCAATTATCGTCAATGATGAAGTTTGTAACGTTAATCTTATTCTCTGCCAGAATATCAACTGCTTTAAGTATTCTGTCTTCTGTTAATCTTTGTCCAAGTGCATTCCATGTGCCTGGCTCATTGGTTAGAAAATCATATCGAAAGGTTTAGTGAACGCACAATACGTCAAGCCATCACACCAATTTTCAACCCAGACCTTTGTCTTCTCGTCCCCTTCGTTGAGAGCCTCGATCTCCTTTTGTGTTTCACCAGACGCACTCTCGAAAGCTGCAACGACCTCTCTAGCATGGTACATTACGGCCGCGTTAGCCGACTCATAGTCGTCACCGAGCCCAACGAGCACATGAGCAACAGACTCCTTGGCATTGTCGTTTCGAACCTACTTGAATCAAAATCATATTCGTCAAAACCGCAACGTCATAACATACCTCTAGCACGACTCTGCCATCGCTGTCACTCTTGAACAGAGTCATCACGTCGTTAACTCCACTGATAGCCAGTAAAACAATGTGCTTGCCTTCTGAGCTTAAAAAAGAGCAGGTTACGGCCTCTTTATCAAGGTCAAAATGAGTCTTTCCTTGTCGGGGTGCTAGCCAGGGAGTCCAGATACGGATAAGAGCAAACCATCTAGTTAAATTAGTAAAGAGTGAGCCACGATCACTAACGGAGTGTTGAACCGACCTTGCCAACTTGTCTTGTCCCCAAGGAAGCCCAAATTTGATGTCCTTTATAGTGGAATCTTTCCCAGCAGCTCCTTCAATCGGAACTTGTACAGACCAAAGAGTGGTGCCGGGAGACTGGCTTCGGTGGTTTTTTGCCTCTAAGGCTGGATTCAAATTCTCAACATAATCAGATAATTTACTTGAAATATTTTCTTGGGAAGTAACTGTTTTTAGAATTATCGAACCATTTGGCATTCCCTGATGGTCCTTCACGAGATTCCAAGATTGAGTAGAGTTGCTTCGAAACTTCACTGTAAAATTTGTAGGGAGACGAGAGGGGAGAGATGTTTTGAAGTATAACCGATGGAGTCCCAAAGGTGCCACGGTTTGCAGGATTGTTGGTAGGGGAACTGTTTCCTTTATGGGCTCCATCGGAGACTCTAGCCATTGATCTCCATCACTGTAAAGAAGTGACAGTTCCCATGGTTCTTTGGCACGACTTTCATCAACCTCCAACAAAGCGGTAATGACTTTTGTAAGGTCGAGGATGGTTGTCTGCTGGCCCAAAGGTGGATAAGTTGAGATGTATGCCTTCATACTCGGGTGGTCTAAAGGCAAAGGACCTTTTTGTTTTGGAATATATTTCGCCTGAAAAACTTCGTTACCATCAGCTCCGCTGATGAATGTTTCTGATTCAGCCATTTTGGACTCGGGAGATTGAATGAGGATGAATTATAGTGAAGTTAAAGCAGTTTTGAAGGAAGTATCACGCAATAGTACTGAACAATAAGGAGGCAGTTGGGAAGGATGGAGGTATTTCAAGTTAAGAAAGTCAATGTCAATATACAAGATTGAAAGGGTAGGAGGGAATGGAGAGTGATGAAAGGAGTTCTTGTCAAACCCGTGATCACAAGTGAATCTTTATAGTCTTTTTCTCACAATATGGTTGGATGGATGAATTGACAATGAATTTCATCCAGCTGTCAAGTTGTCCATGGCATCTTTTCCGTACCAATGACCGATGTAGTGTGATGGAGGTCGATCTTCCGAGTCGCCAAATGTGGAGGGGCACAGAGGCACTAATGCGAAACCCCCTGACTCGTGGCGCTTCATCAAATTTTATTGGCTCATGTTTCCGGATTATCGGATAAACTTAACACCGCTCGCCGTGAAATTTATTTTGGCCCGCATGAATTGTTCAGATTGTATGTAGTAGGATATTGTCAAATTCTTCGCTCAAGTAATTGATCTCCTCGCTGACTTCATTGGGTCTCGTCTTCTCTTCTTGAGGCTCTCCATGCGTTCGTGAGTTTTAGCCTCTAGGCCAATAAGATGGCAACGACTTCTCTCCTTCGGCGTTCGGCTCGACCTGACCTTTACGTTTGCGCAAGATGCGCGTTTAAAGCGTCTCTAAATTCGAATAAATCGTCGAGAAGATGGATTGGAACAAAATACTTAGCTAAAGTGGCAGATGCGGAACTAGAGTGGGCAAAAAAGGCCGCGGATATTAAGGCAGGGAAGACGAAGAGCATGCTCTCAATCCTGGAGGAGCGAGGATATGTACATCAAATAACAGGGTGAATAAATACATGAGTTCGACTTATGCTGCGGGAAGATATTAACTTTTGTCCCAGTTCGAGAGACGAGGTCGATCGTATGATGACAGACAAGCGGCTTGGTGCATATGTGGGCGTAGATCCAACTGCGCCTTCACTTCACGTCGGCCACTTATTACCTCTCATGTCCCTGTTTTGGATGTATGTACATGGTTACCACACGGTATCACTGCTCGGGGGCGCAACTGCAAAAATTGGTGATCCGACCGATCGCTTGACGACGAGAGAGAAAATGAAGAGTACAACCAGGAATGAGAACATATTGAAGATGCATTATCAAATGAAAGGTATGTGGCTAAACGTTGAGGCATATGGAAGAAAACACGGATACAAATGGGAATGGGCATGGAAAAGGGGTTTGGTCAACAATAACGCCTGGATGAATGGCTTGACGGTGATGGAGCTTCTGCAAGTCCTCGGGCCAGGTATGAGAATGGGTGCGATGATTGCAAAAGACACGTGAGTACACTCGATCTATACGTCTGCGAAGCCCTAACTAACACTCATAGTGTCAAGAATAAGATGAATAAAGGAGATGGCATGTCATATGCTGAGTTTACGTATCCTTTGTTGCAGTCATGGGACTGGTGGCATATGTACAATACGAAAGGCATAACGATGCAGATTGGTGGCTCTGATCAATACGGAAACATCACCGCTGGTGTTGATGCTGTCAAATACATTCTAGCAAACCATCCTGACCCTGTCATCAAGGAGCAACACGAGAAAGCAACGCCGCCTTTTGGATTTACAGTTCCTCTCTTAACTACATCATCAGGAGCGAAATTTGGAAAGAGCGCTGGAAATGCTTTATGGCTGGATAAGGACATGATGAGTTCGTTCGATTTGTATGGGCATTTTCTTCGTACATCAGATCAAGATGTAGAAAAATACCTTAAACTTTTCACATTCTTGCCTGTCGAGGAAATCACTAAATTAATGGAGGAACACATGAAGGCACCTTCTCAACGACAAGCTCAACACAAATTAGCGCGAGATTTTCTCGAACTCGTTCACGGGGAACCTGCGGCCAAGGCCGCCGAGCTTCAGCACCGACTTCTTTTCAGCAAATCGAATAACCCGGAGAATTTAGAGAAGTTGCAGAATGATTTAAGGTTGGCCGAGCACAAAGCGGTATCTTACCAGACGGGTACCAACGCATCCCACAGACCCAGTGCAGATCTTAAGTTACCACGATCTTTCGTCATGTCCAGAAGTATTCCAAGAATTGTAGTCGCCGCCGGCCTTTGTGACACAAATTCGGAAGCTAATCGCCTTTGTGGTGCCGCTGGACTTTATATCGGTGGAGCTAGGCCTTTGGGATATATAGGAAAGGACGATGCCTTAGTCTTCACACCGATTAAAAGATGGCAAAATGAGGATACCCATCACTACGTCATCGATGGTTCAATGCTTGTTCTTCGACGTGGTAAATCTAACATTCGAATCATCAAAATCGTCCCAGATGAAGAGTACATTGCAGAAGGTTTGTCATTCCCTGGTAATGAAGATTGGATCAAGCAGAAAATGCCAAAGAAATTGAACGAAGAGGGCGAAATAATTGAGGAGGAAAAAAACCCAAATATAGATGTGAATGGTGTCGACAGATCAAACAGAGAGGAGATCAAGCGGTTGAGAGCGGAAAGGAGAGCTCGATCGCATGAGACTTCGAAGCAGAGATGGCAGGACAAGGATTTAAGGCGCCATGAGCGGATGCAGCTGCTTCAAGCTGACCTGAGAGAGACAAATCAACTCTCATCGGAAAAGGTAGAGCTGGATGATTTGGTGAAGAGGGTGAAGTCAGATGTATCACCTCGGGACCATGATCTTTTAATTAGAAAGATAGATTCGGATGCAACTGAGAGCTAGTAAGATCCACTACAAGGCGATAAAAAAAAGTCGATGAGTCAAAAATTTAGCACAATTAACTGTGCGATTATGTATTTATAAATGTATATCCACCTGATGAATCTCACGTGTGCCTCCTTAATTGTTGCCAGTTTGTGAAGGCGCAAGTTGGAAAGTTTGAGATACCAAGTCTATATGGGTCGAGACTCAGTCCAACTTTTTCCTCTCAACTGTTCAGAATGAATTTTGTTAAGAGGCCTGCCGGGGATGGTGTATAAAGTTTCAGATTTCAAGATTCGTTGGCAATTATATCACATTCAATTTGGGTTGCATACCACATCAGTGCAAGGACTCAACACAGAGGCTATCTACATTGCCACCAACGACGCCGGGAAAGCCCTCCAGACTCGTAGAGATAATTTTGAAGAGCGGAATATTTTCTATATTTTTTCCCATGCGTTGTATACATCTATAATATCTTATGTGCTTCTAATGCGACAATACCGCGCGTAGATACAGTCCCATGATTCCAAGTTTTCTGCCTCTAATTCGGCAGTCCATTACCATTAACAACAGCAGCCTCACCAACACCTCCCGCTTTCCCATTCATCATAACAGCATTGACATTTTGCTTCCTAGCCTTTCCATCTCGAAGCTCTTCAGTCGTCTCCACCAATATCTCAAAGGCTCTTCGAATATACTTTTCCTCCGCCTTCTCGTTCGCACTCACAACGCGAATCGCATATGTACCAGCCACAACGGCAGAGGTTAAATAAATCTCGCCCCGTTTATTGATGAGCTCATATACTTCTTTCGTGATACTATTCTGGGCATCGATGCCTTGCGACTTGGGAACAATATTAAGGACTGTGAGAGCGAAGCTCGGGCCGGTAATTATGTGGAATAGATCTCCTCTCGTTTTCAGCAAACCAGCAAATAATTCTCCGAATTTCACATGCTTGCGAATATGTTCTTGGAGTCCCTTCACTCCATATGTTCGTAAGACAAACCAGATTTTTAAACTTCGGAATCTTCTTCCGAGAGGAATTTGCCAGTCTCGATAGTCGGTAACGAGTCCGCTCTCTGAAAATTCGTTGCGGAGATAACTGGGCGTTATTGATAGTGCATCGACCAAATCTTTGCGTTTCTTGACATAGAGACAAGAAGCATCGAAATTGGTGAGGAGCCATTTGTGCATATTCATATTGAATGAATGGAAATGCTGGAAAGAAGATGTAAAATGATGGTACTCAGGACAAACTAAAGCTGCACCAGCGTATGCAGCATCAATGTGAACCCAGACTTCGCCAGGGACATCTGGAGGTGCGAATTTTGATAGGACTGAAGCGATGGATTCGAAGTCATCAACAGCGCAGGTGGAGGTTGTTCCCAATGCTGCAGTAAGAAAGAATGGCTCCAACCCTTGAGATCTGCATTCTTCCAATACTTTCTCAAGATCTTCACCAGTCATCCCAAAATCATTGGAAGCGAGTGCTGGAACAGATCGGAATCTAACACCAGCTATCTGCGTTGCTTTTTGGGTAGAGCTGTGTACCATTTCACTGCCCAATACAACCAGCTTACTCCTCTTGTGTGCAATAGCATCCTCAAGTTCAAGGCCGGATAGACCTGCAGTTGTTTCACGAAGATATTTGTCTCGAGCTGCGACCATGACGGTGACAATCGCTTCAGAAGCTGATCCTTGAATAACGCCACCTCCATAAGTCGAAGACATATAACATTCAGGTAGATTGAAGAGCTTGGCTAACCAATCCATTACAACTGTCTCCAATTCTGTTACCGAAGGAGAACAGATCCAGTTGAAAGCGGGGGCAGTGAAGGCTGCTGAGTATAGCTCGGCGAGCATTGCAGGATAGGTCGACGAAGCCGGGAAGAAAGCCATGAAATTTGGTGATTGCCTGACGATATCAGTACCCAGATAAGGATTCGAAGGCAAAAGCATAACTTACCAATGTGTCAAGCCAGGCATAATTTTGGACTCGATATCTTTCTGGATATCTGCCCATGACTCACCTTCTTGAGGTGGTCCATCGGGAAGAAGTTTTTTCAGATAACCAGGCTCAACCGTAGAGAGTACCCTCCGTTCGTGGATATTATCATAGTATTGAATTACTAGGTAGGACCGTTAGAATATGGTACTCAAGCCTGAAGAACCATCACTCACTCTCATCAATGGCTGATGTCGCCGCCACTTTAAACTGTTGTGAATCCATTTTTTTTTAATATGTGGGCAAAAGTGTACGTAAAGGAGGGAGTGGCAAGATGTGAAGTTTTATAGAAAACCAAAATTGCCTCAAATTTCTTCTTTCGATAATGAAAGATTGTCGGCTCGTCACGATGTCTTTAAAGGGCGTGTACATCTGTTGTACTGCACATGTTTTTGACATGTATGGACAACATGTCCCGTCCCACTATTGACCCTTGAGTCGTCAATTAGCGGGAGGTATGAGCGGGGAGGATGGGATCTGCTCCGCTTTGCTGGGTCATGTCTTCTGAAAACGGTTCGGATAAACTACCTACCGTCGAAGAACTTCGTCTCCCAAAAACGGGACCCGAGTATAACGGGGTATAAATCGGAAGCCGAACCTTATATCCAAGTCTATTGAACCTTATATCCAAAAATCGTACGAAACATCACGCAATATGACAAATGGCTGGTAAGACGTGTTTCTGGATATTTGGTATTTGTCTTACTGAATGTAACGTTGAAGTGTCGAAGCAAAGGAACGGTCAACGTGGTTGAAAAAGTTCTACGCCATTGCCAGCCACATTGATTTCCCATCATTTTCCAAATAAATCGAGCACTCATACATCTACATGAACGGAAGAGAGTGATCGACATCGATATTGGGTGGTATTCCAAACGGATCTGAACATAGAAATAATAACGTTTCATTTCGATTTGATTAGTGTGGAATATTTTGTATAGTAGCAGCCGGAAGAAAGTTTCCTATCGAAGATCAGCATGAAGAGCTTCATCACAGCTTCATTGCATCGCGTCCAATTTACCATATAGAACCTTTAAAAATTCATCCTTCTCTGTCGTTAACCCTCTTAATTGGACAATGTCTACAATCTCATGAAAAAATAATCCAGCTGTAAAGTTAGCCGGACCACCTTTCAAGTACCATGGTCCTAAATTTGAATATATTCGTGGAGAGAGGTAAGAAGCAACATATCTCCTCTCGCTGCACAACTGGAATGCACCAGACTTCCCAAAAGCTATTGGTAAAATTACTAAATATCATTACTCTCCTGTCCTGCCGCTGTTAGTGCAATCGTCTCTGTATGCAACAATCTCGACATCTGGCGGTGTACATATTTCGCAGATCTCCCAAATAATGCATTCACAACAGGATATTGGGGCTGAGATTTATCCTCTATTTGGTAACATGTAAGAGGACTTCTGATTTTTAAAGAGATATATAATTGATGAGATTCCAATTGGACGGTATACAAAGGGAGCCTGAGTGACTTTTGCCGAGGATCCTCAAAGGGGCTTGAGAGTGTGGATGGCCACTTGTCGCTATTGAGAAAGATAAGATGCTTTGACTTGTCTAGGGCATTGTTACGACACAGCTTAATCTTTGATCCTTGGCTTTCTGTGATTTTTACGTATTACTTAACCTGTTTGACTTATCCAACTTTTTCTCTATTGTGCACAGGTATTGATTTTGTGCAGTATCCTTTATTTGTAGAATTTTAAGAAAGAACTGCTTCCAATTATTGCACTATCGGTGGCCAAAAGCATCTCATGTAATGTCCTGGCGATGTGTAGATCGATTAAAAAATTTGTCATAATGCGAGATATACTTCCCAAACCTTACTTGAAAGTTACATCCGAAGGCGGCACGTAGTGCCCGTTAGGACCGGGCATTGAGATCTGTACACAACTGAGTATTCCATTAAATTTCAATATTCATGTCTGTGAGAAATGCATCATCTTGGTCGACTGAAGAATTATATTCCATATTGTCCAGATGTTCCCAAATGGCATACTGTATGTAAACTAAAATATATATCGCAATGCGGCATCTATAGCCCAATTTCACACAAATTCTCCCGTTGAGCCTCTTCGAGTAATTCTAAAAAGACTAGTATCTAAAGACAAAAGGAGTCTTCAAGCCTTGAGCCTCATTAGCTCTATTTGGAGCTGGAGGGCTTATCCTCCAGAACTATCTCCCCCCATTTAAAAGGAAGTTTCAACAATAACAATTTCTTTGGCTTAGAAGAGTCTTCAGACTGAATCCTATACTCCTCACCCTCTTCAAGCCCCCCTTCCATCTCGTCAATCTCCTCCTCAGATGGCTCTTCAGCCATCCGCTTCATCTCCTCCATGTCACGATTAATGTTGTACGCTGATGAAGATTTTGGACGCTCCTCCTCACACTTCTGAATCGCTTCATCCCTCCCAACTGACCCCGGACAGTCGCAACAGAGTTTTAAGGTTGTGAAGGCAGCCCTGATTATACAACCTTCTACAGTACAGCACCACCAACCTTCTTTCTTATCTATTGGATCTCTTTCTCCCTCGACCTGGCCATCTGGAAAAACATCACAAGGACTGCGCATTTCGGGACATATACGCTCGCCTATACTATGGGCACCGACGGGACAGTTTGCATATGTACACTTCCACCATCCTTTAGGGAAATGTTTAAATGCGTCCTTAAATGGCAACACCTTTGGCTCGGGGCATTTTGGGATGATGCCTCTGACTCTCTTGAGATTTATTGAATGTCTTCTTTGACGGCATTCCAGTTGACTCTGTCTCTTTGCCTCGGCGGATTCGGGGTCGATGGGCCCAGGCACGACATTCTGGTTGTTTTCGTACGGATCACTGCCGCGAGGGACCTTGGACATGGTGAAGTATAACGTGGTTGGTGTGTGGGAGTTACGAGCCAAGGGACTTGGTGAACGAAGAACCAGCTGCGATTCGACCTGGATTCGGTTTTGTATTCGTAGGATTGGTAGGTTTGGTAGGTTTCTATGGTTCTTGAAAGTGTTATCGATGAGAAGAATGGTTGTAGCAAAGGGGGGTATCTGGATCTATTTAAGCACATCTGGGGAGGTTAGCCAGGCATCAAATGACTGTAGAATAAAGGTAGAATAGCTGCAGAATGATTGGAATAATCATTAGATGGCTCAAAATTATGGATAATGACCGTACTGGCGATAAAATGACTGCCACATAACTGCGGAACAGAGGTAAAATGACTTGAATGAAGGGTTGGCTGTTTTGGATACGCAATGACTGGTGGTTACGCATCTTAGCAGCAAATGAGCAAAATGGTTGTGTGCAATGATTGTGAATTGGTCGTAGCATACAGGAAGAAGGGCTTCGGAATGACTAGAATCATTATGAAATGACGGTAAAATGACGGTAAAATGGTATATATATTGACTGTTCTGATCTTGGAAAGACTGGAATGATTACAAAATGGGCCTATAACGAATGCCTGGAATGACTATGATTTCGTTGCAAAATGAGTGTGAAGGTACTGCAGAATGGCTTTGCAAGGTCAACTGCAATGATAGGTAGTACGGATAATAGGTAGTATGAATGATAGACAACATGAATGATAAGTAGTATGAATGACGAATGGCTGCAGAAGTTAAAATTTTCGAGGCATAATATTTTGAAATCCCTCGAACAGGTGAATATATTGTACGAGGCTGGGGTGTGAGGCTGGTCATAGTTCAAATGTTAAATTCTAGCTGGGGAATTGGGGATCTGTCGTCTTAGATAGTTAGACGGGAAATCCTTATTGTTCATATTCAGAGTATACATTGCATTGCATTGATATTTCCAAAGCTCTGGGACTACTAGTACTATATATTCAAGACGATAATGGATATCGAAACATTCTGCTTTAGACTATTTGATCTGAAGCAGTTCATTGTTTGGAGTTCAACGGAAACCAAACTAGTCCTCTGCAAGCTACTTTGGTGAGATAACTTACCTAATTTACGAGTTTTTAGTGTTTTCTGGCTTGATCTTACTCTGCAAAAAATTTCACCTCGAACGCTGAGGTTGATGCAGGTATAATGGTTACAGTCTAGACTTCGAATTTCGATGACCGTTCCCTATTCTTTCAGCCCTATAAGCCTTGCTTCAAGAGACATTTTTTATAGAGACTCCAATTTTAAATCTTCGGAAAATGATCATGATTGTTCATATAGGAGTTTAGAGTGGGATAAAAAATCTCACGGAAATTCCAATTTTCTGACTTAATGCTCCAATGATGGCCAGAAAATACAACTTAATCTTAAGTCTGAAGCAGGAAAATATTCGATGCACAAATTTTAACAGTGAAGTTGGACCTGAGTGACCAGATGTAGTTCAAAGAGCAGGAGTAGGTAATACGGCTCGCAATGTTGAAGGCAGAATTTGATCGCTTTTGTGCTTTTACTTTCTTTTCTTCCAATATCTCTACCATCTTAGTATAGAGCGGATTACGTTGTTTCCAGAATGACTGTGTTTTAGAATTGAAGAGTCCGAAAAGGAAGAAGATCAGTTTCGGCCTGACTGCTGTTACTTCAGTGGAATGTTTACCAGGCAGTAGTGGGCATTTATGCGGAAGAGGAGAGAAACCGTTGGCAACGAGAGCTTCTACCTATCCCCCCCTTCCGAGGACATCCCAAGCATTCCACTTAGTATTGAATGCTCTGTAGATTTCATCCACTACCCTCGTCCCGCGCCTCAATGAGAGTAGGAGAGAGAGTAAGGGAAGAATTTTTCACCATCCCTTATATCTTGGGATACTTGAAACCATGGAGCGTGGAGAATTCGAATAGTGGATTACTGCTCTAGTTTTGAGGGAGGTAATTTTCGAAATATTTAAATCCGGTAACCGCGATCAAACAATGTAACTTTCTACTGTTCAATGATAGCCAGTAAAACAAATAATGCATAAAGCTTGATGTCTATATATCTAGTTCTCATCAAAACAACATGCCATAGATGTACCACGTTAATACACAAGTCCGGTACAATGGAGACTATCTCATTTCCGAAGGGATCCAACGAGAACTATATGCTTGCACGATCCTGGAACCTAAATATGGTCCAAACAATAAGATTATATACTATTGGAAGATTGTAGTCGACCCGGACAAAGCTAAACCCAACATTCCTCTGATTACTTAATCCGGAACACGGGGTATGCCCATCCGAGCTACCCCTCATTATTACAAACCCATCTCCAGCTCACTTGCAGCTTCCCTCGAGCTCAAGATTATAAACTTACCATCACTCATTAACCATTAAACACTTGTAGTATATATCGTCACACGCAGATACAACAATGCCATCAGGAAAAGCGACCGCAACAATTAACGGCCATACTATTGCCGAGACAGATAATTGGGAAGTTGTGGAGGGGAATGTATATGTATGTGGCCATTTTTCAAAGATCTGCTGTCATACTAATAGTACAGTTTCCACCATCGTGAGTTACCTAGTAAACATTTCAATTTGAATGTTGGATTCTGATGGTTTAGCTCTCTGAACCAAGCTATGCTCTCCAAGACAGACCATAGTACACATTGTCCTTGGAAAGGTGATGCCTCCTACTATACCATTACGTCTGATAGTGAGTCCTTAGAGTCTCTACTTACATGGAAAGCCGTTGATCTGGCATAGAAACGGTGTTGAAAAATGCAGCATGGTATTATCCGACCCCGTTCGAAAAGGCTCAGAATATCAAGGACTATGTTGCTTTCTGTAAGTCATTTCATTAAAATCAGGAGAAACCCGCAAGATTAACGGCCCTATAGATAAAAATCTGGTTGACGTGAAGGCGGAAGAGCAGTGAGGGCTGGTGATTTGACGATGGATTACTCGGAAACGCAATTGAGGCGTGGAGAATAATTGAGGGGCGTCTTTCCTGATTTGTTGAGCAGTGGATTGATTAAATAGCAGAATGTGATGCTTCGTGTTTGAATCTTCCTTTGGGCCTATATACTGATGTGAGAGATTTCTTTTTAAGTAAAAAAGCGTCGAGAGATCGTCTTGTTTTCTTGTCTCATCCACAGAAAATTATTCTTCATGGTGACGCCCAATGTCCCAATAGACTGGCTAGCAGGTCATTCAACATGCTTTGGACCACTAAGTGGCATCCTCGCACTTTGCTAGAAAGCGTATCATTTGCTCTCTCCAATCCCACAACATATTGCGGAGTAGCACGGAGGTCGTGTTTGTGAAATTTCTCCTATATTCTCCATAGGAAGCTGCGCTGTTAACCATCGTACCAAACAAGTTAGTTGCACAAGCTTCTTGCCCTGTAAAATCTGCAATCTAGAGCCCAATCGAAATGGAACGAACCCCGCCATAGACAGGTTATCAACCTCCGAACTGAACGATCTTGTGCTCCTCAATATTGCTACAGTATGGCTTAAACGTGCTTGCTTGAGCCTTAGGGCGGAGGTACAACAAGCTCGTCGCACTTTGCTTTTCTGGCAACAGAACAGGCATTTTAAGAACATGTTCATTTTGCAATACTTGGTCAAGCTAGTATTGACCGTGAAGGGAAATCGAGTTGATCCTCAGGAGAATCAAATTGATGTCGACGGCAACGGCTTCTGTATATTTTCCCAGGCTGAATATCGCGTAGGTTTTCGGTCATAATTCAATGAATGGTTGAAACTTGGGCATTGAGTCCATAGCTGATCCAGGAATATTCGACTACATGTTTCTTATGTTTGATTGTGAGAATAATCAAATTTTTAAACAAATTCAAAGTGACTTTCCGGATACTTGAAAACAACCTGAGAAAAAAAGTTGATGGAATTCGCAGCGGCGACAAAGCGGAGAAGCACCAGCATGGGCCCTGAAAAGCTCAAAGAAAACACGCTAAACACGCCAAAATTAACCCACGATCACTAAACGCGTCACCCCGCGTCTCTACATTTATCAAAATCAATCAATTGCCACACGACACAGAAGTATCACTAATTTTTACCAGAGAACCGGTCATGGACGACGCTCTAGAGGGATATGATGATACTAATCGTGCATTCCTTCAAGCATTATTGGCACGAGGTAGTTTAGATCTGGAGGAGGGCAAAGAACTGCTCGCTCGCATTTTCACAGTTAAAGATGGTAATTTATTTCCTCAGAACAAGCCTGTCTTTGTGGAAAACTAACATTCATCTCTAAGAAGGACGAGTTACTTCCAAAGACGATGTCACATTGGATGATTTAAAATCCTATATAGCCAGCGCAGCTCAAGCTCTCTCACCGTTCGATTACGAGATTAGAAGCATGAGACATCAACTCTCAAACAAACAAACCTGGGCTCTCGTGAACAGTGCCAGCGATCCTCTCACCCAACTTGCGACGACTTTTACAACCGAAGAAATGTTCTATATCAAGCGCCTGTTGGATGCTATGTTTGAATCATTCAATACTAAGGGAAAGGAGGTCATGGCCATTAAAAGTACGCAAGCTATGCATTCGTCAATTATCGGAGGATCCGGTCGGCAGAGCATAGGCGATGATGATATGCAGATTGTGGATAACGGTGTCAAGAGATCAGATGCAGAGAGAATACTGTCGGAATTGATGGCGCAAGGGTGGTTCGAACGGAGCGGACGAGGATACTATTCTTTGACACCTCGCGCAATACTGGAGCTTCGAAGCTGGCTTATCGATACATACAACGATTCAGACGATCCCGATGAGTGGCAACCTATTAAAAACTGCCAAGCATGCAAAGGGATCGTCACAATTGGATTAAGATGTTCGAGGAGAGATTGCAATGTGCGACTACATAAGACATGTCAATCTGCGTATTTTAATTCGCGAACCAATAAGAATTGTCCAAAGTGCGAGACGGAGTGGGATGGAAAGAATTATGTCGGAGAAGAGGTGTTTACATCGACAGAAGATAATTTGAGGGAAAACCGAAGAAGCAGTGCTTCTTCACGACGAAGAGGAGCCCCTGTCGAGGAGGAGGAGGGGGAAGAAGAGGACGAAGAAGAATAAATCTAGAAACGGCACAGATGGCGTTCATGGCGATTTTTGGTATTTACGATATCCCATGCGGTTAAAAGGGTTTGGACTGCTGGTGGTACACTAGGAACGATCTCTTAGACGATAAGTCAAACTTCAAAAGTACTCCCTGCATCACTTATTAATTAATATCCTGGTGCAACCATGCTCAGCTGAATCGAGTACTTTGCCGATTCTGCGCAGTCTAAGTGTCAGCCTTGTTTGGCAATTGGAAAAACATCTGTCATCTTTATGGAATATTTTTTTGTATTCTCAATGACACTCATTGTGTTTCATTGCTTTCCTTAACATTGTGAGGAGATGAAGCGATATTCTTACGACCCTCTCGATTCATCCGTGGATGGGATTCGAGTAAGTGTTTGGCCCAATGTAATCAAGGCATGAATGCTGGCTGACTTGCCAGCTCCTGCATCTATTACCAGGGCTGGGTGCAAAGCAGCCTCGTTGTCTTCTTAAGCATGTAACCTTCGGTGAACGTCCAAAGTACAATGCTATTTCCTATACATGGGGTCATGAAGCTCGCCAACAACCCATTGTTGTCAATGATCAACATTTCCTTGTCACGAACAATCTTTACGATTCACTTGTCTGCTTACAGCAGCAAAGTACTGAAGGACTAGTTCTTTGGGTGGATGCTATATGCATAAATCAAGATGATATTGCGGAGCGGAATCGTCAATTGACAATCATGCCTTACATCTATGAGCGTGCAAAGCTTGTGGTACTTTGGTTAAGAAATGACCAGCATATAATCCTTCCAGTTTGGCCAGAGCCGAGGAAGATACCGCCGTTTGAGATCTCAGGACATACTCAACAATACGAAGATCAACGACTACTATTCAACTATTTGATGATGATATGTTCAAATGAGTACTGGAATAGACTTTGGATTATTCAAGAGATTGGGAAAGCTAGAAAACTGGTTATCTCTTTTGGACAAGACCTCATAGACTGGAAACGGTTTATGGAAACAATCATCCTTTCATGGCCATATCCCGGGTGGATTGTGGAAGAAATCATGGAAGACACAGTGGACCCGTTTGAACCAAGGCTTCCAAGAACCGCATTTTCGGATACGGTTCCGTGGAAACTATATCATCAATTATTGAAGAAATATGATGGCGGTCACAAACTACACAACCTTATGGTCAATCACCGTCATGCTTTGTGTAAAGAACCAAGAGATAAGGTATATGGATTGATTGGTCTGGCTACGGATTGCTATGCAGGATTTCCTTTGGATTATCGGAAAACACTATACGAAGTCTGGAAGGATACAGTAATATTCAAAAATTCCGACACTCAAGTTCATCAGGGTGATATCTTGAAGTTTAGTAAACTGGTTCGGGACTCTCTTGGTGGCCCAGGTATTACGACGATAAAGGAAATTTCCCAAGACGCTTTTTTGAAGATGCCTCAGAAGGAGAATCGCGATCGATGTCTCAAAGACAATAATCCTACGGTGTTAAAAATTCCTGCTCGTCTAGTGGGTCAAATTGTGCATCTGGGTCCCTCACATGTACAAATAATGACCGACCTTTCCAAAACCGCCGACTGGAGGTTGAATATACAGCACCATCTCCCTAAAGAAGTGCAAGCTAGCGTTCAGGAAGAAAGTGACTTGTTTTTGGAATCACTAGAAGATTTGGACGAAACCGACCTCAAAATCGTGTCTACATGTGACTTTGAAGTTTCATGGCATCCAGAAATTATGCCTCAAGGTCTGTCCGACCCGAATATAATATCCAAGAAATTAGCTTTCGAGAATGAGCCTTTGTTGCGCGACCGTTTTCCTCATTCATCATCAGATGTGCGGCAATCCCTTTCCAGGTCTCCAGTAGAAGGAGCACGTTTATTTCTTTTGAACAATTCGATTAAGAAACTTCCAGGCTTAGATGGGACGCGTGCAACATCATCGGATACACCTGGAAACATGGGCCTTGGACCGGCAGCAGCTCGTGTGGGTGATTACTTGTGTGAAATTGTTGGGATCAAGAGGGCTGCGATTATAAGGAGGAGCAAGAATAAATTAAGCTTCATCGGAACTGCTGGATTGGCGCAGCAGGCACAACATGCTCGGAAAGGTATAAAGTCCACACTCGGCGAAACTTTTTCTCCATTTAGCCTGCCAAAATTCGAGCACTCGGTGCTAGATGATATGGTGGATCTGTATCTTTATGTACCTCTGGCATATCAGCTCTTAGATTAGCTCATCTTTGTTCGCTAGACTGCATCCTGTCCAGGGATTATTTATGCCAGAATAGGAGGTTATATACTGACGTAGGGAGGGGCGGACACCCCAATTACAAGATGAATACCAGAGAGGTCTTCTTGAAGTGGCACTAGATTTGAGTTGAGTGCATTTCACCGCAAGCTACTCCTTCGCCCACTTGCGAATGCTCTAAAATCAGCCTCTATACTCGGCCCCTTCTCGTAGGACTTCAAAATTTTGCGGTAGAATTTATATGAAGTAGGCTTGCTAAGCCATCACCTATGAGTTTTTAGCAGAAGTCCTTCACCATGTTCTTAGAGCGGGTTTGGAATATTATATTAATTAGTATTGAAATTGACCCTTTGATATAATCCGTGCAACACACACACACAAATGATTAATAAAGTTTCATTGAAATTCGTATCATTTATTAAAAAGTTTTATAAGACAGACAGACCTGTCCGTTATCCATCCATCCATCCATATCATAAACCTCAAATTAAAAATAAAAGTAAAGAGTCAAAACGAAACTCCCTCGCGTGGGGTCGAACCACGAACCTAGAGGGATAAGTTAACCGATGTTTTTTCGGCGTCGCTAATTATATCCATGTTACAGTTTTCTGTGACAAAGTTTGAAATATGTGAAGCCTCTGTTTAGGAAATGCTTCATAATGTAAGATTTTATTCAGTCTAAAATGAAAAGAGATATTTTGTATGAGAAGCCTTCAGAATCTATTGTAACCAAAATCCAAAGGTAAAAAAGATGCAAGGGCCGCAAACCATTAATAAATACAACATGCATTCATAGCCAAAGCCCAACAACAACTTTTTGCACTCATCCCCTTTCTTCACCGTAAACACAACTATATCTCTATCCTCCCAGTCCAAATTTTCTGTCCGTAACTTGGACTTGGGCTTTTATTTCCTTAGAGAATAGAATCATGCGTGTAACCTTGACGAGAATTTTATTCCCAGAAGGCCATGCCATGCCTTTTCGTCTCAGAGGTCCTGTTAACTTTTTGTTCTCCTCAATTAGATCCTTAGAAGGATTTTAGATTACCCCTAATTTTGTCCTTTGATCATATACAGTTAAGCCAGCATTTTCTCAGCAGCCAAGTCCGCGACTTTGTAGATACGGTTAGCTTCATGATATTGGCTCCCTTCTCTCTCTATACGATTGATTGAGGAGGTCGTTTTGAAACCGTTGCTGCCGATTTTTATATATACTTTAGTTTTCAATCAGCAGCATTGCTTTTATAGTCATCTTCCAAGCCCAGCGAGGCCCGTATAACCTGTTAATTCACCTCCCGAATCGTTCTCGATGTCGTAAGCTTAAGTCTATTTTCCGATGAACCGTATACTGTGTAGGAAAAGAACTTTAGTGCCAGAGAAATGAGCTTGGGGATGACAAGCTTGAATTCAAAAAACATAAACAGGGAACATTTGATTCGAGGAAGAGATAACTGTGGATAGGAAAAACGTTAGTGGACTTGAATGATGAGAGAAAAAGTGAATAGAGGCAAGAATAAAATCGATCTCTGTTCTTTGCTGAAGGAAAAAGACTTGTGGCTTTGAGAGAATGACTTGCAATTGCCGCTTCGGGAAGTTTCTGAGTGGTATAAAGGGAATGGTTGAGAATATGAAGAAAAGACTAAAAAACGGGGCTTTAAACGAATCAAGAAATTTCTCGTTGAGAATTGAAACACGAGGGACTCTGTGACCACTGTGTAAAACTTTGAATATCGAGATGCTTTTCAAAGAATAGTGTTTTAGTACGGCCTCAACTTAATATCTATCAGTATACAAAATCTTAACACCTGGTTCGAGTAAAACTCATACTTTCTTAATAGCATCACTCACATTGGAAAAATAGATATCCTATTGAATCAGCTCAAGTCTTTTATATCGATTTTCCTCAGACCTCTCAAGACAATAAGCATGACCATATATTTGCTAGCCATTAATCTGGTTTGAGAAAAGTTACTAACTACTTTTGACCGGGCTACTTACTCATCTAATTATTCTATAAAAATTCAAGTCTTACAATAGAGTCTGGATTCATAATTCACTCAAATTCATAAATGATGATTGGTGAACTTCCCTGCTTTGCGGGTGTGGAAAGTTAATTTTTAATGAGTGTCTGTCTAATCTGCTCGAATACTGCCAATGATATCTAAAACATATCGTAGTCTATTTGTAGCTTAGCGTTCATATCTGATGAGAGATTGAGATACTTTTTGCTGAAATCTGTTAACAGTTATGATTTAGTTGATATATATTGTAAAAGTGGTAGGTCGAGATATGTGCGTCCCGACAGCACGCTGTGAGGAGGGAATTGGAAGAGAAAGCTGAATTAGATTATATTGTAATACATCATTTATAAAGAAAACGGGGTTCACAATGGTTTTGGATTTGATGTTATATAGATTCAAATGTATATATATAGAAGGTTGATTGTTGTAAAAAGAAAAGACAAAACTTTTTCTTTTATATCTAATTACAGAAGGTTATATAATTGATTAATTAAAAACCTTTATATATTTGGCCTATAATTCCAACTTTCTTATAATATAATATTGGAAATACAATTTGATAATGGAAGCAATAGCGAGGAACCGGAAGAAAAGCAGTAGCTGACAAAGTAAGATTATATTTGCAGGCCAACCAGAACTCCAATTCTCAACTCGGTTGATTAATCCCTAAAACCCTAATCCCAATAGCTATTCCCTCCACACCACCTAAAAGACAACTCATGCAAGAAAATATCTTCATAATAAAAGTCAAATTTTAAACCCAATCCTTGAGCTTTCATTAGCTCGAGTCCTAATCTAAGCGAACACCTTGAACATTTTATATCACCTCACCAATATCCAGGTGCACTTCATCTCCTTCACACAATCATCGTTGTCCTCATGAGTTAATATTTATTGAATTCGGTCGGGTTCTAATCATGAGTATTTTCGTGGATGAAGATATTTCTATCCGAAAAACTTCACTATCAGATATTATCAATTTGTGGACTTGGAATTTCTGGAATATCTGTGAGATTTGAAGAAGTAACAGTAGATTTTTGATTCGATTTCTGACTAGTGATGAGACTGTACGTAGTTGAATGTCTGGACGTTGTTGATACTAATGGTTGAAGTGAGCTTCTCGCTGAGGCGGATTGAATGTTTGAGCTGAGTTAATGTAAACCCATTGCGTGTGTTTAATGTGGTAGATGATTTCCGTGTCTGGACGGAGTTGAATGGCTGAGATGTTGATGGCCAGTATCTGGCAGTGGTGATATCTGTCGCATGCAACCAGTTCTAATGGCTAGGCTGTTGCGCAATCCGATCATGCTGGATTATGGTACCTGGTATAGACCCGAATAAGCGTATAAGTGGAATTCAAGTACGTTACAGTTGTTGAAGCAGCCATGTTGCCGGGGAGAAAGCTTTCAGTGATCGGGGTAGAAGACACAGAGGGAGGTTGAACACTCGCTGGCATGCTGGATGTTAGCGTTGGGGCTGGATTGATAGTTGCTGAGGATGCAGGAATGCTAGGTGTAGTTATAATAACGTTCGATTGTGAAGTGAACTTCGACTTCGATATTCTGGACGTACTGATTAGCGATGGATACCGTTGCTGAGGGTCTGATCGAGTGATGACGGTGGTGTTGCGAAATCAGTGGCTGTAGGAACCGTACTTGTAGAAACATCTAAGGTTGTACTGACTGTTTCAATCGTTGATGTGCGAAAACTGCGGCTAGGTCGACTATTTTGTGTTGTACGGACTTGAGTTATTTTGCTAGAATCCGTTGTAAAGGTTGCAGACTTAGATGAGATATGAGATGTACTAGATTTTGTCGTATAGGCTGAGATCAAAGTTGTTGAACTAGAGTCTACCGTGTGCGTTGGGGTCAGGGCGGGTGTTCCAGGATCTATTGCTGACGTCGTAGGTCTGAGGGGTATTTGAGTACTCAGATCTATTGTAAGGATTGTAGATTCATATGAGATCTGATTTGTCGTACTAGTAATTTTCGTAGGAATTGTTGATTCAGCGGGGATTTGGGTTGTTGTATTAGGGTATATCGGATAGATCGGTACGAGAGTTGTTGTATCAGAATGCGTTGAAGAAACTGTAGATTTAAAGGTTGTCCGTGTACCAGTATCCGTAGTAGAGATTGGAGACTCAGGTGGGATATGAGTTGTTGTAGTGAATTCTGTTGTAGAAATCGCAGACTTGGATAAAGCAATTTCAGATCCGTCTGGAAGATATGTGACAGTGGTTGTACTGGTGCTAGGTGATAATGACGCGCTTCTAGTTATCCATTCGATCGTAGTACTGATAGCCCTATTATTTGAGTTGAAATGCAAGATTTGAGCCTGATATGAAGACACTAAAGCTGGGACACTTGTTTCCATTGTGCTAATAGGCATTGATAGCTCGTTGGAGTTGACTAGCAGAGTAGAAGAGACAGGTATAAGGTCATTCTGAGGTGTAATCGTCGGAGATCTAAACATGTCGGTGGTACTTATTGTGAGGGTAAGGATAGACATAACAGAAGTTTGTGAAAAGGAAGAGTTTATGGGCTGCAAAACTTGAGAAAGTACGAAAGGTACAGAGTCATAAAGAAGAAAAATTGGCAAAGCCCAGAATGTGATACACATATTTCAAACAAAAATCTATGAATGACTGAATGACTGAATGACTGAAGCAAAGAAGCCTATGTGTGATGACTGTGAATATTTTAACTGACTGTACTATGAGAATCATTGTCACTCTCATGAATTCTTTTGGCGATTAGGCATGACAAACCTATGACTTGATATTGACAACCGAAAGTGTCTAGTAGTGAATTTGGAAAGTCATGCTATAGCATCAGGATCATGACTCCAATTCGGCTAGACGCTAAGCTATTTCAGTAATTATTCTTCGTCCCATTGCTTTAATTCGAGCCTGAAAGTTACACTTTCCAAGTTAAAGATCTCGCAAAAGTACCTTCCAACATCTAAAGTCAAGTTGCACTCGATCCCAAAGCACTTCTTAACTGCTCGAAATTTCTACTAGCTACACTGGTAGCTCAAAACTTCTTGAAAGCTCTCTTCGAAAATTTCAAGTAAACAGGAGCAATTACAGTGGCACAAAAAATCAAAGTACCTACCCTAAAACCGACTTGAAAAAGATCTGGCCTAACATGGACGACAGTATTTTGTGACGAAACCTTCTACACTTTGTAGAGAAGTAGAATCAGCGGCATTATTAGATCCTGGCTTGATGAAGCCAAGTACTTGGCTAATGTATAAAGGCTAAGGATATGTCCAAATTGCTCGGTTGGGTTCGAAAGTAGTTGGGGATAGTCAAGTTTCAATGTACCAGGTTGTGCCAAGTACCGAACGAAACCAAACGAGCGACGTTGGATGATCTGACCCAAAGCCTCAGTCCAACTTGGACAATAACAGCGCATTGTTTGAGAATCATGATGGGATGAGTGTTATATAATGGAAGTGTTTGGGCAGCTAGGATATGTCGCTGGATTTTGAAGTCGAGTAAAATAATTTTGCTCACTATCTGTGCATGTTACGAACCCGAGGAATAGATTTGGTTTCATGTATGTATGCAGACGGGTAATAGAGCTTCTCAATTTGGGATAGATTTGCCTGTAATTTAACAGTGCTTTCATTAGCCATGAAATAGGAGAAACAGAACTGCTGTGATATCATATAATGGAAACTTTTCTGAACTTTCCACATATTACTCAAGAAAAAGTCTAGACCCCACAGATTGAGGCGAATATTTGTTTGATTTTAATTCCACCTTGTTGCTACCAAGCAAAATAAACATTGGCCGGAAAGTGTACGAAGAAGGGGGTTTGGATGGCGAGTGACAAAAGTTCGTAAGCTTACATTTTCATTCCACTAGCCGAATCAAACGAACAACTTTTTCCTTCGAGAATAAAGATTGTTTTTCGAATTGGCCTTGCCTTGCCCATGAATTTCTGTTGGGGCTAAGGCCATTTTTTCTCCAAGACACGGACAAATACGATGTTGGTGATGCTGTGAGACAACGCTTCAATTCATCCGGAAGTTAGATCAGAAATTCATCAGAAGACGGTGCATGCGGGCTGTACTTGCCAAATCTCCACATCTTGTAGGCCAATATTTGTTTTGTTTATTCCGGCTTGACATTATTGGAGGCGTGAGACTCCTTGAAAGATAAAATATTACAATACGACCTCAACCTGTACGTATTAGCTTACGCAACCTCCTTGTTTGCAAAAATAGATGAGCTGCTTACTCCGCCCTTGTCAAGTTATTTTCGGGGTCGTAAGCTCAGGCTGTCTCAGGGGCCGCGAAACCCCATAGAGGCTGGTGACAAGCTCCACTAAATGACGATTTACAGGGTTCAAGACTCATCTAGACCCATAAAATATCCCCAAATAAACAAAAACATCCCGTATTTTTTACGGCATATGATAACTTTGTTCCCTCATGTGGTATGGAGTAGAGTATGGAGTAGATGAGAAGATTTTCCTGCTGTCCTCCTTTTCCAATCACAATCCATTTCAACCGTTGGTCCAACAGTAACCTGCCTAGGCAATGAACATTCTAGCCACTACTATGGGCTGATCGTGGGCTGGGGCCATTTGTGGGTGTCGTTTGCTGCAGGATTCGTACATGTAACACGAGATGTGGCTAGCATTTTAAAATTGCGGCTGTGTGTTGGTTACATTTGACAAAGTGATATTTATAAGCCCATCACCACCAGTCGTTTTCATCTCCTTCCCTTCTCTTCAAACACATCAACACGTTCACTTCCGCTATTAGATTTCCTACCAAAACAAATCTCAATTTCATAATGCGTTCCTCTACTGTCGCTTTCGCCGTCACTTTGGCCTTGGCCAACTCCGCATCAGCTCTAGCTACTGGTGATTCCACAATTGCCTCTCCTACCATTTCCCAAACTGGAGAGCCCCAAGAGAGCAGTAGCTCGGCCACAGCCAGTCTGCTTCCTACCACATCATTATCTGTCCTTGTTCCAGTAACTACTGCTATCTCCCTTCCACCAAGCAGTGCTGCGTCATCGCACTCATCCTCCTTCACCTCCTTCTCCATAAGCTACGTCTCCCCCGGATCAGCATACTCGTCCGGTTCCGTATCTAGTTCTATCGTATCCGGCAAGCCAGGTGTTTACAGCAACTCTACCATTGTATCTACCGCCACTGCCTCTGGTACCGGCGCCGGCACATCTACTGCTACTGCCACCACCGAAGTTTCTGGAGCTACCACTTCGGCTAGCAGAAGTGGGGCTTCGTCAAGAGCGAGCGCAAGCGCTTCATCATCTAGCTCTGCTGCTGATGCTTTGTCGGTGAATGGAGCATCGTGGAGTATGGGAAGTCTTATGCTTGGTGGAATGGCTGTTGTCTTTGGCTTCTTCTAATTGCCTTGCTAAGTCTGTTTGGGTTTACGATCTAATAATGGTATAATGGGTTTGGAATTTTGGATTCAGGTTCAGGATTTTTGGATCATGATATGAATATGGATATGGGAATGGGAGTTAATGAGAGAGGTATTCGAGTTGGCATTGTGCAAACATCAGTTTTGGATTTAATCTTCTGATCCTATTTCAGGATGTTCTAGGCATGAAATTTTAGGAAATTTTAGATACCAGGTTCTGTATCAATATTAAATGGGCGTTGATCTGGCTTTATCTTCTTTCATTTTGAAAACTTGAATATCTTAAGTGAGACAGGATTTTTGTTTGTAATTCTTGCAATTGTTTATGTCGTGATATCTAGGTATCCACGATTTCCAACCATGCATCTCCCTCTCTGTAATTAATTCTGCTTATCATAAGGTGAATCTCAAGCTTTTCAACATCTTGCGCTTCTTCGAAGTCTGCTCTTACGAATTTGATGATATTTTAGGACTCCAGTAGAGAATCGATAGATTTATGAAGAGTGAATCCTAGGTACTTAAAGGAATACATTTAGCTCCTCCATTCCTCGATCACGTTGATAGTATGGAGTCTACCTAAATGCTTTAGAAATTTTTATTGGAGCAAAATACTGGGTATCTAAGTGGTCTCCAAATAACAATATATACCATCAGACCATGAGCATCATGTCATTATGCCCCTTTGGTATTTCTATGAAAATAAGTTTGTTTCCTGTGTTATATGTCTCAGGGTATTGATATCCTCACAATAGGCTTCATGCAAGTTATTTCAAATGCAGATACGAGTATAGGGCTTAGTGAACATGAACGGCACTCAACAATTGTGAACATCAGACTTTTCAAGTTCATTTATATTTGTTACCAAGGAGCTACTGTCAAGTCACGGATCCAGTCCAATAGTCTGATGAGCCTCACGTATACAAACGAAACCATAGATTAGAACCCGATCATTTCAACCCACTCCACATAATTAGTATCCATAGGAAAAACCATTTCTTACACCCCGTAATATGGCAATAAGTGTAAAATATACCTCAAAGTTCTCCCAGATCCAGTAATCTCACCAATGGTATATCCAATCTGAACGCTAATTTGTTCCAAAAGTTCTTCATCAATCACCGCAATCGCCTCCTTTTCCCAGCTCTCACCTTTGTTATATGGATTCGGCAATTTTTCCCGAAAAATATATATTACCTCGTTATCTACTCTGTAAGGAGCATCCTCATTATCAACTGAGAGCGAATAATCGGAATAATTGTCTACTAACTAGCGTTCTCTCGCACTGATGCCAATGTACCGATGGACAGATATAAGCAGATATTTCTGAGGTTCTAGCCTTCCAAGTCATATAGAAGAGAGGTCATCTTCCCATCTAGGACCTTAAGCTTCTATCTCATAAAAATTAACTATATTTGACATATTTGAAGTGTTTGTAAGACTTAAATCTCTTTACATGTGACCCCAAGACAAGCACACATGCAGAGTTTAAGCTGGCGCTTATTCCGTTGGGCTAATTCAGAGGGCATTATATTAATGCTTTTTCTAGGTCCGCTTTCGTATGGCAGAAAGATTTAATAGAATCAGCTGCTTTAGATCGACAGAAGGAAATGAAGTTTTAATGGAACTCATAAAGTGGTTGATCAGAAGCATTGAGCTCGAAATCAGATTTCGTAAGAATGGCTTTGGGGTTGTCGAAGCTGTCTTGATGTTCAGGCATAGAGCATGTGGAGCTTTTGTCTTACTTTATCTCGGCAATTTCTGTTATGGTAGACAATGTTCTGATATGATCAGCTGTAGAAGAAAGTCTTTTCGAAATGGCTTCTCAGAATACTTGTATTTCATGGACGTTGGCTGGTGGCTGTATGTAAGCTACCGTTACGTGCCGTAGAACTGGAAAGGCTAATCATAGTCGTTGCAGTACAACTAGCGTCTAGAATTATTTTGAGTGATAGTATTTAATGCTCTTATGAAGTGTAAATAATGACCCGTACGTGTAAAAAGTTAAGGAGACAAATCAAATCCGTTGAACACTCTCGCGAATTTGCAAACCACCTGCCATCTAACAATACGGCGATGATTTACAACTTCTCATGACTTCATACGGTCCGCTAGAATTCGTACGGGATGGTTAGCTCGATGAGACCAATAAGATGGTGGCCGTACCAGGTCCCGTATCACAAACAATATTATACATATATATCATCAAGGAGCCCTGTAAACTTGGGAAGCTCTCACCAATTACATGCAAATGCCAAACTGTCAAATCATGCCATCTGGAATTTTGAAAGAAACCAAAACTCAAGAGAAAATTGAAGTCAACGGCAGCCAAAAGGTCCTTGAACCCGAAGCAACATCCGATCCCGAACTCATGGAGCCAAGTGTATATTCAGACGAAAGTTACTGTAGAGAGGTTATATTGTCCGAAAACTTTTTAGACCTTCTAAATTGTGGTAAGTCAACCATGGTCGAGGAATTAAAAATATAACTAACCAGACTTGATGTATAGATGAGACTATGGGAACTATCGAGACTAGGAACCATACTACCATCAATGACCTTCCACACGACGTTCTCATGATCATATTCGATAATCTTACTCCATGTATGATTGCCTGTCTAGGTCTTACTTGTCGTCGATTCTATACTTCCTGCAAGATCCATCACCCGGGAGATTTTAACCTAGAGTTACATGATACCGAACAGCACCATTCTGTTAATCAAAAATACTATCCGGATACTATTTGCAATCCTCTCTCTTGTGTTCATTATTCTTGTGACCACAAACGCTTGACAACTTCGGAACCTCAGGAAGACGCAATGCTCATAGTAGAAATATCACGACATCAATCTGGAAGCATACCTGCCACTCCATATCCCAGACGGGATCATCTAGCCGACTTGATTGAGACCTGGCACGGACTTCGAGACTATCGAAAGACCTGGCTGAATGTTGGAAACAATGGGAAGAGCAAATATATTCTCAAGTATCTCCTGATATCAGTATACAACCCTAGCAACGAGCACTGCAAATTGAAGTCAGCTCTGCAAGATAGATATTCGGATTTTTACCAAGGAAAGCCTCAACGACCTGCTGTTTTTGGATTGGTTTGGATAGGGGGTCCTTGGCCTACTTTACCAAATCCTCACCAAATGACACCTCGTGATTGGTTTCTTAAAGCAAAGGAAATAATACTGGGCGATAGATCACAACACATGTCGAAAGATTTATGGGCAGAAGTTTGGGGTGGTTATGTAGTTGGAAAGAACTGTCTAGACTGGATGGAAGAGAGACCTTACGATAAATTCTCTGATTGGTCAAAAGAATGTTTGTGGAGAAGGGGATGATACTTTTTTAAGCGGCTTAATTGATTATGTGTGGAAATCTAAACCTTAGAGTAAGTACTGGTTAAGGTTTAGGTGACTTTAGTCTAAAAGAAATGCACAAATGTCTTTTCTAACCTTTTGTCTTTCGTGATATACTACTAATTTGAGATTCACACAACTTAGAATTCTAGAGCTAATCTAGATAATATCTAAGGGCATAGCAAAACCCAAATCCTTCTATGCTTTCGTGAGATCAATATAACAGGAAAATGACAGATGGAGATGAAGAATATCTGCACCCCGAATACCTGCCCTCAACACTGGAACGTTCCTGTGTCCCGGATCAAGCAAGCTGTCAGTCTACGCTGCACATTCATCCTTGATAGAAATTTCTAAATCTAGATCCGACAACAAGGGCAACTTGGGGCCGCAGTCAAGCTTTAACTATTTCCATCGGCACTTACGATCAGTTATCGACTGTTACTTTTGCGCACAACAGAAGTCTCTGATAGGCATAACATCTGAGACTGCTATTCTATGAACATGTGTCAACGCACATAAAGCAAAAACAATACTTTAATCTAATAAGTTGAGAAGATCTTTTGAAAGCGCTGTTGGAAGAAAACAAATCAAATGGCAATTGCTTAGTCCGCTCTCTATAGAAGAGGGTTTTAGCAGGGTATATATGAGAAATGTCAATAAGGCTTCTTGCCCTTTGTGATGTCTACATATTCAGTGCCAAAGGCGCGGTTTCATCATGTATACTGAGACATGCCTTTCTTTAACTACTAGTTAACACACATGCATACGCTTCTAGATACATAACAGCTCGAAACTCCGATGCAGATGAAACAACAGGAGGCAGGGAGCAGTATTTTATCCACTTACACCTGCTAAATTGAAGGCGTAGTCAAGGCTACCGATGAAGTCCCGGCTTATGTTGGTACTGATTTGTATAAGGCGACGCGGCAACAGTAGAGAGACATTCGTGCATTATTTCCGTAAAGAACTGGCACCGGTGAGAAGCTCGAGAGTTTTAGTGGGCATAACAACTTGAGGTTTTATGAATACTATAGCATACACTGATGATTTAAAAGCTGATTTGAGCAGAGCCGCAAAAGCCTGCTATGGTTTGAGCAAATTGAGCCCATGATGATTTTCGGAAGCTGTTTCTCGGGCACTCCCCAAGTCAAGGTTTGGAAGGCTAATAACTTTGGACAGCAGAGTGGCTTCACCCCTGAAGTGATAGAAGGGCTCCACATCGTTAATCTGTAGGCTATCTGGGGACGCACGGTTGTGGAGTTGGGTTGCTGTGGCGCGTGACTTCAGGATAATTCCACATCAAATATTTACTGTCGATAATGAAGTCCAAGATTATCACCATCAAACAGTATGACGGCTCGAATCATTTGCCATCCGCTTTTGGGTCAAACTACAGTGATTACGGGAAATCATGTAAGATTACTACTTGTATACAGAAGCAAAAGCTCAACTTATATAGGTTGATGTTACTGTTGCATTATCTCCACACGAATGGGATGGTGAAGAGACCACTTGGGAGGTGGCATTATGGTATGGCACGAAAGATATGACTTGGAAACAGCTTGAATTGATACCAGTTCACGATGGTATCCCGATAGTAAGTACACCAGCTAAACACTATGGGTTGATCATGGATTGACAGAAAGATAAGCTTGCTGTTGACTCTCAAGGTCCAGTTCTGTTCTTTTCAAACACTTTGAAGCAGCAATCCATGGAGGAAGATGTAGTTTGCTGTACCTTAAAGTATAGAAAAATAGGAGATTCGACATGGAAATGGGTGAATGATGATCCCAATCCTGTTGGGGATGCGGAAATTATCTTTCAGAAATCATCATCCATCATACCACTACCATCCATGGAAGAATACATCCCCAACCTACCAAAATCTGTTAATATCAATTTCTACGGACTGCACGAAAAGTCTAAATCACCCGTATGGACTCTCGCTTATCCAATCGCCGCTTCCATGGCTCTAGCCACCGAATCAAGCGTTGAACGGATCGACGTTGGAATTCCCACAGATATGGTCAGATACTTTGCTCTCGTCAAACGAATGGATTTCTGGTTAGTACCTCGTCATGGAAGATATAAATTCCAGCTGGGCGAAGATAATTGTCAATTCTATTCTGAAAATGTCGAATCAAAGTTAGAAGAAGCTATTCTTTTATCATTTTTGAGAAGTGATGGGACGCATTTTGTGATGCTTGCATTGAGTATGGATGGAGTTGAAATGACTCTCACATCTGGTAAAGATGGAGGGATTGTTTTAATAGGCAAAAATGAGGGAGAAGAGAAAAGTGAGGGAATTGTCATTTGTGTCGTGGGTAAAACTGTAGAAGATGGTATAGCGGCTACAATGGACCATGCTAAACGAATCATTCGAGAAAGCTTGAAACTAGGGTCAGTTGTTGATCAAAGTTTTGATCGACATGAAGTAATTCAGGAGCCTCAACATAAGAAAAGCTTTCATGATGAGCTGGTCTACTGTACGTGGAACTCTCTAGGTCCCACCTTGACATCGACTACTCTCTTTTCTGCACTTGAAGATCTTAGGACATCCTCTATCTATCCATCTACGATCATAATAGATGACGGGTGGCAATCCATAAAGCCATTTGGCTCAGAAACCTTTCCCATTCAGCATCGTTGGTCAAGATTCGAAGCTTCATCTATATCCTTTCCAGAAGGTCTCACCAATCTCTCACTTAGAATCAGGAATTTGTATCCATGGATTAAAAATATCGGTATTTGGCACGGCATCTTTGGCTATTGGGGTGGTATCGACCCAGAAGATGAAATTGGTAGAAATTATAAGCTGAGATGGGTGGAGATAAACAATCATCATCGGAGTGGAATGTGGATTATTGATGCTTGTGATGTGAGGAGATTTTACGATGACTTTTACTCGTGAGTGCTAATTCCAGTTATTTTTCGTAATTCACAATACTAATGATATAGATTTCTCGTCAGTTGTGGTATAAATGCTGTGAAGTTGGATACTCAAGGATTATTGAACGATCTCAAAAATCCGAAAGATAGGAGAGAGTTAATACCCGCATACCAAGATGCCATCTACGCAAGCTTAATTTCTCATTTCGAAGATAGGGTTATATCATGCATGTCGCAATACCCATCCAACATCTTCTCGCCTCAATTACTACTATCTTCATCAGGGCATACTTCACGAAAAATAGCCATGCGTAATTCGGATGACTTCTGGCCCAATGATCCAACTGCTCATCCTTGGTACGTTATCTCCTTTTACTTGGTCTCGCCTACCTCATCCTCTAACACCAATCCCACCTGACCATACTCACTCCAAAGCCAACCATTTAAAAAAAATCTAGGCATATCCACACCAACTCCCACACCTCACACCTAACCACGCATCTTGAAAACATCGTCCTAGATTGGGATATGTTTCAAACTTCCTCCTGCGATACCACTCCATTTTCATCCCCAGACTACTCTTCCTACCACGCCGCCGCGCGCTCACTCTCAGGTGGTCTCGTATCCATAACCGATACTCCGGGCCATCACAACACTTCACTCCTCTCTCGCCTCTCCTGTCCCCCCTTCAAAAATATCGCCTCCACTGAGCCAACACCACCTATAATTCTCCGTGTTAACCCCGGAAAATCCACAGACGTATACAGCGACAACAAAGCCCATCGAATATTAAAAATACGTACCTCCACCATCGAAACCGGTGTTAGGATACTGGGGTTATTCAATCCGCTTTCACATGGCTCTACAGCCGAGATCATTGGACTCGAAGAATTTTTCCCATCTTCTCATTCCGACTCCCATGAAGAAAACGATGCAAATACAGAATACATAGTCCACACCTCCACCACCAACAAACTATCTCCACCTATTTCCCTCAAAACCTTCAAGACTACCGCTAGTAAATTCTTAATCACATTACCATCGCATGGATATGAGATACTTACTGCGTGTCGAATCCACCGTATACCTATACCCAACCCTCTTCCTCCTCCTCTTTCACGCAATCCCAATACGAATGATAATATCAACACCGACTCCATCCTCCACAACCACGAAGATGAAAATTCAATAAAAATAGCAATCCTAGGTATACTAAACAAATTCACAGCCGCAGCCGCTATCAAAGATACTTCAATTTCAACATCAATATCAACCTCTCCTCTCACGCAGAAAACTCCAAATCCATCCTCACAACCACAGCTACAACCACCAAAAACCCCCGTAAAATAAAACAAAATAAATCTCAAGATGCAAGGAGTCGGTATACTAAGTCTTTATATATCCTCCTCTTCCCATACCCCCTCTCCCTCCCACTCCCTCTCTTCTCCTCATCCCACAAATAAAACCCCAAAAACAAACCCACCAGAAATCTCCCCTCCCCTCCCCTCCCCTCACCCATCCCATCAACCCTCCAAATCAACAGATTTGATTTCTCACATTATATAACCTCACATTATACTATAGAGGATATATCTTATCCTCATTCCCATACCAATTCCCATTTTTATTCCCATTCACATTCACATTCATACTTCAATTCTTATCTCCCATGTCAAGATCAAAATCAAGATCAAAATCAAAATCAGAAGAGAAATAAAAATGGAGACCAAAATCAGATACAGGCGTATATAATATCTATTGATTTACCTGGGATATTGGAGATAGGATGTGGGGGTTTGGGGGTAGATTTTGAATCTATGAGTGATGATATATTAGTAGAGGTTGGGATTTGTGTTTGAGTGGATGAATTGATGGATGGATGGATGGATGTATTTAGTTAGCTAGTAAATGAGATTTTCTAGGATCTGTGAGTTCTTTTAAGGTATATACCTAGGTAATAAAATAAAATATGGAATGCTCAATGTAAGATTATATTTGGAGATTATGTATTATTGAGTTAATTACATTCAGTTAATTACATTGAGTTAATTACAGTCACAGTCACAGTCACAGTCATGACTAGAAGTAGTATATGTAGAGTGTTTAAATCTACATATGTTGTCATGAAGCTCCATCTACTCTGTTATCTATTAAATAATAGACACAACTGCAAATGTTGCTAAACCCATCCCAATTTCATAGCAGAAGTAAAAGAAAAGCATGCATCCCCGATCGATCAACTCACAAGACAATGCAGGCTAGGTAAAACTGTAGAAATCCACGAGAACCTAATTCCGAATCTATAAACTCAAGCTCCCGATCTTCAACCACTACCCTCTACCACGTCTCCTGTATATAAAACTTCGACTTCTCCATATTCGCCACAAAATCCCCTGCCTCCTCAAAACTCATATCTCCATGCTTCTGCAAGATGCCCAAGAAAGCTAGTCTGACAGCTTTGGGCATACCACCAGAGCTACCACATACATAGATGAGGGCGTTGTATTTTGTCAACAGATCTGCAATCTCTTGTCCTTGTTTCCTAATCTGATCTTGTACATAGACTTTTTGCGGGCCATCTCTTGAGAAGACTGGATTTGCGTGTACTTTTGACTTAAGCTTTTCCCACTCAGTACCGTAAAAGTAATCTGCGTCGCGATTGCGGCCACCATATATGAGAAGGACGTCGCCGAATCCTGTTCCCTGACACTTTGAGTACATCATTTGCTTGGCGCGCTCTCGGATCAATGATCGAAGAGGAGCAATTCCGGTCCCTGCACCAACCAAGATGAGAGGACGTCCTTTCAGGGCCTTGGGTGCTTTGTAGAAAGATGCGTTTCTGCTGTAACTGATAGTGATAACTGATCCTTCAGGAAGGGTGGCTAAATAGCGGGAACAAAGACCGTTGCGGACTTTTTGGAGAACGGTGCGGTATTTGACAATGGCGACGAGGATTTGGAAGTTATAATTTTTCACAGGTTTATCCAAAGGTTCGTCATCTTTAGAATTTTTAGAATCTTTTACATTTTTAGCAGCCTTATTCAACTCTTCAGGGGCATTGTGCATGGTACCACCTGAGCTAATGCTGAATTCGCGAGCTCGAATTATGGGGAAAATGGTGGTGGCATCTTTCCATGGAAGCTTGACGCTCGGGAAGTCTTGAAGACATTCAAGGATACTGCGACGAGGGCGAGTAGTATAGTCGTAAAGTTCGTCAGTGTAGACAGGATCCCGAAACTCGAGGAGACGTGCTTTGTGCGTCGGGTCGTCTGTATAATTCGCCATAATTTCGAAAAAATGACGCTTGGGAATAGCTTGAAAGTCAAGATTATGAATCAATAGTTCTCGTAGTGTTTGGTTGTCATCCACTAGATGAAGATCCTTTGGTGACGATACCAAATTTTTGGCGGCGAACCAATCTGGTGATCTTGGCTTGAAGTGTAACTTCATATCCGCAACATCATTCCATTCCATCAAATCAATGAGGGTCTGGACATCCTCAGGAAAGTTTTTGGGGAAAATTGATATGGTGTCTCCAGGCCGCGGTGAGAATTCTTGGCTTCGTATCCTGAAAGTGATTTCGCGAACATCCTGCCAGTGACTTAAAGGAGTGATACGCTTGTTGTTTTGGATAATGGCATGAATTCCATTTTGGACGTCTGTGAAGTTTCGACTTTCAGGCAATACCAAATCGACACTTTCTAGTTCATCATCTTTGTAGGGCCCAGTCAATCGATTTGAGGGTTTTGGCGCATCATATCCATGATCAAATCGGAGCCCAAATCCAAAGCCAGATGTATTTGACATTGTTCCGTCTTCTGAGATGGAGGATTTTTGAGATTGACCGTCAAATGTACCTAGAGTGCGTTGATCAATAAAAGGACTTGTAAAAGAACTAGTCGATAAGTGGGAGACTTTTTAAATCGTCAGCAGGAGCCAGCTTACTATTTAATGAATCAAGTTCTGTGTGATCAATTTCGCCACTATTATCAAGTGGTGAATTCAGTTTCTCAGTAACCGTAGTAGATTCATTTTTAAGCTCTAGCCAATATTTGGGAGGGAGAAGAACATCATCGGGAATTGGTTCTAAGCCATCCGGTAATGGATATAATTCGAGGAGTTTCTTTTTAAGGTCAATATACCACGATAGGAAAGTTCCATCAACACTATTAGTGTTAGCAAGTGCGGTCGATGTAGGTGTGAAGATTGAAAAGCAAAAAAAGCACGACAGCTTATATTTTATCATAGAGCACACAGCCAGAGAATTTGCTATGTTGTAATACTACCATATCAATAGAGTGATGTGAAGGAAAGAAATCTTCCACATAAACTCCCACTTACCCTTCTTCATGTTGCTCATCAGCTTCCCCTCTAGGATATATTTCGTTCCCACCTAACTGTTCCAACCTTTTATGTAATTTACGAGCTGCAAAATTAAACCTACGAGTATATGAGTATCATCTTGTGAAGTAGTTGATCTTTCCGTCTATATCAATCCATTCCATCTTGTACTTACTTTGCATAAGAACTATCACCAAGACCAAAAGTGGCAAAGTTCACGTGACTTAAACAATCAGGAGGCAAACGTTTTCTCAAAAGGCTGTTCCAAAATTTCCTCGAATTCTTTGGGAATTCGCCTTGTCCCGTAGTTGATATTGTGAAGATAACAAACTGATATTTTAACAATTCTTTCTGTTTGATGGATTCGAATAAGCATATGCTGATAATACATAGGGAAGGATTACATACAATATCAACCTCATCCATCTCACACACCCTGGTCATGAAATGAAGTCTTTCCGTCACACGTCCCAATTCCTCTGCCACATCTTGAGAGTTTCCAGTTTCAGTTCCGTAAAGGACGAGTGCACTCCTATCATGTCGCTGACCATTGGAGATTTCAGACATTTGATAAATTAATTGTTGGGTGCTTGTGGTACAGTGGTAGATATAAATGTTTTAGTTATCATATCGTCGCCTTAAATAGAGATGTTACTCACAAGTTTTGCTTACTTACTACAAGGAGACTACATCCAAGAAAAAGTCACGAGATATTTGTTAAGAAGACTGATTGATTTGGTATTTGATATTTCATTCACCCATTACATTACCCATAACAGTTAATATTCCGTAGCCATGTGAGGCGAGGGAGATATACTTGCAGGCTGAATCCTGGTAATCACTCGTTGGTCAACCTTGGGTATATCCAGGATTACTGGTGTTCTGTTTGAATGATTGATTGTACCAGATGTGCTCTGTACCATAGACATACAAGTAGTTTTCCAGAAAGACACAGGCCTTTACATTGTTTCTATGAATGATATCCGACCGGTGAATGAACGTTGTTCAAATTACATACGGTACAATGCCTATGAAGGATGGAAAGTTCTATAGAAAGTTCTAGAAGAACCGCTGTTTCCAACTGCTCGATACTATGGAGTCTGTGATGACAAGACCCCGCATATAAATAGACCAACAAACAATAAGAGCATAATGTTGTGAGGATAGATAACTAAACGCTTTTATGTCTGTATGTCAGATACATCAGATACTGATTGTTAGGTTTGCTATATATCAATGAGAGATTATAATCACATAATGATAGATAGATATGAATTCTGTCTATACTGGAAATCCATCATCATACCAATACAGTGATGGATCTACATATTCTACTCTACTCTAATGTTTAAATGGTTCTAGAACCCCATTTGATGTCATTTTCATCAAACAATAAAAACCAGGATTCTCGGTATGAATCATAAAAAATTGCCCTAATGCCTTCTCTGCAGCCACTCCTTGATGTATTGAGGAAAAAGCAAAGATTTAAAATCACCTAAAGACAGATAGTGAACCTTTCCTTACTCGTAGAAAATACTATAGATAAAATACTATCTATCAATCTAGGTAAAATACCACACTGCTTTCCCAACATTATCATTGGTCGAGTGTATGTTGATTCTAGGCCAAGTCATCAATCCTTCCCCTTTTTACACATCCATGACTCCCTCGCTATTTCCCCATGTTATGTACCCAGCATCCCAACCCAATCTGTCTCACCGTTTGCTCCTACCTTATCAACTTGATTGATAAAGTATCGTGTTTTCATATACTATCATCTTCCTTTCCCGTCAATGAAAATGCACCCTTTTAGGTAAGTAGTATGTAGGTATATGTAAATAATAGTTGCAAAGGTCTATAATTGATTCAATACATAGGTCAGCTGGAGGACTTGACTGAATCTTTTAAGCCATGACTTCTCCTCCTCGTGTGCTGGTAAGACCTCTTGTCTCGCCATTTCCCCATGTTATTCGTTGTATCAAAATCTTTCTTCTCACCGTGCCACCTATATCCCGGCCTCCTGTCACATCTAGCTGCCATCTAACCTCACCAATTGTTCCTTCTTCCCTTTCCTTTCCCTAGTAGATTCCTTCTTAGCTAGATCTTTGTAGGTTGAACCTGCTGTAGGTTATTATCTATTCTCTAATCGAAACGAAATCCCCAAATCCAGCCCTGTTCAGCCACTCGCTTTAATCCCATTACGGTAAGTGCCACTCGCTAAAGTGCGGCTGCCCCAGTGATTCAATGGAATTTGATATATTCTACCCACTGCGCAATCCCGAACTTCTTTCTCCCTTTCCTTCTGAACACATCAACTTCAAGAATCCGATCAAGTGTCTACCACAACGAATCCTCAACCAAAATCCCCCAAACCAGACCACTAGGGCACCTAGCTACCCTTTTACAACTCCCCCAAATTTGTTCAGAGAGTATTAAACACACTCCCAGCAAACGTCGATCAATTTTCAATTCGATTCAAGCTTCTACTCAGTCATAACTACCACACCCACCAAATCAATTATCATCATGTCTAGCATCGTGGAGAAAGTTTCTGACGCCGTCACCGACGTTACTGCCGCTCTTGGCAACACATCCATCTCTGACAAGCCCGCCGAGACCACCACTGGTGAGAAGGCAGCCAACACTACCACTGACAAGGAAGCCGTGTTGGCAAGCGCTGCAGAGGGAAGAAGACTCTACATCGGTAACCTCGCATATGCGACCACCGAGGGGGAGTTGCAAGCCTTTTTCAAGGGATACTTAATGTAAGCATGGATTCTCGACTTTCACATGTCATCCTCATCGTCGCCTTTTATTTCTCTCGAAAAATCATCGTCTTGCTTCAAATCTAGCAAGTTACAGGAAGTTGCGGATATCTTTTGCCCCTTCCAGATATGTCCAATTTGTACAACCTTTACTACACGAGCTAACATTCTTTACACAGTGAATCCACCTCTATCCCAAAGAACCCACGTACTGACCGCCCAGTCGGATATGCTTTCGTCGACCTTTCTACCCCAACTGAGGCCGAACGTGCTATCTCTGAGCTTTCTGGAAAGGACATCCTTGACCGCAAGGTCTCTGTCCAACTTGCTCGCAAGCCAGAGACAAATGACAAGACCGAGGGTGCTGCAAGCGGAGGAGAGGGACAATCTGGCAATGAAGGTGGACGCCGCAGACAATCTGGTCGAGGACGTGGTCGTGCCCGTGGACGTGGAGGACGCCGTGGCAATGCTGTAAGTTTTTGAAAGTCTGGATCTTGGTCCTTATTTAGTCACTAACATACATAAACTTAGTCCCGTACTGATGAGAGCGCTACTGAGGCCCCTGCCGCCACTTCCGAGGTTCTTCCTTTGACCGAAACCACAAACCAGGCTACTACCGAGAGCAAGGAGGCCAAGTCACAAAACACTCGTGCTCCCCGCGAGCGTCGTGAGCGTGGTCCTCCAGCTGATGGAATTCCTTCCAAGAACAAGGTCATGGTTGCTAACCTTCCATATGATCTCCACGAGGACAAGGTATGTTTGAAATTAACTTCTGTCAAAACAATTTACTGACAGCCTCGTAGCTCAAGGAACTCTTCTCTATCTATGAGCCAACCTCTGCCAAGATCGCCCTTCGCCCAATCCCCCGTTTTATGGTAAAGAAGCTCCAAGCCCGTGGTGAACCCCGCAAGGGACGTGGCTTCGGCTTTGTCACTCTTTCCAGTGAGGAACAACAACAAAAGGCCGTTGCTGAAATGAACGGAAAGGAAATCGAAGGTCGTGAGATCGCCGTCAAGGTCGCTATCGACAGCCCAGACAAGACCGATGATGATGTCAACGCAAACGCTGCTAATGCTACTGCTGAGACTGCCGCTGCTCCACCAGCCGGTGCTGAAACCGTTTCTGCTTAGGCAGTAAACATTGTATGATGTGAATGAGAGGAGAGTTCTGCAACCCTGCAGACGATAGACTAATGCATTGCTATGCGTTGCTTTTGGACCATTGTCGGCGCGTTGTGGGAGCTCTCGGGAAAAGTATGGATTTGTTCCTTTGATATTCAATGGATCGACCCTTTTCTTGACGATTTTCTTTTAGGTGGACATATGAATACTAACTAAGTGGACTTGGTGGTGGCGTCTAAATAGATATTGGGCTTTTACGCTCTTTTCTTTCGACAGACTTCACTTCCCATTCCCGAGCAGGGATTCATAGTTCTTCATGACTCTTTTTTCAAACACTATGTCTTATTACAATTTTGCTGGCATTCTCTGGGTGTACACTAGATTTTTTCTGACGTGCTTCCATATGGGATGGGTGGGCATGGAAAAGTTATTGATTAATGATTGATGACAACGCTATCATTATCGATGATAATAAAGTGGACGATTTTACCAGCAGAATTATAATCTTTCAGTGGTATTTTTTGATATATTTGTGATGTGACCTAGAACATACCATGTTTCCAGTCCGAGTTCTATGATGTTTCAATATCCAGATCCCCTTTCAGTACCAAGTACTGCCATTCAGCAATACTCATGAACCCCTTTTCCAAAATCTCAAGCCTCACAGCCTCGATCTTTAACCTTGTATACTGATTGGTCTAGATTTCTCTTAGCGCGGTTGGGCCTCTCTTGCGCAAACACCCCCAAATTTGGAAATCTAACTCCCCTTTGTAAAGCCCCACCACATCAGGGCTAAGGACGATCCATACTCGACGACAAGACATCTAAATATACCAATCGAATAATTCAATCTCACTATATTTCCGAGACTCCCACAAGAAAATCAACATTCGCGATACGCTCCATTGAGAAATTGGCCCTTGAAGCGCAAAGGAGACCAAGTGGGAGGTTCTAGAGGAATAAGACACACAATCAGCAGTTAATTTCAGCACCAACCGCGAGAATGACTTCAAAGGCTATGTGGGAGGTCGATCCGGAAACAAGGTCAAAGGTATTCTATTCTCTTCGCATTATATGGGCCATTGGCGCAGATAACCATCATTTCATTTCCAACACAAGCACTCATGCTAAACGTGTCTTGAATCCAGCTCCTTGATATTTCCAAAACCAATGGTAACGACAGATGCATCGACTGTAATGCACCCTCTCCGCAGTGGGCTTCTCCAAAATTCGGCGTTTTCATCTGCTTATCATGCGCCGGCGTTCACCGAGGATTGGGGGTTCACATTAGTTTTGTTAGGAGTATTACGATGGATGCTTTCAAGGCGCAAGAGATTGAGCGGATGAGAGAAGGAGGAAACAAAACGTGGCGGGAATTTTTCGATCAGGATGAGAGAAATGTTATGAGTGGTATCACGTAAGTGGTCTATCTTTGTGACAGGATCTCAAGGTAAGCAGAGAATTGGCACATGACTGACGATTTCAAAGTTGGGACGATGCAACAATTGCTGAGCGATATTCTGGTGAAGTTGGAGAAGAATATAAGGAACGGCTCACTGCGAAAGTCGAGAAACGAGACTACGTTCCTGTACCTAAAGCACCCGCGTCAAAATCTACGACTGCCGCTACATCAATCTCAAACCACAGTTCCAGCAACTCTCGATCACAATCACAAACTCCTCTTGGGGCACGAAACTCCAGTCCTTCTAATGGAAAAGTAAAGGTTGATGATAGATACTTTGCTGGGCTTGGAGCTGCGAACGCAAACCGATCGGAGGACTTACCACCTTCACAAGGAGGCAAATATGCAGGATTCGGAAGCCAACCTATTGAGAGAGAAGATAATAATGCCGGATTACCCGGTTTTGAAGATTTGCAGAGAGACCCTGTGGCAGCACTGACAAAGGGCTTTGGATGGTTCACAACTACTGTGGGAAAGACAGCAAAGACTGTTAACGAGGGTTACATACAGCCTACAGCTGCAAAGGTAATCTCGATTCCTTAACATGCGCAGATATCCAAGCGCCTTCATATTCGCACAATCGACATTAACTGACAATAACTTCTCACAGATCGCCGAATCCGAAGTAGCGAAACAAGCGCAACTTACTGCTGCTCAAGTTGCACGGAATGCACAAAATGGAGCCAAGACTGCAGCAGAGGGATTTAACCGCTTTGTAGAAGGCAGTGGTGGTGGTTCCTCGAGAGATGTACCGATTGATGAGAGTAAGAAGGATTTCTGGGATAGTTTTGCAGACGCAGGGGCTAAGAGACAACATGCACCGAGTGCGTCGATTGGGACAGCCGCTGTTAAGAGGAATGGCGGTAGTGGGAATGGAAGCGGAGTTGCAGCAAAGAAAGATGATGATTGGGAGAAGTGGTAGAGGTAGGTTTTTGGGGATACGGAAGGAGATTAAAGGGATGATTGGATGAAGAGAACGGATGAGTGAATGTATATATACATAGACCGTACGGTCAAAGAAGACGTTTTAGCGATACTTGGGAGAAATAATTGAAGATTGCTTGGTTTAACAGGCAGTTTTCTAGCTGCGCATATTTTTCACAGTTGAGATGATGAGATATAGAGGTATCTCGTCGTGATCATTTGTTTGTTCATATTGTTTATATTATTTATGCCTTTTAAGTTTTAACCTAGTGGTTTTACATGTATTGGTCGGTGTTATGCGCATAGTCATCGGCATAGACATGAACTGTTCTTGAAGTCAAGTATCAAGGTCGAATATCTAGTAATGGATTGGACTTTCTCCGGGGGGATTTATTTTCATTTCTCTCTTTTGCTTTTTATTGTTATAATTAAAAAAAAAATTTAAAAGAAAAAAAGTATATGATTGATGTAATGATGAGTTTAGTTGGTGATGGGGTGTGTAGTGCCTGATTTGATGATTTGGCGTGTATAGATGTATATATCTTAACTTCTTAAGTTGGTTTGACTCCGTATTTAGAGACGGGAAAGTGTTAGGTCGAGCAGCGAGTGTTCGGTTTGTTATGCTATTTGTTTCTTTGGAATATAGAAAAACCTCTTATCTGAATCTGAAGAGCTTTTCTTGATCGTAGCAATCTGTAGAAATCGCTGGAGATTTTGTATAAGTGGTTAAGTAATGTTGGTTATGAGTAGCTGTAGCTCGATGTGAGATATCCGTTCGGTCTTGGTTTTGAAGCACCAACCAACTTTTACATATATATTCCTTTCGCTAAGATCAATTTTCTCGAACCCGGCCAGCTCCACGTGAAACAGTTGCAAGACGTGCGCTTATTTATTTTTTTACTCCATTATTATTGAGGAAGAAAGGTCGTCTCTTGTTCTTGGACCGCGGCTGTTCTGGGAGTCGAGGGATTGGCGACCTGTTTCCGACGGGTTGTAATATAACCTTATTGCGCGCGTACGATGTTACTGCGCCACTTTTGTGTTGTTGATAAGTCCTTATATTCTGATTATGCATTAATATGAAGCCACATTTGATGGCATCAGGATAAAGTTTCTAGACCCTTTACTTTCTCTTGTTGTCGAAAATCCCCCGCATCATTCTATAATTTACTGAAGCTGTATTCACAAATATGTTAGCCGAACATATACTCAAAGTTGCAAGTCTCGAAGAAGAGCCTCTGTTCCCACAGTTTCGCGATCTACCACCAGAGCTTCGTCTACAAGTCTGGAGATACGCTCTCCCGAATGGTCGAACGCTCAAGGTTAGGGTGGATGCATATGATGACACACTCGCATCTCTTCAGGGAAACTTCTCAGCTATTCCAACCATCTGTCATGTCAATTCCGAATCTCGAGTCTTAGCTTTGAGCATTTGTCGAAATGGACTTGGGCCCAATACAGAAGAATCAGATTTTTACTGGAATCCAAACACAGACACCATCTACTTCCCTCCGTCAGCTTCTTGGACAAGCGGCACTCTGGAACAATATTTGTTCAAGGAAAAGGTTCCTGATTCATATCGAAATAGTGGGATTGTGCCTGTAGTTCAACATGTTGCATTCCCACTAAATGTATGGCTGGCCCAAGGTCTTTATCTAGAACCATTATCGACCTGCTGGCTCTTAGACTGGCTGCACAAATTCCCCTCCCTTCAATCTCTCACCCTCCTCATCGAACCCTTCGACCAATGGCTTGGTCTCCCCAATACCTCGATAGTCTACCACGAACCTCTCGATAATTCCATGCAGCAATTGCTGCATCACAAACCCTCTCAAATCACCACACTGGTCGAGAAAGCCCTGCAAGAATACAGAAACTCGCATGATCCTAGCTGGATCCCACCGGTTGTTGAGGTCCTAGTGCTGGGTATGAAGAAATTCAAGACGAGCAGTGGCTGTATAGCTCGTAGAACGAATTTGGATAGAGAGGATGTTACGGGGTTGTATGAGATTGGGATTTCGAGGGTGGAGAAGATGGCAAGACGATTGGCTAATAGGTGGCCGGCGGAGATTCATGCCGTGGAGCAGTGGAGTTTTATGGGTCGGTTGGGCGAAGAAGAGGGGTTTTGATGGGGGTTTATGTGCGCTAAGGATACATGTTAATCGGATACATAAATGTATTTTGCGGTTGGGTTTGTGGTGTTATTTTTAGCGTTAGACAGAGCAGAAGAGGAAAGGAAATTAATACACTGGTTAACTGAGCCTGCGCTCTACAATATTATAACATTTGGGAATTTAAAAGTTTTAGTAGATCAACGGAAAAGCAATGCTATCGTGCTTGCTCTCCTTGAGAGGAAGCTAGATCACGTGATATGATCAAATACAATAATATAGAGGGATATCCTATGTATTAGGATATGTGAGTGAATTTGTAGGGTATTATTATGGCAATGTAGTGTTAGAGATCCCTCAAGTATATCTAGTTTCGTTTATAGTTTCTGTGATTTCAAAATGTATAATTTAGAATGGCAAGCGCGAATACAGACTAATAAGAATGTAAAGGTATAGGGATGAAAAGAGGAGATGAGATGAATGGTTTGCTGATATACAGAGATTTTTAGATTATTTATGTATATGAATGGAAGAAAATTGCAAGTATAATCATTGATGATTGTGATGTTAGATCTTTGTAATATTTATTTTAAATAAATTTATTTAATTATCTGTTCGTGTATTTAAATGCGAATTTAATGTGCTTCATTACAGCAAAATGTATTCTATTACACTTATACTCTCTCCCTCCTCCTTCTCCCATCCCCTGCTCGTTTTCCTTTTCTTTCGTTATCATTACTGCCATATTGAATACCATCCCATCTCATCCCGCATCCCATTTCCTTCATCCACAACTGTCCCTCTACATCACATCACCTCACCCAGACACCATCCCCACAATCAATCCCATACCAATTGTTCCTCTGCCAATCCTCTGCCTTCCCTCTACAACCACACCCCGTAATCAAACACCCAATTGAAATTCCACCCTTTCTCCCTTCCATCCCCATCCTCATACCCTTCTAACTCCACTTCTGTCCTCCCATCTCCTCCTAAACTGTATCCCTATCATATCTTTCCTCTTCCAAGCATCATACCTAATCACCGCATACAAATCCCCCGACTCCTTATCCCTCAGCTCCAAATTCGGATTTGTGAACGAAAGGGCTAACGAAGAATCAGGAATTCTATGTTTCCAGATGAAAGCCCTCTCTTTCCCATCCTTCCCCGGGAAATTCTCATCCTCATCAAAAGAACCAGGAACCATCCACTCCCATCTCCGCTCCATTCCCGTACCAAGAACCCGCATTCCAGATTCCATCTCCCTCTGTAACCCTTCTATCCCCACCTGCTGAACTTCCACGTCCTTACTAAATTTATCAAATTGTGCACCTCCTATCAATACATTTTCCTTTTTCTTTTTCTCCTCTTCCTTATTTTCTTCCTCCCCACCACATAAAAAGAAAAGCATAGAAGTAATCCTCTCTAACCCCTTAATTGACATTTTAAAAACCGGTCTCGAGCATTCTTTCCGCTTCAAATTCCTCGGATGATCATAAAACAAAAGTGTATTTTTAAATCCATTGAATATATTTCCAGGGATAGAATCGATTGTGAGTTCAGAAAGATGTAGAGGAAATCGAACTGGAGCTTGGGCTTGAGGTGTATAGAGATTGGATGCTTTTGATGGATGAGGAACAAGGGAATAGGGAAGTGATGTATCGGATAATTCTTGTGGGGGATTGATGGCATGAAGACCTCGAGAGGATGCAGGGATAGAGTGACGAGAAGGTTGTTTAGAGTATGGATATTGGGTTGATATCGAAACTGGTTCTTCTCCTTTCGAGGGAATAGAAATATCATGATTGTGATACTCATTTCCGAATTTCTTCATCCGTTCAAAAGGAGAAATAGATGGAGACATTTTTCGAAATGAGGAGTGAAAAATTGAAGTTTATTTTCCTTAGATTTGATTATACATCCAAGTCAAAATCACAATGAATATTAGATTTCGAAATTCTGTAATAAATATCCACAGGTAATAATATATTGTTATGTTTTACATCCGTTCCTATAATTATATATAAATATATACACCTCACGTACTATTCCAGCAATCTTAAGATTATAATCCTTCGTCTCCTCCTCCTGCTTCTCAAATGAGGCGCAGTGAACAAGGCTTAGCTTAGCTTAGACTTCCCACATAATACCATTCCCACTCACATCAATCCCGATCCCAATCCTTTCCACTCCCAGTGACCATAATATCTTGACCTTAAATAGTGACCATAATATCTTAGCCTTAGCTACAAACAACGAAACAAACCTCCAACGAGCATTCTAACATCATGAATCTTACCACACGCAATATCAAAACTATACGATGCGGTATAAGAATCATGAGGGAGAAGAAAACAATTTGTTAACAACTAACTCGCAACACCCAACATTCGATCCAATCTCTCTACATGAATAAAAGAATCCAATCTCTAATTAAAAGCAGAACGGAAAACTGTCTCGTTTTCCAAATTTCACAAGGAGATAAAAACCTAGTGAACAACCAACGTACTCCTCGAGATTTTCTGTACTTCGTCGCAAGGAATTACTGGTGGTGTGGTCGAGTAGCCTTTTGATATCAGTTACTCTCATCCACCAATCTTCACAACTATACACGCTAATCTCACCTTCTCATCTTCTCGCCTCCAAAATATCAAGCCCAAGCACCACAATCCTACCCTCATCCCACTACAAGGAAACTAGCACAAACCCAAAACCACAAATCCCCCCCCGTACTCAAAAATCAAGCATGTAATATCGCTGCTCCCGTTTCAAAGATCTTGAAACCATAGAAGCGATATCAGCTATTCAATGCGATTGTTAGCAATTGATTCCATGTCCTTCACCCAAACTTACTAGTCGTCGATACATGCTAATATCTTGAGGCTTAACATTGCCATGGCTTTAAATCCCACTCCTTTCCATGGCCAGGTCGCGTTTGACTTATTCATAAACTCATGTGAATCTTTGGTGCTTGATATCCAGCATTTTGAAGTTAAACTCCCTCGACAAACTATCCGAGAAAGTAGGCCATTGAAATAAGAAACCGAGCAAAATGAAATGTCAAAGTGAGATTTTAAATATGAAGATAGAATCTACTACATACAAATAAATCCAGATGAATAATTCCTACATCGCTGTCGGTACATCATGTGATCAACCTCGAAAGGGAGGCCGTACATAAAGGGAGCCGTACGGCTAGTGCATTCTAGCCCGTACCCCTTTCAATATATATTGGTCCTTCTCCCCTAGATAGATAATAATCATCCATGAACAAACACAACAAGAATACTATGCACTGCATTCGTATCACCGAAGTGATACCAACAATCGCCTTCTGCTGTTAATATAAGATCTTATGATCATAGCCAAGAACGTCCATTGCAAAGTACTGAACCAAAAAGCATCAAGCATTGAAGACTCAAAACCACAACTGGCGCAATCCCCAATACATTCCGACAGCAACATCGAAACAGCGATGCAATACACAACGACAACACAACATCTAGAATTAAGATTACATTGCCACAATTAACAAAAGATAAAAGACAAAAGATAAGAACTACTTATATATATGATGATCCAACCTCATATTACACATCCTATATGAATCCTTCAATACTTGATACTTGGTACTTGTATCCTCATTCCTTTTTTGGAAAAAAAAAAGAAAAAAAGAAAAAAGTAATTGACTTAATATACAAATCCTCACTTTATTTTTATATTAACATTCGATTCTCGAGAAGAATTAATAAATATATATTATAAATAGATATCTATATTCTCAAAAACTCAAAAACTCAAAAACTCGAATCTTAATCCTTAAATATTAATTACTTCAACTCAATTCACTTTATAAAACTCAAACAAACAAACATATACTATACAATAACATCTATCTAGATTCTAGAACTCTCCCTCAACACGAACAGCCAGCCCAGCCCAGCCCCAGATCAGACTAGGCTAAAAATAACATCAAATAAAATAAATAAATAAATACAAAGTAAGAGTAATTAAATCCCCGTTCGTTTATATCTTGTATACATTGTACAGAGTATGTATATATATATTATCTCATTCGCAATATCAAAAGTGGCATTTATAAAGTACGCTTTATATAGTGTATCGTATTGTTCGCTAGTTGTATATCTTTTATATTGTTATTAGTTATTAGTTATTAGTCATTACTCATTTTCCAGACTTGTGCTGATTAATTTATTACTGATCTGCTGTAGAATAGGTAGGTAGGTAGGTAGGTAGCTCTGGCTGGATAAAATTCGCCATCAGTGTCGTATTGTATCTGTCTGCATCTGCATCTGCATCTGCATCATATCGTATCGTATCTGCGGGGTTAGTTGGAATGTTAAATGTTCATCCTATCTAGTACATCCTCCTCCCACTTTTGGAGAATTTCATATCCGATATGCTGAGAAGAGTGGCTAGTACGGTACAGTGCATATAACTATGCAAGCAAGCATACATGGATATTGAAGAATACGAGAGTTGTTCGGTACCGAGAGCTGATTTGTGTGGAAGGTAGAAGATGCATTCATTATTTGTGGTATACATGTATGTATGTATGTATGTATGTATGTATATATGCCTTGTTGTCTGTGCGAATACAAGCTTTCTTTCTACGCTTTCTACGGTGTACTTTGTAAGTAAGTGGCTTTTCGTGGAATTTTATTTATTTATTATTATTAAGCATATGATGGATGGATGGATATTATGGTCGGATAGGATGGATAGCTAGGTAGGTATGGATATATGATATATGTAGTAGATAGTAGATGGAGTGGAGATTCGTACTCGTGCAGGAAGGAAGGAAGTGTGATGTTGTTTATCTACTGATATTTTTATTTTTATTTTGGGATTTGGGTTTGTTTGGGTGAGTGAGGATATTATTAGTGAGAAGAATCGGGCAGTCCGGACATACGTACGATATAAAATGGAGTAGAGGAACCGAGAATGGATAGGTACATTCGTATAACTTCATATGATTCATATGTATGATATGGATATGGATATGGATATGGATATGGTTCGTGTTGTTTGTGATTTGTGACTTATGATTAATGTCTTTCCTGAATGAAAATAACCAAGCCAAGAACCCGAAATGCTTCCATAAAGTTCAATTATCTACCTACCTAGTACCCAGTATTCTTTCCATGAACCATTTCAGAAATTTCTTAATTGTTTTCCATGGTTCATAGTTCGAGGAGGATGATTTGAGCGGGTCGAGGAAGATTATCATCGACAGCACTAAAGTACATTGATGACGACGGGAAAGTTTCATCTAGAAGCGGACGAGCCTACGAGGACTTATCTCAGGTGAATCGGTAATTTGGTCGAGATGATGAATGGGTCGGTTCTCTTGGTTGATTCGTTGCGTTTGGTTGAATGTGCTTGAATTGAATGTGCTTGAATTGAATGTGCTTGAATTGAATGTGCTTGAACTGAATGTGCTTGAATTGAATGTGCTTGAATGTTCAATGATGATCATCATCCAGGTTCGGTTCATCTACCAGGTCCTAGGATAGATCTTAGTACAAGAACGGGTAGAGTAGACGAGTACGGATAGGCACTTGCAAGAGCTAAAGTAGGTTCTCTTGGGTACGCTGGATTATGATTTCGATCCTGTTGATATGTGATGGCTAGGGATGAATAGATCTTAAACTTCTGCAGCCATTCCGTCCCTGATTTCGAAAGCACTTGTCTGATTGTGCTCGATGTTTACGGCGTGGTTTGCTAATTGACGAATGATATTGACCGATGATGAACACGGCAGAATCGATGGAAAAGAGCTTGGTGGATCATGAGTTCAGAAATACGAAATACGAAATACGAAATACTCCGTAGATATGGGCGTTTAAACTTCATTTTCTTCAGCTGTACCGGGGTATGTATACTCGATGCGGTAATCCAACATGCATATTCTTTGCCTGTACAGAGTGTGAAGTTGTGAATTTGGAAGTTATGAGGTTCTTTTGACCATTGAATGGTTTTGATGGCAGAGATGTGCATGAGATAATACTTGAAATGTGCAAGGGGAATGATTAATGAATGGCATGGGAGTGGTTTTGCTTAATGGCAAGAGAATTGACAGGGCGGGAAACGGTAGTATAGTTAAAGGAGGGGGAAGAGAAGTGATGGGGGGGCTAAGATGTAATGATTGCTGCGATTGCTGCGATTGCTGCTTTTACAATGCATATTAGATGCACGTAGATGCACATAGATGCACATAGATGCACATAGATGCACAGATATGCACAGATATGCACAAGTTGGAAGCTACCATCATCTACCCTATTAGAGAGTACAATGCACAATGCGAAAGTACTAATGTATATTTGGTATAGTGCCACTGTCCACGGGAAGTAGTGTGTAGAAAATGAATCCAAGCACTGGATTTCTTGGAACATTTTCGACAAGTGTAACAGTGTGCTGGTTTGGAGTTCGTACCTAAGGGGAAGGAAGTATCACTGTTAGTATGACAGAAGGGCTGAGTCGTCAAAACAACAAACTTTCCTTTTTTCACTTCAACTTGTGTCACCAAGTACAAAGTATTCCGTAGAACATGCTGAGCTAATCACTTAAGCATTAGTTCTATACCGACCCATGGCTAACGAGCGCCATCCAAGAAACTTTCCAACGGTTTTATATGCCGCCTCATCTTTTTTCTTGTCTGATACGAGTGCCACATGCGTAGATCGAGAGTTGGGTGGTAGGTAGGTAGGTAGGTAGGTGGTAAGGTATTGATGGCTGTTGATAAATAAGTAATAATTGTCATGATAGTAATAATAATAATGATAATAATAATAATAATAATAATACTACAACATAAAACAACTATTTCAATTACCTTCATCACCTTCGCCTTCACTCCTCCCCATCTCCAACAATTCATACCAAATAGTATATCGAATCATGCTGTCGAACGACCTCTGGTTTAACTTTGCAAGTTCTGAGCTTCGAGACATCCTGACCCCTTGAGGGAAATGCAATCTCAAAGTAACTTCAGAATGTCAGATAGCTCATCTCAATGTTTACTTTAATTGAAACTATCGTAAAGCTAATTCAGCCTCCTACACAATAAGGATCTAGCCATTTATAAAAAGAATTGTGTCGAAAAGAGGAAAGCGAGTTGAAATTCAACCAATGATATTACCGATTGGGATTCATTCCGTCATTTAGTCTAAACTTAAAGCAGCCATTTTTACCATACCAAGAAAATGGGTTGCCGCTTTCATTTCCTAAATATGTACACGACGCATTTTGTTCAATTGATTGCAGCGCTAGGTACGGACTATACTTGGTAGATTCCGACGGAAAAGAAAGAAAAGAAAGAAAAGAAAGAAGAGAAAATCATTTTTCGCTGCTTGATTTGCTTACTAGGTGACTATGATTATGGTCCAGTAGGTACAGTACGGGCGGAGTAAAATCAATACGGACATTCACAACTACCGCCAATTATTATTTTCGACTTTTTTCCTCTTTTTTCCTCTTTTGCCTTTTTCCCTATCTTTATCGACGCTACCGCTAACTGACTAACTACCACCTTTCTCTCTCTTTCTCTCTTTCCTCTCTTTCCATACATCATTCTTCCTCCTCCTCTCCTCCTCCTCCTCCACTTACTTCCTCCAAACTCCACATTAACTTCAATCCCCTACTACTTCCTTTTTTCCTTTTTCGTCTCCTTCCTCTTTCCTTTCTGTCTTCGCCCGCTTCTCGTCTCGTCTCGTCTCGTCTCGTCTCGTCTCGTTTTTCTATCGTCCAGCAAAAATTCAACCTTACTTTCGTTCTTATTACTTCGCACTTTGGTTTTGAAGAGGGCAGGGCTTTTCAATCTCTTAATATTTCCAAAAAAAGAGTCAAATGGCTACCATAGTCATCACCGTATGACGAATTTGTTGGATTAATTGACTGGTTGATTAATCGAATTCATTCAATGGGATACCTTGATTGATATCTCATATACTAATCCCGTTCGTTTGCAATACAGCATTCCATCCTCCAAACATTCCGTTAGCGGTGGTCCAGCAACAGCTAAGACATATATCATCATCGATAATCATACGATTGAAATAAACCATTAAAGTCGACTCGGAGATACTCACTCCTCAAAAGTAACCCATCATGTTTCACTCACGAGATTTTTATCGACTTGGGGTCGTTGCCATATTCATTTTCGCCCTGGTCGAACATGTCAACGGAATTGCTATGGAGTATTGTTCAAGCTTGAATACTGCCACTACCAGTGGAAGTAGGTGAACCCGCATAGATCAATCTGGGATATGCCCTTGCTGATCTTACCTCTATAGATTCCTCTATTTACCAGTCGGATGGTCTCTGTCACGATTTCTGCGCCGGTGACTATGCATTTGCTATAGTGCAAGCTGAATATTGTTGGTGTTCGAATTATGCACCTGGAACGACGACGTCGACGAGTGACTGCAGTTCTCCATGTCCAGGTTACCCAGATGATACTTGTGGCGGCAGTGGTACGTACGGTTATATGGGATTGGGATTATCTCCATCTGGGACAAAAGGTGCTACGACATCATCAACTTCTTCATCTACGACGGTCAGTACCCCAAATACAATCTTTTCTTCCCTTTTTTCCCCTTGACTTCTCAATTCTACCAGTCTTGTCAACATTTATATTGTTTGCAACGTGCCTTGACTGGCAATCAATTTGACTCTTTTTCAATGCTAGGTAACTACTTCGAGCTCGAGTCCTGTTGAAGTGACAACAACCGTCACTGAAATCTCTTCCATCGATCCACCCGTATGAGCATTTCTTCGATTTTGAGAATTTCTCGATTTTTATCTATTATAACATGGCTATGAGTTAAAGTTATCAAGCTAATTTTCCCGAATAGAAAACTACTACATCAACAAGTACCTCGGAAACCTCGGAAACCTCGGATACCTCCACTACTACAACTCGATCAATACAACAAACTACAGTAGCCGCTCAGCAAACAACCGCACCCGCTTCGACAAGTTCTACCTGGACACCAACTCCAATCATATCACTTGAAACTATCACAGGACAAGTACGTACGGTTACCGTTACACCAACTGCACCACCAAGCGAATCAAGCACTTCATCGGTCTCGAGAAAAAGTGCAGGTGGCTTAACAACTGGGGGTGCTGTGGGTCTCACAATTGGTCTCGTAGCTTTGATTGCAATTATTGTTGGTGTTACATACTTCTGTATAAGGAAGAGAAGGCAACAAAAGGCCGAAGAATACGCTGCCGTCAATAGTCGAAGGGAAAGCCTAGCTGGTGTAGGCGGACCGATTCCACCGAGGGGCATGAGCGAGAATTCACGATATGTTCTTGGTACCGATGGGAGACGTGTCGTAGAAAGATGGGAACCAGAATTAAACACACCTGGATCGAGAGGAAGTCAATTAATGCCTGTGGATCCAAGATTAGATCCGTTCGCTGCCGTTTATCAACGGGGAGAGAACAAGAGTCGAGAAAGCATAAACACCATTCGAGATGATCACGACTATTCTAGGCGTGTTCATCAACAAGGACCGATACTTCGAGCTGTCAACCCTGATCCCGATTAACAATGATTTCCACTTTCCTTTCTCGCCACACGATATTACGACCCCTCTACTTTCATCCTAAAAACATACACCATTTGCACGTTTTCACCGCGATTAGGTGAACGTTGGAGTTTTCAGCGAAACATATCGGATAATACCCTTACCGAAGAAGCCGGTGATTAATTGAAACATTTGGGACTTGACATAGAGGAAGCATGCGCCAGATATCATATTCAGCACTTATCAATTCGATAATGGTAATCGTCAGGCTATATGTCTACCAGCCCTTGGTGTGGGTTTCGAATTTTTCTTTTTACTTTTCAAACTGTATTTATAGATTTTCACGCGCATACGCGGTAGCCTTGTTCTGGATGAGATACTCAGAAAGAGATATCTTCTATCCTTTGGACTCGATTGAGATGCACATACGTGCCAGGTTGGGGTTTGAGAGGAAATGGGTAAAAAGCAGATGGGTGATTGTACATACATTGGGGATTGAAAATTAATTCCTCTTAGGAATACTTCTGGCTTGTGAATGAGTTGCTGGGATAGATGTAGATGGATAAGAAAGGAACATGGGGACTGGGACTTTCCAGCGAGACATACATGGACATACAATATTAAATAAAAAGAATTAATTGGTCTTTTTAAATGATGAATTTTTGGTTGAAATAAATGAGTGGAGAGAGATTTTGAATTGGTGTGAGTTTGTATAGAGAATTTCCTTTGACTTGGATTGTCCGTTGTATATTATTAATATCAGTAACACTTCGATAACACTATTCGTATAATAATATTATATATAGTTTTGTGTATTATATTATACATTTTTAATTATTATATTTTGAAAAAGAGAGCTATTCATCTTAGAACGAACTATCAGAAAAAGGGCTAGAACGAGTTACAATTGATTAACTCGCGAATAACATGGCGCCCTTAGTGAGGATGATCACGTGATGTTACGGTTCTAATACTTGTTTGTAGTTAGATGCTCGCGAGAGATGTGAGGGGGGAAGAGAGGGAGGGAGAGGGAAGGCGAAAGAAAGAGAGATGGGGAGAGAAGATTGTTGTTTTAAGTTGTGGAGATAGATGTATGTGGTTGTATTGGTGGGTTGGGGTGGTGGATGAGTTGGATGATTGATGGGTTGGATGTGTGATGGATGGGTTGGATAATGAGTTGGATTGGAGTGAATTGAAATGAAGATAATAATATATTATTATAACAAAGAGTAAATTAAAAAGAATATAATAAAAATAAAAATAAAAAGTATCATAAATAAAATAAGAAAGAGAAAGAGAAAAAAAGTGAAGAAAAAATAAATTTAAATCTAGAATTTTATTTTTGAGTTATTTATAATTTAAATTATCTTTTTATATCAAAAATTATCATTTTTATTTAAATAATTTTATAATCAAAATAATGAAAAATAAATTATTAACTTTTGAGTATTTTTATATTATAATTACTTGATTGAATAAATTAATTTCTTTTAAAAGACTTTTATATAATTAATATTTTATTTATTATTAATTAAATATTTATATATATATATATATAAAAATCACAAGGAATAAAAAATATATAAAGATAAAATTGAATTAATAGTATATTATTAAAATTAAATCAATTTTGAGTTTGAAGATATAATTTTTGTATTAATTTAGATTTAAATAAATAAATTATTTTAAATAGAAATATATAAATAAATAAATTATTTATAATAACTTTATTAATAATATTATATATAATAATTAAATTAAAAAGTTATAAATATCAATTTTTGTCATTTTTGGTGAGGAAAGTGGCCGGAATATAGGGTAGGGGACTTATATGGAAACGTTTTCGAGTAGCTTGATCTATCCTTCAATTTATAGATCTAGATTCCGCTTTTAAATGATAGGTTTGTTTATTATGGGGACGTTGAACTGAAAACTTCAAGCGGGATCCTATGCGGAGAATTATTCAGTTCGCTGTATCTGAGGACTGAGTAGCTATAGCTTCAAGGGTATAAATTGGTTGAATAATTATCTTTACGCATTTTTAGTGATCAAGTAAAGAAGTAAAGGAATTCTGTAAAGAGATTTATAATGAGGAACTTTTCTTGAGAGTATTTATGATAATCGAGATAATGGTGGTGCGGGCTTTGTGATGTGAAGTTATATTGAAGAGGAATTATGTCTATGAGAATACAGAGTTGGGAATTTCTTAAGGTTGCTGTTATCCATTTAATCATCATTATCATTTATTAACGTTTTTTACTTGCTTTTATTAACTTTAAGCGCTAGTATTTTCCATATCTGACATTTATCTTACCTCGAGTGCGGATAGATTAATAGACGTTACAAATGGTTCTGCTCAAGCTAAGAGACTCGAGTTATTGATGACAAAGTTCATTCATCCTCAAACTAGTCATGCTTTACATGAGATACGGGAAGAGGGATTATATAATCTGTACATTAGCAATGAATTGCTGAGAAGTTCGGAAGCTTGATCTTGACGATCACTCCACTTTAGTGAATGAAAGATAAAAGCATATGGATATCTAAAGCAACGGACTGCCAATAAGTTCTCTGCAGGTAAATGCACTAAGCTTGCAACACGATCCACTCCGGACTCCCTTATAATTCAATAATTTCTATTTCCAATTATACACCTATTTAAAAAAATCACTTATAAGTCGTATCCCTAAACCCAGCCAGAACCTCCACCGTCCTCGTCCCATCCTCATTATCCTTATACAGCTTCCTCGCCACCTCCGGATTCAACTGCAGTCTCTGTTTCGCCCTAACCCACTCCTCCATCGTAACCTCCTTCTCGAACCTCGGTTTAACACCCGCCTCCTTCAACACAGGAGAATCCAAAATCGGTTTCAAAATCGTATCATTATGGGGTCTAGCAAAATACAAAAGTCCCGTACGTTCATATTCCCATTGATCTTTGGGCGGCGCAACGACGCGATGGATAGAGGATTTGAGCCAGCCTCCTGTTAGGTGTGAGATTGTATCTGCGAGGTTGACGGTTATGGTGCCCGGTTGTGCGGATACCGAAGTCCAGTTTCCGTCGTCGCCGAGGATTTGGAGTCCAGCGACGGGTTGGCGGAACAGGAGCGTTACCGTGCCGAGATCGGTGTGGCCGGTTGTTTGGCCGTATCCGCTTGCTTCGTGTTCTTCTGGTGTTCGCTTGTGATAAATCATGTAGCGGTAATGATCTTCGCTTTTCTTTTCGTAAGTATGTTGCTTAACGAGATATTCTTCATCTGGAAGTTGAAGGATGATGGCGAAGAGACGGAGTAAAGGTAAAACGACATTTGAATGAAGGGCTTTAGAGAAAACTTCAATCTCTGGAAGATGAGCTTGGATCAAAGGAGGGTATGCATATTTTCCTTCGAAATCTTTGGTGAATTTGGGAATATTGTAAATTTCCATGTTATCTTTTACTGCTCCGACGGAGTGATGATTGTTTCGTCGCCAGCCGTTGTAATCAGCGGCTGCATAGTTGACTTCGTACTTTTCTTTCTCATCCACGGGAAGAGTAAAGAAGTTCTTGGCGAGTGTAAATTGACGATCTACTTGATCTTGACTGAGACCGAAGTTTTTCACGTAGAAGAAACCGACATGGTGAACGGCATGTTCAAGTTGTTTGGCAAGACGTTCTTTTCCTCCTTCATTGTTGAAGTCTGAGAGGTCTAGCGTCACGAGTTCAGCCCAGGGAAGGTCTTCCTTAGTCTCTGGTGGATGTGTGTACTTTGGAAGGTGATCAAAGTCATATTGTTTTAGATCCTGCGGGGATGGAGCAACATCTCGGGCTGATGCCACGATAGTTTCGGTTGTGGTAGTAGACATAATGTATGGATTCTGATATATGATGTGTGATCTCAGCCCAGATTTGGAGATAATAAATGACTCTCAATTGAGTCTTTAAGTATCAGATATCTCTTTATTTCTGGAATCTCGGCACGCATCCTGTCATATTGCTCGTCCGCCGTTGATGGACATCTTCAATATTCCATCATATGTGCCCCGCATGACACCATCATCAAATCGAGCGCTCAGCCTATATGAGACCACGATCATCCACTCAACTAGGAAATTGACTTGCAGCCTTATCGTTCATGCTTATCAATCTATATGGAGCTGAGAGAGCCTATTGGCGTCTTAAATATCTTGATAATTCCTAGCCAGGATAAAAATTGAGGCAAAATGTGGGATCGCCTAATTGAGGGGGTTAACAATCTAGCGGAACGAAAATACGTCCCATAGTCAGCGTCAATATGTTTAAAATAGTCTGCATCTCAAAGAGTGGGATAAATGTTTATCCTTCTCGAACTGAATGGATGCCAGGACACAATACGTTCGTGCAAGCGTTAGTTCGAGTCTTACCAAGCACCGGCATGAGATAAGAACGATGTTTTCAATTGGAGCGAATTGAATATTATGTGAAAAAGGCGAATGAAGTTCGCTGATGTCGCAATTTGATGCCTGTTAAGCTGTCGCAGGTGCTAGATTCACATCCACAAATCTACATGGCGAGGATAATTTCGAAATGGCGAAGTATTTTGGAACGAGTGCATATGTAAAAAAAAGCCATCCAACTTTTCAGTTGAATAGCCCAGATTAGTGCTGAGCTCGAGGTCAATTCCTGAGCAACAGGAACCTCCATTATGAAAGAAATCAAAGAGAAAGCTCTCGAGTCGAATGTCTCGCCTATTGATGCGAAATCAGCGGATGGCTCGACCAACTCCCCAGCATCACGCGAAGAGACCAATACCGAAGCCCAGTTGAAGCCATGGGAGAAATCTGGATTCCAAGGTTCTTCCCGCCGATTCCTACGAAAGATTCAAGGTTATGTCTGGGACGATCCAGACAAACCAGCCATCGAAAAGCGGTTCCTTCTCAAACTGGACCTTTTTCTACTCTCGTACGGATGTCTTGGATACTTCTGCAAGAATCTTGATCAAGCAAATCTGAGCAACGCATACGTATCGGGCATGCAAGAAGCTCTTAATATGAAAGGGAGTCAGCTGACATATTTGGGAAATGTATTCACAGCTGGCTATGTGCTTAGTCAAATACCTGCTGTAATTCTCGTTACCAACATTCGCCCATCAATCTTGATTCCTACTCTTGAAGTACTCTGGTCTATCCTCACTTTTTGCAGCGCGGCTGTTACCAATGTGTCACAGCTGTACGCCTTGAGATTTCTCATCGGACTTTGTGAAGGAGCTTTTTTCCCTTGCATCATATATGTGATTGGGTCATGGTATACAAAGCAAGAAAGAGCAAAGCGTGTGACCTTGTTCTATTGTACTGCCACGTTAGCCGGTATGTTTAGTGGTTATCTTCAAGCAGCAGCATACGACAATTTGAGCGGACACCTCGGCCATGCTGGATGGCAATGGCTGTTCATCATATGTGGTACCATAAGTCTTCCAGTGGGTGTCATCGGATATTTCTTCAATCCCGATTTTCCCGAAACCACTCGAGCCTTCTATCTCACAAAAACTGAGATTAGTTTAGCCAAGGAAAGACTTGTCCGTGATGGATACAACACTCTCGGATCGTCGGCTTGGGATAAGAAGAAGATTTTTCGAATGATGGCACAATGGCAATTTTGGGTTTTACCCGCTGGTTATTTCTTCATACAAGCTAGTCTCCCATCTCAGCAGCCAGTATTTGCTCTGTGGCTGAAGTCCAAAGGGAACTCAGTCTATGACAGGGATGTTCTCCCAACAGCCCAGTCCGGGATTGGTGTCATTGTCCAAATTCTAGCCGCCATGATATCCGATTCCAACCTTTTGCACGGAAAACGTTGGCAACCCATAATAGTGATGCAGCTTGGTACATTCTTTAGTGCAATTGTATTAGCTATCTGGACTGTGCCTATAAAATTAAAGTTCGTCGCATTTTATCTTGCATACTTCGCGGCCGGAGTGCCTGGTATTTGGTTTTCTTGGTATCCGGATCTTATGGCTCATGATCATGAAATGAGAGGATTTTTGATTGCAACGAGTAACATGTTTGGTTACATTATGCAGATTTGGTACTCAGATGCGGTGTGGAGAACTGCGGAGGCACCTAAATTTCGTCCAGGCTGGATTGCTGCAGCGACTTTTGGGGTTGCAATGGCTTTGACCGCTTTATTGACGAGATTTCTTGAGAGAAGAGATGAAAGAAAAGGCATTGGAGCTTTTGGTACTAGGCCAAACGACATGGAAAATCCGGGAGACCTTGCATCAACGGAAAGATCCTGATGGAGGTCTTGCAGATATAGATAGCGTAATTGAAGATATACTGTACTTTGACTTGTCAAGCTTATTACCCTTTTCTGACCCTGCCAAATTTCCTAAAGTTGAAGAACGAATCTTATACCCATTACACATGTTTTGATTTGCCTTCTGTGAGTGTCAGCCCTTTTACGCCCTTTCCAACTGCACAATAACTTGCTTTACCTTCCTGTGCAACGTTATGCTGGAAAGGTTCCCTATTGGATTTACCCTTCGAGTTGCTCAAAACCCTCTAAGAAACCTCGATATTCATTTGTCTCTCAGAGTCTCCTTTCTCAATTCAAATAGCCCCACTAAGGCTAATCTGGTTGTTTATGGGGGAGATAGCTCGAAATTCGTATACTCTTGTCTGAACAACTGGTTATTGTAGAAAAGGATATGAATCTTCCGACCTTGTTCACGCAAAAACAAGGTCAAAAAGTAGCCTTATGACTAACGAATCATGTGTTATCTCATCTTAGCATGAAATTCCAATCCAGTTATTCTGTCCCGAAACAATTCTTTTCGGCCGCAGGCTCCAACTGCAACCATCTCTTCGACCGCGCCTGCCCAAAACCAACTCAACGAGCCACATCTCCTTCTCGTCCCAAGATCATTGTATCCAGAGCCGGGACCCTTCTTGATTCGCTTCTATCTTCACCATGCTCACCACAATTCGTGTGATTCATCTCCTTTGAGATGTCTTCCCAGCCTGCCCAATCAATGTTGATGGGTAGGTATACCATATCAGATACGGTGGATAGATTTCAGTATGCCAAATACTCTCGAATTCTACCCATCGATGCATCTAATGGGTTTTTCTGTACAACATTTTCGATGGCTAGAGGTTCTCTGTTGATATGGATTATCTTCCGTGAGATGTTATATATTACAGGAACATGGATATTGTTCTCCAAGCGTTTCGGTTCCCCTTACGTAACTCAGAGAGACGTATGCACAAGTCTTTAGGTGCTCGAATAAGTCAGTTTTTATCCCCATCGATGACTGACTATCCCACGAATTATCGGAAGGATTAAGGATTGGTTTCATGTCAAAAGAAATAGATTTTCCTCCATTACTTTTTCCAATAATGATTGCATATTAATTCTATAATCCTTGAGTGAATCCTGCTGCTTCATGCCGAAATATGATGACTCTTGAAATATCGCAACAGAGCTTACCCTGTGATTTGGATCACCATCTCACGGAAAAATAACCTACTTCTAGACCAGAAACTGAGCCACTGCAAATTCTTCCAGTCGAAATCTGACTTTGGGCTGCATATTGTACAGCTGATTATTGAACCGACCAGAAGCATCATTCCGATATCTATGCAAACGAACCAAACCGGAGTACAATCGAAAAAAAAAATGCAGCCGATGGAGATAATTCCTTTTAGAATCTGGGTAGCTGAACACGGGAATTGCAGATTTTGCAGACGAGTGAAAGAAGTTCCTCCGAAGTTCTCAAAGCATGAAAACTCGGTAGTCTCCTATGAGACTTAAGTGGATTATCACGAAGAGAGTATAATCATCGTACATCGTTATGTAGCGAAGAATTCTAAAGATTTTCCAAAAAAACAGTAATGGATCTTGAAACCGGAGGGGAATGTCGTACATAGCACTTGGCTTTAGAATAAAAAGTGAATCAATACCATTTAACATATCTAACCTGTTACACCGCTTGTACGCCACCGGTATGCATTTTGGTATATGCCGATGGCGAATGATGTTTAGGAAAACATTCGGTTCCAAAAGCACTCGGATTCAAATAGCAAAGAACCGCCAAGTTGTTATGATAGGTACCTAAGCTTTCTTTTTCCTATTCGTTGCTGTCAGCCTGTATCAGGAATCAGGTAAGTTTTGAAACTTGATTGAAGCAAAGCCATTCGCAAATCAGATGTTCTCATAACTTTGTGAACTGAGGAAAAAGATCAAGAGATGCCAATACTCAGAAAAGTAAAGTGCTGTTTGAAGGAGCCATTGCAAATGGGATTAACTTCCCAGTTGCATTTATGTACATCAACTGTTAGGGGGGAAAGGATACACAGAGAGTTCTAAAAACTTGCAGATAATGAAGCAAAAGGCAAACTCATACCTAGCAAGTTGCTTTTCCAAAAGTGAATACCTTCACCAATCACATCTTGTGTAAAACAACCCAAACTAGGTATCCAATAGTACCAAGGACTACGAGAGAAACACACCTTCCAAAAGTAAGAACTCCAAGAGAAAAGCAAAACTAGAATCGAAAGTAAAGGAAATAACCGTTAAAAAGTCATCTTTGCTTGGTGGGGAATTCGAATCCCCGTTTCCTGCGCACTCAGTTTTTAATCCATCTGGGAGGCAGACAGGTTAACCACTACCTCAACCAAGCTCTCTACCACTAGACCATGAGGACTTTGATGCAAATTATTAATGTTCGGGATTTATTTTGTTATATCTCATAGAGAGGAAGGAAGGAGTCAATGAATGATTGAATAAGTTTGTAAAGTTGAGATGAGAAGGAGGTGAAGGATAGATGACGTAATCTGGAAAAGTAAAGGGATGACTATGACTGATGGGTTTTGATCACTTGGTCAAGTATGTTATCTGTGGATGTATGTCCTATTGAGTCAAGTTTTGCTTTTCTTGGGTAAAGGTACTTAGATGTTCTTGCAAATGTTAGTACCGTGTGTTTGTTGTTGGGGAAGGGGTTAATCATCTAATCTAGCGGTCACATGACTTCTGCTTCGCTTTCCATCAAAGCATTACTCGTCTCGTTCAATCTATAGGTTATATACCCTGAATCTATCAGTACATCATAGGCAATCACCCTGTTCAGCAATCATTCAACTTCCTATAACTACTAGCATGAATCAAGATAGCCTACCCAGCGTAGCTCATATCTAACTCATCTACTTCAGTGCCAACTTCCATTCTATAACTACCAACATTAACAAACAATCCCTATCCCAAATGCCTCCAAATATCTCCCGACAAAATACCAAATAAAAACCCATATGGTCATCTAATACTACTAACCTCACATTACAAGCAAACCAGAATCTCAAATTCAAATTCCACACTGAATATTATCATATATTTCTCGTACATCCGAAAACCTGGTTGACAATATCTACAGTCAAGAAATAATCATAGCTAAAATTGAATCCTCCTTAAACTTTTGTTATCACTATCTTCTCAGGATTCTTATTATTACCACTATGAAAATCTATGTTTTCATCATTAAACACCTCCAATCATACACTCGGTAATCCGTTGAAATTCCACTAATTTAGCACCCCTAAACAATACAACTCCACTGAAAGTCTTTATATCTTTAAAACTAACTATAACAAGGATTAACCGATTAACCAACTATCACCATACACTACCAGAATCTTACAATCCTTTTTCCATTAGTCCCTCCCGAAACAATATAAACCTGGATCTGCTATACCATATAACCACCGCAGAAAATACAATTCTACACCTATAAACCCTTGGCTTTCAACTCCCTTCCAAAAATGGAACACCCACTCACTCACCAACTTGAGTAGTCCGTAAACATACTTAGATACCCAGATACCATCCCAACATTCCGGCACCCAGATACCTAATCGACATAAATATACAGGTATAAGATAAAACTAATGAAATGAACCAAAACTCCAGCATTAAAAACACAAAAGACGAAATATAAGAACGTAGAAATGTGAGGATAGACATAAGGAGAGCAAAGATAAAAATGTAAAATTAAAAGAAGAAGAACAAAAAACGAAAAGAAATGCAATCATGGAACCCCTTCTTTCAACCATGGAATCTCAAATTAACAATCGAAAGACATTATATCTCTCCTCTTTCTTAACCCCTATCCCCATCTCAAATCCCTATCCCAATAAAACCAACATACAGAGCCAAATATACAATCCGACACATCCGAGCCCATGATTTCACACACCACATAACACTGACATTATATACCACTCACGCATAAACAAGCCCCCTCCTTGAGCTCAACCTCAATCTCAAAACTCATAAACATCTAACCTCTGAAACCAATCATCCATCACCCATCACTCAATTCAATAAACATCATATCACATCACCCCACATCACCCAACAAAACCTACCAACCACCAATATAAAAACAGAGGTCACTTCCCAAATACCAAGTTACCAAATTAAAAATAAAACACATAAATAAGATAGATTCCATTCCTCTAACTAATATAACCGACTACCATACCACATACCTCGTATCTCGTACCTCATATATCATTTTTAATTTCTCATCATATAGTGCATGTGCATTCGTTATGCATGCATGCATTTATATAGCCATAGTTATCATTCCAAGTGTCATTTAAATCATCAGATCAGATCAGTCAAATCAATCAATCCAGCAAAACAAACAATCACCACATCTGTTCTGTCCCTCCTCCTCACACCATCCCCATCCCCATCTCCACCCCTCTTCAAACCCACACCATCCCCATCCCCATCTCCACCCCTCTTCAAACCCACAAACCCAGCCCTACACCCCCTCACCCCCGCCTAAACCTCCCTAACCCTATCCCTCTCCCTCCACAAACAAAGGCCCTCCAAAAACTTCCCCACATCCCCCCTAACCCCCTTCACCACATCATCCTGCATCTCAATACCATACCGATCTCTATACTCCCTCTTAACCTCCTCGAGATGCTTGCGATCCCAATGATATCTCACTAATCTACTGATTAGAAGTTCTGTGCGGAGAGGGTCTCGCGTGGAGAGGGTGAGTGCGTGATGCACGAGGAGGGCGTCGCGCACGGGTTTGTTGATTATACCGTTGAGGATGTGGGCGAGGAGTTCGCCCTGTGGGGGTTGTGTTAGTTGGTGGTTTGCTTTTTGTTTTGGGGAAGTTCGATAGTTGGGGGAAGAAAGGATGAAGAGGGAATAGGAATGAGGAATGAAGAATGATAAGTAGAAGTACAAGTAGAAGAAGAAGGAAAAGAAAAGAAAAGAAAACATACAACAAGGTTAGTACTCTTCCCCAACATTTCCCTCGCAAAGTTCCTCCCAAACTTCTCCTCATACCCCCTCAACACCTCCCTCAAATGATTATCACTCCTTAAACAAACAATCTCAATCATTCTCGTCTCACCCCCCTTCTCACTCGTGACACATTTCTCCAACTGTCTAATATCCTCCCTAAGTAAATCCCCATCGATCCTCCTACTCTCCTCCATCCTCTTCTCATCCAACACTAGCAAAACCGCCTTCTTGAACTTATCCTCCTTGAGTTCCTTCTCCATACATTGACGTAGAGAATCCCGATACTTCTTATCACTAAAGCCATCCTTGATCTTTTGAATCTCGCGATTCGATCGTCCCATCAAACTCTCAATTAGTAATTCCCTACGAGATTTTTCCCCCTGATACCAGAAATTAGCCCAGTAAGCTTCACTCTCCCATTGTCCCAACGCAACCGCATAACAAGCCTTCATCAAACTCGGATCTTCATCTTTAAGACGCAGCTTAATATGTTTAGCAATATTAACACCCTTCCTCTCATGACCCGTTTTAACAATCTTCTTATACTCCGTACGCAAGTCGAGGATTTGCTCATGAGTTAGACCAGGGAGAATGGTAATCAGGGGATGCACATCTGGAGCACGATTTTCCCCTTTCAATGCATCGCGTAGCATTTCGGCTTCATCTTGGGCATCGTGGAAACGCGCTGTGCGGCGGAAAGATCGATCTTCCCCTGATGGGGATAGTGGGGAGAATGTCTCGGATATGTCGGAGTGGGAAGTGACCATGAGCATTGGGGAGGGCATGGGGGAGATGGATTGATAGGTTCCCTTGTAGGATTCGAGGAGGGGAGATGGAGGGGCATTGGCTAGACTGAGAGAGCCGGAATGAGAATGACCACCAGGAGATAAACTCAGGGAGCCATGGGATGAGTGACCGAGATGACCACTAGTGTTGATGCTTAGGGTATTGAGACGATCGCCCAATCTAGCAGGATTGGGGGAAGCATCACGACGAGAACTAACGAATGATTCCGAGACGATTCGAGAGCTACTGCTTCGAGCCGATGCACTCTCATGTCTAATATGTCTCGGAGGAGAAGAATCTCTACGAGCATGACCGTCTCCTCCAATTACCGTCTTCCTCGTCGTACTCGAAAAGGTAATCTTATCACCAGGCTGTGCATATTTGTACGCCGCCGGGTCTGTATACCTACTATGTTCATCTTCTCTCTTGCCATAACCAGCGCTTACCCATCCACCTCCAGCAACAGGACTAGCTGGAGTACCATATCTCGCGCCTGGAGGACCAGGGCTAGAAAGATCGGAGACTTGAGAACCGGTGGAAGATTGAGCATAAGAATGGTCATGAGCAATACTCACACCACCGGAAAGAGAGCCATGATGTTTTCCAACGCCGGCAGCAACATTAAAACTTGCGGATCTCTGACGACCATGGCTCTCCTCAAGTCTGCGAGAATCAACGCTCAGATCGTGCTCGCGAGGTGAGGCCAACCGATCGCTGAAGGTACTATAAGTGGGGGTATGAGCATCCTTCCCATAGCCAGCTGCACTTCTCGGCACAGCAGCTGGAGACGGCTCGCGAGAACCATAAACATTGATCTTGGCGGGAGTACCCGGGATATAGCCCTCTCCATAAGTCAAATTGTCAAACTGAGCCGGAGTATGCAATCTCTCATTATCCCTATCCCTCTCCGTGTAGCGCACCTCATCAATCTTCAAGGTATCGGGAATACCAGCTCCAGTCGTGCCACCGAATCTCGATGCACCGAATCCCGCTGTAGGATTTGGACTTGAATCCCTGTATCTGTTCCTGCCAGTGCGAGACTCATCATAGTCGAAACCTGGCGGTGTAGGTGCATTCAACCCCTCTACCTCATATCCAGACCTCGAACGCGATCTTTCGCGTCCGGGACTCTTACTCCTACCCCTTATTTGAGAATCTCGCGGGTCGAGCGACATCGTTTGATTTGATTTCTTGAAATGTGCAAGGACTTGTCGAAGAGTGAGTGGACAGTTTGCGAGATATGCAATTCCGCGAGCCTGTAAGTATGTAAGACAGCGATTTGCGTAATTGTCGTTTTGCTTCGTACAAGTTCTTCTTCTCCCTCGTTATACGTTCGTACTACACTAAATATATCAAGCTTTTACTCTCTTCCCCTCCTTTCCTCGAATTCACTCAATCCCAAGCTGAAGTTCCAGCTCCCACGTCCCGAGGGTCGAAATGAGGGTCTCTCCTCTGGTCTGGCCTGGCCTGATCCGATCCTATCGAAATGAAGCTCGTGTGATCAAAAAAGTGTTTACCCAGAATCAACTCTTCAAATTCTTCAAAATCTCCAAAAATTCAATTCCTCAATAAACTTTCACAGACAGACAAACAACCTTTACCTGTAGAATATACCTTTAAGTTCTACTGAAACACGTACAAATATCACCAATCACCAAAACAAACAACACCGTGTACAAAAACCTATCATCCTACCAATTTTTTCAGCTCCCCCTCTTTACTGGGTCCTCCTTCTGTGGCACCTTTACCCTTCCACCCCATTCCCTCACCTCACTACCATCATCCTTGATTGTTCACGCAACCACCATTCGCCATTTGTTGTCAACATATGACAGGCTACAGGCCACTTATGGAGTACTGTGTGCTGCAATGCATGCTTAGGTAGTACATGATCACTAGCTAAATCTGGCTTTGCCCAGATGTACGAGGAGATGATCATTATTAGTTATGATTTGTTGATTAAAGTTTTTTCTGTTTATTTTCTTCCGCGGCAAACTTCTTGGACATACGGAATCATTGCGATGAGTGGACCCTTGTTAGTACTCCGTAGGACTTGAAATGGCATGGGGGACCGGAGCCTCTAATTACTAGGGATTACGTAAGATCATTCTTTAATGTTGTTTACACTGTTTACACTATCGATCAACAACAATATCAGTAAACACCATTCAAAATTGAAGAATTATTATCATTATTCGCTATTGAGACTTAACCCTTAGCCCTGGCTTTAGCCTTGGGTACAATTTTGGTTATCCACACATAACGCCGTATTCCATGAATCTCCATCCCAAACCAAAGCTATGTTGCAAATCCCTGCTGAACCTCAGTGAAATGCAGAACTTCAAACAGTAACGAATTGTCCGATTGCAGGGATGCCATCTACAAGAATGTAAACAACATATGGTCCGGGTGGTGCCACATTGTTGTTTGGTGGTCGGGTAACAGTCAACTTCTGCTGTGTTGCACCAGCGACGAAGCCTGTGTTATCCAAATGCAGCATGCGATGACCCATGTGTACTGAATGAGTGACGAATCCACCGTGATACAAAGTCACAGTAACTGCTTTTGCACCAGCTGGGCAATCAAAAGTAACGTCGAGTGTGCTGCCGTCTGCTTTGAAGCTGCCTGAAGACAATTTCACATTGGTCGGACGCTTATTGGCATTATTACCTGAGAGGTATGGAGGAACATAGTTCTCCACTCTGAACTCGGTGACATATGGGTCGGCCGCATCAGGCTTGAGCTTTGGCATTTCAACAGGGTTTGAGCCAGCGATCATGAGCGTACCATCAAGAAGGAGAAGGGAGACGGAATGGTAAAGACGTGGGATGGTTGAAGCGGCAAGAGTTGAGAATCTTTGACCCTTGGCCTTTGTGGGATCGTAGAGAAGAGCTTCCAAAGTTGGGGCCTTTGCGAGTCCAAAACCTTGAGCACCCAAATTACCTCCGTTAAGCCAAATGACAGTTCCATCGGGAAGTAAGTTTCCTTCAACCATACCACGACCTTCAGGCATAGAATCCAACTCCCATGTGGGGTTTGCACTCAATGGCTGGATCCTTCCGCAACTTGGTTCCGTTGGGCTCGTGATGTCTTGATATGCACCACCACCGCAGATGACGATATCAGGGTTCCAATTATTCGCGCTTGATAACGGAAGCAAAACACTTCCACCAGTATTAGGATATGTGCGGTAGTCTCCTGCGAGTTCGGGTAATTCCTTGACAATGGTGTTGGTACCAACATTGAAGATTTGAGAAGACTTTGAGACAAAGATGAACAAATTTCCATCATTGAGGAGATGGACAAAAGGATACATGTAGTAAGGTTGATTCTTCTCCAAAATTTCCAAATCAATGTTCTTACCTTGTGAGACTGCGGTAGGACTGAGGATCTCGTATGTAGGATTGTTGTTCGTGTTAACAGTTGGATCGAGGCCGTTTAAACTTCCGGAAGCAACGAAGATGGTTCCATCAGCCATAGTCTGAGCAGTAGCATACCAACGAGCACTTGCGAGCTTGTTACCTGGCTCACTCCAGTCTTTGCCTGTCAAACTAGCATCCGTAGACGATCGCTCAAGGTATCGAATAGCGGTGAAACCATCACCAATGGTTGGATCAAGCCATGTCAAAGGTGCATTACCTCCAAGAGAAACAACACGACCATCTGCAAGGAAAGTACCTCCGGAGCAGAATGCGTTTGTCTTGTAAGCTAGAGGAGCCGCAACACCATTAGTTGCTGGATCATATTCTGAAGACATGGCGTAATTTCCGCTTGGCAATCTTAATTGGGTGTAGTTCTCCAACTTGTCGAGGAACATGACCCGGCCGTTTTGCATTAATGCTGCGTGCATAGCTGGAACTCCAGATTGACCGACGATGTTGAATGCACCTCCTACTGGGGCAGCTGGGGCAGGACTTGCGCCTGGGGCTGGAACCGTTGGTGCGTTCAAACAATTTCCCGATTGGCATCCGGCACCGCAATGAGCATTGGTGTTACCACTGTTTTGTGTTAGGCTATTGAAACTTTGCGATTGACGAACCAACTTACCAAAATCCGTACATGGAACAACAGTTTCCGTTTGGCCAATTACCGCAAACAGTACCGCCATTTGCAGTACCACATGAACCATCCGTAGTTACGGGTGCGCTACTGGCTGCGGCAGGTGAGAGTGTAGAAGTAACTGGAGCAATCACTGGTTCTTGGGAAGTAGACGAGGGTGCTGCGCTACCGCCAGCTGCAGTGGTTGTAGACTGTGCAACAGTTGTAGACTTCGCATCTGTGCATCCATTCTGGCAGCCGCTCGAGGCCAAACAGTGATCAGGGGTAGAACCACAATAGCTAGAAAAAGATGGAATCAGCATTTATTCCATATGTAGACTCTCAAGAAAGAAATTGCACAAAGCGATATTGAGAAAAGCATGACCTACCCGTATGAAGAACAACAACCACCAAATGCTCCTTTTGCATCACAAGTAGCACCACCGAAAGCCTACTAAGGTCAGTATATCATTGACACCACAATACAATTTTACAGGGCCTTACAGAGCCGCATCGACCATCAGATCGAGGAGAGGCACCAGCCGGTGTTGTAGTTCCGCTGGTGCATCCAGATAAACACCCAGCTCCGCAGTGACTATTAAATCAGTAAGTACTCAAGGATGATAAGAATATATTGGTGTACTCACGCATCATCATTTCCACACCAGCCGTATGACTATTTTCTGAATCAGTTACTGATCTTCTATTCTTCTTTGATGACCTACCGAGCAGCATGATCCTTTATAAACTGTACTGTTTGGATCGCAAATAGTGTTACCATTGGCAGGACCACAGGTACCGTCCGTTGAATAGACAGCTTGTCTTGGTTCGATGGTCCGATCTTTGACGGGAACCGGGTAATAACGAGATGGCATGGGAGTGGCTGGGACATAGCATCTGTATGAATGATTAGCTTCATACCGTGCATGTAAAAGTCAGTGATTACTCACTCTCCCGTTCCGTCGTCAGTACAGTTCTGGCCTTCGAGGCAGCCATAGTACAGATTCTGGCTTCTAATATCACACTTCAAAGGGACATGATTGAAGACGATGTTGGCGGAGACAGTGGCGATGAAGCCAAAGGACAGTAGGGTAGCCTTCATGGCTTCTAAAGGTTACTTTGAACAGATCAGTATGGTCGGCGTAAAACTCAATACAGAGGTGAGCGACAAGTGGAGACAAGTAAATATTGGAAAGTTGAAGGAAATTCGAAGATACAAAAGGACGGCGAGAATCGGGAGTCTTGGAAGTACCATGAAGTACTATATATCTCCCAGCCTTGCCCCATCGCATTGTAACCAAAGGCTGTGCAGATCAATAACAACAATATTTACCCATTCACTAGGTAACCGCAATATACTGCGCCCGTTTGGCAGCAACTTGTGATAGATTGGTTGCATCAAGGTGAGGAAAGGCTGAAGTAGCGTGGATAATGAGACATTTTGACAACTCACTTTTCTCTTATGATAAGATTTTTATTACACAAAAAAAAGCAATGCGATTGCTCGTATGTATGAAGGTGATTATTCTTCGACCAGGTGAATTAATTGGAGAGCGTTAAGACCATAGGATTCGATGATAAAATATAAACAATCTTCAAAGGAGTGGACAGCAAGCCCCGTGGAAAGATCAAAGTCTGGCGGGTAGGTGATTAATAGGAAAATAGTATCTGAGGGCTTGCTAGGAGTGCAGGTGTAGGGTGTAAGGTGTAAGGTGAGGTTGAAGATGGAGGAGAGATGGTAGGTAATTATTACGGGTGAGAGAATAGGTAGTAGGTAGAAGAGAAGAGGAGAGAAAAAGGTGAACGAAGATGGAGGCAAAAAGATGATGGTATATATTAAAAGAAGTAAGAGCCTGTTTCCCTAGTAGGTTCTTTTCAAGATTTACTTAGGATGGAAATACCCAAAAGACTAAATTGTGATTGGTCTATTATCGTCATTGATATTTATATGTAACATCGAGAGTCAATTATAGGAAAGAGTGGATGCCGAAAGTAGAAAAATAGAAAAATAGAAAAACATGCGATCCTGTGCACTTCAAGCGTGAAAATGCTTTTTTCGTCCAATGTTGCAAGGCCGTTGTTGCCGGCTCCTTGACCTACTCCGTACTCACTACCAATTAATTAGTATCTACCTACAGAGGAGTGTATCGCCAGCCAACAAGAAGTTTTCCATTCGGACCCTCTTACTTATCCGAGGCTTTATGATTCCAAGAGACCTGCGGTTATTCTGCAAAGTACAGCAAAAATAATATGGATTGCAAAGACCATTCAGCCAATTGCGGTGCATCGCATTGATAATTATAGCATTACTGTATGCGAGAATGATATGTTCTAGTTAGCTGACTTTGTTTGTGCCGCTGATGGTGAGTTCGACCTTTGGCAAGTTATCCTCACACAAACACGGACAGCCAAGTTCTGTAAGCTAATTGGTGGGGGATAATCGCAGATCAATTAGATTATTTAGGAGATCTCTTTAATCTAATAATTTCATTGGTTCACCGTCTTTAAGCTTCTTTCTTACTCCAATGGCGCGTTTCAAAACAAACATCCAGAAATTCAAAAGGCTAATGTGCATTGACCTAATGGTCGGCAGCCTTCCTTGTAGGTGCATAGAGAACCCCCGCAAATAAGTCTCTTACGCGCTTTAGGATGAGATATTTGGTTAGAAGCTCGTATCTGCTCGAAAATAAATGGAGTCCAAAATGGAAAATGTGACAAGATGGATTTTATCGTTGAATTTCTTCTACCACAATTGAATGCCCCGTGGCAAAAGCCATCTCTAAAGACTCTAATAAGTATACAATAGTTAAGAGTAACCTCAAATGTGAATTGCTGCATGCAACGAGGGATAAACGTGGCACAGAGCCCAAAGAGGTTCTCGTTCACTAATTTAGCGACACAGTTGCTATGCGCTTGGATCCATTCACACTTATCCATTGTTTCCCTCAGCTTCCGAATCGATGGTCTTTGGTCGGAATTTGTGACCAGGTCTCGTGGCACGGAGGCTGGCCAAGATTGATGAGGCCTGAATGCAGGGACCGATCAATCTAATCTGTAGGCTCGCTCGCATAAAGAGGTCGACAAAATGAGATGCATGTTGTGATGCTCGAGACACGAGCACACGCAAATTTACTCATACGATCTCTGCCCGGACCAAGCAACTCCATCGCTGTTGATATCTAGGTATCGATATTCGAGGGTGCATCTTGTTATGAGGTTCGTGTGATTCCGAGATGGCATCTGCTGGCCATACCTCGTATATGCCGTGAGAGTCGGCTTGCCTTTGAGTTTGATCATTTGATTTCCATGTGACCAATCGTCTTTCACCAGTTCAAATCTGTTTTCACTGTACCCATCTTTTGTTCCACGGCGTCAGCTTTAATTTGCTGTTTCGCTGGCACAGCATCCTCTTCATTTCCCTCCATGAATTCCAAATCTAACGACCACCGTTTTATCTCCTCTTCTAGAAGTCCTTCCCATTTCTTGAGTAAAGGGTGTGCTGCAGCAACGTCGGGAAATACAACATCCTTTCCTTCCTTTTCCCCTGGGACTTCAAATTTCCATATTCCGTCTTCACCCCACCACTCCCTCGCAAACACCTTTTCCGTCTTTAATTCCTCCTTGGCATTCTTAAACAATTCTTCTAACCGGGACTTCTCGCTCGTCCATTGTGTATCTTCGGATTTGCCGGCAGACACGGAGACCGCTCCAAAAATTCCTTCAAGTATTCCTATAACTTTTCCTATCCTCAGACCTAACACAGCACCCAATCCATAGCCCTCGTCAAATCCTTTTTGAACACTTTCGGCCTTTCCTTTTGTGACACCATCCCTATATCCTTCTGTTTCATGTTTCTCTTTTAACCTTGGTATATCTGAAATTTCTGTATTCCCGCCTCCAAACATGTCTCCATCGTGGCCATCCCTGACGTCAAAAGTTGGAGAACCTGGTTCAGACCCAAAGACATCGTCGAAATCGTCATTATGAACGGCAGGCTCGGATGGTGAGATGGAGAAACTACCGGAAGACATAGGAAATTCGTTGTCGCGAAACATTCCGATCGCGGTATTTATCAGTTTTGGATATTTGGATGAGAATAATCCATCGCGATCCAAGTACTCAAAAATAAATTTAGTGATGAAGAACGCTTATCTAATCTATGCTAGTTGTGATTGGCCTTTAAATAAAAGTGGTGACGGCAGAAATAAGCGATAAGATTAAAGGGCCCCCCGTCTTGTTATCCCCTCTGCCCTTCTAATCATCAATAACATCATATTGTGTTCCCACGAAACAACAAAGTCCACTCTATCACAGTACACAGATGGCCATTGAAACCTTAACGACAGTGTTTAACAAAGACACATCATACATTAGCAAGCGATTTAATAATCAGCGAGGACTGCAAGTGCAATCATGTGAGCTTTATCAAGACGTAATAAATACTGGAAATTCAACATAGCGATGGGTTCTCTACCGTCGACCACTCATCTCCCGGCATAAAGTATGTAACGAGAGCCAAAACAATTCTCGATTTTCGAGGCATTCTATAAACACGGGTAAAGCAAAATCAATGCAAAAAAGACAGAAGATTCCTTTTGGAGCTTGTCACCAGTTCCTTGGTCATTTCACCATTTCTTCCTACGTGTTCCATTCACCCCATTCCACTTCAATATAAACTCAATTCTAGCTCTTTTCACCACATACGACCATAGACTGAAGAGAATTGGGCATCCCGTCCGCTCTGCCATACACAAGCTTCAGATCGGTGGATTAGTAGTTGGGTGGGTGACCACCAGCGAATCCCCACTGTTGTATGTATATTTTTGCCCTTTTGCCTTCATCTTTTGCTGAACTCATTGCTAGTAAGCTATGTATCGAGCTTGCTCTAAAACTGTGATGGAAAAGAGGTCGAGGTCAAGGAACCACTAATTCGGGTGATTCACTAAGAAATGATTCCGGGTACAGGTAATCCTCAGGAAGGATCATACAAGAGCAAATTACTTTTATTGAATTTTATTAGCCTACGATACATAACAGATATAAGAAGTTTTTGTCGTAAAGGAATGTCGTAAGTTTGCCAAATCTTGCCGTGTCTAGGATGGTTCCCATGGAACTGCCTATCCCCATCCAAAAGCTACCCCCATTACCTTTTCAATACGCGATTAGAGAAATCCAAATGTCCCATAAGTACTAAATCCTCCTCCATTCTCTGGCCCATAGCATTACATAAATACCAAAAGAAATCCAATGCTATATATTGGCATCCCAAATCTGAAAGACAAACCCATCTACAAAGCAGCAACCACAGCTGCAAGAAGACCAACCATACCACCAACACCTGCCAATCCAACAGAATGCGCAGCATTTTGTGTGACCTCTCCAGCTGTACTAGTGGCAGTCGGTCGGCTTGTTGTGAATGTTCCATTAGTAGGTCTAGAAGTGGTGGTTGGACCAGTAGTTCTGGTATCGGAAGCAGTAGTCGAAGCCGGACCCGAAGTAGTAGATGAACCAGGAGAAGCCGAAGATGTTTCTGAAGTAGATGATTCGCTACTGGTAGTAGCGGTGGACGATCCTAGATTGTCACATTGATTTGGGGCAGCTTGAGCTTGTTGTAACTCTCCAGGGGCAGTGCATGAGCCTAGGATACAGGGGACTATAGCGGTGGAGATGCCGGCCAAATTGGATGGTTGACATTGGCAAGCTAAGTCTTCAATGTCGCAATTGGTGCCTTGGCTGATGGCTTGAGTGATGCAGGGACTCTGTGGCAGTGGTTAGTGAACTAGGATTGAGTATGAAAGGAGTTAAAGAGAACATACTGCACAAGCAGGCTGACCCGGGAATTCAGCCGCGGAGATAATCGTAGCAGCAGCCAAAAGGATGATTGAGAACTTCATATTGAGATAGATTTCTACTTTAAACTTTGAGGAGAAGATTGTACAATGATTTTATGAGTTGAATAAGAAGCTATAATCAATTGAGGAGAATTGACTTGCAATTGAGAACGATGGAGAACAAAAGGATGGAAGAGGGGTAAGCATTAGATTTATATGAGAGCTTGCGCAACAAAGAGTCGATTCCTCAGGTAGGTACACATCATTCCTTTCAATGGCGTGGGTATAGGTAGATAGATACCAGGCAATGAATATTTTTTCATTCCTGAAAAAGGAGAAAGAAACACAGGGACTTCTATGGATGGATGCTCTTGTATTATTTGATTCATATCGATCACTTCTTACTATGTTCAGTCTATTCGTAAACTTTCTGCAAACCAAAAATCAACCCCTATCGTTATCGTCTGCTTTAAACCTATCGCTGCCAGGAATGTTAAGTACATCCACCCTAGGAATCAATTATCCGCAAAAGAAGGCTGGAAAATAAAAATATGCGGGTATACGGTACAATATAAAAAACCTCCAGAGTGGATGGACAGACAGGGCTGGAAAATCATTCCGCAAGTCTCCGGAAAGGGTAATTGATTTCACATGGTAAATTTCTTCATGACCGCAATTGGATGTGACATTCCCATAGTAGTAGTAGTAGATGTGCTATGTGGATGTGGATGTGGCTGTGGCTGTTATTTTTTTTGTGGGGGCTGGAGAGCTCGATGGTTCTTTGTGTGGTGATTGGTATGAGATTTGGTGAGATTAGTAGGTAGCTGCAGGAGGTTGGAGGTTGGAAGTTAAAAGCTGGGCGGGAGGGGAATCATATTCCTTGTTAAAGCTGGGCTGTCGGGCTGTGAAGCGAGGATTGAGGAATGTGGACGGGGGATTTTTTTTTGGATTAGGGAGCTATTCAAATTTTTTAACCGAGGTGTAGCGTGTTAGTGTGTGTGCGATGAATATTTAGAAAGTACTTGTATACTATCTAACTTTATTACTATGTGCTTCATATCTGTCTACCTTGCTCCGATTTCTCAATTACTCTCACCCACTCTATTGCTCTCATAAAACTATAGTAACATTACTAGTACACAAGGACCCCTTTAGTGAGCCGAGATTATTCCTGTAGGGGCTTTGGCAATGCAATTATCATTTGCTGATGATTGATTAAAGATATATACGTATACGTAACTTGCTCACAAGAAACAATGCTAAGCTCCAGGAGAATCATATTGGCAAATGATCGGTTAGACGAGGTTTGTGTGAATTTTCTAGAGTGATAATACTAGCAAAGTTGACAGACACGATAGCTTGTCAAAATGTATTCATGTCCGAGATGACGCGCCAAGCAGCTACAATGCATAGAACCGTAGCAACAGCCTACAGAAATTGGTAATTGTTTGATGAAGTAGGTTTGATTGCTAGAGTAACTCTTGGATATGCAATGGTCAATTGTCATCGTATCTTTCACCACATGCAATGTTACTCGTGCGGAAGCAGCCTGCCAGATATTGCTGAGATATCCCGCTGGCATCTGAGTCACATTCATGACGCAAGTTATACCGCAGGTTATTGACTGGATGGTTGTGCCATTGCTTTTGTGGTACACGTTGAGCGGAAAGTTACGAAAGTAGTCAATAAACTCCGTCATGGAGTTATGGCAAGGTTCCACAACCTCATCCCAAAGTAAATCCCCGACGGATGAACGATTCAGACTTCTGTTGCACATCTAGACTCAGATCATTCCCGAAAATGCAGGAGATGGGAAGATTAGATATTAGATATGGAAAGATTACAACAATTGGTTGATGATGGGCATTCAAATAAGCTCCAATTGGCGCAAGATTCCATTTCCTGGTCTTTCTAACGGTGAGGATCCTGCTCATCTAAAGAAGGTCCTACTCGACGAGGATGAAGATCCCATCGAATTAGCTCGGACAGGGTGTCACATGCTTTCTGGTGAATTTGTATGGAATTAACCTGGAAGACTAGCCAATGTGCTTGGGAATTATATTGGTGCCGACCACTTATGTGTTAGATACATTCGGACAATTTGGTATGTGCCAAAAGTCGAAGATATTCCTGAGAAAATTTCAAAAAATCAACATGGAGGATGGCTCAAGTTTGTAGTAACATTCAAGGCTTGTACTTGCAAGCAGTGGATACAATAGATTTAGAACCAGAACGAGGGACAGTCCACAGAAAACATTGCGTCTGTAAAGTTTCATGATATGTTCCTCACTGTCTACTATTTTTGTAGGAGATCGTGATTGTAAATCAATCAAACAGTAAACCGCTAGGTGTACCGGGTACTGGTCTATGAGATTGTGCAAACCAAAATCAAACAATGGAGCAAGCATCTACTATTGTTAGTGCTGAGACCCGGGAGCCGAAGAATGAAGCCGGAAGACGAATCCGGACAACGAAGATAGGGACAGGTTACCTCGATCAAACTTGATCAAACCAAAAATACCTATGATCTGGTTTCATGATTCGATATTGACAAAAAAGAAAGAAAGGGAAGGTACAGAAACGCAGAAACCACATATATCGGTCTAACCGGCACGTATTGCTTGCTTATCGATAAGAAAGACCCCTGATTACTATTTACTGTACCTAGCATCAGCATTTCGGCTCGGCAATGACTCCTTCAAAAATAACCAAAACAATTAAAACAAACTTGGGGCCAATCAATGTCAGCCTCTTGTTTCAACATCTTCTATTTATGTCTTCATAATCCCTTCAATTCTCTGGCAATTCAGCCAGATATAATCCGCCATGTCTGCGGATATCCCGCAGACTGAAAATATCATGCCCTCCACCTCGAATTCCAACAATGAAAACCCCACCAACCCCTCCTCTGCTGCGGCAGTCAGCGGCCATTTGCGCGCGAGAACAAACACGGCCGAAATTGACAGTACCATCATTCATCCTGGTAGTGTGAAGATTAATGTTACCGGAGCATTTATAGTCGATCAGGATTCGGCGTCCCCGAAGGAATTGAATGTGAATGAAAGGAATTATGATACCAAGGATATCCGGCTGCCGAATCATACGGCGGTGGTCAGTCATATTGCTGTAGATGTACGAACCCGTTTCTTTGGCTTATAGCTATCTTCCCCAAAAGTTTACTGACATATGTGTAAGATTGGAGGTTCTTTAGCTAAACTCGTATACTTCTCGAGGGAGGCGCATTCGCGCGAACCAGGCGGAAGACTCAATTTTATGAACTTCGAGACGGATAGGATAGATGACTGCGTGGAGTTTATGAAACAGCTGCAGATTAAGCAACAGAAACTCAATGGATCGAGACCGGGGGATTTATGTGTGATGGCAACGGGCGGAGGAGCATATAAATACTATGATAAGATTAAGGAAGCTCTGGGTGTTGATGTTATAAGGGAAGATGAGATGGAATGTTTGATCATTGGTATGTCTCCCATGCGACATGTCTTTGGATGCAGTATAATGCTAACGGATGAGTAAACAGGACTTGATTTCTTCATTACCGAAATACCCCGCGAAGTATTTACTTACAGCGAAAGAGATCCTATGCATTTTACCTCGCCGAGCCCCGATATCTATCCATACCTGCTCGTCAATATAGGCAGTGGTGTATCCATGATAAAAGTATCCGGACCACGGGAATACCAAAGAGTTGGCGGGACCTCTCTCGGCGGTGGGACACTCTGGGGATTACTTTCTCTTTTAACAGGAGCTCGAACATTCGATGATATGCTCGGCATGGCTGAACGGGGCGACAATGCCAAAGTCGACATGTTAGTAGGTGACATATACGGCACCGACTATGGTAAAATCGGCCTGAAAAGCAGCACAATCGCAAGTTCATTCGGCAAAGTATTTCGCATGAAAAGAGAAGCCGAACGATTAGCCGAAGATTCAGGAGGACAAAATAACAGTGAAGAACCATCGGCTTCCTCCCATTCTACCCAAGACCCACCATTTTCCCACGAAGATATTTCCCGGTCCCTTCTCTACGCAATATCCAACAATATCGGACAAATTGCATATTTACAATCTGAAAAACATTCTTTGTCGACGATATACTTTGGGGGAAGTTTTATAAGAGGCCATAGACAAACGATTAATACATTGAGTTACGCGATCAAATTCTGGAGTAACGGAGAGAAAAAGGCAATGTTTTTAAGACATGAAGGATATCTTGGAAGTGTAGGAGCATTTTTGAAGAGGAAACCAGAGGGATGGGGTAGAAGAATGAGTTTTGAAGAAAGTGAGACAGGGGTGAAGGATATTGGGGAGGAGTTGAAGGCATTGAGGAGGGAGATTAGTAGGAATGAATAAGTATAACAGGTAGGTATAAATTGTGCTTGGTCTATTCGCACTAGCGTTTGGGATAGATTGTTGTAAGCTTAAATTGCAAATGCGCTTTCTATGCGCTAGCGGAGATATGGAAGTGGAATCTTCCATGTCTTAGCGGAAGAGGGAAGAGAGAGAGAGAGAGAGAGAAAGAGTTATAAAATTAGTTGAATAGTCGATAGAGATAGTGATAACGATAGCGATGGTTAGGATATACAGCGATGGATGAGTAGGTAGGTAGGTAGGTAGGTAGTGGATAGGAATACTCAGCGAAAATCAGTAAAGGAGAAGAATCATAAGATTACATAGAGCTCCCCATTTCATCATAGGTTACCTTACTGTAGATGGATGATGATGATATGATTTATTTGAAATATACCTTTTACCGCTTCCTATGCTAGAAGATACTCTATCTAGGTAGGTAGGTAGGTAGGTAGGTAGCTATAGCCGGGATTGAATTGCGCTTTGCACATGTTCCTGATAATATCGAGACTGGAAAGTCTCAAGGAGGTCATATTGCATCATATCATCATATCATTCAGGATATGTAGCAACAAACTAACCCGCCAGAAACCTTCCACTGCCTACTTCCTTCTCTCTGGCCTCCTTCATATCCTTCCCACTCGCGCCATTTACACTACTCCCATCTTTCACGCTCCCGTCTCTCGATTCCGGCCCCTTCAGACTTGATTCTTTATTATCCCTTCTGGTCTTTGCTCCCGCTTTCAATATATCCCATCTATTCCTATACTTGGCGACTGTTTCTCTTAACTTTTCATTTTCCCGGAATAGTCTCTCATTTTCTTTATTTCTTATCCTCATTTGTTCTTCGAGTTCAATTAATCTCCTTCTGATCATTTCATCATTTGGTCCTCCACCTGGACTTCTATCTTCAGGGCGCATTAGGCGCATACTTTCTTGTAGAGCCATACTACTATTCTGCGCTGCCATTTCGAATGCATGGAGTCGGTTGCTAAGTTTGTCGATACATTGCTTAAGACTCTTGTTTTCAAGATCTAATTCCTCGATGCGTGTATCTGTTTCTCTACCAGCAAGACGGCGATTTCTTTTCGAGTTGCTCGGAAAATTAGGCATTGGTGTTTCACGGGCATCAACAAAATCATCCTCGTCATTTGGATCAGGGAATAGATCGGGATCTGCGCTGTGCATGGAAGCTGCTAAACGACGTTGTTCTTTTTTCTCAAAGGAGAGAATATGTGCGTATGATACAGTGTGACCAGTGGTAGGAACGACGTAAAAAGAATCATTGCCTGGATGACCATCACGAGCCATTGCACGAAGAGCTGGTTTAGATATGTACTTGGTGAGATCAGGCTCTTCAGTGGGTATCCTTTCCCTGCTCCGGGGTTTACTTTTGCGAGTGGTTGTGGATGGTACCTCTAGTGACGTCGGAGACGGATCGGTTTCCGAGAATAGAGGTAATCCAGCAAAAGCCAAGGGAGCTGATAACTTATAGACTACACTATTGAAGGCATTGTAGAACTTAGAGAACCCCTCATCTTGGGCAATTGCAAGAGATGATTTGGGCTCGGCGACTGCAGATGTTCGTGATGTAGAAGTTTGAGGGTCTGCTTTGTTTTGTGTAGGTTGAGGGGGAACCCAACTAGGCCTAGATGTAGTATACTCTGGAATGGATGGAACTTTCGGTCGTTTGCTAGCTTCTCGCCGTCCTTCAATATTAACTGGAGCTTGTAGAGACGATACACTTGGTGAGAGAGACGGGCGATTATGACCTGAGCGTATACCTCTTGCAGAAGCTAAATTGCTTGCGATTGAAGAAGAGAGTTCGCGCGGAGGAAGGCGCCTAGGGGTTTGCGAGCCTGTGGCATTTCGAGCAGTGGATGCGCGACGGCTAAGGTCTGATTTCGAAGCGCGTAATTCTGTTACAGCTGCAGACGGCGATACTGGTTTTTCTGTGACTGTTTTGATCTCGGCCTCGTTGGCGTTCGGAGTAACAGGATGTTCGGCAGGGTATCGAAGGAGTTCTGACAGCCGCTGGTGATGGTGTTCTAGAAGTCTTAAAGTCCTCAAAGCTTCTGCGCTTCCAGTTCCTGATGCGGCTTTTGCAAATTCTCCGGCAGCCAAGGCGTGTTCATTTATTGCAACAGTTGTATCGGAACTATGCGTCGCAACAGCTGCAGCGCGAGCGTGATCATGGGCCTATATTGTTATCAGCTAAAGGGGAAGATGATGTTTGAGCGAATAATAGCAACATACCAGGACCAAGGAGGATGCTTCCATGGTAGTCAAATCTATGGATATATCTCTAACATACAGTCAACTCTTGAGACGGTCGAAAAAGTCGATTTGAGCTGAGTAGTATTGGTTGTCTGTTCAAAGGTTTGGAGAATGAGGGATAAGAACTGTATGTAGGTATGCGGTCATCGGATAGGGATAGATTCCGGGGTCGTGGAAATTGCTTATCTCTCAGGACTAACGCGGTTAGTTCTGCATTGTACAGGGAAATACCTATCTATCCAGTAAGGTTACTGACTGTAGCTTCCAGACACACAAGGCAACACAATAAATAAATATCATTGAATCACCCCTCCGATTACGGAAAACATGTTGTATTGGAACCTTCGATCGGTAGCATAAGTTCCAAGTTTAACTAACCATATCTACACAGGCTAGATCCTTCACTGGCTGCATCTAACATGTCCCAGGAAGCTTCCCGCTTGAAAGGAACAAACGCAGATCAATTCGTGGAAAGTTAAATCTCGAGGCAGTTTCAATCATGGGAATACCAGTTACACCGGTAGACAAACGGAAATGTTTAGAATAGCATGACATGACTGCGGGGTTGATTAACTGATAAAAATACCTGCTACCCTACGTACATACCTACACCGTGGAAATCATTGGAGCCTCAAAAATCCCTTGCAGGTTGTGATCATATCATACATCTATACTCATCTCATACACGAGATCGTGATTGTATCATACATCTATACATCACCTCATACATGGGATCTTGCAATCCCCGTACCTACCGATGCTTACCTGGTATTTTATTATTTTATTATTTTATTATTTTATTATTTTATTTTATTATTATTAGTGCTTCGTACTTGCTCCGCCGCGTACCTGCTCCGCCGTGCCTGCTCCGTACTCCTTAAACCCGAAAAACTGGGTGATAGCGCGGCAAATATACCTTCCTTGCTTTTGGCTTTTGGCTTTTGGCTTTTGGCTTTTGCCTTGCATAACTCGACTTCTCGGCTACCAATGACGTGAAGAGCTTCCCAAGACAGGCAGAGCTCTTGGGTTCGTTAATGACAGGCAGGCAGGCTTACGGAGAATTGAACTTTCTATGGAGTCCTGATAAGTAAGAAGGAAGGGACCAGGTAGATAGGTTCATGAAATAAACTCTCTGAAAAGGTCCCTGCAGTACCAGTGTTTGCTTGTTTATTTGTTTGTTTCTCTTCCGGATTATTTATTTATTTATACTTGTCAATTATACCATCCCATATAAAATATCAATCAATTGCAACCCATTGGGGCTTCAATATTAACGGCGTCATACTGTTCAAGCTTCCCGAATCGAGAGCGACATTCATGATCTCTAATCCAGAAGCAAATCTCATTCCAGCCCAGCCCAGCCCGATTTCGAATTCACCATCATACCTACCTCCTACCTTGAATTGATTTCATAGACTTTGAACCTGTCGTTCGAACTTACTTACCTGCATATCAATATTTTGAATTCGAAAGATTGTGCTACACCTGCGATCCATTCTTCCTCCGTGCATGATACATCTTATTTATTCAATCTTCCAGGTTCCTGGTTGAATCCCCCGCCATGGACGACATTCCTGCCTCGCCCACTGCCTCCGAATCTTCTAAATCGACGGGCATATTTTCGAAGACGCGAAGCGTGAGAAGGCATAGAAATTCGGCATCACATTCAGTGCGGAGTAGCGCCAGTGAGATCTCGCACGGAATCCGCGCCTCATTAGAAGGGGCGATAGATAAGTTTAAAGGGAATTCGGATTCCGAGACGGAAAGCCATCCATCGAATAACCTCAAAAAGTTTGTGTCGAAAGGACTCGAATCGAAAAAGAAGCGGTTGCAACGAGAGGAGGCCGAACGTTGTTTGGCAGAAGAGGTCGCAAGAGGAAGAGATGTTGCTGAAAGAGGAACTTTGGAAGATAGGGCCAAGAATCCCATCAACCGAAATCTCTCGGGTGGAAGTAGTTTGATAACATATGATTCGGAATCTGAGTCGTAAGTAATCTATTTCTTCCCATCGTTTGTTTAATTTGAGTGCTCCAACGGTTGCTCTCCTTTTCTTTTCTATTCTTTTCATTTCTCTTATTATCTCATCTCCCTTTCCCCTTCTCACCGACATTATCTTTCAATCGCCGCGCGGGTATTTCATGGTTTGAGTCGTGGGATTACCATGAGACATGGTTTAAAAAGCGAAATGTTCGGAAGGACCCATGAGAGGCATCTCAGGCATCACAATCACAACATCACAGGCTTCTCCCCATCAACCTCGTCAATCTTGCATACGGTACAGTTAGTTGTACTCTAAAGCCACAACATCAACATCGCATTGTCATCGAGTTGCTTCATTTGCACTTAGTACCTATTTTCTCGTACATCGCGTACATCGCGTACATCTCGCAACATTCTGCCTATTTTTAGCATCCGTCTCTGCTTTGACATGTGGAGAATTGATCTTGGCTTGGGGTGAAATTAAGTTTCTAATCCAAATTGCTATTTTGATAGGGCCGGCGAAACACGTCCACCATTGACGACGCATCCTTCGCATGCTGGATATCTTACTTCCTCCTCTCCACTCATACACACATCGACGCTTCGACGAATCAGACCTTTGCCAACTCAAGCAGAAGGGGAACCCTTCCCAACCAATTACACAGACAGTCTGGCTGCCTCAGACTCAGCGATCAAGAGCCTCTCCCAAAACCTTCGAGCTCCCGTCGACGGAACTCAGAGACGATCGTCTTCTCCAGTGGGTAGATTAAAGGACGTATTTAAACCCAGCCGTGGCTCAAGCACAAATACAAGTCCAGACCGCAAAGCTGGAGGGGGAGGGGCTGTGCAATCACTAAGTACCAAGGACGGTGGGGCTGATTCCAGGCGGGGAAGTCTCATAACTACTAAAGTTGGTTCAATATTTTCCGATAAACAGTTTACCCCCGGCAAGTCCAGATCTACAACCTCATCTCCTGAGAGGCCACAAGTGTCACAAGTGGGAAAGAAGCTCATCACCATTGACACAAATCTCCGACCGCAAACTCCACCCTCCGCGAACCAACCAGCACCTCTTATTGTCAATACGCCTCCAACACCGACTGATACAAGGTCATCGCAATTTACTTCTGCCACTAGCCTCGATTCGCCTATTAGATCCGCTTCGAATGTTGTAGTTTCTCCTTCTGGAAATATGATATCACATCGACGAATTCGATCAGGTTCTGCGTCAGGAGTACCTAGTAAATTATCTAATAGTCAATCTGTGCAATTAACCCCAACACCAGAGAACGCAGCGGGTACATCAGGTCAGGGTCAATCAGGGTTTTTCTCTTCAGTCTTTTCTGCCGCTCAGAACGCTGCCAGCACGTTGAGCAGCAGTATCACCAATACATCAGTCCCAGGAGGAACAAAAAGTAGGGGCGGTGCACAAACAATACCAGGTGTACAGGAGATTGAGAGCCCGGAAGTCGAAGCATTAGGAGAGAAGATAAATTCAGACAATCTTATGGAAGATAAAGAGCCAGCGGTTAAAACGTTGGGCATGGGCGATCTTAGCCTGAGCCAATTTGGAATTTCAGAAGAAGGAAATACGCCAACAATGCCGAAATATCCAGAAGAAGCCCGAGGAAGGTCTGACCCAGCTAAGGATGACCATTTCTTCGCGAATCGTTCGGCCACAGCACCAAATCTGTTGACGGGTGAAAATCTGGAAGCTGTCTCTACACCTCAAATCGAAGATTTACATTCTCTTGCTCGTCCACGTTCTGTATACGCACCAAGCACTGCTGGAGATCGGACTCCTCCAAATGGATCGGTGTTCGAAGGGAAATCTGGTATTCATCGTAGCGGTAGTATTCGAAGTGCCATCAAACACAGAAAAAGGGGTAGTTCTGCAGCAACCGGTACAACAGTCGGAGCTGCAATTGCTGCTGCTAATTCCTCTATCGGAAGCCCTGGCTCGGGTGCGCCTAAAATTACCGGATTTGCTGTAGCCAGCAAGAAGAGGAATCGTGACTTTCACGCACTATTCAGAAGTGTACCTGACGATGATTATCTTATCGAAGATTATAGTTGCGCTTTACAAAGAGAAATTCTTGCCCACGGTCGATTGTACGTATCCGAAGGTCACCTGTGTTTTAGTAGCAATATCTTTGGTTGGGTCACAACGCTGGTCATGAGCTTTGATGAGATCATATCAGTAGAAAAGAGAAGTACGGCACTACTTTTCAAGAACGGTTTGATGATCTCGACCTTGCACGCCAAAAATATTTTTGCTAGTTTCACAAGTCGTGATTCAACGTACGATCTCATAGTTGGCATATGGAAGATTGGCCACCCGAATTTGCGAAGTTCACTAAATGGCGTGACCCTTGAAGAGACTGGTGGTGGTGATAAGACCGAAAAATATGATGGCGTAGCTCCTCCTTCTCGTCCTGGCAGTATCTCACAATCCTCAGATGATAGCTTAGGGAGCGGGGAAATATATGATGAAGATGAAGATGATGAAGATGGCATGAGTTTCACCCAAGCCGATGGTAGCGTTGTGGGTAGCGAGTTGGGTGACAAGGTTGTTAGTCGAAAGGCATCAGCTGCGATTATGGCAAATGGAGCTCAGAGCGAAGGAGGTAAACAGGCTGGTCCATCAGCTGCGGCCGACTTTCCTGGCCCAGCTACGCATGCACCTACCAACTGCTCTGACGGCGACACACATTACGCGAAAGTTCTTGCGGACGAAATCATCCCAGCGCCTCTCGGGAAAGTCTATAGTCTTATGTTTGGACCTGCATCAATCACTTGGATGCGGGATTGGCTCACCAATGAACAAAAATGTCTCGACTTGAATTACGAAGAGAACGCCAAAATACCTTTGTCCTTAGATAATAAGGTTCGAAATTATTCATACATCAAGCCACTCAATGGTGCTATTGGTCCTAAGCAAACCAAATGTGTTTCTACAGAAACTCTGGATGCTATGGATCTTGAGAAGGCACTTTCTGTGACGATATCGACGGCAACCCCTGATGTACCTAGTGGTAATGTTTTCACTGTCAAGACTAGGTATTGTCTTTCATGGTCAGAAGGTAATGGAACTCGAATGCAAGTCAACTGCGCAATTGAGTGGACGGGCAAGAGTTGGCTGAAAAGTAAGTCCCCTTGACATTTCCAAGTTCACATAGCTAGCATACTAACCCTGAAACAGCTCCAATCGAAAAAGGTGCCAGTGAAGGTCAAGTGCAATATACGAAGGACGTCATTGCGGCGCTTAAAGCAGCTGTCGGTACCCGTCGTTCTGGAGCACAGGGCCCTATTGGTAAAGGCAAAAGGAAAGGTCGCAAAGGATCAAAAGCAAATAATCTTAGCAAAGTTACCGATGGTGCTTCTGAAGCTAAACCCGACGCAACCAATTGGGGCCTGTTTGAACCGTTTCGTGGTGTATTTGAGCCAATTGTCGATATTCTGGAACCATTAATGACGGGCAATATACTGTACGGGCTTCTAGTCGGACTTCTAGTGGCAAGTTGGTTCCGCTTCGGGTTTCCTATTGGAGGTGGTGGGAATAGAGATTTGAGTTTGAACTATTTAAGTACTCCAGAAAGGATCGCAGCGTATGAAGAGATTTGGAGGAAAGAAGAAAGTGAACTTTGGTTGTGGCTAGAGGAGAGGGCAGGAATGGATAGATTAAGAGATGTGGGTAGGATGCCGATCGAGAGATTAGATGTGGAAGATAGATTGAAGAGTGAGGGCATGGAGGAAAGGGAGGTAGAAGAAGCGATCAGAATTACGGAGGAAAAGTTGATGGTTTTGAAGGATGTCGTAGGCAAGAAAAGGGATAAGGCGAAAAAGTCACAAACACAGGAGCAAGCGAGTTCTTCAAGTGTAGTTTAGCGTTTTTTGTTTTCTGATGAGATGGATACCTTTGAAAGGATGGATTGGCGGATACATATGGGGTTGAAAGATGTCAAAGACATACAGCGAGCGGGAAATATATGGCATATGGCATAAGGTATATGATGATGCCATGCAGCATGGTATGGAGCAAACATCATATTACTACAGCGTAAAAGCTCTACTCAGCACAATACCACACACAGATATCACTGTTGTTGTTGGTTTTTTTATTTTCTTTTGTCTTATCTCTCGTTTTCATTTTTGCTTTCATTTGTTTTTGATACAGGTACTGATGTTGATATTGACATTGACATTGATATTTGCAATTGATATTGTTTCATATGTCTATTTGCATTTGGCTGGATGCGGATTATTCAATATTCAATATTCAATATCCAATATCCAATGTTCAATGTTCAATAAGTGGACTTGGATGGCGTTTTGGGGCATTGGGAATGGAAATGGGATTAGGATGGGATTGGGGATGGGGATTGGTGTTTTTTTATAGAAGGAAGGAAGGTATTGTGTCTTGTGTTTTGAGTTTGAACTGGCATATCTGCTGTAGCGATTTTTTTTGTTTGTTTTGTTTGTTTGTTTTGTTTGTTTGTTTTTGGTTTGGTTTTCGGTGGTGAGGGGAGAAGGAGAGAACGGGTGGGTGGGGGAAGAGAGAAGGGCGGGAGAGAAGCGGCGTGGGGAGTGCAGGCATAAGATAGTTTGACAATTATACACTGTATTGAGTATTTTTATTGGGGCACCAAATTTGATAGTGGGATGAGATGGATTGAGTTGGGGATGGAGGGTTGAGATGATAGGGGTTGAGATGTAGGAAGTAGATGCAAGGTTACCTGGTAGTTATGTAAGTAGAATGAAAACTATATTATATTATATTATATTATATTATATTATATTATATTATATTAAATGAAATGGGTGGGATGAGTAGATACATTGCAGGGAAATAAGGAAAGGGAGTGGAAAGGAAGCGACATGAGGGAGGGATAGTAGATGGATGAATGTTTATGAGATGATATAGAATTTTTGGATGAGATTTAGAGAGAGATTGAAATAGAGTTGAATCAAGTGTATGTTGATGTGGCATTGATGAAAGGGAGAGAAAGAGAATGAGAATGTATGGGTTAGTTGGTACATTAGGGTATATAAGGAGAGTAGAAAGGTTGTGGACGTATAGTTGGTGTTACAAGAAAAGGAAGATGGTTCACCAGTTTATTGCTCTTCTTGTTTTTTTTGTAGTAATGTGGCTATCTTGATTGACTTGAAATGGTGTATAATAGAAGGAAATGGAAGAAAGTATTTGATACAGACGTATAAGTATATATATTTGAGCGAGACGAATTATCTAGATATTTGAACAGCTTATAATATCTTGTGTTGGAAAACCGTATGTTGAAGGAACTGAGATTACTCTTTCCGTGGCTGATGCATCAGCAGATGGCTAGATGAGTACCTGAAGAAAGGTCTCACATATGTAGGTCAGAAAACGCAAATACTCATCTGATAATCTGAATTTGATGGAACTAATGTGGTTATCCGTCTTTCATCTAACGAAGCTTATTTGTATTGATTGGATGAAGGAAAGGAAGTGTATTTTTGCTGTAGAAGGTGTTTCGGAGAATACATCCCTTGATGACCGGTTGTATCTACAAGTAAGGGTAATATTTAGAATACACCATGATATTTAATGATACTGTTCTAGTACTTTGTGTTTCCATTGATCTGTATTCGAAGAAATGTATATAAGACCTTGGACGATGTGTATGTATCTTGTACTCCATGAAAAGAAAGAAGGGATATATCGATGAAATATGAACTCAACCAATGGAAACATCAGCCAATCTTAGTCATAGCATGAAGCGGGAGAAAAGACAGGACAAGCTTAATAAATCCCTGAACCATGCTTCACAATCCAATCCATGCATAAGCTATACTACAATGCCAACACAACACTAAAGATACATCCCGCAACCAAGTTTCAAATCGAGTATGCTGAAGTAAAGCTTTTCCCTAAAAGATCTTTCTCTTCTTCTATCACTATGTTTTCTTCCCAGCCTCGTCAAACTGTTTTATGACTTCCAGTGCTGATCAAAAGGAAAGTCTGCATTTACGATAGAACGACTGACTATATTCTTCCGTGCTTTCAGAGGAGTAACCATTTTCGTCGACTTGTTCTGAGAGAAAGGATGTTATGATATTGAGCTTTGGAAAATCTACGAAGGAAACGAGAATTATACTGTACCACGATTAGTATCTGACTGAATACTCCAAACGCTATCGACGGATTCCATTTAGTACCTACGTCAGTCAATTGAATCACATCATCCATCTCGTTGATAAATCGTCCAATTTCCAATCATTTCAGCCAAACCGAACATTCCACCAAATCATCGAGTCGCGCATGGACGGATACCCACATCTTCTCCATCCATGTGTACTCTAGCTCTGTACTCGATCACAGCAAAAATAACCTGTTCCCGAATCGCCCTCGACGAGATTTGCAATTGATTCAACAATTGTGCGAGCATGATATCTTCAACCACATCGATATATTCAGAAGCTTCTCCTCTGTTCTCTTGTCAATCTTTTATCAATTCCTTCAATTTCAAGAAGTGGTAATTCAACTTGCGATTCAAGAATCCCATCCTCAGAACACCAGGGCGACGAAACAAACATCCTTGCGCTTCCTTGCGGTCAAGCTTATAATTCTCGACCTTCACACAAACTCCTAAGCTTGTCGCGCTTCCGACTTATATAAATAAAACTTTCGACTTGAGAAAGAAAAAGAGCTGAGATAGATCCCACCTTCTGGGCTTTATTGTTTTGGCTTGGTCTATGATAGTTGAAGGTGCTTTGGTTTAACTCACCCAGCCTTCTTTTTTTATCTCCTTCGTTTAAAAATAACCCACCTATTCGTCCAACCTCTTAATATCTTCACACCGAATAGACTACGATCTTCAATTATCCTTCGACTTTTGAAATTCACTCTTTTTGGTTTTGACCTTTGGTCCTCTCTGCAAACCCTCGAGGGTACTTTGTCTGGACTTTCTCTCCAGTTAAATTCAATAATCAACAACTTGCAACAACGACAACAACTTCATCAATAAACCCAATACAAACCTCATCCTTTCTCTATTGCCCTTCATTTTTAACCTTTCACTATCTTACACGAGGAGTGTTTGTCTAGTTTACCCGTCTTTCGGGCATTCCATTGAGCAGCCTTCGCCTTGTTTTCCTCTCCCCCAGATTCAAAAACTACAGCAGAGCTGACGCTCCCACCCATCTCCATATCTAACGACCGTCACGATACCCACGACCCTATTAAACCTACACCTGAACAGCGCCAGCGGCGGAGAAGGCTTCGAAAAACTCACATTGAAGCGACTTCTGCAGGGATCTCTCCTCCACCTCGAATAAGATTCGCCAGGCGACAACCAAGTGAAGACGATTTCACTCATGACTGCGAAGACGATCCCGAAACTGAACCTCATCCAATAAGTGAGCAACCCTCTCCAGCTCCAGCAGGAGAAAAAAGTTCTTCCCATCCTTCACGTATCGATAAACATACTGCGAGTGCTATCCTTTATACACTCGAAGAAGCATTGCGCCAACCCAACCCATTCACTCCAGATTATATTGAAGAAAACGCTTCAATGTCAGATTTGTTAGGCGGAGCTACGGGCTCGGTTAACAATGCCGCTAGGCCAGCAGCTTCAGGTTCACCCCACATTCGTGGCCCTAGAGATATTATGAGAGATAGACAAGCTCGGGAAGCTCGAAAAGCATCGGAAGCATCCGAACAAAAAGCCAGAGCAGCCGAACAAAAACGAAACGAAGAAGAATTAATGAGACAAGCAGAGAGAAGAGCAGCTGCTGGCGCTGCAGCACAAAGAATTGAAGAACGTGGTGAAGGACAACGGATTTCGGGCAATTCGCAAAGAATAGATCGAAGAGCTGGAGATCGAACAACCAGTGGTGGAGAAACTATAAAGCCAGTTGATCTACCTATGCAAAGACGTAATACTTCGGCACGAGCTCCTGTAGGCCCAGAAGTTGCACCACTTCGACTTCCAATGCAGTCAACAAAACCCACCGAGACTGGCGGCACAAGCCAACCAGGTTTATCCACTGGAGCTGGCCCAACTCAACCTACACCCTTGACGATTCCAGGCCGTGAAGGCCCGACTCGATCATCGTTTCCTCATGCATTTGAGCGCTGGGAGACTCTCTCTGCACATTGGGAGGGTCTAACGAGTTTTTGGCTTCGCAGACTTGAAGAAAATTCCTCCGAGATCAATCGCGATCCGCTATCACAACAATTATCTCGACAAAACACTGATCTGTCAGCTGCTGGTGCAAACCTGTTTCATGCCGTTGTCGAATTACAACGTTTACGGGCTTCATCTGAGCGCAAATTTCAGCGGTGGTTTTTCGAGACAAGAGAACAAGAAGAACGTGCTACGGAGAACTTGGCAGTAATGGCTAAACAATTAGAGGATGAGCGCAACTCCAGAAGTCAGGCTATAAAGGAGGCTATTGAGGCGGACAGACGAAAGGATCACTCAGAGAAGGTTATCTCCGAGTTGAAAAGAGAGCTAGAGATCGCAAGAAGTGAGGCTCGCAGAGCATGGGATGAACTTGGTCGTCGCGAGACGGAGGAACGTGAGCGAACAATCTCTCTACGAGAAGGCCAACCGACATTATTAGGTGGAGTCCAAGTCGTTCCAATGATTCAAGGCGTTCCAAGTCGACATGGAAGCACTGCCGTTAGGGATCTCCCACCAACGAGACAAGGAGGCCCCTCGGATTCTGGAAGCGGAAGTGTACGGACAGGAGGCCGATTTGCAGATCCTGAGAGCCCCACTGGATCCAATGACGTCTACCAACAATACCAACGCTCTCAGCGTGCCGAACCCGCTGATCCCTTCATCGATAATGGTCGCCAACGTCGAGCTGCCGCAACGACATCTGCACCATCCTCGGCCGGTGGAACACCATATACCCAAGCACCGGCTGTACAGCCCGCATCGCCCGGTACCTACTATCAACAATCTGGAGGCCATCCAATTAATCCAAGTACCCAAGCCGGCCGGACCGAGGGACAGTACGACGGATCAAATAGCGATGACGAATATGAGATTGACGAACAGGGTCGCTATGTTCTTGATGCTGATGGCAACAGAATTCGATATTCCAACGATGTTTCGGACAGTGATACAGCTGAGTATGAGCATAGTCCTCGTCAACATCGTCAAGGCCGTGCTCCCATTACTGGACCTCCGATCCCAATGTCTGGCGTCGAGTATGGACAAGGTCCAACGACAAGCACAGCTGGCAATCCCGCTCCTACTCCTGCTACCACAGTAGACTATTCAGGATCTGGATATGGAGCAGGTGGTGCAGGTGTAGGCTGGGAATCATTCCCTCGTCACCATCATCCAACTCGTCTCAGCGATGTCTTGGAAGAAGATGAGAGAAGTCGCACAAGTGCAAGCCAGGTCAGTCGACGAGAATAGACATGATGGTGATCATATTATTATGACTTCTCGGTGGTTTTCCAGCGAATCTATCATCACATCATCTTTAGTTTGCTTTGCTGGATTATTATTTGTATTTATCTACTTGAGATAAATTAGTTGATTGAGATCATGAAATCCTTGGAAAGGATGTTCTATGGGGTACTTACTTCGTGGGAACGGCGTACTTTTGCTTTATTTTATGTCCACTTTCCTATCTAATAGAATATCCCAGGAAAGAGCGGGTGAATTGATTCCCTGGTAAATGCATCATGCATGGAACTGGCGTTGCAAAGGAATTTTTGGTAAATTAATTTGAGCGAAGGAGCATATTCAATTCGATGCATCAAGCGAGAGGGAGGAAGGCACCCCTTTTATGTACCTCTGTAAGATAGAGGAAGAAGCTGCATATAGTATTGACTAAGGAGTTTAGAGTAGCAGAGATGGTTAATAATGAAAGGAAACTTAATATATTTTTGAAATGCTTTTTTGAAATATGATCTGAGACCCTGTAGCGAGGGGGTTGATCTTAGGAATGCAGATGAAAAAGAATGATGCTGCTTTGACAGAAATAATTTACAATAGTAAAAAAAGTGACTAGACTAAAGCAGCATCCCAAAGGTGACCTAATCAATCTGGAGGTCAAAATGTTAAGCAAGCATAATTGGTTCCATAATTGTTTCCCCTCTATATTTGTAACCAAAGGAATCATGTCAAAAGCTATACTATCTACCAGCAGAAACATTCTCTCCTCGATCTCGAGGACTAATGCGAATAATGCGAATAATGCTAAAGCTTTCGGGGTTCAATGCCAACGATTATCCACGATTTGCGCCGCAAGGCTTCCGAGGACTGTACAGAATAAAGCTTGTTTACACGGGTTGAATGTGTCCGGAAATGCTGGATTGAGAGATTTAGGGTTGAAGAATGAGGGGATTGTTGGAAGAAGGGGCTATAAAACTGTGCAGGAACAGAGATCGAGATATAGATCTGGGGTATGGATTTATTTTTCCTTTCTCTTTCCTGCGTGCCTTTTCTGTGCATCTGGACATAAATTTCTATGAAGGACCTGGCATTGAAAAGAATAAAAGCTAACGCGCTATCTCTGGAACAGCCTTTTTCATGGACAGCAGGAGTACTTTTCTCGGGCGGGTGCGGGACTAATATTCTATTTCCGATATGAAAAAGCGAGGATGGAGAGGAAGAGAGTAGCGGAGGCTGCAAAGGGTGTAGGAAGACCAAAGGTTGGCGGACCTTTTGAATTGGTGGATCATAAGGGAGGGAAGTTTAGTAGTGAAGATATGAAGGGCAAATATAGTTTGGTACGTTCTATCTCTCGTTCTATTTCTCCTATGGGGAGCACACTGAGGGCAGAAGAACCCTTGGAAAATAGAGAATTTTGCTGATATACTGTATTGATATAGGTCTACTTCGGCTTCACCCACTGTCCAGACATCTGTCCTGAAGAACTCGACAAAATGGCCCAAATGATCGATTTAATCAATAACTCTCCCACACGCACCTCCTCAACCCCTTTACTCCTCCCAATCTTCATCACATGCGACCCTGCCCGTGATACTCCTGCTGTGCTCGCCACTTACTTAGCAGAATTTCATCCTAGTATTATTGGATTGACTGGAACGTGGGAACAAATCAAGGATATCTGTAAGAAGTATCGGGTTTATTTTTCGACGCCAGAAGGTGTTCAGAAGGGAGAGGATTATTTGGTCGATCATAGTATTTATTTTTACTTGATGGATCCAGAGGGCGATTTTGTGGAAGCGATTGGAAGACAGCATAGTCCGGAACAGGCGGCGGGAATTATCGGGGAACATATTGGGGATTGGAAGAGGTGAGGATGATTGAAAGATGCACCAAAGTGCTGTGTATATAAAGGAATGTGCGAGTAGACACAGATGGGGAAGCAGATAATAGGTGGGTATTCAATGCCGTGTACATGAATTCTACTAGTGTAGGGAATATGAAAAGCGCAGCTCTAAATGTACTATTATCGTAAAGTATTGGTCGAATTAATGTTTGAAATTGATGGCAAGTTGCTATGATATACACTCGACAATCCATCCATCCATCCATCGCATGATAGGATAGATGAACTTATCTTCTATTCTGTTGCTTTTCATCATACTGTTCAACTACTTCTCCTGTCGCCTCGACCCCATGTCGTTGGAGCTAATTACCAATATATTACGTCATATCGTTATTTCCGAGCTGTTAGTTCCTCTTGAACGCTCAAATCTGGAGAGACCAATAATGAGAATTTTGTACTGGATATTTCAGTTCGATCAAAGACAGTCAGTAAAGTGCCATGCGATATACATCATGATTTCTAACGCTGATATTACCCTTCACACCACATCAAATACCTACCTAAACATTCGGAATCCACCCATCCTTCTTCATGTCATCAAAAATCTTCTCCATCTCCTTAATCGTATCCACCTTCTTCGTCCACCCCACCTTCCTCGCCTTCTCCATATTAACCACACTCCCCCACTCCCCGGCATCCATCGCATGCACAAAAGCATCCCAAGTACACATTCCCAAAACATCCTCCCTCCCCCCATACCTCCCCACTATCTCCGACCATTTCCCCTCAAACCCCTTCACTTCCCCCATCAAATCATATCCCCTCTGCACCCTCGTCTCCACCCCAAAATACCTCCCAATTCCCTCCCACACATCGCGAAACGTCGTAACCGTATCATCCACTATATTGAATTTCTGATTCTGCACCTCCGCATTCTCATTCAACGCGATCCATTCGGTGAATTCGCCAATTACCCAGGACGTGCTGAAATGTTGCCCCTTGAGCCATTTTCCGTAAAATTCGTCGTTTCCCCCCGGGAATGTGGCCGGTTGCGAGAGCACCCGGCAGATGCTGAAGTAGATTGCTGCGGTCGTCGTCCAGCTTTGGAGGGTGGTGGGACTGTATCCCGAGATCCAGAAAGGCATTGTTATGTTCCAGGTCCAGGGGCGGGTGGAGCTCAGGGTGTAGAGGTAGTCTTCTTGGGGGTAGTAGAAGTTGGGGACTGTGGGGGGAAAAGTGTTAGGATTTTAGTGCGGGGGTTGGGAAGTGGGGATTTGAGGTTGCGAGGTGTGTAAAGGAGGGAGGGTGTGAGGGGAATGGGAAATGGAATGCAGAGTTGAATGAAGGGGGAGGCATATAGATGAGTGGATGCATGGATGAATAGAGATAACTTACGTGAACGTGGATCGGTTACCCGGGGAGCATCTTCGGTTAGGGGCTCGGATACCGGTGGTGAGGTAAGTAGACCGTAGTTTTTCCCGCCTGTTTGGAGGATCACGCGGTGTACTATTGTGATAGGATGGGATGGTTGGTTGGAGTTTGGCTTGAAATGAAGCATTTGCTGAAGATGGGGGATATATATATATATATATATAAGGGAGAATGGGAATGGAAAAGAAGAGGAATAAAGAAGCTCTCATATGCTCCAACCCCCACAATAAACAAATCACACATCTCACACCCCATACCCTCGTTTTAACCTCCCCTCTCCAATTAAAACCCAAGCACCAAAATATATATATAAAATAAAAAATATCACATACAAGTATCCCTCGAAGTCAAATCAACAGCCGCAAGCACATTCGTAAAAAGCGGCACATTATCCCTCGTCATCTTCTCCAAATGCTGCCCATCATCATAATCAGTATGGATATACGCGTAGTGGAAAAAATGCGTGATGTTGGTGAGGTTTTTCGAGGAAAGCGCCGATGCGATTTCTCCTGTGGGAAGGGTGAGGTCGAGTGTGTGGTGCTCGATGCGGGGGTCGGTGGGGTGGGATTCTGGGGAGGGGACGGCGGGAGAGCGTGGATTTTGGTCCTGGGTTTTGAGGGGGATGTTAGTGGGGGCGGGGTTGGAGGGAGGGGTGGAGACGGGGCGTGGGAGTGGGAATGGGATGGAGGGGAAAGGAAGGGATTTGAGGGGAATGGGATTTGCTGTGATACATTTTATTCTTGGAAAAATGTATCATTTAGATAAGGTTACTAGATTGCACACACCAAACTGGATTCTTAGCAAGCTGTTTCAATAACGCAGAACCGGAAATTCCATTTGTACCCGTGATAAGTGCTACTTTGGGAGTATCGGCAGAGTAAGATGACATGATCGATGATGGATTGATTTGTTTATGCTGTGTGAAAATTGGATGTTGTGAACTTGGGTTTCGGTTGGGGGATTTGATAGGGTTGAATGCGGATTGGAATTTTGATGATGGAATGGTTTTTTGGGTATTTGGGTTAAGTAGCGGTTGGGATTGTGAGATTGTGAGATTGTACTCCGTATGGGATGATATGTTGAAAAGTAGGAGGATATATAAATGCTGCGGTTGAAATTTTAGAAGGATATTTTCAGCATAGGTTATAGTTTTGTTGTAGTAGAAATAGAGAAGTATTCTTCAGATCTCCTATACATACGTATGCATAAATACAACGTAATGTGGATGTGACATCATTATTGAAAATCATAAAATCATACACGAAGGCTAGTATTATGCGCTAGTCTAGCACTCATCCCCCATTGAAGATTTTCGGCCTCGGTTGTTGTATCTATCTCTACATCTGGGTCGTAAAGTCTGCTGGTTAAGTATGATTATCTAGGAATCTATAAATGAGGAAAGTGGGGTGTGGATATGCAGGTCGTCGAAATTGAATAGGTATGATGAGGGGTAACGAGGGTATATGGGAGGGGCATGATAAAGATTGCGATTTTTTCGGAGACTAGAAGCGAGTAGGATGGTTGCATAAAGTGTAGTTTACTGACAGAGCAAAAAATAATGTGTTATTGCCTTCCCAATGCTTGTATTTCCATGAATAAATAATAGTGTTTGTTATGTATCTCTGCGCTAATACCTTCTAGTTTCTCGCTTCGTTCCCCCTAACATTCATAGTCATTTAGCCCCACATCATACAATTCCACCACTAAATATTAATCCACCCATTATAACGCAACCAAGAACTCCTAAATTGATATTTTCAGATTTTAGAACAGCTCCGCCACTCTTTTTAGTTTCTGTAGGTTTAGCCGCAGCAGAAGTACCTGAAATCTGGCTCCCGCTAGTAGTAGGGCTAGCGGCCTCCGTCGTACTCGCACTCGCACTGGTAATAGCACTACTTAAAGCCAGGACAGCTGGTTGTCCTGCGTTTAATTCGACGATATTCTCATCACTACCATTACTATCGAAATCTGCCTGCGCGATTCCGATCTGATTGTGCTCCAAATCATACACCACGTATGCACTTCTCAAAAAAGTGTCTCCGAGAAAGTAGTTGTCCGGTGCTCCTGTCTGTATTCCAAAAGCACACACGTCGTCGCTATATGGTAAATCTGGCATCGGAACATTGGGCCAAGGAGTATAGATGGGGTTTGAAAGCGGGAATATGAGTTCTGAGAGAGGAATCTTGATTGTAGCAGAGACGGAGGAGGATGAGAAGAGATAGTTCATTGTCAAATCGGATGAAGTATTGAGAAGTGAGCAGGGAAGGTATACGTTGCCTGTAGAATTCGTATCGTCGTAGGCGCTAAAATATTTGAATATGACACTCGTCAATTCAGGCGGTAATGTCATAATCGAGGTCCCGGAATCCAAAAGCACGGCTTGCGGAGAGCTTGTGAAATTTGTAGTTTTGCCCTGTTGATCCGTAATACCCAGCCCAACGAGCTCAATTGCAAATAATGAGTAGAGAACTGAGCCATTCCAATAGGGTTGAGGCACTATATCTATGCCAACTAATTCACCAGCGAATTTGCTAGTATCAACCGCACCGAAGAGGATGTAGCCGGTAGAGGAGTCGGCTGAATCGAGGTAGAGACTATAAGCTCTGGTGTTTATGAGTTTCTGGGAGACTAGTTCGTCGATTATATTTGGATAGATGGTATTGGAGGCTACATTGATGGAATAGCCAAGCCCTAATGTTCCGGTCCGTATATCTGTGGTAGAAGCGAGACCCATTTGAAGAGACTGGACGGTAGCATTGCCCATGGTGAAAGTGTCTGCTATGTAGGATCCTTTTGATTTTCTACCATCCATGTATTCAATAAGGAAGGTGTCGGTTGTGACGTTCCCGTTCATGGATGAAGAGGTGTGCGGGTTATCTGTATCTCTATTTCAGTATGTATTCACTGTTTCAATTCTCGTTTTCGGAGTGTCATTCCAACATGCAGAGCTATAGAGGCTTTGCAAAGTACTGGTGGAAGAGCTATAGACAAAATACATACAAGGAGTGATGCAGGGAAGTGTCTCCGTCTTATTGAGATGCTCCAATCCAAATCCAGTACATGAATTCGCAGTATTGGTGATTAACCAAGTATCACTACTACCCGTATCGACAATCAAATCGATATCTTGGGGCGGGGTTCCAACTTTAATGGAGATCACATAGCTTGCTTGTGTCAAATCATTGGCAAGAGATCCCGAGATTGAGGCGCGAGTCGAGAAACGGCGGCTGAAAGCAGGCTGCGGAAGATGGATTTTTCGCGTGATAGGAATACGAACTTGAGCAAGCGTGAGAGTGAGGAGCAAGAAAAAGATTATTGTGTGGTATATTGAGGAGGCCATGATAAATTTCGGTGATATGTAGTATACATGGGTATATGGTATGGAGAAAATAAATAATAAATAAACTGGAGGGTCGAAAAGTAAATGTGAATAGTTTAATGCCCCAAAGAAAGTTGCCCATGATGTTGCACTAGTGAATCAATCTTTCGCGACTAACTTGGATTGTTTTCATCTGAATCATAAAAGAAAAGGATAGACCAAACTTCCTACAGCCCTAACAAATGATTTGATTTCTCAAATCTGATATGAACCAAAGTGTGAAGTACACCGTCAGCTTGGCTTCCAAAACTGGTTCTACAGCATATATAACTACATTCACATTGGCGAGCAGGAAGGCAAAGCATTGATCACATTTTTTATTTTGTTTCCATGCCCTTATCACCACATACCTACGCAGAGATAGGACAGATCTGCTTTTTTGTTTGTTGTTTAGTATTGTATGTATCTTTAGTCAATGATTAGCTAGCGATGTGTCAATAACAGGTGAAATATGAATCAATATGCCAACGGGGCTTAAAGCTGTTCTGGTCAGATGATAAAATGTGAGTCTAAATCTACTAATCAGTGCACTAATTAGTGAGCATGGACAGATTTTTGATAGAAATGCTTCCATTGCCTTGATTCAAAGCCAAAATTCGGCACATATTTATATAAATGCCTTGGTATGCCATGGTCTTCTAGCTACGCGGTGTCAATTTGAGTAAAACTTCTTCGCCGATTTTCGCATCCATTAAACCCGTCGTTGGCTTTCCTGCATCAAGCTTTGGGAATTTTCTATCACCTACGAGCTCCGTTTGGTAGCCCTTAAGCAACAAGGCGATGAAGACACAAACCTCTTGCCTTGCGATGAATCTTCCAGGGCAATAACTAATACCTCCACCAAACGGACGATAGCTAGTGCTGTTTACCAGTCCTTTGTTCTCCACGAAACGTTCTGGGTGAAAGGCTTCGATGTCGCCACCGAAAACCCGCTCATCAAAGTGCATTTGGCGGAATGGCACTATTACCCGCGAGCCTACTGGTAGGATCTTTCCACCGATCTTAGTAGGGGCAGTAACAAGTCGAATACTTGAGCTGGCGCTGCACAGGCGCAAAGTCTCGTGAAACAGACCCGCTAGCCATGGAGAAGAATCCATGAGAAAGGATAGCTTCTCTTTCGTGGAATCCTTCGCCATAGCTGATTCGATTTCCTCGTATACTCTTGACGGAAGTTCCCTTGAGTGAAACAAGTATGCTAAGCTCCAGAAGCACACTCGTGGTGTGTTTGTATTCGTTACAAAGACAACCATGCACAACACCTTGGCTAGGTCCTTATCGCTCATGCCAATTGCGCGCTGTGTACTTATCATCGTGGCTACAATGAATGAGCACTCCCCGCGTTCTTCGTCACTAAGACACAGCCAGCGCTCTATTGCACTCGCTAAGCGGCTCTTAGCGGCAAACATGTCTGTCGCATTTGGCCATTTGTACCACAATTTCCAGTTGTGCTCGTCAAAAGCTACGAAGTCGGTGATCAGATCCGGACTCATGTCCAGAAGCTTATGCCCGAAGAAGACTCGCACGGCTGCATCAATGAGGACTTCACGGGTCCATTCTTGTAGGGATACTGTGAAGGAGCCGTCCGTATTTCGGGCTCTAACATATGCCCCACCAGATCGCACTCGCTCCGGTCTCAATGAATCAGTCAGTAGTGTGAAGAACTTATCCTGTAGGTCGTAGTAGTGCTGACCAGGGACTAATTGTTGCTTCCAGAAGTCATTGTTGAGGTGTGCCAAACTCTTTCGCTTGGGGTTCTTTATAGCCATGACTTGCGCAGGCGCATCGTCGCTGTCGTCAACTGGTGGTCTGTACACAGCATCCATGGCCAACCGCGAGACGCCGAAAGTAATACCGAGTTCGTGTACGATACGATCGAAGGCCAATGACTCAGTATTTCTGTACAGCATTACTACATCCTCGGGTGCTGTCAAAAAATACAGCTTCTCGCCGCCCAGAGTCAATGCAAATGGCTCTCGAGAATCGTGGAAGTAGAGCCGTGCTTTGGTGATGACCCTCTGGCCATTCTTGATGTATTCGATCGCGTGACCGAGCCCTGATTACATTAATATCTCAACTAGAATCTCTTTTGGAAAAACGTACATGGTATCCAGTATGGGAGTTCTTTGGGTTCAGAAGGATGGAGAATGGGCTTAATAGTAAACGCCCAGAGTCGCCATAGCACAAGAGTCGTAGACGGGAGTAAGAGTAATACAACTAGTACCAGCCCCAACTTGGAAGAGCCTAATAACATAGGAAAAGCCTCTGTGGCGGTGTTTAGAATCATTTTAGCTGTTTCTAGAGTAAGCACGAGCGTTATGGTATCTGCGAAATTTACACCTAGACGCTTCTGTGATAGAAGTTATGCCTTATAATGTAGAAGACTGTTGAGATTAGCTGCATCTGCAATTTTATTCGCAAATGCAGGAACCCTAGTAGTAAAAGTTTCGTCAGCTCCAAGGTTTTCAACGCTTCTCCTATAATTGCTGGATCTGCTGGTTGAATGAGCCGTGTCATCATAGATGCCGGAGTTACTTAAAAAAGTAAAAAAATTAATGCTCGAACCAGGTCTCATGCCATACAGCAAAAGTCAGCATTCGAGGCCATTAACGATCCTGATTAAGCCTTCTGCCGTCCACCGCAAAAATTCTTCAAACCACCCCTTTCGCTGATCCTTCGAGGCACAGCAACATGATATGTCATCCGGCTTGAAGTTTTGAAGACAGCTAACCGACCGGGGTAGTTATCATTACGCATGTGCCGAGATTCGCAGCTGGTTACCAAATGGAGCGTTAAAATAGATACATATAGCTGAGTTGAGTGCTCAGGTGAGAGAACCACGTCTTTTTCTGATAGCTAGGCACAGTTCCACTACTTCCCGTCTGATCTTGGCCCCACATCACCAAAGTGACCGACTAAAAAGGTGCTTTATGCCCACCCCATAACGTATGAAACGAATAAATAGATACCCATGATTCAGATCAATAGTCAGCACGGCGCAATCTGTAATAGCCTGCGGATAAGACTTCCTTCAGCTTCATCGTCCGAGTAGGTTAATCGGCTGATGAAATTGTATTTGCTAAAAGCCCAAGATTTTATACTCCTACATCACAAAATAGTCAAAGTAACGCCACGCTCCGTTTCCATGTGTAGGACATCGAAATAGAAATGGTTAGTGCTTGCTCCCTGTTTAATTGAACATCCAAATGCAAAGTCTATCTTTTATATTTTAGCTATCTCTAGCATTCAAGGCAGTTTAGTCCTAATACAGTAGAATATATATACCTAGCTAGCCTGTGTAGGTAGCTTACTATCTGCTGCAAACTTTCACCTTGACCACCGACTCAACCGCACTGCTCTTGCCTCTGTCTACAGCTTAGAGTACAAAATGTCATTTTGGGTAATACACTTATGTGAGTAAATAAAAGAAAATACTAGATTAAATAGGAAGTCTAAGTGCATCGTCTCTTTAGGCGAATATCAAACTGCGCGGTAGGTAGTGGCATAATACTTGAGCGCCACGTGAATGTGCGCCGCTTTGAGACTTCACGGATTCTGATGTTGTAATTTTGTAGAATATCCGCAAGCACAATCTTAATGATAAAATCGGCGTAAAATCGACCTGGGCTGTATTCCAGTCAGTATCTATGCTCGCACTCGTTTCAACATGCAAGAATCCTCACCATGCTTGTTTACCGAGACCCCAGAAGGGGAAGAAGGTACGAATGTCCGTGAATCGAGAAGTATTAGACGACGAATGTCGAGTCTCTGAACGATTGACGAATCTGAAAGCGTCAAATACTTCAGGTTGCGAGTAGATAGTGGGATCGCGCATAATGGCGCGCTGGGGAACGCATATCCAATCACCATCCTTGACGTGATAGCCATCTTTGAAAACATATGAGCCCATAGCTTTCCGACGTAAAGATACTGTTGACAGCGTTAATTATGAAGCTTTTACGCTTGAAAGAATATCCATACTAGATTCAGAAGCATTGACTCTTGCAGACTCTTGCAAAAAGCTGTCCATGAGCGTCAGTTTGCTAAGGTTAAGTGTGCCATATCTGGCAATATTCTCTTCAATCTCCTTTACAAGGGGCTCTTGGTATTCTGTATGTGTACACAGATCGACAAGAGCATAGAATAGAGTCTATAGATGTGTTAGTACTAATCAAGTACAAGCATTTGGCGGGAAATCATGCCATCGCGGGTTGATGAACGGAGGCAAACCAGAGAGCCAAAGTCTGTTTAACCATCTTTTCAGCTCTGTCGGGTGTATCCTCTGGGAATAGCTCAATTATATGTTGAATGTAATCACGCTGAATAGAGTTAGTAGCCAGCAGCACACTAGAATCTGACTTAGCGTACTTGTGTAGTAAATTTCCTAGACTGTGGATCCTTGGTTCTCTCATTGATGTAGGGCACAAGCTTATTCATCAGGACAGTAGAAGCCTTATGGCGCCGAGTCACAAGGGACGCTACCATGCTTAGAATGTCACGAAGTCAATGAGTCATCTCCGTCAGGACACAGGGGCATGTACTCACGGTGCCATGAACGATGGTACGCATCGGATTGCTTCTGCCGCAACAAAGACGTCCATCGGATATTGCGTTGCCGCGTCCAGGAATACTTCGTCTTGGGCTACTAATGTCAGCTGGGCCTACTAACAAAGATTAGAAACCTTACTGAAATTTTCCCCATAGAAGGTGTATGTGTTGGCCTTGGCAACGACACTCTGCGAGAGATTGAAGATACTTGTTGTGGTCCAACCTGCACCAGAGAACTTATTACACTGTGTCTAATAACCCGTAGCAAGAATCTGCGTACCTTCCATTCCGTTACCGCCTTTGATTTCTTTAGCTAATGCTGCTTGAGCTAAACACACGAGTGGCTCTTGATATGTTGATAAGCTCAAAGACAGTGCTCGCAGAATACGATGCTGCAGCCCAAGACGGTTGAGCTCAACTCCATTCATCGTATGAGATGGTTGAAAAACCTTGATAAACTTTGTCAGCCGTCTTGGAAATCCTCAGCCGCCAATCGATGAACTAGACCTCTATAGCAGTTGCCACTAGTGACAGTCTCTCTTCCTTCGCTTGACTGAGCTCTTTCATATGAGCCTCTGAGGACACCAAAACATATTGACGCTCAGGTGTTTGTATGGTGAATGGCACTCCAGAGATCTAGTATCCACAGACTTAGCTCTGATGATCATTTCAACCAGTTTGATGCTCACGTATTTCTTGGCCAGTAACTGCGGACCGACGAATAGCCAACTCATTTTCTCAAACCATAATCGAGCATTGTGGACTATATAGCCAACCAAGAGAACGCACACTGTATAGTATAGCACAGATCTGATGATATTATGCTCCATGGTCAGTTCGAAGAGAGTAAACAATTTAGACGGAGGAAAAAGAGCAACAACAAATAAGTACAGTAGAACGTTGCTGTAAGGGACTACATTATAAGGGATAACGCTTTATAAGGGAAAAACTTTTCAACCACATTAATTTTATATAGTGATTTTCAGCTTATAAGAAATTGGATATACAGGATTCCTCTTTATAAGAGATTTTATTGGTCGAATTTTTCGGTCCTTTATAACTAGGTTCTACTGTACTGCAAATCGGCACAAAAGATAATATATCTAGCATCTACAGGTCAATATAACAAGTTTCGACACACAAATCTTCTTCGTGATATAGATCCAACAGGCGAGTATCTACCAAGCTAATCACAATTGTTTCACCCATTTCAGATGAAACTAATTCTTGTGCCACTATGAGATTGCTTCATGCTGTAGTTATGACCAGCCGGTATTGCTGCCAAAGATAGCATGATGAGGCTCTAGCATGTACGGGAGCTAGATTATAACTCCATGACAAATGATTCGAAGATTATACCCCGTGTAAGGAAAACACGAAGACTTTCGTAATCAAGAATTTGTTACAAATAAATTGCAGCTTGAAGTATATTCTGAGGAAAATATCAATGATTCGGGATAAAGGGCTGAGAAGTATGATTGCTGCAATACATCCTGGTTGGCTGTGTAGACCCTAGCTAGACGTTTTAGATAGCAAATGGAGGAAGATAACTCCAGGGATAGACCCCTTCGATTGCAATTACTTTGATAAATATAACCTTCCAATCTAGAAAAAGGGGGGGATCATGTACGAGGGCTTGTCTTAATTGAGGGCCCGGCCTACATAAGCGCGAGTGCACGAACCGGGCCCTCAATTAAGACAAGCCCTCGTATACCGAAAGAAATATAGTGACCCTGAAACAAATGGAACTTGTCAGAAGCATGCTGTAAGATGGCGTTGGAAGATAGGGTGGGCGAACTTGAAGATACCTAACTGCTGATACAGAAAAGATTCAGAATTTGAAATTCCTGACACTTAATTGCAAGCACACGCTTGCCCAGAGCTGCTGCGCCGTTGAGAACTACTATAGGTGATCCGATGATTGTAGGGTGGCAGCGGCAGGCTTTCAGCAGTGTGCGTACGTAAGATCACGCCGAGTATTACCATATATTTGTGGATATTGTAGTGTCAAAAAGACCTTCAATGATTGGACAGAATGATTCTCTGGGAATTGATATTGAAGAAATTTTCCACCGCACTTACACTTTCATCAATAATCATATTGGAATTTCTTCCCCGCGTGACCGCAGGGCTGTGCTGCAAACGAAAAGTCCAGCATTCGAATATTACGTTAGCGTCTATTTTAGGCCATGATCTACAGAGACCGCTGCGCCAATTATTATATTGAAATTATGCAGAAGTGTCCACCAAGAAACCAATGGGAAGGCCGATACCAGCAGAGACAGCATTAAAATCTGGTTCCCCCTTAACTGAGCCGAGGACTTGGACCAACAGGAACGGGACACTTGTGCTACCGCATGCCATTTACGCCAAAAATGAATTCATTATCCCATCATCTTCCATCATGCAATGGTTGGGGGTTTGGAATTAGTGTGAAATCTTCTGCCGCACCATCAGTTAGAAGGGCTTGTTACTAAAGACTTATATTTGATTAGCGATTCTGACTGTATAGGTGCTTGACTTTCAATGCCTGTTTTGCCGGATTATATGGTTACTTTGAGAATTATGTGAGGTAAGCATTGCACACCTTCCAAGTACAGAGTCTACTAATGTTGCATGATATACAATCTGCTATACTTAAATACTCGAGCTCGTGTTCGGCATGCAGTGTGGGATCTTCGAAAGAGGGTGTGAAAGTAGAAACTCTCAATGGAGGAGACTATCAATGGCCATGGGGATTGTAACACACCATTTGATTGTCAGACCTCTTCTCAATATTAAATTAGCCATAGACCGGGGTTGAGTCGGTAAGATTGTTGCTTAGCTAAATATTTTCCTTGCGAGTGATTTTACAATCGTCCGTTTAGTGCATGCCCAAAATCATCTCAACTATTCTTTACGATTTTTTCGGTACTCACAAGTTGTTCAAATCTACTCATAGTGGTTATTCAGGACTTCACACTAAAGGCTTCTCCGGCGCAATATTTAGACAAGATGGACATTTCAAAGCTCACGCCAGAAATGCTACAAAGGATGCCGGCGATGAAGCCGCCTCCTGGACGGTTCACTGACTTCGCGGACCCTGCACACGACGGCTCAAATGCGCACCAGACTGTAATTGTCATAGGTTTCTTGACAGCTTTGACAGTCTCGGTACTACTTCTGCGTCTGTATTCGAAGCTTGTACTTATAAAAGCACACGGATGGGATGACTGTGAGTGTTCAACATTGAATGGTGGACGGACTAACTCATTATCTAGATCTCGCTGTCGGAGCTACTATAGGAGCAATTGCATATGGATCATTGGCTATCTATGTTTTCGAGCATGGATTTGGTGTGCATCAATGGAATGTTAGAGCAGCAACTCTTATAGAGCTCACGGATGTATGATTCGCATGACGAAGTACTCGTACAAGCAACTGATATTTATTCTAGTACCTGAATGCAATCCTCTACATATACAAGCCGTTCATGCTGATGGCCAAGCTCTCACTTTGTGTATTCTTCTTCAACATCTTCAAGAGCACCCCAAAATTCCGCTGGGCTATCTACTTTGCCGTATTCTACAACGTTACTTTGCAGGTCACGGCATTTTTCAGCTCCATATTCCTCTGTATTCCTGGTCGCCCTCAATTTTGGCAATGTTCTCACAGAGTCTCGGTCCTGAACATAGTAACTAGTGGTTTCAATATCTTTAGTGACTTTTACCTACTATTCCTTCCCCTATTCGCTTTATCACAACTACAAATGCGTCCAGCCAGAAAGTTAGCTATTTTACTTGTCTTTGCCGTCGGTCTTCTGTGAGTAGAAGAACTATTCAATCTCAGTAACTTGCTGATGCCTGCACAGTGCATGTATTGCCAGCATCCTTGGCTTGATTTATCGCCTTAGACAAGACGCCAGTGCCGACGTGAGCTGGAATTTTGCACCAGAAATCATTCTAGTCACCTTTGAACTCGAAGCAACGATAATGGTTGGTTGCTTCCTTGTCATGCCGGCGCTATTCAGATCAAAACACCGACTCAGTCTGTCTTCGCTCTGGTCCAACCGGTCGTTCCTTCTGCGTAGCTCGCAGAATTCGACCACGGCGTTCTCTCGTGTCAATAAGAAAACCTCAGCTGAAGGCATGAACATGGAAAAGATTGCACCTAAAGTCTCAGGCTTATCAAATCAAAGTGGCGATAGTCTCATGCCGGAAGGCTCACGACGGTCTCCAAACTTTTGAAACTTCTACCATATGCATATTACTATAGTCGGCAATTGGAGCGGCTCAAGTTGCACAGACGTTACGATGAGAGAGTTGAAACTCTGAGACAATGATATATACAGCTGGAACATTTGGATGCATAAAGCCTTAGTACAACGACACCATTTCTCGTGCGAGATATATTTTATTGGCCTCTGATTAATGGAAATCTATAAAAATATTGAATGAGTATCTTGATGTTGAAAAAGGGAAATGAAATTGATTGTAAATTGAAATTGGATGGAAAAAGACCACAGTGCAGGAATAACGATGATAGTATAATAAAATTCTGGCTTCTCACTTTGTGATACCTGATAATCAAAGGTGTTGCATGGACCAGCAAGCTATATATTATCTACCAGAGATTGAGGACACGACGATTGGTTTTCAGCAATCGTAACCACTTGTTATATTTCAAACTATTCATATTCCGAAAATTACAACAGATAGAATGATGCATGAAACCAACAAATATAAAAATCGGCGTAATTAAAACTTTCAGCATGAGATCCACAAGACTCCGAAACACATTGTCACTTGTTTGTCAAACTATCCATAGAAATTGGTGTTGAAGTTACTCTAAGCAGTGCTATGTGAGCCAATGAAATCAACGGATTACAACGTCCTTCTAGCCTGCACGTAAATCCCCCATCTTCCAGGCTCTTATAATGCTATAGGGCAAAAAACTGCTATTTGTTCCTGGAAGTACCGGTCTTGATGCTTGGGGATATAACCATACCGGTCCGGACCAAGTCATGAATGCAGCTACCCAAAGGTATCCGATAAGTCTTTGAGCAAGCGAAGGAGGCCCAGTCTTCTTCTTTTTATCCTTCTGGCCCATCATCTTAGAGAAAGCTAGAGACACAAAATCTTCCACCACTATACCTAGCGCCTGTGTGACGAAGAAATGTACCACATTAAGCTGCTTGGGCGACATTCCCGCAGCGATACCAGCACACGAGTGCATTACACCGGAGAGAAAAAAGGTGATAAACAAGCTACAGAGGCGTGCTGGAACCGATCCCCTCGATAAATGAAGCACATCGTATGTGATCTTTGCAGCAGGGCCAGTAAGTAGGCTGCGTAGGTTTTGATGCCAAACCTTCCTGTTCCGCTGTCAGCTATAAGACACTTCAAAGTGATATAAAAATAAAACTAACCCCCAGAAGTTCCGCAAACTATACGCCAGTTTTAAGCTGCCAAATTGCGGCCGCCAGTCTCGTGGCTCGTTAACACCGAGTGCCACCGTTACTACCCCTGCCGCAGCCGAATAGCCTCGTATCAGAGCCCAGAAGGTTACGGCAAAGCCGGCGATACTCAATGCACGAAGTCGGAGTTGTGGCAGCGTTACCTCACTCAGCCTTCGAAATACGGGGATTAGGGCTTCGTCAAAAAGCTGCGGGGCATTAGGCGAGGGTGGACGCTGTGACATGAGGTCGAGCAAGAGGTAGCAGATAAGAGCAATTGTACTTTCTCTGATCAAAAAGGCACCCTTGGAGGGAACGAAGCTCGGATCCGAATCTTTAAATACAGGCGTATTTCGGGCTTCGTACTTAGTATTGACGTGTCTTAAAGCGAACATACTGCTCCATGCCCAGCAGAATTTCGACCACACACTGTCATTTGTCGCATGGATTTCGTTAGATCCTTCCCGTTTCTCATATTTCTCTCTCATAGCATGATCTTTGGGCAATACTGGCCCCAAATCGTCCGAGTTCCATTGATTCACTAGCGCTAAGTCCAGATACTGTAGCAGGAACATGAAGCTTGCGCCGCCAATTAATGAGGCCCAGCGTGGCCGCATCTGCAACTTGGCAACGTGCAAAATGGAGTAGACGCATGCTGAGATTAACGGGAGAGAGGCGAGGCGTATGAAAGAGTAGGCAGGTGTGAGCCCTACAGCAGCTGACGAGATAGTGAGTTGTGTGAGAAAAGCGACCGGTGCGGGGAAGAAAGAGGAAAGTGATCCGGAGAGAGAAAAAAGGCCCGACGCCATATTAGCTGAAACATGAAAGTAATCCTCAGCAGTGAAGAGAAAAATGATTTATTTCCGACCCTGGATGAGCGAAAACTTAATTGAAAGAATTTGGTGGGATTAGATTAGCAAAAAGAAGAAGCTAAAGTTTTATAGAGTGTAGCACGTCGCTTATGTGTAACAACAGCCGATAAGATAATGCTTGTACGGCACATGCTAGCTCCGCCTCTTCTAAGCATGATATACGACATGCATAACTAGGTTGTCTCGATTACGTGGGAGATATGACCACATACCATAATCAGTACCCTAAAAGGCCTAGAGAACTGAATAAAAAAACAAATTCGAAGAGTTATATTAACTGACGGGTAAGCTTTCCGCTACTAAAGGAATGGCCTGCTCCTTGTAACATAATTATCATAGCTTACTTTACTAAGGATCTATTCTATAACTTTGAAATGGATTTTACTATCATAATCAGCCGAATACACAGCACATTCTACTTTTATGTTCCTATTCTGGTAATTGGTTATGGCGTACTAAGTCGAGTCTATAACCGGTATTTCCACTTACAACAATTTAAGGGACCAGTTTTAGCAGGTTTCTCATCCTTATGGCTAGTGAGAACATATGCTACAGGCAACGCAGCTCAGAAATTCTTGCAGTTAAACAAACAATACGGCAAACTTGCACGTATAGGTCCTAACAACTTGATCACAGATGATCCTGAGATAAACTTTAGGATCCTTGGTACCCATTCACCGTATCGACGAGGGAACTGGTTCGACTCATTGCGATTCCATCCTCACTTCACAAGTATTGCTTCCGAGACAAGCCCAGAAAAGCATGATGCATTGAGATGGAAAGTCTCTGCCGGATATACCACCAAGAACTTCATAGGTCTGGAGGACGTGCTAGACCGTAGAATCGCGGAATGGCTGCACCGCCTCGACAAAAAACGCATGGAAGGGGGTCCACACGGTTTTGATCTCGCGCGAAATGTACGTTACATGACTCTTGATGCAGCATCCTACGTGTGCTTTAGCCAGGACCTCATGTTCACCGAGGATGAATCCGATGATTTCTGGGACAGCATAGAAGAAAGTGCACCGTATGCACAATATTTATCCTGCGTACACGGGCTATTTTCAATAGCATGGATTGCGTGCCACATCTGGGGCTTGAGGAATAAGATGATTCTCACCGAAAATAACAACCCTGGAATTGGAAGGATCTTAAGAGTGTCACGCGTTGCAACCGCAAAACGTTTCGGCCCTGATGCGAAAATTGTAGATGACATGTTAGGTTCGTGGGTGAAGAAGGGCTTGTCACAATACGAAGCAGAGACGGAAGTCTCAATAGCGTTAGTCACAGGAGCTTTTCCAACTGCATCGGCTATCAATGTCACGATTCTATACGCTTTAGCTAACCCACGCATATGGGAACTGGTGAAAAAAGAACTCGAAATCGCCATTTCAAACGGCCTGATTTCATCCCCTGTACGGAACTCGGAGGTAGATAATCTGCCGTATTTGCAGGCTTGTATCAACGAAAGCTTACGACTTCAACCCCCGATTGTTCAACTGCGCGAGAGAGTGGTACCCACAGGTGGCGAAACGATTGGCGATACCTACATTCCCGGTGGCACGAACATTGGCATCAACATGGGTGCGCTGTGCAGAAATCCATGTTTTGGAGAGGCTCCTGAGACTTACAGACCTGAGAGGTGGATTGAAGCAGATGTGGAAAGATTGGCTGAGATGAAGAGAGTGCATGGGCTTCTGTTTGGCTACGGGTCTACCAGGTGCCTTGGCATAGCTCAGGCATCGATGATAATCAACAAAGCGTTGGTGGAGGTAAGAATTTCATAGCTCTACTTGGTACAGATTGGTTTGCTGAGTGCTTTCAGTTCCTCCGGAGATATACCGTTGAAGTTCTCAATCCTACTGACCCATGGATCGACCAGTCAAATGGCGTATCATTACATAGGAGGTTCCTCGTACGTCTTCAAAAATGGGGCAGCAAATGAGCAAGCGACACAGTTAGTTTATTAAAGCAATTGTTCTGCAGAGACATAGATATTGGTTTGAATGCAATTTAAATTCGTGTATATTACTATTCCAAACATTTGTGTGCAATGAACCAACCAAATACTTTTACCAATCATGATATAACTTTAAAGTTCCTGAAGCCTTTTATCATTCCTCTCCACATCCCCTTTGTTGTCTACAACCAATCCAAATTCAGTTTCGAGCTCTGTCCTAAGCGTGACCTCCCTCTGTAGAAATACCAGCAAGAATCCAAAGCCGGCCAACGCAATCGCCACCTGCCACGTGAGTTTCAAACTCTCTGTGTACACTTCCGTGACTTGGCCTTTCAGTCGTTGATTGGTATCAAGCGTGCTCATGAACGCCTTCGTGGCTAATTCGTATGCTCTTCCGCCACTCAGGGCCGCTCTCGTCATCTGATCATCAATGTTCCCAATTAGATGCACGAAACGGTTATTAAAGATAGCAGCAGACACTGCAATACCCCATATAGTACCAAAACTCCTGAGCACCGCCCAAGTACCTGTTGCTGTAGCTGTGTATTCCTCTTTTAGTTCTGCTTGTACGCTGGGTAGCAATGTACCAATTGGCAACCCAGCACCAGCCGCATATATGATCTGAAAAATAACCCACTCGGCCGTCGAGCTATGTCTGTCCAAGAGGGTAAATAACCCGAAACCCAGCGTCATCAGTGCGAATGCAGCTGCGTGCAGAGGAAGATAGCGACCTAGCTTCTCCATCAAGACGCCGCCGACACCTGCAAATACCATTAGGTTAATTACAGTTGGAAGCAGTTGTACGCCGGAGCGGGCGGGTGATGAGCCGCAGACTGCTTGAAAATACACAGGTAAGAAGTATATCTCCCAGTAGAGAAACATGGCATGCAGCATCGTCAGCGCGAAACCTGTCGCCGAAGTCCTGTTTGTAAATAGTACTGGTGGCAGTGTAGGCTCGGCACAGTATCCAGACCATTCATATAAAACAAACACCCCCAGGCCGGCGAAACCGAGTACTATAGGTAGAATAGTACGCCAGTTGCTCCAGGAATATACAGTACCAGCGTTAGTTAAGGCGATTAGGATGGAGATAGTAGCGGCGATGAACACGGCGTTTCCAGCAAAGTCTACCCGGCGTAGCTTCTGCATCAATGTTCTCTCCTTTTGCCACTTCACATGGAGGAATAAAACAATCAGTAGCAATCCTAATGAAGCGACAGGAATGTTGATATAGAAGACCCAGCGCCAACTGGACTTCTGTACTAAGATCCCACCGATAAAGGGTCCTAGAGCCGTGGCTACCGTTGCCGCGCCGAAAATATAGCCCATAACACTGCCCCGCTCACGTAGTGGCACCAGATCACAGATAATCATATCTATCATCATAGAACAGCCTCCTCCGCCAATACCCTGAACCGTGCGACCCGCGATCAGCATTGTCATCGAGTGTGCCCCTCCCGCAATACCGCTACCAAGGATGAACAGCGCGACGGCGGAGATGATCAGCCAACGACGACCGAAGATATTAGCTGTTTGACCATAGAGCGGCTGGAATGCAGTACTGAGGAAATATTAGTAGGCAATATGTGAAAATATGAGCGGGAATATCGTTATATACCTAGAGAGAAAGTAGGCATTGATGACCCAAACGTACGTTTCACCACCACCAAGCTCCTTTGTAATAGATGGGAGAGCTGTGGAAACGACAGTCCCTTCGAGGGCGACTAGTAAGCTCACGATGCAGAGGGCTATAATAACGCCCCAGTACCTCCAGGTCTTTACGTTGGCTGGTGAAGAATTCTCGACGACAGGAGCGTCTCGAAAAACGGGCTCCTTACCTGGCAAGACTGCTTCTGTTGACTCATTCTTGGTAATGGCCATGATATAGCGTTTCTTGGTCAAATTTTCAAGATGATGAATACGTATTTAATTTGTCTTGCTAGATATGGAAACTTGGATTAAAGATAGTCGCGCTTTTCTATTTATTCTACTTATTCTATTGTAAATTTAGTAAAAGAAAAAGTAGTATCATTGAGGTGGCAGGCAGCTTTTCCTGCCTTTGGTACTTGATGCTACGCCCCTCTGCGGCGTGTTTGTGCGCACAATAATCACTAGGAGTCTGTGAAACATAAGCTTCTGGTTTCGTGGGGGTAATAATGGGATATGCTATGGCTTTATGAGTATGATCTCCACTATGTTACTACTCTAACATTAGAAAAAACCGCATTGATTAGTCTATGTAATCTTATAATCTACTCGGTGTGATATGTTCTGCCTCAAATATTACTCATACCCGGGACCACTCGGTAGTCATATACCTACGCAACTGTAACCCTAATTCAATTTATTGGAAACTCACTTGCTGCTGTGCGACCACCGGTAATCGGCAAAACTTTTCAACTACCCAACAAATAGAAAGTTCTCGTTAGCGAATCGAATGTTGTTATAATAATCCTCAAATCTAACCAATAGAAAATTGAATAATCAAGGCAAATTCAAAGTCCTGGCTAGCCTCTTTGGTATATGCACCTTAATTCCTTGTTGCGGCTGATTCATCGCCGACTCAAAACATACTTAGTGGCAGATTCTATAAAGTTTGAGGTATATGTATTGCTTAGAATGATAACCCCTGGCTGAAATTCAGGTACTCCCTCCCCCGATATTTTGTTTTTAGACACAAAATATTCCAGTGATTAGAACCTAGTAATGATACAGGCACATGAGCTCCGTAACTAATTCTGATCTTGATTAAATATATTCGGTTGTGCTTCATCTGAATGCTACAAATGAATCCAGCACCAAGCAAATACTTTCGGAGCTCCATCATATTGACATCAGCTAAGATTGAACAATGCTCGAAATACTTATCAACCTATTGGTGGAGTACAAGGCAGTTATCGTGGTATGCCTTCTTCCCTTTGCATGTTGGAAGTATTACCAGGCCTTTTCGCCAAAGTTGCGAAAACTCGACGTTCCTTCCATCGATGGCGTTCCTTCCCTATACGGCACGGAGTTTTGTACCTCGATTTTTGAAGGGACTCGCAAGGTAAATACTTAATCACATTGTTAAAGTAGAAAGGGGATTAATAGTATGTAGTTTCCAGATCAAGTCTTTAAGCTCAACACCTCCAACTATGAAACCGTTATAATTCCAGCACGATTTATTGATGAGCTTAAGTCTGCCCCCGAAAGCGCCATCAGCTTAGGAATGGAGCTCTACGAGCGGCAACTGGGTCGTTATACGCTAATTGGCACAGTGGGGCGTGATCATCGCTTCGTGAATGCCATTCGGCAGGATCTAAACCGGAATTTAGCAGCTACGCTTCCATCTTTGCTTGCGGAGGTCGAGTATGCAACACAAGCGAGCGTGGGGCCAGTGCACGCTTGGAAGCCTGTGCCAATATACTCCACATCGTTGCGAATAGTAGCATTGCTCACAGGGCGTGTCTTTGTGGGGCTTCCATTATCGCGCAGTGAAGCATGGGTGAAAACCAGTGTGGAGCTGACAGTAGATACATTTGTCGCAGCCTTCGCGCTATGGAAGATTCACTGGACGCTGAGGCCTGTCGTGGCATGGCTAATGCCACAGATCTGGAGAATCCACCGGCGTAATCGTCATGCTGGGGCTTTGTTAAAACCCTATCTGGAGCAGAGGCTGCAAAACATGCAGAATCAGGATTTCAAAAAGCCGGTAGACATGCTGCAGTTCTTTGTTGACAACATGCCCAATCATGATCCGCATTATCAAGCCATGTTGCAGTCTGCAATAAATGTTGCGGCAATCCATACTACGAGCATGAATGTCACAAACACACTGTATGACCTTGCAGCCCGTCCGGAATATGTAAAGCCGCTAAGGGAGGAGCTAGATTCAGTGCTGAGTAAATGCGATGGCATTTTAGACAAGAACGCCCTAGTCAAGATGCGGAAGATGGACAGCTTCTTGCGCGAGAGCCAACGTATCAACCCGCCCGGCGTGGTCAGCATGAGCCGCAAGGTCGAGTCGGATACCATTCTCTCTGATGGTACGCTGCTGCCGAAAGGTTGCCTAATTGCTTGCGATTCATGGTCATCTACGCGGGATCCTGATTTATGGGATGATCCAGAGAAATTCGATGGCTTCAGGTTTGAGAAACTGCGAGATATTCCTGGGAATGAAAGCAAGTATCAATTTGTCACAACCGGCCCAAGAAATATGGCATTTGGTCACGGTGCACATAGCTGCCCGGGAAGATTCTTTGTGGCGAACGAAATAAAGATCCTAATGGCATATATCATTAGAAATTATGATATTAAGTTGAAAGACGGGGAAGAAAGGCCAAAGAATTTCTACAACAACATTATGATTTTGCCGGATCATAATGCGGAGCTTCTTTTTCGATCCCGCGACCCGAAGTCCGTATAGCATGGTAATTAGTTGTATCAACACATTTGTTCTATGATGGATTTTCTGTGATTTGAAAGGGAGCCCAGCGTAAACTTACTGCCAATGATGAGTCGGAGTAGAAGAATGAGGGAGTGCGGGAGGATATATATCTATAACACAAACTAAAGCAACCACATCTCTTATCCAGAGCCGTACTAAACAGATATTGAAAACGCTCTATTTGTGCATATGCTCCAAATGCTAAAGTATGGAAGGTGCATTGGAGGTCACACCATAAGCTTGTAGATACGATGAACATAAAGACCTTGTAAATGGCACTTCTGCTTTCCAACACATGCAGCAACAAGAGAAGTCTTTTCAAGTAAGATTTAGGGATTTAATGCAGGTGTCCAATGTAATCTTATCATCTTGCGACGATATCAATTAGGAATAAAAAAAGCCTTGGAGAAGAATGCGATCAAGTGGTGCCACATAGGTCTGGCAGTGTGAAAGCCAACTTTGGACAATGTGATCAGGTTTCAAAATCCACCAGAAATTATGAAGAAAGATTCTTGCTCATTCGAGGTGAGCATTTTCTGAGGAAATCTCGAATCTGATCGGCATGAGTGGTGTGGTTGTTTACTCACATGTTCTATTGTAAGATTCAGACACAACGAGCCCCAAGAAGATAAAAACATGGTCAATGAAAAGGGGGGATCTTGTACACTAAATTCTTTCTTCAAATCAATGCACACCCTCATGTTCATGAATTGGTGGCCAAGCATCAACCTTGATGCTTTTTATCTCGATGGTAAGTCCCCGTTTTTATCATGCTGAGGAAACTCAACGTGGTGAATAACCTTGTTCGTGCTAAAAAGAACGATGTCTACCAGGAGGACTGTCTAACAACCAATGAAGGGATGTGCCTTTTAAAGACGTAATTTTGCATGGGCTTCAAGGCAAGTTGTATCATGCCAGAATCCGAATTCCGGACATTCGGCAGGATTGAAGAGATGAGAGACGGATCACCCCAGATTGGGGGAACTCTGGGCACTGAGAAGACATAAAGGCCTCCAGTATCTATAGCAATTCGGCCCACGACGCAAAGAAAGTGTTGAAGTGCAAGGGCAAAAGGCTTAGGTATCGATAGAGAGAACAAGAAGAGGCCAAACTCCGCATAATAACATTGTATCTCCTCAGTAATGGGTAGACGTGATATTCATGGCCTCTTCTACCTTGTAGGCTCTGATCACTCGGGACATTGATATTTCTCCTCATCAAGCGACCTTTGAGTAATGATCATCATTCCGAACTTAGCCCAAAGCTATTATCAAGCTCTACCTGCGCCTCTTTGAAATTTTGTCTATTTGGAACGTGTAATTGGACAATTCTACCAAAGACTTGGAGATCGCGGCTTGTAAACACAATCGCAATAACCTCCATGGCCCGGTACACAGCAACTTGCAAAGTGAAAAATGCCCCAAAAACTATTATGAAGCAGATGTCAACTAAGTACCTAGTATATGCGTACTGTCGGATAATTTCAGTTTTGTGGGAACCACATCTACAGCACAGCGGTCCAAGAGAGACTCACTATGCCGCATATCTGCAGTACGAGCAGTATCTTAAAAATAGGAATTCTTAAGAAGAATCATTTGACCACTTGGAATTCCTTCGATACGCTGCCGATTCTAGATATAATGAACAAAGTGGTAAATACCGAATTGTATTATTACTGTGCTCAGTGTTCTAAGTGTTGGAATTTGCAATTTAGAGACATTATGAATTTGGATGACTGGAAGACAATATCAAATGCGGCGGTCATTTTTGAAGATGAAGAAGTCGTCAATGAATTTCGAATGCGTAAAAAAGTATATTCATGTCGTCTCCCAAGTTTTGAAGTTGACAAATTTCTGCTCAAGTTAGAGAACGATCGCGAGCTTTCCATCAATTAAAAGCCTCCAATTTATTTATTTCAATATGAGGCTTTGAGTCGGGTATATGAAAATAATTTGATAAGAAAATGTGTGGAAAAACCCTTACTTCTTTCCGCTAATGGGAAAAAAGCACGCACGAGCCCCAACCTAGTTTCATGTTAACCCTAGGGTTACCACGTGCTTTGAGAGGAAGTGATGTGATGGGATGATAATTCTTAGTATTCCTTCTTGAATCAACATCAAGGCTTGACTGTCGATGCGGAAACTTGTCGATAGATATACGATACATGGCCGAGAACCTAGGAGCCTGAGAACATGCAATGTGGAACCTAAATACTCCTCACGGCAGCACGTACCCGTTCGTGAGTACTTGCAAATTTTATTCGGTTGGAGGTTGTTTGCTATATCACATCTGTACATATATACTAATCAAAGCCTCTAGGAAAGCCTTCCATTTTTCAACCAGCGAGCTCATCGGCCTTCGACTCGTACAACAATATCAGTTGTGCTTTGCAAAGGCTTCAGCATGGCATGCATGAGCGGTTGGTAGCCGAAACAGAAATCTCCAAGAACCCTCATTCGATCTCCCAGCTTCGGCCGGGTTGATCTATTCATGACCGGTGTCGTATTTGTTTCCTGGCAAGTGATACTTACAAGTATGAAGGTAGGTATGAAAATAGGTATCTTCCTCGTTGTGCATTTCTTATGTTCTCTCCACCACTCTTATAGTTCATTTGACTGAGAATATCCAGGAAGCCCGGCGACTCTGAAATTGGCATCAGTGGAATGGCCAAAATTACATGCGCGCCAGTAACGTTCAACTACTACTATGGATTATGTCTTTTTAGCTCATTCATCTGCGTCAAAACTACTCGGTAGTGCGTACAATCAAAATGGATAATGGACTCAAGAGCTTGAATCGTGAAAGAAATTCAAAGAATACCTGGTTTAAATGGGGACCTCTTTATTACTAATAACATGCTTTGGACAACTAAATTCCAGGGGGTAAGCAAGCTCTGAATCTGAGGTTAGGTCATTATGCACGCCATCAGATCCGGGTTTTCTCAGTGGAGTTTTGCCAATGTGGGGGCTGCCGAATGAATCCAACAAATCCCCCAAAAAAGAAAGAAAAAAGAAAAAAGAAAAAAAAAGAGAAAATCCAACAAGACACCAACAATATAAGCAAGGATGTATCCAATTTGGAAGCCAACAACAAACAGTAAAGTCTGGCACTTCAGGGGCCTGAGAACTAATGAATGAAGGAGTGTTGCAAGTGCAGTCAGCCAGTCAGTTAATTACTATGGAAAGGGTGAATGATTTTACATACCGGCTTATCATATATGTGTCTGTTCCGAGCCTCTTTCCGAACGGTTTTGGGCTTCGGGCTAAGTACCCCAGGAAGCTCGGCTGCAGACCTTCTGCATGCCAGCATGTCAGCATGTCAGCATATCTCCAAACCACCTAGCCATCCCTAGATGAAAATCACACCTTCCTCATTATAGGCGACGGTACCATCCATCCAATGACATCGGGGTGAACTTACAATTTGCCAATTTATCATTTTTTCATGTGGATCCGTGAGTGGGGACTGTTTTATCGCGATAAGTTGTCATTTTGACAAGTAGTGGGTTTTTAGTCTGCGCACACTGCACAGGTGCATATTTTAGAAAGAAAAACTTCCCATGTCGATTTCTTAAGAGTCAAGCTTAAGAGTCAGTTAGTGTGGCTCGTACATAACCAACCACTTCTATTCCACCAACCCATCGGACCATTGTCCCACTGCGGAAATGAAGAATAAGATCAAATTGAGATTTCGGTCACCGGAACATTATGCCCGGGGGATGAAGTAGACGTTTATCATGCTGCCTCATCTGCGCTGTGCACTTAATTATGCACAATGTTCTCACGTTGCACTTATTTTATTTGAGCCAGTCAGACACCCCATTTCTTCTCTACTTCTACCTTCCGCAGTTTCCTTTCCTGCAGTTGCCCGGAATTCTTTTGTCTGATATCCCTGCTGCATATTATGGGAGTTTTATGCCCCACTTTGGAGCCACACCATTGAATTCGAGCAATAACAAATACTCGTACACTGCACTTGCACAATGGTCTCTATTTCTGGCTTTTTAAATAAACTCCATGCCATGTCACCGAGCGTTATTTCTTACTCGTAAATAACATTCTACCATCTGATGACCCCATCACCACCAGCAACGATGGGGAAAAGAGACGACATATGTTCTATTCTTGGGTATGAGAAGGATAAGCCTACCAAAGATTGTCGAAATCTGTTAAAAGCCACTTCGGCGTTCCTGGCCGACTATGAAGCCCGTGGGAACAAGGTTTACGGTAGAAAAGCCGAGTCCATTGGAGGTCGGTTGTGTGCGCTAAATTTTCTCGAGGAAGAAGGCAGAGGAGAGAGGTTTTGGCCGCCTACATCAGATGGAAGCCTAGTTTACGAAGACGCCCGTGATAAAGAGACGTTAGTGAAGCCATCTTCCTTTTTGATTATGCCGCCGTATTCTGAGCATTCTGATTTTAGTATCGTCGATCATGTAGCCGACCTTTTTCTCATCCACGCACGATCAAACTATACCAAACTGGTGTGTACTTGTCTAAATTTTTTTCTTTTGAAATGTGGCATGTCTGATGGATGGGCCTCGCTTTATTTCTCATGATTTGCGAGCGTGTTAATTTCCCGTGTGGGAGCTAACGCCACAATCGTGCAGCATGCGAAACGCAGGAGCCAGAAATACAATGCTACCTCTCCATCATCAAATGTTAACAATGAACATATTAGCAATAAGCCCGCGACCTCGATTGAACCTGAGGTATTTCTTTCTGTAGCCATTTTATCGTGTATTATTGTACACTGACCGTGTGTGTAGGAAACGTACTTGGAAGACGAAGAGCCACAATTCACTTATAGTTCATCTTTAATGACCATCAAACCGGAATTATGTCTTACCCCCTGGTTAGATCCACCAAAAAGGTTTGATCGTAACGTGGCTATGCCATGGGTAGAAAGCCTTAACCCCAAGAGCCTTCCAGACCCCCCTGTGCGATTAGGGAAGAACTGGTTATCACAGGTTGTGCCCTCAATTGTATACTTTTCCATGGATGTTAACTTGAGTGTAGGAGACTGTAAGGTGGCCTGCGGCGGTTGATAAGGAAATCCAGTATTTTATGCATCGATGGGTTTTCTATTACAGGACGGATTTGGAGGATGGGGCAGATGAGGGAATTCAAAGTCTTGTGAATCTTTTGAGAAACGACAAGGGCTCAAATACGGAACTTGACAGTACACAAATCCGGGAATTCGAGAAGCGAATCGTTGATAGAGTAAAATTTTTCACGGAGACATTCGTCAATCATCAATTTGTTGAATTCCAAGCCGACGGTGCCCCTCAGATGACGGCAAGATTTCGCGCAATATGGACAACTCTCAAGTATGAAACACCGACTCCTCGCATTATCAATCGACGCCGGAGTGTTGAAAAAGAAGCGCCGAAAGAGAGCCCACGGAAGCGACGGAAACTATCGAAGAAGGCTGAAGACAATGCGCCGGATGGTAATCGACCAAAGAGGAAACCTTGGAGCGAACATGCCTGGAGACGCAAAACGATTCCCCCGCCTGCTGATATGACATTTCCAAATTTGTTGTCCAGGAAAAGTTCCAACAGCGATCCCGTGACCGCGGCAGAGTCACCTCAAGACGGTTTAGATGACGAAGATAGTGAAGAAGAAGTATTTGAAAACTGTGAGAAACACGAAGGGTCTGAGGTACGATCTACCATATCACAAACTCCATTTCTGTTCGCATCACTCATTATGTTTATAGACTACAATGCGAACTTCAAAGATATCAGTTGAGATCCCTCCACCCAACAAAGCTACGACTTCCAGATGCGATGCAATCGTTGACATGGAAGAGGAATCTACCATAGAAGTTTTACAGTTCGGCGCGACAGTGATCGAAGTATCAGATAATGAAAACTTTAGCGCAACAACAAAAGCATTACCATCTAATCGAGAAGAAATGGCAAAAACTCTATCTCCAAATCCAGATGATACGGTGACGCCTGAAACTATGCCTCCACAAAGTGGAGCCAAAGTTTCTGAAGCAAAACTAATTCTTGCGCACCAGTCGGATAGGATATCAGAAGATTGTGATGGGTTCTCACAAGAGCCTCAGTTATCAAATGTCACCGTCATCCCAAAGCCATCATTGGAGATCATCACAGTTGGGTGTGAAGTCAACAAAGTGATGGACGCTCACAAAGAAGTGACTGCTAGTGTCCAGGAACCACCCCAGACCGAGCCTCAGAGTCAGCTTCCGCAGACTGCAATTTCATCTTCGGTACCTACGATAAATGGAACGCCGGAAGACATTGGCGAAGCAAGCAGCCAGCCTATGGACCTTGATGAGCATGAGAATCCTTCTAAGCACGAGTTGGTGAAATCGGCAAATCCAACGCAGATAGCAAGCCAAACTGATGAGCTTATGAGAGGCGTCACTTCACCATATCTAAATCCAACAGAAAATCAAAGTCACAATGCTCCCACTTCCACCGTGGCGTGGACAAAAATTTCATCAAGCAATCAAAAAAAATATGGTCCTTTTCACGACCTTGAAATTTTGAACCACATCTTTTCATCGAGTGCCTCACGGCCCGTGGACACCAACCGTGCGTCTAGTATCTCCAGTATTTCCCCAACATCAATTACAGAGGCCCATAAACGTGAACCGGGTACCGATTTCAATTCAGTTAACGCCATACAAAACTCTGTGTTCCCACGAACCTCACCCTCGGTTGAGTCTAATTTGAACAGTGATTCGCACGACAAACAACCGAGCAAGGACGAAATATCCGTAGTTAGTCAGTCTGCAGTTTGCCAACCCGTCCTTGAAGAATCAAACTATTCAGCGCGCAGCCCTGAAATTGTCCATCCTCACCCTGGCGACCCCATCAAGATTCCCTCTATAGGTGTTCCACAAACATCACAGAAATTACGCGAAAAAATCGCACGAACCCCACTGCCATCCATTCCATTGTCATCAGAGGGTGCCCGGTCGCCTACTGCTCAACAATCTACCACAATCATCGGAGAATGCCACAAGCCACCTCAATCACCGCAGATGGTATCGCAAAAGCCTGCTCAAAGCTCTCAAGTAACGGTCCGCGATCCATTGATTGCCACTTTCCAACCTATAAATCGTCCAACGAATGGTTCCAATCCTTCTCCCTCAAACTATTCACCTCCTTTGGCCACCGAACCACCACAACCTTCTTCCATTTTCGCAATCCAGAATCCCGCAATGAGTACATATCACGCATCTATTTCGCCGCAAGAAGTACCAAGTCAAAGTGAGAGGAAGGAGAAAAATCAGTATTACGGGCATAACAAAGCTATGCCCGCTCAAAATATTGTATATGAAAGTGTCCGCCCGGGTAAATTGTCGGGATCATCCTGGTCCCGAGATGCCCATATAAATTCATACTCTACGAACAAGCAGAATGGAGTGTACCCGATGGCCTTTATCAATAAACCGATAGCATCAAGCAGCGGCGTGTGGATGCAGGAAACTTCCCGAAAAAGGCCACTAGAACGAACAAGCACAAAACCTCGGAAAACAAAGTCAAGAAAGAAGTTAGGGCCGTCTGAAAAGCCGAGTCCGAAATTCGCCACTGTTAAATACTCACAAGGCGAACCGACCCACGCAGACCAAAATCTTCCTCCTCCGGCCATCCAAACAGAATCGCCACGGCAGACTATTCATGACCGGGAGAATTCCCCTAGGCCACCGCATCCAGAACTCATCAATCATTTACGAAGTATGGATGAAAAGATGGGGATGAACTCAGGAGCTCCTCGGCAGCCCGCTTCCAAGACGACAAGTATGCCTTCCCCCGCATTAAACCAAAAGCCAATCAATCACGCCGAGAATGTCGATCGTAATACAATGTACTACGATTCTAGGCAAGAACAGAAAATTTTCAATTACATCGCCTCACAGGAAAAGATGCACTCACCCGGTGTTCGACCTTCTCAAGATTGGGGCAAGAACAAAACTTCCATTGCTTCTCCAGCACAGTCCTACCAAAATTCCAGCATGTCGCAGATACGGTCTTCACCTCCGGAAAATCCAATCGCACGAACTGAGCAAGCCACGGCTGAGTATGGCATGCAACCCGATCAAAGATCGCCTAACGTTGGAGAAGAAAATAAAAAAAATTCATCAAGTAGCCTACAGCAAGGGCATAGCAATCCCAAGGCTAGCGAACAATCCAAAATTAATTCTGGAACGGGCACCACACAGAAATCGACACTATCTAATGCCAATGCCAAACGCGGTTTCATCGCTGAGAATTGCAGTCAATTGTCAAATTCTGCACATGTTGGTCATTCCGAACAAGAGCGTTCTTTGGAGGCAGGGGCAAGACAGGAGGCACTTATAACTAACGGACCAGGGCCTGTAACCACAAGTACTACAGTAACTAACTCTAACATACCACGAGATTTCCCAGAGCCACAAGGAACACAGAATCGCGCACACAATCACGTCCAGCATTCAGACCCAACTCTGGCCAACCAATATGCAAACCAAGAGACACAAAGGCCCAGAATTCACAACAAAACTCAAAAGAATCCTTCTTCCCCAGAATCATATAGGTCACAGGATCCATGGTGGAACTCTTTAGCAGCCAATTACGGCATCGAGAAAATATCACAACAAATATCGAGAGCCGCCCCTCAGTCTGCTCCTAGCGTGCTACACGATAGCTCGTTGGCTAATGCTACACCCGTTTCAACAGTACAAACTGCGCCCCAGGTTCAAGTAGGGATTCAGGACTACCTACCTGACACGAGAAAAGTGGCATCTTCAGTTACAAGACCTCCGCCTTCTACAGGTGTTGAATCCTCCAAGTTATTGCACCAAACTCCAGAAAGTCAGCGTGTCAATCATTCTTCGGTGCAACCATCTAATACACAAGGTTCACCACCACAAAGCTACTCTGGTAAGCAATATGAGACGCAGCCATCACCAACGCAGCAATCGAATTCAGCAGTTCAGATTTTGCAGCCTCGGTCTGGCACGCGGACTTCAGCTCCACTTAACCAATTTCCGAATCAAGCTCCAAGCCCCTCGTCACATGGAAGTGTTCCATCCCCAAAAATTCAGTTTTATCAGTCTTCAAGCCAATTTTCTAGTCATCCTAATGCATCACCAAAGCCCCAATACACCACCGATAGAATTGGGCGACCTTCCAGTACAAAAACTTCCAATTTCCAACACCAATCTCCCAGTCAATCGATCGTGCAATCCGCAATTATCCAGAACGCAGTGCCGCAAAGTCAATATACAAATCGATCACCTACACAGTTCTTCCCCTTCCAAGCTTCATCTCCGCAGAACCAATATACTGCCACATCTGCAACCAAACAGGCTTCTTTAGCTCCAGTTGTCAACAATGCGGAGTACAACGAGCGACAGGATCACGCAGCCCCACAATATCAATACGATAAGCGGCCGCAGCAACCAATTGAGCCTCAATCATTCACGATGCAGGCACAACAGAAAAGCTACCATGGGCAACAACCTCATGATTGGACAAAATATCGATTGAAAGATGCGAGTCCTCAGGGCATGATGCACCCGGTCAATTTATCTCCCAGACAGCCTCCTATTACTAAATATCAAGTTGTAAACGCATCTCCGGTGCGACCTTCAACAATTCAGATCCCCACAACTCGGTCGCCATCGGCGTCTACCATGCCTACTATACTCAATCCTAGTCTTCCGCCAACACCTCCAACCCCGGCTGGGATTTCTACCCCAAAATCAGATCCCATGTCCCTATACCCATCGGCAAACCATCCTCTTGCAGGGATGGCTCCGCGACATCACGCACCGGCCGTCATTTCAAACCCTATAGTTGATAACACATCTCAATATTATCCCGGTGCGATGGTTCGTCCGCTGCATCAGACACCGGCGGCAATTTCCAGCCCCAGACTTGACACACTTTCTCAATACTCGCCTTCTACCCACCTGCTAACCACTCCGCAAGAAACACCCACAACGCCACAAGAATCCGGACCGAAACTCGACTTCTATCTGCAACGATCCAATTCCATTATTGACACGACTATTTCCTTCTCTTATCATTACATGGAAGCGCTCTCCCTATCCAACCTGTTCTCATTTTTCTCACAACGCTCCGGCATAGCTCTGGAGAGATTAGATGAACTTACCTTCCGATGCATGTTTGGAGAGTACCAACAATTTGTGATTGGAAAGGATATGGGAGACGGGGAATGGAAACGAGCTCGGAAGAGAATTTGGAGAAACTGGGACAGGGAAGTGAGGACGGCGAAACAAAAAGGAGATGATGAGGATGAGGAATTCTGGGAAGTTAACATCTTGATTGGAAAATGTGCGTAGATGATTTGGGGATTGTCAGTCTCGGCCACTTTGAGCCCAATAAATGTTCATTTCGACAATAAATGTTCATTTCGACAATATATGTGTAGATAGCTATTTGGATTGTAAATACACCCACTCACTACCTACCGATCATGCATGCTTTCGATAAATTTAATACATATACAGCAATGCAATCAATAAGATTTACAGCTATTTGTTAATATAATCTTAACCATCTGATCTTTTCTCTCGATCCAGATATCCCAAAAAAGCTTATCCCACCAACTCAACATTTAAAGGTTAGCTTTCCTGGCACTTCGGCTTTTTTTTTTAACTGCATTGATATCAAGACACTGCCAGCAAACTCACGCCTTTTCGAAGATAGCGTCAGCCGTCCCGAGACTACATGTTTGAAAAAGCCGCATGTAAAGACAAGGTAGCATTTCTTAAAAATACGAATGTTAATGTACGTACGTTGATACATTAGCACATTGGCATGTTGGCACGTTACCACGTTTTTGCCATTATCCGTGAGTTTATATGATATGGTTGGTTTGGTTACATCAGAGGAATAATACTCGGTAGAGAATGTGGAAATAGATTGCTATACTACCCTTGACGCGGACGACACAACACAACAATTTACTAATTAGATCATATAATACACAATAGATCTACATAACCTCCTGCAAAAAGTATGACGAATCCACCATCTGCCTAGCAAATAAATAGAATAGGAATAGTAAATACGCGGCAAGACTAACTGGACAGATGGTTCTCTGGTGGTTTTTGCCTAATGTGTGTGGTGTTACTTTACTGGATGGATCAATACATGTTCATGCACGGTTCCCGGCTCGCGTGATCAAAATAATGAATGACTTTACCATCCATCCAACTGTTGGTAAGATTACAATACTCATATTCGTATGCAGCAAGATGAAAAGAGATGCGATGTAAATTTTTATGCATATGCGTGGGTGATCCGAGGAGTGGTGAGTTTTGGTAATGGGTAGGATTGGATTGTGGGATTGGTGTACTCGAGAAAGGTTACACATGTACGGTATATGTTTGGATGAGGAACGAAATTATACGAATACGAGTTGACAGACTTGCGATCTGGACCTAATAAATCATTTGCTGGATTCGATATATGATTGTTATCTTTTAATATTTACTTGTTTGAGGACATTTCGTCTGCCGACTATCCGAGGCCTAATTAATACATGTATGTACACTAATTATTCTGCCAATCAATAATCACCCATTGAGTTTGCAGATAGATTGCTTTGGATATTTTTGGAACACATATGTGGTTAGGGGTTAGACTTGCTGTTCACGGTCGTAATGTATGGAATCGGATTGGTAAAGTTACTGGGCATGTCTTTTTGTCCAAGTGTCGGTACCGAAAATTCCATGTGATAGTGTGCTCAATGCTTTGGCATATTATTTTCATGTTATTTTGCAAATATCTGATGATTTGACGATGAAGAAATGTGCAAGGCCTGGAGTCCTCTAGCCATTCAAGAGTATAACTAACTACTTTGTAATATAGCCGGCTATAACACTAGCGTTGCATATAGCTTACTTTGGCTCTGGGTAAATTCCCTTTGGAAGTAATACATCAATTTCACCTATGATGCTATTGAACAAGGTCATAAGACTGCCAGCGGAAGGAAGAGATAACTCTTTTATGACCAAATACTGTACGCAGCTTTCAAAGTCTACCATTAACAGCTCTGATCTCACATCGGATAAAGATAATTTCTTTTTTTGAATCTTCCGAACTTCATGACACATGTACTCAAAATTGAGAGCACTCCTAAACACATACGGATTGTGAGCGTTTTGGTATATCTTCTCCTTGACCTTCGCATACAGGGCGGCATACGCAGAGTCGTTCAAAGTTTTTACTTAGTCAACACTACCTACCAATCATAGAGTTATGACGAGTTCATCTACGTGTTATAAACGATTAATTCAAAGTAGAGTGTACTGAAATAGACCTCGAGATAATACAAGCTGTTGTTGTCGTCCTGAAACAGTCTGAGCACTTCAAGAACAGTTTTCCCTCTTTTACCACAAGTGAAAGATCTAACACATATTGCAAACACTTCGCAGATCAAGCGCGAATAGGGAAAGCCCTATGATGATTTCATCACAGCTAGGAGATTTAGATTGACGAGGCCCACCAGCCCGGTGAGAGGGACAGATTGTTTTTTCGTTGTACAGAAAATAGAGATGTGAGGGTATTGCATTAGTCATGTTTCTCTTGGCCCTTGAAGAGAACTAAACAGCTTTCTTACCCTTGGTATGAAGTAGAGGTGCATAATTTGGGAGAAGTGTAGGCTGATTGTTTCATGACAGATACTTGAAAAGTGCGGAATCGCGAAGCCAGATATCAAGGGCTTCGGGGATGGAAAGGTAAAAGTTCCTAGCTATAGTCATAGCTATGAAATGCAAACTTTTATTGATTTATGATACTTGTGGCAGCTCCATTGAATTTGTGTGCGATTTTCATGGATATCAGTTTCATTGAGTGCATCCATCCATCATCCATATTTTCACGACCATTTGCAAGTCATTATGCTAAAATCTAGGGAAAGTTAATTCTTCATCTGTTGGTATTTATGTAAGAAATAGCATTTTCTCTTTGCATCTATTCCTCTTCAACTAGTAGTTTTATAATCCCATATGATTTCAGGGTTCATATAATAGACTAGGACTGCATACAAACTTGTCATCAGCTCTAAACTTCAATATTTATTACTATATTAAAGATCGCTTTCTAGTAAGGAATTCTAAAATGCAGTGATGATTTGTCTAATATTTTGATTATGTAGTGTTCAAACAGCTTCTGTTTAGTCACCCCCACGTCAAATATTTCTTTGTGACGGTGACGATCGGTGATTCTACCTTGATATCAAATATGTAAGTAGAAATCTGAGTATTTTATCTAATCAAAAGAAAATTTGATGGATGATTCATATACATTTACATCAAGTTATTGGTAGCAGGCAGAGCGAAATGTCTCTAAATCATAGAATCTCTTCGAATGACAAAGTTATCAAAATGATTCAAGCATTTCAGGTCAGGTTCGCTCTTAACTAAAGAACACTTCTCAAAGTATAATCTCAGAACTTCATCCGTTAAGATAGGAAACATAAGATCATTGAGTATCACTTCGCTTATTAAAACTTATATCTGACACACACATCGTGACCCAACCTCAGGAACCTCGAGTATCTATTTTTAACATAATCTTGGACTCCGAATCACAAGCCCATTGCACATGGCTATATTTCCACAGATCATAATAATATCCACCACCTGTTCTCATCTTCTCTCATCCCCCTTCATCACTTCCTCTGACCTATTATCATCGGTTCAAATAGTTAATTTCGGGCCTCCATCAACTTTCTACTCGTTGATATCTATTTGTCTTCTCTGCAAAATTAATATGGCAGATAATAGGGAAAGCACTCAAGTTGGGTAATTTTGAAAATGAGAGGATGTTCAAAGTTAGATTTTTTGCTTTGGCAAGAGGAGAAAACTGGCGTCTTTTGAAAATATGGCAAGGCATAGGTAATCATCTAATGGTTGCTCGCCGAATGGTGCACGGGGGCTTTAGACCGAGATGATGGAATGAGGAATGAGTACGGTTTTGAGTCAGGCGTAGTTAAGCTTTGTCTTGTGGATGATAATCAAGTAATCTTTTCCTATTCGTTTTAAAAAAACTCTTGTTCCATTTGTGAACTTAATATATTGAATACTGAGAATTTAACATTTTTTTTATTTTTCTAAAATCTATCTTACTAATCAAATCAAACTGAGACTTTTTAGTTATTGTTTCTTTTAGTAAGATAATAATTCTATAAGAGAGTTCTATTGTTATTATATTGTTATTAAATATATTTTTATTTACTTTCTTAACTTTTCTAGTCATAAGGCTCGGATTTTACAACATAAACAGAAATAGAGAGACGAGTGATACAAGTGTAATATAGAAGGATTATTAATTTGTTGTCTAGACGAGCACCCCTTGTTATTGATAAGCGAGTGTCAGTCATCAAAATATGGATTAATATTATCTTACAGTCGTTCATGATCTTCTCGTAATTATAATTCCAATTACTCGCCTTTTTTTATTGTATGAAAACTAGTTAAAGCGATTAAAAACAATGGAGCAAATCGAGGATTTGAAAGTGTAACTCTAGATGAAAAGAAGTAATAAAATTCGAAATTAATTATAGAAAAGATTTTAGATGTCAGGATATATAGACTTTGAAAATAACCAGGAATTCAGATCTAGCCGTAAAATAATGATTCAAAACTTTCATCCAAGCAAGGCTTCGCATCTAATGACACCCCCGTGCTTGTACACTTCCATCTTTGCCCCAAGCTAATTGCTCAAGCAGAGGATTATCGAAGTCGGGCCCCTTCCCGAAATTAATCGACTAGCAATTCTTCGTGATCAGAGGGATTGTTCGTCAAGATTTTGCATTGACGGGTCTTGGAATCCTCCACCGATAGCACTAGTCCCGCCATCTTGCACCACTTCAGAATTTTGATAAATGGGGATTCCGTTGGCTCCTAGATTGGCTTTCTTCTCTTTCATGCATTTGGGGTCATGCATGCAGCCGCATCTATGGGAAAAGCAATTGTTTCTGCCAATGTTGACAATTCCAGGTTCAACAGTAGTATGACCCGGATTCAAACATGTCCAATTACCACAGAGATGGCTGAGGTGCCACTTCTTATTAATAAATCCATCTTGCTGCAATTTTGTCATGGCATGAAAGAGAATTTTTGAAACTATACCAAAGTTTAACTTAAGGCTATGTTTGCCATTATGATCTTGCCAGTAGAAAGTTCTCTGCATTCCGCCGCAAGCCCGTAATGTACCGATGGACGTTACACGAGGCGGTGGCGGGGCTGGATGAAACCAGCATTCCTGATCTTCTCTGAAAGGATCCAGTAAGCGATTGGTTGATTCCAACCATAGTTGCATGGATTTCTTAACATGTGGAGGTCTCCGAGTCGACGACAAAATGATACGCTTTCTCTCTCGACATGCTAGTTTGTTGCCCAGACCTGAATTTTTGGATGCATTGGCAAGGCGTGGGGCAGCTGGAACAAAAATGGCACTGCAAGCGGTGCTGACTCTGGGAGATGCGTATGATTGATTTGAAATGGTTTCCAAGTGCTGTGATTGTATACTATCCGAAGGAAGTGAGAGCTGCCTATTTATTTCGCTTCTTACATTCATGCCAAAAGAGATTGAATCAGCAATCGTAAGTGTAGCTGGGGAATTTCTAATGTCCGGAGTAGCTGTCAAATCTTTGCTTCTGTCCCCTACTAAATCCACCTCGCACCGGTCTTCAAAGATTTTAAAGAAAGGAATCAATGGCAGAGATACGCTTGACCCCTCAAAAGCTGGCAGTACAAGTGAAATGGTTGATGTCACAAAATCAGTTAAATCTGCCAAGGGCAGACGGTGAGATTCAACAGAGATTTTGTTCTCATCAAGAGGTCCCTCTGTTGAATCATTAGAATTACCTTCGGAATCTGAACGGAGACCGATGATTGGGCAGTCATCCACTGAGGGTGCATTTATGCCGCCAACTTGGCTAAAGTCAGTTTGTAGAACATTTCCTAAGATCTGGCCCTCTTCCTTCAAATCCTTGGAGGGCTGACTCTGCTGATGGTAGGAAAGGGGAAATCTAGAATTGGTCTCCGCCGTTTGAAGAAAAGGTGCCACAGTTCCCCTGTGCCATGGGCTTGGTGAAAGTTGGACTAAGGCCATCTTAAAGTACGGACAGCGTATCGTGCTTAATATGAATCCCTGAGACCAAAGTAATAGACTGGTAATGATGTTTCGGATGGCTTATTGATCTAAATGTGGAATGGTTTGGATATGTATATAAGGGCAGAATTATTGTGGTATGCCAGAGACTTTGAATTTTGTGTGACTCGTAGCAGCAGCTACGTGAGCGACTCGAGCTAAAGAATGTGTAGAGTCGAGAAAGGCCTCACCCCACAACCATGCAGATTGAATTGAAGAGACCGAGATTCTGCTTCTTTTGGTCAAGGAGAACTGCTGATATGATCCTATAAGACTGATACTTCCCAGTCTCATTCTAGTGCAAACGTTGAATAGTATTCGTGGCCACCAGCCATGCTGAGGTCTGAAGGTCAAGTGTAGATATGATAGGCAGTCGAAGTCAGTAAGCCGCTACAATTTCTTCCATGACATGGGCCTAGCCCTGACTGAAGATAAGAAATCGAGGCCGAAGAAAGATGTGATAACAAATGGGTTAAAATATCTACTAGATTATTTTCCCTGTGATTAGCTCAGAGTAAGATTGAGAAGTCGAGGAGGTAAATCACATGTCAAAGACCCAATTAGGCTAGCATATCCTTGACCATACCTTCCACTTGTTGTCGTTCCTGCCTTTTAAGATACCATATCTCACTTTCTTTAAGTTCAACTCTTCAACTTCGATACCTGATCAAACCCTTGAATCCATTCTCCAATCTATCCCCATAACTCAGTGAGACGACACAATGATCCTTCAAGCCGATCAATATCCTCGGCCTCAAATCTAAATTATAATCTGCTTTCATTTCGTGCACACTCTGAACTGCGATCCTACACAAATCAAGAATTTAGTCTAGGAAACATCGTCCGATAGGCAAGATGGTCAATTTTCAGTTTCAGATTCCAGTTCCGTGTCAAAACTGCCGCAGATTCCATTACGGATATTGTCGCGATGCACCGAGGCAATGCTGGCGCTGCAACGATTATAATCATATTGAGCGCTATTGTCCACGTCGTCGGACAAGATGGCCTCGTGGTCAGGTACTTCCAGGAACCCATCAATGGTGTGACTATCATGGTTTGGGTTCTGATCCCGCGCTTCGGTAAGTACATGACCGATGGCGACTTTATCATCCGAGCAGCTCATTTACATTCTACCTCTTTAGGGCCAGAGTTCTCAACGCATTGAAGGCGTCGCCAAGCTGTAATATTTATGTTGATGATGATTGCATCTATAAGGGTTGCATAGAGCATCATTTCCGACGTGAAGAAGTAAGAAGCAGGCCATTGGCAGAGAGAATGACACGTCGTAGATCCAGGTAAGCAGCTCCCACAAATTTTGAGGACCAATCCCATTAACTTAAACAGATCTCCAGGTCGGGAGCAAATCAAGCGGGGCAGATCTCGTTCACCGATCCGCCAAAGGTCACCCTCGCCAATGGAAAGACGATCCAGACATCAGAGGCAAGCATCTCCGGTTCGTCAAGTCCTTGGTCGATCTAAAAGCCCATCACGACAGCAAAGACAATCACCACAGCGTACGGCGGTTCGACCTCGAGGGCGATCTCCTGTTTTCGATACGAGCGGAGTTGCGTGCACTCAGACTAACGCTGCAGCGACCGGGACGAACATCTTTCAGCCTTCATTTTTACAGAATCAAGGCTTTGCTGTCAGTCAAAAGCAAGCATCTGCGACGCAGCATATACAGCAAAGCACCATAGATGTTGCTTCTTTGAACACAATCAATCTCAATCCGTTTCTAGCTCCTCCGACCCTATTGGGCACAGTATCGCCAAATAAAACTCGACAAGAAACTGCGAAAGATGTCTCAAACCATACGGTCGTCACTATTCAGCAACCGGTTATGAATCCACCTTCTCAAATACAAGACATGGACGAAGTTTACGTCGACGATCCACATTTCGTCCTTGGGGTGAGAGAAGAAGCTCTTGAGAAGGAGTACGTCTGCAAAATTATTTCAAATCTGCAAGATGCAATTGTGCTAACATTGGACAGAATCCTCGAGGCTTACCAACAGCGTATGTGGGAAGTTGAACTCGAACGTGTCGCCGACACAGACTACAAAGAAGCCCCTGGACCAGATAATGTTTGGGATCAGAGTGTTGCCATATTACGCGCGGCCAAGAAGAAACTTGTCGGATACTAAGCCTCTTGATACTTGTTGATGTAAAGGTACCATGAGGTTATTGCGGTGTTATACTCAAAGGAAGGCGAGAGGGGGATATTATACAGGAATTTAAAGTGATATGCGGAATGTTTAATTTGTGAATGAATATTGATCTGGCTAGATCTGGCCAGGTTAAAAGCAATTATTGTAACACGGGAAGACGGTGGACGGTCCAGGGAGTAGTTTTGCAGAATATAGCTTGTCCTTGTCCTCAATGGCTGACTCTCACTTGAACATGCTTTGTGATCATCCTTTCGATGTCAAGTTTACGGTCAAACATTGCTATCCCGCAGTATCCTGTTGTCTCAAGAATGTTTGAACATTATGCTCCAATTTCACAATATTGGTCATACATTCTTCTTGATTATAGTATGCATACAGCCATGACAATATCGGCTATGTATCCTGAGGAGGATAATACTGACACCTCTGCCTACCACCGTATTCGAGAAGAAGCTCGATTTGAGCTTCCGAGCATGGACCATACACCACAGTCATTGTAGGAAATCAAATTTAGCCTAGTCCAGCCAAGCAGGCTTTTGAAATTTCCATAGTACACCGTATGATGCAAGGTATATATGGACATATTAGGTATATTGGATGAAATGCCAGGCCAAGAGATACCTTTGCTAGGCAGCTTGCCAACTCATTGATTTTCATAGGCTTTATATGGGGAGTGTTACAATATACCTGAAACGTTGACACTTTATTAAATTGTTCGTCCCAGTTTCAAACACTTCTGGCTTGAATAAAATCATCTTGGTCATTAATCCATCGAGTACCAGACACCTGTTGGTTCTATTCCAAGTGGAGTTTCATTCTCTAGATCTTCCATCGTATCTATCACTGCAGATTTTCAGCATCGGCTTCTGCAGGTAGTTGCGAATCACAAGCAAATTAGGAGACGACTTACAGTCAGTTATATCCTGTCTTCCACTCTGTGTCGCATTCCAAGCCAATCTAGCACTGACCCTCACACTTCTCAGAGATGGCAATCTACCCTCTTCTACCGCATCATAGACTGCTCCCGCAGTTATATCTACCTCAGTCCCTGCTGTGCCGCTACAATCCAAATCCAAAATTTGCAGGGGATGCTTAAGCGTTATATTCTCAAATAACGCATCTGTGATAAAATCGGCCGATATTCGAAATGCAGTTAGAGAGGGGCACATTAAGAGGACGTAATCTAATGCGCCTACTCCTATACGATTCATCGGGTGTCGAATGGTTAGATGCTGGAGTTGAGGCCCCAAACGTTCCAGAGTACCTAGGAGTGCAGGTGCGTATACCATGCTGCAGTGTTGAATACTGAAACGTGACAACGTCGACGGAACATTGTGGAGATATGTACGAAGGAAGTGATCGTCAACTCCACCGGCCAAATGAAGGCCTTGTAGCTTCGGCGGCCATTCATATATTTCGTCATCTCTGTCTTGGTCACTATTGGAAGTTCGTGGAAAAAGTAAAGTCTCCAGATCTTGCAGAGTTTTGAGAGTTTGAAATAGTAAACGGGTTGATATTGAAGCGGAAATCAGGGATAGGTCCAGGTATCGAAGATGAGTACATTTGCTAAGAGCGGGGAAAGAATTGATGGCGAACGAGGCTTGTGGTGCCACAAATTCAACAATGTTGCCCTTCATTCGGCCCAGTAGCCGCGCAGTCAAGCTTCTAGAGCTATTGTGTACCAACTCTCCCATATCAAGCCGGCGGACCAGCGGGGCAAGTGCGGATTGCCGTATATGTGCATTTTGGAGGGCAAACTGTTGTGACGAAGGCATTGAAATTCCCGCCACTGAGATACGGTCGCTCGTATAATAGAGATATAGATGCAGAATACCAGAGTCTGGATACAAGCGTGCAGGAGTAGAAAGTGGATTGGGTATTCGCCCGACGTGGAATATACGAGAGGATGTGGGAAATTATCTCCAGCGGGAGAAGAATCTCTTGCGAGGGGGCTTTACGGTAGAGCTCTGCCATTGATTCACGGACGGGTTCAGAATCCGACTTTTGAGATCTGATGGCCAACTTAAGAGGTTGTGACATCTCTACGTTCCAATTACTCTGTGCGTCAAGGGCCATCGTTGAAATTATGAGATCGAGGTCCCTCCGATAGTTTTTTGATAGCTCGAGCTTTATGATTGTACAGGACTATTTGGGCTCTGGGAATTCACGGCTCGAATGAGGATTCGGACATCTTGACAACGAAGCAAAGATTGCTCATTATAAGAGTAGCAAGTTATTGAATTTTTGCCGTATGTTTTGTATGCAATCTTGGATGTTGTTTCCGACATCATAATTGTAGCCTCGCCACATGATGCGAGGCGCGAGATTAGTCAGTCTTATCGCTTCTGTTATCTCGAAATGATTTCTTGTCAAACGCAAATATCCAAAAAGAGGATTGTTGTGCGTCTTGGGTTTAGTTATCAAAGATATTATCTTTGCGGCTCTCGTCGGGTAGTTCAATGATCACAGGTTCGGGAATGAGGCAAGCTTCGCGATCTGGAAAAGAAGCTGTCTGCAAGATCTTGGAATAACGGCTGAAGAATCCTGGCCAAGGTCTGTCAGGGAGTCGACTTTGAGAAACAAATAAACTCCAAAAAAATGGCCGGCACAAAACGCGCCCGCTCGCCTTCACCGTCGTTTTCTCATCTTTATTCTAACAAGAGGTCGAACCCTGTGAGGGAAGGGCGTGTAGATCCTGTCTATGGTCAGCGAAGTGCGCTTCCTGCGGATGATGACTCTGTCAGCTTGGATGAGGACGGACTAGATGCACTGAGCTATTTGAGATCTGTCAGGTGAGAACATTTTTGTTATTTCTTATGGCCGTATATGTGCTGAGTTTGGTGTTAGAATTAGTTGGAAGTATCGCTAACATCAACTCGCCAGAGCCGAAGCAGGAGACCTTCCGCTGATATTCTACGCTCCAGCAGAGACAAGAAGCCCAAATGACGGCGGCGAGTACGATCGATCTATATATGAAAGTGGCCTAGGCGATTTCAGAGGATACTATGAGGACGGTGCTTATTTCGCTGCGGCAGAAGTTGAAGATGACATAGCAGATGAGCAAGACGAAGGCCAAGACCCTCAATTGGCATATTTCAACTCTATCATAACGCGGTTCGAGATTCTGCGAGAGCAAATGCAACAAATTCCCCCGCCCAATTTAGTAAAGGATTTAGATGTAGATCATCCCATATATTTAACTACATTGAATACGAAGCTTTGCAGATGGTGGAGATGGAAATTGAAAACAGTTGATCCTCTACCTGCGCAAGTCGCGAGTATGGACAAGGATACAGTTTTGAGGTTGCTAAGGCTCCTTACAAGCGGGACTTTGTTGCAAAATGGCTCCGATATTAATATGAAGGTTAGTAGGTGGGCATGGGCATTATTAGCTAGACTACCGGTAAGAGGAGAATTGAGTAGTGATGAAATAGGGGTGGTGAGGGAACTAGGAAAGAAAGCCGTGATGCTTGGTGTTGGATTAAAGGCGGGTAATGGCTTGAAAGAGGAGTTAGATGAGGTAGAAAAGGTATTTGACGCCGACAATGGGTTTGAAATTGAGGATAATGAAAGGCCTCCCAGTCCTGGAGATGAGAACGTAACAGATGGAGTCGAAGATCATCTGCAGGTGGGACAGTTGAAAGAGAGACTCAATGGTGCTACGCAGACATCAGACTTAACAGAAAAATCCACACCGTCGATTGCGACGGACAAATCTACCCCGCAAGAAGAAGCTTCGGGGTCAACACTGGACTCCCATGAATTAGAAGCAATCAAAGCGCGCTTACTCGCCAATCTCACTTCGATCCCCTCGATTGTCGAGGCGACAACAACCTCAGATCCTCAACCGCCCAAGGAGGGAGAATATATCTCTTCCGCAATCGAGACGCCAACCTTCAAATTAGCGCAAACAGCTGACTGGAACACCAGAGCGACAATTGATATGATAATCACCATTGCGGGTGAGATTTACGGACAAAGGGATCTGTTGGAGTTTAGAGAAGTATGGGGTGAGTAGCTACTTCCAGCGTCAATTTTACAACAGACAATTAGTTGCGCTAGTCATTTCACGGTTCGGAAGTCGAAGAACGGGGCAGGAAGAGCACACGGAGCATTATCAGATAGATGTAGGAAACCATTTGAGCTTAATTCTTGCATTGACTTGTCTTTATAGCTCAAGGTTTGTGTATGATTGTAAGTAAATACAGTAAGTGCTGCGGCAAGTAATATTTCTTAATAGATGTTAATGAGATGGATTAATTGCTGTTCCTCAGATGAACACAGAACACAGCTTTCGCGATTTATACAATATGAATCTCTGTACGACAAATTACGGAGAAACTGTATTTCAGTGACATTAGTCATTGTAGATGTAAATATATATATTACTGCACGATAGCTATATGCGTGTAAAGATACAGAAACAAACCATATACCAGCTGGCTGTCCAGATGTTGCAGCTCTAGGCCAAGCAAATATGTTCACATAATCCATCCAGAAACGCCTTGTCAAAACATGCAGTTGACATGGCTCATCCCAAACCATTGATATCCATAATACAATTCCCACTGCCGATAAATATGCAAACGCTGCCCATAAAATGCAAACCTGCCCAGACGCTCAATAACATGCATCCTATCCTTAAACACCACCCATCTGAACTTCCTCCACTAAACCATAATCCAAAAATTCAGCTTCTCCAAAATCCATATCTGCATTCTCATCTCCATTAAATCTAGTTGTCATGTTGCCTCCACCCTTCTCGCTCTTCCTCGACTTCGGCATCGCAATCCTTCGTTCCCCAACATCCACCAATACTCTTTCCTCATTCCTCTCTCCAAATATGTTTCCGCCCTCTTCTTCATCATCGATAAATCGTCTCTTAGCCCCAGTGCCACCACCGTAACTTCCGACACTACCATTACTCATCATACTCTCTTGACTACTATCCCAGATCCTATCTTCGTAGTCCTCCTCATCTCCTTCTTCGATCGCCTCTCCAGATTCATTATATCCCTGTACACTCATCCCCCCAACCTTCATTAGCCCGCAGAAGGGCGTTAATTCCCTGATTCCCGCGCGGGGTCTCGTGGCTTTATATTTCGATGGTGCGGGAGTCGACCCCGGAGATGTGGAAGATGTGTGTGATTTGATGGCGGGTGTATTGTCTGAGAATAAATTGAAGGCGGAATAGGAGCCGGTTTTGTAACCTTCGGGAACGGATTTCCGGATGCGCATGCCGACGGATAGGAGGGAGGATTGGATAGGATGTGGAAGAGAGGGTTGATATTGGGAGGGAGGGAGGGGTGCGAGGAGAGATGTGGAGCCGGTTGTGAAATAGGAGGTTATTTGAGGCTGAGAGCCGGCGTAGGGACGTTTTACTTGGCGGGCTGGCATGGTGATTACTTTGGATGTGTGCGATGATGAGACCGTATGATGGATAGTTTGAGGACACTTCTTGGCTTTTGATGAAGTTGAGGGTTTATTCAGCGTCGACTGTGCTATATTATGCGATCTTATGTGATTTGATGTAAAGTCGAAAGGAGTTACGGTATCCCAACCGAGACAAAGGAAAGAAGAACTCGAAATGTTGAACTGCTGCTTGATGCCCGTAAAAGCTGTATTTATTGTACAATGGATTGAATTACGGTGAAGTGATGACGATTGATTCAATACTCCGTAAGGAACATTCAACATTCATAAGAGGTTGGGAATTGTGAATGGGTTATGAAATGAAAGAGGGGCTCGTGCTAAGTAACGTAACTTTCCAGGTTTTGTGCTTTGATGAAACAAGTAGGATGGGAAGCGCGATCGTCGCGAATTAACGCGTTTAGTGGTTTTGTGATTACATAAATACGTACTGGATAAGAAATATGGTCTACAACTATCTAGAACTAGATACTGTCCACTAGGTAGTTAATAGTAGGTAGCTATCAACTATTTTCCACCATGTTATGCCGAATAGAATACCAAATTCTACTTACTGACAGTATACATTGTCATTTGATTTCTGAAACGAGAGATCGGTAAGTAAAATGTTGGTCTACCCACTCCTTCAATACTGTTATCTACTCACCACAAGCGAGCTTGATGCTTAGCCTCATATTAAAGATAGACATGCAAACACAGTCTAGAGGAGTGGATAAAGACTGAATATTTATTTAACAAGTATCCAGCCCATTCATAAGAGACATGAGATAGTAAATTCACAGATAGGACACTCCGGATCATCCCAACCTATTTAACATTTTACCAGATACTCTGTCGACCTTTTTGACTAGGGATCCCAACCTTGAGCTGGGGTACATATCTTTCCCAGTCCAATCCACTAAACTATGTTCTTTGAAGCCATTTTGAGATCTTGGACAGACATGCTTGTGTGCTGCTATCAGTATGTCAGATGATATGTGACTGGGTAGCTACCCGCCCTACGGGTGTATGCATTACAATGTCCTCAAGTAGAATCAACCCTCCCAGAGATAGGGTAAATTAGTAATTCCGAGAGGAGGGTAAAATCAGTGGTCTTGGTCTTACAACTAGCCTAGTTGGCTGTGCTGATTAGCTAGATTATAGTCACTGGAGTAGGTGTAAGGATTCGGCGAGACCCTTGGAAGAAGCTTTTTAGTGTTCGAAACGTTGCAATCCTTTAGATATAGTTGATGGTGTTGAATGGATTATATGCCCCAGTATCAAAAATCTCTTCGTAAATACTCTTCAGTCTTCCTACAAATTGCGATTGTTCACATGGAAGTAATTGTCTTTCAACGACGATGATGAACAGCTAGAGTAGGTAAGTAACCTTAAGGGTAAAGATCCGGCGGGGACCCCTGAAATGAAAGCTTTGACCAACCTAGAGATAAAGATAAACACCCAAAAAATATTATCTCCACCCTCCAACTAATTCACTTCTTACGCGCTTCACCCTCACTCTTTACATGTGCTTTGCTTCTATCCAAACATTCGTTGATCTGTAGCACCAGCCAAATACCAATTTCAAATATGTTCCTTATCGGCCAGGTATCAAACCAGGTGTCCGTGATCTCCCGGCGCTACCAGTTACTGAATCCGATAATATTCAATAGCAGCAAGTCTGTAAATAGGATAACCAGCTTTATCTCCAACCCTGCTAAGTCATCTCATGCCCAACAGAGATCTATATATTCTTGCCGATTTCAATCTACTTCTTCCTCGTCTTCTTCCACGTCTTCTTCCACTTGTCGCTCCTCAAAACAGTCGAGAAAAGTTGCAATGGCTCCCACTACCCACCAACGTCGTTCTAGCACTGCAACCCCTGTGACTGCAAACCTTCTGCCAGGCTTTGCTTTTGCTTTCGAGTATGTCGTAGCTATTTGTCTCTATATATACCTCGCGGTCTAACTGGTTATAGCATTGATGGTGTTCTACTTCGATCCTCCTCGCCAATCCCTGGAGCATCCGAAGCGTTGAACCTACTCCATTCAAACAACATCCCCTTCATCTTATTGACCAATGGAGGAGGCAAACATGAGAGTGCTCGTGTTGCAGAGCTGAGCAAGAAACTCAATGTTCCCCTCACCGAAGAGAATTTTGTTCAATCCCACACACCATTCAAACAACTTGTTGAGGGATCAGATGCTGCGGAGAGTCTCAAGGACAAGACAGTTCTTGTTACTGGTGGAGATGGAGATAAATGTCGAAAAGTCGCAGAAATGTTAGTCCATATCCTTTTCTTTAGTGGGCAGTTCGTAAATCTTAAAGCTCTTTCACACACAATGAAGCCATTCGGGTTTGCGATGTTGAGTGAGCTTGAGACACTGAACCAATTTGAAATATTGAGCAAGGACCATTTTTTTCTGGATATAAAGCTAACACTGGAATATATAGGTATGGTTTTAATAAAGTCGTCACTCCAGGGGACATCCTCATGGCTTACCCAACTGTTTGGCCCTTCAACCAAATCTTTAGCGAGTATTACAACAAGGCTACACGACCTCTTCCCAGACCTGTTGATCTCCTCAATCTCTCAGAATCTCTCAGATTCGATGCTATCATGATCTTCAATGATCCTCGTGATTGGGCCTTGGATACTCAAGTGGTACTTGACCTTCTCTTATCCGAAAAGGGCATCTTGGGCACTTATTCGCCCAAGAACGGTGATGCGTCACTTCCCAACAATGGTTGGCAACAAGACGGGCAGCCAAAACTCTTCTTCTCGAACCCGGACCTCTTTTGGGCAACTAATCATCATATGCCTCGTCTCGGCCAAGGAGGTTTCCAGGCATGCCTTGAAGGTGTTTGGAATGCTACCACCGGTGGTGCAAAGCTCGAACGCACTGTTATAGGCAAACCCCATGCAGCAACATACAAGTATGCTGAGCGCGTACTACACAAGTATCGTACACACATGCTCGGCGGTAGTGGCGACAGCAAGAGAAAGATCCCACATTTGAAGCGCGTGTTTATGGTCGGCGATAATCCAGAGTCTGACATTCGCGGTGCCAATGAATTCGAATCATCTCACGGCACAGACTGGACTTCTGTTCTGGTTAAGACAGGTGTATATAGAAGTGGCACAGTTCCTGCTCATAAGCCCAAGGCAATCGTCGGAGATGTCTACGAGGCTGTTAAGTGGGCTTTGGAACAGGAAGGCTGGCACACTGTTCATGAATGATTTTATTTTCGCTGTTTGGTCTTTTTCGTCTTTGGACGAACACGGCATGTTTCTTTTAACGAACTTGGGAATGGATTGGATTTGCTTCAAAGTATAAAATCCAGCGAACAAGTCCAAAAATATGATGCATTGCGATGGCGTTCGGGGAGAAGTGGAGTTCGGGTTAGATTCAGCAACATTGAATGATGTGCAAAACCGTCATCCGAAGACGATGAATGATATAGATGAGATACCATGATACTTGGAAGTTACAGCCTACATAAATAGATGAAAATAAAATGAAAATAGTAGAGTTAAAAAGGGTTATTGGTGTTATGGATATCTTTTCCTGTTGTGTACTTGAGTTTATCGTGTCTGAGCGATACGAAATTTGTAAACGGCAGTCAGTAATGCTCATGAAGTTGGAGCTTGTAAGCACGATGATTGCAACGGTTTTCGGCTAGAGCTAGCGAGACTAGCCCCGTATAGCATTTACCGGGTACCAAATCTCTCCTGTTGAGATGATAGTGTGTCATGATGGCTGATGGGCATTGATTTAAATCTGTATAGAGTATATTTCTTGATAGCAGAAGTAGAAGTAAAAGTTGTATACGATCTAAGTCGTCTAGGACCCTCTGGATGTGGGTTTCCTGGAACCTGGCTATTTTTGATATTCTTGCTGATTATTATTGGTGTACTCTTGTTGAAGGACTCTTTCATGGGGATAGTAAGATTATGTGTGGTGGGAGGAACTACTGGGGATTTGGAGAGCAGATGCTTTTGAAAGTGAATACTGCTCCTTTGAGGGTAGTTTTGATTTTCTAATTAAGGTATAATTAGCAATCTCATTACAACGTTAAGTTCTCAATATTATGCTTTTTTATATTAAAACAATACTCAGGTCACTCGCTCCAGAATGATGATGTATTTCCCAGCCACATCACTCAAAATGGAATGTTTATGCCTTCAAAGAAAATGAAGATATAAACTTAGTCCTCTTGTTTTAGACTAAGAAGCTGATAGTCAAGGACACTTGTGCCTATTGAATCTAAATGAGATATCAAACTCCTTTGAAACATGTGAAGGATAGGAATAAACCTAAGAAGATAGGTGCGCGAGATAACAATTGTTCATGAATCAAGACCAAGAACGCTACGGAAGTAGATTTATTGAAGGGAGAAAAATACTAATTTTTCTAGGAGGGTAGTAATGTATGAAATAGCTTCGCCATCTGATTGTTTCTAAGTGACCCATTTAGACAAGGAAAATGATTATAATAGCCATATTCTTCACTAAATAAGGGAGGCTCAAGTTTGATATGGTGAAGAATTATTCTAAAGTATTAATGAGTTTAAAAGTCTTCAAATGCATACTGCAAAATCAACTGGGAAAGCTTATATATGTGCTTGAAGAACTGTCTATGTGCAAAATTTCAGAGGCACCAGTCACAGAAGGGAAAACAAAAGATATTAATGATTATCCGTGCGGATATCCTATTGACACCTCGACAGTGATGATGGAAGTGCGGGTCTACGATTGGAGTACGCTTGAAGAATTGTTTTCTGATTCAAATAGTTCTAGTCTTCTATGGCAGTGAGTTTCGTGAACGTCAGCAAACCATTATTGCAATTGCATGTATATTGCACGCCTGCCCGCCCATTGATATCTTCACGAAGCGATTCATAAAGGATTGGCCTACGATTAGAGTGCTGGATAACTGATTATTATTTGCATTTACATCTATTTGTCCAAACATCTTGATCATCCCCATCGAGATAAAAGCCAATCCGCCATGAACTAGCGGGCGGAGCGGAATCATATAGGAAAGGAACATTACCTGCCGGTAAAAGCCGCTCCTGTTGTGCCAATGAAATATCTACACTCACCCTTCAATTTGATTCCCCCACGTCAACACATAGCGTATTTGGCGACGTATCGCAACCTCAAAGACCACAATTGCAGCAACACTCGACTTTCTTTTGACTTGCAATTCATGAGCTGGGGAGCATACCTTGCACATCATGAGTTACAGTAAAAAAGATGAAGATGGCGATATGGCCATCATGCGTGTAGATAGAACCTCTGTCTTTCAAGAAGGTCGGTGAACATTCCATTAACAGGACAGCTAAGCTAACATTCAACAGCTCGATTGTTTAACTCTTCCCCTATACAACCTCGAAGATGTCGTGTTCTCCTTACGAAGATTGCGCTGTTATTATACACCGGCGAGAAATTCCCTACGAACGAAGCCACTACTCTTTTCTTTGGTATTTCGAAGCTGTTCCAAAATAAAGATGCCAGCCTGCGGCAGATGGTTCACCTCATCATTAAGGAATTAGCGCATTCCGCGGAGGACATTATTATGGTCACAAGTACAATAATGAAAGATACTGGTGGTGGGACAGATGCAATTTACAGACCCAATGCTATTCGAGCTTTGTGCCGTATCATTGATGTGAGTGCGCCAGATTATAGCACGGGATACTATTGACACAACTAGGCCTCCACAGTCCAAAGCGTTGAACGAGTAATGAAGACCGCAATTGTCGACAAGAACCCTTCAGTATCTTCTGCTGCCCTGATATCCTCTTACCACCTTTTGCCTATAGCCCGCGATGTTGTTCGAAGATGGCAAAGTGAAACGCAAGAAGCTGCAACAGCGACAAAATCCTCGGGTGGCTTCTCCCTGGGTTTCTCAACTTCTAGTAGCCAACTGCCTGTAAACAATTCAACAATGACACAATACCACGCGATAGGACTTCTATATCAAATGAGGATGCACGACAGGATGGCATTAGTTAAGATGGTTCAGCAATTTGGGGCAGCAGGTGCTGTAAAGAGTCCGGCCGCGACTGTCATGCTCGTTCGATTGGCAGCGCAACTGGCAGAAGAAGATCAACAACTTCGGAAACCAATGATGCAACTCTTGGATGGCTGGCTCCGACACAAGAGTGAGATGGTTAACTTCGAGGCTGCCAAAGCCATTTGCGACATGCGAGACGTCACAGATGCTGAAGTCACCCAAGCAATTCACGTTTTGCAACTTTTCCTTACCTCACCAAGAGCTGTCACCAAATTTGCTGCGATTCGCATACTTCACAACTTTGCCTCTTTCAAGCCACAAGCCGTCCACCCTTGCAATCCAGATATTGAACTCCTTATCTCGAACTCCAACAGATCAATTGCTACCTTTGCCATCACCACACTTTTGAAGACGGGCAATGAAGCCAGTGTGGACCGATTGATGAAGCAAATTTCAGGATTTATGGCAGATATTACAGACGAGTTCAAGATTACAATTGTAGAAGCTATCCGTACTCTTTGCCTCAAGTTCCCCAACAAACAAGCTGGCATGTTAGCATTCCTTAGTGGCATACTACGCGATGAGGGAGGATACGAGTTCAAACGCGCCGTAGTGGAGAGCATGTTTGATTTGATCAAGTTTGTTCCGGAATCGAAGGAAGACGCTTTGGCACATCTTTGCGAATTCATCGAAGATTGTGAATTCACCAAGCTAGCTGTCCGCATCCTTCATCTTCTCGGATTGGAAGGTCCAAAAACATCCCAACCTACCAAGTACATCCGATATATCTACAACCGAGTAGTGCTTGAAAATGCTATTGTAAGAGCTGCAGCAGTCACAGCGCTGGCCAAATTTGGCGTTGGGCAGAAGGATCCAGAAGTTAAGCGCAGTGTTACCGTTCTGCTTACCAGATGCTTGGATGATGTCGATGATGAAGTTCGTGACCGTGCTGCATTGAACTTGCGATTGATGTCAGAGTCCGATGACACCGCGGATCGTTTCATCAAGAATGGTATGCTATTAGAACCCAGGTTTTCACTATACTCTTCTAACCATTACAGAAAATACCTTTGCTTTACCATATCTTGAACATCAGCTTGTTATGTACGTCACAGCTGATGATAAATCAACGTTCGATAATCCTTTCGATATTGCATCAGTTCCAATTGTTACCAAGGAGCAAGCAGACGCAGAGGAGCGAACCAAGAAGCTCACAACAGTAACACCAACAATCAAGGCTCCCAAATCTGGTCCCACCAAAGCTTCACCGTCTGGTGCCGAAGCTGTTGCTTCCGCTTCTGCAACCGCTCAAAAGTATGCTCAGGAATTACTCAAGATTCCAGAGTTCAAGCCATACGGCGCTGTACTAAAATCTTCTCCTGTCGTCGAATTGACTGAATCGGAAACCGAGTACGTTGTTACCGTCGTCAAGCATATATTCAAGGAGCACATTGTTCTTCAGTATGAGGTTAAGAATACTCTACCGGATACCGTTCTTGAAGAGGTATCCGTGGTTGCTACTCCAGCTGATGAGGAAGAGCTTGAGGAAGATTTCATTATTCCGGCAACTAAGCTTGTAACCGATGAGCCAGGTACCATTTATGTATCTTTCAAGAAAACGAGTGGCGAGGCCGCTTTCCCTTCAAGCAGCTTCACGAACATCCTGAAGTTTACCACGAAGGAAATTGATCCAACAACTGGCGAGCCCGAAGAGGCCGGTTATGATGATGAGTATCAGGTTGAGGATCTTGAACTTACCGGTAGCGACTATGTTGTCCCTGCTTTCGCCGGTAACTTCAATCACATCTGGGAGCAGGTGGGTGCTTCCGGCGAGGAAGCAGAAGAGACACTTCAATTAAGTGGTGTGAAGAGTATAGCAGGTATGTTTTTCCTCTCCAGAACACCTATAAATGAAAGCCTAATGATTTTACAGATGCTACTGAACAACTTACTAAAACACTCTCACTACAACCGCTCGATGGCACGGATGTGCCGATCAACACGACTACTCACACTCTGAAGTTATTTGGGAAAACAGTTACAGGTGGACGAGTCGTGGCTAATATCCGAATGGCTTATTCTAGTAAGTCAGGAGTCACGAGTAAAATTGTGGTTCGTGGTGAAGAAGAAGGGATTGCAGCTTTGGTTATTGGGTCTGTTGCTTAGGGGTTAGCGATTCCATGGAGTTGAAAGTTGGGTGCATTTGATGATCATTGTTTAGATAATGGGTACAAGAAGCTATAAAAAATGGATTGGCTTCATCTCCTAGCGGATGAAGGATATAGCATGAATCATCAGATCAAAATATAAAAAAATAGCATAATTGAGATTTGATATGCATCTTCGGGTTCACCCCCAGACATCCAGATGAAGAAGTAGGATAGTCTAATCCAACTTCTTGTGCGATATCATTCATTGCCGACTTCTTGCATGCTTTAACTTTAACAATTTCGAAGAAAATTCTTCATTGCGTTGCATGTGTTAGCTCTGCGTTCTTTCCTGATTGCCCCTATCAGAATCCCTGAAAACTCGGTACCGATATGACGTTGCATGCCCGTGGTCTTGGCATGTTTTTCTAGAATTTAGATTTCCTGATTTACCTCGACTTTTTGTACGACAAAGAACATCGTCCACAATCTCCAATTCAAACTCATGAACTTTGTTCTTCCTCGTTGTTCCTCACAGTTTTTCTCCATAAACTGAAGGTCTCGTCGCAATGGTGTACGTACGACAAGAAAAACTTCCAGGCCTCAAGCAATACAAATACTCGGGTGTCGACCATTCCCTATTATCTCGATATGTTCTCAAACCATTCTACACCAATTTTGTGATAAAATGTTTCCCAATAAGCATGGCGCCGAATCTGATTACCCTTACGGGTTTCAGTTTCGTCGTTGTTAATATCTTGACTTTGTTGTGGTATAATCCCACGCTTGATGTGGATTGTCCGCCTTGGGTATATGCCAGTTGGGCTGTGGGACTGTTCTTGTATCAGACCTTTGACGCGGTCGATGGGACTCAGGCGTATGTTTCTATCTCTTTGCGATTGATCTAGATGGGGAGCGCTAATTGACGCGATCGGAATATAGGAGACGAACGCATCAGAGTGGTCCTCTTGGGGAGCTCTTTGATCATGGTGTTGATGCCGTCAATACTTCCCTAGAATGTTTGATCTTCGCGGCGTCGCAGAACTTGGGGATGGGCTGGAAGACAGTAATGGTCTTATTTGCTTGTGCGAACTGAACCTTCGGACGTTTGCGGGCGCTATGCTAATGTTGGTAGCTCTCCTTACATTCTACGTACAAACCTGGGACGAATATCACACAAAGACTTTGACCTTGGGCTTGATCTCGGGACCTGTGGAGGGGATCGTTATTCTCATCACAGTCTATGCGTTTACTGCAATTAAAGGCGGCGCGAGTTTCTGGGCTCAATCAATGTTCAGAACTGTCGGCATCCCCCATTACGCATTTATTCCAGAGTATATCTACGAGTTACCATTCAATGAGTGGTATATGGTTCAAGGTGGAATTGTGCTGGTTCTCAACACTGTTCAAAGGTAGATTTACCCCTCCTAAAACCCCTGTCAAAATATCTCCAGCTAACGACCCCTCCAGCTCCATAAATGTGATCCGAGCTCGCAGAGCTCGTGGAGACAGATCTCGAGGCGCGCTCTTGGGACTTCTTCCCTTCTTCTTCACCTGGACGCTCATCCCGGCCTACCTTTACCTTAACCCGGAGATTTTATACAATCATCTTGTCCCTTTCGTTTTCTTTGCCGGGCTCGTCAATGCTTACTCGGTGGGCCAGATGATCACTGCACATCTGGTCAAATTGCCATTCCCTTACACGAATGTATTGAACTTACCTCTTGCCTATGTTGTCTTTGACTCTGCAGGACCGTTCTTGAAGGAAACTGTTGGATACGGATGGCCTAGCGCCTTAGGTGGTGGCGTATATCAGGTTGCATATCTCTTCTGCATGCTAGGTGTTGCCGTGGGCGTTTATGGAAGCTTCGTGGTGAGTCTTTTTCCGCATCTATATTTCTCGGGTTATGCTAACGTCGTAAGGTGGATGTAATTGTTACTATATGCGACTATTTAGACATCTGGTGCTTGACTATCAAACACCCATGGAAAGAGGAAGAAGAAGCGAAGAAAGCGAACTAGAAAACAAATGCGAACATGATGGTAGAAGACTTTGGCTTAAATAGGGGCTCTTGGGGGCTTCAGGCTTTAACATTTGGGTGGGACGGATAGATTTGTATTTGTATGAGTATAATATCTTGTCTATATAATGGTATTTTAATGAGAGAACGAATTAGCCCATTTCCTCTGCAACTTCTTTTTATTAAGGTCTACTGACCGAAAACAGCGTCCCTCGAACGTGACACCAGGCACTGAATGCAGATAGGGCCAGCGACGCTAGTACTCAGCTATATGAGATTATGTACACACGTTCCGATCACATTTAAGTAATTGCTAGTCAAAGCCGATCCACCGGACATCTATTTGCCCACAAGATTCCTGGACTTTTATTCTCAGCACGTGAAGTATTTCATCTGTGAGATCGCTTCTTTTCACTCGCCCCTAGTCAAACGTGGCGTAGTGACGATTTCAAATTTGATGTCGGCCTTACGGCAAAACGATATTGAAAATATGCACATGTAGGATCTTAACCTTAGAGCGTAATTTTTGCAACTCGGGCAACCGGCATTAGTCTGTCTTTCCTTGTATGCATATCCCATTTTGCTACAATTGATACTCGTAAGGTTGGGAAATCTCGGTCCAGATGTAGCCGAGCGTAGTAACGATGAATATCTAGGGCAATCCAGCTTAGACCGCCAAATGTCAATTTTTGTGCATTTTGAATCCCTAATTTAGCATTGGAATTTCTCCGAGACTTTTATCGGGATAAGTTTTATTTTGGGCCTGCAGTTCCCTGCTTTTGTTGCAATACACAAATTGTTCGTCCATACCCCGCACGATGCAGTTTGGAACTAAAGAAATGGGGAAATGTAAAGTTACATTTTGCAATTATTCATGGTTATTTAAGGCTGTGTCTTGTCTTGATATATTGGAATTCATACATCAGACTTTTCCAAGGCAATTTTCCATCAAGATGAGATCTTTTTATCTCGCAATCTTGGCCAGCGCGTTATTTTTCAACAGCATCAATGGAGATCTATCGGTTCATTCTCCTCGAGCTACTTGTACCGTTCAACCAAGTCTGAATGGCACCGATGATGCGCCTGCCATCCTATCTGCATTCCAAACATGCGGCAAAGACGGAACTGTGGTGTTTCTGAATCATACATATACCATCAATAGTATCATGAATACCACCGGACTCTCAAACTGCAATATTGATATTTATGGAACTCTCCTAGTACTCAGTTAATCGCTCGCGTATATCTCTCTACTAGCTAACTTATCATGTAAAGTGGTCAACAAACATTACCTACTGGCTTAACCAATCCATGGCATTCGGATATCAAAACCAAACCTCGGCATGGTGGCTCGGCGGCAATAACATCAATGTCAATGGACACGGATACGGCACTCTAGATGGTAATGGCCAAGCTTGGTATGATTTCGTCAAGGGAATTTCGAATTATCCGAATAGACCCCAAGCACTTACAATATGGAATACCACGAATTCCATCTTTCGGGGTTTGAGATTTGTGCAGAGTCAGATGTGGTATGTTTTCCAGTCTAGTTATTTGTAATAGAGAAGGGCGAGAAATAACAGAGGAGATAGGACAATGACAATCTTCAAATCATCCACAGTTCTTTTACAAGATATCTATGTAAACAGTAGTTCCTCCAATCACAACCCCGCGCGCAATACCGATGGCGCGGATACGATCTACAGCGACGATATTCACTTTGATCGCTGGATGGTTGTTAATGGTGATGATAGCATAGCTTTGAAAGCCAATAGTACTAATATTCTAATCACAAATTCCACGTTCTATAACGGATTAGGAGTGGCAATAGGTAGTATCGGACAGTATAAGGGGGTATATGAGAGTATTGAGAATGTGACAGCAAGTGAAATTGTGTTTTATAAGACATTGCATGGAGGGTATGTGAAGACTTGGACGGGAGAACAGGCGGGATATCCGCCGAATGGTGGAGGAGGTGGATTGGGATGTAAGTAAAAGTTTCTTATTCCTTTCGAGCTTTTGGGGATGATTTCTCACAAAGATACAGTTGCTAAGAACATCACGTTTGAAAAATTTTCCTTCAATTCCTTGAGGGGACCACCATTTTCCATCTCGCAATGTACGACTTTCTCAGGCACAGCAGGTAATTGTTCTTCTTCAGCATGTGAGTACTTCCTGTCTTTCATTTTCTTTCCCATTTTCCAACTCTTCCTACTTCCACGATTTAGAGTATTCCCCCACAGTGCACAAAATCTGTCTCTTCTCTAATGCCAAGTAGTCCAAATAAGCGACCTAAATATATACAACATATCCGGCAGTATAACCAACCCCATCACCAGCTACCAATGCAGCGCTGTCGCTCCCTGTAAGAGCATCACTATGGAAAACATCAACGTGGTAGATGCGAACGGGACGGCGGGGACAGGATATAAGTGTACGAATGTGGTTGGAACAACAGGGTTTACTTGTACTGGTCCTACTTGAATTTATGGGACCGGAATTTTGAGGGGTTACGGATTAGGAGAGATATAGATTCGGGGTGAAGGGAAGAAAGGTCGTTTAAAAGCTTTGTGGATGGTGCAATTGACGGAACGAGTACAGTGAATGAAGAGTAAAGTAATCCTGCTGTCCACATCTACTGCCCCGTCGCGAACCGAAAAAGCTCCCTTCCGACAAGCTAAGATAGCCCAAGTAAGCCCATCACTTCCTTATTCTAAACAACATGTACATATAAGCATATAGTCAGCGCCTAATGTAGTACATTCACGAAAACCAGCGACAAAGCTTCAAGCTAGCTTTTAAAACATTGTCATCATATCTATAATATCTCAAATAGTTTCGAATTAATTTTTTGTCCTATTTGATCGCAGAAGCAACATAATAACATCTAAGCGAAGAATTAAGCAAGCAACGCAACCTCAAATAAATATGTCGCACAAAAGGAGACTTTTTAGCGAGTACATATAGATTTCATATGTGTGATGGTATAACTGTATAATGAAGTAAAACAGAACATCAGAGCTTATTTCTATTCTAAACCAATTTCATTTTGAGCTTTATCACAGTGGTGTGAAAGTATAAGTATGAGAAAGAGAGGAGAAGATGAATAATTAATCCGGGAGATGATTGCTGGACAGAAGCTGAGAGGAGGGAGTAATGGCTGAGGGCTGTATGAGATATCCTGTACCACTAACTATCTAATAACTGCTCAGTGGGTAGCGAGATATATGTTTGAAATCATTCGGATGAGTGTTGCAATTTCAATACTGGATACAAAGGCTTCAAGGCGACTTACCCTCTGTGGAACGAGTCTTATGCAATCTTTAGCTTGACACTCAATAGATGGGTTCAAAGTGGTATGTAAATTAGACAACTAGATCAAATATCGTCCCGAAGCGAACTATCCAGAAAATATCAAGCGCAACATGGCTCAAACTAATAAATGAAGCCACAATATGGCAATTGCATAGCATACCATCCGATACTCCAAAGTACAAGATACCAAAGAACTCCCTGACGTACTCCATTTGTCTTGAGCAGTATCAATCTTATCACATATATCCATAGTCCTCCTTAAAAGCCCTGAAATTCCTCCATTCCATTCCACTCCATAAATTATAACAACTCATCATTTCCAGCCGCAACGCTCTTCTCAATCGCATCAATTATTACGCTTTCCTCAAACACCGGACCTTGCCCATCACATTTTGCAACCCCCTTAAGCCTCTCACTAATGATACCTACATCCACCAGCCCTCGCTTGTACAGTGGATGGTTAGTAATATAGTCCCAAGTCGCACCGGCCGCCAATAGCCTCTCCCCTTTATCCCCCAACACGATCCGATGGCTCGGTACTTTGTTTTCATGTGCATACAAAACCTCAGTATAGAAATCCGTAGGCGTATATTCCATAGGTCCTGTATTTGCCAGAGGTTCCGAACCTCCACGACTAGAATGCCCAGATGTTGCCTTGAGAATTTCATTTTCCGTCGCAGCTTTCGCGAGTTTCAATTTTAAGCGCTCGTTTTCTTGGGTTAAATCTCCGGTATTTTTCTCCAACTCTGCGAGCTTGGCTTCGAGCTCTTTTACATGGCGCTCTTTGCGTTCGCGGAAAGCTCGTTGTCTAGATTCAAAGTATTTTAGTATTGTCTAAAGTGAAGCTTCAAGCCGAATGAGCTCACAAAGGGGCCTTACGCTTGGCGGTTCTGGGCTTTGCGCCGGGATTGTGCGGGGGTTAAATTTTCCTCATCATCGCTATTGCTACCTCGGCGCATCACATCATCAATCACATCGGTCGGCATTTCAGAGTACATAGGCTGAGCAATCGACGGCTTGTGCTGGGTTGTGGTTTGAGGAATGCGGGGGTTGTATTGATTTGCATAATCATAAGGCTGGAAGTGCTCCAAGGCATCCTGCTGTTTGGTGTTAGCAAACACATTCCGCTCAAATGGGAGGGAAGCAGTACAGGTGGAGAGTTACTGAACTCGTCGCTATTTGATGCGTTTGTGTAAGTTGGAGTAGGGGGTTGAAGGGGGAAGAACGACTGAGCATTTCCGGTGTAATATGAATAATCCATTTTAAATGTCGAAGGTGGTTCGATGCGTTGGGAGGGTTCTCGAGCAAAAGCTATGCTATTTGACACTGCCTGGTACCTTGAACAGAATATCTCCCTTTGATTTGTATGTACGGGTTAAAAAAGCTGGACAATCGTAGCAGTAATATCATCAATTCTCATGATGTGATCTGCGGGCCCGATCCTTGATAAAGAAGCCTGAATAAGGTTAGACGCTAACGAGTACCCCGGGAATCCGGGATTTGGTGAGGCCCCTGCACTGGAAAAAGCGCCAGGACATTTTGGATGTCCCCCCTTTCCCGATTAGGTAAAATTGCTTTCGCTTGACAACTTGCTTTTCTATCTTCTACATATATTTGTTTGTTCCATGGTTAGGGCCTTGGTGAAATTTCCTATTTCGCATGTTTATTCCATTTGTAGGCATATTGGTATCTATGTCTAGAGACATCTACTCGGCCATAAACGTTACAAATAGACTGACTGTCCACTTGTAGTTGGATGACTAGTCAATAGTACTCCAAGGTAATGTGGTAGACTTGAGCATAATAATACAATCTGACAAGGGGATCTGAGTCCATATGAGCCTGGTCCTTTCAGGGCTGACATCCATTCTCAATTGAGTGGAGAATTCTAAACGTTTGATTTAGATTTTCCAAACACATGACTCGGTGATCTTTGAATAATAAAGCAGGACCTGGTATTCAGATGCAAGTCTAGTTGTTCACCACAATTGCCGCTTATTTCTCGCAGTTCGTGAAGCACATGACAAATATCCCAAGGTTGTTAGATCCGTCTTGATTTAGGAGAAGGCACCCCCAATATATGGATAAATAATTCGTGTCATCGCTTATTCTAACATTCAAGAAAAATGGATGTTTGAGTTACAGCCTATCAACAGACTCGGGGGAACATTATCAAAACTCCGTCCGTTGAAGCGACTTCCGACCATACCTCAATTGTGTCAAAAGCTTCCCCGACAGTTGATTTTCCATTCATTCCCTGCCCATCCATGCTTTCGAGCCTCTCAGTGCAAGAACTTCAAGCATCAAATTCCTTCGTTAAAGGGACATGAGTAGCTTGCAGCCGGCTCTAACGAACGCCCATGTGTTCCGAGGAAAACGTCGTTTCGGCAACAGGAGTTGCTTCCCGTCTACTCGAAATTTCATACCCCTTCCAGGTTGAGGTATCACTGGAAAAGCGTTCAACTCGAGTTATAAAACACTGATCGTGAGGACGGCTTCAAATTATTTTCTCCTTCGCAATAGTTTCTGTGGTGAGCTATGGAAAAGAGCACGATTCTCGTCCAGATGAATAATAAGCCGAGCAACTGTTCACCTAACACCTGGAAGGCCACAATACCTGGAGCTACTCAATCATCTACTCAATAGCTTGTTTGATTGCGTCACCGATCCTCCGCTGCACTGTATGTTCAATAACATCAAAAAGTATCACGGAACAGTTTCGGTTCTACCACTTCTGCCAGGTGTTCCTTGGGATAATGGAACGGTTTCGTGCCCTTTTTTCTTATTTTTTTTTTTTAGCTAAGTGACAATCATTATGTCCCCTTCTGGAAATATCAGCTTCTCACCTTTTTCAGCCTCTTTCCTTCCCTTTCCCTAGTTTTCTCTAGTTCCAGGCTCTCGAGAACGAAGACCCAGCTCTACGTGACGTCTCTAGAAAATGCACCATGAGATATGAGCTGTCAGATTCCATAACAGGTATGTATATATGACTCCACTTTATTTTTCCTTATGGAATATATATAGAATAAACTACTAAAATGACAAACACTGAAAATAGCAAAAGTAGCAGAAACATTAACACAACTCTGATCAACAGATCCCTTCACCATGTCTATCTTTACTCCAGACTCGTTCAAAAATACTCCATATCCAAAATCTCATTCTCAGCTCGCTTTTTCGGCTTTCCTGAAAGACTGGTACGGCTTTTGGTGCCCGACGGATCACTCGATGGGTCGGGTTCGTCCCAGTTAAGTTCTCGATGAAAAATCAAGGATCCTTGGTAGCAACACATATAGCTTCAAATTCAATGCCCTATAGAGCGTCACCACCGATCAAGTTGCGGGCAAGAAGGACTGTAGCAGCACTACAAGGCAGTTGTAATCTGCTAGCACGACAAACCATCTTCTTCATCAAGCAAAAATTTATGCTCGTCGGTTTCCACGGCAGCTAAAACAGCCCAAAAGCATCGTAGAGTAGTTTGTATTAACTGGCTCCTGGGTATACCTCACATTCGATATTATGTAGGGCTCAATAACAAATGATGTTTCAAGACTTCAAATCTAATTGGAAGCAAAGCTGCTGGCACTCCAAACCGGTCGGTGGATAAAGACAAACCGGAAGCGCAAAGATATCTGGCAACTAGATCCAACACCGTATTCAGATCTTTCTCCGCATGCTAGCATCTCCTAAAACGTGTGGAGGACAAGTGTTAGAGCTTGAAATTGATTTCAAATAACCATATATTAAAGTTCATAAAACTTCAAACTCTCAAAAAGAAAATTTCACATATATAAATTAAGGAGATTTCTTCAAATATACATCAGAGCTATTATCGACTTGAATTGCAAACAGTACTATACATTCTTCTCTTTAAATAATATTCGTTCCTTATTCTACATTACTCAACATATATATCTACTTCGAAAAATGAATGAATAATGAGGAATACGAAGTCACAAGCTAAGTATGATCCACCATTTTAAATTCCATTGGACGGAGCCTAAACTTCGAATATATTTCATATACCAACTACTCTATTCCACATCTCCTTCTCTTTCTTCATGCTTTATAGCTGTTTTCCACTAGATACAGCGTCACAAAGTATAAGAAAACAAGGTAATTTGAAACACAGACATAGAACTTTCTGGTATTGTATACAATAGTGTAGTTAGTCATGTATATGTCTAGTAACCAAGGTCCGCTTCGCGCTACCATTGATCCGGCCCAAATTAGAGTTTCCTGACCTCGCTTAGCCAAGCATCTTAGGCAGTTTACCCTACCTAGCTTCATACGCAATACACAATAACCTTTTACCGCACAATTTAGCTGGCGACACTTGATGATACCTAACGGTCCAACTTGAGCAAATGAAAAAATTCTTCCAAGGTTAATCCGATACTACGAATTCAAATCCACAATATATCGATCTATGAAAGCCGAAGGTTCACATAATCCAAGTCCTCTATCATCCTTCTTCTCTGATTCGGAAGTCGTCGACCTCAAACTAAATGATCATCAGATTCTTTCAGCGGAAGTCCTCCAGAGTCTCAAAGAGGCTTGTCTGAAACTCGAGAAACGTATTGTTGAGGAGGAAGAGGATAGAATGTGGAAAATTATGGAAGCAGGGAAAGCAGTTTACAGAGAAAATCAGTGGAGAGGGAGCAGTCCTTCCGGGTGAGGGGACTCGGGTAAATGAGTCAAATTTTGAGATTGAAATTCTTTTTTCACTTATTTTGATGATTTGGATGATGCTATTGGGCCATTTATATTGTCGTTATATTGGATATCAATATTCGGCTTATTAGGTTAGATCTATTATCTATGAGCGTCAAGTGTTGGAGGAGATGTAAATGTTTGAAAATATTCTAATATTCAAAGCACGAAGTTTTAAGCATATTATTTTCCTTAATGCCTCAAATACATTATATAAATACAAAATATATTATTAGTTTATGATTCCAAGTGAATTCAGTACACTGAAGAAAAAATTCAATTGTTGGCTTCAATTTAGATTATTTTAAACCATAATGGTGGATGAGTTCACAACTAGTTACAGTCCGGCCCAAACCAGATGACTAATAGATTTTCAACCGAACATTTACACAAATCCTTCCAATTTGCCCTTCTTGTAATTTATATCAAGAGAACCAATAAGCATTAATTATCTATTCCCTTGAATCCATTACAGAATGTCCGAACTATCTCACAATATATTTTGATACATTTAGACGTCTAGGGCTGTTTCGGCAACTACAATCTGTTGTTTTTTATAGTATTCCGTCCCCTTTCTATATAACGAATTCTGCTCGTTTGATGATTCTTTGAAATATCAATATATTTCAATTCCGTTATAATCACCATATTTCATATGATCTTTCATAAAATTCGTCAAATTCATTGGATTTGATTTGAGGAGAAAGTACAGTATATAAATCATATCTGAACCAGAAAATAAAATTTTTACCTCTTAAAATCTTTTTATGGCTATCTGAATAAACAGATTCCGTATTCGTGCTTATAGACCCCGAACATAACAACAAATTCACCAAGCTCAACTAACTTGGCATTTGCACCTTAGATCAGGGATCTTGAGATATCGAAGCAGAATCTAATTTGCGATAACTGGAAGCCCCATTCCTCATATAAAACAACCTCGTCAATGATCGTGACAGCAAATAGAATTTTTGGAGATTTGCTCAATTTCAAGAACTACGAGTTGATGCCAGATGTTGAGGACTTCCCGAACATCATCATGGTCGATAAGTGTGACATATTTAGATGTTTCATCAAGGATCGGAGCAAGCCATCTCTGAATGATCACAATATCTTCATCCTCCATATTACTATGCTTATTCTCACTTATGGTGGCAATGTTGCAAACCGGGCTTTAAAAATTCTTATAGTGTGAGAAAGTTGGAATTATAGGCCAAATACATAAAGGTTTTAACTAGTCAATCACATGATCTTCTGTAGTTAGATATAAAAGAAGAGCCTTTTGCCTCTTCTTTTCACAATAATCAACCTTCTATATATATACATTTGAATCTATATAGCCTCAACCCCAAAATCATTGTGAACCCTGTTTTACCCATAAATGACGTATTACAATATAATCTAATTCAGCTTTCTCTTCCAATTCCCTCCTCACAGCGTGCTATCGGGACGCACGTATCTCGACCTACCACTTTTACAATAGTACTCAAATTAGAGAATTGTAGGGAGTTTAGTTGAACTTCTAAGCAGGAGAATCCCAAAGCACCGTTATTGTCTGTTGCTTGTAAGGGAGCGCCCCTCGCTGACGGCAATTACGGAAAAGAGGAGGAAGTCAGCTGCTTCGGGAAAGCAGTTCAAGAAATAGGTGTTGATCTTTGGGTGGATGATGATGAGGATGGTGGTTTCGGACCATCATTTGTTCTCGATCAAATGGTTTCCGGGCAATCTGTTGAATAATATTCGCAATTTTAGCCTTTTTTGCTTAAACTGTGACAATTTCCAAAAATATTAGGGAAATAAGATACGTAGGGAGCTGACAGAAAAAGAATGAATGTGTCTCGTTTGATATATACAACACTTCAAACCTTCATTATCGCATGAGAATATAAGCCTTATAATCAATTCCTAAATACTAGCATAATAAACTGCAGAATTAGAAACTAAAAACTAGCTCGAAACAAATATATGAATTAATTATCAAAAACAACAAAAAGAAATTCTATTTTTCACAGCCGAAAAATTGTAATAAATTTTTTTTTTTCAAAACACCCAGCTGAAAAAGTGAATCATCTATCTATCCCACGAGTTCCTATAACGTATAAACCCAATGATGACATCATTAACAAACTTATTCAAGACATAACTCTGATGAGTGTTATGATTCGAGCCTTCCCTACCAAAATTCACCCAATACAAAAACCAAGATCCTTTACCGAGATCTCCTTTCTACAAAAGACAAGTGCAACCACTTCCATCATCTAATTACAACAAGAACAACAGCAACAACAGCAACAACAGCAACAACAGCAACAACAACAACAACAACAAACATCCGAATAATCAACTCTCATCACTTTTCCTCTGGATCATATTATTTCGACACAGCCTTCTCTACAGTACCCTCCAAAAATCACCAATCAAATTCTTCTACACCATGTCATCTTTTACCGTCCCGACAGATGTTACTGCACCCGATATGCGCAAAACATCCGATGCTTCTGATGAGAATAGCGTCACGGTGATAAATATGCGTAATCGGGCTATTCTCTACGAAAGCAATCATCCAGATCATATTTTCCAGCCTTCGGTTTTGAATTTAGTTAATAGTATGGTGGGGACTCTTGCCCTGTTTTTCTCTTTTGATATATTTCTATTACCATCTATATGTGTTTCAGTTTCTTTTGTTCCTGTTTGAGCTGGACAGCAATGGCTTTGTCACCCGATATCTTTGCGTTTATTATTTTCAAGAATTAATTCTAACAAACTCAACAGCCCAACGACGAAGCTTCTGAAGCCCGATTCTTTACTCGCGTATCAGAGAGAAAAAACTCCACCACGGCCGCTGTACTCAACGGCGCAGCCGATGCCCGGGAACATTCTATCTCAGAATGCACCTCTCAAGCTCCAGGACCCAGCTCTCAAACCCCCGAAAACCCAACCGAACAACAAGAAACCACCACCGCGGAACCAAGACCTCCTGTTTTCTTCCGCTGCTGCCAAGTAAGTATTTTCTTTCCCTTCCCTTCCTACTCATACCACCCACCAATCCAAACGAACAACTAACCCTAACCGCAACCTCCCACCACAAAGTGTCAACACACCTCCCTCCCCCCAACCTGCCAACGAAAAGCCGAAGAAATCGGAATCTTCCAGACAAAAGACCAGCGCGTGCTCGTCGTAAACACAGAATGCGCACATGCGCAATGTATGCGATGTGTTAACGTGGATGAGAATGGAGTGCGTATTGGATTTAAGCCGTGGGAATTGGAGTGGAGGGATCCTGCTATTTCGAGAGGGGTATAGATTGGGTTGTTTGTTTATTGGGAAAGTGCGGGGGATAGTGAAGGAAGGAGGTTGGATTTGTGATTGGGAGGAGTGTTGAGGGATGGATGGATGACTGGAAGATGGATGGATGACTGGAAGATGGGTCATGGTTGCTGTTATTGGAGATAAATACATTAGCTTGATAACTTTCAATGTCTAATTGACTGATTGTGTCACGCGTCGTTCCAGGTCCCAGATAAACTCAATACATCAATTAACCTCAAAATTCAAAATTCAAAACACTTTGAATGTATAGGAACATTCGAGAACCAAAAATCTCCCATTGTTTACTGTAGTCTGAACTATCAGATACTTGAATACCGAAAGATCAATTATCCGCTAACGGAAGCTCCACTTAAATGCTCGTTGTATTATTAATCTATGTGTACAGAACCATCCCAAAATATATGCAGCAATACGTGCCATCTTTCAAACTTATTTACCCTCGCACCAATATATTCAAGGAGTCTTTTAATGCCGGGGAGTCCTATCTAAAAGTTCTCCACTTTATAACACAGAGCGCAGATCAGCATCTTAATTCTTTAGAGAAAATTCAAAGCGGTCATTGAGTATCTCACTTCTCAGAATAAGTAGCTGGGGTTGCATCCCCTTCTACCTCAGGTACCTGGAGTTGTCCATCGGATTCTTGTTGGAGCCCTTCTGCTGTTGCTCCCTCACTTTCTACAAAATGTGATATGCGTTCTCGAGGAAGCCAAGCTCCTGCTGGCGTGAACCACCAGGATATTACAGCTAAGATTGTGACTCCTGCCATGATTATTGGCGCATCTAACGATATGTCAGTATATTATAAAGCGACCAGTGGATCTGAGAATGATTAAAGGTACTTACAATTTAAGGTAGCTCCAGTGACAGGAAATGAATAAGGACTGAAAAGAATGGCTACAACCCAACCGTTCCAAAAAATCGAGATGAATTGAAATGGTCTGCTCCATCTACCTAAGCTCCATCTTGGCTTGGAAAATGAATTTGGTGTCAAGAAAAATCTTCCAAAAGAAATGAGTCCGTATGCTGCGGCTGATGGAACACCAGCAGCAGAAATGAGGGATGTGAAGGCGACTGCAGAGGGTAAGATTGTGCAACTCACAAGCGAAGCGCAACCCCAGATAACGAGAACGGCATTACGAGGTTGACCTTCGGCGGAAACACGTGATACCCACCCCGAGCAAGGAAGGACACCATCACGAGCCACTGCAAAAACAAGTCGAGATGCGGCGACGATGGCAATTGCAGTGTTGAACCAAAGTGCGACTACAGCGATGATGTTCATGAAGATGTGGCCACCTTTTCCTAGAACGACAGCGTAAAGAGGTACGAACGGTTGAGGCGAACCGTAGGAGAACAATGTATCTGGATCCGGTGTGCAGAAAAGAAACAGAATGATCGCCGCAAATCCTCCAATTCCACTTACGATCACACTCCAGAAGATACCTCTGGCCGCTGTGATGGAAGCATCCTTGGTTTCTTCGGCAACGTGTCCAGACGCATCGAATCCAATGAGAATACCTGCAGTAGCGAGATAAGACAGACACCAATTCCACCCCGCAGGTGCACCAGTCCCGTTGTAGGTTGTCATGAATGCCTCTTCTGCAGTGCGGAAGCCGATAGTTCTGGCAGCTCCAATTGGCAACCAAATGATGTTGAGAAGGAAGTCAAGCATTACCAGGAAGCTCGAGATCCAAAAGACATATTTGAAGAGACGAGCTATTCCAATGCGTCAGTATTTTACAATGGTTTGCATGAGATATGTCAACCCACGTGGGAGAAAATTCACAATTGCGGCGAGTGCAAGAAGGACTTCAGTACAAATCCATTGGACTGCTCGGAACTTGATATCACTAGTATCCGTCGGGAAATCTATATTGAAAACAACGATTTCCTGTTAAAAATCAGATAACTTCCAGTACTTCGCAATCGCAACTCCTAGAGTCGTGAGAGTATCACGTGTATATTAAACTTACCGAAAGCATGTAATTTACGGCTCCTTGGGTGTTGCCTGCAAGTAATCAGAATAAATAACTTGAGGGAAATAATTTTTGAGATGAACTTACTTGCACAAAATGTCATCCAAGCAGTAGTACTCCACCAAGCAACTACAAATCCTAAAAATCGTCCATACTTCGCTCCTCCAGCTTCAGCTGCCCAAATATAGATGGAACCAGCTGAGGGTGATGCAGAACATACTTCTGCTATGACTGCCGCCGTAATGAAGGTAAAAAAGCATGTTACAAGATAACTCGTCCTGGATTTAAAAAATGTTAGAAATTGTATAAAAAGTTCTAGATTCGGGGAGGCGCAACTTACCAATAAGCTAAGGGACCCCCGGAGGCAATTCCGGTAGTGTAAGTAACTCTCACACCACCAACAAAGTACAATGCAGCGAATGATGTCGAAAAATTCTCAATGAGAGTGTATGTTCGATGTAAAACCTATATCATTTTGTGAGTGGATGTAAATACCTTCATGATCTCGATTCTCGAATAAATTTTCAACTCACGGGTTTGTAGCCAAGTGTTTCCTATAATGGGAGAAGAGGAGATCAGCTGATAGTCTGTCTTCATACATGATTGATAATTTGATATCAAAACCAATTACTCACCAATTGAGCATCATCTCTTGCCTCGATTATGACGCTCTTACTGTCTTCCCCTTCTCGAACCATCTTGCCGGTTACCTATGAATGGATTGTTGAATGATTGAAGCCAGAAAAAAAAAGAAAAGAAAAAGAATGTATCTCGTAAATACCAAGTGAGTAAGTACCTAGGATGTGTAAGATACACGGAGTAAAGTATATAGTAAGGTTACTGCGCCGTTCCATTACCGAGAATCTCCGCTACAAATCACGTTCAAGTCAAGCACAGCGGGAAGAGAAGAGATTTCCAGTGCACTAGTGATTGGATTTAGCCGGGGACCCCAAATTGTCGCTCCGTTTGTCATGGATACGCTTATTTGCGCTGTTTTTGAGATACATCTTTAGTAAATAAAGCAGAATTTTATATGTTGTAGATAAATAATTTGTGTATGTCCTGACATTGGAAATGTATATAAAGTTGTGGAATATTTAATATTTACAATTAAAAAGATCTCTTATATAATCATTGCGTTGATATCACTTCTTAAAAGTCATGTGACATGTACCATTTGCCCCGCTTTACCCTGCATTGAGGCTATATAATAGAAAATGACAACAGAGCAAACTCAAAACAAATCCAAAACTATGGGCTTTTGTGGTGTTGTGGTTTAGTGGTATAATTCTTGCTTAGGGATATATTAGTCATCAAGACTGATTCTCCATGTAAGAGGTCCCCGGTTCAATCCCGGGCAACGCCCCTTTTGTCATTTTTTTGTCCTGGCCGCTTCACCCATCTGCTGGATTTAAGGAAGGATCAGGTAGGGGAGGGGTTCGATTCTTGTAGTGACTTCAGGTTGGAAGGAGTATCGTGGTGATCCTTCCCTTGATAGCACAGAGGAAATGTTTTGAGATGAACAAACTTTTAAATTTACCTCTCACTCAACATATGGTTGGAACCTAACTTACAAATCTTCTATGAAGACGTAAAAGATTCCTGTCATCATTTACATCTTACCTATTCTTTGTACAACGGAGACGTATCGGGATCTAAATTAAAAAGCAAACGGATGTATAACTTCTTCAAAAGCTTCCAACTCCACACCCTTTCGCTAATATTACTTCCCCCTTTTTATCGACCGCAGTGTTTTGAGACTTACAAGTGGAATTACTTCTAGTGGCATTCCACTATTCCTACCAATTGGCTAACCCTTACACGAAACCTCAGAATTCCTGCCATGAGATATCATGACCAAGATGTGTCTCAGTTTTTATGAAGGAACATAATTATTATTTTGATCAAATAATTTCCATCTCACCTGCTCGGAAAAGTCTTGTTTCTCAAACCTTATTTCGCCACAATTACTCAACTTATATCAAATCGGTCCTTCAGTTTGCCGCTCTTCAATCGACTTCGAAATTAATTCCAGGTATGAGGATTCATCTCATCGTGGTTGCTTATTATTTCGATCTATCATATTTCCTGGTATGAAAAAGCCACTGCCGGAATAGATCAAATATGTATGAAACAAAATTTCCATTTCTGTCGTACCCCTTACTTGCTTCTTCCTGAATACTGGTAAGGTAAAGCTTTTGAATCCAAGACTTTTCTTGCATTCAAACTTCCGAACTGTTCTTTCTTAATAAATTATTAAATCTCAAATCATGACTTCATTCACCGACAACCTCCTCCCGGTCTACATCATAGGAGAAACAATACGCGCAAATTACGCATATTTTGCCCTTCATACAGCTCCTCAAATCACTCCATCATTGATTGCTCTTCTTTCCGAAACCTTAAAACTTGCCATCGCAGCGATCATTATCAACCATTCAGATGAAGGACTTGCTTCTATACAGAAGAAGTTCAACAAGAATGGTTTCAAGGAAATTTTACCATATGGCGTCCCGGCTGCGTTTTATCTCACAAATAACCTGATATATTTCACGGCTCTACCATCCACATCACCGAGTCTTCTTCAAGTCTGTATGCTTGCGAAAATCCCAGCCACCGCAATTCTACATCATCTTTGGATTAGAAAGCAAGGCAATAGTCGATCATGGATATCTCTTGGGTTTCTTTGCTTCGGACTTCTTCTGTTCAACATTCCCTCAGGCGATAATAAAAAAGGCTGGCTTGTGGCTCCTATGGCAGGGTTGGTGATAGCTGTGTTTTCTGCAATTGCTAGCATTGCTAGTGAGTCTCTCACCAAAAGTGGATCTTTTTGGGAGTCGCAACTATGGCTTTACCTCTGGGGAGTTTTCTTCTCTATCGTATCATACCCTATTGCTACCAGGATGACCACTGAGCGCGGTACGAATCCAAACATTTCAATGACATCTACCATAACGATTGCGATATATTTCTCATGTCTGACCTCTGGTGTTGGTTTAATTGTGGCTGCTATGCTCAGGAAAAAGGATAACCTCATGAAGTTGGTTGGGACCTCCATCAGTTTGCTCACCACAGCAGCAACTCAGTACGCTACATTTCCAGAATTGAGATCACCAGGGTTCACGACATGGAAAATAACAGGCGGCTTGGTAGTCATGATTTCAACTGTCTTCTATAATTATTCTAAGGATACGTCTTCTGAACATGCAAATTTGCTCGGCCAGCTGCTTCCAAACTCAAACGAGGACATGCACGATGGCGAATTCTCAGAACCTGAAAACCCGGTTACTGCATCGACTGTAACAAAGTTATTCTCGTGGGTTCCTTCTGCTCGTCCAAGGTCCTCGTCCGCATCGTATGGATTGGTAGAAATGAGGGATGTGGAAACTGAAGACGGCCCAACATCTACCGAGAAAGATGGAACTTAAGACTGAGAGATACGTTTAAATGGCTAATGCTGGCCAGGAAGTAATTTGGAGACTTACAGTGTCTCGGGAAGCTCAAATCTCTGGAACTGAGGGTTGAAAATATCGACTTTTGATTGGGAGTTTTTGTCACGGGGCTATAGCTTTTTGCTATTAGTATATGCGGCAAGCCATGTACTATCTTGCAAGGCTATTGTTCTCCTAATTCAGTTCCTTCGTGAGTGAAGCAAACTTTCTTGTCCCTATCATCTCGACTTATATTAGAAGTTCAAGGCTTTACAAAGATCAAGAAGATGTGGGCAGCCCACGCAAATAGTAAGACTTAGAAAGAATATGTGTATTACTTGGCTTTATCGATACATGTTCCACTTTTCCTATCTTTAACAGGCTTCATTAGGTATCACAGTGTTCAGCAAGATACTCTCATCCAAACTCCCCTATTCGAACCCCATGTTTCTTTCTGCAAAGGCTCAAATCAAGGCGGCATTAATTTCTTTCCATTTTCGTGACCCTTTCAACGATTTGTCATCTCAGTTAAGTCTCATCTATCCAATCAGGTCAAATTCGTTCTATTTCTCTGAAATGTTAGTTCTCGGTTTCGTTCAAATGGTCGATCGGTAGAATACCGTGACCATGTAATTTTCAGTCTAAATTTCAAGTTTCATAATCTCCGGCCTTAAAACTGTCAAGCTATATATGATTCTTCATAAATTCATTTAAAGGGACTGTCAAGACTGCATCTTTTCTATAAGCATGTATTATTTACTCTTCCATTCATTATCAATCTGATGTATACCACGCTCCTCTCCTTTAGCATTCATCCTCCTTTATAAGATTACCATCTCATCATCATCAGCCACCAATTCATTCCAAAGTTCTCACGATAATCCTTCTAATTAATACTCTACATTAACCTGTTCCAATCCACCATATACATCCAATCCTATAAAGTTGCGTGACAGCGATCGAAGAATATCTTTAGACAAGACAGACTTGATATAATATCCACGTAATTCTTAAACTCTACACCTATGTTTTTAAGCGTTGTCCCTATATAGTTTGAACTAAGAAGACTAGCCCCTGAATTGACTCCTTAGATCTAATTAGGCTGCACAAAAATAACCCAGGGGTTGCAGATAATCATAAATTACCTGCTCAGTAGGTTACCCATTAAGTCTACAATTTGCTCTACAGATGATTTATTGGGATTTAAAATAAATTGTGCTGTATAAGTTATTTATAGCTAAAAAAAATTAACTTTAAATAAATATTTATTTTGATAAATAATTTACTGATAATTTGTAAAAAATTTATAAATAATCTATAAATAATCTATCTATAAATTGATAAATATCTATAAATTATCTATAAATTATCTATAAATTATCTATAAATTATCTATAAATTATCTATAAATTATCTATAAATTATCTACAAATTATTTATTGAGATTTTTAAATAATCTACCCCGCAAATAGATTTTCCGCAGATTACCCACCAAAAGCAATAATCCGCCCCGCGGAGCCCTGTTGCGCACCCTAGATCCAATGTAGTACTCATTGTATCCGCAGATTCTTAAAAGTTGAGTCGTGTTTCACTTTTCGGCTATACAAATATGGAGTAGAATCAAGAAGATTTTGTAATGAATCATCATTACAGATATCAATGTTATAATAATATATCTCTTCACCTTTTTTAAAAAAAAATTATCTTCAGGATTCTATTCAGAGGTTCCTATGAAATCTCTCGGCTTCAATTCGACTCACTGAGCACCAGGCTGTGAAATGGACTTGCGTTAATTAGGCATTCTAGTCTTTGCTATTCGCTATTTCAATTGTTTGTTTTCTGAAGGTATCAATTCTTGTCAACGCTATGGATACAATGTGTGTATTAGGATAATCACTGCCTTTAGCTAATATTCAACATCTGATACACCTTTTTCAGATACACGTATAGAATATTAGTGACAACAAAAGAGTAGAACGGCGATACATCTTTTTAACCCTCGAAATCGTCCGTAAATTTTATTATACAGAAATTCTGGCAATCGTGGATTAGGCATAAGGCGATTTCTGATGTTGTAGCGTTTCCTATTATTGTTGACGTTGTTATTTCACGTTTCGATGCAGGTATTGTATAAACCACGGAGATCATACCTTTTGTTTCATACTATGGATGCTGGAAAATCTCAGCAGAAGTGAAATAGGAGGAGATTAGTGGATATTGGTTTGGTATAACTTTGCTCAAATAAAAAAGCATTTATATGTACCACTACGCCCCAAACACTAAAGTTCCCGTGCGTATAAACACGTTTAGAATTGGTCTTGAAGATATATCTCCTCATTAACTTCCTTTATCAATTTTGGCAATTAGTTGAGGTTCTTCGCCCCGTTTAATGCAGGGCTTAAAATCGCGAATTTCATGCTCGTGATATTATGATGGGTAACAAATATATAAGTTAGCTACGATTACTGAAGGCTTTGAAACTAAATATTACCATTGTTAGCGATCAATTAAAAGGCTATGGACTTAGTACTTACCAAGCTTTCTAGCATCTCAACCCTTTTAATCAGCTTCCATGACCGTCTCGAATGCTAGTATCTCTTCAGCCATCCCTTTAAAAGATATTCGAAGCTGTATACCAGCTTTCCGATATAGTTGGGACCGTCGGTGTATGTATACCTCATGCGATCACAAAGTACTCATTCAATAACCCTCAGACTCATCACAACTATCGCAAAACCTAAACTGACGATTTAACTTTCTTGCGCAATTAGTTATCTCATTTGAAATATACTCTCGAGCATAATTCTACCAGGTCTTGTAGCTGATCTTAAGGCTGAGACAAATATTCATTACATGTTCATGATATCAAGACAAAAATAACAGTAGCGATGATGAGACGATTAATTAACGGGTGAAAAACTACAAGTGGTTTCTCTATTCTTCTTGCTCACATGCTGTATTGTTACCCATAATCGGGGTATGCTAAGTTACAGGTATATGGATGAGATGATCCAAGCAATCTAACTTAGCTTCCAACTCATGATAGCAACGAAAATTCGTACGCTGCGTCCTGGAACTATTTCTACAAGCAAACAACTACCTTCCTCGCATCGTCTCAAAAAGCGGGGTCCTTCTCCCAATCTTCATTACTCCTCGCTTAACACAGCTTTGGACCTAGTAAATTAGGCCGTTATCCTCCGGCCGTGAGAACTCATGCCAAAAGCATGCTTCATGTCTGGTAATACAGGAAATTATTTCTCCAGAATGGAGATTTTTGCTTTCTGTGTTGAGCTTCCTTTGATCAGGCCGTTGAGGTTGAGTGTGTGGAGCCCCTCAATCCAAAAGAGCTTCCTAAAAGCGTATACAATTCATACCATTCCGGTCAAAAGAACTCGGGATAAGTTTACGCTAAATAAATGACGTCTGTATATAATACATTTAGCCGTACTAATTTCTTGTTACTTTTCTATATAAATAAAGATGAATGCATATAACACCTCAATTAAAAATCAGAGAAAGGAGAAAGTTCTAGGATGAAATCTTCATGCTTCTACCTCTTGGAAAGACAATGATAACACACAACATTCAATCATTGGAAAGCAGAGCTTCTGAGTACAAAATCCCAGATAAAACAGTGATTGATGTTTTCCTCGGCAGTGGGCGGTTCCCCCTCTAGAATTAAGCGATTACAGTTGAAAACGATGGTTAGGGGTGATAAAAGAGTAAAAGACATATATCCTTCTGATTGTCAGGGATTAAATACCATTTGGTCTTGCCGCAGAGTAATGCGATTGCCAGCTCCAAAATTAGTGTCTAGTAGAGTAGCACAATACTTGATCTTGAAACTATTCAGATACATATAGAGTCATTATACCAAGAAACATAAATTCTCAGCAACTTCATAAGCAACTTCCTTTTTCCACTATGCTATAAAAGAAAGTATCAGGACTTGTATCAACTAACTCTATGATTAAAACCGGAAGATTTATTTCTAGTATGTCTACAATACAAACCTTCAGCTAATCAAGGAGGTAATACAAATGTAAATGCTCTCTCCACTAACCTGAGACTAAAGCCATCAAAGATGAAAGACACAGAAGTAATAATTTACTGTTCCTCTTGAATTCAACAATAACCACTAAATAAAAATAGTAATTAGCTTTTAACAATAGCTAAAACAGGCACTAATAAACAGGACTCACCGCTGCTTATAGTTAATATTCCTTATGATAATTATTTAAAACTCAATCCAAACTTCTCCTCATGATCAAATCTGTGAGGACAAAGTCAACCGAACCACTCGATGATTCTCAGCCATAAGCCGAAAAGGATGGTACTTATTACCGGTCGATATGCGAGTTACAAATAGTAGAGAAGACGTATTTATACCCCTCGAAGTAATAAGGAGGGGTGGAAGATCAAATATTATCATTTAAACCCAGGACCAGGTAATGTGACTGAGTAGCAATAATCATCTACACGTACTTATCAACCCATACAGAATTAGACACAAAATACATTCTACAAAACATTACAAATACTCATAAAGAAAAGCAACAACCTCTCAAATCTACAAACACATATAAAACACCATCGAAAAGCCAGGGGGGAATCTCGTCCCATCGGACCTGGCTAATCTTTATACTGGGATTTCTCCTTTACATCTTTCTTACTCTTTACTTCTTTGAGAAATATAATCTTAAGATTACTACAATTAAACAACAATCAAGAATCATCTTATCATCTTATCATCTCATCAAAAATAACATTATACGGCTAACAATAACAATAACGTACAAAAAACTACAATTTTATGATTTTTGTTACCCTACCGGACCACCCGTAAAGCCAAATATACAACATATACAAGTATTAAAAGAAATCAGGTCCTAAAAACCAACACTTAATTAAGTCCCCCTCAACCTTTTCTCCCTCCCCCAAAGTGCAACACAACCTCCTTATATCAAAAGATCATAGACTATTCCAACTTTTTGATTCGCAAGAAAAAAAGTTACAACTTATATACAGGAACCTTTCTTATTTACCGTACAGAGTATATATACTTTGTACAACGTGAAATTTTATAAGGAATTTGAATTTAGTGGAATCGCCTGAACTTTGTATTCATCGCAAAAAAAAACAAGATCAAGGGATAAATAAATAGATAGGATGAATAAATACCTGTCTTTTCATGTTTATATCATTCCACGCACTTATCACGTCATCGTCTTAGGAAACTGAAATTTTGAAACATTTCCTTGTAGTAATCTAGATTAATGCCTGTATAATATAAATCCCAATCCTATTCCTTCTACTCTTGAAATAATTGATTGTAATTATATTCGTTTAACCAAAAATCAAAATCAAACCGATAGAATTCAATCTACGATAATAGAACAAGATAGACAATGACTATCAAAACATAAGATGAAAACTTGCATCATATATTAACTATAATAAGCCAGGTAGGAAACCCGTATTCACATCATTCAAACACACACGCATCATCAGACCAATATTTCGAAGAACGCTTTAAAATCGCATGTCATTCCATCACTCATTGATTGCATAAAATCATGAATGAGTCCAACCAAACAACACCAAGCCCAAGGACAATCGTCTTCTATGCCATGCCACTTCTCACTACTCCACACGCCAGCCATCTTAAACTGAGTACTACTCCCAGAGCGGCCCACACACACATTACGAATACAAAATACACCATCCACACAGCACACGCATCTATTGCCCATCACCCACCCACCTATCCATCTCATGTGGCCATGATCAGCAATTGCGTAACCTGCAAGAGCAAAAAAAAAGTCGAGTTTCCTTTCCGTCTCCAATTTGAGACATACTAAAACAAATAACGCCGGTGTAAAATGATTCCCTTTCCGTGTCTGCATCCGAGTAGAAGGGGCAATTTCAGTTGTCGCAAACAAGGAACTATCCGTAGTGAAGGAAAATTAATCAAATGTGTGCATGCAATATCTCTATGGGCAATCTCCACTCCTGGCCGTCTATCATAACCTTCTTGATGCGGTATAAAATGCGGTGTAAAATGAGCCTTGATCAAGTAGACATTTTGGTTACCCGAATCTCGTCCTGGCCAGCCTTTGATTTGTATGTACTGAGCCACTGTTGAGTGGTTAGTCTAATTGCGCGCGTATATTGTAACATATCCCGTACTTGTTAATATATTGCGTTCATAGCTTCAATTTTCTGTTTTGTATGTATAGGACTTTTTCCCCAGAGCAATCTTCGCGTCTATATTTGCTTGAAAATCTCCTGGTGGATCATTATACACTCTGTGGGGCAAAACCTCCTATTGGTGGAGGACTGTTGACCATACTATTCCGCTTGTTACGACTCTTTTTCATCTGACTCTTCAAGGCGCTGGAGTCCAACGGTTTCAGAAGTTCAAAGCTGCAAAGTAGCTCTGTTGAAACACTCATGACAGCTCCATAATTGTCAAATTCGCCGCAATAGTTGGGTGCAGAGAATACCGTCACGAGGATTCGATCTTCAAAAAATTCGTAACCGTCTTCAACAACCATGTGTGCTCGACAGACCAAGTCAAAGTCGTGCCTTGCTAGGAACTCCGAAATGACCTTCTTACCAAAGGAATAACTAACACCTCTCTCGCTAGTTTCCCAATCATTTTCCTGATCTGCAGGATCAGACCACAAAAGATCATTAAGTAATCCAAAATCAGGGACGTCTGTGGGTCGAGCAATATGTCTGATATCATCCATATGGCTAAGAGCCGGGGATAAGCCGCCGTGAACACAAAAGATCTTCCCTGCGACGATAGCGGCGATAGGTAACTGCCACACGAGTTAGTCAAAAATTCACACGCTATGAGACCCGACTACATACACAGTTGAAGACATCCACAAACGTCTTCCATACTTTGACATTAGCTCTTCGTTTACACTCATCATAAAATCCATAGACTCTAGTAACGTTTGCACATTCGTGATTACCTCTCAGCAAAAAGAAGTTTTCTGGATATTTAATCTTGTAGCACATGAGCAATAGAATTGTCTCAAGAGATTGCTTGCCTCGATCGACATAATCACCCAAGAATAAGAAGTTTGACGAGGGAGGGAACCCACACATTTCAAACATGCGAATAAGGTCTGAGTACTGCCCATGAATATCACCTACAATCTTAACTGGGGCTTCCAACTCGACCAGTGGTGGTTGGTCTAACAAGATCTCTCTCACTCGAAGGCAAATTGAGTTGATTTCTGCACTTTTGAGGCAAACTCCCTTGGTGCTTTTTCCCTGGTAGCCTGCATCCAAGAGCCTCGAAATATAGTCGTCGAGTTCTTTATCTTTCAGTGTGCCCATAGAGATTTGTCCGGATGATGATGTTGAGAGTGCTGCATCATTAGCTCCATTCATTGGGGCAGCTAGTAAGGTTTTTTGGTCAACCGGATTGATCTCATTTGCCCTCTTGACCAATATAGATTGCCCAGCCCGCCCTCCAACTGCATGAGGATTTACTGCGCCCGAGGGAGGCTGGTCGGAAACATGATCAACTTCACCACTGCGCTGTGCAGCTCCAACATCGTGATGTCCGGACTTTACGGAAGGAGACTGCACGGGTGAAGGTGGCGGCTTGAGATCATCGACTGGCGAAGGAAGATCTTCAGAAGAATCTTGAGGTGATCTGGGTGAGGCTGGTACAGATGATGATCTGCCCGATTTAGAGCCTTTCCCCGATTTTATGGACCCAACGTCAGATTTATCGTTTGCATCTCCAATAGTACCTATTCCTGCAATCGAATTTCTTGGACTGTCCCTCGAACCTGGTATTTTTGATCGGAGGGCGCCTCTGAATGACTTATTAGATTCCTTGGTATCCGCTTTGCTGAATGAAGGATAAGATGATAAATTATCTGCTAGAGACGTTTGTGATGCACTATTCCTGGGCGTTGCTGACCCTGAACCTTTGGAAGGTTGGTTTCCCATAGTTTCAAATTCAAATATGCGAGCTCTGTAGAGCGTTATCGCTAGTCAACTCAGTGCACTTCTCGATGACTCAAATGTGACGCTGCAATTCAGCTGCAAGTGTCAAAGAGAGAAATAGGTAAACAGTTTCCTTTGCCGATAAGATATTGTAAGATAAGACCCAAAATTGCCTTTAATTGTTCCAGGCGAGTATCGTGTACGTTCGTTGGTATCGTGGGGCCGCAATCGGAATGGGACAGGTCGGAGAGTTTGAAACACAATTGTATGCAATCGTAATATTTATTTCGTATAACCTGTTGGGAGGTTCTATGCTGGCAGATGATGAATTATGATGAACTCTCTATGAAATTGTAAGCATGCATCCAGCAAGAGTCTCTCCTCCAAGAGGCTGCCAGGTATGACGGATGGTTGGGGATGAAGTAAGTCACTTTGTATCTTCAAGCAGGGAGGGCAGAGAGTAGAGAAGATTATAGACAACAAATCTTGGCACGTACCTTTGCCGGAAAATTAAGTAACTCTTAGCGTTGAGGCTGAGTCGGTTCTGCTAAAGGTAAGGTCTTCGTCGACATGGAAGTCCGTTCCGTTAACACCGCGACAATTGAAAAGGCCTTTCTGAGATGGGCCAAGGCGAATTGCAATGTATTACAAGAGCTGTGTCAAGTAGATAATCGTGGGGGACGGAAGACGGCTCGTCCCACTAAGCATGCGTTTTAGTTGCTGAAAGGGAGGTAGGTTTGCCTCAAAGATGGGTAGTGTAAGGCAGAGGAAGGCAGAGGAAGGCGTAGAAGTCGTAGAAGCCGTAGAAGGTGTAAAAGAATTATGATGAAAGATCCTTATGTAGAAGAGCTTAGAAGTCAACCGAACACTAGAAGCTTGATGAATAGGTTGACACCCGTAGATATTGAATATTCCAGATAAAGCTTTGTGATGTGAATCGATTTGTTGGTGGTTCCTGTTGTTCTGCACTTGTTCCTGTTGTTCTGCACTTGTTCCCTTTGAATGGGGTTGTTGGTTCAGATTTTGGCTATCGGGAACCGGACCTAAAGGCGGTCTCTCGCATCCAATACAATGATTGGCTGGATGAAGAAAAAGGTGCTTGGCAAGCACATCAAACAATTGCACTACATTTTGATGACGAGGGGATACAACATTAGTACGCTTAGATCAATCCCATCGTCCATCCTATCATTCTTTTCTCCCCGACTGTTGGCCTACCCAAGGAAGTATCTTATTTATTTACGAAAATTCACCGATTCGAGACTTGTAGATTTATGGGATTATGATAGACTTTGAGTCAGATACCCAGATATATCCTCCGACGTTGGACAATGTGTATCTTATCGTCAACATCAACCTATTCCACTGTATCTTTTGATATCAATGCCAAGCCATCAATTCTAGATCATTCTAGCTTTACTTTGATCTTGTACGATGAATGTATATATCCGATAGTCTTTAGGTAACCATGAGAATGTCCAGAGAAGGTCTACGGAAGAAAAGAGTGGACTATTACATAGGCAATCTTACATACAAAAGTCGTCTTGTGAAGATCTATAAAAACATTCAGCGAGGTCCGTGGAAGAAAGAGTAAAGGTAAAATCGATAAAATAGTCTTGCCATCAATCATTTTGGTTCGGACCATGGTATCAATTCTTCACTCATTGCTAAGTAGCAAGCATTGTTGTAATGTCGTACAAGAGGTCGAGAATCCATTCAATTTATTTTTATTAGAAGCATTGAGGAGTCTTGTTGAGATTATTCGATCTTCCAACTTCCTTCTCGAAAGAAATGGCATAAGCGCGAGAAAAGCTCCTACTAGAACCTTTTGATTCTTATATGCTCTTTCCAAATTTGGGTGCATGGATATCTCTCAGCTCTAACTCTTATAGTGTCGCCACTTACACTTTTGTTCTTTCCATTGCTTGATTCTATCCCCTCTCAATATATTTGTTCTGTTCAAGCATTTATTCTTCTTCTTCACAAACCCGTCTCACTTGCTTACACAATTTTAGAAGTTCTCTATAATACAAGCATATTATCCCTCACCCTCGTTATAAGAACAAGTTACAGCTACGCAATGAGCTATCAGGAGCATGAGAATGGCAATGCCAATGAGGACGGGATAGTTGTGAGTGAGCATGAGCATGGATCCAGTCAGGAGAATCATCAGAGAGGCAATGAGGATGAGCGAAACCGCCAATCCCACGGGTCTACCACCATTGTCGGGGATCTTAATCGTCAAACAAGTGATCAATGGGCGTGGTATTGTGAGAAAGTTGGAATAATAGGTCAAATACATAAAGGTTTTTAACCAATCAATCATATGATCTCCTATAATTAAATATAAAAAAAGAGTTTTTGCTTCTTCTTTCTACAATAATCAATTTTCTATATATATACATTTGAACCTATATAGTATCAACCCCAAAACCATTGTGAACTTTGTTTTCTTTATAAATGATGTATTATTACAATATAATCTAATTCAGCTTTCTCTTTCAATTCCTCCTTACAGTATGCTATCGGGATGCACGTATCTCGACCTACCACTTTTACAGTATAAAAGGCGCAACTCAACACGTCGTACAGTGTCAAGTACAACTGTTGAGATCTGGAACTTGATCAACAAGACATCCCCGGATGAGGCCTGTATTCACACTCTTTATTGTCCATGGCGCTGGTTTCCTCGATTTCTTTCCTTCACTAAAGACGAAGATGAAAGGTTAGTTAGATGTAATACCAGCATTGGCTCTGAAGTTAGCCAAGAGACTCAAAGACATACCACAAGAGCCCCATCAGATACCCGTAAGTCTTCTCATTTCTTCCACATCGCACAGTCTATAGCCAACCTTAATTGATCCATTTATCTGTTTCATCCTCTCCATATTCTAACGCAGCCCTGACATCTCATATGTGGCAATTTCCTCCGAAACACTTCTTTAATTAATGACTGAAATCCTGCTGCCATAGGACGAGCCCCAGTCGACTTCAATTTCGATACGATCATCGTCGCCCAAAGAGTATTGGCACTTGATTCACACATACAAATTGAACATTGGAACAGAATACGGAATTTGTGCGTCTTAATTGAGGGAGCAAACCGCCATGAACTATGCTCGCCAGGGGTTATAAACCGTCTGAGCCAACTGTCATTGTTCGAAAACATTTTGAAGATTTGCATTGGTTGGGTTATTCCGGGTCTGGAATACGTGGGAGACTTTACAATTTCTACGATTGAGAATCAGAGAGCTGCAGATTTATACTTGGCTCGAGCTCTAGAGGAGCAACTAGCAATGCATCAGCAAGCAAGTATTCAACATGTCGAGGTAGTTTACGTTCGGCAAGACGGCCTTAAATGGTATCACTTCTCCACACTCTGATATCATAGGCTTAGAAAACATATTCTTGTGTTCTCGTGGTTATGATCATCCTAGCGGCAGTTCCTGCATCGCTTGTAGTCGCATGAAGCCGGTAGACAGTGACAAAGTGGAAGAGTAAATGACTACTTCAGGTGGTGATTATGGATGCTATTTCATACGACGTCAACATTTCTTATATGGTGAGAGTACCAATGTTACTCCAAGCGAGGGTTATCCTTTGAACTCGTCACCTTCACCTTCTCTTTTGTAGCATACCAGCGATTATTAGTACAGACGAATACATATCAGCAATTGCAAAGAGATATATATTAAACCCATCCCAGTTCTTGACTTTAGGTGGATCTGATATAAGATTACCAAATCCATACAATCACTTCATGCAGGATATCAAACCATACTCATAGCTCTTCACAATCTCTTCAATGCTGTACATAGTATATAATCATGACCTGGGAAAGAAACCACACACCAAAACACAAGCCTGAGAATCGATTTTATGGCCAAATATTCAGATAGGGATGGGACTTTAAAGTAAGACTTACATACATAAGGTTAGCTTACACTTTGAGAAGTTCCGATGCTACCCTTGCAGCCTTAAAAACAATCCATCATCAAACCCAAAATGGAACACGAGGAAGATAGATACCTAATATATCGAAATCTAAATTGCAATCTTATCTCACTATTTATATATACCTACCTACCTACCTACCTAGGTACAGAGTATATATATATATACATGTGTGTGTATAAGTCAATTTCGTATACAATGAGGTTCCTGTAACCTTTAAGCTATTTTATGCGGAAACCCCACTCCATCCCTAATATCGGTGTCCCCGCGCACGTGAAAATATATCTTACTTAGAGTTACGGATGCTCTATATTTCGGATATTGCGAAATTTGTATGGTATATGTGGTATATATAGTAGGGACTTGGGGGGCCTGGGTCTTTTCTAATAGGTATAAGGTAGGGTTATTTTGTGAATTTGTGAATTTGTAAATGCAAATACGAATGAATACGAGGGGAAAGTAGTAAGGGAGAGGATTGTGGTGCTGAGTTGATGGTGCATTGTTTGTTGTGCTTGTTTGTTTGTTTGTTTGCTTGCTTTATTTTATGTTTGTGTTTGTGTTGTTAGGTGTGAATAGATAGATAGATAGATGAATGGATAGCTCTGGTATCTAAAGTAAGGTAAAGCAAATTCTTTATGATAATAAAAAAGGAAAACCCTTATCAAACTCAGCTATATATACTCCATAACCTTAACCCTACAATTGATCACAAAATAAGAATGCATTTCCCACCAAGTCCCCTCTACCCAGAAAACACCGCAATTCATTTCATTCATCAACCATAAACAGGAAATTCCAAAAGTCTTAAAAAGTAAATAGGAATCCCTCCGCCACGCCTAGGAAAGTGAATTACGTTGACACCAACGGACAACAAGGGTCTTGGCAAGTACTTCCGTAAGTAAAAGACGCAGTGGGGTTCGTGGCTGCGGGCGGGATATCTGTGGAAGGGAAGGAGGGATGTGCTTTGTAGTTTTGGGATATTGGTGGATGGATGATAAGGATTCCCGGTGTGTTGCCGAGCTTACGTATGAGGTGAGAAGTTTCCAAGGTCTGCGCATGGAGTGTTTTGCTTGTTGTAAGTCTTAGCTTGATATAAAAAGTGAATTAATTAATCTTTGATACAATATAAAGACTTTTGATGTAGAAACTTGATATCAGATTATACAGTTGGAATAAATACTCGAGCATTGTACCGTTGAAACATATGGAAGAACTCACACTATGCCACTTTTGGATACGAATCGGGCTTTTTCATCCTCATACGGGAATATGTGAAATCCCGACATCAATTGACCTGAAACCTCAGATTACTCATGAATTTTAGAGTTTCCAGGTATTATCAACACGTGAGCGGGAGTTCATGTGTAGAATTTATTCACCGTTCCCGAACTTCTTGATACCGGACTTCCCAATGAAAGAAAGGTATGGCTATGCAAAGAGGGTTTGCTGTATTAGATGATAACTGTATGAACTTGTTTCCATCTCAGATTTTAAGGTTATTAGAACTGGCAACGTTTCTGAAACTCCAAGGAAACGTCCTAATCCAATAGTGGCTATCGGTAAGGTTTAGAGAAACAAGACGATAGCGAGGAGATGTTATAAATAGAAATTCATTGACTTGATTTGGTTAGCACGGTTTATTTTCTTTGGTAGCTGGGGCCATTCATCAGGCGCGAATTTTCATTCTGGACTACCTACGGCGTATACCTATAAGAAGTTTGAGACAGAAAGCCTGGGGGTTACCTAATGATCCAGCCACACTATTGCTGGGTATATAGTCTGTAAATAAAATAAAATAAAATAAAATAAAATAAAATAAAATAAAATAAAATAAAATAAAATAAAATAAAATAAAATAAAATAAAATAAAATAAAATAAAATAAAATAAAATAAAATAAAATAAATAAATAAACGAATATTAAATGTGATGGTGGGTGAATGAATGAATACGTAGTACTCTGTAGAGTGTGTTCGCGTTGCCGTGGCTCATTCCTTTTCTTGTATGGGGTTTTTGATCTTCAGGGATGGGGTGTAAGGGTTTTAGAGCTTGGTCAGGCTGATGGAAGGGATGATGGATGAAAGAACGGTGGGCACTCAGTTGATAGACCTTGGGAGATTGGGACAAGAGTTCGTGGTGTGATACGAAGGCGTTCTACATGACATTACCTTTATCAACAATTGAAAAGTCTACTCCTCAGATTAATACACGAAGATCCCTCAATGTCTCAAGTCTTTTGTACATCCACAAGGCTTTCCCCATAAAAAGTCGGTGTTCTTTTCGTCATCCACGCTTTCGCTTTCACAGCCCCATACATATTGCTGCGTTGCTTGTGCTGCGCCCGCCTGTCCAAGTACACCCAGGACCTTAAAGTCGTACATAAAACGCCAAAACCAGCCATCGTGTTCCATATTATTTCTCTTCCCCGTATCAAGCCAACACATACAAAGGAAGATCGATCCTTCGACTTCTGACTTCTTTTCCTCATTTTATTCATCCTTCTTAGAGAAAATACATTCGTTCTTTCTCTCGATATCACTTTTACGATATCGACAGCGTCGACGATAGAATAAGGGGATATACAACAACACCACAATCGTTACAGCATCAACATCATGGGTTTCGGTCGCTTCCTTTGCGTCGGTCTGCCATTTGGCTTAACTCTCGCCAGTTTAATCTGTCTCCTCATCGCATCCCTCGCCGGCGTTACAGATAAATCACTCGACCTCTTTCAAGTAAACACCACCAACCTCTCCATTTCCTCCTCCACACTCCTCAGTCTCGAGCATTCCTTCCGCAAACGCGGTCTTGGAGACCTCACCATCGCCGCCTTGAGTTCCCAAAATATCGAATCTGTTGTTGCTTCAGCGACTGGCACCGGTTCTGCTGTCAATATCACGGCCAAGGAGTTGGGCTTAGCGGACAGTTATCAGATTAGTTTGTGGAGTTACTGCGCTGTTACAGGAAAGAATACTACATGCACCAAGGCAAAGTTCAACTGGGCGGCTACCGCCCTCAATACTTCTTCGATCGATACTCTTACCTCTGCAACAGGTACCAATGCCACTCTCCCACACGAAGTTGAAAGTGCTTTGAAGACCTTTGTGGTGGTATCCAAATGGACACAAGTAGTTTATATCATTGCCTTGATCGCTACAGCAGCCGAATTGTTCCTCGGACTATTCGCTATGTGTTCTCAAGCCGCCTCATGTGTGACATACTTCATTTCTGGTTTCAGCACTACAGCCGTCATTGCTGCTTCCATCATGGCCACCGTCCTCTCCTCAGTCACAGTCGGCGCTATCAAATCATCCGCTAAAGCCTACGGGGTCAAAGCCTCTATCGATACGCATTTCCTTGCTGTCACCTGGCTCGCCGTTGTATTAAGCATCGCAAGCAGCTTCTTCTGGCTCTTTACTATCTGCTGTTGTGCATCTAATAATACTAGCAGCAAGAAGAACAGACGAAGTCTCAATGATCACGAGAAGCTGATTCCAACAAACACGGCCTATCAAAAGATTAATACCCCAGAAACTGGCTATGTTGGTCAACAGCATGGTATTTATCACCAACAACCTCAACCTACACGTACTGGTGCTTATGAGCCTTATTCTCATGGTGCTATCTAAGCTTCAGCGTTGAGGGATGAATAGTGACTCATGGATAGGAGGATGCAGGGAAAGGGATGAATGACATAAGATATTTGTCACATTTAGCGTCCGGCGTTCAGGTTACTTTTATCACGTCTTGTGTAATTTGGATTGGGATGAATGGAAGGGGATATGGGGATGGGGATGGAAAGGAGAGAGGAGAGATGGATTTGAAAAGATAATTATTTGCTTTGCTTTACTGGGCAATATTGATAGACGAATGAACGATACCCTCCTTGTTACAAATTTTGTCTATTCATATGAATTATGTGATTGAACCGTGACTTGCTTTATTTTATATAAATAGTGTTCCAGTGAACCTACATCTAAGGCCTAGCTACTCGTAGGTACTCAACTATAATACGAAAAAGAAATATAGGTAAACATCTTCACTCTTCCGCTCCACATGCATCATCTTTACTTCAAAACTATCAAATACATAACTTTTCCGCTCTCTTGAATAGTTATACATACATAATACATATATAGAACCATTCAATACTTAGTTAGATAGATGGATATCATTATGATATACTGTCTTATTTAAAAGATTATATACATAGTATATATTATATCATTCTGCGATTAACGTTGTTGCCCGGGGAGTAAGTTAATTGAGAGATGTTGTGTTTTTTTTATATTATAGAATTTTTTAATTTTTTAATTTTTTAATTTTTATGGAAGTTTTGTTGGATTTGTCGAGAGAGGAATTGTATTTTTATGTTGTTTTTATTGTGATTATATAACGGCTATTATCTTTAACTGCTTGGGGTAGTGAAAATATTATTTACTATAGTTCTGAACGGGTATTATCGTTTATCTGGTTTGGTGGGCCAAGAGGCTTTTATTGTTGTTAGTCTTTTGTTTTTTTTTCCCAGTATGCTTGCTATTGTTCTCGATAGTCCAAGCTGCGTTCTGGTTGTTGCAATATTTTACAAAAGTTTCTATATTTGGTATCATCTTAGTATGAAATTGATTCAGAAATCAGGATACTTGGATGTTGGAGTTCAGTTCGAAGTTCGAGGTTCGAAGTACTGTTTGCTTGATATACCATATGGGTCTGGAAGAATTGCCTGCTTGATCTTTCACAATCCGAGAAAGAGTGGCTAGCATCAACCTCTTTTGATGGAAAAAAAGTGATTTTTCCTAGATATCATCCTGGATAATAGCGTTAAATGCTTTTGTGTCGTTGACAACGATCCGACTGTATCTACGGAGTCAGGATACCATCAATAAATACTTTCTAACAGATGCTGCTGGAAATAGTTCGCTCGCTCGCTCGACGGTGTGTGTTTAAACATGACGAAGAATAGAGTGATCATTATCTATTGGTTTCGATCTCTTTGCCCTGTCGCCCCATCTGCAAGTATCCCATCTGGTCACTTAACTTATTGATTAGCTAGTTCAAGTTGACATTATCCTTCAAATGCTGCATACTGGCCTGTACCCTGATTTCATGCAAAAGTTATATAATATCCGGCATATAATTTATCACTGGTTCCGAGTCTTGGAAATGAGAGGAAATGGTGAGAGAGATGTTGCCTGACTGGAAAATAATAAATAATCTTCGAAAAGCATACACCGACAGGTTTATCTTCATATTTGTTTCTAAAGGTTAAGGGTTTTCATTCGTAATCTCCAACTTTTAAGTGTACCCCTCCATTTGTGTGAAGACAAATCGTAGGTCAAGGAAAGTGTAAGGAAGCACATCCAGCCGATAGCTTTCCCCTAGCCCTCACTACCTTACAATGTATCCCAACAAACCATAATCTTACAAATTATTTTATTGTACAAAGTACCACAAAATGGACATCCAAATATCGAGCATGAGTATAAAGGCTTCCAAATTATAGTGGTAGGAAATTCAAAGGTTCGCAAGCACCATGTCTGCCATGCCTGACCACGATCCTAAAAAAAAAGGAGCTACTAGAACTCCCTTTCGATAATAACTCTGTATATAGACCATTGAGCATTCTAGAATCCTCTGAAGTTGACAAAACATGTTTGACAGTACATCGAAATCATGGAGATTCAAATGAGGGATACATTCGAAACGCAAAAGAAGAAATCGAGCACAAACAAAACATGGAGCTTCATTGCAAAGCCTCAAAATCACAGCTCAACAAATGGGGATTTGGAGAAATAATTTCAGGGCAAAGATACTGCAGAAATTAACCCAAATATCGTTTGATGGAATGGTCCGGATGACACTGAGAATCCTTTGAATTGGAAAGAATCGATGAAATTCTGGAATTGTTTCCTAGTTTCTGCCACTTGTTTTGGGGACACCTCTAGCATCTTCAATGCTAGCTCCTGGTATTCGTGTCCTTATGAAGGAATTCCGTAGCAACGCTACCTTATTGGCGGGATTTGTTGTCTCGGTGTACGTTCTTGGGTTCACATTTGGTCCGCATTTGGTCCACTTTTCCTAGCATCGTTAAGTGAGATCTATAGAATAGTTTCAATATATCATGTTTGCAATGTTCTCTTTATCTGCTTCGCTATTGCGTGCGCACTTTCTTCAAATCTGAACATATTGGTTGGGTTCCGATTTCGGGTGATTTCCTAGCTGAAGCAAAGGGATGGCGCTAGATTTTCTGGATACTTACTATGACCTTTGGTCTTTTTACAATCCTTAGTTTTATATTCATGCGTGAAACATACGCTGTTACGATCCTTCAAAAGAAAAAAACTGCCTTCGGAAGCAAACCAAACTGGTAACCTTGCTCTTGTATCTAAACTCGACCTTGTGCTTTCTCCACAGGACTTCTTTCGTCGTGGAATTGTTCGTCCCGCGAAACTGATCATATGCATCTGCTCACCTATCGTTCTTTCCACCGCAATATATTTTGGCGTAATATACGGTTACATCTATCTACTCTTCACTTCCTTTCCCATAGTCCTGAGTCTTTGAAGAAATCTATGAATTCAGTGCTAGACTCACCGTACTGACATATCTTGGCTTGGGTGTCGGTTCTATGGGTGTCTAGCGGTAGCTGGATACTTCTCAGATCGAACTAGGAAAAGTTCTACCGCAAGCGCCAACGCTGCCGCTGCTGAAGCCGGTCAAGAATCCTCTAGGATAAAACCTGAGTATCGTCTTCCACTACTTGTTCCGGTTTCATTTCTTATACCCATAGGTCTACTTCTTTATTTCTGCACGGCAGAATACAAAGTTCATCGGATCGTACGTATCCTCTCAACCACTCTCATTGGCGTTGGTAACATGTTCGTATTCATATGCATCACCTTGTGTCTTATTAATTCTTTTACAATCTATTCCGCGAGTGCTTTGGCTGCGAATACAATTTTCAGAAGTGTAACGGGAGGGGTAACTTCCTCTTGCCGGAAAACCAATGTATGGATCTTTAGGGTTGGGATGGGGGAATAGTTTGTTGGCTTTTCTGGCAATTGGTGTGATTCCCATGCTTTATTCATTTAAGAGATGGGGAGAATACATCAAGATGAAATATCGAATGAAGAACCCGTGAATCAGGTGAGGCGCAGGTTTCTTTTGGGAAGGAGGTGTGGACATGGGATGTAGGTATTGGTCCAACATATACACCTTGAATTTCCTTATTTGCTGAATCAAAGTACACCTATGCATTGATTTCCCATTCACGAGTTCTTGACCACTGACCAGTAAGCTCAAGCTCAAGCTCAAGTTCAAGCTCAATTTTCATTATCTATATTCTCAGAATCCATTCTGTAAGAGTAGTTCAAAAGCGGGATTAACAAAACAGGTGTACTCGGGACGTACTAGGCGTTGAAAGAAATACCCAACCATCGAAATGAAGATGATACCCGGGGATGGATGAAACCTCGTACGCGAGTACTTATCTTCTGCCTCTCCAATCATATTTTCTTAGGTATTCGCTGCTAACATATGTTGCAATATCGAAGTTAAGTAAGATGTTAAATATTTGCGTCTCCTGTTTGAGTAACCGTCAGTGACCCGTTAGCGACCACTTTTAAAGGAGTTATTTAAAGGGATGTAGGTGCAATAACTAACAACTCAATTTGCACCGCACCATCTGAATGATAACAATATCAGAGCGTAAATAAGAGACTAAACAAAAAATAACAACAAAATATGATACCACCGATTAGTCATACCAGCAAGTTTTCATAAAGAAATGTAAAATTAAAAATAACCAAAAGATATTCAAATAAAAGTCCCAATATTCCAAAGCTAATCAAGTATGCATTAAATGTCTAAAAGTAAATTTTTATTTCACCCATACCATCCTCAAATTTCTCCATAAATAATATATCATATAAACCCAGTATATTAGAATTATATGATGCGAAGCTCGCAGCTCGAATAATTATCGTTAACTTGTCAACGCAAAACAATTTGGGGGCTGATAGGTTAAAAGCTAAACTTCACAGCTTCGAAACAATCCTTCAGGAATAACCGCCCCTAGTAATCTCGCGGTTGTTCTCTATCCCTTGTGCTTACTTTAGCGAATCAGTCAATAATTGCGCTGCAAGCTAAGCATCATCTCTCTAACCATTGGGAAGTTTCGGTACCCTTCGTGCTGTGTATACATATATAGTAACGTGAATCATTCCTTCACTTAAAGTATTATTAAATCAGAATACAAATAGATGTTTTGCGTTTTTCACTTTCGAGTAGTCTGGTTTTTATCTTCTGGTTTTTTCTCTGCTTCTGGGACTTTTTGATCTTGCGTTTTGAAACTGTAGAATGCGATCAATTGACTTGTACTGCTGATTTCTGTGTATACTACATTTGTTAATAATGCATCTAGCTATTTCTCTCGGTCTTCTTTGTTGGCTCACGGGCTTATTGAGGGCACAATGCTATAGTTATACGGGTGTGGAGATGGATTCGACATATATACCATGTAATGGTTCCGTACCGGTAAGTATGTGTTGCCGTTTGGGGGTCACAGATAATAATGGTGGAGATAAATGTGGCTCTGGATCTGCGTACGGTCTTTGCGGTATAACCGTGGCGCAACTTTGGCGAGAGTCGTGTACGGATAAAACGTGGCAGTCTCCTCTCTGCTTAAAGTTGTGTGTTGGAGGTACAAGATCCGAGATGTATCCATTGTAATAAGGGATTGCAGCTGATCATTTTTATGTGCAGTAAACGATACTAGATCACAGCATGTTCAGATGGAAGCTATTGCTGCGGGAGGAATGCGGAAGAATGTTGCAATGCAAAGGAAGGGAAGTTCATCGTCAACAATCAAGTCTCAGATACAGCAGTAGCGGATTCTTCAAGCACCCAAACTTCTCAGCCTACATATGTATCCTTGGCCGCGATTAGCATACATGCATCAGAGTTTGGTTCATCTAGTACCTCTGCTGTAACCATGTCCACAGTAGCCCAATCAAACGATATTCAAACATCAGTCATGATTACAACAGTCTACCGACCCCTACCAACATCAACCTCCCAATACACCTAAAAAAACAATCGACAACCTTTGTCAACAAGTCCAAAAGCGGGAATAGCTGCCGGCACTGCTGCTGGTATTGTGTTATTACTGGCACTTGCATTGGTTTTCTGGAAAAGAGCACAAACAAAAAGCAAACTGCAGGGACTTCCAGCTACAGAAATCAAACCATCCTCCTTAGACCTCGACAGCAGACTGACGTACGTATATAGAGCGGAAGTAGATGGAACGATGCCGAAAAGAGTTGAGATCCATGGATGTGGAAAGAGGAGTGAGCCTGCGGAGATGCTGTAGCGGGTGAAGGAATTGTGCGGTGATGATGTTTACAAACTGATATGTGTAGCCTTCACATGGATTCTGATGTAATCACCCAAGTCGGCCGAATTAGATATTTCTAGATTAGGCAAGTAGAATGACATCATTGGTATGAAAGGCGAATCAAGAGACATAGCCCCATGAAATGCCGGTACTTCTGTAGGGCGCGGAATCAGCTCTGATGAGAACCAACCCATTTTACCCGACGTATCTTAAACGCGAAGAAATTGATTGGACTCTACAGGATTCTGTAACGTTGGAACGAGAATTCTCGAATAATCATTCGTCCGACGTAGAAAAACAATATCTCACATTACCGAGATACAATACGTTAAAGCGATTCCCACTATACAGGAAACTAAAACATTTCCGGAGCCAGAGACGGACCAGGCGACGACATAGAATTTCCAGCCAGACATCTCCGCTCCGCATTTTCTATCATCCTATCAACACTACCATCAATCCAGGATTGCGAATTCCCCGTCAATAAACCGACAAGCCTTCTATATTTTCCCAACAAACGATCAGTTTTACTCCGTTCCTGCGCTGCCAGAGCTTCATTCCAATCTAGGATCTCCAGCGAGTATTTATAAAAGGATATATCGACATCAACTTCTTGATCGCGAAAATCTTTCAGAATATCAATATACTGTTGACATAAACTTTTAGCGTCTTCAATTCTTGAGACTGTGAGTGATTGCGCGTCCGTCCGCAGCGCTTCAAGTCGATTCTTGTAGCCTTGGAGTAATTCCTCGCCCATAACAGCAAGAGCACAGAGATGGAACACCGAGCCAGGCTCTTCGATGAATCCAGATGACGCATCTAGGAGATTGTCTTTTACGGTTTTCCATTGATCAACATATCTAGTATAGCTCCAGATAACACTCCATATACTTTGTGACGGGACAACGTGATGCACAATTGAAGCTTTAAGGAATGCTTTGGTTAGGGTGATGCGCTCGGGGAAAGGAACATTTTCGTCGATTAATTTGAAATGATTGCTTCCAGTACGAGAAGAACCGAGTATATTTTTGCAATGAGCAGGATTATTCAACCATGATATGGCACACGCCATATATTCCCCATCTGATTGCCACTTACGCAAAAGAGGTACGAAGGCATGCTCGACAGAATATAGATTGTGTATCAGAGGTAATAGCTCCGAAAGCCGCATAGGTCGAGAAAGAATTGTTGTTGCTTGGACCTGTCCCGCCAAAGCACTCTCTGACATCGAAGGGTCATTAAAGCCAGAATGAGATTTCTCAAAGGTATGAGAATTAGACGATGATGGTGTATTAGTATTATGCGCCGGATTGATCGAATTGGGAGCTTGAGTGGCATTTTCATTTATGAATAATTCCATAAAACTTTCCGGTTTGGAATGATCATCGTTCAACCGGAGTAATAAATCTATATCTTTCAAAGCATCTTCAGCATTGTCAGAATCTTCCGGCTCAACAGACGGAGCGGATCGTGGATGTCGAGGACATGGGTGGCCGCATTTGTTATTCGATTTGTACTTTTTTATTCCCCATTCGCGAAGCATCATTCGGTACATACGAATGCTAGAAATTCCGTACTTAGTATTGCGAGGAACGTTACGAAAAAGAAGATTACTGATCGACCCACCTTGCACCAAATCCACGGGTCGATATCAAAGTTTCCCTAACCTGCTCCAACGTCCGCCCTTCCGTAACGTAGAGCTGCTCCAGCTCATCTTTTATACTTGCCCAATCCTTTGGCATTGCCGCAATTTATTCATTTGATCCGTAGAAGACGTAGATGCTGTAGGAATAATCAATCCGACTTCCCATTGTGCTGGATTTTCTGGATATTGAACGGATAAGTCCCCTCATAATGATGGTGAGCGAGAGCAACATCAGAGGAAAGAGCCTCAGCCTCGTGTCAAGCAGTGGCGTGGCGAATAATTTCTGTGTCATTCATTGCTTTCCACCGTTACTTGCAATTGTTGACGCGCTCCGTTTCTGCGCAGTCTGCCAAGCCCAGTGTGTCGTTACTTCCCTGTTTCCGATGATGATATAAGCGAACACAATTGACCTCGCCACCACGATGTGAAGCTTTCTTTGCTGTATTACATTCCCAAAGCAGTGCTGATGTTAGGCGGTTTTGAGCTGTTTCACAGAAAGGAATATTCTAGAAAGTACTAGATAGCCACGAAAATGCAATTGCACTTTCGAGATGACAAGCATTTCGCACATCTATTCATACAACAAAAAGCCTGTATTGGCTCGTTTAAGCCCCTGACGCTTTTGATTAAAGATTTACTCCATAGATCCATAATCACACTGCAGTCATCCTCATATCCCCATGTTGGGTACCCAGCCCCAAGGTAATCTCATGATAATCATCAAATCCTAATGAAGTGTGAGGTTTATTGGTTTTGTGCATCTCTCCACAGTTCATGCTAGGTATTTTCCGCCCGGATTCCTTTGGACAAAATCCTTTGAGTTATTCTTACAGAATGTATTGAATTCGAATGCCGTGGCGAGTGACGATTCATTAGGCAATATGAAGCTGTTGCCCTTTTTTGCGGATTGCACTTTCAAAAATGCGAACCATTTCACATTTGCAAAGTGCAAAAAGTGCAAAACGATCTCGTGTATGGACTGGCATTAAGTAGTAGTGAAAACCTCCTAAATGTTATTGCTCTTCGTTAAAGAAGCACTTTTAATGCGAAGGAAGCTGCTCGCAACCGAGAATTTTCATGGTTTTTTCTGCTCAAACAGATCAGTTGAAGTTGAGATTTTGTTTTTGAAAATGGCTTTCGAGAATTCGGCACATACAGGTGATCTTCGCCGTGATCTAGCAAGGTATTTAGCTTATCCAGAATTTGCTTACATGACCTCGGTATGGCTTGATCATCTTTTAGTCTAACATAGAAACTGCAGAACTCGTACGGTCAAAAATCAATATCCATCATCTAATAGTCCTCCAACACACGATACTCTTCTGACATCAAACAATGCGTACACACCATCAAATACGCAGAAAAATCCACAAACTCTCAACTCGCAAACCCTCTATCGACACACCATTGATCAAGCCCAGCTCTTTCAAGAACCCTATCATGCGCATATAATTCAACAAAAAGAGGCTCGCAGTCTCCAAAGTTGTTTTTCCTCTTTAGGAGTAGATATCCCATCCGACTTTTACCAAAGCAAAGTATCCGGAATCTATCAAAACCGAGCATACGCCTCAGTCCCAGAACAAACCTATAAACCAACCCGAGGATACTCAACCCAATACTTCGGCCCCGCAAGCACAATGCTACCCGCAGACGATGATTACCATTGTGCCGAAATATGTGATGAGTACAAGATCAACAAACAAGATGTAACAGACTTGGCAGATGATTTAAATGGCATAGGAGGCCAATTTCCAGTTTTTGCATATCAGATGCAGTCATATTCTGCATCGATCTCTCAATTGGAAGCAGATATCGCTCAGAGAACGTAATTGCTCCAAGGGGTTATGCACACGCGATTGAGCTTGTGATATTTGGGAACTTTGGTAGGGAGAGGTTTGGTAGACATGTTAAGGATGGCAAAAGACAGATTAGACAACGTGAAAAAATGGATAAATTTGTTGTTTGAAGAATGGGCAGGAAACAAGTATCGCGATTGTGGCGTTCTCATGTAACATCGTACGATATGAAAGCGGAAAATAATGCATTTCTAGAGATGTCAAAGTGTTGGGTCAGGCCAAAAGGCCATTTTGATAGAAGTGAAATAAAAAGAAGGCTGAAAGTGCCTAAACATAAATTAGTCTTTATAAATGGCAAGGCTCCGATGGAATAACTTGAACTGATATGCTCTGAATGACCTAGAAAATTGCGGGGAATTTCAAAGCACAATCGCAACTTTGCGCTTGCTCATCAACACTCTTTAGAGATGTCTGTCTATCGACCCGTAATTACTATCCATGCATTAGACAGATGATACTCAATCTTTGGATTTACCTGATGTTGCATTATTGCCAATCATTCATAACCGTCAACCATAGAGCAAGAGTGGCGCAAATCCCCATCCTTGTACTTCTTCACCGATCATCAAAACACATCCCGCCCGTAAAATGCAACAGTGTATCCAGGCCAGCCACAAACACATACGGAGTATAAAACAGTATTCGGTGTGGCTTGACTCCAATCCTCGCAAGCGACCGATTCACCGAGAGGCCAATAAGGTCAAGAATCTAAAACCAGGGTGAAGCAGTCGGAGCAGTCACGGTGATAAGGAAAACCCCGATTCTCAACCGCTCAAAATTCTGCATGAGGACCTATTCTTATCAAAGTACGGAGTAAGTGAAGAAGACAAAAATGATTGCCATCTCCAAGAATGCTAGAAGGTGGATACAGCGGGGTAACTTTATCCCTTAGCGCCGAAGCACTAGCGTCGTATTAGCGCTTACCAAGCTTAATTTGTTTTCGATGAACCCATCTCTCCCACAAATGATTTGTCGAGTAGAAAAATAAAAAATAAGGCAAGCGCTTTTCATAACAAATCAATCATACCTTCCCCCACAGCGCGACGCCCAAATTATTCTTCATGAAGAAAGTTACTTGACCCCTCGAAGCTTCAATCCACTGTTCCGGAAGCCGCTGAAGATTTCGAAAATGCGATCGACGTCTAGGTTTGGAAAATCATCGCCAATTGGAAAATGGGGACGGATCGCCCGTTGATTATTCAACTTGGTCCAAAGCGCTAGAAAAGGCGAATGATGGGGTGATGAGGTGGACAACCAAAAAAGAATTATTTTTTTAGCTACAAGGCGCCGAAAGTGGCCGTCGTAATAGTCATTGATGAGTAACTGTCTATTCGATTTGAGGGCGCTACATCGAATATTAGCTTGTAAAATGCTGATCTCTGGAATTTCCCCAAGAGCGCGACGCCGAAGGGACGGTTCCGTGTCATGCTAAAGATTTAGATATTACCCGGCCATACTACGCCGCACAAGTGCCGGCGGATTCAACATGAGCAACACGTGATGTGAAATTTTGCGAAGGAATGCATATACTCCTTCACCAGTGAAGTGGATAGATTACAAGCAGCGTGGACTTCAGTGTATAGTGCCTATAGATCTTATCTTTGTGGGACCAGCACACTCCGTATTCACGACTCCATAAAAATTCCAGTATTCATAATCACCACACCTCTACATTCTCTATTGAGCGCCAATTGATACTTCAGCGCATAGAAATGTTTTCATTGTCCAGTATGCATCTTGCACAATTGGATGAATCATTTCAATCGGTTGCCATTATTTTCTGCAGTATGTTAATTGAAGAAATTTTAGCCGCTGACTGGAGGCGGCTACCCCTCGAGCTTCCTAGCAATGGACTCCAGTAATCTTCAATTGCCATGTTTTCATGCACGTCATGTGTGATACCCCTGGAAACCATGAACGCGCTTCCCCATAACCCAATCGAACCTATCAAATAAACCAATATCACATCTGCCAGATACACTGCAGACCAGTAGTTTTGACCGCTGGTGAGAGAAGCGCAGATATATATCTCTATCTGCTCTTCGAAATAAACACAAAATTCGAAAAAATCAAACATACGAAACTTGCAGCTTATAGTATATCATCCGCAGACATGCAAAACACATTAGAACATCACAAAACCGAGATTAGACGTTTGTTCTTCTCAGAACATTTGACCATATCTGCGATCCAGGAAATCATGAGAAAGAAATACGGCTTCAATGAATCGTGAGTAAAAGAAATCTGTTACGATCCGAACATATACTGACAGTTGATAGAATATCAGCATACAAGACAAAGCTGGCAGAATGGAACATGTTCATCCCACTCTCAAGCAGCACCAGAATCGGAAAGCATCAACATCTTTTTGGCAACAGAAGGCGACCCGAGCGTCTGTATGAAATCCCGAGGGTCATTCCCCGTTCGGTTCCCTTGACACCTCCATTGAGCCCTCCAGCCTTGAAGCATCAAAACGGAAACGTTCGCATCAAGCAAGAACGTGCCGCTCCTTGCTCCATATCTCTGATCGTCCACTCGGGTGAGAAGAGATCGAGAGACTCATTCTATCAAGATGAATATATCGTCATCCTCGCGGAACTCCGTGGAAGACTTGGAGCCGCACTTGGTCGGGAATCTGGTTGAAACTTTCCTGAGCAAGCAGAGGATCACCAGGAAAATTAGCCGGCTTATACCAATCCGAGCCAAGTATCAAGGCAGGAGGAGATAAGGGGAATGGTTGCAAGAGGAAAAAGAGCTGCAAGTGGGAAAGGTTATAGGAGGGACAGGGCGACGAGTCTTTCTTTAAAAAGACTGAGAGGAAGAACAGGCAGGGACATCTGGAAGGCAGAATACGTCAAGTTGTAGCAGTGATGCGGTGATCAGATAGACGATAAGGGTTATCATTTTAGCTCATAGCTCCTTGTCCAAGATTTGTCTAACCAGATACCTCCTCAGAAGAGGACTTCAGATACCTTCTCAGTGGGGGACTTCATTTCTAGATAGACAGTCTCGAACCTTTCGGGGAGAAACAATTCTAAAAGAATGAAAACCGATTTACAAGCGTCTAAGAATGTCCTCAACAACCTCTGTTGTCGTAGCTTTACCACCAAGGTCAGGGCTGAGCAATTTGCCTTCCTCCAAATTACCATCTACAGCAGCATAGATCTTAGCAGCGGCGGCCTCCTCCTCAAGGAACTCCAACATGAGAGCAACGCTACGAAGAGTCGCAATTGGGTTTGCAATGTTCTGACCCATAATATCTGGAGCACTACCATGGCATGGCTCACCAATAGCAAATCCTTCACCAACGTTGGCACTTGGAACGAGACCCAACGAGCCAACAAGAGCAGCAGCTCCATCAGACAAGATATCTCCATAAAGATTTGGTGCCACGATGACGTCGTAGGTCTCGGGTTGGCGGAAAAGCTTGTAAACCATAGAATCGACTATTTGCTCTTCTACACCAACGCTAGAGAACTTCGGGAGGGCTAATGCTTCTCTAGCGGTAGATCGGAAAAGACCATCCGTTTGACTCAGAACATTAGACTTGTGTGTAATGGTGACCAATGGTGATTTGTGTATGCTTGCAACCCCACCATCTCTAAGCTTCTGTCTGCGCAATGCGATATCACCAGCCATTGTAGCAATGCGAGATGATGCTCTCTCAGAGATTCTTTTGATTGCTTCTGCAACCTTTCCACTTCCATCCGCAGCATCATATGTTCTTTCCTCCTTGACGTAAAGATCCTCGGTATTCTCTCGCACAATGACCATATCAATTGGGTTGGTAGCTGTCATGACACTTTTGACGGGTCGTACATTTGCGTAGAGGTCGAGACGTTTGCGGAGTGCAACAATTGGGGAGGAATAGCCTTTCACAGCCTTTGAAGGGGAACTGACGGCACCAAATAGAGCTCCATCACATTCAGTTTTGAGAATCTCGACGGTCTTATCTGGCAGAGCGGCTCCAGTTTCTTCGAAAGTTTGAAATCCAGCCTTCAGATCAACAAATTCAAATTTTAATTTGAGGGAAGCAGGTAAAGCTTCAAGAATTCTTCTACCTGCGGGGATAACTTCTTTGCCGATTCCATCACCAGGAATAAGACCTTGATGAATCAGAAACAAATTAGTTTTTGTTTTTGGCAAGTCAATTGATCATATCATATCATAAAAGTCGTGGAATTTGTTTCTCACCTATCCTCAAAGTTCTGGAAGCCATGATTGTTGACTTTGTTAACTTTGTTTGCTTTGACCAAACTTTGAAATGTGCTGGTGGGATATTTCAAAAGTTCGACTCTGTTGCGAGATGTGTCTCCAATTATTATTATTATTATTATTTTCTTGTCTCAATGTCTCAATGACTCAATGATCTATCTGAATGTGTTTTCGGCTATTTACACTCCCGGATTAACCTTCTTTCGTCTAATGTCACACCTATCTGCTCGAGGCATGCATTCGCGTAGGTTCCTGGACCATCTCATTTGCGCTTTTTCTCTCTAATCAATTGCTCGGATGATAAAATGTCGCATCTTAAATAAGTTTACAGACTATCATTCAGATTATAATTGCACACCTTTACATGACTAGAGTCTTCGGACTATCAGTCACTCTCTGTTCTTCCATTTCTAGATTCAGATTTCAGATCTCGGGTTCAGATTCAGATTCACATTGAGATCCAGAAGTATATATTACTGCCCAGTACTACCTAGTACTACCTAGTAATCAATGTATTGTACAGAGTACGGAGTCTTTCCCTCATTCTATCCAAACACCCTCTCCCACTCATACTCGAAGTTCGAACCCATTCATGGGATGTTTCACTTCGCTTCAAAGCCCAATGAGCAAGAGGTCCAAGCTAAAGAACTCCAGCAAACTGAATACAGTAATACAGTACCTATGTAATACATATGTACGTGTGCCCCTAGTAGCTGATTGTGACTGGCTGTAACTGGGTATCGATATGCGATGGCCGACTGTCCGAGGGAAATGGGAAATGGGAAATTAAAAATATAAAATGTTAAAGAGAACAAAACACGAAACAGCCTTGCTTGACTTATTAACCTGTTTTATTGTTTTATGCCTTTTAATGCCTTTGTACACAAATAGTTATTAGTATCCATCAAAACACCCCTATTTTCCACCCACCCCGTCACCGGAATTACAAGTCATTTGAATTGGAATTATTGAAGAGAAAAGAGTCCCATATCTAACCCCTGCATAATAAGACCTTGTGATATTTATTCGAGACATTGAGTGTAGGACCGTTTATTTCAAAAACCCTTTAACTTCCTCTCCATATTTTGGGAACAGACTGGTTCATCTAACTTTCTTCGAATAATACTGCATTTGCGTTTGTTTACTCTCTACACCACACCACACCACACCATACCATACCATACCATACCATACCATCCATAACTACTCCGAAACTCGTGTCGTGTTGCGTGTTACTGTGGCTTCTTCTTCTTAATCAATCATCCTCTTGAACAGTACAAGTACCAGAGTACGGCAGATGTAATAGCTGGCCCTCAATGCCTTATTCGATTCACCACTTGACCAGCTGAGATTCAATACTCACACAATCCAGTGCCTCCTTTTCCCATCTTAAATTTCTGGAGGACGCAATTGGATATCGTTCCTTCCACATATTCGGCAGATCACTGCAACCAGTAAGTGCCAATTACTTCATCCTGGAGCTCATCCGGTAGCTCTTTCCGCCTGAACTATATTGATTTAACTTTCCAAGTACAAGTTCAAGAGCCACCGGCTCTATAAAACCTGCCAACATGTCTAATATCAAAAACCTTCGTGCGATGTTCGAGCAGAGCAACAAGGAAGCATCAGTATCACCACCCGAAAGAGGACGTTCTTCGGGGGATGCAATATGTTAGTGTTTTGTCCTACATCGGGGGCTTATGTATTAATTCTCTTTTAGTGTTTTCACCAGGAACTAGCACAACACCCCCAAGGCCACTATCGAAAGTCAGAACGAATTTTGTGACTGTTGAACGAAGCGCACAACAAGCTGGCCAGGCAATACAACTTGGCCTCAAGCGACAAGATAGCAGTAGTGAATCCAACCCGGCGAGCGGTGGCAGTATGGCAAAACGGAGGACGAGTTTTAGTTTGGATGAACAAAGTAATCCCCAAGCAACTGCAGAGAGAAAAGAGTCAATTTCACAAGAGTTCGAGGCAAGAAAGGCTAGTACCATGGTTGATGAAACCATTCCCGAGTCTGCCTTGGCAGAAACTCCTGCTCTTGAAGTCAACAAACAAATCGGGGATCCGGAGCCAATCAAGGGACCACTACCTGAACGTGGTCGAGAATTGGCAAAGCCAGCAGAGATTAAGGAAAATCCAAAGAAATCCGAGGAAGCGTCAAAATTATCGGATACAAGCAGTCCTGCAGTCGGATCAGGCAAAAGCCCGACATCAAGAGCAGTCACTGCGACCAAAGACCACGTAAAGGCTTCAGATAAAGCTACAAAGACAAAGCCTGCCACGCGACCTGCACCTATATCTACAGGAAAATCATCCACAAATCCAAAACCCTCCCCAAGAACGACATCCCCCACCAAATCTTCGAAGCCAGTTCCAAAGACTCCAACAACACCCACGGCAAGCTCTCCAAAGGATGGAAAGCTCCAGAAGATCAAAACGCCAGAGAAGAAAGCTTCTCTTCCAGCCAAGACACCCGAGAAGAAACCGGGCAAGAAGACCAGCAGCAACTCACTAGCCGCCTCAAATGGCACACGAGCTTCAAGTAAGCCAAGGTCTGCCAGTCGACCAGCTGTCAAGACCAGGGCCCCACCATCGCCACCACAAAGTGGAGCCAGCAAGACCAAAGCCAAGTCACCTACAAGACCAGCGCAGCTTCCAGCTTCTCTCCTAGCCCCAACAGCTTCTACGGGCTCGAAAGGCTCTACCTCGACACCTCCTGTCCGACAAACTCAGAGTCGTGCATCTGGAGCCATTAAGGGTGAAAGTGCCCCACGCTCGCAAAGTCGTGCTGGCAACGCGCCAAAGGGATCGCATCCACCAGTATCACGGAGTGCTACGCAATTGAAGATAGGAACTACTAGACCATCGCTTGGGCCGCCTTCGACCTCACAAAAGAAGAACTCAGCAGGAAACCCACCTGCATCAGCGCCATTGGCTGATGATGGATTTTTGTCTCGTATGATGAGACCTACGGCTTCTTCTGCCTCCAAATCAACTGATAAATCCCCTCCACCACCAAAGCGGTCATTATCGATAAAGCGACCATCTAGCAGTCTTGGTCACTCCAAGGTTCATGATACCAAGACCGCCTCCCATGCAATCCAGAAGGTGACCAGACCTACCACAACTAAGGCGGCCGTCACAAAGTCATCAGCTCCGGCTGCCAAAACTGGTGCCAAAACAGGGACAAAGAAGACATCTGCAGAGTCACAAAGGCACGTAGCTAAGCCGGAAGAAACCAAGATAGTAAAAGCACCAAAGGCAGAAATTATTTCCACGGAATCAGTTGTTCCATCAGCTGGAGATGCAACAAATGAAGATACTAAGGAGATCGAGGCTGAGCCAGTACAGGAAGAGGTAGTTGAAGAAACAAAAGCTACTGAGGCTCCAGCCGTTGAGACGGAAGAGAAAATTGAAACTCCTGTCACTCAAACAGAGGTTCTCGTTGAAGAACCAAAGAAGGAAGCCGAGGTTTCAGAGCCTGCAGTAGTTGATGTAGCCGCGGCATCGCCAGTCAAGGAGGAAGCTGCAGAGGCAGTTGAGGAAGTAGTTGAGGAAGCAGCTAAAGAAGTAGTTGAAGAGCCTGAGGCAGAGAAGGAGGAGACTACAGAAGTTGTGCCTACCACCGAGGAAGCACAAAAGGTTATTGCACCAATCTCACCAGTCATTGCAGCTATGCCAGAAGATGACGAGGATCCTGAGGATGCTGCCGCCAGGGCAGAAATTGCCAGGATCAACGCAGAGATGATGGCTGCTTTGAATTCTAATTAGAGGTCACTTGCAAAGAAAGACATGATGTGTTGGAGAGTTCTATGGATCGCTTGATGTGGGAGTATTATGCATTAGCCGGTGTTTTTACATTCGTTGCGACTGTAGTAGCTTCAGCTTTGTTAATAGCAGACATTTTACGTGGGATGGATGGGTTATTGCGCAGTATCCTGCGATATCAATTTGAGAAATGAAAATATTAATATTGGCAAATTAGTTGTTTTTTTTGGTGAAGAATGTGATTCATAATTAGTCCTCCGGCCTCCGGCACAATGACTGATGTAATTCCGTAATTAATGGTTTCGGATAATTTCATTTTTATTTCTTTGATTCAGTGTTATTTTAAAGTAAAACCTGGTTGGGCACTACAGGTATTGTCTTGAATGAGAAAGAGATCAGAAATCAAATTGTATTTATTGAAATATAAAAGATATAAAAGATGTAAAAGATATTTTGAATTCAATTTTAAAGAAAGAGACGAAGGAGGGAGGGGAAGGAGAGAAGCTGAAGACTATAAGAGTTTGATATTCGAGAGAGTTAGATTTTTTTGATTTAGATTGATAGAAGAGATATATTTTAGAAGTTCAAGAAGTATAATCTGAAAAAAAAAAAAAAAAACCTTATAAAATTTATAAAAATTTATTTTATTATCTTCATCTTTATCAAAACTTATATTAATGATATGATATAATAATTTTTATAAAAGAGATATATAAATTAAATATTTATCTTTTAGTATTTATTTTTTTACTTAAATAAAAAAAAAGAATTAATATAATAAATATAATACAATATAACAAATCAAAACATAATCAAAACCAAAATTATAATATTGACACTGAACTAAATACCTAGGTACCTAATAATAATAATAATAATAATAATAATAATAATAATAAATAACCAAACAAACAAGTAACTCAGCACATCCACCGGTAATAACACCCAAGTATAAAAAAGAGTCTGTACTGTAATAAGACCAAACTCTTTCATCTCTGCTCTCATCCAACCCTATCCGATCCTATCCTATGCGATGCAATGCAATCCAATCCAATCTCCGGAAAACTCCAATCCAAAGCAAGACAACTTAAACTCCTCCACTCCAACAAAATTACTCCGCCCATTTCATCCGATATCCGACTCGCTTGTTAACCTTATTTGCTTGTTTTTATATACAATAAGTAGGTAGGTAGGATTTGCATTAAATCGCGCTCAACACCTAGGTACCTAGGTATCCAAACAAAGACTTAAGCTGAAAGTAAACAAAACTATTAGGAAACAGATACTCGGCTCCAACTACCCTTCCTTCAATAGCGCCATGCTCAAATTCAAAAATATGTGTGTAATAATTATTACGAAAGAAAGTGGGTATAGAAAGTAGAGATTGCTTGCATGCGAAAAGGTATGTTGTGCATCAAAAAAGATTGTATGTGTGCGGAAAATTCCAAGGTTCAACCTAATATTTGTAGGTATGTGATTATTCAAGATTCATTACTCGTATCAAAAAATTCGTCTCCCCTCTTATATATAAAGCCTAACCAGTGTGGTTTTGGTTGTGCGGGCTGTGAACTTCTTCCTCTGTACTTTCCATTGCCATCGGACTTCCCGGATCGACGTGAATTGAGGGCAAAGTTCCTAATCGTAGACTAGGTAATTGCGGGATGCCACCAACTCCTCGAGTTGATCTTGTAGATGACCGTCTCTCATCTCGAGGGGAAAGACCTGAATTTGTACTGCGGGTGCTTGTCCTTCTTTCCGTAATTAGCTCATCCATGTTTTGTGATCTTCTTGATCTCGCGCTCTCCAAACTTGGTCCTTCCCCTCTACCATATATCGGACTAGTATAATCAGGAGGAGGCTCCGTCATGTGATGTGGTAGCGCTGATGCTTCTGCTTGTGGTGAATCTAACGATACATTTTCATATCCTGGCGGGCTACTCAAGGGAATATCGTCATGATCTATCATCTCCGGGCTACTACCAGCCCTATCTTCATGATTGCCATTCATGTCCTCAGGGCCACTAGAACGGCGAAGTGGACTTTCTCCTCGGGAATCTGTTCGAGATCTTACAAATCCAGGAGGAGAAGGTAGATCCGAGTTTACCGTGTCAATACTTACTACTGAACTTGCGCTTCGATCTCTTCGATGATATCTGCTGCTCGCAGCCATGCTTGCTGCATCGTGAAGTAATCCTTGTCGTTCACTCTCCTCACTATTGGCGCGTAATCTCTCCTCACTATTCGCGCGTAATCGTGTACCATCATGCCTGGCAACTCCCAAATCGCCATACGCAACCGACGAAACTGCTCGTTGGCGTTCTTTCTTGATCCTATCATGTTCCGCCCTCAGTTCATCGACAGTTGGCCCGGTAGTAGTATTCGCAGGTCGAGATTGAAGTTCTCTTAGCGCAACATGATCGCCTCGTTCCCTAGCCTCCCTCCTTAATCTTCTCCTCTCTTCCCGTTCTTCGTTTTCGCGTCGTCTCGCGAGTCGGACCTGGTACAATGCCTCCATCTCTGCCTCGCGCTGTGACTCTTCTTCATCAATAGTTTCCGGAAATGCTACAACGACATCAATGCCTCCTCGATCCCCTTCTCTCCCTAACACCTGCTCATTTTGTCCCGGTGTCATATTATAAGCTGGCAAAGTCATTACCGAGCGAATCGAAGCATTTCTATCAACTCCTCCAGCGTTATTGTCGGCGACATTTCCGTCAGCAGTTCGGGCAGCATTATTAAACGATGAAGGCGGGCGATTGGATAAACTTCTCCCAACGCCGGCTGCTCCTGTATATTCGTGAGGATCGTTCTGGTCTGGCAATTGATATTGATGAGTTTGTGGATCCCAATTCTCCCATGCCTTTTTCAAGAATACTGTGGGTATGTATTTGGGATTTTTGTGCTTAATCCGAGTTCGACGGATCATGTAAATTGCAAATAATAATACTAAAAGTCCGACTATTGTACTTATGATTGCCTACATAGATGACTGTTAGAAGTAAACTTTGAAATCGCACATTATTACAAGTAACAAATGCCAGGACACATACAATAAGGTATGCTGGCTTGGTATCAGAGTCAGATGAAGGTTGTTGCGATGACGGATCCGTAGAAGAATTGGCAGTGGAAGTGGCAGAATGATCTAGAGACGATGTTGTGGATGAAGTTCCATTGGTAGACAGGCCATCCTGCCGCCTTGACAGTCTACGGACAAGGAGCATCGTAGAACAATACTGACAATCACTCGAAAGATATTCTCCAGGCGCGATACCAAAGCTCTTCGTGGAAGATTGGTCACCTCATTGAGTTTTACGATGACATCTGATGGCTTTTTTTTCTTTCTTTGTAGAAATCGGTAGGCTGGGGTCGCGGGCGGCAATTGCGTGTTTTTTAATCGCGCTGATAAGGTTGATTTGAATGAGGCCTCGATCCTCGGGTTCTCGATATGATATTCGATATGGGAGGGATATCAGATTGTTGAGTTGTACAATGGTATGATATAAGGCCGGACTATGATACTGAATACTGAATCAGGAGAAGATATTCTCAAGGACATCACTTGAATTGAACGAGTTTGTATATACAGACAGTACAGGATTAAGATGGTGAATGGTTAGAGAGAAGTGAGAGCGTCTCGTCTCTTCTTTCATCCGAAATTCCCATGATATTTTGATTTCATTGGATGAACTATTTCTTCTGCTGTTCACGGTAATCCTTGTCGAGCACCACCTGTGTATATTTATGGGTGAGATTGGCAGATTTAGCTGCAAGCAACAGTGGAACCCGTACCTACCTAGTTATTGCTTACGATATCTCATGAATTGATTATTGTCATTGTAAATATTCCGATGGTAATATATGTAATGATATTCATCAACAAGATTCTGCTTGTATAAAGGTTTCATTGAGTCAATATCAATCTAATTGTTTTAACATGAGGTAATGTTGCCCTAAGACAAATAGTTTTGGAGCTTGGAGAGTTTGGAGATTTCATCTAATCCGTCCAGGGGAAATAGATCCAGTTAGTTCACCAGTTCTCCACCATAGTTCGTATCAATCACATACACACTTTTGTTCGGTAAACCAATTGCCTGGAGCTTTTCGAGGTCGAGATCCTTTCAAATCTTGCAAGCATAGGTTACAAGCATACCAGCATGCACACCTAGAGTGGGGGTCAACTGGAAAATGAGCCCTCAAACACAACCAACTCCCAACTCTTTATTTAATATTTACCGAGTCTCATAAATATTGACTGATTTACCACTAACTGGGAACCGGGTGACATGTATATATTCTAGGTGTCCTGTAGGAAATTAGTATTTTACTTGACTGAATCTCATGACATACGCAAAGAATATGAAATAGCTCTAGTCTTCGTTCTATCACTTTGATTTCTATTATTACAGCTAAAATTAGACAATCTGTTAGCCGTCCTAAGTTTAGGGGGCGGTCATATTGAGCTAAATGCCAACCGCCGCATACAATCTCAATGAAACTCGAAAGCTCTTCTTTCTCGAATATTACTGTCTCCGGCTTATCGCTAAAGACTCTCAATTCTACACCAATTTCACTCTGGAATACACAGTTAACCTCTCATTCTTTACTTCGCTACTTCTCCCACGAATGAAAACCTTCACATTATTTTTGAAGCTAAACCTCTTCTATTGCTATTCTGTTCCTGCCAGTCTTAGCAAAACATCCATGTGGTTTGTAATCCTGACGGGGTATTTACATCTAGCAAAGTCGGATCTACCGAACCGATAATATTGATACCATTTTAAAGCAAAGTCTAGGTGAATAGTTGAAATCGCAAAGCACCTCTGAAGTTGTGAGTCAGAGGTTGTTGTTAGGGGTATCTAGGAGGCTGGAGGAGCCGTCTATAGCGCAATTAGGGATTTCCGAAAGCTGCCTGTGGTGTTCGCCGTTTTGTTATATACCTATTTTAGGTAGGCATATAAGGAGGGGGGGATGAGGATTTAGATTAAGCGAGTGGGGGCATGTTTCTGCATCAAATTACGAAGTGACAGATGTCGACTTGTTTGAGACAGTCGTTCTTTTTGAATTTGGGTTCACCCCGATTAAATTCTATATTTACCAATGTCCAGCTATTCCACAGTTGATTGAATGGCTGTACTTAACTTTCAAGGACTGTCTGTCAAACAAAGACCGATTGCTCTTCAACGGAGCTATGATTGCCGTGAAAGATCTAATACTCTTGCATTGTCACAGTTGCATCTAGATACATCTGCTGCGATGAACCTATTTCAAGTATTCCGAACTATGCAGAGGAGGGCTCTATTCAGTAGCGAACGATATTGATTGACACTGAGATCACAAAATACCGCTAACAATCAATAGACTCTGATCGTGAGGGGCTGACATGCAATTGACGTGACGGACATGATTTATCGCAAAATGCTGTATAGACGAGCGCCATGGATGCATCCCAAATATTTATTATGATACAAGATATGTACCCAAATAGAGGTCATCAAAAGTCCATCTTTCCACCTGTCAATTCCTCCGCTATTTTCTGCATTCTATCTCCAGTGATAACAGCAGGATGTCTGTATTTGTCCACGGTAGTCTTCTGCGCATTGTTGACGCCTGCAAGCATATCCTGGACAGTAGGTGGTTTCTCGGATACCTCCCAGATACTTCTCTTGTCCGGCGCGTTCCTGTCGAAAGGAAACGTGAATATCTCATCAATCTTGGCGTTTAATTGCTCCTCTGTTGTGATGAACGACCTAGCCTTCATATACAGTGTATGCAAAGCATTCTTCCTCTGCTGCTCCCTTTCGGCTTCCTTCATCTGCACCCTCAATGCCTTTCGTGCCAGCTCACTCTCTCTCTCTGGATCTGGAACAAAGCCTACTTGCAATTTCGACATAGCTTCCGTGATTGTGGGGTTCATCAGCCTTTCATCCTCCCGCTGGGGCGCCTTTAACCTTTTTTCGTTTTCCATTCGTTTTTGGTAACTCCTGTGTGCGACTATGCGCTCCTGCGTCAATTTTCTCTTGTGAAGATTCACCAAAGCCTCCTTCAAGTTTTCACGCCGCTGACTTGCTAGCTTATGCTTCCATGCAACCCGATCATTCGTATTTCGGGGAGGTCTCGCCGGCTCGCGAGTCACGGAATCTAAGTACTTTTTGGAAATCTTGTCGGGCCCTCGATTTGGGAAAAGGTTTCGTGGAGGTGGTAAAGTTCCCTTAATATCCCGGCGTCCTCGCGCGTCTGGCTGCTGAGTGGTAGGAATTTCGATGAATCTAGGATTTTCAGGGCCGATGGCGCTGCATGATGCGGTAGTGGAGAAATTTCGAGATAAGATCGCAGATGATTGAGTTGGCCTGCATCTTCCAATGAAGCCCAGAGAACTTTTCGACACGTTTGATGACATTGTGTTTGGCCAATACTGTATTGAACGATAAAGATGAATATTGAATTTTTGGAGAAAAGGAGATTGCGGAGATAAAGGGTTTGCTATCCCGTGGTCATGCTAGCAAAAGAACTCGCCGTCCTCACCTCATAATTGAAGTTGATAAAATATCTTTTGGTTAGCGGAAATATGCTTGGAGCTAGTGCACGCAGCCACACTTTAGCGCGACGCACATTAGCCACAGACCCCAAAAATCTCTAAAACTTTTTTTTAAGCTTCGACAATTCCCATTTCCTCTTTTTCATACCTTCTTTTTTACCAACCCAAGAATTCCACAGCGCTTTGCGCAACAATCATCAAAATGGGTACCGGTAAGAAAGAAGCGACCAGAAAGGTCAAGCAAGGGAAAGTGGGAGATGGCATGGCCAATGTTAAGACCAAGGGTGAGAACTTCTATCGGTATGTCTCTGCAGTTATCTCTCTCTATTGAGGCCATAGAACTGATTAATTCCTAGCACTGCGAAGCAGGCCAAGACCTTAAATATGTTCAACGAAGGCAAAGCTCGACACAATGCCGCAGGAAAGGTTATTCAAGCTGCAACCTTCCAAAGTAGAGAAACAAAGCCCGCACGAATTGAGCCCAACAGAAAATGGTTTACAAACTCGAGAGTCATTGGTCAAGATGCGTTAAACTCTTTCCGAGAAGCCATGGCTGAGCGAGCGAGTGATCCTTACTCGGTTTTGCTAAAGACTAACAAATTGCCAATGTCATTGATTCGCGATGGCCAAGGAAAAAATGGATTGAAGCAACATCAAGCCAAGATGGCCGTCGAGGCGGCTCCATTCAGTGATACTTTTGGTCCAAAGGCACAACGAAAGAGAGTGAAGCTTGGTGTCAGTTCTTTAGAAGATCTTGCGGACGATAGCGTGAAAAGTCACGATACATATTTGGATCGCCTCGAACAAGCAAAGCTTTTGAGTGGAACTTCAAACGATCCTGAAGCCGTTGGAGAAGCTGCTGCAATCGACGATGGTCATATCACCAGTGCCCGTGAAGCAATTTTCAGCAAAGGTCAAAGCAAACGTATATGGAATGAGCTTTATAAGGTTATTGATTCTTCAGATGTGGTTATACATGTTTTGGATGCTAGGGATCCCTTGGGGACCCGCTGTCGGACTGTCGAAAAGTACATCAAGGATGAAGCACCACATAAACATCTGATATTCGTACTCAATAAGTGCGATCTTGTGCCTACCGGGGTTGCCGTAAGTTTAAACGACTTACATTTTTCTACTCCTTTTCACCCATTTTCTGCTCTCTTCTCCGCTCCCTTTTCCGCTCCATCGTTAAGTCAAGGCACCTTCTGCATTATGTGCTCCTCACAATGGAAGGAAGTCTGTTACAACTTTGGTAGATTAAGTTCATTCTCGCCGCTCTTGGCCCTTGGGTCTTGAGTAGGCAGCTCACCGTCTTGGAGAGTCTGTCGCAAAGAGTTTGATAATGTTTCGTTTGAGTTGAAGTCCACTTCCTCTTTAGCTAGTGGCTTGTGGTGGTTTTCTTAGTAATGATTCATACATTTCACCAATTCACAAAACACTTTTTCCATATGCAATATATTTCAATGGCAAATGCTAATTATACTGCAGGCTGCCTGGGTGCGATCGCTCTCCAAAGATTATCCAACACTTGCCTTCCACGCGTCGATAACAAATTCCTTCGGAAAGGGATCCCTCATCCAACTCCTCCGACAATTCTCCTCCCTCCATTCTGACCGCAAACAAATATCAGTTGGTTTCATTGGATATCCAAATACTGGCAAATCATCAATCATAAACACATTACGAAAAAAGAAAGTCTGCACAGTAGCTCCAATACCGGGCGAAACAAAAGTTTGGCAGTACATCACACTTATGAAACGTATTTATCTCATTGATTGTCCTGGAGTAGTCCCTCCAAGTACTACCGATACCCCACAAGATATTCTACTACGAGGTGTAGTCAGAGTGGAAAACGTTGAACACCCAGAACAATATATTCCTGCAGTTTTGAGTAAAACTAAACCCCAGCACATTGAAAGAACATATGCTCTTAAAGGATACAAAAATCACATTGAGTTCTTAGAGCTGCTCGCAAGAAAGGGCGGAAGATTATTGCATGGGGGCGAACCTGATGTTGATGGTGTAGCCAAGATGGTCCTCAATGACTTTTTGAGAGGAAAAATTCCATGGTTTACACCACCTCCCAAACTCGAAGGCCCAGAAGAAACCGGAGTTGAAGGTCGTGAGGGTAGACTGGGCGAAATGCCAAGGAAGAGAAAGCGGGATGAAGCTGGTGAATCAGTAGCTGAGACATCTGTTGGAGATATTACGTCGACGATCGCGGCTGATGATGAGGATGATTCGTAAGCTCTCAAAGAAAACCTTAACATCCAGACTGAAACTAATATTTTTTGCAGATTCGAAGGCTTTAATAGCGACAACGAAGATGGTGGCGTTGAGTTAGACGATGTCGCTGATGCTGAAACCATTGATAAAGCTTTCGGCATAGATTCCGACGAGGAAAGTGAGGCTGACGATGCTGATGAATCTGCCGAGGAGGATAATGCCGAGGCTGCCAACGAGCAACTTCAGAAACAACTTTCAAAAGACTCAAATACCTCGAGGCGGAAACACCAATCAAAGAAGAGAGGTCAAAAGACATAAGAGCTTATGTAGATAGAAATATATTAATGATAATACCAATGATAATGCCAATGATACCCCTTCACAACGCTTCCGATGTGCCACACCTGAATATGCCGGCGAATATTCCATGAACTTCCTTTGCATAGCGATCGATAGAACTACGTATTTGCTGCGGATCCCAAGTATTTTACGTGCTTCAAGCGGACAGCCTATAAATCTACATGTGATGAAGTACATGTCATACACAGCCAACTCCTCGCAACTCTTCTCCCTCATCAGCACACTGCGCAGCGACTTATTTACGCATCTAGCAGTATTTATGTATACCATTACACCTTGTCATATTAAAGTCCCGTTTCACATCATCCATCTATCTTCTAAGTTGTTGGATCTATCATAAAACCGGTGTTCTTGCCTCTTGCACTATCTGCCTTGAATCCCCCCTTGGTCGTCCATCTAGGGGTTGGTGCCAACTATTGGGCGCTGTTGGGTTTAATTAGTATATGTACGATTAGTATGGTGCAGAGATATGGGCTACCTTGAAGAATATATCTATTCATTGCTTCTCTGAAACGACTTTTGTATTCCTGTTACACGTCAGACTACGCGCTTGGTGGGGTAAAGGGAAAATTGAGCAAACCTTAGGTGAAGTGACGGTAGGACGATTGCGGCCACCACCAGCGAAGCCACGATCTAAGGATTTTGGTTAACATGAAATGACCAATTGCTACTTTCGGAGTGGATAGTACCTTTGATCCATGATTCTAATTTCTTGTCCCATGTATAAGTACGGACCACATCGATGATTCCGACAACAAGTTCCTTTCGCGCCTGTATCATGTAAATAATTGATGTCAAACCGCACATAATTTAGAAACACTCACCTCATCAACAGCCACCATTAGCGAATAGTCCATCACATCGTTTCGTTGTAAGAAAAGCGTATCATTGAAAATAGCAGATCGAAGAAGTTTCTTAGAGTGCTGTATGTAAATTAGTGATGTGAAATTTGCATTTCATCTCATTTCACTCACCTCACGTGCGAATAAAGGAGACTCATAGATGAATTCAACCATATTCTCATCCAGAAGCACCTCGTTTTGTTCTCCGGTAGATTGAATTTTTCGGTTTCGCATAGATCCCTTGAGGTCAAAAATGCGGGTAGGCGAACGATCATAGAATAGATTCTCCATTACCAACACATCCCACTTAATCTCGGTTCCTGTAGCTGGATTTTTTATGACAATTTGAAAGAAGCCAAGCATTTTGGCAATGGCGGTAGGCAGCTCATGAAACAAGGCCTCGGAGATAATGTTGAAGTAAGCCGGTGCAAATTTGAGAAATGCCTGCGTTTCGATGGGTGATAGTTGCTTGAGGACCAACCTGTCATCAAGTGTTTTCAAGAAGACGGATTTTGTTTTTCCGCCTTTAGAATCCCATTTCAAGCATCGTGATAACGATTCCACGATTCGATCTGCTACCCCGCACTTCCTTCGCACAGCATCGAATTGTTCCGCAAAGAAAATTTTACATTGCATCCTTGCAGAAGAATCGACAAAAGAGTATGCGAGATGAGTACCAGTGGCGCGCAGTAATGAGGTTTCGACCTCTGCTTGATTGATACCATCTTCACACATATCTGGTGTATCACTTGTGGGCATAGAATCATGCTCTTCAGGTTTTGCGCAGACCGGGCCTTGTTGGCGAAGATCATCCAACTTAGCTCGATAATGTTCCGATGATAGGGTGAAAGCTATCAGCGAGCTTGGTTCATCCTCTCTAATGATGACGTCGGAATCAACGAAAATATGTTCGCCGGCATTGATGGGGTACTCAAGTTGAGTCCAGCCACTGGCAGATCTTTCAGCCCAAAAGTTAGTCAACATCTTCATAAGACTAGACTTTTCATGCTTGGGTATCTCCAGCGGAAGGTCGGCATCTGGCTTGCCCACGCGAAGCGATTCAGCCAACTCCTCCGCACCTGGCAAAAGATCACCAAGCAAAGCATGGTCTGCATCGCTGGTAGCACCTTCATCGTCAGAACCAGTTTGACTGAAGTTTTGGTGAGCGTCATCAGCTTCGATGTCAGCGATAGCTCCTCCCATGGCTACAGAGGTGTCATTCGGTGAGTTTGGCTGGGTCTCGATACTAGAGGGCTCCATGTTCAGTTCGGCAAGCCCTTCAGTCATGCTTGTAGATTCTGTATTAATATGCGTGGGTTCGGCATCCAAAGGGACTTCGTCAGGGGGTCCGCGCTCCTCGACAGCCTCATTAATATCCTTGTATATCTCGACAATGGGTTTGGAAGATGCTTTTGGGAAAGCTCTCGATTGTGTGACTTTTGCTGCCATTCGTCTCCTGTCTCGCAGGCGTTCTTTCTCAAATTCTCTACTCAGCTGTTCAAAATGTTTTGCTAATGTCGTAACTTTAGACTCCTTTCTTTTCGGTTGCACAGATCTTGGAATGAAGGAGTGTCCTGCCTTACGATTTTGTTTCAGGGAGCCCAGGCCCAACCTTTCAGAAAGTCTCTTATCAGTGGGCCTTACAGCCTCCGTGGTAGACGGCTTCAAAGGCTCAAGCAATGGGATTTGGGAGTCACTAGACTTGCGTGTATCTCCCAGCCTATGGTATGCCTTGCTAGAAATCGGTTGCATGCGGCGTAATGCATTTGCAGGCTGTGACTGGGTACGATTGAGTGGAGGCGAAGCACCACTACGACGCGAGCTTGTACGTTCAGTCGGCCTTGGAATGCCAGAAGTTTCAGACTGCAACTGACCATTTTCAACTGAAAATGATTGGTTTGCTCTGCGCAGTCTCTCAATTTTCTCGGATAAGGTTGCTTCTAGAGGCGTTGTCGGGATATCCGCATCTGAAGGACTCTCTAGATCAGGCGGACTAGATGTGAGGAAGTCAGACGTATCAGCCGGTGGTAATGTTTCTGAGGCAAGCTGCTGGTCTGCGGTTTCTGGAATAGCGAGATCAAGATGTTCAACTCCTTCATGTCGAGGCATCTGAACTTGGTCCTCGTTCATTGATGATTCGGTATTACTGGCGGACTGTGAATTTATCGTGGTCAGATCTGCGACTAAACTATCGTCGACGACTGCAGGATGACCTTCTGGTGATTCTTCTGTATCCGGACTTGGTTCTAATATCGCCTCTGGTGACGTTGGGATAATTGATTTCTCCTCGGCATCAGAAAATGGTTCATTTGTCTCTACAGACACCAAAGAAGTTTGCGATTCATCGCGATCCATAAACATCTTCCTGAGTTGGAGTGCTGCGAGGCGGCGGATATCCTTTTCTGACGGAAAGAAATTTCCATCGAAATCTTGGAAGGCGTCGTCCCATTCTGCAACTCTCTCCTGCATCGCTCTCACGGCTCTGTTAAGTGGAATGATCTCATAGTATTTCGATTCCATATACTTATCCTGTAATTTGCGTAGGAGTGCAGTGTGTTCCTCTTGCGCACGTTTTGTCAGGCAATCTATTTCTGCTTTACATGCCTCTGCCTTTTCAGGTGCAACGCTGTCGATGTTAATTCCTTTAATTCTAGACATTACCGATGCCATGAACCGATTCCACCGTTTTTCTATCTTTGTGAAAAGCTCATTCTTCAGCCTAAGATCATTATCTACTTTCCATGTGATTCTTGTTCGAGGCACAACAATTTCCAAGAGGTCGATCGGATCATAGTGTATTCTAATGGCGACATTGCGAAAGCCAAAATATCGCAAATGATCACGGTGCAAATCATGGGGGCAGAATCCCGCTCTGAGATGTAAATCACTGCTCCAGAAAGATAATTCTAAATACTTCCCAAAAGAGTATTTCCAAGTACTTTCAGACATGGGCATAACTTGAGTTTCCTTCTGGCATTTTTTGCAATAGCTCCACATTAAAATGGAATCTTGAAGTCCTTTGATCTTGCAAGGTGATCTTTCAACAAACACAGTTATTCGAGCTTCACCATGGACGTAAGTTCGGTGATGCTCGGACATCTTTCGATCGCAGCCATTAAACGTACATGTTGTATTGATGGTCAAGCACAAATCTTCGACGTATTGACCCAGTGTACAATCAGGATCAATTTCTGCTGATATTTCGTGTTCAGTATAAAATGCGAGAGTAAGAAGGTCAGGTCCAGCGCAGGGAATTGAAGTTTCGGTGCAAACGACTGTGTATAGCACAGTAATATTTTGGTGACTATATGGATCAAAGAGGTTAAGATTTCCTTGGATATAATTCTCCCATTGACGTGTTTGTGTTTGGTAATTATGCAAAGCTTTATCGTACTCCGCATCATGCACAGCATGTAAAACCTCCATGATTTGCCTGGGTGCGTTTTTGATACTCTCGTGGACCATATCGGGCTTTATGAGCTGAAATTTCTGCGGTTTGGATTTTTCTGTATCGGTCTGCTCTTCGAACATGTCTTGGTCCCGAAGCCTTTTCAAATAAACGAGTCTCCGTTCCTGCTCTCTCGCTTTCACCAATAGATATGGTTGTACGAACTTGACAAATGGGGAGGCAGATAGTATCTTCGTTTGGTGTTTAGCAACCATATCGCTGTAAAATGTCGGCATTGGTACATCTTCCGGTAGATGATCGTCATGAGAGGAGTGGACATGTGACTCATGAGCGGAGATCATTCTGGAAACTTCAGGCTTCTGTTCAGTCGATATGGCTTTCTGAACTTCCGTAACTGTCTCCGGGCTGACAAGAACTTGATCAGCGGATATGCCTTCGCTATTGTCAGTTCCGTCCGGAGAGAAGCTTTTAACCTTCTCCGACGCAGCAGCAGCTTGTAGTACATTGCTTGCTGCCACCACGGTGTCTTGATGAGGAAGAGCACCCGATATTGTAGATTTCGAAGTCTGACTGGTTTGTCTTGCGGGTGAGAGGTTGCCACTTTCTGCCACAGATGGGATCAGAACGAATTCATCCCTCATTAAACATGTTTCAAGCTTGAGATTGTAAACCACGTATACCATGAATTCTGTAATTTGCTTCATTTTGGCTAGTATAGGCGTGCTAGCTCCGCGCAGAGCGATGGTACATCCCAACTCTTTTGGACATCCAGATAGATAGATGTAAGTCTTTTTCTTTCCCGGAATATCGCCATGGACATAAGTTTTCACGTCAAAGCCAGAGCTTTTGCCTATGTGTACCGGCTTCAGAGCTACCATGTCGATAGACGAGATAACTTCGGTCTGGGCACACCTTGAAACTGCCTCTATTACTGATGGCTTAACATTGTAGATTACAGCGATATTTGCCTCCGCAAGGTATTGCAAGGCAAGCCCGGAAATATGCTTCTGAACCAAGAGAAGTTGGGGACGCAGGGATGCAATTCGATTTACCATATTCCTTAAAAATTCCTTTTCCTGAGCTATGACAGGCTCCAGACTCATAAACGAAGATTGGTGGCGTTGGTATTCAATGGGAAATGATACGATAACAATGCGGGGGTTCGAAATACTCCTGGGCATACTTTTCAAGGCAAGGTTCTTGGTAAACACAACACCTGACACATACGAGGTGTCACCAGGTCTTCCTCCGGGTATCTTTTTCAGCTTGACATAATGACGGATATCTATGTCATCGCCGCGCCGAACATCCGGGTTGACATCATCTGTACACTGAAGGAGAATGGGTATCAAAGCCTTCTCCCAGGAAGCAACGTTCGGAATGTCCGCATCTTCAAGTAGTTGATGCAGGAGCCGGCGAACGTGATGCAAACTGGCGTTGTTAAGCTCCACTGCAGGAGCTTTAGCATCTCGCATCGATGCGCTTCGAGTCATTTTTGAAGACATGCCGGCTGGCGTGGTCGGGTCAGACGAGTTTTCTGGTGCAATAACATCTTCACTTACATTCCCAAACCCCTTTGCTAAGCTCGTCGGTTTCGTTTGTCTTGGAGAGGGTCGAGTATGGTGTAAAGTGTTGCTGGCAATGCTCAGATTACGTCGACGATTCGGTCTTGTGAATGCTCCCACAGTTGCGCTAGCATCTTCCAACCCTCGACTCGTAAAACTGATACCACTGACACTTTTGTCGCCAGTTCTAGCCCTGTGCCTCTTGGTAGCGTTCAGCAAGGAGCCAAAGCCTGCTCTGTCATTTTCAAAAGGTGGAGTTGCGGTATTACTGTTGTTTAAGGTAGCAAAAATACTCATTTGCTCATCAGCGCTTGATCCTTCATCCGACATGTATGGTGCCAGATCGGGATCGATGATATTGTCATCATGAAAGGCGGGCAGACGCGTTGCTTTTTCGGTGTCATCAGTCAATCCGCGATGAAAAGGTGCTCTATCTCCAACAGGGCTTTTAAAGCGCCCGAGAAAATTGTGCTTTGACTGATGTCGTCTGTGGCTAGAAGATGGAGGTCTTGTAGCAGCAGACAAGGCCTTCAACGATCTAGATGAACTTGGGCGACTCAATTGTGGCGCATCTATCTCCAGAATTGCCGAACGCCGATTCGAAGAATCGCCAATTCGTCGCGTAGCAGGTATCGCCATCATTGGAGTTGCCAGAGGCCTAGAGTCATCTCCTGTCTTCATTAGGTCAGTACCTGGGCCCTCTGGCAAATCTGTCTTGATTGATGTAGAGGAGTCAAACTTGGCCTGCTGCGAATGGAAAAAGGTTGGTAGGCCTGATTCATCATCTGAATCCTCAGACCCGCTACTGTCGTGACGTCTGTTTATAATGTCGAGACAAGTTTTGCACATACGAAGTGACCCTTGAACTCCAAACCTTTGGCCTGAAATAGTATGTGTGCATTTAGAGTCGAAGATGCAGCCACAAGTTCTGCAATGATGTTTTCTACGAAAAGCAGTAAAGGGATCGCCACATAAAAAACACTCCTTGCATATATCATCAGCCATCCAGAATTCTTTGCTTAGCACTTGCTTTCTCATTTGCTCCAAACGAGCGCTGACTACTTCGGCGCTACCACCATTTGTAGTGGTACCAGGTATGCGACTTCTACCAGAGTAGGTACGGGAAGAACGCTCGTCTGTACCAAAAGAATTATGTCGCACATGATTGTGTGCAGAGGTATTAATAGGGGTAGCTTCAGCAGTACTGCGGTCCGTCGATGAGGTACGTGATGTCTGATAGCCAGGAAGATGTGATTGTGTTATACGTTCAACAGCAGGGGTTCGCCTTGCAGTTTCTAGAATTGTCAGACGTGGTGGCGCATTTGGCCTCGATATGAAGGATAATGTAGATGAAGCTGTTTTGGGGTTACTCATGGATTTGGCCCTTCCAGTAATGCTACTATCACTAATACGTAAACTAAGATCTTGGGAGTCCTTTTTGGAGTCTAAGTTGCTCAGCGACATTCGCCCAGCAGATTCGCTTTTCATGGAATCAAAGTCAACAGACTCCGGATCGTCTAACACCGAAGAATGGCCGGGAAAGCGTCTGCTTTCGGAAGCGCTAGCTGACCCGAATGTGCCAGGATGGGTGTAATCTGATGCCGAAACTGGTTCGGATCTGTCTGAAACACCGTTTTTATTTGCCTTTTCCGGAACATTTCCATCAGAGCTGCCCAGTCGAGTTTTTTCTCCCTCTTTGAATGCAACAGCATTGACAGGCGCAACGGTTGGGACGATGACTGAAGGCGATGTGGTTTTCGCCATTGGATTGAGGGGAGGTCTAGACGCTGACTTTGACGTTTTAGGTCCTGACGAAAGCGAGGTCTTTGATGATTTCATAGCTTGTGGTTGCATCTCAGACGAAGTCCCTATGGAGGAAGATACGGTTGGAGACTGCAGCTGCGAAGATGCAGTGGAAAGTTGAATGGGCGACGCAGTAATACCCGAGTCTTCTCGCGCAGGACCGGAAGATCCTTTCGAGGGCGGGGTGACATTCGATGCATTCTGACTTTTGACTGAGGTCGCATCAAAGCTTTCGTTGTCGCCTTTTACTGAAGAGCTTCCCGCTTTATCTTTCCCTACTCCCACTGCGCCTTTGAATCGACTGTATAGACCACTCAAACCATTCTGCATGATATCCCCAGCTAAGCCTTTACTCTCTGTATTCGAGGAAGATGGTGGTGGAGGGGCGAATTCGTTGAACGTAGTAAGCGTTTCCGACTGACAGGCAGTACTATGTATTTTATCCAGAGCTTGTGCTAGTTGTTCCTTATCGACCGGCGTACCACTAGCTAGTGATACCAATGATCCTCGACGAGATCGAGTTCTTAGTGGTATCAATAATGGCGCTCCCGCAGAAGGTCTTGGGGATCCATGAGAAGACATCTTTCCCCTCTGCACACGCTGATAATCTCTAAGTTTAGCCTATTGTGAATGCGATAGTGATCTCGGAACTCTTGGTTCTTACCGAACCGACGCTTTCTTGTCAAGAGCAAGTCATATATCGTGTTCGATGAACAAAAGTTGTGCGACCGCTTCGACGGCTTCCGGTTTGCGTAATCATGTCATAAATTTGTGGAATCAAATAGGTTGCCTTGCGAGACAGAATTTACAGACTGCTCTTTGGCTCGCTGGATGGATGGTCAGCCGAATGAGATGGACGCCCTTGATAGAATCACCAACTGAAAAATGATGGCAACATTTCTTGCGACAATAACTATTGAATCATTATTATCATATCATTGATTGAGCTACAGCATGATAGGTTTTCCGCCGTAAGGGTAGAAGGATGGGTTGTGCTTGGGGAAGGATCAATAGAGGGGAAGCATTTTCTCAAATACCTGCAGGTAAATACTGGAATGTCCCCTCAAATGATGAAGTTCGTAGATAGGATAGGTAAGCTAAGAAGATCTTACTTATCAATAATTCGATAAGGTTTGATTAAGGTTTATCAGCCAGAGCTGTGCCGCCAACAACTCGAGTACAAGAAATGATAGGCACACCCTTGGTTCCGATTATCGACCGTTATCCCTGCGTGCTTTTCTTTCCACTCCACTCCTTACTAGGTAAACACTCGAGTATCTAAATTGACTTCGCGAGAACGCGTCTTCCAGTTTACTACGCAAGTATGAAGGAAGTCAATTCAACTTCACCCCATACTAAATTATTCTGATGTTATGAATACTATCTCTGCAATTGGATAACCATTATTGAAATGGATATCTTTGCTATTCCTCAGATCTTTTGAGTTACTTGGGATCCGAACGTACATTTTATCGGTAGGAGTACGATCGCGATTTCAGATTCAAGGATTTACATATGAATCGGATAGGATCGCATCAGGAATATTGATTGATATTCACCAGGGACTATCGGTAGTGTCGTTATGGCCCTCATGCGAAGCTGGCTCGCCCAGCATATCGAAAAGTCTTTAGCAGAGGCGGTGGATTGGTTGAAGTCAATGCATGTTGGAAAGCAAAATGCCGACAACTCTCGTAATCGATTCTCCTATAAACAGGAGAAACTTACCATACAGCTCGAAAAGTCCGGATTAGTTCATCTAATTGGCGTCAGTATACCCCTTGTCACTCATTCCATTCGTTCATCTGTTGACACAAGTGCAGAGCAGCAAAGGGCGGGGTGCCATTCAATTTATGACCGTGTCTGATGGTACGACCGAAATCGCAGCAGCATTTCAGCAAGACTTTCTGAATCGTTTTCTGGAAAAGAACAAAAGGACACTCGAAGGGCTTATAGGAGAATCATTAGCAGCGGGAGATTGCCAATTGGTATGATGGTCTTGTCAGTTTGTATGAGGTCTCCAGGAGTACTAACTTCGACCTCGGATATGCGACTTCAATGTTGCAGTAGAGCCATCGATTAGAATATACCTTTATATTCCAAGTTTCAAGCTGAAAGGGAGGCAGGATATTTCTGGCTCAGCTCGTGCCATAGAAATTGGAGGAACTATCGATAACACACTGCGTACAATGCAAAAGATCTTAAATCCTAAAGATTGCGACAACGATTTTCACTCGTCCGTAGTGCCCGAGTTTCAGAATTCTTCACTACTTTCACAGTCTGCTATGTTCGCGACACAGGTCTCGAACAGAATTTCGGAACCGGGAAAGGATAAGATTGATGCTTCCCGAGCCCAGGCGCCAGATATACTACGCGTTCTCCAAGGAAACCAGCAGCCAGCCGTTGAAAGCGCAAATACTAGTCCTCAACTCAATGAGCCAGGACTGCCGCTTGACTCTCCAATCAGTACGAGTGCAGCACGACCGCTTTCATCGATGTCAAATTCCAGCGCAACGAACTCGGATGGAGGTAATGACCTAGGGAATTCAAAACATGCACATGTACCATCGTCGCCCCTTGAACGTTCTATAGATCAAGAAGAAGTTGGCAGCGAAAGGATACTGGACTACAAGAAGCCTAGTGCAACGAATGCGGCGCTCACTGCCCTTGGATCTTCCAATGGGCGGAGACATCAGGGTGTTCCAGCTAATGAAATTTACCCATTTCAGGAAAATTTGGCATTTATCCCGCGTCCTTACGCCCTTATTTCGAAAGAACAGAGAGACATTTTGGAGCGTGCAAACTCGTGGGTCTCACCGTCAGAGAATCATGGGTCATTACCACCACTACTCCCCGGTCTCCTGCAGGCTAATTTATTAGCGTTTCACGAAAAACGGCTCGGCAGACAAGAATCGATCCACTGTAAAAATACGGTACAGAGCAGTGAAGAGCCCAACCTGGATACAGATCAAAACACTGTCGGAACAAGGGATAGTGAAGATGGTGATACTACTCATCATGGCAATGATATCCTAGAAGACTCTAACAAAGATGCTGAAGAAGTTGCGTATACCCCCGAACTGCTAAACTTTCACAAATCACACGACAGCGAGGAGGATCATCAGTCAGATAGTGACTCGAGTGATATGTCCGAGCTTAGTTGCCCGAGCCCAGAAGTCAACTCAATGCCCAGGCAAGATATGGCGGTTAACGCTGCACCGGATCAATCTTTAGACCAGGCACATTCGGTGACACAACCTAGCTCGACAATTGATAATGGTGCTACTATACCTAGTGCAGATGACTCTAATGCGCCAACTTCAGATGTTCTTCGAAAGAACATTTCCCAATCGCCCCCTGTTATTTCAAAAAGCATAAGAACTTCCGATGTTAAGATCAGATTACCTACAACATCAACCTTTGACTTACCTAGTAGCCCTTCTGATGACGAAGAGATCGAATTGGATCACGCACATGTTCTAGGTGAAGAAATCAACAGCAGCGATCCACCTGTAGATGAATACCTACCGATTTCACAGCCTACCCTGCCCATTATCGCAGGGCATAAGTCTGGAGTACAAGTCGAAAAGACACCGAAGCGAAGAAAACGCTCAAATGAAGAACTATCCTCCAATGCTATTATCCCTGGCACTTATAATAGCTCACAAAAGGATCCTGATAATAAAAGCTCGTTCATTCCTGAGTCCGGGATATTTTCGTTACATTCGCCCCGCAAATTACCTTCAAAAATTGTGGAGAGTTTTATCGAGGTGCATCAAGATAAGCACGAGCGAAATCACTCCGATATCCAACAGTCTCGTGCCCAACAGATATCATCAAGGTCCAATGATGATATGATTTATCAGAATGCATCGGGGTCTCAACCCTACCTACATCTACAAATTTCGAATCTTGATGGAGCTGCTTCTGATGTTTTACCTCCTATAGTTGGAAGATCTCCCACGAACCACTCGCCATCAAATCAAAACTCCTTTGAGCAAGGACATGATCGGGGCATTTTTGCCAAGAGACGAAGAATTACAGACCCTGTGGCTTTAGGCTTCAGTCAAGAAGAACCCCCCTATAGGGACAGGAATGAAATGGTAAGAGCAAACCGTAGAGAAATTCGGAAGGCCTTACAAAGCCTAGCGCCAACAGAAGATTCTCAAAAGGTCGATGACAACGTAGAAAATAACCCACAAAGCCGAGCATCTGCAGAAGTTCCGCGAACGATCCATGATAGGAATAAGAACGATCTGCCCTGTACAGTAACCATTGAGCAGACCTCCGCATCTCACAATAGTAGACCTACTGATCATTCAACGTACGCTTTAATAACATTGGACGATCACGACATGAGTAACGGGTCACTTTTACCTAGTGGGGCACAGTCAAACTCGGAAAAGGTTCACCAGTCAACTTCACTTTTTGAGGAGTATTGTGCTGCTTACCCACGATACACTGGCACTAAGAAACAATTCTTACAAGCGCTCATATACCTGGAATGGCTTGGAACACCGATCAGACAACCTCATAGATCATTGTGGGATGATTTTGTCCGGTTCTATGCCCATGAATATTCGGAGCATGTCCGGACTAGTGCAGCCAGAATGACTGGAATTCAGTTTTACAATTCTTTGGGAATTTCTGATCCCGAATTTACGCACTGTGATGATATAACATGTCGAATAATCAATCCGGAAAGTATCAAAGCTGCTTTATCGTCTGAGTCTCCTGATCACGACGCGATTGAAGAAATGCGTGGGAAGTATAGAGGCATTGCAAGACCAGCCTCGCAGCAGTCAATAGAACCAGTGAGGCAATCATCTAGTCCCAGCGAGCTCATCACTATCACAAATACCGGCGATGCGCCAGTGTCAGCTTCCGCACAGCCTGAAAATATTACTTCAAAAAGGCCTTTTGAAACCGCAGGTCAATCGCCATCATTGTCAAATCCAGAGGCTATGCCTGCGGGGCGAGGAAAAAGGTGGACCTTTGCAGAAAGGGGGATTTCTAGGGATAGCGCTGCACAGGATCCGTCGCCGCCAAGGACGGGAGTGCCAGCATCCCAACCAAATGCATCTGAAGTATATGAGACAGTTGCGACGTCAACAGAAGATATGAAGGGGCCTAGAAAAGCCACACCCAGAAGGTTTTTCGAGACCCTAAGTCAATTGCCTTCATCGGTAAGTCAAGGTTCTCCGCCTCGTATTAGTTCTCCGTCCGCGCAGAGATTAGCATTACCAATTGTCTCGTTCAAGGCGCCGAACAATTCCTCATCAAAACACACAAGACGCGCTGAGCCGGAGAGCCCAGCCCAGGAAAAGGCACCGCATATCATGAATGAAACAGTGACTTCAATAGAGTGCAAACCGCAAGGACTTTCATTGAAACCATCACTTGAGAGGTCAATATCTCCGCCACCATCACGAAAGAAGTCTACGGCAACATCAAACAAACCGGAAAAGGTTATCCACTGGCTAAAAAATCAAGAACAGGCGATGAGGATTGCAAAATCAACCAAGTCTCCGTCGATCGCACAAACGTACAAGGGGAAGTGGGAATTTGGCAAATATCTCGCGCGAAAACGAATCGAGAGTAGTAATCACCCTCCAAGATTGACACCGAGGACTAGTTTTAGCTTAAAGCCTAGATCTCCCAGCGGCAGTAATGCTTCATCAATATAGTGGTTCGGCAGAAAAGGACTTATTTGTTGGGGCTAGCTCTTACAAGGTCCTTGCCTTCAGGTAGATGACGAATCAAATGATAATGGATGAATGAAAGTGCTGGAAAAGGGAAAGAAGTAGAGAAGGTTCAACTACTCGAGAGAAGGAAATTAAACCCAGATGTCGAATAGGTAGTTGTGAAGACAGGGAAAAGTTACCGTGTTAATTTACATATTGATGCCCCAAAATAATAAAAAGCATGTGAAAAATTATATTCGAGCAGCAATGTGAGCTATCTATCTACGCCATGAACGTCGTTGCACTAATCGTCTAGGATGATGAATAAAGTCTAACCGAAGGAAGTAAGTGGAGAGCCGTATAGCTACATGATAGGCTTATGCTATCGAAACATGGGTTACGAGGCCCACAGGGGATGTAAAACATTTAAAACGGAAGCTCTTGGAGTCTTGGAAATAATCAACACAACGCCAAAAAGTAATGACTCTTTGCCAAATCTAGGACCATGTAACTCACTACCGCATGCATTCTTGCGATGAATGCAAATTCTCGTTGAGAAAATGGATGAACCAATAGTAACTAACAACACACGACAACATCTACATCATAAAATGCACTCTGAGTTGTTGAAACTGCAAGCTAGAACCCCTCATTGCCCCTCAGATGTTTTAAAGTTCCAATTGCATCAGATAAATAATTAGAGACAGACTATCCTCACCGTCCAGGGATAAAAAAGGAGATATGTACGAGTACATAAGCAGCCCCCTTACAGCTCACTAACCGTGCCATTGACATTATTGCTTTTCTATCCTCGTATCAATTCAAGCTATCTATCAATCACGTTGCTTTTTCGGCACTCCTTGCATGACATCCAGCCCTCAACGCCTCCTACTTATTGCTTTGATGCTTATGTAGCAGACTATTCTCACCGTCCTTTGGAAGCTTTCTTCGCACATATATTCTCAAAACTCCACTCAAAACCGCCCAACCCAGATTGTTAAGAATCACTCGAACGTTTTCCAACATGGCACAACCAAACCGCTTTTTGATCTGGGGAGGAGAAGGTTGGGTTGCGGGTATGTCTAGGACCCACTCATACTGTAGAGCATCTGAACCGTGCTAACCTAGTCGCTGCAGGACATCTCAAGACCCTTCTCGAGAGCCAGGGAAAGATAGTCTATACCACTACTGTTCGCATGCAGAATCGTGAATCCGTCATTGCAGAAATTGACAGAATCAAACCAACTCATGTCCTTAACTGTGCTGGCTGCACCGGACGTCCCAATGTCGATTGGTGCGAGGACAATAAGGAAGAGACGATTCGAAGCAATGTTATCGGAACGTTGAACTTGACTGATGTTTGCTATTTGAAGGGTGTTCACATTACTGTCTTTGCTACAGGATGTATCTATACCTATAATGATGAGCATCCAATTGGGGGCCCCGGATTTCTGGAGACTGATCCTGCCAACTTTGCTGGCTCATTCTATTCGGAGACCAAGGCTCATGTTGAGGAGGTTAGTACAATACTTCGCACAATGTTAGCTATACACACTAACAACTACGCAGGTTATGAAGACATACAAGAATGCTCTCATCCTCCGACTTCGAATGCCCGTCAGTGATGACCTCCATCCTCGAAACTTCGTCACCAAAATTGCCAAATACGATCGCGTAGTTGACATCCCCAACTCCAACACTATCCTCCACGATCTTCTCCCTGCCTCAATCCTCATGGCAGAGCACAAAGATACCGGTATCTACAACTTCACCAATCCAGGTGCCATTTCTCACAACGAGGTCTTGTCTCTTTTCAAAGAATATGTGAGGCCAGAATTCACATGGAAGAACTTTACACTGGAGGAGCAATCCAAGGTCATCAAGGCGGGACGAAGTAATTGTAAGCTGGATACTACGAAGTTGATCAAGAAGTTGGCAGAGTATGGATATGAGGTTCCCGAGATCCATGAGGCATACAAGGGCTGTTTCCAGAGAATGGCTGCTGGTGGCACCAAATAGGTGGTGCATAGGTAACATGTAACATGGGGCATTTGCAAAAGCTGCTCTTTCACATCTGTTATTATGAAATGCAACTGGGGATATCTCCTCTCTACACTGCGTCTCAAATTGATGCACTTATCGTCTAATTCTCGTATATTTGTGATGTCTCGAATGTGAAGGTTTGGATAGTTACTTTCATCATCATGATGGTCAGAGCTGTTGCGGGGATATACCATGGCTATGAATAAGTTTTCTCATCATCACTATTGCTCTTACATGCGAAACGTTTACACCGATTAGTTTCTTCCGCGCATTATTGAGCAACTAAAATGTTAAATTCCACATTCAGTGATGAGATTCCTTATCCACTATTTTGTGCATCTTGTCATGACGTTTCTCCAACACAGCGCATTGGTGCAATCTAAGCACTACCTTTCAGGGATGCTGGGCTGCCCCTCCATCAGCGAAAATTTCATGCAGTTGAGATAAGATCTTAAAAGCCGCTGAAACTTGCTTGACAGATTAACAGGGAGGGCATTAAGTAATAAATGTAATAACGAGACTGGTACTGGGTATGAAGTGAAGAAATATATCATCACCATCATCACAGTTCACTGTGCCAATCTGATATATACATTTTATTTATTTTATAAAATTATAAAAGAAGTCAACGAACATGGTGAAATAAGCGTTCCTCAATTCCTAAGTCATGTTAGTAAAGCCTCGCGTCATATTATCGCATTCTCGGCATTCCATTCTTGAATTTCGAAGAAAATAAATTCAGCCTTACTGCGAAAACTTATAATACAGTGACACTCACTGCACGTTCGTGCCGTACCGACTTGGCTTATCATCAAAGTCGTAGAATATATTTTTCTTTCCCTTTTACTCTATCTGTCTACTTACTACACACAACTGCTCTACTCACTTCGCTCGTGGGCTCAAATTACTTCATTTCCCAGACATTCCCCAGCAACCTTCGAAATGGTTGTCGATACCACATATTACGAGGCCCTTGGTGTCAAACCAGACGCATCGGAGTTAGAAATTAAGAAAGCATATAGAAAATTAGCTATTATCACTCATCCGGGTACGTTTTACCACTCTCTCCAGCAACACAGTCCTGCTCGCAGAGATACTGACATAGACACAGATAAGAATCCTGGCGATGATACGGCGCACGAGAAATTCCAAGCTATCGGCGAGGCATACCAAGTCCTCAGTAATGAGGATTTGCGCAAACGGTATGATAAATTTGGAAAGGATTCCGCACAGCCTGGGGAAGGGTTTGCGGACCCGGCAGAGTTCTTTGGCACAATCTTTGGAGGGGAGGCGTTTGTGGATCTCATTGGAGAAATTACTTTGATGAAGGATTTGACGAAGACCATGGATATTACTATGCAGGAAGGTGCAGAAGAAGAAGAAGAGTAAGTGTAGTTATATTACGACGGCGGAACATGGTTTGCGAACCAGAGGCGCATCGTGATGATCTGTGGGTATCAAATGGGTTGACTAACGTTATCATAGATTCCCAGGGACTGAAGCAGCCAAACGAGAGAGCATGACCGCGGATAATGAAAAGGCTGGATCATCGGCGGCTGCTCCAGATGGTACAGCTAAGCATGTGCCCTCCGCGTCTGTGTCTGACGCTACAGATTCTCCTGCTCCTCCATACTCGGAGAAACCACCAGTTGTTCCCAGCCCTTCTGGATCAGGAACATCAACCCCTCGACGTACCACCCAAATTCCTCTCCGACAGGCCATCATGAACCAAACAGAAGAAGAGGCTCAAATGGCTGCTGCAGGTCTTACAGAGGAGGAGAAGGAGTTGAGGAAGAGAGAGAAGAAGAAGGGCGGTCTCTCAAAAGCCCAACGTGAAGAACTAGCTGCTTATGAAAGGGAACGTGCCGCTGCTCGTAAAGAACGAGTCGACACATTAGCAAGGAAGCTGATAGATCGTATTAGCGTATGGACAGAGACAGACAAGGGAACAGATTTTACCAGAGCATTCCAAGAGAAGACACGCCTCGAGGTAGAGAACCTCAAGATGGAGTCTTTCGGTCTGGATATTCTCCATGCAATCGGCCAAACCTATCTCCAAAAAGCCACGGGACTCCTCAAATCTCAGAAATTCTTAGGTATCGGCGGGTTTTTCTCCAGATTAAAGGATAAGGGAACTATCGCAAAGGAAACCTGGAATACAATCTCTAGCGCTATTGATGCGCAAATGACCATGGAGGAAATGGCCAAGATGGAAGAGAAAGGCGGCGAGGACTGGACTGATGAGAAGAAAGTTGAATATGAGCGTCGCGTGACCGGAAAGATTCTTACAGCTGCATGGCGCGGAAGTAAATTTGAGATCCAAGGCGTTCTCAGAGACGTCTGTGATGAGATTCTGAACGACAAGAAAGTTCCCATGTCAAAGAGACTCGAGCGCGCTCAAGCTTTAGTTATTTCGGGTGAAATTTATTCCAAGGTATGTACTACGGATCTCGAATTCTACAAGAAAGAATCACAGCTAACCAAATACCAGGCTCAACGCAACCCAGAAGAAGAAGGCGATTACATGGCATTCGAACAATTGGTCGCCGAAGCAGCCGCAAAGAAAGAGAATAAGAAAAAGGGAAAGGATAAGAGAGAGCATGGTCATCATCACTCACATCACTCGGATGCACAAGCTGCTGCTGATGATTTACCTAATGTTCCTAAAGCCTAGATGTGGATATAGGATGAGATGAAGACGAGGATGAAGATGAATAGGGTAAAGTCGAAGAGCCCAGAGAGAAAAGGCTCGTTGAGGCTCAAATGGTATAACGTTTTACCTTATGCGTCGTGGCTGTTTCGTGTTGTGTCGTGGTTCGGTAGTATAAAGATATCTCTTCTTTCTTTTTGGTGTGTGTGGCGTCATAATCTGTTGCGGAATGAAAGAATGGATGGAGATGGAGATGGAGATGGAGATGGAGATGGAGATGGAGATGGAGATGGAGATGGAGATGAGAATGAGTATAAGCATGAGCATGAGCATGATCGTGCAGTGGATGTAAGCTGTATGTACTAGATATGTTATTTGATTATTTTGCATACATATATGAATACGCGGAATGGAATGCAGTGGAATGAATAAATGAATGCATGGTATATTACTTATCAATCAAAGGCTCGAAATTCGGCGAAAATAAGTCATTAATACACATCCCATTATTTCTATCAATATCAGCATGACCCAAATTTATGGTACATCTATTAAGAGATCTGAAGTACAATGAGGAAAAAGATCATGTAGTATCTAGGTAGTATGAGTTCATTAGAGCCGCGCCGCGCCGTGCCGGTAAACTCATCAGTTAAATAGAGGCATAATTAAAAGGCAAATGATTAGAGTTCCGCATGATCATATCCCTGTGCAATACTTTGCGTTTCCGGGCTACCTGTGTCGTGTTTGGGTACGTAATTTCCTTTCTTAAGTTCGCCTATGGCAACGTCAAATCGAGCTCCTGCTAGCCATGCTGCTCCAATCTGGATCCTGTTAGTGAAGTTCCATGGGCCAAGGGGAAGAGACATACCATAAGTCCAGAGATGACTAAAAGGGTCCCGAGAACTGCCAGCATGAGGTACATCACATCTTTCTTAGCCTCTGCTTCTTCGGCTGCTGATTTCTTCTGGGCCGCAGATGTTTCACCAGCTTGTTGTAAAGCAATAGCTTTTGGATCTTGGGATGGGAATATAGATTCAATAAATTGTTCGATCTGATGAATATTAGCAACCGAATTCTTGAATAATCGAACTGGATCACATGCCTTTCCGCAAGCAATGCTAATCTTGAGGAAGTTAGGGTCCTTAGGCGAGTTCTTTTTATGTATCCTCCTTGCATATCTCTTAAAGATATCACAAACCGTACGCAAGTTTTGCGAAGATTCCATCATTAATTGACAAGCATCACCTTTTGTTATCTTAACATTCTTCTCGAAAATAGCAGGGTTCTGGAAAACAAGCTCCAAGGTTGCGATTGCCATGGCTTGTGGGATAGCAACAAAATTGAAGACACTCTGATCTTTTATGCCCGCCATATAAAACAGACATTCATCCGCATGGCGAAGGGAATTAAGCACCATTTCCGAACTGCAAGCCAAAGCCACTTCTCTATTCTTGGGATCAAAGAGGTCATCAAACTTTTCAACATGCTTTGACCAGATTTCCTTAGGCCAGAAACGTCTCTTGTCATCAAAATCTTCCCGAATATCACGAATGATATTCGTCTTTTGAAGGAATTGACCCATGGACTCGCACAATTCTGGTCTGTTGAGCAAAGCTGGATTTGCCAATTTACTCTCCACAAACAGTCTTGTTAAACCATCTCCTACAAGACCAGCAACGTAATGACAGTATAATTCATAATCCTTGATTGTGTTGACACCATTGATGTTGTGCTCTGCATTATTCGCATAATCGGCCATTCCGTCACCCATCTTCTTCGTAATATCCTTGATGATCTTCTGATAGGCAGGTTTGCACTTCTTGAATTCAGTAATGACACAGTCGAAGTGAACCAAAAGTTCTCGATCTTTCTCATTGGGTCCATTCTCATTGAATGTCCATCCGTCCTCCTCAATAATGCTATCAAAGGTTCTCAACAGTGGTTCCTTCTTCTCTAATGGTATTGTCATGTCATCTTCGACCGTATCCAGTCCTCGCAAAATCAGATAGAAAAGGGCGACTGGCACAAGTAATTCGGGGTTCAATTCTTGAATAACTGAACTGAAACTTCGACTGGTCATTTCGAGGTATTTGAAACAGTCTTTCAGAGATTGAGATTCCTTGGATGGATCTCTGGTATGGACTGGGTCGTGCCATAGTTTCCTAATTCATGCATTAGTGATGGCAGATGAGGAGATGTATTCAAAATATATACCATTGTAAGATTGCTCTTAACTGATTTGGATGGACAGAAAGGTACAGGAGAGTTTTAAGGAGACCCATGATGTTGGAAGTGGAGATAGCTAGATGGATGTATTATCAAAAATTTGGAATACGAGAATGTGCAAGAATCGAGTTAAGTTGTTGTGGATATCGTTATTCGAAAGGATGAATGCGCGCGCTCAGGAGGATAACTTTATGGGGATAAAGTTGAAATAATGAACGGATCCGGTGTGTAATTACCTGTCCGTCTCCGACTGTTTGAATTGAATGATTGTATCTGAGAAAATCACTGAAACAAAAAGCGGAAGTTATTCAATAAACAAGAATAATACCATATCGTAGGGTAGGTAGATAATAGACAGGTAAGTGAACAAGTGAATGGTTGAATTGTAGCTGCCAGCAAATTTCGGGATATTTAGATATTATTATTATTGTAGGTTACATAAAATGTTGACTGTCACCGCCCAACGTGCAGTAAAAGTACGCTTTGAAGTTTAAGGACTAGTGGATGTCATGCTGGCTCCAAAAGTTTTCCGTTGAAAGAATGGGACGAGAATTCCAACACGAAGTAAGATTACACTTTTTCTATGCAATTTTCTATGCAGTTTTGTATTCAGTCCTGAGGTATATCTGCAAAGTCCAAGTATCTAGAGAGGTAGTTATCTAGTATGGTTAGATGCAGTCAAACCACAGCCACACAAGTCTACAACGCAACGGCTATCTATCTTTTCCGTCCCTTACATGCCTCTACTCTATCTAGGCTTGAACCCCAGATTTCTCCTCGGGCTTTGGTGCATGCACATGGTGCATATCAGCCAATGAAATGAGACTGACAGGTATTTGAAAAAGGAGTCGAGTGGGAGCCTAATAGTTTAATAAATAGTTTTAATTGACGAGGCTGAGCATGTCCTGCATTCCGCAGCTATTATGTTATGACAGCACTATCATGACATTACAAACCCATTTCCAGGTGCAACTTAGTTTCTTCCTTCCTTTCTTTCTTTCTTTCTTTCTTTCTTTCTTTCTCTCAAATCTTTCTCTGACTACTCGTACTTTTGTGCCTATTTTATACACCTAAGCTTCCTGCTATGAAATCTACTTTTTGACACCGAAGAGTCGCCAACTACAAGCTGCAGCCGCACCACAAAACACTCGGGCGCTCACCTTCTTTTAAGCTTAAAAGACACAAGCTTTACGGACATTATTCTTTAAATATCCATTATCTACCTAGGTATTCGAAGATTATATTATCCAACAATGGGCGACCTCGAACCTCTAGAAAGAGATGTGGAAATGGCGGAGTCGAAACCAATGATTGGGGAAGACATAAACAATCATAAGAATGAAGGGAAAAGAAAGAAGTCTCGAGCGAGTCAAATCCTCGATATTGCTTGCATTGGCTTGAATATCATCAGTACAGTTGTTCTCGTCTTTCTGAATAAATGGTTTGTCTGAATACGATTTTTCCTCTCAAAAAAGCAAAGCTAATCATGTAATAGGATATTCAAAGATCCTCAATTGCGCAATATGCAAATATCCTTCGCGATGTGGCATTTTACCTGCACAACCATTGTATTATGGTTAGCTAGTCGTTCCCCTTTCAATCTTTTTGTCCCTATACGACTGCCATTTCTCCAAATGCTCCCGTTATGTTGCTTCTTCGCTGGCTTTCTCATACTTGGAAATTTGAGCTTGGCATTCAACTCTGTGGGATTCTACCAGTCAGTTATCCCTCCTAATTACTTTGGTCGCATATTATGCTAACCCTACCCTCATTAGACTCGCAAAAATAATGACCACCCCTTGCGTCGCCCTCCTTCAATACTTCTTCCTCTCCAAGTCCGTCTCTCCCCAGACCATCCTCGCCCTCGCTAGCGTTTGCATCGGCGTAGCTCTAACTAACACCGGAGCCTCTGGAACTACCACATTCGGCGCTTCAATCGCCATTGCTGCGTTTGTAGTAACGGCCTTTTACCAAGTCTGGATCGGCAAGAAACTCACCGATTTCAAAGCCTCGTCTCCCCAACTTTTGCTCAATCAAGCTCCAATATCAGTTTTGATTCTAGCGTTTCTGGTCCCATTTTTCGACACAAAACCAGATGTATCAGTTATTCCAAAAGATACTCTTGTTGCATTGGGTTTGAGTGGAATAGCAGCTGCATTGTTGAATTTAAGTCAATTTTTAATTATAGGAAGAATGTCAGCGTTGACATTTAATGTTGCTTCCAAGTATGTTTCCTCTCACACACACCTCGTGTACATCACTCACCCCAAGATCAAACACTAACTCCCTTCCCTCCAGTGTAAAAACAATCATAATCCTCACCTACGGCTGGGTAAGCGAAGGCCGCCTTCTCACGGTCAAAGATTCCGCGGGTATATTATTAGCTCTAGGTGGTGCAACCATGTATAGCCAGCTTTCACAGCGGTAAAATCCAACAATTTTGTAATGTGTAATGAATTTTTACGACCGGTTGTTTTAGGTGGGATATGGCGTTGGGTGGATTAGCGGGATCACGAAATTTGAAATAAGAAGCAAGATAGATGATATAAAGCTATCTACCTAGGTACTTTTAGAAATGAATACAGATTCCCAAATCTTTTTTCTTGTAAATAAATAGCCGAGTACATAGATATCCAGTAATGACATCACCAGGAACTATATGACGAAAATCCGAACTTCTTTCTAGAATTAACTACATATGCGAATCTGAAATTATGCATAATGTAAGTAAGATCTTAGTACTTACTACTACCTACCTACTACCGAGGCAGGTAGGTGTAGTGGGTTTTGAACGGAAAATATAAGATTATCTAGGTACTTAAGTGTAGGATAATATAGTTATGTGTACTCGTAGAGGATATTATACAAAAGAAAGGAGAGAGGGAAGAGAGTATCTTATTTGGTATACTCTATATCTTTTATATATATATATATATATGTACTTATACCTATACCTATAAAATTTCATAGTTTTCAATTGTAATAGGATCTTACATACATAAATACATACATACATACATCTAAACACCCTACGCCATAAACCTGTAACCCTATTCAAACACTACAATACAATACAATGCTAAGGATATTGTATCATGGAAAAAGACAAACTGAAGAAAAGGAGATCAATGTACATGCTACGCTCATTTCTAATGTGTATTTATTACCACCCATTCATCCTATCCATACTAACCACGCATTCTACATGCAGAATCTATTAGTTTCACTAGGGCTCAACTTGAGGAAGTCATCCGACCCTTCATCGTATTTACCGTCTCTCCACCAACAAGAAATGCATCGCCACATATGCTAAGAAGATAAAGGCACCGGCAACAATCGCCAAATTAATTGCATCTGGCCAAAACGCCTGGGTATCAAACCCGAAACTACTTAGAATAACTGCGCCGGGAACGGTGATGTCAAGTTTGTATTTCTGATCGACCAGTGTTAGGTACGTTACTTCATTTACTATGAGAGATTCGAAGCCGTAATGGAAGATCGACAGGGATTGTAGCCAAAGAGCAGATTTGGGAATCGCGTCGTGGTTAAGGAGGAGACCGGCGAAGAGGAGACTAAAGAGCATGACGAGACTTCCGATGAGACTTGCAACACCGTTATCTTTGAAGACGATACCAAGGAAGAGACAGATGGCAGCAGCGGCGAGATTAAAGAGAACGAGAATGAGGAGGAACTTGAAGAAGTTTGGAGCTTCGGCTACAAGTCCTGTCATGGGGTATAAAATAGAACCCATGATTAAAGGTGGAATAATGCGGAGTGGTACAATATCAAAGACAACTTTGGCTAAGAAATAAGTGATAGGTGAGTAGTACCCATTTGCTCTTTCTCTGACGAAAACCATTCGCTCAGTAGCGAAGACATTCAAACTGGACAGAGTACTGAAACCGAAAAGTGCTAGAATGAAGAAGAACAATCCCAAGCGATTCTGGAAACCTGGGATGTCATCTGTAAGGCCATAAAACAGGAATCCGGAGAGAACGGCCAACAAGATCGCGATTGCGTAGTGTGTCAACATCAACATAGGGTTTCTGTAAAGATTGCGCCAGGTGCGTTGAGAGAGAATTACGAATTGTCGAAGGTATCCAACCCTTGCATATCCTCTTCCCATAGTATTTGTGGTCGATGTACTGTTTTCCTGTACGTGACCATTCATACTGCCATTGGCACTTTGAGCAGTTGACACAGCATTTTTTAGGTCATCTTGAAAGTCTCGTGAGATTGGTGAATTTACATAAGCCGAGACGAGGACATCTAAATCTGATCCAGTTCCGGGTGCATCTGGCGGCAGATTATCTGGATCTTCGGCGATCGAAGAATGCTGTCTTGACATTCTGAGCCAGTGTTGATTGGCCTCTGGATCCACAGGCGCTTCATCAGGTTGAGAATTAGGTGTCTCAATTCCGCTCCTCTTGCGAGTAAAAAGTTCCCGTTCTTGCCTTGCCTTTACAGAGTCACGACGTTTGCCCTTAGGTCTTAAAAGAGACTCGCTTGGGCTACCAACTACAGGCTCTTCTATACTACCACCAGAGATGCTTGCAATTGATTTCACCGCTCTAGTACTGCTTGCTCCAACGCTTGGTGTTACGCCATGTCTGAAATCAGATGTAGTATCGTCAATCGGGGTACGAGGAGCTCCAACATGCATTGTCAAATCGACCAAATAATCAGCAATGTTGAATCCAGGTGGGCATGAGTAGCCAATGTGATCGAAATACTCTTGACAGAGGCTGAACTCGCCAGAATAGACCGTTCTTCCCTTGGCGAGAAGTAATAATCTATCGAACAAAGCCACAATATTAGATCTTGGTTGATGGATGGTGAATATAACCGTTCTCTTGTAGGTTTTGGCCAGGTTGACGAGGCACTCGATAACGTTGAAAGCATTGTATGCATCAAGACCACTCGTTGGCTCATCAAGGAACAATATGCTTGGGCTGGTTACCAATTCACAAGCGATCCCAACTCGACGTTTCTCACCACCAGAAATACCGCGACCCTTGCCATCCTCAGAACCAATCAAAGAATCCTTGATATGGGAAATACCAAGCTGTCGCTCTACCTCGAAGACTCTCTGTTCCTTAGCGGATCTTCCCATATCTCTTGGCAGTCTCAAAAGAGCGCTGGTCATGATAGTTTCATGAACGGTAAGTGTAGGTAGCATAGCATCCTCTTGATCAACAAAACCAATGACACTTCTGTATTCGTTATCCGTAACCTTTTCGCCATTGACATAAAAGTTTCCTTGGACAACGCCGCGCTTGTTCTTACGAGCCAGGATATCAAGAAATGTGGTTTTTCCAGCTCCTGAAGCCCCCATGATCGCCATGATCTCACCAGGATGAGCTACTCCCTGAACACCACTTAGAATCTGCTTTCCATTTAGATTGTATGAAACGTTATCGAAATATAGTGACGCGGGCTTGTGATCAGTCATTAGCTTAATGCTCTCGTCATCGGAATCGTCTAGATGGATAGGTCCATATTTAAATTGCCTTCGAGACAAGTACCAAACTAGCATAATAACGCCAACAACAAATAGAGATGCAGCTGCGATAACACCTGCGATCAGAGGTGTATTGATTCTCTTGATTGGTCGTTCATATCCGGGAATCTCGGTTTCGTAGAGACATTCTCCGGCTTGACAGTTGATAAAGATACTGCTGTCGCCGAACATTTGTTGAATGAGCAGATCCATTTGGGGTTCCTTAAAGGTGCACTCATTGCTTCCACCTTTCTGCTCACAATTAAAGGTTGCGGGACCTCTAATTTCTTGATCGAGGAAGTCCGATATATCAACCGATCCATTTTCACCGCAAAGCATCCTATCCGGAACACACTTGCACGCAATGTTTTCACATTTTGCGCTGGTCGAGTTTCGGTCGTAATCATTTGCGGAGCCGGATGTACAAGTATCCAGGGAACAATAAAAGGACTCTTTTTCGTCGACCCAGAATTGGAAGTCGCAGGTTTCTACTTCGGCGTTACAGGTAAAGGTGACCTGCGGCTTCTTCCCATCCAAGATGTCCACAATCTTCCTGTTCGTAACATCGCACATCTGGTAGTTCTCCTTCACCACCTCGCCATTCTGATAACATACGCCTCCCTCTTTTTCCGGCATTAGAGCATTACATGCTTTATTGTTCGTACAGACATTGCAATTGATTCCAGTCCAGCCATCTTCGCAAACGCACGAGTCCGTTGTTCGCATCGGTCGATCCTGACCATCTGCTAAAGAACCACAAACTATCAAGAATCAGTAAAATGAGTTTCTCAGCCCATGCAGAGAGCTTGGCGCACCAGGTTGAAGACAATCATCGCCACCGAATCCCGGTGGACATGAGCATTTGCCATTGTATTGATTGCAGTCAGAGTATTGTCCGCAAGTGAAAGCTGGAAGTAAACAATTAAAACTATATAGTCAGCAAAAGGTTTTTGATATAAAACGAGTGGCGCAGTACCAAGGAGGACAATTGTCAGGTCGATCGTCCATCAGAGCTAACTGCGCTTTCATCGAGTCTATCGTCGAATAATTCGTGAAAGCATATGCATTCCATGATAGAGACAGAGTCGCCAGGACTATCGTCCCTAGTTGAAGTCGTTTCATCGGTCGCGGCGTGTGGTTGCAATGATGGCGATTGTTGAGAGTGGAGGCTTGCTATTAGGATGAGCTCAATGCTGCGGTGAGATAGATGACGACTCTTGATGCCATACAAATTAAATGGATTGATCTGATGAATGATTGAGATAAGTACTGATTTCAAAGCTAGAAGTTAAAGACGAGTAACTCAATAATACCTTGAAGGAATGAATAGCCAAATAAAATGAAGTGGTTTAGAATGGAGAAGAGTTGAGCAGCTTTACCAACTAATTAGTGTTCTGTCCATGTCCTTCCGCGACGGTGTTTTTAGCTTGTCTTAGGCGGCCGCCGGTTTGTTATAAGAGGCGGGGATCGACAAAATCTGGAGTGCAGTTTAGGAGCAGTCAGGAACAAGATACTCGATAAGCTGGGGGTAGCTAATAAGGTCTTGAAAACAACATTGGTTTTGAAGAACTAGATACAGTGAAATGGATTTATATTAGAAGAGCAGTATGATAGCACATAGCAATATATTGGGTTTATACCATATATCACTGCAATCAATACACTACAATCAATACACCAGTGGATATCTTCACTCGTCACGCACCCTACCTATCTTATCAATGTCCTCCATCATGCAAATGTTGTGTTTCTTCATTGCCGAGCTCTCTCATGCTTCATTTCTATTGGTGCTTACTCGCACTTCCTCTTCCTTGGCAATCTCCACACAATCAGTCATCCACGCCTTTCTGATGTCAAGATGTACTTGAAAACATAGGTTTGTTGGGAATATATAAATGTACAATGTACCGTGCAAAACCAACATCTCTTAGTCTTCTTCACCAGGCACTATCCTCCAACTCACATAACCCTTATCATCGCAAACATGGTCAAGATTGAACCTTTCGCCGTAGAACAAGTACCACCCCTCATTTGCTCTCCAAGTCCAAAACATATCTAACTTCTAAAAACTCCAGTGGATGGACAAATACGAAACCACACCTGAAGTCGTCAATATTGCCGAAACATGCGCAGCTTCAATTTCAATCGATGACCTCGTAAGGTTATCCGAGGATCCAAATCTCCCTCATCCAATATCAACTTCGACCAAGCTCACATATGGACATATTCGAGGATCCCCCGTCCTTCGTGAACGTCTTGCATCTCTCTATTCTGCAAGGACTTCATCCGCTTTATCTCCAGAGAGTATCCTTCTTACACGCGGTGCAATCGAAGCCAATTTTCTTTCTCTATACACGTTGATCGGACCGGGAGATCATGTAATTTGTGTACATCCTGCTTATCAACAACTATACTCAGTTCCACAAAGTCTCGGTGCGGAAGTTTCGCTATGGAAATTACAAAAGGGGAAGAAATATATTCCTGATTTAGAGGAGTTGAAGGGATTAGTCAAGGACAATACCAAAATGATTATTATAAATAATCCCAATAATCCAACAGGAGCTACAATCCCTAAGTCCGTTTTGCAAGGCTTGACGACTTTTGCGAAGGAGAGGGATATTATTATCCTAAGCGATGAAGTCTATCGACCTTTATTTCACGGAATCTCAGTAGCTGATGCAGAGTTTCCCCCTTCCATGGTGTCCATGCCTTATGAAAAAATCATTGTTACTGGCTCCCTTTCAAAAGCCTACTCTCTAGCTGGTATCCGTGTTGGCTGGATCGCATGCAGAGATAGGGCTATCATCGAAGACATCGCAGATGCTCGGCACTATACAACTATTTCTGTCTCGCAGCTTGATGACCAAGTTGCTTCGTACGCAATGAATCAATCAGTCATCCATGCTCTCCTCGCTCGGAACATCAAGCTCGCAAAGACTAATGTGGCACTTGTGGAAGCTTTTGTCAATGAACATAGTGAGAATTTGTCTTGGGTAAAGCCAAATGGAGGCACAACAGCCTTCATCAAGGTGGAAAAGAAAAGGGAGCCGGTGGATGACGTCCAGTTTTGTGTGGATGTCATTGAGAAGACTAAGGTTATGTTCCTGCCTGGCTCCAAATGCTTCGGAGAGGAATATAAGGGCTATGTAAGGATTGGATTTGTGTGTGAGACCGAAGTTTTGAAGGAGGGGCTGCAAAAACTAGGAGGATATATTAGGGAAAACTTGAGCTAGAGAATGAATAGACCTGATAGATGATTCAGAAAGCCCTTTAAATGGAGAAATAACCTTGAAATACAAACATCTTCCTCGCTCCACAATGCATAGTTGTATTGTTCTTGTCAAGCATCTTATCATTCATGGTTGGTTGATCAATGTAAGACTTACATCCAACCATACATTGAGTCAAAATGGCGAATTACTAGTATGGTAAAATCTACACCCACTCGACTGCTCCACAATCCTCTATGCACTCAGCCCACATCCATATTAACGTCCATAATTATGTGACATATGACGATAATACATCATATTATATAAATGCCATCTACCAAAGAAATTTTACATATCATTGGATAGGAGGGACAAACCAGGTAATCAAATAGCCGCAGCACCTGTGAATTAGCAGACTTCCTCAATCCAAGTAGTTCGGTGTCTGGAGAGCTGTAAATTTTTTAGTGATGATTTGATTTACTAGAATGATTTACAAGATTTGGAGTCTCCGAGAACTGTTCCAGTCCTCTAGCAAGCAAATTCGGAAGCTGCGATATCTCCTATGATTAATTAATTAGACTTCACTTCGGATTACTGAACACCTTTGTGAGTCGTAACAGATGGAAGTCTTTCAATAGCATACCCAAAGTCACTCATTCAATAGTGTGAGCAGAGGATATAGAATGTGATCTTATGTATCAATATTTAAATTTCTTGGTATTTTCAATTGGGTATAAATATATGTGCAAAGAATAACCATAATCATAAGCATAAGCATAAACAAGCAGACATCGCAACTCCATCACTCCTCATTCCTCATCATCATTTCTCGTTTCCTTCTTCTTCTTCCTTTCCGCCGGATCCATCGTATCCGTAATGTTCCGCCCTGTTCCATGACATCAATGCCGATCATTATCATTCATTCATCATTGCTCCCATAGCAGCTCTTCAGTCCCCATAACCGCCTAATACGAATAAATACCCAGGTAGGTAGTAAATCATAAAACACAACCATATCCCCCAACACTCAACACTCAACACCCAACTCGAGCTCCTTCTCAAGAAATTTCAACAGATATTCCCCTACCACCCATCATAGACACAGACCCATCAACCTGCAACCCCTCTTTCCCACGCGAAGAATAACAAATCTCCCTAAACCTAACTCCCGTCCTCTCCATCCCCAATTCCGCACCCTCAAACCCCAAACCCACACTTTCATTTTCCCACCCCACTCTACTCGTACTCAAATCAACCACACTCCCAACCTTCCTCATCCCATCCAACCCACCAATCGCAATATCCATCCCATGCACCTCACTATCTATATCATCTTCAAATTCCACCGCACTTCCATTTCCAATTGCCGAAATTCCACACCCACTATTACCACTAGCTTGCATTGAGGCCTCGAGTGCAGCAGCCCGTGCCATCGCTTTACTCGAATGCAGACCGTAGGTATACAGAGCCGTGAAGACGAGAGACGTGCCTAGCATGACGTGTAATGTGTAGAGGATGTAGAGGGTGATGGATTTGGAGGTTAGGAGGTAGGCGAGGTTGGAGAACATGTTTATTGTGGGGGTTTTGTTGCAGTGATATTTTGTAGGGAGATTTGTGTTTGTGGGTTGGTGTTTGGTATGAGGTAAATGTAGTTGATGGTTGAAATTGGAGACTCGAAGTTGGTGATGGAGGTGTAAGGGGGAGGATTGTTGATTGGATGTAAGATGTTAAGTTTGTGAGGTGATTTTAATAAAGTGAATTGATGGTAGTGTATGATTGATTGTATTGTATAATTTATCCGTGGATATTTCGTAAGATGTTGAGTTAAGAGAGAGGGTTGGTGATGAGGTGAGGTGAGGTAAGTTAGGCTAGAAGTAGTTGTTTCGAAAAAGGAAAGGGCAGATAGCTTAATATATCTACTATATTTCCTATCCTTTCAAAATTCACAATCCCGATGATAAAGAGATTTCTTCCAAATTTGCCAAAGCATGCCCTGCCATTGTTTATTTATTGTTATGATCTCCTTTAACCCCATATTCTGAAGTCATCGCGAAATTGTGAACATTGACAAATTTCTCCTTAACAAGGGACATGCTCGCAAATCTTCATGCCCAGTTAGATATCCCATAATTACCAGAGAGGAAGAGCTCTCAAGCGAGCCCAACTGCCAGCACATCCCTCGCTTGAACTGTGTGAAGGATGAAAAATCCAGCCCTATATCAGGGGTCGCCACGTCAAATATACTCAAATAAATAATAGGTGCCGCGACTATAGGGCTTAATTTTCAGCGCATGAAGTAATTTTCAACGTTTTCTGTTACTAGGTAGTCTTTTCGTCGAATGTGCTACGTCAGTGCGGAGTCCTTCTAGAACCTTTGGAAGGAGAGTACGTTAGATGGAGATCGTGAGATGGGAGTGGAATCGTATGAGAGAGGAATAGAGTTTTGATGGTGAGGGGGACTTCTACCCGCATTGATGATCTCAAACTTCGAATGTTGCCCGGCCACCTCAATATATCGAGTTAGAAGATTGGGATGTAGTCATATTTACTACTTCTGAATGATCATGTAGTAGACTCCTGCGCGTATGCGTTTCACGTGAGCAACATCAACAAGGACGGTTCATCGTATGTTTGATAGTTGAACATTCCTTTAAAGGAGCGTGGCTGGGTGTTCTATTCTCAATCCTCCCTTATCTAAATCAGATTCTGGTACTAAGTAGAAATCAAATTCTATAGACTCTTTTTCTGTGAAATAGCCTACCTCCTGCAACTCTCCTTCTATTAATTTTCGCATGAAAATTAGGACTTTATGATAGAAGTACTTAAGGAATTTTGCTGTCACATACCAAGCCATGTCGTTCTCGCGTAAAAATTCGGTGCACTTACTAGAAGTCTTCAATGAATCTCGAATCAACATTCCCAGATCATAAAATCCATTCTTAACTCCACGTATTCTCCATATATAGAGCTGTTCCATGGTCAATTCCTAGGGCTATAATTCGCGTGTTGACGACTTTTTACCCTTGTGGGAAAGCAAAAGAGGGGACTCAACAAAGGTTTGATACCATGACACCTGAAGGCCAGTAGTGGGACTACGTACAGAATGATGGTGATTTTAAATAGAGAGACAACAATAAGTCTTCCTTTCATTTCGATATATCGCACGTGTTACTAAGCTCCATCAAGGGTATACTTTCCTCGTCACAAAACACAATTGCTTCTTTTGCAATACAGGCAACTGCAACTGCTTGAATGACCCAAATTCTCCACTAGCATTCACCATGAAAGGGACTTATTAGAGCCATCGACTAATCCTGTATTGACGGATTAATTCATGAAATTTGCATGTTTTCCTGTAGGCGGCCGAGGCAGGTCGCCGCGGGATCTTGCATTACATGTTTTCGTTTGTTACTCAAGTGGAGTCGTTCAAATATTTTTCTTCTGGGATTTTCATGTCCAGCGGGTAGATTTACCTTCAAGATACCTCTGCTTGCAATCTTGGCATTGTGTTTCTATTTTTTCTGGTGAACGAGCTGTTCATATAAAAAACGGTTGTAAGATCTTATCTTGACGGGTTTTGTGTAGCGTACCATACCCTCCACCTCCATAAAGCAAACAACGAGAACTTATCTCTAGATGCGATATGATAAGTGTTATATCCTGATCATTTCGATGTAAATTCATTAGGTCGCCAACGTGGTCATACAAATGTCCGATTGTTTTAAGATGCTTAGTTCCACTACTCGGAAACATTAAAGATAACCCCATAGCTGAGCAAATATTTGAACACGGCATTTTTCACAGCATGAACAAGAACCAAGTTGTATACTTGGCCCTTTCCTCATTGTCATTCCTGGATATTTCCCTCGTTTTGTACATCGTATACCATGTTTTTTCATGGTAGTAATCGCATGGTCAGGCACCCGAAGGAATGATTTGGATGCTAAAAATTTATGATAGATGCGGAAGATCCGTTCATATATGACACGGCCTTATAAGGGTCTAAAAATCCATTACGGCACATAATTCTCCTTATAATGTCCAGCATTTCCATCTTGAAAACGTGGTAGTTACTTTCTTGACATCGCCTACGATCCAGAACTCATCACAAGACTTCATGATGTACAATTCTTTCGTATTTCTCATTTTTATCATAGGAGTCTGCACTGCAGATGTTCTCAACATTACCACTCTGGCAACCGCAGGTTGTAATGCAGATAATTGTTATCGTGCAGTTAGTGGAGACTTTCGTGGACCTTTTCAGCAAGCCATAGCATATGATGATTGTGTTGGTTATATGGATAACTTCTGCACGGTGGACGTCATCAATATCACTGTTACTTCCATCATCTTGACAACAATTACCGAAGTATCGACTGTGGGGAAGCGAGCGGTAGCAACGACTCCCTTTTCACTTCCACCATATGCTAGTGCCTGCTCTAATGAAGCACGCTATTCAAGTGCTTGTTCATGTTGGGGTATTTTACCTGACACTATCACTGAGACTGGACCTGTATGTATATTCTACACATTCTCAAAAGTATACTAACCAAACCTTAGACCTACACTACCTACACCACCTCCACCGTTACCACTGGCCTTCCCCCTGTCTGCCCCACAGGCAAAGCCCTCATGAAAGATTCCCTCAACTGTGGCTCCTGCGGTTATGTCTGCGACACAGGCTATTGTGAACACGGCACCTGCAATACATTTCCCTGTATTCCCACTAAATGCGAAGAAGGCATCAAACCATGCGTTGTCGATTCCACCTGCTTCTGTTTCAATACTTTCACAGGACTAGGTTTCTGTGGTGAAAATATCGTTTGTGCTGAGGCGAAAGATTGTTATGATGATGGTGATTGTCCAGATGCTTATGTTTGTGCTTGGGATACCTGTTGCGGGGATAATGTATGCGTGCTTGGAAATTGTCCGAATCCGGCGGCGAAGTTGGCGAGAATGGTACAGAGGAAGAGGGATGTGTTGATTGGGGATACGGCAGCTTATAGGGCGACGTGATGGGTTGTTTATATGTACTTGAGTGGTATAGGTAGATTGATTTTACGTGTGGTAAATTTCTTAGGCTAGTTTTGTATTTGAGCTCGTTGTCTTTACGGGGATATTGTGATGAATTATGATAAATCTCGACATGATGAGCTATTTTGATTGTATAAGAAACAAGAACATACCAGTAAATATCAAATATGCCAAGCAGGCAAAATCAACAGACAAAACCTCCTTTTGACAAACCGTCCACAAGATCGAGTTTTCCTTCCTTTCCCATTAAACTCGGTTGCCAGCACATCTATCCTTCCTTTAACCCATCTAAAAAAGCGAAGAATATCAGATACATCACTCTCAGATTTAAGTATCTGATATCCCACAAGAAGACAAAACAACATGGAAGTCCCCAATCTTCAAGATCTTTCATTAAAATTTCTACCTCTACCTACTTTTCCCTACTGTTCCGAGCCAGAGCATATCCCCTTGCGGAAATAGGCTCCATTCGCTTAACATGGATCTTATTGACCAATCGAAATCTCAAGATTTGTGAAGTTTTATTCAATATTTATTTTTAATTTATTATATAAATTTCATTTGATATTATTTTAACTTTCAAATTGAAATTATATAAATATATATTAATTTTGAATTATATAAGTCTTTTTCAAATTTGAAAATCTAAATTTAAATTTTGATTTAAATAAAAGAGTGTTTGAAAAAGCTTCAAAAGTTCATTCTAGCCAATTAGACTTTATCATTCAAGGATAACGAAAATTTCATTTTAATTTATCTTGGTATAATGCACCAGATGATAGGAGATGAAATGAGTGGACGATCTTATAAGGTGTGTCATTCCATCACTACAAAATACATGATAGTTTCGCTGTTGAGGAGTGGAAGGGAGAGTTGTAATTATCAATCTATAGTATTATAAAAAAACATGGAAGATTTTCTGTCTCTTTTTCATACTCGCTAATGGTGCATCTCCTTACGGGTACAGTATTTAGCATTCACTGGTATAATAGAACGTCTAGTCATGCATATTTTCCAGGCTTCAGTTAGGAAATGGGACAGCGGGCGGGAAAGAAAAGTACATTTTTAAGGGGTCGAGTACCGAGTTGTGAAGACTAGGTTAGCTTATAGTTAGGCAGGCACCAATAGGAACTTGACATGGTATTTGAAAGATCGGTGGGAATCAGTGTGATAGAGGAGTTGTGTTGGAAGAAGGACGGGAAGAAATAGCAGGCGAACTTGAACTTGGGACGGGATGAGGAAAAGTAAGTAGGGAAACGGGATATGCGGTGGCGGTATTAGGTTAGGACTCAAGTGCATTGCCAAGAGCTGATTTAGGTAGTTTGTGGGGGAGGGGCGCCCAATTTAGATGCGGGAGATAGAACTACAGTAAAGGTTAATTTGTTCAAAAATAACCCCATGATTTAATTAACCTACACAGGAGGATTTAAATTTCTTTTTCCACAAATAAATAATCTCCATGCAATGCATCAAAACCATCCATCCATACGAATAGCTTCCCAAAATCCAAAAATTAAGGATCATCCCATATCGTCGTAACTCATTCAACAGTTGGTTTATATCCTATTCGATACATTCCAAATGTTTTTCATCCCATCCTATCACATCCATACACTTATCGGAGCTAACTACCGTCAACTACCGGCCACGCATGAAGCTAGACGAGGATGGGGAAGACAATCCTGAAGATTGGCTAGATTAGCTAGTTCTTCTGCATGAGGCAAATATTTATCAGTCAGATGGTTATTTTGTGCCATAGATCGCTGGCTAGCTTTTTAATTATCGATTTACTAAAGAGATAGAAAAGGTTAAAGGAAAAAAGAGATGGGAAAGGAAACTTTTGGCGTCTTGTGATCTGCACGGGGTTATTGTTGGGATTCAGTAGATTTGAGGATTTTCGTTTTACTTGGTGGGATCTACCAAAATGTAAATTAAGTTTGAATGTTCAAAGTGTTTTTGATGTTAATATTTGTTGCTTTGTGTGTACTCTGTATTTGCTTTGTGATACCTTGTCAAAGCGATGGGCTTTCTATCTATCTACTCTGTACTTATTTCGACTTATCGTCTGTCGTGCTCCCCTCCTTCTCCACAAAATCCTCGTCTCGGGACCTATTCTCCATTCGTGGCTCTGCGTTGGCGATTTAACCTTAGCCTATCTCCTTCATACTACTGTAATACAGCGTCTTCTTGCCTTCTATCGGACATCGATATTTTGTGAGAACTTTTCACTCATCTTCCATAGAGATGACCTCTTCTTCATCAGACAAATCCCGTCGTTCCAGTGATTCTACCGTATAACCTCATATCGAACACCCAGAGTCATAATGAAACTTTCGTAACACATTCCGATCTCAAATCATCCCATCCATCCAATCCCACTTCAAGTATTCACATAAGGTCGGACGCCCTCATCTTTCGCCCGACTCCAAGCCCTCAATCTCCCTTTAATCTTCAAACCCAATATCTGCGCATCTCTCATTGGTCCCTCATCCAAAATTCCCGATCCACTCATACTTTCAATCGTACTACCCCTACTTCTTCCCAACGTACTCTCCGAATTCGTAAATGGATTACTCATATCCAAACTCGCTCTTGCCCCGCTAAATCTCTTATTACTCGCAGATGTATGTGGAGTAGAAATCGAAGGTGAATAATCATGACTGGTTCTTTTTGAAGCACTCGAAAAAAATGGAATAGATGATGTAGAACCTGTAGATGAATGCGAGGAATTAGAGTTGGAGGAGCTACTCGATGAGCTCCGTGATTTGGATTTGCGTTGTGATTGTCGTGAGGTTTCGTAGGAATCCATTTCTAGGAGAATGATTTGGAGTTGCTCGTCTGCTTGGGCGAGGTTAGGGGTTCTAGACGTGAGAGGAGGTCCCTCGATGAATTTCGAGGGGCGGAGGGTGGTTTTTGGCGGCGGTGAGGTAGACATTTTGGAGGTATGATAGTTGATGTACTTTAGTCGAATGTCGGGTATATATAAGTCGAGGATATTTATAACTTCTTCCTTCCTTATGTATATGGTATGTGTATAGAAAAGTATTGAGAGTTGTAGAGTAATATCAATACGTAGTTATACTCACACAGCCTTGAAAGAAAAATGTAAAGATTCAGAACCATAATATAAAACAGCGAATATGATATCAAATATAAAAAGTAAACGAAAGAGGTCATTCACACCCACCGAAGGGAAAACTTAGACTTTTAATACCGGTACTTACTCAAATCCATCCGTTCTATATGCGTCGTAACTCCGGCTTCCTTGAGTAAAGTCAAAGAAGAAATCTACGCCCACAAGCCGCGTTTGAACCAGGGTTTAAATCACATAACTTTGTCATAGCGGAGAATCCAAAGCCTAAATTATCACCCCTCACAGACCCTGCATGTGGTATCACTACCTAATATACTAAAACTCTCCAAAAATATATGTAACCTTCCCCTGTATAATCACTTTTGCCCCATGACACCTCATCTGATACGAATACTTTGTATTGTTTTGTTCATGATCAGCCAAGCATTTCAAGGAAATTTACTAGATGAAGGGGCCCTTTGACAGTTGTGATAAATCAGGAACGGATCATTGGATAAAAGAAAGGATTATCGAATGTTTATACGGAGTGAATCTGGGATTCTAGGATCAGGATTAGTAATTTAGGATGTATGTTGGAGGAGATAAGGCTGGAGAAAATAAATTGGCGAAAAATGAAGGGGGTTCCATCTCCGAGTTGTTATAATTTCCACCAATTCTTGCTTGTAACTTTTCGTACATCACATCACATCACACCACATAAACCCGCCCTCAAATTTCTCACTTTTACAGCATCGTGCGTATACACTCATAAAACAAAAGTCATGCGCATAACGCAACTTATTTACCACACCAAATTTCGAGGTCCGTCCTACCCCTAAGCCCACCTGAGCATCACGAAAACACTAAAAACAAACCCTATATTTGGTACTGACCGACGAATTCCCGCTGTGCCCGTTTTACCTTACGTTGCAATCAATACGCTGCGGAATCACGGATATATTGGCAGTTGCTTGTGCACGTGTAATACCAAATTAAGAATTTACTTATGCGTACAAGCAGGTAAATCTCTTGCATACGTTTACAATCAAAATGTAAAAGAAAATTTGGGCATGTTGTGACGACGTCATAAGCCGTTGGATTTGTTCCTCTCTCGGAGAAGGAGTCTAGGATAAGGCGGTATCCGAGGGTAGTGATCTGGACTTGAGGTTTTGCGGTCTGGAAGGATTGCTTTGTTATCTGAGCGAGGTGCTCATAGCAGTCTATTTTGGTCTGGGTTTATGGTTGTAGGATCTGGGGAAATCAGAAAGACGATGCTGCTCAGACAATCTATTTTCTGCTTGTCATTTTACGTGGTTTATATTTGGAGATAACAGAGGTCGGTGGAGTTGTCCGGTTCCCCCTTCTCTTTTTTCCCTACATCACCCGCCAACCGAACGACAAAGTAAAATCCAACAGTAAATGCGCAATGGCTCCAAACGAATGACTGGTATTTTGCTAACAAGCCTACTTCGCTACATTTGAGTAGTATTATTAAAGAATTTAGATCTTCACAAGCATCCATTCCGTACTCTCCCAAATCATTAATGTGCATTTGGCATGGAACCGTCATGGAAGCAATGGATTACAATACCAAATACAACGAGTTCGGAGTTACGGAAAGTGCTCGGTCAACCTTGTGATGATCTCAGGGCCCAGACAAAGACTTCATAGAATCACGGTAGCCTTTCGGCTTTTCGTAAACGATTATTTGAAATACATGCGGCCGAAATATCGAATGATGTTTACTAGAAAAACTTGAATTTAGTCTTTGGATTATCAATCGGCATTTAGATAGTGCCCGGGCATATAAATTGTCGGAGTTGAGGATGGTGAGATGTTGCCACAGCCAGGCTACGATTAACTGCCTAGAGAGGATATGTGCTGCCTGCAACTATTTTCTCAGCTGTATGTATAACATGAAATTAGGCTACTTCAATATTTGAATGCGCCGTGAAATTAGTCCCGATAATAAGTCCAACAAGGGGTTCGAATTGAGATGCACGTGATACGACTTTGCTGATTTGCGGTTGCGTTGCTTTTTGAGAAGAGGAATTACAATTATTCGCTGAGAAGATACCTGTAAATTATGTCATTTCAATTTATTTGTTGATCTATTTGCAGATCAGTCTTGCTTTTTTTGGATGCTGATGACAAGGTCAATACGAGTCACGTGAACGATGAAGCCTTTCCATAATTACTAGATGGCATCAAGATCATACCTTATATGGAATGTTAGCCGTAGATAAGAACAATGCTGGCCTTGACGCAAGAAGGATGGAATGAAACGAGAAAGCAGATATGTAAAGAAGTGTGTATGGGCGGGAAACATACATGCTAAACGAGGGATCTTTAATGAAATAGAGTAGCTCAGCCCTCAGTATTGTGATTTCAAAAACAGTATTCGGCCAAAGTAGAAGTTAACAGCTGGAAAAAAAATTGTTCATAAGAGACCAAACAACTTTCGGAAGTAAAGAGCATCAGTAAGTACGAGTTAACCACAGTATCAATAACAAGTGTCACGCAAGATCCACAACCAACACTTTCATCCGACCAATCACCTCATATCCAAGGTACCCAGCGCATTCCACTCTAACAGAGGGAATATAAATTCAAAATTGATCTCCACAATATCAAAACATTCAAACACAACCAAGCGGCTTTAGCTCACTTGGGAGAGCGCCAGACTGAAGTTCACTTCAGGAACCATAATAGATTCATCTGTTTATCTGGAGGCACTGTGTTCGATCCACAGAAGCCGCATTCTGCGATCTCGAGCCCACTCGAGAGATAAATCCTTTTGAAGTTTGTTACTCGTACACACATTCGTTTTATTGTATAATTTTGATATATCTTGTGTAATTTTTTGAAATGGAATTTTAGTGGTGGGTTAGCGGGTCTAAGCGATGTAAAGCTGATTGGTCTAGTGGGGTGGGTGATAGAGAACTTTTTCCTTCGTCTTGTGTTACCAGGGACAATTTGTCGACATCGATTAGATTACAAGAAATAGCGGACTAAATATCAATCAGCTAAATAAAACATTTATTGATTGGTCAAAAATGATCACGATGAGGAAGGTAACCCCTCCACATCTGGTAAAAAATTTCACTTAACTAAGATACTCCGACTCAACCCATTTGGCCATAACCAAAGTAGTGGGGTATAAAGTATCCCTTCAAAAACACAAAGAAACACATCAAAAATCAACTACAAATGCAAAAAGATAGATTTCAAGCATCGGACTCAAACCGACGATACTCAGGGTAACTCCCTACGTAGGTCTCGAACCTACAGCCTCAAGATGGATTCAGACGTAGATAAACTACTTAGAAGTCTTGCGCGCTACCATTGCGCCAGCAGGGAAATCTTATGATTTTGTATGGTGGGGCCTCCAATTTTGACAATATATAACCAGAATTTAGGATGAGTGCTTTTTATTGGACTGTAAGTGGTAATATCATAGATCTTTTTATGTTTAATAGGTTCAAAGTTGGTTGAGCTATCGAGTAGTTCGAAAACTTGAGTGTATGTTTATTGATTGAATGCTCCGACTTGTCTTCTTTTTCGATTTCCACCTCTCTTCTTTATGAATTTCCTTTAAATCTCACCTAGGTGTTCGCTGAAATGTATTGGTCATCGAGCATGATGTACTTTAACTGTGTCTCAACAAGTTGTAGAGTAAAAGACACAATCAAGTGGAAAGTATTGAAAATATAGTCTTCCGTGGATATCAATAGGATTTGATATTTATACATGCAAGTCATATATCTATCTATATACATTCTTTATGATATTCTAAACCCTACCAGTGTGGACGTTGTGAACTTTTGTTATTGTTTACGTTGAACTTAATTTTTCATCATGCACCCCGAGTTCATGTCCCACAAAACCAGCGACGGGTTTGACATTTACTAGATATTTGGTAATGAGAAATATACTAAATGCTGAGTATATCCTCATGAAAATAAATTATAAATTCTGTACTAGTTTTTAGGCATGTGATGGCTATGACTTCCTATTTGTATTGTGGACTATTTCCACTCTGTAATTTGAACCATGAATTATTTTCGTTCTAGTTGAAGACATTATCCTCGCTGAGCTCATCCACTTTCCGTTCGGAAGTTAGTTGTACTAGAAAGTCTATAAGTCAGTTCACTTTATCACATCGAGAACAAGTACCGAGCCTTGGCTTTCACTGAGGTGTGGCAAAAAGGACAAAAGTTGCTAAGCTGGTTAAAGTCATCCACGGACTGGTGTAATAGAAAAAAGTAAGAAGAAGCGATTTTACGAATAGGTGCTGATGAAGAGAAGGTCAAAAAGAAAAGCAGTTATCGCCTTGCACGCACAGAAAATGTAGAGCCATAGATAATAACCTTCACAATACACATCTCCATTATCAAGATTTGTTTCCCAGCATTAGATATGATGTCAAGATAGCTCTGCTTTGCTTCGATTCTTACTATCCCGTGAAGATCGTTATTATCCGCTCGTTTTACTCAGATATTGCTAATTTGCTTTCATTAAAACCACGTTGACAGGATAACATCGCTGGATTGAACAGTTGAAATTTTTATAACCCAGTTGCCAGAAAGATTTGGGATTTCTTATGAGCAAGGCTGGAAAGAAGAAGACTTTTGACAACCTCCGTGCTTCAACAATCGTGGCGAGACGAGTCTGGTAAAGGCGTACCGTATCTAGCTTCCGATCATGTAGTTGAAAAAGCCGATATTCAGGGAACTTGAAACACCTGCTGGTTTTCATCGATGAAAGACCCAATACCAGCAGAGATTCGGAATGCCCTTGGCTTTTGTTGATGAGATGTCTGAAGTTGGTGATCGGAGCCAGATCAATAAGAGCATACGTCTGGCAGCAATCAATGATGCAGTTCGCAGAGAGATAACAATAACCAATTCTGGGAGTGAGCAGGGCTCAGAGTGGAGTGACCAAGCAATCGTAGAATTGACTTTTCATTAACCTGGTACGGCAGAATATCAAGTCCCAAATGATGTAAGTGTGTCGCCGGGTATGTTAAGGGCTATCTCCAAACTAATCGCTTGATGCACTGTTGTTCAGCGTCGTCAATTTTAATGGTGGTTTAGCTAAGACGTGGACAACAATGCATCATATTTCTGAAGTTGCCGGAAACGCCATCGAGACACTGGTAATTGATGAGAGTAGTGTCCGCTCCGTGTAAACTTGCATGATGACAGTCTAGAGATTAATGACCATAACCACTGTCTTCACAGGTTAACTTTGAAGAAGCTTCATTGTTGTCACTAAAATATGAGGCTATATCTCTGTCAATTGAGGAACATTGGCCAGAGTGTGAAGGTCAGCCAAAGCGCGTTCTGCAAGAAACAATGGCTGATTCATGTAAATTCAACTTGTTGTTTCCCTCAAGGGTGGAACTAAATCCTGCGAATTATTTTGCAACCAGCCCATAATTGGTACAAATGATGATAACGACTGAGGGGAAAAAAGGAAAAAACTCCTAATACTGAACTTGAAGACTTCCAATGGCGTGTTACTTGGTGGCGGAAAGTAAATAAATTCTTCTGGCTTAGACCGCCGTGAGATAGATTAGTTTACCCGAATGATGACCGTCGCCGCAATGGTAGTTCAGATTAGTACGAGGAACCGCTGATTCAGATAATTTGGTTTTGCGGCTGTCTGGCAAGGCGGTGCCGCGGTGCTACCATCTGCTGGATAATGGCTGAACGCCTCGTCGAGGTTGCTGGATCATAGATGCTTTACCGGTGTATGGTCTTTTGTATTTCGATGGTTATATCATAGCTCCGAGGAAAATGCAGTCTGTTTGTCAAATCATACTTGTGACATCGGTTTGAACTTTGAACTGATTACTGCCATCGTCAGCTCCAGTAGTTTCGACAATTTCCTGCAACGTCTATCTGCATTCTTCAACTTGAGTGTATTAGCATACGTGGAGTAAACTGTCAGTTCGTAATAAGCTTATAGTCTAGGATCGATACGAGCTTGTTACCTGACGGCTATCACCACAAGAATGCCCTCACCTCCATATTAGGGGTGCTGATTTATGGAGCTGGATGTGACGCAAACACTGCTACAGATAGTGAAGGGTAGACACGAGTCATTTTCTTGCAATGAAAGTATAAAATTGGTGAGCATTTTAAGGCTGTATTGATAATCGAGGAATAGATTTATGGCAACTATTTACATATTCCGGCCCGGGTCCCAGAAAGAGTCGACACCCACAGGGAAATGATAGTGTTGAAAGTGGCAAAAGGGGTCGCTTTGAAATTGACATGTTATTATAAACTTCACCACACTCAACGATTTCTAATCCATCGATTCAATGTTCCGTCGACTTGCTATATTCCAGCCAAGGCTATGTTCATCCTCTGCAACTGCATAAGAAGCGATAAAACAAATCCTTCAGAGATTATTGAATTTGTTGGATAGCTTAGTATGACGGGCTTGAGACAGCCAGTTTCATGAATGATTGAGAATTTTCGACGTCGAACCTTCAGTTTCGGTCGATTTGTTGAAGTTTTACTGGTTCCCCTGATGTGCCAAATCATAGAGGGAGGGCTGTGCAAGGTAGTACGCAATATCACTATCCCGATATCATGACAACCGCGTGTCTGCAAAAGAGCATCTATGATAACGGCAAAGGGATAATAATCTTTCGAAATACGACATTGAGTCCAGTAGTGCCATGGTTACCCAGTACAACTCATTGCAATCTACCCTAGTATTAACGTCTTTTTCACTCCCTTTCTTTCCGCCTCGTTTCCCTGATGAGAGTTAACTTCCAGCCTGTTAAGCTCGTCTCTTGATATCTCGTGTGATCACTTCATCTGTCCCCATGAATAGTTAGTTACCAAGTACTTGGTATCCATTCATAAAAAAGAGCATGCAATTCGTAACCCCTATATTGAAAGTAGTGATATAAAATGATGGAAGGATTCCACACTATTACCCTCTTCGTCCCTCCTCATAGCTCCGGCCTCTTTAGTCTCTCATCCCATCACTTCAAGGTGTCATCATCCATCATATCTAGGGAGGTAGCCGGCCCAAAGTTATAGTAGTTTTGACTTTTAACCTCCGGCTTTCAATCATATCGAGCCAGAATGAAGAAGGCTTGATATTCATCAACACAACTTTTAGTACCCTGAACGATTCAAATCACAAAACCACGACTTCACCATTGAAGCTGTCCAAGCTACTGTTGGTGTTATTTCACTAAGGATGGACAACTTGTTGGCAGGGTTCATACTTTTTGCCAAAAGATGCTTCGACTACTCATGTCATTACCGCAGATTTTGTGGCACGGAGTAGATAGGCAAATCTGTGTTGTCATACTGGCAAGGCTTTGATCCAGACATTAGCCATGGATGCGAAAATTTCACTACACTCGATGACACCTGTACGCCAATTACCACAATCTATCAGGAATTAGATATCGTTACTACTGATAATCCGATCAACATTGCAAGTTTTGCCAATCTCCACGAACCACTCATCACATCCCCAAACATTTTTATTATCAATGGTAACATCACTACCATAGACCTTAGCCCAAAGGTGTGCTAAATACTGAATACGTATGAATCTCAGTTCCAGGAGATTGACACTGCAATGGAGGGGATCATGTTCAAGCGGAGTTCTGTTACCTCTGGAATTCCAATCACATACTCATTATTACTAGCCCCTTTAATATCTCTCTAGTACTAGTAAAACCGTTTAAAAATTGAGAGTGATAACAATGGAGGATAAAGTGATTTCATACTTCTTAACAAGGCAAATCCCGTAAGTGATCTCCCGCCGAGAAATGAATGCCAGAACTAATCATGTACACTAGGAATGGCAACACCATGCCGGCATGAGCAACTATGCATCTGAAAGGAACGTTCTCCGCTACTTTAATAGAAACCGCAACAGTGTATTCCCCAACCAGACCGAACTCAACCAATCCAACAATCTACGATTCTCCCTCAATTTAAAAGACAAATCACGTCGTGGATAAAATTCCTCATCGACCCCATTCGCCATACCGATGGCTTGTGCGTATTACACATACGTGATCTAATTCACCTACATCTTGTCTAGAATCTCTCATATGTAGCTGAATCGACCAAGTAGACTAATTAGGGGAGGCCGTACTAGTAGCTGTGCGGCTTCCTTGTGATGTATATAGTTCAGTATGACGATCGTGAAGTCTCCTGTTGAAAGTCCGTCGTACAAACTAGTTCTCTTCTTGCAGTCCTCGGCATGTTGTGACTACGCCATGGATTGTCTAGAAGCCTGTCTGATAAAGACAGAACAGTGATGATTCCGAAGCGGAGCTGCGGAATACATGGACCGGAAGAGCCATTTCCTTTGTTTAAAGTTATGCTGTGATCGCTGACATGTGTTCCCTTAGTTCTCTGTGATTTTGCATTAGCTTGTGATAGTGGTTAGTGATATTATTTCAGTGTTTGCTTCTGCCTCTTTAATTGCCCACAATGATTCAAATCCTCAATGCTGTTCTTGATGTTCTTGAAATCCTCTCGAACTGCTATTCTATGTTTGGGGATGGCATATTTGCGCGTCTCGCCCCTTTTGCATGCTTTGGACTACCCCATTTCAAAATTCTTATATCTATGGGTCAGCGAGTGAGGTGCACGAGTTCGAGTCTTGCTTTGTTGGATTCCGGAGGGTTGATTCAAAAGCCTTCGCTCTGTCCACTATGGTCTTTCGAGAATGTAGTTCCTCCACCACTTTTACTCGTTCAGCACTGCGAATTTTATGCCATCTATTTATCCCATCGATTTCGTGTTGAACGGTTTCGTTGTCCTTTATACTGTGAAAGAGGTATCAGAAGGGAAGACCAGTGAGCCTTATGTATTCGCCTCGATTCCTCTGAATATATTTCTCTTTGTCTGATGACTATGGCACATTTCTTGAGAAAAAGCTTCTGGGATCCGCCTCGATCGCAAATCGTGGAGGACTCCTGGTATGAAACGTTGACGAAAGCTCTTCCCAAGCTATGAGAGAAAGGTAGTTGTCTCGGTGATCTGGAAGCTGGCGTGGATGTGACCAAAAATCCAATCTCAATCACCACGTTCTTCCTCAGATTTGATCCTTCGCCCACCTGGCTTTCTCCCAGTGTTCATCCATCACGACCTTTACTTTGCTCTAACGAAGCACGAAGATACAGTCGTCATATGTCATCCTGTGAAAGGCGACTTCGTCTGCCGTAGGTCTAAAATGATATTGCATACATTCTTCTGAAACGCGGATGACGAAACGATCGTCTTCGAAGGCAGGGAATACGATGTGTGGTATTATTCGACGAAGAGTTGGGTACCGGTATCCATTTTGCGGCTCAAGATAACCTCCTGAAAATGCGCATGAGTACACACTTCGATAAATCAGATATTTTCGTTACCCGGATGTGCCAGCCGAGGCAATAGAAGATTCTATGACGAATCTGTATCAAAAGAAGGTGTTAACCGATGCGCGCGCATAGTTTTGCATGTTATACGAGTCGTTGACTGAGATGCTTATCATTATTAAAAAAGTTTCTTCAGCGATTTCAGTCCTGCCACCTCCCTAAGGAATAAACCCACTGCCTATTGTGGGGTAAATGTTTGTCATCCAGTTTTTGTTGATCCCGCCGGAGAAGAGCAAGGATCATGCTACCAGGTGACCTGCAGCTTAGAAAGTCACGTTCTCGGGAGCTAATAATCTCTGGGTTGGGGCGACGGTTAAATTATGGCTGTTACAAAGACGTACGGACATTTCGACTCGAAACATTTGAAGAATTCTATGATTGATTGATTGATCTTTCGATATTATAGGTACCAGATGTTCTTGACAGCCATAGGCGCGGCGGTGTCGGTGAGACAAAACTTAGGCCAAATACCTCCACTCCGCACAACCGGACGAATCGATATTTATTGACTAACAATTTGGCCAACAAATAACTACCTCGAATCTGAACCCTTACCGTACTCAAACCCTCTTAGCTTATTTCTACTATATCTTCTCAGTATCGCACCGTGGAATCTACTTGAACTCACTAAAACTCACCATCTTACTTCGAATCCTTGTTTTGTGCTCCACATTCTTATCAGATTCAACCTCTCAGATAGCACCGCACAGCACAGCACAGCACAGCACAGCACAGCACCGCACAGCACCGCACAGCACATGCAAAGCTATAGCTAGAAATCAAAGCCCCGACACACCTCTCAACTCACACCTGAATCTATCAAAATGAACGCCATGGAGGCAGAGAAAGCTTATTACCACTCGATTCCCTGGTGTTCAGAAATCCTTACTAGTTCCAATGTCATCATACTACCTTCGTGGATGCGGGAGTATAAAGACGACACCTCCGATTCCCTCTTGGCCTCGACGATGAAAACTCCTGATACCATTAGCCACTGGTTGACATTTTACAACAAACCCGATGCCGACTCTACCCTCATCAAACAGGTCAATGCCTTCATAACCTTTGGGACTGGTCTTAATGGCTATCCAAATATAGTCCATGGAGGTGTAATTGCTACTGTTATGGATGAGTTGATGGGCAGTGTGATGGTATTGAATAAACGGTGGGGCGGTATCCCGGACATGGGTATGAATGTCGCGGCAAATTTGAACTTAACCTATTTGGGGCCAATCACCACACCGCAGACCGTCTTCGTCAGTGCTTTATTTAAGGAAATGAATGGTCGGAAAGTTTTGCTTCATGCAGCAGTGAAGGATGCTTCGGGATTTGTTTTGGCAAAAGCTGAAGGTCTATGGGTTGGACTGAATAGGCCGAGGGAGAAATTGTAATGGAACGAGAGGAAATTTCGGTTGGGGTTCTTGTTTTGTGGTTAACCAATTTCATTGTCACGAGCTTTTGAACTCGAAAACAACCTCCCCCTAATCTCGACATCTCTGCGGAAACAAGATCCTGCCAGAGTTATAATGCAAGGGGTAGAACTGGAAGATAATAAGAATGTTAGGTCAATTTCGTTGATAAAACCAAAAGATATAGAAGAAAGGTTTAGACTTCATCCAGGTTTTGAAGTAATATGGCGTTAAGCACACTACCTCGAGATTGCGGCCCCAAACCCTCTATTGCCTCCCACAAGGGGATAGTCAAGCCCGAATTATCTCAATTTTATATTTTATACATCTAGACCTTGATCTTAGTAGTGCGAGTTCCAACCGGCCTGCTAAACAATTCCTTGTAAATGGGACAATTTGGTTTCAATAATTAGATTAAATAGTCCGGAGGTGAGAGTATCAGAAGGCCCCATCGCGGGGAAGGTACCCGGAGCCGATATCCTTTCCAAGTTTGGATCATAGCCTGCCTAAGGTGGAGCCTACACTTTCAGCAACTACACCAACGTAAATAAATCTTCGTTAGGAAGTGTAGGTTAGGTTTTCTATTCCTCAGTGTTGTTCTGAGTTTTGTCCTCAGTTACAACAACCTATCTACCGCTGGCTCGGACACGCATACTTTGCATAATCGCCTCCGACTTCACAGTCCACACACAGTGTGCTCGAATTACCGTCCGTACTTGTAGAAGACGAATGATGCAGATACACAAGCCAAAGCTAAGAAGTAGGAACGGATTTGACTAAGCCTAATGGATGCCGAGATTATCAAAAATGTGCCATGTAAAGAGGGAAAATGCAAAGTCAAAAAGCGAGCGCAATGCCGAGTTAGCGGCTAGAGCCGAAGCAACAAAGAGGGTATAGGTATCGATGAGGTAGGTGAAAACAGCAATGAAAACAATGACCATTCAATAGCCAAATGGAAAACTAGCCGCAAAGCTCGAGATTCAGTGCATCGAAGGAGAATTCGTCTATGCAAACCAAAAAGTCCTATGAAGGGACAATCGCTCCTATCATTGCCGGAACTAGGCGAGCTTCCGGGTAAGCAAATCCACCGTTCACAGCGGCCGCTCGCGTATATGCTTTTTGAGTTAGCGGCGCGACAAGACTAACGGATGGAAGAGCGCCAGTTTCTTCGCTCCAAACAAGAACCTCCTGATAGACGATAGGGTAGGCGCCAAAAAGTATATCAAGAGTTCATAGATGATGGACATGTAAATAGAAAGAACGAGAACGGTTTGCCCTACCATCACAAGGCTACTATCATTGCCTCTCCGGTCTTGACACCCTACGAGTCAAAAGAAGATGTCCAATTTAAAACCCTTCGGCCCGTTTCGGCTTACAAAATGTTGTCAAATCGAGTCCTCCAAGCCACAATATGCATCGATTCTTGATCTCACACGTGCTCGTCGCAATGAGCTCTCATTCATTCTATCTGTGAAGGTATCAAAATTGCGGCTATCCAGATCTGTCGCATGATTGGCGCAAAGGTCAGTACAGCACTCCGATGAGCGTATTCCCTTTTCAAAGATGTTCCAATGTTTGCATATCGCTCGCTTACTTACGAAGAAAATAGATATACGTAATTTTAGGAAGTGACGAAAAGGTAGGGTATTTGATGCGCACTTTATGATATACCTCGAAACTATATGTCCAATTCCCAGAATGCTTCTTTCTTACCGGCCCTCATGCGCGAAACTAATGGTAGAAGGTGTGGATGTGATTCTGAATTCACTTCCCGGGCATCTCCGCCATAGGTCCTGGGAATGTGTTGAGAAATATAGCAGATGGTTGAGTCGGGAAAATATGAGATTTTATCGGTCGAAGTCGACTTGCCATGAATCCTTTCCTTGAAAACAGGTCGTTGTTGGATGTAGATCTTGCCCGAATTTGTGTTGATCGGCGTCAAGTCATCAAAAGATAATCGTTCTTTCCACAGCAATTGTTATTGACATGTTGCCTGCTGACAATCGTTTGATAAATAGATTGCTCGAAATTGTATCAATATTTCCACCAAGATGCTATTTAGCCTATTAGACCATCAAAGTTCCTCGGTGCTAGTCAAATCGGTTAGTCCCTCATCTAAAAGCTACCCATATTTCATTCAAATGTCGACGCTCTTGACGGTAAGCCGGCCCTCCTGTTCGTGATACCTGACTTGTGAATCATAACTCCATTCTAGGACGGCGGATATTACAAATGGCTCACAACGAGTGGGAAACTGTTCAAGCGCCAAAAATGCAAGGCACTTCGAATCTTCACGCTTCCGTACCTCTCGCCTGTTTTGTCTTTAGATCAGTGTCAAGTCAACGGGGATAGTAGGGACAATCCAACTATGGCACATTTTTGTATGCATTTAGTCAATACAGCCACGGTAAAGATCTACCCGCGTCTGCGATAGATGTTGATGTCCTTGGCGATGTCGGCAACGTCAGCGAAGATCCAGCGATTTTGCAGCACAAACTGCTACAGACTCTCCGAGAAACGGATCTCCTCAATACCCCGGAACTGCCCATTATCAGATCAAAAGTAAAATCCCAAGCGCCTAGCTCACCGGCAGACGGCTACACGAGCGAAAGTCAGATCGGCTACTGGCATAGAATGACAATGCCAATCACGGCGGGCACTGAGAGGATGCCGTGGAATCCACTGTGTCAAAGATCACGGTTGCAGCATCAATTGAGAGCCTTGAAAGATATCCGCGGAAGCTTATTGGTCAAAGTTGGCTTTGTATATCTAAAGAGGAGCTGAGAGTGGAATTTAGACTTTCCTGAGAGTGAAGCGGGTTGAAGTATTTTATAAATCAACAACAGTCGGAGGCAGTTCTGGTGAAGCGACCGATTAAGCGTTCCAAGGCATTTCTCAATATTCTGCAACATGTATAAACCACACCAAAGGCTGCCCATTTGTTTAACGCTAGTACCACGGGAAAACCTCCAGCCGCTTCCAAAAGAAATAGGAGTCCCTTCTATAATCACGAGGAAGGCTGCAGAGGTGGTATAAGCTCGAGTGATTGTGCTTTCAAAGAGTCAACGCTACGTCTCCTTGTTCAATAAATAACGATCTAGCGGCCGTCTGATAAATTTTCCCCTTGAACGTGGAAGGGGATAATGATGTGCAAGATCCCCCGTAACAAAGGCTCAACATTGCGCCCTTTCAATGCCATCCAGAGCTTCGATGGTTTGCTGAGGGCCCATCTCACGGATTTATGCCAATTAGTGGTGCACATGACACCTTTAGGCCAGGTACTACTCATAACCGCAGCAGGTCTCCAAGGTGAACAGCCTCTGGTTGATAGAACAATGTAAATAATGGAAGTCCGCACAGTAGATCCGTAACTTCAGAAAAAGGATTGGCTCTAGCATTTACCGGCTCAGAGAACGTTAACATTAGTATGGTTGCATTGATGGCATCATCATTTAGACGATTTGGATCATTTTAGTGCGAGGAGCTATTTCAGATCTTGGTGTTTGGTCCGTTGAACCCGTCTCAATCAAGTTACCAGGCTTTTCCGTGACGGAACTACGGCGGCCACATGGATAGAGATTTGCTTGACAATGATAGGGATTTGTTCAACAGTACTATTTCCACTTGTCCGTAGATGATGATAAGAAATTCTTGTGCAGGCAAGATTCCTGATATGGATAAAGTATTTGATGTGTCTGTGCTCACTTTTGTATCATGATTTCCATGAGGGGATTTGTTCTGGAAGTGGCATTGGTAGATCCAGCCTTCTCAAAGTCATCGTCATTGTCGCAACAATATGCCCAGACATTAGGAGGAAAAGATTCTTTGGGACTATCATGGAGCGTCGTATTGACACCATTATCCTTACACCCATCGTTCAGGTCCACTGCAGTCTAGTCGTGGGCCAGTATGGTTTTTAATATATATGGGTTGTCTTGAATGGGTCTGCTTCCGTAGAGATGATGAATGAATGGTCGATGTTGTGGCATATGGCTATTTCGTTATCATAATTCATAGAACTGCCGGAATGATGTGTATGACTCTGAAAATTGTGATTTATAAAATCAGAAGACCCACCCTAGTTATGTATGGGAGTGTGGTAATCATTGAGTGATGTTGGTTCGGAAAGTCATAACGCAAAGTAGACGTCCGATCAAAGAATCAACTGTTGTGTCCGTTGATTGAGAAATTAGTTTAGTGGCCATTCATACCTAGTTATGGGTGACTCGACCAAGTGATCTAAGTGATCTGTGAATGATCTTCTCCCGAAAAATGAGGTCTAGCGCGCGAACGCTCATCGAACTCGGCTTCAGTGTAAGAAGAAGAGCCGAGATCAAAGGATCAGAACGGCTAGGGACTGTGAAACTCGAATTTGCACCGTTTCAATTAAAGTTGTGCATAGAACCTGATGTATCGAACCCACCGTGTTGAAGACCAGGTACATGGCCACTTTCAAACATGCGTTGATCGTAGTTCCAGTTGTAATGATTGTCCCCTTTGTAGTATGGGGCAAAACCACCCTGGAAGCCATGAGTCTGGTAGTTTCCTTCACCATTTCGGCCATCGTTCTAGTTGCATGTATTATCATAGAGCCAACTTTCAGCACCGTTCGTGCATGGGCGACTGTCATCCATGGTGGCAGGAATGGGATGTAAATTTTGACTTCGTGTCATCTGTGCAGTATGTGTGCCACCTGCCACAATTATTCATCCCCAGATTCCCGAAGATCAATTCTCACATCTTCCATGGTTTATGATGGGTGTCAATGTTGGAAAGATGATAAAGTGTCATTTTAAACTGAGATTGATGCCAAGTTGGTATCGTGACTATTAGATGACTGTCTGGATGCCGTAAACTAGGCAATCATTAGTGAATGTTACATGCTGAGCAGGCAGCGCATGGAGATTCCATAACATGACTATTCAAATGAATAGAACAAGCAGAGACAATTTAAATAAGAGTCGCATCTGCCATATCATTGCCTAAGAATCAACAAAGTGAGCTATTCGATCATAACTTTAAAACCTCATTTTATAAGAAAGGAAAGCATGGAACAAAGTACTTGAATTTATTGAGTTTATAAGTACACAACTTGAGGGTAATGGACTGTTGGCACACTACAATATTCAAACTATTAATACCACTATTTCACTCACATCTTCCTTAGACAACGTAGTATACAATTCCACTCATAAATTGCATAGCGAAAGCGATGTTTCAACACCCTCAATTAAAGTCAAAATCAACGATTTCACATCTTTTAATTCTATCACCAATTTACATAGTAATTAGCTTATATACAATTTCCATTTTGTTTCAGAAAGCCATGTATAACAACAACAAAAAAGCATTCTAATTGCGGACCCAACCATTCGAGCCCCGCTATAACCTTAGCTATACGCACGAATGTGGCACGTACTCAAACCTTAATTCAACAGTTGCGACTTTCTAAAATCACATTTAGAATTCAGAATGATATAATTGTCTTCCATCTAACTCTCCGTTGACGAGACAGTTACCTTGATTTTTGCTTTCACCAATGTTTCAAATATACCTGGATCTTCAAGGACAAGAAACATCTGCTGCACGCATAACGAGATTTCTTTTGCTTCCTTGTGCACGCTCGTCAATGTCTCCAAGTGCGGAGCAAACCGTTAGGGAGGCCTGATAGAAAGAAGCCGTTGTGAATTTTGGTGTTGTCAAAGTGTTCTTCTCGTATCCAGCAAAATTATCAAAGGGACAGGATAGTCCCAGCTGGAAGATGGTTGATATAGCCAGCCGGATTGTACTCGAGGGTATTCTGGAAAAGAGGTGAGTTATGAATTATCCACAGTCGACATATGATTACAGATGTCGTGAGTATAATCCGGCTCCATAGTCCGGGCCTGACTTCGTTTGGATACATCTATATTGGCTCTAATAAAGAGGGAGATACTAAATTAAAGAACCTAGCACTTGCTTACCATACATGATAGTACCTACAACATCGATACCAAATGGCCCCCCATACGATTCCCCTTACTAAAAACGAGCCTCGTCACCCGATACCGATGCTGAATGATTCCTAAACTTAACAATCGACGTATCATCGGTAAGCCGCATTATAATGCGGCCGGGGACCCTGTATTGAACTTTTCAGATATCCGACTTGCGAGCTAAAGATTTGAAGAGGCAGCATTTTATGTAGGACATACAGATCTAGGATCTAGGAAAATATCTATCTACAATCTTATCTAGAAATTAAGACTATGAATTTGCTACTTGGTATAACACCTAATGATAGTATTCGCAAAGACTGACAGTTCAACTTAAAGCTGATTTCTAAGTACTTTTTCTTTAGATATACTTCCCTTGCGGCGGCTCCTGGAGAACTTTTAGCTTTAAAAGCATAATAGTATTCTAAATTACAAGTTGGTGTAATTATAACTAAATTTTTATCAGGAAGAGCATATATATATCCTACTGCTATGATGCTAATCATTGATTTCCAGATTAAGCTTCCTACATGATCGTCGTGGTAGATCATCACCATAAGCTGGGCATATATCATCATACACATCCTTCACTACAACACATTCAACTAAAACTAACTCTAAACCATCACGCTGTCATACCTGCATCTGATCCGATAGAAACTCGACACTCATTGACGCAGCATGCATGTAGAAACACTCAGCACTAATCATCCTGCACGACATGTACAACCCAAAGCGCGAAAGGCGAGCCAATGAACATAAGACTTACTGGGCTCGCCAGTACAGATATTTCATCATGTAATTTTGTGTTCCATACAGCAGGCTCTCCACTTCTTTGTACCTTTTATATTTTTATGAGAAGGAATTTGAAGACTAGACTGGGAGCTTACCAACTTACTCCATTCATGCAGATGCTAGGATTCTATACCAAGTAGATCTTCTGCTTCTTTCTTCTAGCTGCATATTAGATGCTGCGAGGATATCGGTACTGGTTTCGGCTGTTACGTGGAAATATATTAGTTAGAGGGTACCGGTTGACGGATGAAGATTAGAGGATTGGGGAAGTGGGAATGTGGGTGAGGAATGAGGATGTGATTTATGATGCGTGTTGGGTGATCCGGTTTGGTATGGTTTTTTGGGGGGAATGGAGAAATATATACTTGGGATTGGGCGACTTTTTCAGTGAGAGGGGAGGTTTACCTGGCGATATGCTGATATGATGCCATGTGAAGGGTGAAATATTTGCGTCGTTTAAGATTCCATAGCTAGTACAAATCATTATGAGGACGAGAGGTGCACCCAGGTAAATAGGAGTTCTGGCTGACCCTAACTAACTATTTCCTCATAGTCAGAATCTAGTATTCAGGATGGGAATTTATTTTCTCTAGGTGAAGTAGGTATCCTTTACCATCAAGTGACAAAGCAAGATTTCCCTGTAATATCGGTACATTTGATACATAAGGCCAAAATAAAACTCTCCGAAGCCTCCAAAACGCATACATCCCCTGCATGCATCACCAACGACACACCAAACCCTCTTCCACATAAGATAAGCACCACCAATCAATAATCACAAGCAGTATAAAGCAAATAATTTGTTGCACATCGCATCGGATGAACTTATTGCGGTTTTGTCACAATGTGCCTCTCACCATTCCCCAATAAAATATTACTGCTTCATGGGGTTACATTCTGGGATCTCCGTCCTGTACCTCGAGAGAGAGAAGAGTATGTATATATGTAAGCAAGATTAGTATAGCAAGTATGAGGGAGGGGTATGAGCTGACAAATATGAAACTTATATATGCAGACGCTAGCGAATACAGTGTGTGAAAGAGAGATGAGGAGGATTTTGATGGTTTTTGTTGCATATCATAGGTGTATCCACTTAGTCTTAAGGATGGTTTTTGGGGTATTACAAGATGGGGGGGTTTCACTAGAAGGGGTGGATGGGGATTGGATCGATTGGGTGTTGGGAATGTGGACATCGATGGATTGGGCTGGTTTGGCTTGTGAGAGATGAAAATTGCTTGGGGTGTGCGGCACGGCTGTTTTCCTTGTGGAATATGTATGTATGCACGTTTATCTGAAGAATTATCTTACATGTGAGCTTAGAACTTGCGTCGCCAAATATGCTTGATTTCTAGTGTTGTCATCGGGCGGGATTGAAGTCGAGTCACGTGATTGTACCCGAGCTAAGAACACGCTACTAGTGTAATTGAACCTCTGTGGAAGGAGAGGGTTCTTCATCCTCTAATTCCAATTTATCAGTAGAACCAAATGTTACAGATCACCTGCCATCCAACATGCATCTCGATCCCAATATCCCCACCCAAGCGATGCACCAAAAAAGGGGTCTATCATTCCCACACATCCCAAAGCGCACCTATCTGAAATATATACGGGGTATGATCGACGGGTCCTCACATCCAAGGAGTAAAAGATCCGTCTCGAAGCTGTTTATAGCGTAAAGAGGAGAGAAAACTCCGGATTAGTCGCACGACGAAGAAATTATATTGATCGATTCGAGGGACAAGATGATCGAGACGTAATAAAGCATGTCATCTGGTGTCCATCGATTATTTGATGTTGTTCGATTATTTGATCTTGAAGGTTGAGATGAGGAGGTGAGTCTCCGGCCTTTTTCAGATATGCAACAAAAGGTTATGAGTTTATGATTGCAATCATTATGGATGAGAGCTGGCAGATGGTTGGAAGGGGGATTGGGGGGGGAATTGAAAAGAGAATTGATCATTGGGAATGAATTAACTGGACTATCGTTAGCTGACCCTCCCCGACAGATGCCCATATTTATTTATATCCATATGCGTCTCCATCTATCACATCCCTCTTTCTCTACAACTTCACTTCCAACTCAATTCCGCTTTGAAGTCGGACAACGGGTAGACTATTGGTTCCGAATAACATTCAGTACCTACCTAGCTTAACAATCCAAATTACTAATCCTCGGTTTCATCGCTCCTCTAAAGGCCCCACCGAACCCCTCTTACAAAGCTCTCAGCAATAGAATCGTCATTCCGTCATTTCTCCTCAAACAAATGCCATAGTGGTGCAATTGTTTAATCATCGAGTTCGCTGCCTATACACATTTATATAGTATTATAAATCAGAAGTGTCAATTGACTCCATTGTTCCAACTCGCAGTTGCCATATAAATTGATCTGTTTTCTTTCCTTCTCTACCCTTATTCTCAATTCTCTCGCCCATTTGAACTTACCCATCTACATTTCTCTCGCTCCCATTTGAAATTACACATCTAATATTACAAACATGGCTCCATCTAGCAAGTTCTTCAGCATTATTGCCGGTGTGGGCGCAGGTACCGGTATGTCATCACAACTAGATGTTGGCTCAAAAACAATGAAAACTAACACCCATTCCCCTCCCCAGGCCACTCCGTCGCCCTGAAATTCGCGCAGGCCTACCCAGTGGTCCTCCTAGCCCGCGACCCCGCCAACTACGAACCCACCATAAAAGCCATCACCTCATCCGGCGGCCAAGCCATAGGAATCAGCACCGACGTATCCGATCCCACCTCCATATCCAACGCGTTCGAGCAAATAAAGAAAGAGTACGGTTCTTTGAAATTGGCTGCTGTTGTCTTCAATGTAGGAGGCAAGTTTGTGAGGAAGCCGTTTTTGGAGCTGAGTTTGGAGGATTATGAGGCGGGATACCAGGCTAACGGGTATGTTGTTACTTTAATTTCTTATGTGGATGAGTGGTATTAGTATGCTGGAACACGTTGGACCAAATCAATCGCAGACTGGAGGATACCTCCTGCTCGGTTTTATAAGTTCTAGCATTTGATTGTCAAATACGAATTGGGACACCATAAAGTGTATGGGGTCTAGGAATATCCATTTGATGCTCGATATATTTTGTCATTGCGTCGCTGGCAAGAAATAAAGAACACAAGCTGACCATTTGAAAATCGACAAACAGGAAGGGATTCTACCTTTTTGCGCAAAAAACTCTACCACTCCTCCTTGATTCCGTCGCTGATTCCCCACACCCACCATCCTTAATCGTTACGGGAGCAACAGCATCATTAAGAGGCGGTGCCCAATTGGCCTCATTCGCCAGTGGGAAGTTCGCCCTGAGAGCCACCACACAAAGTTTAGCTAGGGAATTCAGTCCCAAGGGTGTGCATGTTGCGCATGCAGTCATTGATGGTGTGATCGATATTCCCAGAACTAAGGGATGGGAGGTTAATGGGGGAGTCGAGGATAGCAAGATCAAACCTGAAGCTGTAAGTAACTCGACCCGTAATTTCACCATCAAACATGACTAACGCCATGATTTATAGATTGCGGATGCATATTGGTATTTGCACACACAGGATAGATCTTTATTTACTCAGGAACTGGATGTGAGACCATTTGTTGAGAAGTTTTAATTTTGTATGGCGGATATTCTCTAATAAGCCATCGAATCCGTGGGACAAATTTCGAGGATTGAATTCCGTTTTGGACAAGATGAATAGATAGCACAATCATAAAACAAGAATTATGTCCCTCACCATCAAACTCTCATTTTTCAGGGATTTTAGTGAAATCTAAAAGAAAGTCTGCAGGCAAGAAAGTTTCCTTCATAATAATAAAAACTTTGAATTTCTTCTTCGCTCATCATTTATCTCGAAAACAATAGTGAAGATGTCAACAAGGTGATATATAAGCGTAAATGGTCACGAAAATGGAACTGTATGTCACAAAATAATCCTAAAGCAAGTTAGTAGAGGGTCAGTCCTCCCAAAGCAGGTATAGCAATCAACAACACAACATCATGTTGTCAGAAGTGTCGATGACACTTTTTGCTTCGGGAGGACTCCCATGGAGCATTTCACAGTGATACCAGACGTGCAAGCACGGAGGATGTGAAATGGCCATAATGTTTCATTTGACTATGCCTAGCACATCCAGCTGGCAGAAGCCATGGATTAATGCACGTAACGCTGTTCGAAAGCACGCCAATTCAATCCCAACCCAATTTTTTATGCCAAATCTATGCCTTGCTCTTCAACTTCTCTTTGATCTCACGGCCGGTCTTGATGCGCTCAAGGATGTTCTCACGATCCTTGTCTAACTTCAACTTTGTGATGATGACCTTGGATGGGTGGATACCGAGGGGAACGGATTGTCCGGAGGACTTCTCCTTGACGACACGCTCGACGTGGATGACGTATTTGAGACGGTAGACGGAGGTGACCTTTCCCTCGGAACCCTCGTTGGAGCCACGAACGATTTTGACCTCATCATCCTTTCTGATTGGGATGGAGCGGACCTGGAAAATATTAGTTAGATGAGAAAGATAGAACTGCAGCTCGCAGATGAAGTATACGTACGTTGTACTTCTCACGGAGTTCCTTGCTCAAAGGAGCGCTCATGATGGTACGTCTGACGCTGGATGGGGCATCAAAGTGAGCCTTGCGGGACTTTCTCCTTGAGGAGTGGAGGGCTGCGGAAAAGTCTTCATTAGCTTTGCGATCTCTTTCAAGTATTGGCACAATTGAATTGATGTTTGCGCGGAATCGCAGAGATGACTATTGATAGTACATACAGGTGTTGATCTTGGTCATCTTGTCGGCTTGGTGAGGAACCTGGATTTGTCGTCGTCGTTGGTTGTTGAAAAAAAGTTCGAGTAGGAAAATTGCAATGGAGATTTGTGTGCGAAAAGCGCTAGTCGTAAGCGAAATTCCTAGCTGCATATCACGTGCTTGTAATCGAAATATATGGGGTCGGTCGAACACTGAAAAATTAAGAACAGCATTCATGACGCCGATTTATGTACACTAAATGGATGTATCGAAAATCATTCTTCAGACCTATTGTGTCGTATGTTTCTTCTTGTTGGTTCGTATAGTTACGATACAGGAAAGAAGGGTTTGATGAGCCCCATGAACCTACAATCAAGCCAACTGCCGAGCCTCCGGTACATGTTCATGCTTTCAAAGCTTCATGATGAGACGTAGCACCCCCATAGACATACCATATTCATTTCTATCTTGCTTTTTCTGCTTGAGGTCCTTATCTTACAAACCCTGAACTGCTTCCAGTCTGGAAGTCAGCCATGACTCTTGAGATGTATTCATGATGAAGTATCATCGCTCGAAATTAAACATCCTGAGGTATTCATGAAACTGTGAATCTCAATCACACAATATGAAAGTAATATTCTAGTTAAAGAGAAATTCATGGATACAAAAATATGGACATTATGCCATGAAAATATCCACACAAACAAGCACATAATGGCTGTAAATTCTTGTATTCCCACTATTATCGCCCCTCATCTAAAAGCTTCACCTCATGCTCCACTCAATCTTCATACTCAAAATCTACATCAAAATCAAGCTTAAAAGCCTACTAATTCACAGATCCACTCCAAAAACCATCCCAATCTCACAATAGCTCTGGTTCAAGCCATTGCCCAACTCCTGATCCCCAATCCCGCAATCCTGCCTCCCAAAAAAACCACCTAAAAATGCACAACACCATCCAGCCCGTACTACTGAAACCTACCATCATACCATCCCACGCGAACGCATCATCCTCTACACTAGAATTTCCACACCTCAAAAAGCCACGACGTTGAACAACCAGGGCACTTTGAAGAGGGAAGATAGTGGGGCAAGAAGGGGTATGGTGAAGGTTCGGCCGATTGAATCTTAGTGAGGTATGGCGGAGGAGTCGTGATATTGTAAGCGTTTATACTCGTTGGATTTTTGCAGACTTAAATTGAGGGCACAGGTGGTAGTTGGATGATTAGCGTCTCCAATCCCATATCAATACATACCCATGTCATATGTATAATCACATCTCCGTACAGATCATAAATATCCCAATGTATGAAGAACATTGGAGCGAAGGAAATACGATATCATTCTAAATATAAGAAAACCTGACACACAAAAGTTCATGTATTCAAAGAAATCCATGGATAAACATTTCCAACCTCTTCGCTCGCCCATTTTCCCCCTTCCTAACACAAACCCGAACATCCAAAACGAATTTATTGTTTCCCAACCAACAACTACAACTACAACTACCCATACAAAATAAGAAGTAGGAAGAGGTAAACTAATCAAAAGTATATATGAAACCAGTGCTCACGCCCAGCACTTTCGACTCCATCGTCCAGAGAAAAGAAAAAACGCTAAACAAAAAATTCTTTTTTTATTCTTTACCACCTCCTAAAGTACCTCCCCGTAGCTGCAAGTTTCCTAGGCCTTAGTAGTGTTATCAATGTGGAGGCAGTGGCGCTAGGAGAAGCAGATTCCGATGCACAAGAAGAAGTACCATCTCCATCACCGCAGGTGGCATTGCAGCTTGAGCCTGGCAAGACACCACCAGACTCAATATTATTGCCACAAACACATTTAACTCCACTTTCAACTGCATAGTATTCATATTCAGAACAGATGGTTGAGCAGATAGCTGGAGTCATGTCAGATGAGTATGTTGTGGGTCCATCTAGAGTGCCTGTTGTGTTTGTAGAACAGCCCATGTAAGCGAATGGTGCTGTGGCGCCTGCAGATGCACTAGACGATGTGGAGGAAGGCAAGTCACTTGAACTAAAAATCGTACTACTGGAGAGTTCAGAGCTTGATACTGTGGATGATACCTCGGTTGTTAAGCTTTGGGATGATGAAGTGACAAAGCTGACGTCAGACTGCGATGCAGATATTGACTCGGTGCTCGGAATTCGTGATTCAGAAGCTGGTGATGTGGTCTCAAAGGTGCCACTTGAACTAGCAATTCCAGAGACTGAATTATTGACGGGAGGTATACTAGTTCCAGATCCACTGGCAGATGAGAACTCTGGTGATAAGGTGCTTGAAGGAACACTGCTTGACAATGTAGCCTCTTCAAGATTTGTCTGAGAAGCACTTGGAAGGTATGTGCCTAGAATTTGACCCGACAAACTCAATATTGCCGACGAAGTTGTGCTCTCTGGATTGAACTCAGAACTCGAGATTGTGGCTATTTCCGAGCTTGAGAGGACCGAATCTGTTTGTGACAATGAATTTATCTGAGATGCTGAAGCTGAAGCCGAAGCTGAAACACTTGGTAGGATCGAATCCAAAATATCAACCGTGGATGAAAGAATGATTGATGCGGATTCAGGAATGAAATCAGATGCAGACTTCGTAATCACAGTCAAAATGACGGTAGTCTCAAGGCTTGTGATTGTTGCGCTTGCGCTTAAGATATCGGATGATACAATTCCAGCCAAGTTGGAAGATATAGCTGACTGAGAAGGTTCAGCTATCACTATTGAAGGAAGAACTCCTGGAAGTGATGAAGAAACTTGAGAAATTTGAGAGCTGGAAATTCCTGTCGAAGATTCAGCTGACTTGGTTGATGTTTCCAGCGATGAGATACCCTGTGTCGATGATGGAATCTCAGAAATTGCCTGGCTACCCGAAGATGCCAGTCCAGTGCTGGAAATGAGACCAGGAATTGAAGAAATCTCAATCTGCGTGCTCGAAATGGTTCCAGAATTTCCTGTGACAGGAATAGTCTGTTCCGTGCTAAAATTTGATACTTCAGAGCTGGGAGCTGTTTGGGGAGAGCTTGGTTGGGACAATAGCAACTCTGTCGAAGATATGACTTGAGACCCGAAGGTACTTGTTAAAGCACCACCTAAACTAGAAGTAAGCTCGGCAATCGATGATGAGCCTTCGATGGATGTTTCCAAAACCAATGTGCTCCCTAGAGAGGCGGTAGAGGTGAAAATAGGTTCAGATGTCTGTGTTTCTACCGTCAAAATTACCGTGCTTGAAATTATCAGTAGACTCGAGCTTTCAGCACCAATATTCGATGTCAAAGAGGTTGTAAAGGCTGGTATCGACGTTTCCGAAGCTGAGGATTCGAGGGAAGTGCCCGAGCCAAGATTTCCAGGAATGGGGATGCTACTACCAGTGGTACTGCTGACTCCAAATACCGTAGAGCTAGCAGAAACCTCTTCATTCGATGTTGTTGGCAGCTGAGATGAACTAGCAGATAAGGATTCAGAGAGGAATGCAACGGAACTTGTACTAGCAGCAAGTTCAGATGGACTTTCAGGTCCAGAGAGTGTGGATGGGAAAGGAATGATTGTAACAACAGTGGAAAGTTCTTCAATGGTAGAGGAAATCTCACGCTGTGATGACAGAGATGATGATATCGCTGGGACAACAGATGATGACGATAATTGCTCAGATAATACTTCAGAAGAAAGGGCACTGCTGGCGGCTGCTGTAGAAAGCTCAGCAGATTGAGTTGAAGAAACCAAAGAACTCTCGGTCGTACTTGAAGGTAATTCTGAAGTCAGAGTACTTGGGGCTGTTGGAAGACTTTCAATTCCTGATGAGGTCGATAGAAATCCAGATGTCTGAACCGAACTCGGTAATAATTCGAACGTGGTAGAACTGAGACCTATTTCTGACTGAGTCTCACTCACAGAGCCTGTAGACTGAACCGCAGGGATCGATATAATCCCAGAGCTTTCAATGAGAGTAAAGCTTCCAACTAAAGTTGATGGAAGTGCTGATAACCCAGGTATTGTGGTAGGGAATAATTGTGTCTCAGCCAGGGAACTCAAGGATGAAACGAGAGTCTCAGTCGGATTTGTGGACTCAACCGTGCTTGCACCAGAACTACTCAAAACACCAGAAGAAGTCTCAATCAAAGATTCAGACACTCCACTAATGCTTCCGGATGTCTCGGCACCCAAAGTAGATTGGATCTCAGTGCTAGATGCACCAGTCACAAAAGTTGGCTCTGAAGCTAGACTTGTTATAATATTGGAGCCACTCAGACTTAGAGAAGCTTCAGCTGGTAAGGCCGAGAATTCACTTGTGGCACTACGAGTTTCCGGGATAGGTGAAGACAATAGAGTATTGCTCGATGTTTCTGATGCTCCAAATGAAGTACCAGATCCTAAGCTCCCAACAATTGGAGCCGTTGATACAGATTCAGTGGTCGAGGTTATGACTATCACAGTGCTAGGTTCAAATCCTAGGGCACTTGAAGTTAGACTTGATTTGGTAGGCAAAGAACTGACATCAATTGTCGATATGGCAATGCTTGAAGCAAGTGAAAGAATAACGGTTGAAGATCCAGCCTCAGAACTTGTTTCTATACTTAAAGTTGCCCTCGAAACAGTTTCCGACTCGGTAGGCAAAAGGCTCAAGCTTGTGGATAATTCATTCAAAGGGGAAGAAGTGGTAGGTGCCAAGGAACCCGAAGCTGATGTTGTTTCAATACCAATCACCTCAGATGACGATTGAACTATTGTAATGGTGCTTAGTGGTAATCCGGAGGTTTCAAATATTGTACTGGTAGCTTCTGGTAATAGCGATGAACTGATAAATTCAGAAGTACTAATGATTTCGGTGCTAAAACTAGATGGAGTGATAACTGCGTCGGTGAATAGAGGTGAGGAAGTTTCAATGCCTCCAACTGATCCCGAAGCAGATGATGCAATCAATATGGTGCTAGTGGCAATCGAAGGAGTGGTGATTTCACTGAAAGGAGGCGAGGTTTCAAAGCCACTGGTTGATGCCAGTATAGATGACTGAACTAACGCGGTGAAACCCGTAGAAGTCCCAGAACTGACAACAGATTGTCCAATATTACTTGAGAGCTCGGAAGCTAGTGATGATTGGACAATGGTACTGGCCGCTTCCGATGAAACTGAAATTAGAAGAGTATTTGAAGCACCGAAAACGGTGGAAGAACCAACTTTATTACTCGATATCTCAGTCGCAGAACTTATTGAGATCACAGGGGATTCAAAAGCACTAGTGAATTGGGACTCGAAAGTACTCGAGGCCCCACTACCAGATACCGCGTTGCTGACAGGTGAAATGGCAGTACTAGATCCAACAAAAGTTGATGGTGGCTGAAGTGAAGATACAGGTTCGGATTCCGAGAATTCGATCGAAGTTGACGGTATTGCCGGCAAGGTGGAACCGCTTTCAAGGGCCAATGAAATGGAGAACGCAGTCGCTGAAATGGAAGCAGACGAAATAGGAGAGCCATCTGCATTATAAGTACAAGTCTCTGGGGGACAATACCCATGGCTACAAGCAAAATCGCAAAGAGGATCATAAAGTTCGGCATCAAACCCAGCAAGAGCATACCCACGAGCACTAGTCTCAGGTGGAGGTGCGATTGCTGAGACTGCATATGCAGTACACGTACATGGATCGGTACACACTCCAAAATTGCAAGTAAATTCGCATAGGTCTGAGTTATCTTGGGAGCTAGATCCAGTTCCTTCAACGCAGAAACCTGATGGACTTGATGATGCAGCAGAAGTTCGTGTTGATGTCGCACTAACTTCCAAAAAGGATGATGCCGAAGAAGATGCAAGACTTGATAGTTCACCTGTTGACAAAGATTCACTGGTGCTTGCAAGTATTGATGACGTCAACAGTGGACCTGGAGTAGATATTATACTGGTCGGAATAGCCGTGAATTCACCGGAGGAAGAGGCCTCAATACTTGCAAGGGAAGTAATTTCACTGACAAGTATAGCCGATGAGCTGATACTGCCTATTTCAGAAATGACGGTGGTACTTGAAACTATCAAAATCACCGAGGATTCAGGTCCAATGGTTGAAAACTGTGTTCCAAAGTCTGTGGAAGCAACAGATGGAAGTTGAGTACTGGATATTTCCAAAGATATGGAAAGAGATGCCGTCAGAGATCCACCAACACTACTAGGTACTCCGGTTGACTCTGATATTGGTCCAATAGTAGCTTCGGAGGGAAGGCTGGTTAACGCTGCGGAAGAACCACTCAAGCTCAATAAGTTAGTGAAAGATGAAGCCGGTCCCGACTGTAATGGGATAGTATCTGTGACGATGCCAATGGTCGTCGTCTGTATGGATAGAGATATAATCGAAGATTCGATAATACTGCTTGGGATTTCAGGCAATCCGGATGTACTGATCTCTCCCATAGATTGAACGATCGAGGTCTCCAAAGCACTATTTACAGCTGATGAAGTACTAGTACCACTTTCAACCGTTGATGAGGTTGGGAGAGATATGAATGTGCTAATCTCCAATACAGTGCTAACCACGAGTGAAGTTATTATGCTAGAAGGTTCAGTAGTACCGGAACCTATGGCTTTGGTCGATGTTTCGACTGATTGAGATTCCAAAGATGGCAGAGAAGTGCTACCAAGTGCTTCAGAGACTAGGCTAGACGGAAATACACTAGTCAGTGGTGTAGAAACAATATTGGTCGTTTCAATAACTACGGAAGAAGCGCCCTGCAACGTCGACGTGAGTTCAAACGAACCGGCACTAGTGGATGTTTCCAGGAGGATGCTCGTCTGCTCCCCATTGGATGTCTGAATAGGACTTATTGTTTCAATCGGATTGGATATCTGGGCAACAGTCGATGTCTCAACAACATTGGATGTTTCCACACCAGTATTTGAAACTATGCCCCCTGTGCTCAGAACAGGGCTCATGGTCAAACTCGCAAATACAGAGCTAGTAATAGATGTGTATATGCTACCACTTTGCCCAATACCATTACCAAAAGTTAGATCGGTACCTGTAAGGCTTGCGGAGGCAGAATTAGCCGTTTCAGAAAGGAATTCTGAGCTGCTAGGAATTGTTGATGACAGTTCCGTAGTAGAAAGCTCTATTCCAACTGATTCAATTGTCGTTGAAGGTACTATGGAGATACCTGATGTGGAAGATGCAGGTGCACTAGCCGCCTCCGAGAAGGAAGATGGCTCCAAGGTGGATGATTCTGTGACAACTTCAATTGTCCTGGAGAGGATCAAAGTTTCAGAAATGACTTCGCTTGTGATAGCTGGTAAGCTGATCGTCACTATGATTGATGGCTCTAGACTCAAGGACTCCAATGTGCTAACTATTTCAATCGAGCTGGATAATGGGACGATACTGATCGTATAGAATAAAGGCTCGCTGGTTGAAGCAGGTAAAGTGGTGGGTTGGACCAAACTAGATTCAAGGGTGATTTGAGCAGTACTTCCAACACTTGATTCTAAGATTGATGTTTCAAAAGAACCAGGAGATGTGGATATAATATTTGAAGTTTCTGACAGTTGTATTGATTGAGCAATTCCCGTGCTTGTTTCAGCAGCGCCAGCCGAATTACTAAAGACCCCAGATGAGCTAGGTTCGATTGAAGTAAAAATTGTGCCAGCTGAAGTTAAGGTGGGAACAAAAGATCCAATGCTGCTCGTGGATTCGAGGCTGAAAATCTCCGAAACCTGTGTCGAGGTGCCAGGTTCAATGCCAGTTGATGTTTCAATAGGAGCTAAGGTATTGCTAGTAGCCTCCGATAATGTTGGTTCAATTGAACCTATCGTAGACACAATAGAACCAATACTGCTTGAAAACGAAAGGCTGGCACTCTCTGATATAATTTCTGATACCTGCGTTGAGCTGATGAACTCAGGACCTGTGGATGCTGGAACTATTACAAGAGTACTACTAGGACCTTCGAAGAGGCTAGATTCAATTGAGCTAGTCGTAGAAACAATGAACTCCAGACCACTAGTGATTTCACCCGTGGATTGGATATCGAAAGTACTTGTAGTGGTACTTCCAGATACTACATTGTTAACAGGCGGAATACCACTGCTGGTTTCAATAAACGAAAAGCTTGATTCAACAGAGACGGATGTGCCAACGAATGTCTGTGTAGGTAAACTCGATTCAATATTGCTTGAGGTCTCAAAAGATTGACTTGACGATCCTGCGGAACTGCTTGGAGCTCCAAGTGTTGATTCGATACTTGATTGAACAGCTACAGTCGTACTAATGAAAGTCTCTGTAGAAATTATCGATCCAAGATTGGTGGAGGCTTGAAATGATTGACTTGGTGACTCTACCGAAGTACTCGTAGCACCAAGGGAGGTTTCCAAGCTTAGAGATGAGGACTCGGTCAAGGTTTTTATTGAGGTGGCAGATAGAACAGCACTGGATTCCTGGATTGTACTTGAAGCAACACTGCTTGATGGAGCTGCTGATAATGCCAAAGACGAAAGAATAGCCGTGCTACTGGCAGCTACAGACGATTGAATGATTGTGCCAGTTTCGGATGGGAAAGTACTCTCACTTTGAGAAACAACATTAGTACTCGTAGAGAGGATCTGGGATATGATTGAAGACCCAGATAATTCAACCGAAGAAAATAATGGTTGACTGCTCAGAGAACTGGACTTAAAGTTTGAAACGATTCCTGTTGAAGACTCTGGGCCAAAGTTTGATAGGCTTTCGGTAATCGAGGATATAATTCCTGCCGAGGTTGATAATATTTCACTAGACAATGGAGTAGAGCTTCCCAATGATGAAGACAAAATAGACGATGGAGCTTCAAAACCAGAAGTTATTGTTCCTTGCGGCTCAGAAACAATCTCTGAGCTTGTTGGGAAACCCACAGTCAGCGAAACGGTATTTCCGACAGAGAAACTCGAATAGCTAGGCTGGACCTCAGTCAAAGATACCTGTACAGATGTTGTTTCGGGCAATTCGGAAGTACTTGTGATTTGAGGCAAAGATGATTGTTCGAAAGTAGAAGAGATTTCAAGCAAAGTCGGTTGTGTCGACGAAGATGTGGATCCAGGCACAGAAGTTTGTTCTGGCAAGGACGATGGATCAAAAGTGGACGTAAATTCAAAAAGAGACGAAGATTCCAATGTCAAAAATGAAGTGGTGGAGAAGCTAGTCATGAATCCAGAAGATTGGGCGGATGAGAATGATGCCAAGCTAGATTCATATGATGAAAGAACTGCTGAAATCGAGCTTTGAACGATAGACGAAGGTATAGCAGATAAAGAAACGGTATCGAAAGTGGACGAAGGTACTTCTGATTCTTGCCCAGAGAAAGTCGACAAAATGAATGATTGAGATTGAGAGAATGACTCTGAGGTAATTGTCGGGAACGAGTAACTAACAGTAGAGGAAGGAATTGTGGTAAAATTGCTAGGCGTTTCCAATGATGAATAAGCATTGAAAGAACTGGCTGTTGACGAAGCAGCGGTTCCTTGAGAAGTAATGAATGACTGTCCAAAAGATGAATATGATACAAAGTAAGACGAACTGGCCACCCCGGACGGTGTGTTCGTGAAGACTGGCGAGCTGGTAGCTAGCAATCCGCTGGAAAGCTCAACTGATGAAAAAGAAGGAGTGACTTCTGCTGAAGTAACGGAGGGGCTTTCCAGACTCGCCGAACTTAGACTAAAAAAGAACTGGTCGATGAAATGGCAGAGGTGGTTGCGGAAGAATCAAATGGTAGCATTAATAATGACACCGTAACACAACCAACTCCAGGTGACAACATCAAGTATAACGAGCCATAACAAGCTTGGATGATATTTGCAGCATTGTATGGTAAGGTCAAACCGATAGAGCAATCTGAATTAATAGTTGCAACAACTGGTTGATATCCAAGTTGCTGAAATTTAGTTGCAGTAGAGAAAAAGATCGCCTCATTTCCTGGATTGTGCAAATCTTGATTAGATGCCAATAAGACAGGATTTCCAAAGAAATCAATAATATTAAATTGAAGTTGACCAGTAGTAGGGGACAACGAGAAGGTCAAGCTTTTTGCCTTATCAGTGGTGAATGATAAAGCATCATCACCGAATGGAACTGGATCCCATAGATATTGTGGTGGCATACCTGTTTGATTCACAAGAATCTTGAAGAATGGAGCGACAGGACATCCAGCGATTGTGGTTGAAGATGCAATAGGTGAGAAAGTTGAAGTGCTTGTTACCAAGCCAACTGTCCCAGAGGGAACTTCAGTACCTGTACTGATTAATTCTGTACTTGATCCAGTAGTTGGAGCAATAGCCGTTGACAATGTTGAAGAAGGTGGTTGAACTGCAACAGCAAAAGCCCGAACTTGGGTACATCCACTTCCTCTTTGAATTTGCGTAGCTGGCGTCAAAATGGTAAATACGCCACTACAGTCAGCCAAAATATTGGCGCCTGTGTTTGCAATATCGAAACCAAGTGAACAATCTGAACCAACAGTGGCAGAATATACTCTCATACTATCAGAAATATGGGCCGCAGTAAATAGTTGAAGAGGAGCTCCTAAAGCGGTCAGTCGAACAGCACCAGTAATTTGTTCACCAGTCGATTGTAATTTGCCATGAAAAGCGTTGCCAAATCCAATGCTGAAAGCGGCAGCTTGTGAGTCTGATGTTACAACAGGCAATGTATCGTAGCCCCATAAACTCTCGGAAGTTCCAGCGTCTGGAAAGTTACGTTGAGATAGATATTGCTTTGGCTTGCCCGGCGCATCAATAACTACATTGAACAGACTTGGAGCACCTGCACAGACATAAGCATATGAAGGACCAGGGCTAGATGTGGATGCTGGAAAGGAGCTTGTGGATGACGGTTGTACGAAGGTCGATGTTACAGCAACGAAAGTTGCGGTTGTAGATCCAGAAACCACACTATTGACGGGAGGAATTCCAGTGGAAGATTCTTCAGGAGATTTAGTCGATAGGATAACAGTTGAAGTCTCTTGGAACTCTCCACTCTGAGTGCTAGATGCCAAAGCACTAGTAGTCGTCTCTCCAACTTCTCCACCTTCGGAAGTAGATGTTGGAGATCCAGTAGTTACCTCAAATTCAGTACTAGATGCCAAAGCACTAGTGGTTGCCTCCCCAACTTCTCCACTCTCGGAAGTAGATGTTGGAGAGCCAGGAGTTACTTCAATACTAGTAGTAATTTCTGGTATTTCTGTTGTGGAAGCAAGACCTGTAGACTCAGCTCCTGGCTCAGTCGTGAGAGCGGGGCCTGTCGTTGTAGCCTCTAAGCCTGTAGTCAAAACAGCTTCAGTAGTAGATTCTGGTGTTTCAATAGTCGTGCTGCTGCTAGATACCGCACTATTGACAGATGGAATAGTGAATCCGGAAGAAGAAGCAAATTTAGAAGTGGTGCTTACTCCGGGTTCTTCGGTATTTACAACCTCGGAAGTGGTAGTCGCTCCTGGTCCTTCACTAGTCAAAACCCCTGAGGTTGTCGCACCAGGTCCTTCACTTATCACTATCTCTGACGTCGGAGTTACCCCTGGTTCCATGGTGCTGACAGGACCTTCCGAGGTTGTGGTGGCTCCTGGTTCCCTAGTGCTCACAACAAGTTCTGAGGTGCTAGTAGCCCCTGGCTCTTCAGTGTTTACGACTTCAGAAGTTGCTGTAGCCCCTGGATCTTCGGTAGTAATGACTTCCGAGGTACTCGTAGCTCCCGGTACTTCGGTGTTAATAACTTCCGAAGTGCTAGTGACTCCTAGTTCCTCTGACGTACTCGTAGCTGATGATCCTTCAGTGTTAATAACTTCCGAAGTGATGGTCGCTGCAGGCTCTTCGGTGTTTACTACCTCGGTACTTGTTACTCCGGGCTCACCTGTGCTGACAAAAGCTTCCGAAGTGCTAGTCGCTCCTGGTTCCTGAGTACTTACGACTTCAAAAGTTGTACTGCTGCCAGTGTTAGATCCAATTGCTTCCCCTGTGGTAGATGTACTTGGTTCCTCAGTTGCAATGACTTCACTCGTTGACGAAGCTCCTAGAGTCTCAGTAGGGATAATTTCCGTGGAAGTAGCAGGTTCCTCGGTGGCAATGACTTCACTCATTGACGAAGCTCCTAGAGTCTCAGTAGGAGTAATTTCTGTGGAAGTAACCCCGGGTTGCTCAGTAACGATAATTTCGCTCGTTGACGAAGCTCCGAGAGTCTCAGTAGGAATAATTTCTGTTGAAGTAGTAGGTTCCTCAGTTACAACGATCTCCGTTGTAGAACTAACGGATATTGGCTCAATGGTAAAAATCCCAGTGGAAGTAGCCACAGGCTCCTCAGTGGCAATGATTTCGGTTGTAGAGCTAGCACTCGGTCCCTCCGTAACGATGATTTCTGTCGATGTAGGACTTGGTACCTCGGTGACGATGATTTCGGTTGTAGAGCTAGCCCCTGGTCCTTCCGTAACGATAGTTTCTGTGGAGGTTGCTGCGGGTACTTCAGTCGAACTGATATCTGTAACAGCAGCTGAGGTTGGTGAAACAAATCCGTCCAGTTCATAAATAATGATCGCTGTTCCGACCGCACGTTTTCTGAGTCTTCTGGGTCGGGACGGTGGTTGGGCAGGACTTCCTCCACATACTTGGGTCGGATTCCCTGGGCATGGGTAAGAGCAATTAGCGGCTGGTTCTGCATCAAGCAATCCGTTCGAGCAATAACAGTGTCCTGGCTCAATTCCAGCATATCTGAATGGGCCCCCTGCATTAGCTGTTGAGCAGAATACGACACAGTCTTCGATTGTATCATAGTCATTTGGATTGACACTCTCAGTAATAGGTGGGGCCAATGGAAAGCCATTGGCCTCATCATCCGGATAACACTCTACTGGATTATAAGTACCAGCTGGTGTAACGGCGGATGAAACACGAGTTGGTTCGGAAGGAGGCTGAGTCGTAGCTCCTGGTTCCTCAGTAGTAACAACTCCTGTCTCTGTAGGCTCAGTAGTCATAGTAGGCAACTCGACCGTTGTTGATATTTCTTCAATGGTAGTCGAAGACCCAGAAACGAAACTATTTACGGGTGGAATGGTGAACCCGGAAGAAGAAGCAAATTCAGAGGATATAGTGGTCGAGCTGCTAAAAATTGCGGATGAAAAGGCTGCAGAAGAAGATGCAAATTCGGAAGATGCGGTGGTCGAGCTACTAAAAATATCCGATGAGGGGGCTGCAGAAGAAGACTGTGTACTAGAGCATTCGGAGGCTGATCATCATTAGAAAGAATTCCACCTTTCATCAAAGCATATGAATATACTCACCATATACAGTAGAAGCCGGTTCTATCACAGTTGTTGTCCCATCAAAAATAGTCGTCGTTCTGCGCTTAACTTCTGTAGCGGTAACATATTCGGTGTGAATCGATGGTGGTGCAGTATACGTAAGGATTGAATAAGAGACATCAGTATAAGTTGTATATTGTGGTACAACCGATATTCTATAACGAGTGACAGTTGAATAAATAGTTGTGGCTTGTGCGTTGACGAAAGGAACGAGTGCAATACCATATGCTGCTACCTGCAGCAGGCACTTTGGAAGTGGAGTTGGACGCATGGTCCTGACGTAGTGTCTAGGTGAACTCTAGTAAATGATATTTGAGGCTCCGAAATGTCTGAAAATAACAAATACTTGAGTTCCGTGTAAAGATCGACGTGAAAAGTGTGTAAAAAGATATTTTTCAAAGAACTGAGGAATATATAGAATACAAACTTTGTTTTTGAATGTGTTACTGGGAAGAATGTGGATGGCGTCTTCCCACGTTAAGGGGAAAATGTACGCGTTGAGGGCGAGGGTAGTTGAGGAATGAGAAATGCTCGTCGTAGCTAGGCAAGATTCCCGTATTGGAATGTGATATCGCACGACAGTCCTTGAAGTATAGAGTAATTTGATTTCAAATAACTTCAAACATGAGTACCACACCATTTAAAGTCACTCGACTTAACAATATGTTCTCATCAAAAGGAACCAACACCCAGGCGATATTGAATGCACCAGCCATTTCACAAACCTAACGACATTAGCAAATTATGGCAGTAAATAGATATCCGTAAACTGACCTTACAATGCTGTGTATATTCACGTGATCACATGCCTTGTTTACCTGCCAAGTAACAATTGAAATGGATGAGCATTCTTCACCAAGTTCACGGCTATGGCGCCAATAAAAGGAAGGTTAACTCTACCGGAAGCATCTCCGAAGGTATGTCTCAAGTGTCAATGCGAAAAAAGCCTCATGTAAAGCATCTAGAAAGAGGCAAAAGCATGCCATATGAAGGATGGGAGGCGCTGCCGAATTCTCATGAAGGATAAGGTTACCACCCGGGTATGAAAAGAAGAAATCAACATGAAGAAGAGCGGAAATTTAATCCACGTGTTTGAAGAAAAAGGTCAAAAGGAAATGAGAAGAAAAAGAAAAGAAAATGAGAGGATCAAAAAAGACAAAAGAGCGAGCGCGAGCTTTTCCCTGTAGAAATTTGAAGGACACCACCACTTCATCATATGCATCCTTATCATCATGTATGTATTCGCACCTTTCTTACTCCCACCAAAGTAAAGTAGAAAGGGGAAGAAAACCCATATCAAACACGGAGCACTGAGTGCGCGTACATCTCCCGAAAAAAATCCCCCAAAGATCATTCTCACATTGCACCTACCTTCGCATCTTCCCACCAACCTTCCCAGCAAATATCTCTTACGCCACTGACATCAACCTTCCAACCATCCCCTTGGAACCAATTTGCTTAATGCCGGGTTCCACTACGTTCCGCAACATGGCTTTATGCTATACATTGAGAAGACAGTAGTTGAGAAGCAAGGGAATTCTATCCTGCATACCAAGCCTTACGAGGATCCTTCTCATAATTTTATTGCGTTATTCCGTCGGGCTGCAGGAAGAGAAACAGGCACGTGTATGTGGCTTTAATGTTAAAAGAAAAAGAAGGAAGGAAGGAAGGAAGAATGAATGAATGGGGCTCTCCTGTCTTGCGAATTGTAATTATTGATCTCCCAGCTAATCTATCTGGGTAAGTATTCTCGTAGGGTCTTGCTACCCGAAAATTCGGCCGTGATAGGCACGTGATACACGCCCTGGCTCCAGACACCAACTTTAGACATTTTCCTTTTTTTTCTAATAATTAGTAATTCCCAGAGTATACTACCGATTCGACCTACAAAGCCCGTAACCTGCGATAGATAGAAAAGAGACGATAACAGCAAGGCAACACAAGATGAGTGATAACCAAGCTTGAGAAGAAGCACTTCTTTAAATATCCTCCCTGCTTCTTCGCCAAACATTAACCACTTCAGACCGTGGCTCTTATCAATCACATCATCATCTGATACACTATAGCATTGTGTACTTCGCTTCGTATAACAGCCTCCTCCCGAGGTCATTTATGATCTACGCCGTAAATTCGACCCTTTCTCATTTTTGAACCATCGAACCAATAGAAATATTTCTAACCTTACTTTACTCATCCAATATTCAGAAACCCTTCATTCTCTAGTATAGCACCAAGTTCAAATCTCAAACCTCCTTCTCAGTAAATCATCCTCTCCTCCTCTCCTCCTCCCCTTATCCCCCTCATCCCCCTCATCCCCCTCACACCCAAATCCATCCACTCTAAACATCTATAACCAATAAACACCCACTTAACAAACACTCAATCAAAACCCTCTAAACCCCATCCCAAACCCAACATTCCCCTTCTTCCCTCCAACCTTTTCAAAAATTACAAATTCAACCAAGTAAAAAATATATATATATATATTCAAATAACATCCCTTTTATTTAAATCTACACAAGAAGACCTCAAACACTTGTATTATTTTTGATAAAAATAAAACCTTGAATATAAATATATAAATTATTATTTTAGTAAATTTCAAATTTAATATTAAATTCAAGTTTAAGGTTCAAAATCATAATTTTAATTGGCAAGTTTAATATTATATTAATTTAGTCTTTTATTTGATTTTGAAAAGTTAAAATGCTTTTGTATATATATATTATATATAAATTTACCCTGTTTTAAATCAAAAGATAAAATAAGTCTTATGAGAGAAAAGACCTCAGTTCAAACCCCTTAAAGAATTCATTCTTAATCCCCAAACATCCCTCGAGCGCCCTACCCACCCTAAGTCCCAAACTCCAAACCCTAAATCCCAAATCCCAAACCCTAAACTCCAGCATCACCGCCCATACTTCATCCAGGCTCCCCTACTTCTCCAAAACCATAAACCCGGCGCCCCCAAACAAACTCAACAAAACCGCCAACGTCGCAAACCCTGCACCTACTCTATCCCCCTCGTAACCAGCAAACTCTGCTTCTCCCCGCACTTCCACTCCCAGTCCCCCACCCATCCCATCCGCATTCCCACTCCCCGCATTATTATTCCCCACACTCGTCCCCCCCGTCCCATTAGTAACGGGCACAAACCCAACACTATCCACTCCGGGGACCGCAACCACAGAACTCATTATCGCACTCAAAGCACTCATCTGCTGACCTATTCCCGTATTCCCATCATATATCTCATCCGTCCATTTAAATCCACATGCATTATTAGGACCAGAACATTGAGAACCTGCTGCTTCAGCGCTGATTTGAAGGAGTGGGAGGAGAGTTTTAGAAGTAAAAGGGGCGAGGATAGAAGTAGAGGCTAGCCAGGCGACAAAGTAGGCTTTGAAGGATAATTGATCGGTATCGCATGTGTTTGCTTTTTCGCATGCTTGTTCCGTGATGATGGAGTTTGTTTTGGTGGAGGCGAAAATGTTGATTGAGGTATTCATGAGTTGGTTTGTGCGTTGTTGCCAGGTTGAATTGCCATCGGTCTAATCAGGAGGAGGAAGCATCGGGTTAGTTTTACTTTCTTCTTCTTTGCTTTGAGGGTGAAAAGCTAAACTAAACGAGGATTCTCGTTTAATCTTCCAAAGTGCAAAGGAGAGAAAAAGGAGAGTACATACATAATTAAACATATTCGCCGCTCCATGCAAGTAAATCCCCGCATTATAACTCCACTGCAAGTGATCCACACTCGCACAATTATCCACATCACTACTCCCATCAAAAATATTATACTTACCATCAATCAACCCTACACTCTGTTCCCACTGCCAAATCTTCTCGGCCCAATCCGCATACGTTTGATTTCCCGTATATCTAGCCAATCTAGCCCCTAGATTAAAGAAACATCCATTCGCAATAGAATTCTTATACGTATAACCATTATTGAAAGGAAAAATCTGCCATCTTAAACCACCTCCACAAGTACTAGTATCCCAACGACTAGCCATTTCGTTAAAGACAGCTTGGGCTAACGCGAGCCATTGTGGTTGATCCGCAGGAGGATTGTGAAAATTTGTTTCTGCAGCTAACATGGCTGCCATACCCCAAAAACCTTGATCATCATTTCCTTCATCTTTGGTTTGATTTTGAGGCATATAATCAGCCATTGGACCGGCTTGAAAAAGAAGAGCTTCAGAGACAATGCTGTTATATGAGGTATCTCCGGTATAGCGCCAATAATCTATTAAAGTCATGAACATGCCACCACCTTCCCACCAAAAGTAAGGAGGAGGTAAAAGTCCTGGGGTTTGACCCTATAGGAGATTAGGAGAGAATTTATTGAAGAATGTGAAGACGTATACGTACTGATTCATTTCCATGATAATATGATATCAAATTTGCAGCCACCAAACTGGCAGCACTCTTTATTGAATCTGAAAGATTGGTTAAATTTATTATCCTCATACAGCAATAACGATCTCAAACATACCAGTTTGTGAAGTATCCACCGTTAGAGCACTAGCACCACTGCAGCCAAGTAACGGCCATAACCAGCTTTGAATCCTCATTCTAAATCAAGCTATAACCAAAAAAAAAAGAAGAGGAAGATAATATTGATAAAATCAAACAATCAAAAGAACAACCCCAAGAAGTGGGAATAGTCTCGAAAAAGCTTAATTTATCTGAACAGCGTGGCGCAGATATAAAAAAGGATCGTAAAGATGACTGCAGACAATAGTGCCATATATATACATGCGGTTAATACAAATAATAATAACCTAGCCCTATCAAAGGAGCTCTGGACCTGGAATCACTTATGTCGTAAGATTGATTGATTACCTACTAGGTATCCCGATCAAGACACCGAGATGAAATAGGTAACAATAAGATACAAATAATGCGAATCTCGAGCACACTGCTTCAAATAACGAGAAAGAGAAGAAAAGAAAAGAGAAGAGAATGAGTAAAAAAAAAAATCAAAAAAAAAATCAAAAAAAAAATCATAAGAACTAATGACTTATAAACAACTATAACTCTAAAGTATCTAAGATTATAGATAATTAAAATTTTAAACAAGAGAGAGATAAAAAGAAAACCAAAAAAACGAAAGAGAAGTTGTTGTTGCAAAGACAAGAAACCTATTAAACTCAAAATACTCAATTATCCAACCCAAAAATCCATCAATCATCACACTACACTACACTATAATACAAAACAAAACAAAATAAAATAAAATAAAATACAAAACTACAAATCAACCACCAAACTTACCCATCCTCTCATCCTCCCAGTAACCCTAACCCCAAAATCACAAAACCAACCAAACAACAAGCACACGAAACCCCACCCGTATCACCAAAAATCCAAAATTCAAAACCAACCTGATACAAAAACCGATTCAGAAAATCCCAGTCCTGATTACTAGGTATTTTCATTAATAGGTTAAATCCTCCCAATTTAATATTTAAACTCAACATTATCAGTACTCCCTCTATAGGTATTCACAAAAATCCCTCTAATTACTTACAGAGGAATTATCATTATCAAAACACATCCGTTACATACATTCAACTCAAGTTATTCCAATTCCAATTCTTAATTCTTAAAATTTTTGGTAACCATTAACCATTATCCATTATCCATCCATCAATCCATCCGTTGATAGGTAGCCATCATCTCATCTCATCTCATTGCAGGCATACATCTCATCTCATTCAAACCCAACCCGTCTCGTTTCCCCTTCTCAACTTCCCAATTCTTTGTCATCACATCCTAATAATTCATCATTTACCAACTCCCCCCGTCCAGACCCACATCCACACTTCTACCACCTCCCCTTCCTCTCCCTCTTTATCCAACCAAGAAGAAGTATCCGCAAAAAAGAGTGAAAAACTATCATTAAAACCAGCCCAAACCTCGCCCACTCCCCTCTCAAAAAGAACGGACAGCTAAAAACGCCATTAAAGGATTCATCACCCATTCCACTCTCCATATTCCCTCCCCAAATAGCAAAAGACCAAAAGCCATAAAAATATTCAAGCTATTGTAATGTGAATGATTCTATAACCTAATGTCAAGCTAGTCTTCCCGAAAAATACAAAATGCCAAAGACCTGCCTCTCTAGCGAAAAAGAGCAAACGTCAAAAGACGGAAGAATTTACAAAGCAATCATGGCAACGACTGCCACAATACTTGCGAATATACTGCCTTTCAGTAATCGTTCTGGATTCGCAATGAGGCGATCGGCACCACTTATGCTAGATGAAGAGGAGGAAGAGCCAGATCCTTGAGAAAATCCACTACTACCAGTTGAAGAAGAAGTGTTGGATGATGATGTTGCTGATCCTGAGCTGGAATCATTACTGCTACTACCGCCGTCCGAATGTGTATCTGGAACACCTCCACCATTAGTACCTGTGAGTCCAGGAACAGTTGCGGCGGTGGAAGCGGGGGCGGAACCAGAAGCAGCTGGTGATTCTCCTGCAGTCATGTTTGATCCCGTAGCCAAGAAGGATGAAAGAATGGTGGCATTATTGGAATCAATCACAGTATTGTTGGTTCCCAGAACACTGTTATAATAATATGACTTTCCGGAATTGGTTCCTGGAGCAGACTTTGCATTGTAGCATGAGATGTCGACAGATTCAAATGAGGCATAATAGTAACCGTTGTTCTTGATATCCTCAGAATCCCAGTCGATTAAACCACCTGCCCAAGCGATAGTTCCAGCACCATTGGTAGCAAGACCACCAGGCCAGAGAGAAAGTTGGACTCTAGCAGGAGTTTGTGGATAGTTCCATTGGTTTGCGGTTGCATTCCAAGTATCTGAGCGCTTCTTTATACGTCCGACTTGTCCATCTACAAGCCAAGTAATCTCATCAGGGGTCCAATCAATTTCGTAAGTGTGGTAATTGGCGTATGTATCGGAAAGAGTGATGTTTAGCTCATTATCATCTAATAAGAGATTAGCATTATTCCTGTGCCCATTGAAAGTTTACTCACAATTCGTAATACCCTGGAAATAGTAATTGGACTGAGCAGTAGTCAATTCCGAACCAACAAATTCATAATCAATTTCATCCTTAACATCCGAGAAAAGAATAAAAGCCGTTATCACACCCTGACCTCTACTTGTCTTAAACTTTGCCTTCACATTTCCATACCACATATAAGTTGAAGTTGCCATAACCGTTCCGACCGAGTTCGCCGACATGGTCAACAACACATTATCATTATAGATAACTGGATCTCCACTATAAACCCAATTTGTCTTTGATGAATCTCCCAAATATTTCGTGTTTGGACTTACACCATCCAAGCTCGTAAAAGTATATGAAGCACTTTCGCAGACGGGTTCGGGTACGCAGGAATCGAGGGAAAATGACATTCGTGGATCACAACCTCCGAGACAATATGCTCCAGTACCACATTCGCCATATTCTGACATGATTAGTATTTTTCCTTGTAATAATAAACTAAAGAATATTACTCACGAGAGCAACATGGAGCATCTTCAGGACAATGACTGTCAAGGCTACACACAGCAGCAAATGCCACTGATGCTGAAGCCAAACCGACCAACAATTTTGATGTTCCCACCATTTTTATATGTATATGCAAGGGTCGAAAGAAGATAAGCACCAAAATCAATACCGAAGCGATTGGCGATATTGAGGACCTTTATGGTGGTACGAATTGTCCGATGGATGGGAAGTTGAATACAGTAGGTACCTAGGTAGGTATGTAATAAAAGTATAAGACTAACGGATAATTGCAGATGAATATCTTCGTATCGAGTGAGTAAGGATGCGATGCGAGTTGATAATTCTCTCTTTTCGAAAGTTATAATTCCCTGGTAAGGCCAATATGCCTATTTCTTTTCTTGTGGTGATGTTGGTAAAACCGTTATGATGTGCATCTACTGATCCTTCATGCAGTTCCTTCCCTGAAATCCGCGCCCAGATAGAAAGTTTAATAGAGTGATTGCTTGCTTGCTTGCTTGCTTGCTTGGCGATGTTGTGTAATGGAAGAATCGATTCCCAAGCGGATATATTTGACAGGAAGGAATATGAATCGTTACGACAAACAACTGGTGATGTCGTGAATGAAAAGTTAATGATTGATTCTTAAAATGATCCAAGCGGGATATGATGAAGGAAAAGGGACAGAAATATCCAGTTTTAATGGGGAGACTAATAACTCCAGAGTCTGAGTCGAGTCTAGGCTGTGATGATGGTGATGGTTGTGATGATCCATGTAATATCAAATATCCCTCGTCTTACCCAACTAGTAGATGTGTGTTATGTCTAAGCGGTTACATCGGATTATATTCAATCTGGGGCTTAGATATTCGCACTTCATTCAAAACTTATACATAACAAGAACATCAAATAGTGCACTTCAAAGATCTTCAATTCCAAAGATATTTCCTCAACCTTATATTCCATTCAAACCTCCATCTTCACAATAAACTTCCCTCGAAATAAACCTAATCTCGATCTTCCCCAGCCATCATCATCATACCGTCCCGACTCAACTTTTCTCACTCAAGTCGCGGAGCTCCCGGTAATTATTTCTATTCCGTATTTCTCTCCGTATTTCTCTCCGTATTTCTCTCCGTATGTCCACCTTCCCCTTCTATTTCCATTTCTATATTTGGCAGAAAGTGGGATCATCCCATCCATCACGCAGCAAAAGTATGGAGAACCTCACCTTATCCACATCATCCAGATCATCCATCCATCTGTCCATCCTCCAATCAACACACTGAGATATATGGAGAATCTCGTACTCATGCCAAGATGGTGACACTGAAGGAGGCAGATAATGAAAAGGAAACGACTCAGTGTGTAAATTTGTAATCTTCACTCATGGGTACGATGAAATACAAGGTGCTTCCTCGAATGATCTTTTTGGCCACCGAGGTGAATACGATGATGACGAGTAAGCACTAGGTAGGTAGGTAGGTACGTGTAATAATGCTGATGGATTGATTGTACAGTACAGTATCTACCAGATAAGTAAATGCTCGAAGTTTGATATTGAAGTATCTCGTTACCCACGTATGTACCATGGAACAAGAGGACTTGCAACATCCATCGTCTTGTGAATAAAAGAACAAAGTTATAAAGTTGAGTACGTAAACTCTAATCCCAATGATCCCCAGGCCCGCTCCCGCTCCGCCCACATTCCGGGGATACCCAGACAAGTCCCAAGTAAAATAAAACCTTAGATCTTGGATTTTTACTTTTTCGGCGCTTACCTAAAATCTTCGAGTCTGGTGTCTGGAGGCTCAACCGCTGGAAATCCTTGAAAATCCCCCACCTGCAAATGCGAAAAATATCTCTTTTGGGAATACCATGGCCATCTTCACCATGCAAAAAGGTGCCACCAGTAAGACTCGGGACTATTTATTAACTGACACTAAGAAAATATCCATGGATCACCACTCACAAGCTATTCATACATACAATCCATTTTGCACCCACGCCAACACCAAGCCCCTCTCTCCCGCAGTCCCACCCCCTCACATACAATATCACCGACCCTTTACAGAGAGAGACCAGGTGAAAACAAAACCATAAATAATCAGCCTTACGAGCACATCATTCCTGCTAGTATCGAACCCAAATCTATCCTGATGAAAGAAACCTAGATATCAATCTTAATTCATGTAATCAATCAATGGGATGTGCTCTAATCTCATGATATGAATCTCGTGCACAAAGGGATGAGAACTGTTGAGTACGTACCTATCCGGACGTCGTCTCGTCTCATCCAGGTCACACTCACCGTTACAGTCACCTCACCTCATCTCATTTCAGGAACATTGTTCCTGGATTTCAAACTTATCGCTTACTTATCTAGTATAACTATCTATCTATAGATAGGTAAGATGATTTGCTAGGTAGCATGTAGTTTGTACACTCATCAATTGCGAGCTATGGAGACTTAGATAGTGAAGGAAGTAACAGAGAAGTATATATATACAAACTATATATTTCGGATTCAGAAGAGATATTTAAATGAATACATGGATGGATATTATACCTAGGTACCTAACATCTATGTGATATTGATAGGTAGATATTATAATAACAACCCCATCAATATCCCACACACCTCCCTTCCAACCCTTCAGAACCCCCTTATTTTCATCCCAAATCCCAAAGTCAAAATGGAATTAAAACCGAAATCCCATATCCCATATCCCATATCCCATCCCACATCCAATCTATTCCATCTAATACCTACCCATCTACCCACCTTACCCACCTACTCACCCACGTATATACAAAGCTCAATCTCAAATCTCAAATCTCAAATCTCAAAACAAAACAAAACATGTACCACTCACTGCCCCTGAGTTTATAATCCCACTTCCCGCAGAACCATTGTTACCTTGTAAGACTAACTTATCATATATACGAATCTAGCTAGTCTAGCTAGCTACCTGTGTAAATATACAATACAATACAATACAATACAAATACAGTACAATACAATAAAATACAGTAATACAAACCCCATCTCATTAAAGAGAAGGTTGATTTAATTTTGTTAATCTTATAAATTTGTGTTCAGATACATAAAATGTGTAGTGTATAATCTAATATATGATCCTATTATAACAAGTATCATCAATTACCACCTCATCACCTCGTCACTTCCAGTTATTTCACCTGGAAAATTGGAAAATTGAAATATTATATTATTACTATGCTACCTATACTACCTATACTACCTATACTACCTATACTATACTCCATTTCCCCTACCTACATTTCCTCTTTGTTTTCCTACCCTATTATCCCAATCCCTCCCTCCTCCAGCCCGACCAATCCCTTCAAATTCATTCAAATCCACTCCCCAAACAAACCTTCAATCACCTACCAAATAATAATCTTATATACGCTCTCCTTATACTCTCTCTACCTTACCATAGCTATCCACCAGATCAACTCACCCTTCTCCACCAACCCCTTCCGAAGAAAAAAAGGGAGGAAAACATATTGAACACCAATTTTTAAAAGCATTCTGACCATCGATACCTCGATACCTCTATACCTCGATTTCTGACCGTTATATAACATAACATAACAAAACGCAATGAAGAAGGAAACAAAACCATCAATTAATCAAACCATTCATCCTTCCTTCATTTCCACCCTTCCCTTCCCCTCCTTTCCACCCTTCCTTCCCTTCCCTCCCTCCCTCCATACACACTCATCAACCCAGCCAACCAACCCCCACTTTCTCACTCACCCCCACTCACCCACTCACCCACTCACCCACTCACCCACTCACCCACTCATCCACCAGCAATCCAGCAATCCAACTACTCGAACCACCCAAAACCAAACATCAAGCACCGGAAAACTTAGAAGACATCACATCACATCAGAGAATTGCAAGAAAAACATCAATCAATCAATCCATCACCAGAACCAAGGAAAGATATCTAGGTGAACAGGTAAACAAAGTTCTTCCTTTCAAAAAAGAAAAAGAAAAAGCATGAGCATAAGCATGCACATGAAAAGGAGATAAAAGCTAAACTCGCCAAAGATTCAAAAATTCTGGGGAAAAAACAGTTCCCATTTCTTTAAACTATCTGTTCATCCATCGACCTGTATACCATGATGCTATCCCAATCCAATCCAATCCAATCCAATCCAATCCAATCCAATCCAATCCAATCCAATCCAATCCAATCCAATCCAATCCAATCCAATCCAATCCAATCCAATCCAATCCAATCCAATCCAATCCAGTCCAGTCCAGTCCAATCCAGTCCAATCCAGTCCAATCCAGTCCAATCCAATCCGAATTCCAATCCCAATCCCAATTCCAATCCCAATCCCAATTCCACTCTCAATCAATCCAAGAAACAAAACTCAACAAGCAAAGAAACAAATCAAACGCATGGATGGAAGGGCATGAGTGAGTAGCACCCAAAAAAATATCAAAAGAACTTGGAACTTTTCTAACAAAGTAAAAAAAAATCCATGCTTGTACATATAAGAGTAGATAGGATAGGTAAGGTAAAGCCATTTCTCCCGAGTCAAAACCCGGTCCTCAAAAACCTCGAGGGTCAAACCTCCGGGATCAAAAACCAAGAACCTAAAGGCCAAAGTACTATACTTCCGAGCTTTCCCCTTCCACAAAAAACAAGGTATTTCGAAGAAAGTATTTTGAAGAATAAGAGTTTCTGAACAAAAAATATGAAGAGAGTATTCCTCCCTTCCCCTCCACCAAGCGCCATCCCTTATATTTTCCCGCCAAAATTATCTTTGGCATATTGTTCGCATGCCTATGGTGAAGGTGGGGAGTTTGGTTAGTTATGGGTTTTTGAAAAGTTGTTCGGTGTATCAATACTACTCGTACCCAAACGCATACAGATGCTACAACAATATATGTATCTAAAGACAAGTATGTCTCAAGAACATACATATACATGTACAAAAAAGAAAAAAAAGAAGTCTAACCTTAGCGGGCTTTCCAACTTTCTGTCCAATAGCCTTCCACTTATTCGCCTCGTAATCCTTGATGGCAGCGAGTAAAGCCTGACTCTATTTAAGCATCAGCACGTACCGTATGCATCATGATGCAAAGACAGAACGTACCTCATCTTCCGCGAATTCCGCATAATGCATGTCCTAAAACCTAGTTAGTGTATGATCTCCATCTATACTACTTTCATCCAAGCGAGACAAGTGTCCGATGCAAAAGAGTATGAGAATGGAAATATGTATTTACCTTGTACCAATGCTTTTTAACACTTCCTTCAGTTCTTGCTGGGAAAGTCTGCAAAAACAAATTCAGATTCAAAGTCTTAGTTTTGTCTCAAGGCTTTGTGCGACTTGACATGAAATCTCTTTTTAAATTGTCCCAATAGTTGACTTTTGTTTTATCTTACCTTTGCGATATCCGCCCAGCTATTACCTGCATCTCTCATATTCTTTAATCTTTGCTCTTCAGCAGGCGTCCAAGGAGTATTGGTACGACTCTTTTTGGCTGGTGGTGCCATCGACGTTGCCATATTCGGATCATCTAAGCCCCCTGAAGAAGGTCCTGCAATAGATGAACCAGACTGCATGTTGAAAGCTGAAGTATTCGTCGCAGTCGCTGGACCCGAGGCGCGCCTCTTATTTCGAGCACTAGCTGGCGAAGGGATCTCAGATTTGAGAGTAGACGTGTCACTGGTCGATGGATGATTGTGTGAGAGAGAGAAGCTCGCGTTAGGATCGATTTCTTGTCTATCTACACGCTTAGACATTGGATGAATGGGTGGGGGTGAGTGCGCGGGGAACGTAAAGAAGGCAGAGAAATCTTCGAGGTCGGGAAGGTTCGAGAAGTTTTTGGGTGGTTGTTGCGCGAGAGAGGTGTCGGAGGGAGCTACAGGCTCGCGTGTGGATTGGTTCATAAGATCGCCGTGTGAGGCTGGGGTATTGGTACAAAGGTACCTACGTTCTCATGTACTTGGGAACGTTTGAATGTGGTCAACAGGGCTGACATCCCTTTCTTTGCATATCTTTCCGAAGACCGTTGGAAGCGCTTGGCACCACTTCGGATCCTAGGACAACCCGTAAGGCGTCTGGGGAAGTGGAGAGGTTGAATGATATAGTCGATGGTCCATTCATCTAATATGGTGTGACGAGCAAGAATTTGTGTGAAGATTTGATGACGGGGGATTTTGTTGTTATAGGTGTGATCTGATGACTAGACGGGAGGCGACCACAACTTGACATTAAGTATCCTCGGTACATGTTCTTGGAAACATGTGGACAAGGAATAAAACCCGGAAGAAACAATAATAAATATGCCTGTCTACGATCGGGCCACAGTACATACATGGTACCGATGGGTACTTGTAATGACTTCTGGGCGCTTGAGGAGCCAGTTATAGGTCTATCGCGCACGCTACAAAACTTTTGGGATGCATCGCCATAATTCCAAGGTATTGGCCATGTATTAAGATATATTTGTACTTCTAAATTTCTCATTTCCAGCGCGGCTTGCGAGGACGGAAAGTGAAGGGACGGCTCGAATTGCTATAACAGGCTGACAATTGGTGTGGGTGAGAAATGAGCATACATGAATGGGTTAATATCCATGTATTTTCCGAGTGGAAAGGATCGCCAGATCCACGTCTGCGTTTATGTGTAGACATTTGTGTTACCACTAGGACCTAGGGTTTATAGAAGTCCTCTCTAGGTAGTAATGACGAGGAAACACCAGAGGCCCAAAGCCTTTCGTATTTCTCCGGCATTTTGGTTACACCAGGCAGGGGATGAACGTGGGTTGTTGGTGAAGAGGATGCAGTTGATTGCATTTCATAATTTTCCTTGTCCACGGAGAGCAGTAAGTCATCGTGATGCAGAATTTCTGCCGGCTTTTACTTGGTTGCTTCAGCTCGCCGTGCAGTAAGATGCATGTAATGGTGTGAATAGAATTTCTTGATTGGAGGTTGAAAAAATGTCGATTGTCTGAGCAGAGATCTGAATGGTTGTAAGAATAGTCTTGTCGTTTAAACTAGAACCGAAAGCTGCGGGGTATGCAACATCCAGTACAGCTAGTTAGAATCATATTAACAAACGAAATTATGACCTTGGAGCTTCTCATTTAAAACCATCTCACCGATATGTCCACTGTTTCTTTGTATTCATTTCTGTAACTGCCATGAAGTATTAATCAATATTGCTCTCGTTGGAAGAATAATGATGTAGTATATCCTAATTCGGGGAAATATCCCAGCAATTATTGCCCTCGTATGAAAACCTTGAAATCAAAGCGGTGTATAGAGGATTCATGTTCTAGATGAGGCTATCGTACTTCTCCCCCTTCTCATCAAGATCTTGGCTTGACTTTGTTGTCACTATCAGGTCAATATGAATTGGTCCGTCACCGTTCGTGGCACCCCCCTATCTAATTTCTGTTCCCCTCTAGGTTGGTTTCCGTCCCTTATTAATTGACCATCCATTGCAGGTCCATGCGTGTACGAGGCATCAAGTTGGCAGTGTTTGGTTAATCTGACAGCATGTGTCCCTTGAAATCAATTACATATATCTCCGTGGGTACAGTACAAGTAATGACCTTTGGGTTACCTTGATAATGCAGGTAAATAATAAGGCCAAGGTATAGGGCGTAAAGTGTTCATTGTGAATGGTAGAAATGTTTGCTATCAACTGCAAGGCGTTCCCGATGATTCGAAATGGCGTTGCTTCGCCGCAGCCTGCACCAGATACTCGCCGACATAGTTCAAATCCCCAATGCGAAATGATTGGAAAAGCGGTATATGGACTCGATGACACTTCCGTGCCGGTTATTGGATAATGGACGGGATCCTCGGGCCGTGATTGGAAAGGAGTGGTTGGGATTCCATACCCAATAACATGACTGGTGGGACCCGACCGTTTGGATTGTTTTTTCAAACAATAGATTTGAGCTTTCGAAATCCAAAACGAAGAGTTGAACTATAGCAAACAAGCATTTTTAGCTTTTTAGATGTTTGTTTCAGGTGGACCTCAAGAGGAATTGAGGGCATCCAAAAGCTGCCAGGTGTTACTCATCCGAGGAACACTAAAAGAGTGTTCCGTGTTGAAACGGCTTTTATTTTTTCATTTGTTTTGTTTGATGTTAATGTTTTAAGGTAACGACAGCCCCCTCAGGTTCGTTCCTCGGAGGTTTTGAGATGGTGGGTTCACCTGGTGGTTGTTTAGTTTTGTTTCTTCATAAAACAATTGTATGCTTGAGGTGACCCGTGACTATTTCCTCCTTGACGGCTATATTATGGCAGTGAGAGAAACTACAAACTACCATACCTCGTGAACAATGAGCTGTGGTGAGACTGTCAAATTGAATACCTCCGGATACATGCATGATCTTGGCTAACCAAAGGAACGGTGTTATGTATCCTGGCGTATCTGCACCTAGCCATACTTGTCAAACTATAAGATAAGTTATCGGAGGAAAAGGATGCCGGTCAGTCGCATCCGACCATCTGCTGTGAAGTCCGAGAGAAAAACAAGTCGTTATCATCACGTGCTGTACACGTGAAAAGATTATGCGAAGTGGAATGCACGGACTTTTATACTTGTGCTGGAGTAAAAGAAGCCATCTACAAGATCTCACATTATAACATGTATTGTTTCAATTGCATCTTGTTACCTCCATCTGACAATATTTGAAAAGATCCTTTGATTCGGATAAGTGAAATCCGACCATTGGGGATGAGAGGTGTGTGAGAGAAGGGTGAGACCTGGGCGAGAGACGGGGAGGATAGAACAAGTTTCTAAAAGTTCCATGGTGGAAATTTGCGGAGGAGAAATGATGACAGGATTTAATAAGAATCAAAACACAGCATGTCGTCCAAATGAACCTTAACCAACAAGCCATCATGTATCTTGCAGGTTGAAGGTTGAAGGTCGTAACCAAAGGTACAACAGCGCGACCGGCGCATAAATAATCTCAATGGACAATGAATGTATTCCTCGGACCAACTTCAATCATTTTTATTGGTGACGTGTTTTCCTCACCAAGGTAATATTACCATACCTACACCTGGTAATATGTATGATCTCCCTCTCCCATTATGAAAATCTTTCGTTTTCATGTGATGACCTCGAGACATAATGGGTGACAGAATTTCATCGACCTTGTTTGAGGCCCACGCCACCATATTAAACCTTGACCCATTTCATCCATTTCACCATTTCATCACTTCATCCATTTCATCCATTTCATCCAATACTTCAAAACAATTGTTGCCCAGCAAATGTATTCTTATCTAATGTAGATTCAGGAGACGTCTTTACCATTATTGGTATGGTCTCTCGTATGTATATCACATGTATACGTGCACGGGGTAAATTGAATATTGTGGGCTATAGACCTATAGACCTCACAAATGTAAGTCTTACATTGAACAAGGTTGAAAGTAAGCTTAACGCCGGTGAGTTATTCAATTTAGGGTAGGTGCGGTGGGCGCGGTGGGTGCGGTGGGTGCTAGAGTAGAAGAGTAGAGGAGTAGAGGGTGCTAGACAAGGGTGGGATTAACGACTTCCTCCTTCCCCCCTTCCCCTTCACAAGCTTGGCTAATAAGGCCTCCATCTGAAAAAATAAAGAAAATATAAAAAATATAAAAAATAAATATCCCAATTAGTCCATCTTCCACGTTTCGAGATTCCCACCATACCCTTTGAGTTCAATCTTTCTTATCCTTCCACGGCTGCGTAACGATCCAATTGCAAACTTAAGCATGCCACCCTCGAGCTCTTTAATAAGTAGGTACATCAACATGGCTTATACCTTATACCTTATCCCTTATCCCTCATCCCTATCCCTTTCACTTACTTTCCTATAGGGCTGTTGTGGCTGTCAAAATTAAAGCCCTTGGTGTCTTGGTGCCAATACCTCGTACACCCAGACTTGCCCAGACCTACCCACAGTAGCTATACACTCCTTTAGGGTGATACCTTACCCCAAAAGATCGGACGTTCACCCTTCCGGATACTTGCCAATCTCATTTTTCTACACTTGTATTGCTTCAATCTGCAAAATTGTCTATCTTACATGATTTGAGACGAACAATGAAAAGGAAGTTGGAAATATCGCTTCGATCATTTGACTCGAAAAGCTCCAATCATTCCAATATCTCAAAATACCTCGAAACATCTTATGCAAGAATACTTCATTAATTTCAGACTTTAACCCCATTATTCTAACCCGACCAACCGTCTAACTCTGATCAATACCGACCAACCTCCCGACTTAGTCCTCTTAAGCTTTCCTTGATTCAGATTGGGGAGAGAGCCAAAGGACGTTTGTGGTATTTCCTGCGAATGCCATAGCTTTGAGTTAACACAACGTTTCTTAGCACCTTGGCCAAGTAGAGATCGGTGCCGTGCCTGTGCGTGTGCGGGTGCGACGAGAAATATGCTGACACTATCCTATTTCGGATTTGTTTGCTCCTATTATTAACCTGTCATTCATCGTTAGTACCTTTAATTGCTCAAGTATCGATGGCATAGGGCAGGATAGGTGGTACTAATGAGCCATTCAAAACGCCCTCTAAATGCTCCAAACACTCAAACACCAAGCATGATCAAAGAGGCGCGCGGTGATTGTTCCAACTTTGGTCTTAATTACGTCCGATTTCCCTGATTATTCATGCACTCGAAGCTTTTTACTAGGGAGGGGGAATGAGATAAGTTTTTTAAAGTCCTTGGATTTGGTGGCTCGAGGGTCAAAATGAGGGTCAGTGAGGGTCACCCCAATCCCAGCACGAAACTCTTCGAAACTCGCTTCCCCTCGACCCCTCTAGGTATTGTAACATTGCAGAAATCGTCAATTTCAATATTTCATACTTTGTTAATGTTCATTGCGACAATATAGTCTTAATTACACAGCAAGTGTGATATGCCTAATGAAAGAACACCATATTGCGGAAGTCACATGGATGTTATGGAAAGTTCAACCATCCAAGAGGTAGCATTTATGGAGATTCATTTCCCGGTGGACATCTTGGAAAGTTTTCCTGCGAGATGCGAGATATTGAAGCAGGTTTTGAATGTCATCGAGGTTATCATATTTGAGACCCCGCCTCAAACGTCAAACAGAGATTTGCATCATTAAACCTCGTATCTGGGAAACACTCTCTTGATGCAGAAACGGGACGAAAACTCATGGAGATATGCAACTCTACCCATGCAAAATCAGAAACTGTGATGAACATCGATTCCTCGTCATTCCCTGCAAGAACGTTTTGAACTCCATATGTCTCTGAACTTGGTCTTATCGATACTCCAGACAACCAAGTCGATTCTTCATATAATATACATCGTTCTGCTCTTTAAGTTTTTTTTCCTTCTTTCTCTACACTTGACGTGACTACTTATTTCGCAGCTAATTTTTACTTTCCTTTCTTTACCAACTGGCTTGGCTGCTTTACATTCTTTATTGTAGTTATATCTAGTTTTACTTGCTCCATATAACTCTTTTATAATCTCGACTTTTTGACAAAGATTACATTCTACTACAACAACATTATAAAAACATCCTCAATTTTTCGATTACCAATCAACCATCTCTTACAAAATATACTCTTCGGCTTTTCAGCATAACAGTTTCCAATTGAAACACAAATCAACAGCTATCATGTCTTCGAACCAAATGAACACCCAAGTGGCATCATCTACATACGTTCCAGTCGACGTGACCCAACGACACGAATATGGCATCCAGAAGAATCGTAAAATAGCTTCTACTGGTGGTGGCAGAGCATGGAGCGAGGATGAGGTACGAATAGAATTAAACATGTCATAAAGAAACTTACTAACCAAGTTCTCTATAGGAGGTTTATCTCTTGCAAACTCGCCTTCAGAAAATGCCTTATAAGCACATAGCTTCGCATTTGAAAAAGACTGAATTGGCTTGCCGTCTTCACTACCATCAATTGTCCCATGGAAGCAATCGCCGCAAGCGCACTAACTCGATGAACTCTTCCGACAGCTCTGCATCGGAATCTTCGGTCCTCCCTCTTCGGCTACCATCCCCAATCAACGAAACTAAACATCTCCCAGCGACACCACCTACCTACAACTACTCACCCCAATCACCTCATCATGTTCAGCTCCCATCGGCATCTTCACTCCTATCTCGCTCAGCTTCTAACAGTCCTTCTCGAACTTTTGGCCACCCAATTGCTATTCTACCCAAGCCATGTCCTTCTCGATGTGCAATTACTGATTCCGCCGCTAATCAAACCCTCCGCCTCGACTGTATCATGACGTCAACGCCAGTCACCGTTGCCAGTGTTGACAAGGAGCGTCTCCGTCGTGTTTACGAAGCTCATCGAAACTCCTTCTGGAACGTTATCGCATCTGAGTATGGTGGAGGTGTATCCCCTCTGTTGTTAGAGGAAACCTGGAAGCAAGATGTTGCATCCAAGGAGCCACCAACCCCATGTGTATCTCCGGATATGTCAAATATCAACCCAGCAAGTTATCACTACAACACGCAAGCTCCTCCACGATTGCCATCGCCCGCTCAGGAAGCCAAGAACAACGCTACCAGTATTTCAGCACTTCTCGGTATCGATGCTAGTCCTCGCAGCCCTAAAGAGAGAGAAATGATCAAGAGATTGGAAGAAAGCAGGGAGATGTCTTGAATGACTTTTCTTTTCATTTTCGCTCATAGCTATTCGCGATTTCCGCATCTAGTGATTCACAAGAAATGGTACTTTTATTGGCAAGAATACATGAACTGATGATGGAAAGGGTGGGGGAAGGGAGTTTATGGATGAAAATTTGAGCATTTGCGCGATGATCTATCCTTCTCGGCGCAACAAATGGGACATTCAAATCTATCTGTCTATCAATATTTTCCAGCAGGGTACTCATACCCATACAATAGCAAGCTTTGATCGCAATAGATACCAAAGGTGGAAACACGTATGAAATTCAAATCTAACTATCACCTACCTACCTAGTACTATTTCTCCTGATTGTTTTGCGAATCGTTTATTTGTTTATTTGTTTACCTGCGTACTCCGTGATTTCAAAACATTCCTCTGGTTTCATGCATCCTTTTCGGAAACCTATAAGATGACGTCTCAAACAATATGGTATCCACCAAAATGCATGAATTGAAGATCAGATGAAACGTTTCGGATTTTTCTTTTGAAGTACTTGTGTTTATGATAAATTGATATTGCTTTTGGGTATATTTTGAATTATTCATGAATTATTCATGAACTGGAAAAAGTAAATAGGCCGGTGGAGGTTTGATGGTCGTTCATTCAAAGTTAACCTTTGTCAGTCAGTGTCGGAATCCTTATTTAGTGGGGATTTCGGGGATGATAGGACCCCGGAAATAAAATATATTTAGTACTGTACCCGTGCTCGAGTGTGGCACTTAACGTAAATGGTGTCGGGTATAAGGAAAGCTTACCTAGTGATTATTAGAGTAACTGACATTTTATTTAGCCTTAGCCCAGATCTCAAAATATTTCCTTTCTCCCCTTTTCCTATCATTTCATTTTCTTTTCCTCACAATGTTAAACCCACTTTTCAAATATGGCTCTCGTCGTCTCCATAACATCAAGCCTGCAGCCGCAGCCGCATCTGTATACGCCGATACCCTCCTCCAAGACTGGAAATCGCAATCGCAATCGCGTGAATCCTTAATCCGTTCACAATTCCTCGATATAAATCAACTCCGCAGATTAAATGCTACGCTTCCTTTTCCTAGTGTCTTTGCCGCTCCCGCCACTACCGCTACCCATAAGATTCCCGTTCCCATTCCTCCATGTCACCATCTTGTATATTTCACTCCATCGGATGCCGAGCATAAATTGGGACCTGATGGATCAGATAGGATATTCAATCCGCCAGGACCTTTTACAAGAAGAATGTGGGCTGGAGGGGAATTGGAATGGGTTAGTGGGAATGAGCTAGCTGTGGGACAGAAGGTAGTGGAGAAGACGAAGTTGGAAAGTGCCGAGGCGAAGAGGACGAGAAATGGAGAGGATATGCTGGTTGTGAGGGTGGAGAAGAAGTTTGAGAATTCGGAAGGACTTGCGCTTGTGGATCGAAGGTATGTGACACTTATTTTGCTATGATGTTGCATTCAAAAGAAAGTTATACACATGGAGTGGAGATGAGGTAGATTTGTTTTCATAATTCTGTAACTGACTATACATACTAATTCAACGCACAACCAGGAATTGGATATTCAGGCGAGCAATTGATCCGAGTAATCCCCTTCCTCTTCCACCATTACCTCTTCGTACTCCATTTCCCTCCGCCCCATACATGCGCGATATCACTCATACCTCCGTATCCCTATTCCGTTTCTCGGCTCTAACGTTCAACGCGCATAAAATACATTATAACCGTGAATGTTGTCGGGGAGTAGAGGGACATCGGGATTGTGTTGTGCATGGTCCGTTGAATTTGATACATATGGTTGATTTCTGGAGATATGTTATAGAAGAGAAAGAGGGAAAAGCTACAGGGGATCATATTGGTAAAGTAATATTGCCCAAAAAAGTCACATATAGAGCTACGAGTCCGCTTTATGTAGGAGAGGAATATAGGATATTGATGGATGAGGAAAAAGAAGGGGTCTCTGAGATGAAGATTGTAGATGGATTTGGGAACGTGGCCATGGTAGGTAAAATTGAACGTTAGTGATGTTTATATTGTGGAAGATTGTTAAAGTCCGAGAAGATGTTGTGTTGCTGCAACTATATCGGACAATATAGAGTACAGTATATCCCATTGTATATATCCTTGCACTCATCTTAGCTTCAGGATGTTGTGTGCATCTTCCCTCGCCTGTACCTTCTCGTCCAACCAGACTATCGAACCTTCACGTATGCAGCTTTTAGCCAGGATTTGAACATCTTCAGAAGTATCGTTGGATTTGGGATCTCATTTATCAGAATCATCGTTGGTTTGGGATTTTCATTTATCATTAAGATACAGTCTCATTATTATGCAATACAAAATTCGAATGCCTATTCAGCTTAAGGAAAAGGCTGGCAGGTCGTGGCCAAATTTCCGGTCGACAAGAACTCGAGCTTTGAGACATTGTCTCCCTCTCCCAATACCAAGTCAAACGTTGTCGACCACTGTATCGTATCAATTGGCTTTGTCGCTGTGAAAAGATAGTATCCAGCAATCTCCTCGCTCGCTTTCTCCATAACTGTACGTTGTACTTCCAATTGACTTATGATTACGCCTTGGGTGGCGCGTTTGTAAACCCAGTCAAACGCTACAGGTTCCCCGGCACGATCGGCGCGGACCGCGGCAGTGATGGTTAGATTCCACTGACCAGCTTCATTCACGGATATTTGTGGTTGACAGGATTGTGGTGCTTGCAAAAGAATTGCGTCGGAGACGGGAAACCCGAGGCCATTGTTAGTGTTGATCTCATCAGCTTCGCCAGCTGTATGGATGATAACGTCGAAAGATGAGATGCTTGATGTAACATCGAAAACAGTGTCGATTTCATAGAAGGTGAAGACCTCCCTGTCGAATCCATAGCTTTGGCCAAGTTGCCAGTGAGCGCGTTCGGTTGAGATGGTGGTGTTTGAGAGGTTGTTATTACGATCACGGTATCGAAGGGATACGGTCACGTCGTCGGCATTGCGGTGGGTGGTACGCACGCGGATAGAGCCTGCGAAGGATAATGTGTTATTTGCACCTAAGGAGAGGGAAAGCTCGGTTGGCTTCACTTCGATGGGTGTGATGACTTCCGAAAGTGTGACGGCTGCAGGAACAGTGTCGATCATACGCGCAAAAATGTCGCGGCACTGCGCTTGGAAATTAGTTGGATCTGCTAGGGCAGTCATGGTTTTGTTGTTATCAGCACCGAAGATACGCTTGTCGGAATTAAACGTGTCGTTTTTACCAACCACGAGCACGTCGATTGATTTATCATCTAGATATTCGGTTACGATGCTGTTGGTAAAGTTGTCGTATTGGCTGTTGAAATGTGGGAAACTAGTGACGCTACTATCACCAGTAATCTGAGGGAAATCAACACCATGAACTCCTCCGAGAACATGTCCACATGCTACCATGGTAATCATCTCGGTAGTGTTGAAGCCCTGCTTTGCGAAAATTGCAGTGTGCGTTGCCAAATCTTGATCAGGTTCGGGAACACCAGGTACACCAGCCTTCACGGCATCGATTCGTCCACCTCGGAATGGAATAATTGGACCTCCGCATGCCATGGATGAAACAACGACAGACATGGCAAGAAGATCAGACGCCGACGATCTGATTGAGAAATAGTTGTTTGTGAATCCAAAGGTCCCATTGAAAGCCGAACCAGGGTTCTCCGCACGACCAAGCTCATAAGCTATCGATGCATCCAATCCTCCAAGACCCGTCTCTACATCATGCGTTGCCATATCATGGTAGGCGGTTTTGACCCATTCTGCAGCCGTCTGTCGATTACTCCCATCAGCTGAGAAACCGCATGGCGTAACACCTATTTTATTTTGAAAATTAATATATGCTCTGATTGAAGATTGCTGAAGATGTATATATATATATATATAGATATATTTTTTTTTCTATTCCAACGACTTACCATCTCTAAATCCGTAGCGTCTATATCCTGCTTGTAGGTAGAGAATATCCTCTAATTCGTCGTATTTTGAAGGCCAGGTATATGCTGCGTTTACAGATAGTATGGGCAATAAGCCCATACTGATCAGGGATTGTGTTTTCATTTTTTTTTTTTCGGTTTTGAAGAGGAAAATTATTGGGGGGAATTATTTATAGGGAATAATAATCGGGTGTAATAAATGATTGATTGATTGATTATTTATTAACAATATCGAAAAACTCTGTAGCTAGGTAGGTAGCATAGAATGGGAATTATATATATATTTATGGATGGCTGGATGTGCAGTAAGTGGATTGCAATTGAACGGTGAAGGTGAAGCCCATAATACGGAGTAACTCAAGACTTGAGATTGATTATATTAATTCATTCATTCATTCATTCATCGTTCAATTGTAATGCAAGATCTAATTCGATAATACGAATGAATGTGACTTCATGTGCCAAGAGCCCCCTTTTTTTTCCCTACATATGTACTGTACTTGGTTTCTCGTTTCTCGTATTTTGCTCCTTGGTTTCTCGTATCTCGTATCTTGGATCTTGTGGCTCGTGTTGGTGGGCTGTTTGTGTGAAGTGTTTGTGTGGGTTTATTGCGTTTGTGTTGGATGTGAATGGATGGATGGATGTGTAGTGAGTGAGGATGTGTAGTGAGTGTGTATGTATGTGTATGTGTATGTGTATGCGTACTTCGTATGTATGTGAGACTTTTTCCTTCTTGGGTTTCTAGAATGCGATTAGAGGTTAGAGACTAGATAGGCAAGAGAAGATTTCGCGGTGTGTGTGTGGGGTTGGAATGGAATTTGTCCTTTGAGCGGGAGGAAGAGGGAGGTGGGAGGAGGAAACTCAGGAAAGGGAGGAATGGGATCCGATGTATAGGTGGGTAATGGTGGGGATTTATTTATGGGATGGCATGATGTATATTATTCCGCACGTACAGAGGGAGCAAGTACCGAGGAGGGATACCGGTTTCACGATTTTAGTACTTCTCTCTAAGCTTCTAAGATTTATAAGGTTTATTTCTATGGATGCGTTTTCAGAGTTTGTCTTGATTGTCTTATCTTTATTTGGTTTGGTGTGTTGCTCACACTAGACACTAGATGCGAATAAGGTTATCCGGCTTTTGTCCGTACTCTGTACGGGATTTTCCCGTTGTAGATCCCATAACCTTAACCTTCATTAGCTTGTGTGGATTTCATATCGTAATGGGGAGGAGATGATTGGTTCGTTAAGGGGGGATAGTATAGTAAAGGAGGTGAGTCGTGTAGTAGGGGATACAAATTCTGTAGATGCCTTAAGATCTCAAATGGATATAAGGGATTCCTCTTTATAAGGGGTTCGATTGCTCGAATTTTCCAGTCTCTTATAACCAGGTTCTACTGTATTATCTGCCGCAGTTATCAATTTGGATCTCTATATCTTGACTTGGGGCATCGGCCAACTCGTTTGAATGTTCAAGACATTCACAGATTTGGTGGCGCGTCTGAGGCGTTGATCCTATGATAACCTTTCTGGTTTGATGATTTCCGACATTGAATTTGAAAGGTTTAATTTCTAAGTTTCAAACGTTTTGAACATTACAACTGTTTAAGGCCTCAGCGCAGAATTTTAGTCCTGCCCATCTACAAACTGAGGCCTCAACACATGGTGAACCGTTTGGGATGGCTATCACGTGATGGATAGATCGAACAGAGGATAGCTTGGATAGACAGTCTATCCATTCGATCCTTATGTTTAAGAAAGTAATAGTCTAGATCGTTTTCTTATTCCAGCGCTTCGTGCTCAACTTAGTTATCAATTAGTTTACCCATATTCTACTTGATCTAGTAACAACTTCACTTCCGTTGAATACCCCCTGTGATATAACTGTCGGGATATTGATCACGTAAGCACTTTGACGCTAGTGCTTCGGCACATCTCCAAAGTTCTAGATCTTCAAGGCTTCAGGCAATCAATACGAGGATACATATTGAAGCACCATTTCCCCATACCCCGCACTACCGGCCGACAATACGCACAACATACCAACCCGACGGACCTGGGGCATCATTGGCCTTGAAAGTACCGGATCGTTACAGCATCGTAGCACCCTTCAAAGCTCGAAGGTCCCAACCTCGTTTCTCTGCTGTGTATTCTGTGGGGCATTGATCATGAATGATACGATAGAGTTTTGATTCGACTTGGAATCTGCTCTCCCTATCAGATCTTTGGTGATCGATGTGCTTAAATCGTTACACACTGATATCTCGTTCTATGCTTTGAACAAGCCACAGTCTCAAAAAAGGGGTCTTCACTGATCGAGTGTCAGTAAATGACTAAATGGCAATCAATAAAGTTTACTGACATTCGATCAGTTAATGATTGAATGCTAAACAATAAAGGTTACTGATCGAGTGTCAGTAAATGACTAAATGGCAAGCAATGAAGTTTACTGATCGAGTACCAGTAAATAACTGATACTTTGCCTCTTCCCTTGGGCTGGAATGAGTGTAAAATCTGAAGCTTCACTAAGGGCCTCAAAGTTAGCCACAAGTACAGGACTATCGCAACTTGAGTACGCTTAGAGTTAGCACCTCTCTCTAGGCTTTCTGCACAGGTCCAAGCACAAAAGCCATTAGAGCCAAAAAGCAGGGATCTTGCTTGATCATTGAAGGTTTGGAGGTCAAATGATATGAATATGCGATTTTGAATATGCTCTTCTGTAATTATACGAACAGTTTCGTCGCAAGGGATCTGGACAGCAATGTGTTGTTAAGTTTACTCCGTATTGTGAAATAAGATTTATGTATTGGAATATGTATTGGAATTACAAGCAGCAAAGTGAGTTATATGGACAAGCATTTCTAGGAAAACTTGCTTATCCATCGAAAGTTTGAAAAAGTCAAGTATTTGTTTGCACCCCTAAGGAAGCACCAAATACTATGCATACGTAAAAATCCCTCATGGAAGGACCCCTAAATTTGCATGGGAAGGACACAATGCATCTAGATTTACTAGGCAATTGGTCCAAAAATAAGACTCTCAAAATTTGCAGTATAGTATACAAAAGAAGTATTCCAAATTCGGCAAAAGTGGGGCTACATCACTTCGATCAATAATTACCTTCTAGAAGAATATTTAGTTCAAAATTAGTTCAGCATCGATAACTTTGATCCAAAACTAGTAATTTTAGTTCAAAGTTAATAATATAAAGATATTTTTGCAAAGTATTTTTTAACTTTTATCATATTGAAGTACAGTTTCAAATCGCATAGGAAGTGTGTTTAGTTAAACCTAATCAATTTGTACTCATTGGCCTTCGAAAAAACCTTCTTTCTTGTGTCGAGATATTGCTTTGCGGAAAGGAGGTACTGGCGGGAGGAGGGAGAATTTCCGACTCTTGATGGACTTCTGGACATCATGATTCTTGAGGTCAACGGGTATATAAGGATGCTCAATCTCTCGAGATTTTCGAATATCATGCACTCATCAACTCACACAACAACCAACACACAACACACAACAAACAACACACAACACACAACTGACAGTCAAGCAAACCAATCACCAAACTTCCCTCTCCAATAATCAATCAGCAACTTCATTTCAAACAATCATCATGATTTCAATCAAGACCCTCGCTATCCTCTTGTTCTCTGCTATGGCAGTTGACGCCGCCGGAGTCGTTGGCAAAGCTGAAGGTTTCGCCGCTGGAGCCACTGGAGGTGGATCTGCTGCTGCCGCATCCCCAGCAAACCTCAACGAGCTTATTAACTGGCTCTCCGATGGAGTTGCCCGTACCATTGTCCTTGACAAGACTTGGGATTTCACAGGCTCTATGGGCTCAAAAACCGAGAAGGGCTGCAAACCCCGCTCAAACACATGCCCCAATGGTACCGGACAGGATTCGATCGATATCAATGGTTGGTGTGAACAGGATGCAAATGCCGATCAAAGTATCGCCAAGCCAGTTATCACTTATGATGTCGCCGGTATTCCTCCAAGTGCTATCAAGCTCGGTTCTAACAAATCCATTATTGGAGTTGGATCTGCTGGAAAGATTAAGGGTAGAGGTTTCTACATTGCAGGTGCCAAGAATATTATTATCCAGAACGTTGAGTTCGTCGAGATGAACCCCAAGTATATCTGGGGTGGAGATGCTATCTCCGTTGATGGCACCGATCTTTTATGGATCGATCATGTCAAGATCTCCCGAATTGGTCGTCAATTCATTACCATGGGTCCAGGTGCTTCCAACCGTGTCACCATTTCCAACTCCGAGTTCGACGGTACTACTTCTTGGTCTGCTATGTGCAACAACCACCATTACTGGACACTTTACTTCACTGGATCCCAAGATAGTGTCACTTTCAAGGGCAACTATATCCACAACACAAGTGGTCGTGGACCCAAGGTTGGAGGTCTGCACTCCGCAGTCAAGCCCAATGTCTTCCTACAAGTTGCCAACAATTACTGGTCAGGTATCGCAGGAAACGCATTCCAAATCGGCGAGGGAGCAAAGGTACTTGCTGAGGCCAACGTTTTCGAGAATACAGTTACACCCGTCATCTTCGACATTCCCAGCAACCCTCTTTGGTCTTCAAGCACCGGCGTTACAGCGTGTGCTGCGAGCCTTGGTCGTAACTGTCAGGCTAATACCCTTGCCGGATCCGGAGCTTTTGCTGGCTCCAACACGGATGTTTTGGCCGCTGCAAAGGGGTTGCCTCTTGCTCCTGTCAGCGATGTTGCGGGTACTAAAGACAACGTTCTTAAGAGCGCTGGTATTGGAAAGATCTAAGGGATAATTTGGATAGGGCAAACTAAAGGGATGAAAGGGTAGGAATGGAAAGGATCTAAGAAGTATATATATACTAGTTATAATTGTTAAGCAATTAATTTTATTTGTTTGAAGAAAAGTTTGTTGTGCCTGATATGATTGCTCGTGTTTTGTACTTGAGGTTATCAATCCATATCCCCTGGATTGGAAAATCTTATAAAGATTTCCAGGTTGATTTTCTGGTACTCGCGTCTTTATCTTTATACATCTAATTGCCCCACTGGTTAATGATCGATGCATCCATTGCCCATGTTAGCACAAAGTGTGGGGGTGGTGCCAACATGTACCCCGCTGATGATATCCGTGCGATATGAGACGGTGACATATTGGCACGTGACTAAGGGTCCTCGGGCTAAGAGATCAAGTGATGGGCTGCTCGTCGCTTGGAGTCAAAGCGATCCAGGCTATTTATATAATATAGAAATATATATGAATTATATAAATGTAAAATTTATTGATCATCTAGCAGTAAATTACTGATTTCATGCTCTTGTAGAGCATCTTCCTTGAGATAGTAATCATCACAAGCCAACTTCACCAGCCAAATCGAAATCCATTGATCACGTGATCGTTTATTGGCAGCCTATCACGCGCCCAACACATCAGATCAGATCATACATGTCTTATTCTTACCCAAGTGAATCAAGTTATCAAGATCTTACCCATCCTCTCCTATGCAATCCATGAATCCAACAAAAATGATGTAAGACATCTACCAACAATCCCAGCATCCCACAAAAATAAAAACACTATAAAACCCACCCACCTCTGAACCGCTCTAAACCGCCCTTCATAAAAATATCCACGAAACAAATATTATATTTTTGTGCCCAAAAACGCCATCCCATCGATAGATAGATAAACAATACGGAGTATCTTATCGCTTCTAGGCCCGTCCACCACCAAGATTCCCGACCCATCTAGGCTTTTTCAGCCCAAGATTTTCACGCCATACCCAATAAATCCTTCATACATTGAATAGATGAAGAAAGAAGAGAAAACCATAGGCTTTACGTATCCACACGCCCCACACACGCTAAAAACACCCTGCAGATCTTCAGGCAACGGGCGGTTTTGGGTGGCTCGGCTTCAGCCTCACTTGTGACTGACTGACTGTGTTGAGTGAGTGACTGATTTGTTTTGAGCTTGTGATTGATCGGGATTGAGATTGAGTAGAGGGGTATTTGAGAGGGGGTTTTTTCATTTTTGTCTGTTTATTTATTTATTTATTTATTCATTTATTCCGTTTCTATGATTTTGAGGATTTAACGCAGAGTGGTTTGATTTTTCGGTTGTGATTTATCTAACGCTTTGGAGGAGTGGGAAACTAAAGGAAGAAAGAGGAAAATTCGAGCCGCCGCGCATCAGATCAAGATTAAGATTAAGATCAAAATGTCACGACATCAACACCATTACTCAAGAAACGAGAAATCGTATTCTTCTCCTCATCCTCGTTCTCGACATGATTCTCGTCATGAAAGCCGCCACGAAAGTCGACATGAAAAAAAGAAAATCACTACGAAGAATTTAGCAGCGACGTTGGGAATGATGGGGTTAGCAATCGGAGCAACATTGTTGGTAGAAGGAGGACCGTGGAAAAGTCGCATGGCGGCTGCAGCAACAGTGGTGGGGATGGAACAGATGCTTGAAAATGGGGATTTTGATGAGGAGGAGAACGGATAGAGATAGGGATGTGGATGGGAGGAGAGAGATATTGGTGAAAGGATGGCTGAGAATAGACGTGAGAGGGATGGGAGAGATAAAGAGTCGCGTTATGAAAGACGACGAATATCGATGAATGATAAAGAAGAGATATCGAAAAAGGAGAGAGAAGAATAGGAGGAACATAAATATCATGGAACAACAAGACGAGAACGAGATACCCATGAAGATGAACGACGACATTGGGAACGAGAACGGGAACGGAGGGCTAGACGAGAAGCAAATAGACGTTTTGATGAACAGTATGAGATTGAAGAGGTTTTGGTTTGATGGTGTGGATTTGTTAGGATTGCTTTGGTCAGGTTTGGTTTACTTATTGGGGATGTTTTATTTGGGGCAAGATTGGATATGGAGGAAGATTGGATATGGAGGAAGATTGGATATGGAGGAAGATTGGATATGGAGGAATGGAGGGATATTTTACGGAGGGTTTTTGATTCAAGTGGATACGGACGGGACATGTCGGCGACTGCAATGCGGCCATGGAGCCATGGTAGTTAGGGGAGTCATAAACATGCTCACCTCTCCTACCCACTACTGAAGTAGAAATGGGATGGGAAATAAATACGAGATTACGACTTATGGTAGGAACGAAGAGTGAGCATCAGGTCATAAGTTACTTAGTTAATGAGCGCTAGTGGACAAAAAGTTAAACAACATAACACCTATTTAAAGCAATTTTCTTTTTTTCAATAACCAATACCCCTCTGTTCCTCTTAGACAAAGAGAATCTATTATCCAAATAATTCTTACCGCTATCTGTATTTTGATTCAAGAATGGTATTTCTTCCGAGTACATGTATCATGAATCTTTATATTAATGAGAATTTTGAAGGAGAGCAATGATTGCGAAAGAATGTAAGATCTTATGACTTATGCCTGTACATTTGTGTATGGTAGGTAGTCTTAAGAAGAGAAATACCGCGCCATAAATCAATATATGTACAAAACCAAAACTCAATAGTTTTCCATATCATAAAACGTCTGCCGAGATATCATTAACCCGGAAACTCCCCCCGAAGCCGAGGGCAAAAGCCTCTGTCCACCAAAAACCACCCAGATCCCCGTGTCGTGAAAACACTTTTGAGTGCCTCTCCCCAAAAATAAACAATTAAAGTATTTCCCCAACCTCTCTTCCAAGAGCCCCAACATGTGCCCCAAACTCCAATATCGCACCCTGCTATATATCAAAACTGTCTGGATCCATTTCCATAAAAATCTTATACACCCTCCTGCTGATCGCCTTCCCAAGTCTCGTATCCGTAAGTGCACCATTCTTATTTGCCAATTTTCGACACCCTTCCAATGCTAACGGACCGTTTTCTTTAAATCCCTTTAACAAAGCTTGAGGTGTGGGATATTCGGCTGCTATACCTTCCGCCATCTTCTCCGTAACGTGGTGTATTTCCTCCAACATTTTAATATACGTATCCGTTGCATCTTTCCCGGATTTGAACTGACCACCTGCCATACAAATATTCAAACCGAGCGCTTCACGTTGGGCTAGATACGGAATCGTGGAGATGTGCTTGGTAAACTGTGAGACCCATTTTGCGCTATCTTGTGCATTGCTCGTAAGCCAATACTTTACTTTATGGAGGACTTCCAAATTGAGTAAAGAATCCTCAATTGCACTATCTGCATTCTCAATGTATTCATCAGCTTGTGGCAATTTTCGCCTCTGACTACTGCTAGCACCAGCTGCTTCGTCTTCTGGAATTCGACTTCTGACAGCGGCTTTGTATTGCCGGTCTTTAATGTTCCGATTTGTATTCTGCCATGCTGTGAGTCCCTCGATGAGATATAGAACATTGCAAGATTCGAAGTGTGATTTGAGAATAGAAACATGAGTCTCTAAATCCATATCCCTCTCCTAGAGACATATCAACGAACTTCTTTGCTGATAAAACACATAGAGTGTACTTTTCATTCTTAATATGCTGTGCTTTGGGTTCCCAGATATCACTTTCTTCGTTGTATTCCGAAATGACCTTTCGACGCCACTTAATGACTAGTTCTGAATTCTCCCATTGGGACTGCTGAACATTTAGTTCTTGGAGTAAAATGTTGATTCGAGCTCTCAATGCCATGTTACTTTTATCCTGGATGCATGAAGGTAAGTCAACGATCATTTCTGGGGTCGAAATTTCGGGCTTGGTACGATCAATGTTGACTTTAGCCAGATCCTTTGCCCTTTCCTTCTCTCGTTCCTTCTCGGCCTTAGCATACTCTTTGTCAATACGCTTTTGCTCCTTTTCAGCATCTTTTGCTGCCTTTTTTTCTGTCGCACTCAAAGCCTTGTCTTTGGATTTATCAACCTTCCCTCGCCTCTTCTTCTCAGGAGCTGAATCTTCGTCATAATAATGTGCCGTCGGTTCATCATCAGATGTTTTCGCGTCTTTTGGTGGCGGATTCCAGGATTTCAAATTCTCTATGGATGGAAATTCATCCGAATCTTCGAGCTCCAGATGGTCTGGCTTGTTTGCTTTCTTCCGTGGTATCTCCACCCCATCTTCGTCATCATCATATGGACCACACAAACCCTTTCCTTTTCCATGCCTTGATCTTACATCAGACACATCTGGCGAGCTTGTAAACAATAATGGGTCTGCGCCCATTGACTTCGACCTATTTAAGCTGTATTTGGATGATCTTGCTTTACTCGTTTGAACGGACTCAATGTTAGAAACAGTGCGCTTGTACCCGCCTGCAGCCCTAGGAACCTTTTCTTTCAATAGCGATGCTTTCCGTCGTTTCGCAGGTGGTGGAGAGGTAAATGGATCATCTGAATCTGTTATTTCGATGGGAGCGTTATCCCTTTTGTACTGCTTCGAGAATCCAGTATTCTGCTTCGCAGATGTGCTATTAACTACGGAGCCAAGTGTAGTATCAAAGTCATCAGACCACAATTGAATTGAATTGCCATCGTCAAGCTGAATTGTCTTAGAAGGTTTGGCTTTGGTAGACGGGTCTGGTGGGGTCGGGGCCTTAACTGTTCCGGTACCTATCGAATTGTCGAAATTGGCAAAACTATAGTCGAAGAGCTGCACTGTGGGTGGCCTGGGGATATTTGGCGAAGTGTCTTTGAGATGAACTCTGGAGGTAACTATAGGTGCTGCTTTGGTGCGAGCCTTTGGAAGCTCTGGCTCCGGACTTGAACTTATCAAATTAACAAACTCCTGCATTTTGCTGAGACTGGAATGCGAATATGCGAATAAAAATTTAGGCTCTTATGTATATACGCTCAATCCAAAAGCAAAGAAGCTGTTGCTTTGAATTCATAGAAAGGTTTTGGAATTTGGTTGCAATCTTGTCGAGGTGCAAGATTGAACGCGACCTGCGCACGCTAGAGCCCGCTCTCACGTGTTATTCATTTACCTTTTCTCGCCGTCGGCCGACATCACATATTGACGACGTGCACTTTGACTCTTCAATTTCATCTCTCACGCAATGCTATCCTCACGCCCAAACATGTCACTGGTTCTTCACTTCAAACGATTTGAGTCATACGACTGTCGCGGCATGTTCAGTGGCTTAGATGATCTAGGCTGGCCAACCTTAGTCCATACAATCGTGCTGCAAGCTCACCGATGAATTGTATGATGGCATGCATATGCTGAGCAACTTCACGCTGAATCCATGGCCTATGGATGAAAGTAAACTGGCACATCCTGAGTTACCATTCATGAGGCTGCGCACATGCCCAATTGTCACCGTCCTTATAAGATCTCCATGTTCTCCGCACTGCAGGGTTGCTATATCACCACTGTTTGTATATTTCATGAGTTTGAGCATTTGACCCGTGCTGCAAGTTCAAGTCTTTTTGTAAAATTTATATACACACATATATTTCATAAATCACTCGGCTCTCGTAAATGGAGCCATTACCAATTTTGGGTGCTATCGCAGCCTCCTCTCAAATCGCTCAGCAAAGCTATGATGCCGTTAAGTTCTTGAACGATATCAGGACACAAATAAAAGAAGGTCCACAGAAGATTCGTAAACAAATCCAAGAGATTGAACAATTCATCAACCTTCTTGAGCTAGTGATCAAGAATACCTCACTGCAAACACCCGAAATTTCTCCTGTTGTAGGGAGTTGTCTTCGCTCTGCAAAAGAACTTAAAGCCAGTCTTGGAAGCTACTTTGCTACTCCAGAAGATGGAAAAAGGGTGAAACTGCAAAAAGTACTTACAGGAATAAGAGCGGATAAAAAGCTGAACTCTATGCTTGCGGATCTCGAAAGAGAAAGGTCCTTATTGAGCCTCTGTATTCAGAGGACTGATTTGTAAGAGTGCATCGCTATAAAAATTTTAACGTAGGATCATTGAATTTCAGAGATCTCTATTGCAAACAGCCGACATCCATGCAAAAGACATAAAACTGACAGTTGGCGCGGTCGCAAATGACGTTACAGACGTCAAATCTATACTTATATCGGTAGCCAAACAAACCGCCATGTTTACCTACAATTCGCAACTCACGTTTACCTAGATGAATTCTCCTCGATCGGATCATGTCGCTTCTATAGAGACCATCAACAAGAGTCACTTCATCGCACCAAATCGTCATGTCAGTGGCTTCATTGGTCGTGAAGATATTCTAGGCCAAATAGAAAAAGGATTGTCCTCTGAATCTCAACCCCGTGTTGTCGTGCTCCACGGATTAGGGGGGCAAGGCAAAACTCAAATTGCACTTGAGTATTGCCACCGCGCAAGAAAGAACAATATCCGAAAAATATTTTGGGTCGATGCAACGTCCGCGAACACAATTAAGAAAGACTTGACGCAATTTGGGGGTACATTAAAAGCCCGGCAGACGCGGCACAAGATTATCAAGAAGTTACCTTGGTGTTAAATAAAGTACGAGAATTGGATGAGCCGTGGCTGATTGTTTTGGACAATCATGATGACCCGTCAAGTTTTCATCTTCCCGATTTTATACCAACGGGGCAAGGAGGGCGGATTTGATCACCAGTAGACACGCAGATACTGCCCGTCTAGCCGAAGAAGATCATGATATTGAGCTACCTGGACTCCCAAAAAACGATGCTTGTGATCTTCTCATAAGACAAAGCCGAGTTGGTGATGCAGCATCGCGCGACGACGCATACACTATCGTTGTTCGTCTGGGTAACCATGCACTAGCCATTACGCAGGCTGGGTCATATATCCAAACCCAGAAGATTAAATTATCTCAATTCATGGACAACTACAGCCACCGACGAGAAGCAATTTTACATGAAACTCCACGGATGTCATAATATCGGCGTAAAGTTGGAGAAGATTCAAACGAAACAGCATTGAATGTCTTTACAACCTGGGAACTCTCCTACCAACAACTAGAAAAGCTTGATGATGAGAAATAAGTACAAGTCAGTAATTCTGACATTATTTGCTTTTTTCGATTGTCAAAACATATGATACGAATGGCGGAAAAGGCATGGAAAGAGGGAAAACGAAGGAAAGCAACGAGGTATGATTTTGGTAGAAACCATTCCATTGCTGCTTTGAGCCCTGATATTGATCCTGATGTTAACCCTGATGTACTCCGTATATAGTTGGCTATATAGTTGGTTAGTTTTTCCGATTGCCCTTGTTGATGAAACGCAGAAAGATGGAGGAGTTTGTTAGAGAAATGAAGATATTGAGGTTGGAGATGCTGAATCCTCCCATACCTTTGAAGTTACATTCAACTTCCCCAATCACAGACCACCATATCACGAGTTCGATAACTCCGAAAAGTGTAACTGAGGCTCATCCACATTTATCCTGGTAAATCGTCTCATTATTATCTTGCGCTTTTGCTGCGAGTTCGAAACCTATTGCACACAAGAACTGTTCTCCAATCCTGGCTTGCTGAAGATAGAAGAACCCTTACTCTTGTTTCTAGATGAAAACAAAAACTGGGACCAACAAAAGTTTGTGGGTATTTTGAATGACTTCTCTCAACTTTCGCTGATTCAAAGCTGGTATCGAGATAAGGATAACCAATGCCACCTATCTCTACATCCTTTAGTTCGAGACTGGATTCGCCTGCGCGCTTCTCCACAACTATGCTCCGACCTTGCAGCTCTCAGTGCTTATATTTTGGCAACAGCTCGACCAATCTACCTCTGAAGACATGTTTATGATGCCTTTACAGTTACGGCAGGAAATAATTTCATATCTTAATATTCATGACGACACTCTACTCGCTCTCAGTTCATTATCACGTGTACTTCGTATTCAGCAAAAATTCGAAGAAGCGTTTGATATAAGCCAGCGAGTTTACTATCTATAGCAGTAAATATAGCTCCGAGGATTCTTCAGTATTGAAAGCTATACATTGCCTGCAGCGGATTTGCTGATAAGAGGAGAACTTGTTAAGGCTGAGGGATTGAGGGATTGTTAAAACGAGTTATTAAGACAACGCCAAGGGTTTTGGGACGCGACCACTGGCTGAATTTGGCAAGTAGATCTGTTCTTGCTCGCGTGTTCTGGAAGTAAGGAAATTTGGTGATGCCGAAGCCCTTTCACGAAATAAAGTCCAAAACAGCCAAAGAATATATGGAGATGACCACTCTCTCACAGTCGATTACATGGCAATATTAGCCTGGATACTCACAAGACGCAAAACACACTCCGAAGCCCTCCCATATATTGAAAAGCTCTATAAATTTAATCTAGAAACATGGAGACCTGAGAGTCCCCGTACATTAGCGGCCGAACGTAAGTACTATAGAGTACGCGCGATTATGGGCCGACAATTACAAAGCGAACAGACAAAAACTAAGGGGACCTCCTTAACTGGAAGCCAAAACACGGACTCCAAAAACGGTGTACGATACGAAGCATCTGAGCCCCGATGATGAATTCATCTTCTTTATCTACGAACAAAATTTACTCGGGTCTTCGGAAGATGCAGAGTTTGCTCGAAATTCTATTCCTACAAGAGGACAGGAAGACAAGATGACAGTTATCAGTGCGGACGGGGATGCCGAGGCAACACGAATGTCGGAAACTGCAGGAGATGAAAGAGAAGCAAGCAAGAATGCAACACAAGAGAAGGACAAACTTGAGGTAGATGATACTTTGGGCGGTTGAGGACAGAAGCATATATGGACGCTTCAGATGGTGAAATTCTGCGAAAGCCGGCTGTCAATGACGATAAATGAGGAATTTCTAGTTCTGACAAGGGTGAAATGTGATTGCAATATTGGATTTAAAGCATTTTCTGTATTTTCTTTTTTGGTCAAGCGGTGTAATGTGCAGAGTAATAAATATTATTACATATCGGGCTCTCACTATATGCTTCACACATTTATATTTATACTGATATCCATTCACTGCACCAAACCAATATCCTAATATCTAACATCTACTACCCCCAACCACCTCATATCTTCAATCCTATTTGAATCAAATAATCATCAATTAATTTTAATTAATCTCAATAATCATCAGATCTCCCTCAATTAATCAATCAAACACATCAATATAATAACCTATTATCAATCGATTAACTTTCTTTTATTTAATATCAATTTATATCAATTCTTAACAATCTCAATATCTAATATATAAACTCAAATATTTTAATATTTTCCTTTTATTCTGTTTATTTTGAGAATATAAACAAATACTATTATTTATAATTAGATATTTATTTCAAATTATTATTCATTCAGCTTTATATATATATAAAGATTATAAATATACAAATATCAAAATCAAAGTATTTTTTCTAATTTCCAGATTTCTAGTTTCTTAAATTCCTCAGTTCTTCCCAAAGAAAATACAAAACTTAAATAGAGCCTTAAGCTTATAATAAAGTCAACAAAACAAGAAATTATTTATAACTCTCCTTCAATATAATCAACATCCAACATCTTTCCTTATCAACATCTACATCCCTTAGAAATCACGCAAAAAGATCGAACATGCAGTGCACCCTTCATTCCAAACCCACCACATCACATTCCAGTACAGATTTTCAATATTTAAAAGATTTCCATTCAACTAATCTCTTCACTTTTCTACTGTTCCACTTTGCTTTCCGCTCCATCCATCTCTCTTAAATGCCATTGTTTAATCTGTGTTACTTATATACAACTAACTGTTAACACCGGGTATTATTCTCAAATCGCTCCACCTAACAAAAAAAGAAAATAAAAGGGTACAGTATCACAGTACATATCATTCCCATGCCCATCCGCATTGCCATCCATCCACCCACCCGCCACCAACCCTCCTCCCAATCAACCTGGAAGTTGACATATTCTTTTCCATCCATCCATCCATCCACGAATCCGGTGATATAAAAGAAAAAAATCCTTCAGACATTCCAAATCAAGGATTCCTTATTGACAAAAAAAATATAAAGTGATATAAAAAGTTTGGAGAGTGCTTAGCTAGCTAAACCCAGCAATAAATCGATAGATGTTGCCTCGCCAATCAAACGCCACTTCCAAAAGTAAGCCAAGAGAAATGGAAAATGTGATTGAAGAAGTAGGTGTACTGTATGGGTGAAATTAATGCTATAAAGATTCTTCCATTCCGAATTTCTTCAAGAGCATTAATGGCTGTAGTGGCTAATGACCACCTAGTGCACTTATCCTGGCACCTGCAGGTCGGTGGAGCAATCCTGGCTTTCCATGCAGGCTGTGTCGTATACTTCCAGTATCACTTCTACCACCAATTTCTTCATCACTATCTTCGATGATTTTGGTTGGTAAGTCGTCTCTGGGATGGTATTGTTGACTGGTTCTTTCCGGTGTAGTGACGGAACTCGAGATAGACATGGCCGTGCTAGATCTGTGACTAAGTTCTGGGGTAGGAGGAATGCTGGAAGAGCGTCCGCTTCTTGGACGAAGCATACTCTCCTCACCAGATTGTTCGCCGTCACTAGTCATGGCTGAAAGGTTGCTTTCACGGTGTCTTCTCTGCTTCTCTCTCATAGCAAGTTCCTCAGCTTCGGCATCTGCATCATGAGCCATCATGAGACCTTCCACGGCAGCTGCGCACTGATCACTAATGTTTCGGATGATGTGAGCAATAGCATCCGTTTTGTCTCGAAGATGACGATCGGCAACGTCTGCAATGCTGATTGCACTGTAACGTTTGCTGTTTCGCACACTGCTAACCAATCTTGCCTCCATCTCAGGTGTCATATCATCACCTGATCGGCTGAATCTTTTTGAACGAGATGGAGTACGAGACGATGCACGAGATGACCCACGCTCAGAAGGCTCTCTTGATGAAGATCTCTTACTTTCGGCCCTGCTTTCCTCAGGAATCTCGCCCATACTATCTCCATCCACTTGATCAAACTCGGCATCGAGATACTCACTCATATCTGGACTCTTCTGGATGGTACGGACCAAGTGTTCCAAGTGATGAGATTGACCACCAATCAGACTGCGAAGATGCAAAACAACGCGTTGTGCCTCGTCTCTTTGTCGAAGAAGAGTTGAGTTGGTACGTTGGAGCTCTGCAAGTTCTTTCTGGTTGCGCTGACGTTCACGCGTAAGTTCTTCGCCCATCTCTTGTTGGAGAATAAGTGCCTCGAGAGCATCATCACGCTGCTTCTCCGTACCAGCAAGGCGGGCGTTGAGGCGAGCTGCGTCGTCTTTCTGTTGATCGATAAGGGTGGTGAGACGTCTGTTCTCTCGTTTGTGGGTTTCAATCTTAACCTTAAGATCTTGAGTCTCCTTGGTAAGTTGCTCAGCGAAAGCTTGGAACTTGAGGAATTGTTGTTTCCAGCTTTCGAGTTCTTCAACCAAAAAGTTGTTTCTCTTCGTAACTTTGCCGATTTCAGTATCCATGCGACCCTTGAGGTTAATAAAGTCTTGCCACGCCTCGAGAGCATCTCGGGAATATTGATTTCTCTCGCGGACGATTTCGTTAAGATGTCTCATTGAGACCTTAGTCATCAAAGGTTTCTTTTGGGCTCCTCCAAAGACAGCCTTGATTCCTGTGTTTCGTCCCTAAGAAAGTTAGCGCATTTCAATTGACACGAAAATTGTGATTTACTCACCATCTTCTCACAAACATGATCCATCACGGCCATGGTAGCATCCTGGTTCCACCATTCTGGGTCTTGGATAGACTCGACTTCTCCTCGCATAACGATGATTTGACCAGCTGGTATTAATTTGCCACCACCGTAAGCTGAACGAAGATGTTGTGGTACACCAGAAGGTGTTACATCACCATTCAGAGCTTGAGTAATGCGGTTGACCATCTTTGTGCGTTGACCAGTGGTCAAAGCGGTAGGTGGACTGGATGTTAAAACGAAGTTGCGATCCAAATCTACAACCAAAGCATCTGTGGGTGCGGTGAATAGAGTTCGACATTCTGCTGTAATTCCGAGAATATATGGTCCGGGTTCCTGAACAAGTTCTTGGGCGTGTCTTGCATGAACGACTGGAACATAAAGACCACTCCATTCATAAACTCGAACAAAATATCGAATAGTCTCCGATGCCACCGTGAGCATGGCAGGGTAATGGGAAACGAAGATAATGCGACGTGTGGGCGATAAAGCTGCCTCGATTACTCCTACAATGTTAGGAATAGATAAGCAAGAGAACAATGGCCACATGGCGAAGTTCTGGAAGCCTGTCGGAGAAGATGGAAACTGGTAACAAAGTGCGTAATCCTTCATGTCGATACGCACGAGATCATTGAGCCTAGGAGCTGGGAAGCTCAAGATCCTCGAGACCTCTTCGGCATGGAAAAGATTGGTAGCTTTGTTCCAATGAATCCACATTCCCCTGAGGTAATCACCCAGTAAGTTATACAATGGGTATCTAGAAAGGAAGGACAAGCAGTATGGAATCCAGTATGTTTCATCAGCCGAGTCGTAGAAGTCTGATTCTGTCCTCCTTCTCAAGTCACGAATTGTCTCCGCTCGCTTCTCGTCGGCTCGGGACCAAACTCGTAGTGCTATACCATACAAAGTATGCGAGGAATCTTGTTGAAGGACGAATGAATGGTGAACACAATGAGGTTGGCTGCGTCCTGTGCAGATTTCGACATCGTGGGGGAAGCAAGCCTATTGCCAATTAGTTAAATCTTACCCTGCTGGCTTTCGTCCTTACCCTCATTGCAGAGTGAAGCGCTCTAGCGATTTCATTATCCTGCTCGAGTCTAGGGCTGCTACCCAAAATCTCGGGAAGCCAGAATTGGCCAACGGCGCCCTTCATATGTTGAATCTTTCCTTGCGCTGGAGCCGGAGCCTTTACCCATTGTGCTGGTTCTCGGCCAACACCGCATACCATATAGGCATGAGTGAGGGTTTTTGGTGTTCGGGCTTGAGGTTTAGCATTAAGTGTAGAAGGAATTGGTTGAGTGATCCTCGAGTGGAGGGAGGAAGTTCGGCTAGGGATTATGAGGTTGTGATCCTGGTTGTTTTCCCGCGTACTAGGGCGCTCATCACCACGATCTCTAGTTCTTGGTCGAAGGAAGTTTGCTGAACTTGTGAGAGATGGAGCCATGGTTGAGATAAATTATGAGAAGTGTAAACCTCCTCGGTCTGTCGAATCCAAGTATGCTTCCTTTGGCAAGTCGGACAAGGTTCGAGAAGATACTGGAAGTCTTATTGAAAGTCCAATGCGTTTCAGCGAAAGGTTATGTTAAAATGTTGAAATGTCAAAAGAGTGTATTGAGTGAATTGATTATATCATTCGATCTTGGACATTCACTTTGCCCCGTCGATGATGTCCCGAGTTCGTGATATTGCAGTGGCCCCTTTTTGGTACAACGTATGTTGCCTGTCCACTTTGAAATCCCGGCTTGGATGAACTGACGATGGAACCCTTTGTATCTCGATCCGGCCTTACCTTTCTGCTGCTTTCTGCGACTGCAGATTGTTGTGCAGTCACGAAAATGTAAAGAATGAAAGAAGAGCTAGGAAAACAAGTGAGTGGAAGGAAAGGTTGGAATCCAGATGATGATTAGAAATGGCAGACAAGCAGGTAAGGAAAGCGGGCAGAGGACAAAAAGAGGAGCATGCACAGAAGGTTTGGAAGAACTGACAAGGATTGGAAGCCGAAGCTCTCATGATATTTATTTTTATTCCTTGTCAAGGAAAATGATAGCTTCGTTTTATTTTTACGAAGGAGAAGGCGAAGAAAGTTTTCCAGGGGTATGAGAATCTTATATGATTGGCCAAAAGTATCGAAAATTGAAGAGTGGGGTCACCTTCAGGAGATTGGAACCAAAAACAGCGCTATGATCATTTGATATAATAGTTTACTAGTATTTAATAAAGATGAATACATATAGATATTTGAATGTTCAAGTGTCCGGACACTTCTATCATCCTGGCATATATCGTACTCTGCAGATAATTATAATTATATAATCTCTTAAGTCTTTTCGATATTATATTGACAACTGTGTATATCCCCAGGTATCTATCAATATGACATATACGAAGTATAGTACTCCTTGCCTTCAGGTAGACGATGAACCAAATGATAATGGATGAATGAAAGTGCTGGAAGAGGAAAAGGAAAAGAAGTAGAGAAGGTTCAACTACTCGAGAGAAGGAAATTAAACCCAGATGTCTCATTGGAGTGCAGTGCCAGGCACAAATCGAAGGGTGCTTTGGTACTCTGCATCTATTCTTTGCTTATGTACGACAATCAGGACTCCATTGCTGTACTCCGTACTCCGTCCTCTGCACTCTGCACTCTGCAGGTGCCACTTATACTTACTTATTCATATCAATCTGAGTGTGATGTATGGTTGCATTAGTGTAATGCAGCATGCAGGTCGTTGCTCCATCAATTGGGGATTGAAATCAAAAAAGAAAAAGGTTCAGGTCAAAACACTCAATGCATATCATCCAATCCAATCAATTCCTCATATGCGAACGGTTCCATTCATCCATCCATCCATTCATCTATCATCCAGTCCACCCATGGTTCGCAGTATTTTGAACGGGAATCGCAAGATTCAAAGTTACCAAAGTTACCAAAGTTACCATATCATTTCTGGACTTTCCCAAAGCCTTGCGTTCCTTTCTTCTATTTCCTAAAGAGGCCTACAATCTGACCAGATATTGTAACGATCATAGCGCATTATACCCCGTATAGTAGATGGCTGTATCAATGCTGACAACTCCGATTGGGGAAGAAAGGCCAAGGAGTCAGCTCATTGTCGCTTTGAGTCCCGCCTCACCTACCAATTCCTGCAAGTATCCTGTGACTCCTATCCATCAAATCTCCCCTCAATTCTTGATATATGATACAAAATTTTAAAATCATGTACAGACACGCCCGGACGCGTACTACACAGTCTACGAGACTACAGCACATCAACAAAATAAAAATCATGGTGAAAATGTGGTTGTCCGCCTTCATCCTTGATTATTCCGTATGGGTGTAACAAAAAGTAAATCTTGCCAACTTTCAGGGGTATTGTCCAGGCACAGGCACAGGAACAGGTACAGGTACAGGTACAGGCAGGTACACATGCACATCCACAAAGGCACATGAACATGAGACTTGCAGCACAAGCACAATTGAACCTCCGCACATGTGGCCTTTGAACGGAGGAACTCATGTGTGGGTCAATCTCGCCTCGATGCACTGTTTTCCTTGATCAAAATGTTATTATTTTCATCTGCAGTCGATCAAATTTCCCCGACTCAAATGGCTTGGACTTGCTGTTTTACTTGTGCATTTCTACTTTGGGTCATTTATGTCATTTAAGATGCTTTTAATTCAAGCCAACCAGCTGGAAGTGGGAAAATGCATCCAAGATTTATCTGTGCTCTATTGGTAAGCACTGGGTATCTGCTTGGCCCTTGCATACGTTTGATTTTGATCGCAAATTGCAAATTGCTACATAAATGGAGATAAACTGGTTCACCGACACAATGTATAATCATGAACACTACCGACAGAGCCGTATCAACTGAAAATCGAATTATGCTTCAACGTTTGGTTCGGTACGGTACTCTTTAATTTGAAGTGGAAATATCAACAGTGGGCTTGATAGTACCCAGCCAGTCGAGACTTGACCTTGAACTCGGCTCGACTCGTCATCAACCCGGAGTTTTTATATTAAATATATATGAACAGGTAATAGCTCACCCAAGAGTTTTGCATGCTGTCTACGCATGAACTTCGATTGAGGGGGCTGAACCTTCCTCTCCAGATTCGGTCATTAAGCATGAAAAACCTCCATCATCTGTCAATCTCTCCGGGGTCAAAACTATCAAAACTTTTATCCTCGTTTGTATCACAACATCACAGTATCACGACACTAATTACGCATTGACCAAACAACAGCAAATAGTTTGCGTTTACCACGTTTACGCAAGACCACAGATGGTGGGAGATTGCCATCACCGATTTCTTTAAGTATTCAATTCATCGGACTTATTGCCGTCATGTTCTACCGGTACACTGGCACTTACAAAGGAGGTGGCGAGTCAGGATTTTGAGAAAATTTGAAATGCATTTAGGACCAAATCATTTAGTAATGATTCAGCTCCGCATGTATCGATGCAACAGACCAGTGGGAATCCGCTACAAATGGAAGTCTCCAAACGGACTTTATTATTAGTCGAGTGCTTTTGCCCCAAGATCGCTCCCTGTAGCTTTGAAGAAGGGCTGGCTCTAGCATCAAAGGGTCTTAACCGAAGTTCCCGTCTGCACCTAAGCGTATGAGCAAGTGCTCTAGCCAGCAACTTCGCTATTGGATGGTGCATTGACGTTTGCGAAGCCATGTGCGTTGAGGCTGGCTGGCTTCTGATTTTATGTGGGGAGTATCAAGTAGAGGAACTTGAAGGCTTAGCTCATTCCCTTTCAAGATTTAAGTATGGATATGCTTGCTCATGGCCAGCAGTATCATCAATTACTACTACAATATTCTGTTATCAGCCAGCCCATTGGCCAAGCTAATCGATAGCTTTATGTCTCCGAGAGTATATCGTATTGGATAAACAAGCTTGCAATCTCTATCTGGATCGAAGTTGAACATCAGATGAAATGGCCTCTGATTCGTTTGTGGCGGTGAGCAACTGTCAGCTACACATTGTTACACAGTATTTTTTTGCCCAAATTATATCAGATGGAATTCGTACTGATGGGTGCGAGAAATTGATCTTTCTCCCTTGGATCATGCACACCATATATACATATATGTTTATGCTCAAACGTATCGGTAAGTGCATTTACCCCACGTGCTTGTCGACATTGGCATACTCTAGGAAGTTGCTTGCGAGCCACAGTTTGACAACGGCCATGTCAAACAAGAGGATGAAAATCATACAAAAGATCCCTGATTCAGGAGTTTGAGATCAGCACGATATAAGGACTAATGCACGATCAAGTTACGCGGCCTTATGCCTTACTCTAGACTTAGATAACATAAACTTTATCGCGCTCTACACGTACGTATCTGTAAAGGTTCTTTAAACGAAGCTGTGGACAGGGAGGGGAGCCTGGACTTTTTGGTGTTAGGACTTGGGTGTGTCGAGTCATGGAGTAAGGTTGTGTATTAACTTTGGTACTGTTTTGTTCTCATTTCTAGATTCTCCAATGATTATTCGGATGTTACTGTATTCGTTAGCTACTATGATCTATCGCGAAGAAAGAACTTTTCATAGTCTTATGATGTTCTGAGGGTCAAATAGAAGGATTATCAATGATATGGAAAATACAGGACAGCACATGTATATATATATACGTAGGCAGAATATTTAGTTCTAAATTTATAGTATCACAAATGGCAAATTGGCAAAATTAACAAACAAAGAGTATCCTCCTGTACAGCATACAAATCTATTGAGATTACATACCAAGTTTACAAAAGAAGGGAAGATTATCAGAATACTTACGAATCTATATAGATAGAACTTAGAAGAGTACTCCTTAAATCCATCCACAATGATTACCGGACCTGTATTGGGAGTATCCCAGAATTCACAAGGCCTCATGAGAAAGGCTTGATTGGAGGTTCCCCTTGAGATTTCTTGAGATTCTTAGTGATAGATGGAATATTTTACTATGTATTACGACTGGATTAGTTTTTGGGAAATTAGAATCGCACTCCAAGAAATGTTGTGGTTTGGAAATGGAAGGAACGATATAATTTACAGAGTAGAGAGGGGATGAATAAGTGTCCATCTATTTACTTAATAACCAATCTGAGTATACTCGTATTAAATAAAGAATTATTACCCACAAGATAAATGTATACGACGATATTTTCATCTCTTAACTTATATATTAAATCGATCATCTCGAAACACCCACCACTCAATGTTTTACATATCCACCTCCACTGCCCACGAGCCCACCTAGCAAAAAATTTCCCGCCACATTCTGAATTAGAATATATTATATTACAAAGACTCAAAAATAAAATCAATAGGACCGCTGGCGCAACGGTAGCGCGTTCGACTCCAGATCGAAAGGTTATCCGTTCAAATCGGGTGTGGTTCAATACCTCCTATGTTGATTTGTCTTTTGTTTTTTTTTTGGACTATTTTGTAATAGGGAAGGTTTGGAGGAAATGGGGGAATTGGTATGGATTGTTTTTGACCTTTTTCTTATTCTTCTTGAGGGATAATGGGAGGGGATAATGATTGGTGATTGTGTGGGGTAAGATTGAGCTTGCTTTTTTGTGTGTTGGGGGTTGGTTAGTTGGCTCTTGATGCTAATTTATTTTCCTTGGTTGTTGGTTTTTGCAATGCTAAATCATAATCTTACCTCATATATAACAAGATTTAGATTTAATAAATGGATGATTGGAAAATATTTTGGCTATCTATGAGGTATTTTTCCTGTAAAAATGATATCACGATGCAAATGAAGCATAGCATAGGCATTGGTAGGTAAGACTTGTTCTTTGCCGGACGTTATCTTGATATAAAAGTATACAGGCACCAATGGCAAAGTAAATACAGCTAATCTAGATCTCGTACAGCGTAAAATGCCATCCATCCATACCCCGAGTACAAGTATATAGTCATATCATATCGCACACATCATGTAATCTTACATCAAAGAACCTTGGAAATCTTAGCCCATCCCATCCATATATCTCCTCATGTTTTCCTTCTCCAAATGCAAGCAATTCATCCTGCATCCCCAATCTTTTCTCTCCCTGGCCTCATATCACAAGCTACCTGAAAAGTAAAGATATTTTCTCATTTGCTTTTATACCTATATATACCATACCTACCACGCAATAAATCTTCGGATAATTATCCATCATTCGGTATTGACATTCTCATTGTCAAATGCTTTTCTTCGTATCGGTGCCCTCTAGCTATGCGTTGGGCACCCATAGAGAAATTTGAAAAAGAAATTGATTTTATGATCTATTTATTGGCGTTAAGTTTCCAAGGATAGGAGTTATTTTAGTGATAGTTTCTTATTGATATTATTGCGTTGCTTTTCAGATATGATAAATGAAGTTTCTCGTCCTGCTCTGTTGCCGAGGTTGCTTCTGCAGGATGATAGGGAATTTTGGCTATATATGGTTTCGGCAAGTGTGCCAAAAACTTAAATAAAGTTTTATGGGAATACAAATCCATTGCACGCGGATATTTATTTTTGGGTTTTTTGGGTTTTTTGGGGAGTCATTTGCAATCTCCTTACATTCATTACTTACTTGGTTTCATCCATATCGTTCGAGAGAGATGTATATCCTACCTGGATAAATTGATATGTCTTACCTGGGACGATCATGGAAGCCGTGGGGCTATCCGTATAAATGTGCCATTTCCTTTTGCAAACCAGCATCTGGAGAACGGGATGTTAGAAGTCCTTTGCTGTAGATCTATTTGATCGGGGCCAAAATTGTGTTCGAGGGTATCGGACACCATTCGTTCTACCACAGCCTCATAACTATCTCCATGGAAAACAGCTCCTGCATGCTCGATCTAGAAGATCTAGAAGTGACTGGAAGTCTTCATACGTCAGTGGCGGATACGTTTGCGTTGAGATGATGTTTTTATTAATTTCTGGTATGCGAACTGTACTGGTGCTTCTACTCAAAACAGCATCGACGCTACATCGCTAGAATTATGGAACCAACACGCTCAGAGGATACTATGCAGTTTAAGGATTTTTATCCGGGTCAATAATGCAAAGAATTTAGCATATTCATGTGGCTACACAGTCGGTGACAAGTAAGTTTCCGAATTTCTATGCATGTCCTAATACTCCTCTGAGCGGCCTCTTCACAAAGCGTACCCACCAAGGCACAGCCATTCCATATTGTTCAACATCTCTTCGATACTGTACCTTCCCCTCCATCTATATCTCAGCACTTATCCCTTACTCAAAAAATCCAAAGTTCCAACCCCAGCACAACGTTACCTACCAATATCATTAATGAGATTTTCCGTAACTATCGTCAATTATTCAACTTCACTCCAACCAAAATACTTTCTTTCCCCCTTTACTTCGTACTTACAGAATGTACCTAACTCTTTCGGGTTATCCAATATCTTTGTTGCACATCTGAAAATCTCTCGGCACTTCTAGCTTCATTCGGCAGTAGTTCCGGCACTTCAATGTACTGCATATCTGAAAGTTCTCGGCACTTCTAGATTTAGTAGTAGCTCCGGTTTCTCACTAGGGTACTTGTTATCTTCAGTCACAGCTAGTAATTTAGCTAACTCTACCAATCTACCAGTTACTACCGCGCCATGGTAAGGTGAAAATGTCTATCGCAACTTGACTATGAGGATTTGTACTGCATCAGTATTCTTACCATGTTCACTAGCATTGGTGCTCAATCCGGATTATCTACACATCCCAATTCGCCCTACCTAGTCATAGCTTCTTTTTGTTTCCATCTCTGGAGCAATGTTCTTTCTAGAGCAATAGCTCTAAGGAACAATCACACCTTCCTCAAAGGGAAGTCCTTATGGAGCGGCGGTTGCTACCAGAAGCGAGCTCCACAATGGAGCAGTGAAAATTCGTTTATGCTTAATTTATGCATATGCTTCTTTCCATGTTTAATATGTGGTTCGAATATCTCCTGCTCTTTTTTGGGATGATTTGCATTTTGCTAACTGTGGTTCTAGCAACAATACCGAACAACTTACGAATATAAAAATGGTACCATACGATTATCGATCCGCATGGAAAGCAGACCGTCCCGGCGCGAACTACGTGATCAGAGTTTACGCTGAATATGTTGTTGACTTCAGTGATGTGTTGCACGCTCTAATTCGAAGAGGGTAGGATTGTGAACTGATTTTATATTAGTGTGAGTGGAATATCCAGAAACGGCACGGATATTGAGGAGATGGACCATACGACTTTGGCAATGGAGGGTCAACGCTCCCCAGATGTGAGAAATTACACCAGCAAATTGTCTCTGGAAATTGGACGAATAATCTAGAAAGAAGTAAGAGCCGTTCTCTTGGACGCGCTAGTGCTTAAAACACGCCAATAAAAACATCGATACAAATTTGAGAATCATTCGATGAGTCGGGTAAGAAGCAGTTACGATGGATGTAGCGCCTTCTGCATTTACACATCAGCTTCGGTGGTCAATTTGTGGCTGCGTGGGGACAAATTCGTAATGAAAGTACTTCGCTCTTTCTACCTTCGGCTCTCACTAAAGAGCACCTGCCACACATAGAAAGTGTTCTTCTCAACACTATATGTGATATGGGGTCTAGTTGAGGAAACATCGAGATGAGAAAAGTGGCTCAACTACTTCCTTTCTCCCTTCTTTTCGTTCGTACTCATGTGGCTGAGTTCATCCATTTCTGATGTCAATATTTGCAGTGCCCTTTTTCCAAACACCCTCAGAGCTACTAGGAAAACATGGCCAATTACTTACTTAACAATTCAGAATCCAAAACCAAAACCATGGAGCTCGGCAATTTCACCTAGAATGCTCTGCCCAAGGACATTTATCGGTGCCGTATTAACTCGGAGATGACAACTTGAGCTGGCAAATAACTTGAAATCTGTACGTGCTCGACTAGTTTATACCAACTCTTTGGCAAATATGGAATATATCGTAGATGTCCTGGTCAAAGGTAATTCCAAGAGTCAATATTTGAAGTTCAATACTATCAGCAGGTAATATGATCAACTAACGACTAGATAAAGTGGAAATGAAAAGAAGTATGGGTTGAAATAGAGTTAAGTCTTCGCGGCTGGACAGTTTGCAGTGAAACTCACCATGATTCAACTATCATGTGGTAGATGAAACCTCACCGGGAGTGAAGAGAATTGGGGCGAGGTGTTTAGCCACATTCTTAGACGAGGTAGGAATGTCAACCTGTTCGATTTTTTATACTTTTGACCTTCTAAAATAGTTGTTATTCTTAGCTTTTGATTATCAGATTCATAATATCACAAGTGAAGCACTATAATTCAATCCTGAATGAAACTTGTATATGAAGATTGCCATTGAGTTTCCGTATTTGGCTCTCTGGGAACGCATCCTAGATTATCATCAAGGGTGGTCGATATTTTGATATGGAAATAATTGAGGCCAGATCTACATGATACTCCCTTCATGATAAATCCTGTGGAATATTCCAACGAATATTAATTTGCTGAATGAAGTCAATGGGTTGCGAAACGTTCTCAGCTGGTCACAGCTTACATAAGCAAAACGTGGGGTAAACAAATCGCTTCCTTGATGACTTTGGATCACCATTCTTGACCACAAGCGCAACTGAAATATCTTTATAAAGTCTCATACTTACCCGTCATTAAGTATGGAGTCAAATACTATAGTCCCAACCAAGAGCAAACGTCCTCCAAAACCCAAACCCCAAAACCCTATCGAAACCACCATCCAATCATTTTTTCAAACACTCCCCTCCACATTATTTTTGGAAATCTCGGCTTCTATCGACTCTCTCATCACCACTTCTCCAAAACGCTGGGTTATATATTCACCCATGTTACTTCTCCCCTCTGGATCTTTTTCCTCGCCACACTGGACTTCTCTCCTTTCTTTTGTTTCCCCTTCTCAGAAAGAAACACTCTTTACTCAAATTCTTCAGGGTGTATCAAAGAAAGAAGGCAAGAAACTCACGCATCTCGCTATTAATGCTGGGATACCTCTTCACGAGAAAGAAAAGGAGGGACAGAACCAGAGAGAGAAAGGAGAAGAGAATATATTAAGAAGTCCCAGTGGATTACTTATGCTACATGGAGATTTCGGACCTGATTTCACAGGTGATGAACCGACGGAAAAAGATTTCAAAGATGCGTTCTGGGTGGGTACGAAACAGAATAGGATTGAACAGGTTTGGGCACCGAGATGGACGATGTTTAGTAGAGGGAATGTGAAGGAAAAGGCGAGGTTGTTGGGGTTTCATGATGCCGTTGCCACGGCGAGTGATGGTGCAATGAAGGAGATAGCGAAGGAGGAGAGGAGGAATTGGACCGCGGTGGATTTGTATGCAGGTATTGGATATTTTGTTTTTAGTTATGTTGGGATGGGAGTGCGAAGAGTGGTGGGGTGGGAGTTGAATGGATGGAGTGTTGAGGGGCTCAGGAGGGGAGCGGTAGCTAATGGGTGGGGAATCAGGGTTGTGGGGAGGGAGAGGTAATGAAGAGGTTGGAGATGAGGATTATTGTATTCTTGGAGTAATGTCGAGGCCGAGCGGAGGATGGAAATCATCAAGGGCCTTGGCGTGGTGAAACATGTCAATTGTGGTTTCTTACCCACGAGTGAACCTACGTGGAAAGCGGCTATGAATATTTTGAGTGAGGATGGATGGTTACATCTACATGAAAACGTTGGCATTGCAGATGTAGAAAGAAGGAAGAACGAAATCGAGGAGATGTTCCGAACCTGGCTCAAGGAACGTGCCGATGAAAGAAAAGTGACGGTTGGGCATGTCGAGTTTGTGAAGACTTTTGCTCCCGATGTTTGGCATTGCGTTTTTGACGTTTATATCAGTAGATAAGTTACATAAACTATGATGTATAACAATTATAGCTTTTCTGGCCCGGCCGGTGGCGTGACTGTTTCCTTATTAATAACATGGATAGTAAACTTTCAAACTTGGGAGCATCTTGTCCTGTATTTCAGACTACACAGATACATATCAGTGACCTTGCTGTAATGTTTCAATAATCGAGGAGGTAATCATGTACCTCTTCCTAACCTGAGCAATTGATACCAAGGACACCTTATAAAAACATCACAGATCTGATATCCGAGTACATCAAATGAAGAGCAAAAAATTCATCTTTGACGCGCAAAAGTTCTTGGAAAGGATGTGTGGTACGCATGACAATTCTAATGCAATCCACCAGCCTACTTTATTAACCACAAACAATGATATTCCAAGACTTAAGAGAAACAGATTTAAAACACCATTTACATACACCATTTCTTTTACTCTCAAGAGGCGAGCTTCTATGAAATTCTACCACTTCCCAGATTCCGCCTCGAAAAATTTCAAAAGAAATGCATATGAGCCTTCAATCAACATATTCAAACCCCAAAATCAATAGCGAATCTCAAATACACTTCATAGTAAATGCAGCAAAGAGACAGAGCAGGAGATTCACCAAATGTATTATTTCATGCCTACACCAACCTACACCAACAGAAGCCCTCACCTCCCCAACACCACCAACCCACTCGCTTAAATACTCATATAAATATATATATGTCCAGACAAGATCACGACCTGTATCTGTCAAGCATCCTATGGAGTCGCCTTCGCGCAGTTGGTCGGCGCCTGTGCTGTAACTACCTTAGGTAAGTGGGATCTTTGATTAGCAACTGTATTGTTCGCATATTGCAGGGCGCAACTGCAAATAAAATCCCATATCGAAGTGATTATCTCTATGGACGGTTTTTTGCCATTTCGACGGTTGGATTTCTGTTACCTTGCAAGAGAGTAAACCGTGCGGAACTTATTCTCGAGTAGTAGAAGGGAAAGATTTTTTTGAATGTTCTAATTGTAGAAGCCTCACGTATTCTTGTAATTCGAATTGAGCAAACGGCAAACGAAACAATTGATCAGCTCCAGCAACGAAGGAGTAACCTTTAAATGCGGGCGAGGTACAGTATCTTTGATCAACGAGATGATTTTGGTAGAAAACGTGGAAGTAAACCCTAGGGGGTTTGAGGAATGAAATGCCTCTGTAATGATACATATCTATTTGGTATCAAAGCTAAGTATCATCATGTCTATACTTTAAACGCAATCAATCATTGTTTATCCTTTCTAAACTTATCAGGGATATTTTGTTCAACAACGGGCATCTTATCCAAAGCCGCAACTCTATCGGCTTCATCCTCCAATTCATCATGTTTCTTGAAATGTGCAATGTCCTCTGGATGTATCAGATCCTCTTCCTTCGTATTCTCATCATGGTACCTGTCACATATTAGCCCGATATTCTCAATTTATCACGCCCTTTTCATCCTTCGCTCCAAAAGGAAACAAACATACTTCTGCCAATGATGAATCTCATATTCCATCTCAATATCCCAATGATGTCCTGGCCCCAAGCCAAAATCTGGCAACAGACCTCCAGTTCCCGTATACCTGCCCCATTCTTCCTTTTCCACTACCCCATTATTATTTTTATCCATCAATCGTAATATCTCCTTCAGCAAATCAACTTTCTTTTCATGCGGCACATCTTTTGCAGTCTCATCCTCCATGCCATAGAATTTCAAGATTTCCGATTGGTCCCATAGGCCGTTATTGTCGAAATCGTGGAGCGTAAAGAAGGCACCCGCATCGAAGTTGTCTATGTGATGTTCCTCTAGTTGTGTGTTAGTCAATTGATACACAGCATCGCCATCAAAGCCAAAAGCAGAAGAATTAGAAGGAATCTCTCTCACCGGCCATATGTCTAGTTCCCCAATCCGCGTTTGGATCCACGGCTAAAGGTTTCTGATGCGCTACACCTCCATGCGCAATAACCAATCCTACACAAGCCAAAAGTCCGCCTATCCTGCCCAGTCCCATATTCATTATCGTAGACCGTTAAATGTGTTGTGATGAAAGGTGTCTTTCGTCGCAAAAGTACAAAGTCGGTATCGCAATTGAATATGAATCGCATCCTTGAGGCGAGACGCTCTAACATTAAATTCAGGGGTAAGCTCCGGGGTCCGACGTCACTGCAGGGATCAGACATCGTGGACTCGAGGCTGGAACTTTTTTGTTTTTGAGTTGCGGTACACACCGGGTAAGGTCAACCTTACACATGGCATACCTAGTTCTATGGACATTTTGTATATATCGATTTCACAATTTTTGCTTTCCAATACCCATATTTTCTTGTCTTGAACATAGCTGAACAAATAGCAGTTGCTATAGCATTTGCAAAATGAACCAAGCCACCTCGCTCGTCCTCTCCAATCTCATCCCCCGACATTCTGGCACTCTTCCTCCCGAGCTCCTCAATTTAACCAGTGCTCTCATTCAACAATCGCGCCTGAGATGTTCATTAAGTCAGGAGCAAGAAATTGGGAGGGTATATGCTTGTGCCAATCTTGCTTGCGAACGGTTTGTTCTCTTGCTTATTACTCACTTACCATTGGTCGTTTACTAAATTTTAAGACAGTCTTAAAATATCATTGAATCTTCCCAAGATCGAACCCCGACCCCCGGTTCCCCCGAAAGTTTATAAAAAACTATATGCATATATTGAAGATACGCTAGCTAATGCGACGCCGAAGAAACGACCGAGAGTTGAAGGAAGTGAGTTTGGAAACGGGAATGGAGATGCGACTCCAAGCAGGAAATCATCATTAGCACAATCCGCGAATAAACGCACACCAGGTCGAAATGATACCCCAATAAAAACTATTCTTCCCCTTCCCCAACGCAGCACACCTTCTAAATCCAAAAGTCTGGTAAGTTTCCGCACCCCGAAAAAAGGATTACGGCATGAGAAAAGAGATGAGACGAAGATACCACGATGGGTTGGTACAGTAGGTAGAGAACTGTGCCGGGAAATTGGGATGGAAGAAGCGACACCTCATGTGTTGGCTGGTGTGGAAAGTTTAATTTTTTGGGAGGAAGAGAAGGAGAGGAGAAGGGAAGAGACGATTGGAAAGTGGCCGGCGTTAATGATGGCAGTTTGGGTTATTGTCTGGGGAAAACTGACGGCGGGTGGGGAGCTGTTGAATGACGAGGATTTTAAAGAAAATAGGCTCAAGGCGTTGGAGGTGTTAAGGTCGACGAGGAAGGACACAGAGGTGGTGAGGAAGGTTGGGACGGGAGGATGGGAGGGGTGGGATTTACCGGATGAGGGCGAGGAAGATGAGGATGAGGTGGAGAGGAGCAATGAGAAAGAAGTCAATATTTGGATTGCCGAGATTGCTAAAAAAGGGTGTTTGGAAATGGACTGGTATCAAAATTTAGTCAAGGCAGACGCTCCAGACGACACAGATGAAGATCGGGAAAGAGAAGATGCTCTAGATGGAATTGAAAGAGCGCTGGTCCGAGAAGACGAAATGAGATATGGGCTTGGTACAATGCGACAAAAGAAAGTGGATTATTTGACAGAGCAGAGGAGAGCCGAGTACAAAGCGTGGAAAAATAATATATTGGCTAAGATTGCCAGGCTAGAGAAAGAGAGGAAGAGTAGAGATGTAATGGAGATAAATGCATAGCGAAAGTGTTCTTTCACTTAGAATTGATACCCTTAATGGTGTCATAATGGCTGCTAGGACTTTTTTAGATCAAGTTCAATATTTGCAAATTTTCAAGCCTTCCAAATTCATATTTCTCATGAGTTTTCATCTCATAATGATAACACAGTCAATTTCATACAAGAGCTCGCTATACCAACAAAATATCTTCATATGACCCATCACGTACATCCCTGATCCTACTTCACTTGACTCACTCTTCATCTCCATCCATCCACTCACTCCATCCTCTCTCTCTCCCTCCCATTCAAATAAAACATCATGAGTAGATACCCAGATACCTAGTCCTCACTTTCCCCTCCCTCTTTTTCCAAAGCCCAAAAATGTTTTATTGCACATCTAAGAATTATAAATCTTTAACCCCGAGGTCTTGAGATATCTCTCTAGAGTCTGTAGATCGAGCTTTTATATTACCTAGGTAGAGGGAGATAATCTTGTGTGAAAGCGGTGGAGCTTCATTTTGTTCTTGTTGTGATATATGGATAGGTAGGTAGGTAGGTAGGTAGGTAGGTAGGTAGGTGGGTGGGTGGGTAGGTAGATAGGGTAAGTTTTTTTTTTTGGATTTGTATGAGGGTATGTGGGATTAAATACTTAAGTGTGGAAAGATTAGGTTTGAGTTTGTTGAATATTTATATTGTTGCTGTTGTTTTACAGATTTTAGGGAGAGTTTTTTTTTTCATGTTTCTATAAAAATAGATAGCTAGATAGCTGGTAACCCATAACCTCCCAGATAAATCCCAAAAAAAATTGTACTTTATTAGGTACTTTTCTAGGGATTATACATGTTGAAGATATTAGAGGTTTTGGGCGGAGATGGGTGATGTGTGTTGATCTTCTAGTGGGTATGAAAAGTTCTTCATTCATATTATGAGGAAATGATGTTTAAGGGGCTCAAATTGAAGTGAATTTAGAGTCAATGTATGAAGGGATCGTTTGAATAAAGTTTGAGTAAAGCTTGAGCTGGGTAGGCTACATTCATGATACCGATGAGATAGAGGTGGGTGGTTAATAGATATTAGAGAGGTGAGAGAGAAGTGTTGGAACCTGGAAGGATGAAGGATAAAGGATAGAAGACTATCTTGTAATCTTATTTCATCTTCTATTATTGAGATCTTTGTATAATATGAAGCAGTACATTATCTTTCCAAGTGCTGGTGGTGGGTGTATAAGGATAGAATATATCAAAACCCCTCAAATCACCTCGTCGTATATGACTTTTTCAATAACATACAACATTTCCATTCATACCATAACCAAGTTAAAAGATGTGTGAGGCCAATGCCGTTATTCTGTATTGGTTTTATGCAGAGAGGAAAATTGCTGCTGGAGGAGGGGAATGGGAGAACGGAGTATGTAGTGTGGTCTTTACATATGTGACACAAGTTCTCTTGGGAAATATAAGAGTGAGTAAAGAGATAGGTACGGGGTACGGCTTTCCTTTTTAGGTCTCTTCAATTATGTAGTAATTACTAAAGAGCACATGTCATACTTTGAAACAAAGCTTTGCTGCATGCTGCATACTGAATCACCGAGTGATGATGCGCAGAAAGAGAATAAAAGAGATTGAAGAGAACACTGGCCGCCCTCATGTGGCAACTATTCCATGGATTAGTTATCCCCAAGTTATTCGTCTAGTCTTAGAAACTTGGTTATTTGGATATGTAGAAATAAATTTAAAGAGCTTGCTGAGGATAAGCACGTAACATGACGGGATTTGTTAGCCCAGGAAAAAAGCTTCTTCGCTTCTCAAGAGCTAAAAGATACCTTCAATAGTAAAAGACGAGGTAGGTGAGTGGAAACAAAGGTTGAGATTATGTTCATGGGGGAGCTACTCTTCGCTGGACTTCTTCGCCGTATACTGGGGAGAAATTCTTGTGACCATGGCAAGGATCGTATGGCAAAGATCGTACGGCAAAAGGTCCGATACACATGGTTTTGCTCTGTCACATTTTGATGCTATCCACGAAGAGAGCTCCTAATTCAAGGATTGTGAAGTTCAATCTGACTTCATAGCATGCCTGTGCACTCCTCCTCTCGGCTTGAAAAAGCTACATAGTCTATTATACTTTGGCAAGGGACATTCCATACGTGCGCATAGCAGTGGATCGTCATCCCCTCCGTATGCTAGTTCAAGACCACCCTCATCCGACGAAATATCCCAAAATAGAGATCCGCTAGACAAGCTAGCTTTGGTTGTAGCAGGTCGCCTTTGGGGACGCGAGGGCCACTTTATTTAGATATTTTGCTGGTACTAGTAATTCAGAATTGTATATACCTAGTGATCGGAAGACGACGTACACTGACGTCAAGCATAAGGTCTTCCGGGCCGTGTAGGTTTCGCGGAATCTACCTTGCATTGCCGTGGACTTCCTAGTCCTCGAGACGGCATGCGGCAGACATCCCATAATGTGCTGGCCAAAGCGTAATAGTACCCAGAATGTTGGGTATCATCGGCAGGAGTGTGATGCACAAAACGGGGAGGTCATGCGAAATTATGCAGATAACGAACGACCCGACGACGCGATGATCTCATCTGTTCGCCGAACTGTATGCGCAGAGAATTCAGAGCAGCGGTGTGATGCGCGAGGAAACGTTTTCAAAAGCCGTGTGATAGAGTCTAGATTCATGAACCTGCTCCAGCGAAAAGACGAATGAGGTTGAATGTCTCTTTTGGACTTAAGGCCAAGCTTAAGGCTATCGTAATTCTGAATAGAATTGGTGGTAGGTACCCGCAAGTAGATCATTGTCTCAAGAGTCAACCCAAGACAAAGGCTTAACTGTACAGCTGGGCGCAGCTCAGCCTCGCATCGGATAAAATATCCGAGGTTCATTTCCTGTACGCTTGGACAAGTTCGAGTCCGTGCCGTTGACTCTGCACAAACCATGCAGGTGGATTGATGGTAGAGTGATGATGGAATGCAGAGGAGAGTGGCATCAAGTTGTCAAGCGAGTGAAAAGGTCATACTGTACGAAGAGAATGCCATGAGCTTGGTTTTGAGACTTGAGGATGAGTAGTTACCACGTTGGAATAATTCCACTCATATTTGAGCATGAGATTATTCTCTGGTTGGACCAGGAGAGATTCTCGACTTTCGTGCCGCTAAGTTCGTGGTAATGAGGTCTTCTTATTACACATAACCTTGAGATTAATACGAATAGTAATTTTGTAGATTGGTACTAGCACTCATAATACATCTAATAAGAGTGTTCCCAGTATGATAACATCACCATGTCAACCATGAAAATCTGTTCTCTTCAAGACTCAACATCAGCAGGATCTAAAGGGAATTGGAGACATCTGCTCCTCCTATGACTAGATCAAAGCGTGCATACATCTAATATGCATCGAAGGTTCAATCATGCGGTTGCAGCTTAGCGAATAAGAACGAGGCGTGGAAGATGCAAATGATGAAATCTCCATGATCAGAGAGGAATTGAATCTCCCAACTCAATGTATATTCCGATCTATTTATGAGGCTTTGTACTTGGCACTCGACAGCACGTGCGTGTGTATCATCGATGGCGCCTCTTGGAGATTCGGGTTGAATGTTTCAATGATTCGGTGTTTCAATGTTCCAAGCCGGTAGAGACAATGCAATCTCCGGCAGGCGTTAATAATGTCTACAGAGTACGGTAATGTCTTCGTTAGAATAGGAGTGGAGAAGACCAAAGCATTTTGGCTTTAAGTTTCAAGTTCCTCTAATCTACATTTATCCGAGCGACCGAGACGACAAGACCTCATTTCCTATTATAGCCGTTATCTTTTCTTGAACCGCGGCAGATCTTACCTTGCCAACACTTGGTTCATCTTGATGTCCATCTGGGGAGTCGGGGCACATCTCTTTTTTCTTCTTGCGCCCTCATCATCCCATTCATTGATAAGAAGTAAATACGTAATAACGTTCTGCATATTTCCATTGCCCGTTAACAAGTCACATCAAACGGCGTGCCGCTTCCTTCCATATTCCTTCAGCGCAGTGTCGCTACCCCTTCATCCTTCTACTCTGTAGGTATTAATAATTATATGTACATATTATCAACTGGCGTTTCGCGATCGTCTGAACTTTCAATCCCGCCAACCTGTCAGAAAAGTAAAAATTCCCGCTCTGAAAATGGAGGGCTGATCTAATTACTAGTTCACGGATCTCAACAAGGTTAATCCTCATATGGGTATACCTCGTTACGCGATTGGAAAAGGAAAACCCCCAGATCAAAAGGGAGTCCAAGCCCTAATCCAAAACCTCCTTTTGAAAACTGGTACCCTACAACATACTATGATACTGCTTACGGAGTACATCCTATCTATCCCTGGCTACCGCGTGAGCTCTCTGGAATCTGGCGGGGCCATTTGAGGATTTGATTATCAATCGCCGAACACCCGGTACTGTACTTTTTGTGCTGGCTTCTCTGTTTGGGATCATTAGAAAGCAAATGGCCATGTATCATTCATCATGTATCATACGATGGACTTTGCAGATGCAGATGCAGATGTATTCGGGACTAAAGTGTGCTGTGCATAGGGGAAAGGAGGTGAGGCAGAGAGGGGGTTTGCAAGAACCCCCGGATGTTCTATAATTATTGGCCGCGCTACAGTGAAGACCTCCCTAGGCATTAAACATTTCCAAATTCCATCAAATGGACAACAGCCTAACACTCCTGAATTAAGGATTAAATAGGCACAGCAGCATATACGGGCCAGGGGGAAGGACTTGACGATCGATCAACTACTTTAGATCCGGCAACACTACACTCTGTACCTGAATCTGAATAAAAAGAACCCAATCAGAGAAGATTGACTACCTTATCCCTTGCCAAAGTTTCGGATTGAGCGCTCAAAGGCAAAAAGACAGAGGTAATGGTTCTGGGGTTAGCATGTTTAGTAAGAAAGTCACAGTGGGTTGGCTACGGAGGATACGATGGAATGGGACAGTGGATTCTAGAGGTGTAGAAGTTGTAATTATTTTAGGGCATTTAGAGTTAAATACCCCTGAACCTAAACTAAAAAGAACGAGGGAACAGCGAACGGCGAACAGCCATACTGCGCACATATTTAGCAAGCAGGCAAACTGTATGGAGAGTCGGGAGATGAGAAATAAATAGACAATAATATCTACGGAGTATTATCTGCAGAATACGTACCCAGTATCTGGTATCTTGAACCTAGTACCTAGTACCTAGTACCTAGGTAGATATGCCTTATTGCACAATTTTTAGCCATGTCCAGTGTCCACCTTCCGCAGACCCACGAACCGCAAATCACAAATTCCCCATTTAAGCACCATCTAGGATACGTACCCATACTTACAAGTTACCATACTTTGCAGTCTCCGCCGAGTTGAAGCTTTAGGATTGGCTTGCGTGAATCTGAATCTTCGTCCTTCACCCATCCTTCCTGCACAGTGCACGCATCGGGAACCAACCTTTTTAAACCACCAGCGCAAACTACACTTTTTTTTTAGTAACTCTACCCTCCAGCGGCCACTGTCTCTCTCTCCTCCTCTCTCCCCGATCCAACATCATCCACCTCCAATCGTTTTTGCATACCTAATCAGCCCTCTGTAACACACATTATTGTCTATATTTCTGAACTAAAACTAATATTTCATGTCCTAAAAGCACTACAGGACGCGTGAAAAGAGATCTTTATATTTAACACTCTTGTCCCTGTTGCTCGACAACCACAACGCGTGTTTATCTCCAACATTCGCTTACCTCTTTCTTGGATTGGTCCTGTTGGTCAGACGAAAAAAAGGAAGCAATTATACATCCTGGAAAGAAATAACAGGAGAGGAAGAGGAAATTCAAAGTATAATATTATTTATTTATTCACTCTCGTTCTAACAGTTTTCAACCAATGAGTCGGGCCTGGAGCAGAACGATTTCCAACGCCTTCTGATTACTTATCGAAACACCATCACATTAATCTACAATCAAAACAACATTCTATTGCACCACGGTCTTTCACGCATTTTGTCGCAACGAAGGTTACGAAAGAGCCATGGCCAGCTCTCCAGAATCGCACCATGTGAGTCTGCCTAGGCCCGCGAGTGTAATGATGAGAGGAGCACCAAGATCGAGTAGTCGGATGAGCAGCAAGACTGGAGGAAGTCGAGCCTCGGACGAAGATGGTAAAACTGCTGTCAAAGTTGGTATGGATATCTTGATTTGTTTTGTATGTGTCGCCCACAAAGGCTAATCAGAGTTACTTTTGCAGTTGTGCGAGTTCGACCACCCCTCCGACAAACCGATCCTGGCTACGATCTCATTCCACAAAGATTTCAACGACCTATGGTACAGGTTAATTCACCCACGACCTTGGCGATTGATTCTCCACAGGGAAAGAAGATATTTGTGTTTGACAGAGTATTCAGTGAAGATGTGGACCAGGAAGGAATTTGGGAATACTTGGTAGAGAGCACAAATACCTTCATTCAAGGATATAATGTCTCTATGCTGGCATATGGACAATCCGGCGCTGGGAAGTCCTTTACAATGGGTACATCCGATCCAGACGAGCAAGGAAAATCCGAGGTTATGGGTAAGTTAGACACCGTTGCACTCGATCCGATTATTGAACTGCTGCGCAACGTGTTGTAATTGCTCAAATGGGAAAAATGCTAATGTACGCGCGATTGTCTAGGTGTTATTCCACGTGCGGCCATGGCAATATTTGAGAAACTCGGCGTCGGGAAACCGCAGCAATCCAATCGGAGCTCCATGACTGGTCTACGAGCTCCCAAGAGGTATTCCACGATTCCTGCTGCTGTGTCTGCGGAGGACAAAAATTGGACTCTCAAGGCAACGTATGTCGAAATTTACAATGAGCAGCTGCGAGATTTGTTAGTTCCCGAACATACACCTCCCCATGAACGAGAGGTGGTCAATATTCGAGAGAACACCAAAGGTCATATTCTTCTTACAGGATTACACCAGGTAGAGGTCAATACTGTGGAAGATCTCATGGCCGCACTCAATTTCGGATCTATGATTCGCCAGACTGATGCAACCGCGGTCAACGCCAAATCTTCACGATCTCATGCTGTGTTCAGTTTAAATCTGGTCCAGCGCAAAACCAAAGGGACACAAGGCGCCGAAAAGAGATTTTCCGTTCCACTAGAAGCCATGACTGGCGCAGATATGGTAACAATTGACAGCAAATTCCATTTTGTCGATTTAGCTGGCAGTGAGAGATTAAAAAATACCGGCGCACAAGGAGAAAGAGCCAAGGAAGGTATTTCCATCAACGCTGGTTTGGCTAGTTTGGGCAAGGTTATATCGCAATTGTCATCCCGACAATCCGGATCCCACGTGTCGTACCGAGACTCTAAGCTCACCAGATTACTCCAGGATTCACTTGGAGGTAACGCAATCACTTACATGATTGCATGTGTCACGCCGGCAGAATTTCACCTCAGTGAAACCCTGAACACAGTTCAATATGCTCAACGCGCCCGTGCCATTCAAAGCAAGCCTCGAATTCAACAAGTTTCAGACGAAAGCGATAAACAGGCTGTCATCGATCGCTTGAAAGCCGAGGTCGCTTTTCTTCGGGATCAGATTAGCAACAGTGAAAGCGGGGGTGATCGTCGTAGCAAGCCCACGAGTGAGAGGCCCGAGCGACAAAACGAACGAGAAGTGGAATTGCACAATCAGCTACTGGACACGCAGGAAAATTACACGGCACTTAGCAAACGACATGCTAAGCTTATATCGGAGTTGGCTAGGGCTCGGGATGAGGAAGCTGCTGATAACCAGGCTCATGAAAATACGTTGGGTGACAGTGCTACAGAGAGACTAAAACGCTCGAACTCATTCGCCGAAGCGGTTGAACAAGTGGTCCTCGAATACGAAAAGACAATTCAAAGTCTTGAGCATTCCCTCTCTAGCACTCGATCATCTTTAGCAAATACCGAAACCCAGCTACTGGAAAGGGAGACCAAGTGTGCTTATGCTGAGACGGTCAATCAACAACTCCAAGCACGCTTACAGAAATTGGTTGATCGAGAGGCTAATACCGAAAGTTATCTACACGACCTAGAAACGAGGCTCGAAGGCCATACTTCAGGCGAAGACAAAAATTCGGCAATCGTAATGGAGCTTCGCAAAGAGATTGCTCGCATTCGCGAAAATGAAGCTACATCTGAAGATTACATTTCAACCCTCGAGGAACGTTTAGCCGAGGCTGATCAAGATTCGGAGATGATGCAACGTGAAATCGAGCGATTGGAGCACGTTATTGAACGCCAACGGAGTCTCGGAAAATTGGACAGCCTGCTCTATGATTTAGATCAGATTCAGCATGATGGGAAAAGTGGAGACGAGAAAAGAGCCATGAGCAGCAAACGATCTTCGTCCATTGACATGAACAGCCGTCGACAAAGCCTTACAAGTAGGAGAAACCAAAATAATGTCATTCTAGAGACCGACAATGAGAGTGACGAGGATTTTTCGGTGAGCCCGGCAAGTGGCAAAAGACCCGAAACCGATGGCCCCGCCGACCATGGAGAATCGATTGAACTCGGAACTCCCCTGCAGTCGCTGAGTGAGGAGATCGGTAGTCAGTATTCACCTCAAAGCCCAGCCCAATCGAAGTTCGTTGAGGATAAGCTCGAAAGCGTTACTCAAGAACTCGTTGACCTAAAAGTTGAACATGAAGCTACCATTGGGGAATATGACCTTCTTTCCGCTAAATATGAGGAAGCTCTTCGTACATTGGCCGAACTTCAAGACGCCGTTGACGAAGCTCGCCATCCTGGTGCACGTGATCCTCCATCGGTGGCTCAGACACCGACATCAGCTTCTTTTTTAGCAGACGCGAGGGTGAACGAGCTAAGAGGTGGAGGACAATACTCATCCTCGCGATCGCTCTCATCGGAATTGTCCTCAGCTGGGGAACTACGCACTACCACAGAACAATCTGATGCTGAAGCCGTGATCAAAAATTCCGAGTCAGTGTCGACTTCGGAGCAGGCCAGTGACACGACGAGTACGGCGGATGTTGAAAGCTTGAGAAAGTTGGGCGCCGAGCAAGAAGAGGCACAAATGATGCTTGCCGAGAAATACGCCCAATTAGAGGAGGAACACATAGCAGCACTCGATCGTATGGAGGAACTCAAGGCGGAGGTATCGAAAGCGAGAATGAATGCCGAAGCTTCATCACCGCGCTCAGTCACACCAGTTATACGTCGCAAATCGAGTCAAAATGTTATGATCATAGATCGAGCTCATAGATCATTCGCCTCTTTGAGAAATATTGCAGCCGACAATTTCGAGAATAACCCCGACATTATGGCCAACTTCGAATTGAATTTGAACACTGCAATGCACGAATTACATACTCGTTCGGAGCGAATTCAGGAGCTTGAAGCGGACATTACTACGGCCAAGAAGGAGTTAGATACTAAGACAACTATTATTAGTGGGCTTGCGAGAGAGAGATCGAGCATGAAGGCATCGCCAATGGATATGTCGGTGGTCTCGACTATGCAGGACCAGATAATCAATTCTGAGAATCAAGTAAGGATGCTCCAGGAAACTCACAGTGTTCGTGAAAAGGAGCTACTGCAACAAATAGAATCTCTTAGGAATTCTGCCAACACCCACCCTATAGTCGATGGCGACTCTGTTAACAAAGAGGCCAATGGAACAGATGACAATCATGAAAGTAAAATTGCAGAACTGAAAGCAGAAGTTGTCAATTGGGAAAGAAGGCATCAGAATGCCTTAACTTCCATGCAAAGTTCCCAAAATGCACTCGAAGCTACGATATCTGAGTTGGAACGACAATTGTCAAGTCTGACTACTAGTGAAGATAAGAGGGCTCGCGAAATCGAAGACCGCCAAACTCATGTTGCAAACTTGCAAAAAGAAGTTGACGAACACAGGGCAGCCGTCGCCGCGAGTGTCGCGCAAATTGCCGAGCTCCGGCAAGCTCATGCATCAACACGTGAACAGCTTGATGGAGCCATTCAGTCAAAAAATATCACATCCGCAGAGATGGAGGGACACAAGATTCTTGTGGCTCGGCTGGAAGAGCAGATTGCCGGGCATGAAAATATTGTCAAGACTCACCACGAAGGACTAAGCTTCTTGCATGCGAACCATGCTAAGGAGGTTGAAGAAATCCGCTCGAGTAGCAAGGCTGACCATGATGCTCAGTTAGCCGAATTGAAGGCCAAGCATCAGGAAAACATCGATGCACTGTCAAGAGAGCTCTCTGACGCCCGTGGTGATTTGGCAAAGATCGCCACGCAAGTTGCTTTTGCACTTGGAGTTGACGTCAGCACAGAGAAGCTTCAAGATAGAATCACGGATCTTATTGCCAACCAGAAAGCTCTTTCCGATGAGGAAAGTAGAGCGGGCGAGCTTGAGAAGTACACCGAAGAGCTGTCGACGATTAATCAAAGTGTTATGAAGGAGCTCGAAACTACCAAGGCCGAACTGGCTAGTCTTCTAGCGGAAACTGCGGAAGGTTCTAGACTGAAGGATGAAAATGCTACGGTTGCAGATCAATTGGCCGCTTTGAGGAAGGAGCTTCACGACCTCGAGACTAAGAACAAGAAGAACTCAAGACTGGTAGAGGAGCTTGAGGACCAACTGGCCTCAAACTTTGATGAGCACCAGGCTGCTAACAATCGCCTCTCTACGCTCCAAACAGAGCGCAATGCCCAATTGGACGAAGCCAATGCAAATGCTCTCCGTGCCCAGACCGAGTTGGACGCGATCAAGGAGGAATTCGCCAGTCTTCAAGTGAGTCACAAATTGTGAGATCTTTTATGATATATCTGACTAATAAAATAGGCCAAATATGACGAGATTATGCAGTCCGACCCGAATAAACAGCGTTCCAACTCGATGACTTCGCGACTCCACAAGTCTGCATCCGTGACATCACTTCCATCACCACCACCTGCAATTCCCTTACCGCCACTACCTGGAATTGCAGGAACAGCACAGATTGGTCCGGCTCCTTCAACATCACCAGTCCCACCAACACCTACCCAAGGTAGCTTCAATAGCCGCAATAGCAAGGACGTAGCTGCAACTCAAATCCAAGAAGATCAAGAAGCTCGTATCCGCACTATCGAAAAGCACTTATTCGCTGAGAAGCAACTCACATCTACGCTCGAAGAGGCTCTGACAGATCTTGAGAGACAAAGCAACAAGGTCAAAGCCGATTGTGATGCATGGCGAAAACGTGCCAACGAACTGGAAGTGGAACTGAAAGCGGCTGAAGAAAAAGCCAAGAATGGTGATGCGGAGAAGGAGAATCGTTGGAGCTTGATGCAAGTTGAAGAGGAGAAACGCAAGAGAAAAGAGGCAGAACTCGCGAGAGCTCACCTTGAAGAACGTATGAATGCTCTGAGTAGCAAGAAAAAGAAGAAGGGCAGTTTGAATTGTTTCTAAAGAGAAATTGAAAGTCCTGCTCCAGGATCTTCAAGTTGCGTGTCTTGCGACGATTCTTCTAGTTCTTGCTTTTACTACGATTTATTTCACATTTACCTCACATACTCTATTTCACGACATTGTATTTTTTTCCTCAACGAATTCATGTGCCACAATGTCCCAGCATGGCGAGCATTCTGAAGAAGCAATATTTCACATATTGCGACTATGACACAAATCTGATGTCTAGAATCGAAGTCTTTTTTACTTCCTATTTTAATTTTTTTCTTGTACTTTAACGTCCCGCGATTTTACGAGATACCACAAATTTTTCCAACTTATTTACATTTATTTTTTGACATTTTGAATTTGGCGAAGGTGTTCAAGGGCGCGAAACGAAAATGACAATTAACGGTCATGATGGGTACCTTTCTTTGCTTTGCTTCTTTGCTAGACTAGCGGATGATCTTTGCATTCCTGCTTTTTGAATCTTCTTTTTCGACTTCGGGAGGAGAATTATCTTTCTTTTTCTATCATCCTCATACAGAGATACTTAGTCTTTATTCTTCATGTGATATGGTAGGGGTGGCTGATGGATGGTGCTTTCCTGATGGGGGTTTTTTGGCCGGGAGAAGATAAGATACACACTGGTAGTTGAAAAAGGGAGGCGGAAGTGATTAGATGGAAATTTCGAGCGTATTTAGATATCAAGTGGAGGATAATGATAAAGATAAAGACAAAGATAAAGACAGAGGCCAGATGAAATGAATCTTTTTTAATCTGATCTGTATTGTATGTATGCGCAAGAGCAGTGGGTGACGGTGACCTTACTGGATTTGAGGTACCATGGTAAGAGAAAAAGAAAACGATAGCAGAAAGGAAGAAAACTTAACTAAACTCGATTGGTTAGATGGTGGTAGAGTAGGGGTAGAGGAGATGCGAATGAAAAGTGTAGTGGAGATCTCAGAAAGTCAATAGACTCGAGAGATCGAGATGATTTGAAGATCAATTCTACTTCTTGAGGTATCCATCAACAACTCATCCAAAAGATTCACCATTCTCCACGTGCCAATAGATAATATCTCTGTAAGTGTAGAAAGGAGTCCAATTAAATCACCACATCATAATGCTAAGAAATCAGTAGTCAAAAGATATCAAACAAAACCGGATGGCGTATCCCATCCTAGAAGAATAATTGCGTAACCTACTCCAGCAATCTCGATGCCCTCGGCTTGTCAAATATCGGCCTTATTCTAACCGTGTTGGACATGTGGAGACCCTGAAATTGTTCCCAAAACACTCCATCATGGAACTGCGAGCGATGATCCAGTGATATCTCATGGAAAGGAAGTGTACAGGTCATAGTTCCACCATGAACACGCCACATTTTAACTACGTGGCTCGTGGCTCTTGACTCGCCGAGGCGAGTATTGCACCAAATTCTCAAAGTGAAGCTTGGTTCGTTTCGTACTGGTAGTCTATACGGTGGCCGTCATTGCTTTGAAAGAGTTAGGATGTGGACAGAGGCTGTGTAACAAATGGCTGGCGAAGGTGCACGTCGTGGGTTGATGAAATGTCCCTGGATGTCACATTCTATAAATTGCCCGAGAGCCGGGAAGAAAAATTAGCACTCTATTGATATATTAGAGTGCATTTCACGCCTACCATGTCCGTATGTAATTTATAAGGGCTGGATATCAAAGCGGTTCGTGCGAGCGCAAGACAAATGGAGAGAGAGGCCGCAATGCAGGACCGTTATCGAGTCCCAGCATAATAGTGACCACATTGTACAAAAATGGGAATGGTTTATTGGAAAATTTGCAATTCCCCGCACGCAGCTAAAGTCAACATTACCCCGCGCAAGTATTTGAAAATAAACCGCGCCGTAGCTCAATGCCGGCGTCGTCCTTCCAGGTCTTCCTTCTACTCTTCAAGTGTTTGTCGGGAACTTTGCGACAAATGTCTCTCGAACATGGAACTTCCAAGCAAGTATCTCCCAAAGATGAATACACCAAACATAGATCTTGAGTCGATACTCAACAAACTTGGGATGCAATGCTACCTTCATCGCTTCATGAATGCTGGATTTGATGATTGGGTTGTGGTGAAGGATATCACTGAGAAAGACATGTGAGCAGTTTGGGTATAGGAGATGAGGTATGAGAAATACTAATAACGCCAGGCAAGTTCTTGGATTCCAGCTAGGTCACATAAGAGTCCGTTGCAGAAAACACTATGGTCTGAACATGGTACAATTAATGTTGATCCTTATGATAGAAACTTCAACGGGAAATTGCGACTTCGCGAGGATGGCCAAAAAATGCTCCACTAAAAGCGACATGTGTTTGTTGTGGTGGGCGGGAAAATGGAAGACAGAAGGTAATAACAACGTTAAACAACAGCGCAGACACCAATCGGATGGACTCTTCTCATAAAAAGACATTTTCTGATACCAACGGCGCAAATAGCAAGCAGTAGTAACCCAATCGGTGGTCTGGCACTGATAACTCCATTGATGCCAATGGTATAGGCTAGTAAACATTTTTATTCTTCCATCTGCCAACCGAATTTCTGGCTGATAGGATGCCATTTAGCTATCCCTCATCATCCGCGATCATAATGGGGTTTGGGTGAATTGAAAAGTCGATAAAAGTCGTATGGTGGACTTGAGCAACTGTGGATTTGTGAAAGTGTTGAATGAAATGCGTTGATCTCTCGCTATGTGTCATTCGCGAATGACCTCTAGAGGGTCTCGATATTCATGAAAGGGTTGATTGCGGTGCTTGAACTAGGACTTCACTTGTACCTATAAGCCTTGGAAAGGAGATTTGGCCATATGAAACAATATTTGAGGTTGATATTTGATGTATTCATCCAAACTCGATGTGATAATCGATGAAGGGGTGATAAAAGTTTTTGAGATGAAGATATGAAGACAAGTGATGATGATGAGGGATAATTAAATGCAAGAAGATTAAAGAGCAGAAGTGATATTGAAATATACTTTCGGCATGCGAGTGGTTGTTATGTTATCTAAAACCTAGAAGGAAAGAGGGACTTATAGTTAAGCTAAAAGTATCTAATTTAGCTCCTCTCCTTCCACTCGCTTTCGCTACCTTCCCCTTTTGTTATGATATCAAATTAGCTCACAGTCATAAGACAACCTGTTTCCTAGATCACCAACGGCCCTTACTTAAGTACTCATTAAGAGGTCACTGCCTTTTTGGTTGATAAACACTCTGACATCGATATCAACATCATTAAAATCGAACGTCATCATCAGAAACCAATTCCCTGCTACGAGATATGCTATGGATCGATCACTTCTCGCAACCATCACCTACTGTACCTTGGATTATCTTCTCCTTCCTTCCTTCCTTAAGGCGACCTGCTTCACTCATTTGAACATGGCTATTCCTAGTTGGTCTTTTCCAGCGAAGTTTTCTGGAAGAGTGTGCCAACACTAGGGAAGATCGCCACTCCTTGCTTGGAAGAAGACTAACACACCCATACGCGCTTACGTCTACACAATCCTCATGTAAAATTTCCTCCAAATCGCCTTTATTACCCATTTTTACCCGTGATGGCGTCATTACAAGCACGTCCATTTTGTTTCTGGTTGCTCCCTGAGGTAGCATTTTACCACACCAGCTAATACCAGGCAACCAGTTTCCCAATTTATGTTTGAATCTACTGCATCTTTCGAGGAGAGAGGAGACGTAAATCTCTGACAACCCTTGCGGCAGCAGTCTGCTAGAGCAGGTGGTACGACCACTTTTTCTCCAATTAGGTCCAATCATAATATATTTTATCTGAAACTAGGTAATAGCAATCTCGCATTTCATCTGAACCTCCTTGGACGGGGTGGCACTTCCGCCTTGAATTCCGGGGTAGACCCGCTCGATTAGCAATTGTTGTAAAGAGGCTATTTTCATGTCCAACAAGGTTGCAATCACTTTCTCACCGCGGAGTTCAAATTCAAGAGTAGATAGATCGATGACATGTCATCGTTAGCTTTTGCAGCCAACGCTAAGATCATGAAGACTTAGACAGACGTACCTGAACAACACCTGAGCGATCGCTTGCCACATAAAACTCCAAGCCCCAGATCGCCTAGCAATACATGAGCCCCTTTAATAATCCGATAAAACTACGCTATAACGCTGAGTGCTTTAGCCGTGAAAGCAAAATATATCGATCAGCAGAGGTCGTTATCAAGCATGAAACTCTCTCGTCTACTGTAGTACGGAGCGACCGCCCGGGTTCGCGGGAATCTTCGCCAAATATACTTGAATGAGCTAGTACACTTGATAAGGAGGAAATGGAAACTGTACTTGCGCGGAGAAGACATCAGCAGCTAAATGGGGTAGGAAATAGTTTTAAAAAGTGCAATAGTATATTTTAATCAGAACAAGAGAAATTTCAAGCTTTTCTTTGCAAGACAAACAACCTTTTTGAGTTATATATATGGAAGGCATTATCCAAACTGCAGTCTACTTAAATAGCTTCACTTTTACATAGACGCCATTTCACCCATCCCATCTATCCCATCAACCAAACCACCTCAAAGAAACAAACCCCAGATGCAGAGTATCTAAGCCCTAATAAACCACCCCTAATAAAAACCCAGTAAAACACATCTCCCACAAAACTCCAGAAACACTCTATATCCAACCAATTCCTCCTCCTCCTCATTTCCCCAGAACCTAGTACTTAAACTATCTACATACACAAAATACCCTATTCATGACATGAACTCCCCAACAACAAATCCATCATATCTTAAGATTACATGCATCATTGAATGCGTTGTTTTTCAGGTAACCTTAATTATATTGTAAGACTTCATATCTCATATAGACTAGCCAGGAGGTTCATATTATTTTGAGGAAGAAAGTAAAATCTTGGATGATATCAGGGTATAGGGATTAAGAATATTAGGAAAAATCTATAGCAAATTTATTTGTAGGAAAGAGTAGGGTATGCATTTTGAAACAATCTATCTCATCACCATCATCCATCAGGTAATATCTCTCAGCACCAGGATACCAAGCACACGAACCTCTTCATGCAGTCCATGTTGGCGCAACTCTCTTCAAATACTTCATGAACTTCCACAACCCAACCGCATACTCCGTCGTGCCCTCTGGATCCACGACTTTTTCCGGGAACGCAATTCCAGCACCATACAATCCTCTAATCGTCTTTCCCTCCGCATCGACAAATTCCGATGTCTCGTGATTATAGGTGATTTCTAATGGCTCCTCATTTCTCTTAATCGGTGGAAGTTCATTCTTCGTGAACCCAATAGCCTGCACCACATATTTACACCCCGGTAAATGTTTCTCGTAGTCTTCCGTCTCTGTTTCGGGAGAGGTCTTCACTTTCTCGAGGTATTTAGAAACATCAGATGTGGGCAACGTATCGGCTTCGAGATTCTCCTTTGCCCATGTGGCTACTTCACCCTTGAGGCCCGTGTTATCACGCTTGATCCATCCATCACGCTCCTCAGCATATCGAAGCTCATGGCGAGTAAGCCATTTAATGCGAATTTGACCATCTTTTTCCTTAAGCAAAGTTGCGGCTTCGTAGAGGTTTCGTAGTACGAGAATCGCACTGTGAGACGCACCAATGACGGCGATAGTGGTGATTTTAGTCGAGTCTGACATCGCTTTAAAACTACGACGCAATCTATGTAACAAACTATTAGGTCTTAAACAGGTATCAAGACCAAGATAATATTGCGGCTGAGGCCCCTCCTGCTTAAGTTGGAGGTTGATCTTAGTGGGGTGAGATCCGGTGCACAAAAAGAGGAGATCCGAGGATGCTGAACAATCTTGCTTTTCAAAACGGCCGAATTTGACATTCCAGCCGTTGTCCTGTTTGGAGTTAGCTTGTGGAAAATCAAACGAGACGCTGCGCTTACATTTGACCAATAAGCACTTCGCAACCTCCCATGTCTAAATCTGTTTACACCTTTAGACTCATCAAGCCCTCTTGCTAACATCAACCCTAAACCAGCAGCTTCAGCAATATGGCAGGTCTTTTCCTGGTCAAGATCTTTTAAGAGGCTATAAGCATTAGGAGTAGCAGTGTCCTTTATGATTTGTTGGAAAGGTTCTAAAGCCTCTGCGAACATAGAGAAGAATTTGACTTTTGTATTCCTATGACGATAAGAAGTATTAGATTCATACCTCCAGGTAGGCACCAAGTGGAAGAACAAAACTCACGAAGGCACAGCCCGATACTTCTGATGCAATCTGCCACCCCCGAATTCCCTAGCATCTCCAATCCACAGAACTGGACCTTTCTTTTGTTCCAAAAGATTACCCACGACAGCAAGTCCAGCTGGCCCAGAGCCTACGACCACAGCCCCATACCTCTTTTCCCTGTCGGCGACATCAGTACTGTACGACCTCTGTAGCACGTGATTAAACAACGACGTTTGCAATTCACCCATCTTCTTGCTGGATCTTCCACTTTTCAAGACGGTGGAAAAAGTTCGTGTTGATACCCTTCCGGCCGCAATGGGCGGGAAAGAACCTCTAAGCAACAACATCTTTGCTGCGGGTATACGTATGTGGAAGGAGCTCCCCACAAACAGACTCAACGTTCGGGTACGGAATCAGATATGAATGAATACTACTGTAACCCAGTATCTCCTGTAAATTGCCGGCCTTTCAATAAAACCAGAAAATCCAACCGTTCAAAGAGCACCAAGATCAATTGGTTGACGGGTGACTCAGGGAAATGTTTTGTACCTCGCAAACCCCTGCTCGTCCTGCAGTCCCAGAAACTATCTGCCGAATCTACCTGCTTGTCAAACCAAGAGAAAGATATTGATCGGCGAATTTATTTGGGTGAGTATGAAAATACAGTTCCATTAAGTTGGGAGATATAAAAGAGAGTTGTTGTCCAAACCACGCGTTACCTTGAGTGATTGTGGGGTAAAGCAATTATTTTTTCGAGTTTGAAATTGAAGTTTGAGTGGCCTAGGCTTTTGAAGAAATCAGATCCTGCAATCCATAACAAAATGGAGTTATGTTCAAGAATCTTAGTATATGAATATGATTCGATGAGCGAAGCAATAAACGAGTGATGAAAGTATTAGTTTGGATTCTAGGTATATATGCAATGATGTATTATGTTGTGTTGGGATTTTTAAGGGAAGATTGAGGTTCCTGGTGTCTGGAAACTATTTGCCTCGGTCACTTACAGCCAATTAATTATATGTTAGCAAACCCCTTTTTCATCCTGCAAATATATTCCTATCATGAGATTCTACAAAGTGGGATTCTATCATTGATTAATATATTCTACTCATTCTCATCTACTCGATTGTTGCGGACTCGACTTAGTCTGGATCTTAACTACAAAATATATAGCCCAAGATATCAATGATACCAGGGTAAGAGCGAACGGAGGCAACGGAATCTTGTCCAGCTTTTTGTTGACTGATTCGTTTTGGCCCGCACACCAGTACGTAATATCCAACAGAACTATGCCAATAGTCATCAAGAATGAAGATAACTGTAGAGCACTCTTCCTTGGTACATTCGCCATCCCATCAATCAATCCATCAATTCTCTCGGCCATTTTGACATCAGAAAACTCATTTTTGACCCTTTCTACACCGGCAACTCCCATCTTCTTGACCTGGTCATCCGTCATTTTGTTCAGAACCTTATCCATGACAGCCGTCCATCGTTCAACCTCATCAGGCGGACAAAGCCAACCGGTCTTCACTTCTACTACTGTCTCTAGTGGCCCTCCTGTGTTTGCAGCTAATACTGGCACGCCGGCTAACATTGCCTCCAAAGGCACGATCCCAAAATGCTCGTTAGAAGGGGTATATATCAAAAGTCGTGCCGAATTGAGCAGCATCTCCTTCAAAGTATTTGGCACTGATAACAAAAACAGAACATCCACATCATCAGGGACGTTTAATGCTGTAACAATAGTTTTTGTCGTGGCCGTCTTCAATCCAAGCCCGGTAGCTAATTTGTCAAGTTCCTTGTGATATACGACGTTCTCCATAACTCGGTTGTCATATCCACCTGGCAACCATGTCAGTGTGCTTTATACAATGATGGAAATATGCCCTACCAGCAAGTACCAATCTCACTCCCTGTCTCCCATGCTTGCCCAATCCCGCATATGCCTTGATTGCAAGACCAATATCCTTCTTCTTTTCGAATCGGTTGATGCTTAACAAAATATTTCTATCTTGCCAAACTGGAACCGCATCATCCTTGGTCTCAGTTTTCTTTGGATTCACATCTACACATGGATGTACAATCTGTAAATCTTTCTCCCTAGCCAAGTCGGGAAATACCTGTTCCACCATACTTTTTGTAAATCCAGAATTAACCGCAATTGAGTCTGCGTAACTCATACTCCATTGCTCCAAAAAGTCAAACGGTATTCTATATGCGCGTTTCAACCAATGGGTCCTTCCCTGCGCGAGTAACAGGTCGGGGAAATGACAATAGAAGAATATTCGAGTTTTGGGATAAAAGAATCGTAGCCATGGTACGCCAGCACTCAGCTGATCCACGAAGAAAGCATCGGGTTTCAGGTCGCTGATTTCTGAGGTAAAATATGCCCACACTATAAGATGTAGTTGTCGAAGAATGGCGCAAATGATAGAGAATCGAGACAGGATCGAGGATGGAAAAAGCCAGTTTCCCCGCACTCGCACATCAAGTGTACCTATCTACAATAAGTATTTGCAGTAATAGCAAGAATTCCACCATCCAACTAACCATCTCGAGCTTCATCAAAGCAATGTTTAGGATCGCAATGGCTGGTGAATATAACAATTTTGTGTCCTCGATTTTGTAGTCCTACCGCGGCATCTATAACAAGTCGTTCGGCACCACCAATGCCTAAATCAGGATGGAAGAACACAATGCTCTTCTGCTTTCCTGCAGGAGCCATCGCAACGTCGTAGATTTTTTATGTTTTGCGGTTGATCATTGAATGAAGTGACAGATAGACATGTCTCAAGCTATTTTGGAACTAAGGTGGGTAGGCTTACAGGGATATGGTAAGGTTAAGGTCTTCAGCCTTGCACTGAGTTTATCATCCTTTCCACTTCTTCACATGTCAATGACATAACATGTTGTTTTCTATTGTTGATGATAATATTGTACTCGTAGTATCAAAATAGATAACCATCACATTCTCTAGCCTCTGCTTGTATGTTCGGGTATTGGTTAAAGTAATTGGGTTTATTTGATACTGGAGTTCGGGGATGTGAACCTGCATTTCCACCAGGAGACCGAGCCTTGTTAAACCTCGGCTCGTGATGATTACCGGGTTGCCAGAACACGTCGAAGTAGATATATTAACCAAAGTCTTTCAGTTCTGTCTTTGCTTTTAATCAATCATCACTCAGTCAAGCTATATCAATCCCATCCAATCTACAGCTCCACACTCAGTCACTAATCTTCAATTTCTACCTTCCAATCTTACCACAGCATCTCAACCTCTAGCCATGGCCCAACCCACGCCGCTCTTCACGCTCCCCATCCCCATCTCCTCTCCTCTCCAATCGCAGCCGGGCACCCTGACTTGCACGACCCCTTCTACCTTACACCCTAATCTCTATCTCCTCACCTTCTCCTCACCCCCCGACAACCGTCTCACAACCACTTTCTGCCAAGCCTTCATGCACGCTCTCGATATCCTCGAAGTCTCCTACCCAGTCGGCGCAATTTGCATAACCTCCGCAATCCCCAAATTCTTCTCCAACGGTCTAGATCTCACCCATGCTACTGAAACGGAAGGGTTCTGGGACAAGACTCTATATGCGCTATGGAAACGATTATTAACGTAGGTTCTGCCATTTCCTCATTTCTTAGCTCCAGAATGATAATTCAATCTCTAACCATTGCACAAAACACAGCTATCCCATGCCAACCATATCTCTCCTTCCCGGACACGCCTTCGCCGGCGGTCTCATGACGGCCATGTACACCGACTACCGAGTTTTCAACCCAAGCCGAGGCTACCTCTGTCTCAACGAGCTCGAATTTGGCGCTCCTCTTAAACCACCAATGTCCTCTATTTTCCGCCAAAAACTGCCCTCTCCTGCTACCTACCGTTCTCTCGTGCTTGAAGCGAAACGCTTCAACGGCGAGGCCGCGTTAAAGGAAGGACTTGTGGATGCTTTAGGAGGATGGGAAGATGTGTTGAAGTTGGTTGATGAGCGGAAATTGTTGGAGAAAGGGAAGACTGGGGTCTATGGGGCGTTGAAGGCGGAGATGTGGAGGGAGAGTTTGGGTTACCTGGAGGCGCATGCGGAGAATGAGGAAAGGGATGGAATGAATATGGATAATGAAGTGAAGAGGAAAGAGGATGCTAAATCCAGGGTCGCTGAATGGGAGAATCAGGCAAAAAAGACGTCGAAATTATGAAAAGATGATATTGTTATATCTAGCAGATAACGCTATACGCCTAAAGGTATCACCTTGACCATACCGTGGTCAACCAATCAATACTGTAATAATACTATACAAGATAATCCCACAAGCCTATAACTCTCTTTTTGTAGAACCACCAACACCATACCTCGATGATTATCCTATTTTGTACAGACCCATCCAGCCCACCGCATTACTCGTAAATCATCCATAATTCATAACCCATACTGCTCAGGCGAAGCTGTCCTCAGCTGGCCAGCGCGGTTCTCTGCCCACCTTGGCCTCTTTACTCCCTTCAGCGAACTCGACCTTCTTGACACCCCTCGTAGTGGCTGGTTTGTTTCGACTACTCTGTCGAACAGAAGCCCCATACTCATCCCGGTTTCGATGCAAAGTTCTGGATCCTTTCGGTTTTGAGTCACGCTCGAATGATTGCAGCATTTCCTCAAAATCCTGCTTCAGTTGAGCGGCTGTCGGAAAGTTAGCTCCAATATTTTGTGATGATTGCTCATAAATCGCCTGACTAGCAAGCGGTATCACTTGAGGAGGAAATCCTATCATATTCTCATTGGACTCCACACGCTTCGATTCCGGGTGTGTGGACACATTTTCTCTAGCCTCCTCATTCATACGTTTCACCAACGCTCTATGCTTCGCAACGGTAGCTTCACTCTTGGCGATAATCCTCTCCACGTTGCGTGCTAATTTATGTCTCCTCATCATGGATGCTGGTGATGCCGACTCCACTTCAGCCGCCACAACATTTGAATTTTCCCGGGGAAAGGGGGCCCGGTGTTTGGGCGTGTTAGATGCTTGACCGCTCTGAGATCGATTGTCTGTGTTTCCCTGGACAACATCATCGTCCGCTGGAAGCTCATTGCCATTCTTTGGGGCCACTGAATTTGGGTCAATTTTGGTTCCCGAGGTCTTATCACCAAAACTACCAGCATGTGGCGCCTCCGCCTCCCTTTCGATTTTCTCCACATTCTTTCCGGTAGATCCGATAGCCTGTGAACCTTGGGCTACCCGATGGCCTTCTTTAATATCAGATTGGTGTTTCTGCCTATCACCCCCTTTCTCTGCTACTTTCTCCTCGATTGAATCTTTATTACGGGTCTCCTGATGAGCGCCCTTTGGTTCTTCCAGAACCTCTTCAGCTTTTTCATTCTCAGTTTGACCATGATTTGTCTTTTCGTTAGACTTTTCAGTTTCCTTTACATAACCAATCTCTAGAAGTCTATCCCAAACATCATCTCGAATCTTCGAAACCTCCCTATTTACTGGCAGACCATCCAACTTGTGGAGTTTGGGATTATCGCTCCTCTTGCCAAAGATCAGCATTTCGTACACACGCCGCATCGCTTTTGTTCCCATGTCTGAGCATGAGATGTAATGAGCATCTCTTACTGGATCCGCATTGCCAAGCGAATATGGATCAATAACGTCTAGCTCAGTTTTCTCGAGCCCACCATCTTTAACCAAACACCTCTCCAATGCTACTGGGTAAAAATTATGATTAACATGGTTATTCCTCATATCGACAGTAGTCAAATAGGGAAATGCTCGCAAAGTCCTGGTGAGTCTTTCTACTTTTGACAACCGGTTTCCTGCAAGAAGTAATTTCTTGAGCCGGACGATGCCGAGAAGGCACTGGAATTCTTGTAATCCATTGAAGTTAAGGTTAAGAACGCGCACATTTGCTACCATAAGACCAAAATCATCTGGTAGGGAAGTGATACCACAGTTTGCGAGCTCGAGGTATTGTAGATTGAGGTATTCGACACCCGGATGAAAGGTCCCCAAGTAATTGCCAGATAGGAACAACTTCCTGACCTCGTAAGCATCTTGGAGGAACGACTTGTCTAGAACTGTGCCAGATTGCTGTTTTCGTACCGAGAGGCTGTATAGATTTCTTTTGTGGAGGAGACCAGTGATGGTTTTGATACGATTCGCATCCAGATAGAGGATGCGGATTTCCGGTGTGAGACTTGCGTCAAAAGATTCGAGGTTATTGAAGCTCAGCCTAACTTCTCTAGCCGAGCATGAATCGTCTGATGTCATGAAATTGTACAATTTGTTATTCTCCAGATCAAGACTCGACAATTTCGGCAGCTGACTGAGATTCTTAACTTCCGATATTTGACAGTCTCTAAGGTCTAATCTTTCCAAATGTTTGAGGTTGGTTCCTTCGAAGTTCAGTGTCTCAATTGGGTTGCCTCGAAGCCGGAGTGTGATTAATCCATCAAGAGCTTCAATACCATGAAGCGAAGTGATTTGATTGTTGTCTGCTTGCAAGGTTCTGAGATGAATCAAGCTTTTGAAACAGGAAAGGCTTTCAATCTCGTTGTTAGAAACATCGACTTGCTGTAGGTTCCACAGATGGCCCCAGGACGTCAGATCGGATAGACGATTGTGGCTAATGATAAGGGTGCGAAGGGATGAAGGAACACCATTTAATTGACTGATTTCATTTTTGGAGACCTTCAGTTCCTCGAGGTGCTCACAAAATTCGTTGAGTTTGTGTAAATTTGTCAGTTTCTTTCGATGCAGATCGGCCCTCTTCATATGCTCCCAGAACGGCTCATATGGCTCAATTTCAGTCAGTTTCTCAACCATTGCCTTGATTGAATGAGAAAGTGTTTTCTTAGTGGAAGCTCCTGGGATATGCTTTTGTCCATTTGCTACATAGCTCACGTTCAGCCCGTAAGATTCGTCTGCTTGATGCATGGTAAATTCTGAAAGTGGAGTGAGTTCAAGGGTCCCGATTTCATGAGCCGGACGTGGTGTAGCGAGTACTACACTATCCGTTCTTCTTGGCGAGGCGGAGGGCGTGGGAAGAAGATTGTTTCCGTGTTTGCGCGCACTACCACTTCCCCTGTCGAGCGAGTCCTCGTCTTGCTCGTCAATGCGTGATACTGGACGGGGCATGAATTGTTGTCCCCCGACTGATAATTGACGGGAGGTGTTTCGATGTTCATGTGTGCCGTTTCCTTGTCCAGACTTTCCTTTCTTAACCCCAATACTTCCACCATCATCACTATCAGATTCGTTGACGCTGTCGTAGTCAGACTGGTAAGGCTCCTCTTTCGTGGAACTATCATCATCAATATAAGTAGGAATCTCGATAAGTTCCGCGATAGGGGACGAGAAAGTGATTGTGACATTTCGTTGACGTTTTGGAGTTGTGGTGCTCGGGTCTCCGTCTGGTTGAAGGAAGATATCCCCATCGGCCAATTTCCTGCTCTCGTGGGGGGGCTTGCTCACGCTTGAACTATGACTTCCATGAAAAAGTTTGTTTGCGTTCCCATTACGAGTCTTCTTTGGTCGTAGGACACTATCCTCGCCTGTGGAGGCTGATCGGATTTTAATCTCGGGCACAGAATTATCCAGGCCAAGGTGAACAGGCTTTGAAGGTGCTGTTTGGGGCCTCATATCAACAGGCGAAACGCTCATATTCAAATTATTTTGAGTTGGTGATCGGCCAGTTAACTCGTCGTGCTGTTTTTCATCGTCGAGATATTTAGCCAATCGTAATCGTGCGTCTTCCTTCTGTTTGGCGGCAACGGCCCTTAGCCTCATAAGCTCTTGCGTTTCATCGAATGACAAATCAGGAATGTCTTCAAAGGGATCTTCCTCTGTTCCTTCGGAATTAGGGGAATCTTGTCCATCCCTTTCTCCTCTGGTAGACTTCCTCTTGACCCACATATTCCGTTCTCGATCAAAGACCATACCAGCCAGTTGCTCTGGGATTAGATGGGATACTGTGTGCGGCGCGATTACACGTCTCGAATCTGAACCTCTGGATGATGTGGTGGGTATCGAGTTGTTCGAACCATGTGTGAAGAAATCGGGATCATCATATTCTTCGTCCAGTTGTCGTGAAGAGTCAGAATGTTTGCGCTTTCGCTGGATATCCGGATTATTAGATATGCGAATATTGGGTGGGTCACTCTGCACTGTATCAATAGGATCTAAAAAGTGACGGAGCGATTTTGAGATTGTTTCGTCCGCAATCCTATCGATTTCTCTCGCATTTCTGATAGCCTCTTTCGCCATAGCCATAGACTTTATCGATGAAGCAATGATGCCATCCATTTCACTATTCTCTTCATATTTGCGTAAATGATCCAGAAGCTCTGGATCTTGCGTGAGCGGAGCTCTTGACACTGGGGCACCTTCGCGACTTGGTGGTCTTTCAAATAGTTCCTGGGTTGACTCCTGGTAGGAATCCTCTATCTCATCGTCTGCTGAAATGTTAGATGGGAGGACTTGATCGCCTTCGGACTCCGACTCTTCAAGGCTTGTGAAACCACTACGAGGCCTTGCTTTACCTCGAATGCCTGCCATAATCTTCTTCGCCTCGTCCAGGAAGTCCTGGGTGGTGACTGAAGGTTTTCGGCTATCCTGCGATTGCTGACTAGCGCCGAGAGGCATATCAGAGTTAGCTAGATCAAGTTCGGCTTGAACCATAGCAATCTTTTGCTCTTGTAAAATTCTTGTACGTGCGTCTGAGGCGAGCTCTGACTCAACGAAAAGTGCTTCCTCACGCTGCTGACCATTACGCTGACTAGGTGTGGGCGTTCGAGGACGGAGCAGTTCTCGCATTGCGAGTATTTTCGGTTCGGCAGCTTGAAACCTTCGCTCGTTGTCTTGTCGCGTCTTGCCCATCGCTGGCTGCGTCGATGGACGCGGAAGGCCATCAATTGAGACTCGTGGGTCTTCGGTTTGTAGTGGAAGAGAGATATCCGCTCTGTGTAAGGTACGGCGTCTTTTTGGTGTGGGATCCTTCAATGGAGATCTGAGAAGCCGTTTTCCTTCAGCTTCACCATTCGATCTCCTGGGTGTCTTGAGGTTCTCAGTCATCTGAAACGAGGGTAAGACACTAGACGGCGTAAAAGATCCAGTGCTAGATCTTTTTCTAACGCTCAAGCTGCGTCTGCTACTGCTATTGCTTGTACTTCTGTATTTACCACTAGTTTGCCTGTCAACCTCTTCCTTTATGTTTGGTGAAGAATCTAGCCGGAAGCGAAATCTAGTTTGTGACCTTGGATCTAAGACAGGAAAAGCTAGATCTTCTACATCGTCGTTATGTAAAATGGATCCATTCGATTCGAAGGAGACATCCTCGTTAAACCGGAAACTATCCAGATCGCCGACGCCAAAGCTACTGAACCTCCTTGACTTACGCTCCTTTAGGAAATGACTACCCTCCGATACGGGTCGTTTTTCATTTGCAGTATCCATATGGTGATGCGCGGTCTCATGGGCAGTGTTCGGTGGTACTTCTGGTTCAGAATCACTTCCACGATCCTCGTATTGACTCAGTCTACGTAGAAGCTTTTGACTTGTAAACGTATCATGAGTACCAAACAGCTTCAACGGGCTGCCAAAACTGCTTTTGACGGGAGATTTGGCTGGGCTGGGATGAGGCGTTGACGCAGTCGAATGGGATTGTAAATTCACCGGTGGTTCCAGAAGTTCATTGGAGGCTCGAGTCTTTCTTATTTTAGGGAGTTGCTTCTCAGAGCTGTCGTGCCGGGAATCATCAAGTGATAATGCCGATTCATCAATTGGTGGTAGGGAAGAAGGACTAAGCATCCGTTTTTGGAAAGAACCCTCTTCAGAACTACCGCCTCTTCGAACCTTGACAAATTCACCATTACGCCTCAAATCATCCGTGTCTGTTGTAACGTCACCGGTTATAGGTCGCGAGGCATTTTCAAGGTCTTGAGTTTCATCAACATTTGGATCATCAGTACGAAGTTTTTCCAGCCGCTCTTGCAGTTCAACAGGTGATATATCCAATGGCGAATTTTGAGCTTTACCACCTTTGATACCCTGCGATGCTAAAAGTATCGGTGACAAAAATTCGTTGCGCTTATCGCTTTGTCTGCTTGTGGTTCGTCCTACGTCTAGGTATTCGTTTTTGGTAGGGTGGCAGTCCGTGTCGAAAGCAGAATTTGAGGGAGAAAAGTGTTCCTTGACTGGACTCAACGTATTCAGTGCGGTAGGTCTAAAATCGCTTCCTCGACTCAAATCGTTGGTAGAAAATTCACTACCAAAATCCTCTGTCAATTTATATCTCACACCTCGTGGTAGGCCATGTCCATCTTCTGGCACAGAATCTTCAGATGATAACTCGCTATCATCGAATTGTGGAGGCTCTAATCTTGTGCGGTAGAGCGGAGGACTGGATGGCATTATACTACTCTCTCCATATGCAGGCAACTTCTTGATCGAATTTTCGGTAGGTGGTGGTTGAAATATCGTCTCGAGACCGGCTGCGCTGAATAAATCGCGCTGTTCACCATATCCAACGTCTCCTTGGAGAAGTCTCCTCTTCCATTCTGGTGTGTCTTTTGAGCTCTTCTTGGGCGACGCGCTGACGGATTTGTTATGCTGGACTGTATTATATTCTGTTGTGTGTGTGCTAGAAGCTGACAAAGGTCGAGAGGCTTTCCTGCCAACGGGGCTCAGCGGTATTTCACTTCGTAGTTTTGATGGTTGATGTGTTCGTTGTGACAAGGGAATATTAATCTCATTCTGACTTCTTTCGCTCAACGGGTTACTATCTGGCACATTCGACCAAGATTTCGTCTCCGTATTGAAATTCGGTATGCGACTTGGCAGGACGGTTGGGCGGGGGTTTGAAGAATCAGATGTGCCATTTGTAAGAGATGGGAGTTCTGGCTCTGGTGATTCGGATCGAGGTTGAGATACCCAGTCTTCGGATAAAGAATCTAGCCAGGCCTGATCCATCTTGAAAGGTTCGGGAGGTTATAAGCAGTGAGCATGAATTCGGATTGGATTTGATTTCGACTGTTTGTTGTTGTTTTTGTTGTTGTTGCTGTTGAAGGGTAGGATCGCGTAAAATAGTGTCGCATCTATGCATGGACAGTATTAATTGTATAGATATGCTCTGAGAAAATGTGCCATTCCCTGAGTAATGGGTAGACTAGAACCTATTTGTGTTAATATACTGCAGCCCATGGAATAACGCGTGGGTGAATTGAGATGATCGCGAAGTGGGATTCAACATTGAATTGTGGTCTGGGCTGGGGGAGGCACTTGGACCTTTTTAATTGAAAAGTCGTGCAGGAAGCAACAAGGGAACAGGGGCCTATCAAAACAAAACAAAACAAAAAATAAGTAAATACTAGGTACAAGGGAGTAGCATGTACAAAGCCACCGCAGCCACGAACCCCACGTCGGTTTGAAGTACCTAGGATACCCGTGGACAGCTACGATATTACTGCAAAAATCATTTCACTTATTACATCAATCAATTCTTGGTGCAAGATGTTCAGTTGACAGATATTCAAAACCTTAAGTTGAGCTTGAGCCGGCCTTTCCATCATACACAACTCCCTGACATATTTGCGGAGCCCAATTGAGTTGGCAATGCAGATAATATTCAGTAGGTACGGAGTACACCGAGTCCTGCAAACCAGTTCGTCAATTTGCTCCAGCATTTTAATCTTCCGATAACCTTATTGAAGCGGATCTCATTGAAGCAACTTATTGGTCGATGAATTTGATTGTCGCAATTGGTTAGACCTCACTCTACCAGTATTGAACATTGAAAGGTACTCTGTACGTAGCTAGTCAAAACTAACACTTGCGGAGACTATCTGCAAGTAAGGGAGATAGATGCTGGTAGATACCTGGCTTACCATAGCTTGAAAATAGTTTTACTAAAATGTTTCTGGGTTCTGGGCAAGGGCCGTGGGTGAAATAATAATTTGCATATTCTGTGGAGACATATATAATTGGGTTAGAGAGCAGAGGCGCTCTGGATCGTCACTACTGTCCAGCTCCAAATTGGCTGCATATATAATATTCTATACCAACTCCAGCTTGCTTTGATCATCGAGGTATTGTCTGCACTTGAATCGTGAATTTTCGGGCCGAACTCCAATATCCATCACAAGCAAAAAGTTTACAAACAATCTCTACTCCCTCACCAGTGGTTATAATTATGTACATTAAAAACAGAAAACCACTTAAGTCTGATCCACGTCACGTGTTTTCGTATCACTCGCGAAAACACGCAAACACGAAAAAGAGTTGCCGGGTCAGCCACATCAAAATGCGATAACTGATTACTTTTGTGATTGCATTCACACCAAGCATGCAAACTTTGAGACATAGACCAACTATTGGGATGCAGCATATGGTCTATTTGCAGGAATGTCTCACCATATGAGCGGGCGCTCGTTCACTTTCGATGATGATGAACCTTTATATTTCACACCAACATATAAGCCCGAAGACCTCATTTGTGAAGGCTCCGATACGGAGGCAAATCCCAGAGTCATAGTCGAAAAACGGCGGCGATATGAACAGTGTGCGGAAAGGGTCCTACGTGGACAACTACCGATTATTCAATCCGCGGCACTCAGGGGACCTTTTTATCAAGATAACAAGAACGAATGGGTGAACCCATGGAGACATCGAGAGGGGAACTGGTGGAAGCCTGGATCGAAAGACATGCTCTTTAGAAGGGAGGACGTTATGCGACGAGCTAAAGAACATGGCAGAAATGACATGAGTCCTACAGAAGCACTTGCTTGGTGCCGACGGGATGCTAAACAGCAGGCCAAAGAAATGGGAATTGACGATAATATGGATATGGATAGCGATTCTGCGACTCAGTCAAATAGACTAGTTGTGGATGAGACAATACAAGAAGATCTATCAATGGAAAAGGATGAAACCCGTGGCAACGGTGGCTCGCTCAACGTCCCCTCGCCTTTAGGTAGAACCCCTTCGTCGACATTTCCTGCGCGCGCGAATTTTGAAGATTCTGGAGATACGCCAATAATGAGAGGCTCGATTCCGGACAAAGATAATGAAGGTAAAGAGTTGGAAACATGGACGGGTGTCAAGAGACCTGCAGATATAGCTTGGTTGAAAGGCTCACATATCTCGAAGCGTGCTCGTTGGGAGGACCCAGCAGTCTCATCGCCAACTCCGTTACCTCATGCAATAAGCCACAAATTTCAGCAAAATGTCACAGGAAATATGACCGTCGCACAGAATCAAATTTCGCATACAATTCAACCGCGATCAGGTCTGTCGCTGGAGACGCCCCGGCAGGCACTAGCTTCAAGGAAGAGCCACGTGTCTCTGCAGCAATCAGACACTACATTTGATATGGAATTTTCATTTCACACTAACATCGGACAACAAGGACAACAACATCTTAGCTTTACAGCATCCGGATCCGACAACAAACCCACATATCCATATGAGGATTCCCCCAGGCCCTATCCGACTGTATCACTCGACACCCCGGCCGGCCAAGAAGCTCGCGCCTCACAGCATTCAGCAACAAAACCGGTGACTTCCCCGAAACTCCCCTCACATCACAGGATTGGTGCCGTACTTGATAAAACGCACGAAACCCCAGGGAACATCAGTTTTATCACCGACGTTGCACCATCGTCTATGAACTTGGATCACTTCCAATTTCGAAAGAAGCGTAGACGCAGAACTGATCCCACAGAGGTAACCAATCAACCTCTGAGTGATATAGGAGAAAGGATTCGAGCGCCATTATCCGGAGGCACCAAGCCAGCTCCAAGTGTCCAAAGAGATTCAATATTTTCGACCCCTTTCATCCTACACCCTATTCAGAGGGAAGGTGGGTCCTCAACATCACTCATTCGACGTACTAAATTTCCAAGGTCGAAAGGCTCATCTGCCAAAAGCTCTCGCGTGGATGAAAGTTGGCTTACTACACAAGAAGAAGTTGGGATTAGTCCATCGACAATGAATCCGGATAGCAAGAGAACAATGGAAAGCGAATGTTCTCCACAATATGAAAACTTTGATAACAGCTGGGTCACAACACAAGATGACTTCCATCACGCTCTAGCATCGTCTGCTTCAATGGACATAACGCAGATCTACAGGAATTCGACCTTTTTGCCACGCCTAAATCATGTTGAACACATTGATGCTCCTGCATTTAAGGGCCACGAGCACAAAAGTAGTTTACAATCATCTCCTCTGAAAAATCCCTCTTCTGCGCTTTCTGTGCGCCCTCCCTCCAAATCACCACATTTACCAGTCCTTCCGAGAAATTCGAACAAATCGGGAGTGTCATTGCAGTATAATAACCTCGATGGATCGAGTACACAATCATACAACACAAGTCCAGTCAACGTAGCAGGGAATAATCTGAACTCTTCACAGGCCTGCATTTTACCACAAAATCTTGGATCGAGCCAACAATTGCCGCATAGAATCACAACCATACCTGAAGCAGAATTTAGTGAAGACATCGGCGACGACAATCCTGAATGTTGCCAATTAGAACACGTGCAGAGATCGGACGATAACAAAGGAGATCATGCGGAAGTAGCCTCTCAGGAGGTCAATAGTGCTCTTGAGGGTAAGCAAATCCAGGAGTTTACTGTGCTACAGGCTAGTCGAGAATCTCATATTGATATGGTACCTCGAGCCAATTTAGATATTTCTGCAGTTCCCCATTATGAAGAAGATATGCCGAGTGTCAAACAGGAAGAAAAATTGCAGGAAGAGGTAGAGGAAGCTATGCGGGCCGAGCCGGATGCCGGTGGCGGTCTAAAAAACTCGGTTCTTTCTAGCGGCCGACCATCAACGTCATCATCACCAGCAAGAAGAAACAACCTCACCATACATAGCCCCACATCAATTCAAAAAGCCAGGAGCGTCAGTCAGATTCCCAAAAGCTTTATGTCGAAACGATCCGCTCCCCTGCTGCTTAGCGAGGAGGATCTCGTTTCACCAGCTAGCACCCAAGATCTCAACGAACACGTTTTAGAAGCAGCTGCTGTGGAAGATGTAGCTATTCCTTCCAGAGATACTGTACCTGTTGATGCTTTAAACCCAGACCCAGACCCAGAACCTAAAGATAAAACTCGAAGTCTCAGCCCACAGAGTCCCTGGGCACCAGTTGAGGCAAGGCTTATGGTCTGTCTCGAAGTAATCCCAACTACCGAAATGACCGAGCGATACTCCGATGCTGATTCTCCCAATTCTGGATGGCAGAAGGAAGGGCGTCCAGCCACGCCGGATAATGACATTATTCGACCCTTCCGTGATCTCATGACTCCAAGCCCTCCACCGGAAGGATTGAAGACACCGGAAGCTGAACAGCGGCCATCAAACACGCAGCTTCTTGTAGAAGCAGCCACACAAAATCCTTGGGCGAAGGATTCCGAGAAAAATAGTTTGAAACGCAAACGCGTATCATTCGGCGTATTGGATCACGAAGATCCAGTTCAATCTCAACACGATTCACAGCGTCAACGTCACTCTCCGTCTCCCGAGAGTACATATCGGCCAGGGGCTTTCGGAAGCAAAGTGGCTGAGTTTGACGATGATGTCACAGATATGAATAGTTTCCAAAATCACTTCTCCGCAGTTCATAGAAAGTCTATAGGCGACGATTCCTTAAAGGTCAATGGCTCCGTCAAGCGCCCACCAATCGCAAAATACAAGACAAACATTTCAAATGCGGCCAATCTGGTTGCCAGTAGCCCCGCAATTGATGCAATGGCAGAAGCTTTCATCGCAGCTGATCGCGATTCTTCACGAGAGAGAGAACGTCGCTTCTCAAAAAGCCCTTCACCTACCCAAAAATCCAAGAGGAAAAGCTATATAACTTTCGAGGATGAAGATGAAGATGAAGATGAAGATGAAGATGAAGATGAAGACGATACGGTGATTCAACCCTCAAATTCTCATGTCTCTGCAAACATCGCTCTGAATGAAACATCCAGTAACGCTAAACTGGGAGATCATACACCAAAATTTTCCCTCGATGAAGTGGAAGATTTCTTAGGGGAAGATTGGTCGGTAGAGGGGGAATTGAAGAAAGCTAGTATGGAATTTGAATCGACGACGCCAAGACGGGAGAATAATGTACATTCACAGGGAAGTCTTTTTGCTTTTGAAAATATATGGACTTGATAGAAGATTATTATTGCAGAAAGATTAATAATTATGAGTATGTAAAGAAGATGTTGTAAATTCCCTTGGATGTTGTGGATGCATGGATGCATGGATGCATGGATGGATGAAACGGATGGGACGGTTGGGTTATGAGATATATATATGTATCTACCCCTTGCTTAGGTAGGTAAGGTATATAGCATGAAAGGATAGATGATCTTATAATGAAACTTATTACTATTACTCTTACAATTATAGTAGATATCTAAATAGGACAGATAGATAGCTACCTGCAACCAGCTTGGAATACCTACGTATCCTATAGTCCATAATCTTACCCCTAGGCCCTTGGTTTCTCAATACAAGAACCTAGGTACCTAGGTGATATAAGTATAAGATTAATAAGATCACATCCTCTCTAGATAGCGTTGGAAGTTGAGAGTTGAAACTCGGCGGCCCGTAGTAAACAAGGCACCGGACCGGATATCCACCCGTTTCTTTCCCCGCAAACTCAATTTCTTTTTGAATTTTTTGACCGCTTCTCTATTTTGGTAGAGTAGGGTAGAGTAGCTAGCCAATCGAGTGCCTGTTGTTGCGGCGTGCGTGGATGTAGTGCTGCGCGGTGCGGTGCGGTTGTTGGGGGTGGAAATTTATTAATTATTAATGTTACCACGTTTTTTATTAGGGGTTGCGGATTGGATTGGTTTTTGGATTGGATTTATTGAATTGGATTGGATTGGGGAGGTGTTGGATTGGGGAGGTGAGGGGGATGTTTCTTTTGGGTGTGAGACATTATGTTGGTAGGTGGGTGGGTAGGTGGGTGGGTGTAACGTGGATGGGTGTAACGTGGATGGGTGTAACGTGGATGGGTGTAACGTGGAGTTGTGGTTTGGAGTATATTGAAGGAGGGGACTGATGATGTGGGATGCCATGGGATGGGATGGATGGGATCTTGTGTGATGGTTTGATGGTTTGATGGTTTGGTGAGGGATTAGGGGTGCCTGTTGAGAGGTGTTGCGTGGTGGTTTTAGAGAGGAGGGGTGGATGGATCATATATCGAGGGGAGGTCTGGGGGATGATATAAAGCTTGGGTATTTTAAGGTAGAGTAGAAGAGATCAGGCAATAAGATCTTGGATACAAGATAGATGGATTGTGAAGTGAGGATAATCGGAAGTATCTCTGTTTGCATTTGGATAAGAAAAGAACTAGAAGCTTGGTATCGTGTCGTATCGGCTTATCACGATGGAAGCTAGGCCCTTACCTACTCTCGCTACTTTTACCATACCATCGTCACCCGGCATTCACGATTGATAAGGATGGATGCGGAAAGGCCACGAGATAATGGAGTCGCGGTGGAGAATGGTCTGCTGGAGATGTGATCCTATTTCATCTATTTCATCTATTTAATCTGTCAATCTATTAATCTCTTGATCTCATTGGGACCCGCGTGTTTCCCTAGTCGTTTACATCCACTCTGTATAGGTGTCGAGGACGGAGCTCTGCACTGTGCTGTAGCCTGTGGAGAGCTAGAGTAGACCTACGACAAACCGGTGTGATGGAACGGATCGATGTCAAGATTTCCCTGGGCTTTTTGGGATCTGACCAATATCATTCCTTCAATCCATCAGCTTCTGGAATCTAGATGGAATCTCGTTCATTCAATTTGTCAGCTTCTGGAATACAGGTGGAATCCGACGCTATCTGTGATTCCTTCTGTATTCCCTATGTACGCCATTGAATACCTCTCCTGGTCTGACGTTCTGTCAGTTATCACATTTTGAGGTAATCGATCCTTACCGCCATCGTCATACTGTTACTGTTACTGTTACTGGGCGCAATGTTGTACTCGAGTAATCAATTCTTATATGACAGCCCTGTACCGTTTACGTTTAACCCATCTTGTCATTCGGTGGTGCAAATGCAGGGAAAACATTGAAGGGTTAGATAAAATGCGCACATGTTTTTTCTTTTCATCATTCATCATTCATCATTGACTCCATTATCCTCATTCGTCATAATTCTCGGCTCAGATTACGTTTTTATTATTCACGCCCAGCTAGTAATTAATATACTTTTGGTCAATCTCATCTCTTCACTTGTTGGTCTGTATGTCTGGATGTCTGTTTGTCTATCTGTCTATCTGTCTATCTGTCTATCTGTCTGTCTGTCTGTCTGTCTGTCTGTCTGTCTGTCTGTCTCGATTCTATATCTATCTAGGTAGCTAAGAAATAAGAAATCTAGGTACTTGAGGTATTTTCAAAACTTCCCGTCCCTTTACAATACTTTATACTCTAGGAAAGCGTTTATTACATATTATTCATTTCGTTCCTGTCCTGGATATTTGTTTACTGAAAACTTTAAACTTCACTTGTTTTCTTGAATCGGACAATTCCATCAACTTTAACCCGTACTTTCACCTATCTTCCGTTGCCCACTTTATTAACCTCTTCTAGCCTTCAGCCCAATCTCATTCGTACCTTATATTATTACTCATTCCTCTTTCTTCCATCAAACAATAAACAATACCAACAACCTTACAACCACTATACCACCCAGAAACTTAATAGTTTCCTCCAACTACCTACCATTCGATCAATTAATCAATCGGGAAAGAACAAGACGAGAGAAATCAAAAAACTTTATCAAAGAACACAAGAGGGGAAACAAAAAGGAAGAAAGAAGAAGCAGTGGCAGCAGCAGCAGCAGCAGCAGCAGAAGAAGAAGCAAGAGAAAAACACAGGAAATCCATCCAATTCATCAAATTCCATAGAATTTCCTTATTTTCTAAAGAAGAGAATTCCACGTGTTTTTTATTGTTGTTTCTTAGAAATTATTCTTTCTAACAAACATTACATTTTTCTCTGATCGTAAATCCTTGTCTGATTGATCCTTGGCTTTCAATCCTCTTCTTCCCAGGTACAAGCCATTGAAAAGAAAAAGGGTTCAATACCTGCGAATCATTTTCTCACACTGCCACTGGATTCGATAAATGTGCGCCTCATGTCAAACTCCCCTACTGACTCCAGAAATGCCGCACACACCTCTCCGGTGAGTACTGAGCAAGGTCAACAAATCTCTCAGGATGGCGATCAAAATAAAGCACAAAGATGGGCCAGCGCGCCACCAAGATCACCAAGGTCTACTCAAACCTCTTTGTTAACCCAAGCTCTGTCCACGACTCATCCAGAATCTGCGGCAACCCAGATCGATCCGGCTCCTCGCAGATCTCGAAATACAATGTCCAGCACAATGCAACCGTATCCTTCTACCTCGAACCATCAATACCAGAATGAAAGAAACGCAACTTTGGCAGAGGCATTGAATGATATGGTAGTCGGCACAGCATCTATCCAACTCAATTCAAATAGGCCTGTCAGTGCTGGGGCAACTCCATCCGTATCCACCGGATTTCTTTTCGATATGGAGCAAGTCAATGATATTCTCTCTGGCCACCGGGAATACCTCAGAAATGCAAAAGTCAAAGGAAGAGGGACCTCTCTCGAACGAACGGCAAAGGAGAAAAGAGTTCAGGATTTACCAAAAGGATCTTTCTCAACCAACCCTGGTGATACTGGTATCATTACTCGACCTTCAACACCTCTGCAAGAGCCATCCCGCTCGCTTTCAGATACCCCTCCTATAGATGGAGTCCGAGCGAGCTATCGTTCTTGGAGAGATGCCAGGGCAAGCCCACCCGTGGAGAAGGCCTGGTCAATCTGCGAACAGGGTGATGATGACCAAGGTGGATCAGTTGAAAAGGCTATCGCAGAAGCTTTGTCAGGAGTCGAGCACAATAACCGCAGCCGGAAAGCAAGTCACAGTCTGAGATTTTTCAGAGAAGGTCTGCCAGAAGATAAAACAAAGAAACGCGAAAATAAGAACAGACCTCAACTAAAAGATGCGAACTCTTCTACTAAAATCACCAGCATTCCGGAACTGGAGCAATTGGACATAAGAACGAAGTCGGCACCAGGTTTGAGAAATGAACCGTTATCGCCTTTCGCAAATCCAAAGATGGGCTTTAAGTCACCAACTCACAGCAAGGGTTTTGATCCTACTTCTAATCCGACCGAAGGACTTGCTGCCGAAGCTGGATACTTTGATCCATCTCGCAATATTGAAACACTTCCTGCAGATAAAGTAAGACGGATGCCTTCTCAACTACTGGCCGATATTCGAAAGCACCACAATTTAACACCTGGCAATGCTAAAGGATCTTCCTTTTCAGGAAGCATACCAGCTCCAGAATCTGAGAAATCCAAGTCCGATTCAGGGGAGGAGAATTCAATAGGCAAATCTCAGTTAAGTCAAAGTGGTAATGAGGATGGTGCTGAATTAGAAAAGACCAAAAGTCGTGATGAGGGCGATGAATCTGGTGAGGAGAAGATTTCATCTGCATTATTCGTTCCTCACAAAACTGCTCATGGTACATCTGAACGGAGGGGCGATGGCCTGCGAGACAGACTAGACCTTGTTGTGAGGCCTGGGAATAATGATCAACTTCAATCAGATGATTCTGACCCACAACAGTGGCTTGAAGAACACCGAGTCCCATCCTGTGAAGTAGATAACACTTATGACAGTCAAGAAGGTAAATTACGACCACTGCAGTCGCCGCGTCTTCCTAAGCAGCATGAGACCCCCGCAGAAAGCAATGGCTATATCACTTCCACAGATACTTATGACCCAAGTCAAGATTCATATGATGAAGGGGGATCGACAACTTGTGAAGAATCAAGCTTAACCGACGATCCTGAGGCAACACCTACATCTTCAAGACGCCGTCGTCGTAGTTTCATGGTACCGATGCCCAAGATCCATGTTACCGAAGACCAAGACGAGGCTAGAAAATCAAAAGGTTCAGTTGAATTAATCCCGTACAAGCATCAAGTTGGCGGTCACACAACTATGTGGAGATTTTCGAACCGTGCAGTTTGCAAGGAACTTAATAATGGTGAAAATAAGTTTTACGAGATATGTGAGCAAAAGCATCCCCAGCTTATGAAGTTTCTACCAAGGTATGTGTAAATTTCATTGACTCAACCCCCGCTTCTGGCATCGAAGCTGAGTCTTCATCAAGAGAACATACCTGCCATGTCTTCGCTACCACTTTTACTTGAGCTAATGGACTTATCTTGGTTGATTTTTAGATATATCGGTGTTCTAAATGTGACTTTGGAGAAAAAGCATTTGAAACCAAAAGTATTGCCCAAGGATGAAAAAGATGCTCTGGTCGAGTCCAATGGGACTGATGGGCAATTGCTAAAAGAAGAGACTGCTACCTCTACTGATACAAATGGACACACAACCGCTGACAAGGCTCCAGAGCCAACAAGGATGATCAGTCAGTCACTAAAGGCATCTGCTATTCCTATAGCAACTGTGAATTTTGCCGACAACAGACATATTATACCAAAAAGCTTCCTACAACCTCATCCGCATCTCATTGATCCCATTGAGACAACGAGTACCAAGGATTCTAATCAGACTATTCAAAAAGGTCAAAGTCAAATTCAACCACCACCAAGTGGCGATTTTACGTTTCGGCCGACTTTATCAGACAAGCATGCAGTTAGCTGGGGTGCAACCACCATCAATAAGGAACTTCGAAACAAAGTCTTTGGAGAAGCATTTCTACAACAACCAATTCCCATTCATCGACACAAAAAGCCGGGCTCACAAAGTCGAGCTGTGCGAAATGGTTCTTCACTACGAAGTGCAAATTCGGAATCTAGCTTAAAGTCGGTTCACTCGAGTAAGCCTGCTGATGGCCAGCCACCCAAGGACTCAATGCGCACAAGAGCTATCAAGAGCGCAGCTGAACAAAGAACTGGACTCTCACCAATGACACCTGTCACAGCCGCCCCACCAGTTTCCACAAATGACGACAATGTAAATGTGAATGGTCATGTTGGAAATGGAGAAGCTGAAGAGGAATTTGATCATATGGCCGGGACAAGTGCTCCTGAGCCAGAGATTTCAGGACCTCAAGATTCTCCAAAACGACCAAAGAGACGTTTTTCAAGTGGTGGCCTTCGTCGCAGGCCAACGGAAGTAGCAGATGGTCGAGGAAATCTCAAATACTTTGAAGAGGCAGATGATGCTGGCTACAAGGGTGATGAAGAGGACGTTTTTACTATGGATCCCGAACCTGCTGGTGAACAAAAGGCATTACCATCGTCTATGAAGGAGGAGCCGACCGCTAACACTGCAACTGCAAATGGGAGTCCTAAATTGACCTCTACTGATTCGAAAGTCATAATAAAGCGTCCAGTTACTCCGAAGATATTACCAAGCCCTCTTGTGATTCCTCCTCGACCGGTTAATCCCAAGGAAGCTCAAACGCAAGGGCGGCGCATTCAATATTTCCTCCTTTTGGAAGATTTGACAGCTGGCATGAAGAAGCCTTGTATCATGGACCTCAAGATGGGTACTCGTCAATATGGCATCGATGCAGTTGAGAAAAAACAGATATCTCAACGTTCCAAGTGCGAAGCAACGACATCTCACGATTTAGGTGTTAGAGTTTGTGGCCTACAAGTTTGGGACGTGAAGACTCAGAAGTACGTTTTCCATGACAAGTATTTCGGAAGAGATCTTAAAGCCGGACCGGATTTTCAAAAAGCGCTCACTCGTTTCTTGTACGATGGCGTCGATGATGGAAGTATTCTGCGACATATTCCGACTCTCATACATAAGATTTCTACACTTGAAGTTTTAATTAGAGGTCTACCAGGTTATCGTTTTTATGCTGCTAGTCTCCTCCTGTTTTATGATGGAGAAACGGTGGAAGAGGAAGAGTCTGACAGCAATGCCTTTGAGCCATTGAGCAGAAGAAGAGAAATCGATCTCAAAATGGCAGATTTCGCAAATTGTGCAATCAAGGAGGATTGTATGGCACCAGGAAGGCATTGTCCACCTCGTCACCCTGATCACCCAGACTTGGGGTTCCTCAGAGGATTGAAAAGCTTGAAGAAATATTTCTTGGCAATCCAGAAAGACGTTAGAGCAAAGATGGGAATCAAGACGAGAGATTTTCTTGATGAGCAACGAAGGATTGATATGGAGGATGAGTATGATGAGGATGAGGCAAATTTGAGTTATTAGCTTCGCTCTACTCTTCCTGATTGTGCTAATATAATTATTTGATCGGGGATGGGAAAACCTGTTGCGATCACAACAACCACTATATTCATTGTTGTATAACGGATTGAAGCTTCTTTCCACTCTTCAATTCTGTCTGGCTGGTAAAAACAATGGAGGGTTAGGAGGAAAGGAAAGGACCTGGATTTTTTTAATTCGCGCTTTTACTTTTTTGCATTCATTCGGAGTATAGGAAATGACCTTTCTTTTCTTCAATTGTTTTTTTAAATGATTCAGGACATGGGAAATGCTGCATTATCATACCCTGCATATCGGTAGGTGTTTGGGTTTGGGTTTGAGTTTGAGATTCAGATTCAAATTGAACTGTTATTGGTTTTTTGCTTGGGTTGGTCTGGGGGAGGGGGTTATATGAGGTTAGGGATTGGAGGTTGACATTGGAGTGGTATGAGGGGAAGGTGCACTGCTTTTATTTTATTTTATTTTTGTTTTCTGCTTTGAGGGAGGAAGTCGAAGTGTAGTGGTGGACGGGGATGAGGTGCAGATACGAGGAAATTGTGAGTTGAGGGAGGAGAATGGAGATGCTGCAGATACATGGTTAGCATTTTGTGGTTAGGTCATACTGGGTCTCTTCTTTGATGAAGTACAGTACTTTATTGGATTGTCGACGTTCACGGAGAATTGAGATGGTTCATTATCAAGGGAGGTGAGGGGATGAAGCATGTGGTACAGTTGATGGGTAGTTCGTATAGGAAGCAAGCAGTATGTGTCTGTATTGAGTGAGCAGTGACCAGTTACCTACTTAGTTGCCTTGTAGTAATACATTATATCTTCGGAATTATGTGGTGAGTGAGTGAGTGAGTGAGTGAACCCAGTCAGTAAAACACTATATTATCCCAGAAGTATACGTTCCTTTTCTATCATGATATATAGCGGGTTAGATGGGCATATTATGGGATAAGAAAGGTGAGGGAAAGGTATACTTGAGGTTGTGAAATGAGGGTATGAAACACATTTTATTTATTCAGACTAATTCTTTCATTAACTCTGACTACCTAGATATATATGGAATACACCAACCATAAGCCAAACCACACAACAAAACACACAAAACATACACGAAATCAATCATCCTCCATCCCAATACCCTCCACCTCACCTAACCACTCACCCTTAGCCCCCTTCAACAAATCATTAACATTAACCGTGCCACTGGTCAAATACCTCTCACTAACACCCACATTAACCCTCTGAGCTAACAAGGCTCTTAGTTCAGCTCTTAGGGCTCCAACCTCCCCTTTGCTCATACCCCTCGCTTCTTTCTCCTTCATTCTTCTTCCCGTTCCTCTCCCCTTCCTTCCTCCGCCTAATGCTTCGAATTCCTCACTATCATATTCGACGCCTAATTCTTCCGCTGCGTTTTTAACCCAATCGTCATCGTGACCTTTCTTTTCTTTCGCGAGAGCGCTATCAGCTATTTTTTTCGCGAGGGTAACGCGGGGTTTTAAACGAGAGACTACCCTGCGGTCAATATCGAGAGAGCGGATGTAGAATTTGGATTTTTTGCCTTCACCGTGAAGAGCATTTTTCGCGTGGACTTTAGCTACCAGGCGACGGGTTCCGACTACTTCTTCGGGGCCACAAAGGAGGATACTGGATCCAGATGCGGCGGCACGCGCCGTTCGGCCGGAGCGGTGCACATACATGTCTGCTGTGCGGGGGAGATGGTAATGGATTACTAATTGGACGCCTCCGATGTCGAGACCGCGAGCTGCGACGTCGGTTGCTACGAGGACTGAGCCGGTGTTGTTTGTTCGGGAGAATTTTTCAATAGAGCGCATGCGTGCTTTTTGGATCATTTGGGAGTGGAGGGAGTGGGCTGGGATATTGAGGGTTTGGAGCATAGGTGTTAGGCGACGGACGGAATGGATTGAGTTTGTGAAGATTAGTGTACGTTGATTTGGATGATGTAGAAGAAGAGAATATAGATAAAGATCCTATAGAGTGTTAGCCAAAAAATATACTTCGATTGTAGTTCCAAAATCATTACCTTTTCTTCTCCACCACATTCTACCATACCCTCTTTCAGATTTGCTGCCATTTGCGAGATAGGATTGACATCAACAAATTTGGGTTTTTCTTCCCTGAAATTGAGCTTCTTCAAGAGGTACTCCATAGATTGACTATCATTCTTGAAAGAATCCTTGCCTTTGCCAGCAAGTTTCTGTTGTAATCCTTTGTGGAAAGTGGCCGAGAAAACCAAAGTCTGCCTAGGAGGTAATGTGTCCTCCTCGTCATCATCTTCATTCCCGTGTGTACGATCCAACGCACTTAGAATCTCCTCTGCTTCTTTGAAATGCCCGTCGGTCAAGAGTCTATCCGCTTCATCGATGACCAAAAATCTAACCTGTTTCAAACCAGCTGATAATTCATTGCTGGAGCTAATAACTTCCCAGAGTCGGCCAGGTGTACCGATTATGATATCTGCCTTTGATAATTGACGTTGTTGTTTTTGTACAGAAAGTCCTCCGGTAACAGCTGCTACATATGGACTTGTAGGCATACCCTTACATAAAGCTGTGATATGTTCAGTCAATTGATGCGCCAATTCTCTCGTAGGCGAAAGAATTAAAGCGGTCGGAGGTCTTGTGCTCTTCTTGAGTTCATCTTCATCGAGTTCTCCATATACCTCAAGCCACTTTTCAACTATCGGTATTCCAAATGCCAATGTTTTTCCAGAACCTGTAGATGCCTTTCCAACAACATCATGTCCCGCGAGTACTTCTGGAATAGCCTCTGATTGAATTGGAGTGGGATTTGAGAAGCCCATTCTTGATAATGCCATTAAAGTATTTGATGAAAGATCTAGCTCTACCCAACCTGAAACATCAACTTCTCCTGCAGCATCTTCTTCAAGTGCCTCGAAGACATTCTTAAGAGGATCTTGTTTGAGGGTAGCATCTTTGTCGACTGACTGTTTCTGAGGCTTCTCTTGTTTTTGCTTCTTCTCCTTCTGGTTTGGTAGTTTTTCTTCTCCTTCTTCGGTATTTGATCCTTCCTTCTTGTCCTTCTTCTCGGGCTTTGCTTTTTTCTCTATCTTTTGTTTATTTCCCTGCGGTTTGTCGTTTTTCGTGCTTTCTTCCGTAGGCTTCAAAATTGGCTTCACTTCGCTAGTATCATCAGTCGCGGTGTTTCCGACATCTTCACCATCGTCTCCAAAGCCTTCGAATTCTTCGTCATCGTTGTCTTTAGTCTGGATCTTGGAAGATACCTAAGAAAAATGAGCATCCTTCCTATACTTTCCTCTGGAGAATACATACAAATGTGACAACATCACCATCCCTTACTACCTCAACATCGTCTACTTCCTCCAATCCGTAGAAACCTTCAGCATCTTCGAACATATCTGGCATAGTTACTTCGTTCCATGGTAGAGAATCCACGGCAACTGGTTTCTTAGGCGCGGTTTTCTTTTGCTTCTTGGATGTCTTTTGAATCTTTTGACGTTTTGGAGCTTTCTGAGAACCATTGGTCTCTGAAAGAGAGCGTTTCTTCTGCTTGGTATCCATTTCTAATCAAAGATAGTCGAGGTCGGTTTTCTTTTTTTATTTTCTTGTTGTCTCGAATTAACTATCATAACTTTTTTTCTGGAGATCCCTGTTAACGACCCTGTCGGTCTAGCCTCTAGCCTCTCAGCCCCGCACTAGTTTAGTTTCTCAGCCTCGTCGCAAAAAATCGATTGAATCATTCATCGATGACTTCAATTATTCTCCACAAGTTTGTTCGTTGATAGTCCTCATCCTATTCTCAAGATGGGAAAATCCTCAAAGGATAAGCGGGATGCTTACTACAGACTCGCAAAAGAACAAGGATGGAGAGCTCGAAGTGCTTTCAAACTATTACAACTTGATGAAGGCATTGAACCCCACTAAAGAACTGCTGCAGTCTTGTATTGCGCAAAGTACGTACCGTGACTAACTCAATATTAGAATTTGATCTCTTCTCTGATGTCACCCGAGTTGTGGACCTTTGTGCTGCTCCAGGAAGTTGGTCTCAAGTTTTGTCCCGAGTTTTGATCAAAGGAGAGAAGTTTGGTCGAGCAGCATGGGAAGATAAGGAGGCAAGAATGCGACAAAACATACTTGGAATTGCAACCCGGCCTATATCAGAGGAGAAGCAGACGCCAGATGTGTCCGAATTGAAACCAAAAAAGGATGTCAAAATTGTGGCTATCGATTTACAACCCATGAGCCCTTTACAAGGAATCATAACACTTCGAGCAGATATTACACATCCGGCTACAGTTCCATTACTTCTAAGTGCTCTCGATTCGTCTTATGATCCGAAATCCCTCTCTCAACAAGCCTCCAACCCAGTGGATCTCGTTATTAGTGATGGTGCTCCTGATGTTACAGGTCTTCATGATCTAGACATTTATGTTCAATCACAATTACTTTTCGCGGCTTTAAATCTTGCACTTTGTGTCCTTCGTCCAGGTGGAAAATTTGTTGCGAAGATTTTCCGGGGTAGAAATGTTGATCTTCTCTTCGCACAATTGAAAATATTCTTTGAGCGAGTGGTTGTTGCAAAACCAAGATCAAGTCGTGCGAGCAGTGTTGAAGCTTTCATTGTCTGTCTAAATTTCCAACCTCCAGAAGGATTCAAAGCTAGTATGGAGGATCCAATGGGTGTTGGGGATAGATTATCCAAAATGGTGGATACTGTTGTTAGTCGGGAGCCAATAGTTTCACCTACTCACTCACAAAATCCTGAAGACGGGACTTGGTCGGAAACTCAAATCAAGACAACGACATTAAGAGAAGATGGAATATGGGAAGTTAAACTTCCCACTGATGAAGCCAAGTCTCGAAAATCGGGAAGATGGATAGCTCCATTTTTGGCATGTGGAGATTTATCTGGTTATGACGCTGATGCTTCATATCATTTACCAAAGGATCGAATTACACTTGATCCAGTACAACCTCCAACAGCACCTCCATACAAGAGAGCTCTTGAAATGAGAAAGGCTGCAGGTGGAGCATATGGAAAAACCACCACAGGATAATACAAGTAAGAATCACAATGTTTCAAAAGCATAGGAAGGGATAGCGAGGCGTTAAGGTTGGGGGCAGATTTTGAATTAGAAGGACCGCATCACTCTTAACGGAAGAAAGTCGAAGGGGAGGGACAAGGTCCCTTTTCAGGAACAAATGAATTAAGGAATTACTACTAAAGTTTAATAGTAGGACAATGCCCCTCTGAAGTGAAGCTTTGTCTTGTTTGACGAATCAAAAGCACAGAAACTTATCAAATTCAAGATGAAGATCAAATATGTTGTGTAATGGGCACTTTTTAAAGATCACGTGAAGAGGAGGGTCCCTCATTGTCAGTTTGCTTTCTTTGAGAATATCTTCATACGACAGACCTGAAGCACTGCAGACATCAAATAGGTGAGATGGCCGAGTCGGTCTAAGGCGCCAGGTTAAGGTATTAAACTCTTAACAAAAGGTTGTTTACAACCTCCTGGTCTAGTAATAGGCGTGGGTTCGAATCCCACTCTCATCAAGATATCTTTTGATTCTTTTTGGACATTTTGAGCAATGGCTTAATAAGGAACCAGCTGCTTGGTTGATTTTGCCATGAGATCGAAAAGTTCAAGTCTTTTGCTTGAAAACTCGATACTCACTCAGTCTGATGGAAATTTTCACGCATGTTGAAAAAAGCTTGATATAGCACCCACTTCGGAGGCTTTCTGTTACCTTTTACCCAATTAGATCCACTTTGAGCAAATGTAATCCACAAGGCCTTCAACCCTACCCACAATCGCTAAATCCCTATCTCTCCACTACATCCACATTCCTTTGCAAAGTACATGGAGGGCGAGAAGAAAGCAAAAGAAACACAGATAATAGGTGGACTTGAACCACTAAATTGAAGGCTCCGAACGCACGGACCAATATACCGCTCCCTTACTTTCAGTATTCTTCTACCAAAAAGATCTGCTCTTCCAAGATACCAAAAGTTTGCAATCACAACGACAGCGGGTGAAGGAAAAGGAAAGCAAAACAGTGATCTCCCTCGGGTGGGCTTGAACCACCAACCTCTCGATGCCAGTCTTCGTGGTTCATAGAACCCAGTATAACAGTCGAACGCGCTAGCCAATTGCGCCACGAGGGATGTTTGTCTTGATTTAATCTGAGTCATTTAGTCTAGTATATATTACACGTGTTAAACTGCATCACATGAAGTAGAGCTTTAGGAATAGGGCATAGAAAAGCATGCTCAGCTAGGACTTGCCAAAAATCCCTCGTGAGTCTATTCAGACACTTGCCATAGATCTTATCACTTGCAATCATGTGAACTTGAATTCTTTTAGGTCATTGCATATGTTGGGTTACGGCCTCATCCTGCCCTTCAAAACAATGATATATGGCCTCACAAAGATTAACCAGAAACTCAAGATACCTGCCGATGCTGGACATGTCTGATCGACTGCACTGGGGATCATTATTGCAATATATATCACAGTATCAGGTCAACTGGGTCTCAGATCACGAATGCTCTTGTGGCTATGGGATCATTTGAATCCTTTATAAAATTGTTGTAGGAAGCCGTCGAATGGAGTCGTTTTATCAGGTTCATGAACGGGGAAAGAGAGCAAGTGATACTGGGTTTTGCAATCCAGCAATACGAATAATAGAATGATTTGAAATAGTCAAATCATTTCAAAAGTTTGTGCCTTTTTAGGTATAAAATAGTAGCCCTTACAACTGTATAAGAGTATTTCATCTAAATGCTCCGGGTGGACTACCACACATAGCTCACTCTAGGAATATATGAGAAATGAATGCACAACTCTTCCTTCATGGGAAGAGAATTTGAAACCTACCTTAATAGATTCTGGATTGGATCCTAGACAGCATGGTATAGTACGAGAGAGAAAAAAAATCAACAGTCAATACTACATTCCTTTGCTAGGTTGTAAAATGTAAGATTATCAAAACCCGAACCCCACGTCTTTTCCATCCCAGTTTCCACCATTAATTAAATTTCTATCACAAAACTTCCCCAAAGAATCACAAAAGAATTATTCATTATTATAATTCCGTTGAGATAAAGCAAAAACTGATGCATTCGCGGATGATCGAACCAGATGTTAATCACGTGGTCATCCACAGTCAAATTCCGAATTCCGTTCCGAATGGATGGTGTTTTTTTTTGGTGTCAATCTTGGAATTTGAACTTGGACAACCAACTTTCGTATAAGTTTGTTAATAATTATGACTGTCAAAACCATAACAAATGTAACCCAAGCCAGAATTTGATTGGATGTAAAATCTTACAAGTAGATTAATAATAAGGTGCGTTGTCACCAACCAAATTCGCCTTGCTGCATAAAATTGCCTAAGAGGCGACGAACCCATCAGCAGAATAACGTCATTCTTTTTATCTTCATCTTCTACTTTACAATTTGTGTTATAAGTTCAGCTGTGTTGAGGGGCATTTATATACTACTACGCGTTTCTTTGGGTGCACTTGAAAGTTTAAAAGAATCTCTTCAATAATTTCATTTAAGGTTGTGTTTTAGAGCGTTAACGTTGTAAGTATATATATACCATATAGCATTCCTATCACCATTACTGATTACTATGGCAGTCAAAGAAAAATCCTCGACTCCAGTGCATAGGATTTAAGAATCCGTGAGCGGTTCAGAATCCAGCTTATTACGTATACAATGCCAGAAGTGAGGTCGCATCTGACCAAATCCATATTCTCCACAATCCTAATGCAAAAGAATCTAGGCAGAGCAAACTATTGACGCCGACTACGAAGAGATCGGATGGTATACTTTCGACGACATTGATGTGGATAGATGGATGTCATGGGAAGGTCCATGTAGCTTTGATTTATCTGGTCCTAGTCGTATCTCTATTGGAACGAATGGAGTAGTTTCTGTCAATTATGACACATATAAGCCACAGCAGGATGTCCATCTTCCCAGAGGGTGGTACGCAGTTGTTTGTAATGCGAAATTCAAACTGGTGTTGGGTACCTAGTTGAGCTACTAGGTAATTTTCAGTAAGAGGAAAGGCATTTCGACCTCTACTGAAACTCAACATTATTCCTACCCTAAAATCACTGACATCGTCGTTGTTGCCAAAAGATATCCCGATGACAAGTATCTATAGACCTTCCCACTCAAATTTCTTTTTTCCTCTGATCGCTAGCTTCCATAGCATTCTCGTCTGACCGTAGCATCATCGATCGGTAAAAGCGTACGTAGAGAGTTTTGTTATGTGAGTGCTGCCTACGTGCTTAAGTGACTGCGCATCAGCGAAATAACTTCATTTTGACGTGAAATGGAGGAAGCCAAGCTCTAACTTGATACCTTGTTCTTGCGCGAAAGATAGGCCGTCCAAATAACTAAAGCGTGTGAGATTTTTAAAAAAAAAATTAAGTTCACACAGCAGGTGCGCAGTTGGCCCCAATATTGACGACTCGGCACAATACCCCTCCAGCGGACCCCAAGCGTTTCTCTTTTTCATGAAGAGAGACTAAGTCGTTCTTGTAGAAATATATTCTACCGTCGATAACGAATTACTTTAAAGACAGACGACGTGAGATGGGGGAAAAGTATCAACATCCCTCGGAATTTAGAGTCTCGGCTGAGGCATCGGGTTCGACTTTACAATTTCTAATGACAGATGAACAGGAGGAATGCTTACTTGAAACCAAGTCGGAGGCAGATTTAGAAGTATCGAGGACAGAAACGGGTTGGGATGTTACCAGGGTTGCTGGATGTACCTAATTGCCTTGCTATTGAACATGGTGGTTCTTCCGACTCTCCTTGTCGCTTTAGTTCTACATATGAAGTCGATCGAGAGCACGAGTCGTAATTCGAGCCCAGGGTCATCGTGGCTTCCGCCTGAAAGATACTCAATTATGAACCGATCTATGTGGCCAAGAATGCAGAGGAGGCTCAAAGGCGGGGACTGATTCGAATACCCAGTACGTTGAAAAGAGATCTCGTAAAGACGATGTGCCTAAAGAAATTTAAGTGGGAAAACGATTTGTCGTTATTAAAAATGGCATGGTTCTTCCAGACATGCCACAGCTAAATCAATCGTTATCGGAGCAACACGCCATGGTATCTGTATTTCACCAGCTTCATTGTCTCCTGACGCCTGATACCTCGAATTTCCTGATCAGAGTCCCATTACTGACGGGACGCATATAGTTCATCGCTTGCGGGGTTTATTTCAATCCAGGTCAGGTGAACTTGGAACATTCGTAGCATTGTTGAAATTACCTGAGGCCAAAAATTATGTGCCCGGCGACACGTCGCTGCATAGGTGCCGGCGCCATCAATGATACGGGAAGTACTGGATGGGGATACAAACATGTTTGTCGCCATCATAGAGAAGTATTTGACTGTGCTGAAATAAAAGAACTTGACAGGTCATAAGAAGATACATTAAATGATGCAATAGGGAGCTTAAATTATCAATTGAAGTGTACAGACGAAACGCAAGCAGTCTCTTCATGGCCATATAAGTAATCAAATTAATTCTCTGCCGAGGAGTTCTGAACGTATTATCTATGCAAGATGGCTTCATCACTATCATCAAATAAATCTCAAAGGCATCAGTTTCGCTGAGAGTCCGTATTGTGCGCAGTAGACTAAAAACTATTAGAAGATCGATGACCACATTCGGTGCGGATGAGATTTGGAAGGTCCTGTATGAACGAACGGTGAAAGTTTCATCATAGTCATGATCTTCAGCCACGTGTGTGGATATGAATTTAAGTCAAATGTGACAAGAGTGATGATAATAAAGCAAATGAAAAGCTACTAAAGATATGTCATGTCGGCTGCCAATATGTGAGATTGCTCGCTTGGTCGCGAGAACGTGAGATCATAAACGTCAAGCTACGAATTGACGAATAGAAATACTGACGATGAGGTAAATCTACACAATATGTTAATGTAATCTCTTTCGAACCTCATGTTCATTTTCTGAAAGAAGACCAATATCTTTTGAAACTCAATAGCAGCCTTAAGGCGATGTAGAACCGAGATCACCGATTTTCAGTGCAGTCTTTTGGCAGCAATATTCATTTTTTGCTCGCTGAGAAACCCATGCTAGTTAATCTCTTGATTCTCATTCGACTTTAATAGACGGAATGGCTTCGTCGAGTAGTGCGACAGCGCCTTTTTTTTTTTGGAACTTCCAGCATGAAGAATTGTTCGGGCTAACACAAACAGTTGGATCTCGTCAACGGATAGATTTGTATCACTGAAATTGGCAGATAGAGATGCTGATGCATTGATCTTGTCTAATGAAGCACAATCACGCAGGGCGTCATTGATGGTCTCATCAGATAGATTTCTAGCACGACCTAGTGCATCGGGAACGGTTCTCCATGTGTGAACGCATCTTTTGAGATAACACGGAGTCCAGATGGTAAGACATCGGGTTGCGATTGCACGTGCTAAGACATAAATTCAAGTCAGCTCTTGTTCCATTCGTGCCATTGAGTGATTTACCTGTCGCTGGCGTTCACAATCACTGATTTTAGCTCCACTACTTCCAACGGTTTTTCGCGCACTAAATAAGTCGGTGAGAGCACAACTATCAAGAATTTCTCGAATGGAAACATACACCAACCACAGAATCTGACTGGAGCATCCTATAGTTATGCCTCCAGCATTCATTCTTCGAGTCTGAAGTTCGATTTCCTCAAGGGTTGCTTGTAACAAGAGACTTGCTACAGCCGACAGGGCAAGTAACTGCAAGTAGTTGGACTGTACCAACTTCAAGATTAACATCGCGCAGATTAGTTTCGGCGCCGCAGTCAAAGCTTGGGTGGCATACGGATAAGATTGACCAATCTCTGACTTTAGTACATATTCCCTTCTCCTGGTCCGACACTTCTTTCGACCTGCACACTCAGCCTCAGAATCATTCTATCTGTGTGTGATTTCATCAACTTGACCTGTTCTGTATTCAATGCCTTCTTGCTTCTCAGATAGCTCTTCCACGCGAGACGGGCATCCAAGTGCGTGCCCAAAATGTGGAGAATTTTTATTTTGCGTACAAGCGGTGGGTGCAAGTAGACTGATGAGAATGAGGGAACCCAATAATCTCGAGGCATTCGAGTCTTCCATTATAGCTCGGGCTCCATCTTCAGATCCACAGCTCACAAGTGGCTATGCATTTCTCAAAATTTACCGTTCTCGTCGCTGCCTTTCTTGCCAGCAGTTGCGTAGCAGCGCCAACTCCTAATACATGTCACATAAGCATTAATATGAGCATTGATCACCATCTAATGTCATCTCATGTAGTCTCCAAGCAGTGGAAGCATCGCCCGAGCAGAAGCTGAGCCCATCGAGAATTACATCATCCCCATCAAAGAAAAGGCGAAGCGTGAGAATATTGAATCCATCGAGAACTACATTATCCCATCTAGATCACATGATGTGGCGGAAGCCTCTTAACTAGGATGGACAGAAAAGGCGTATGAGACATGTTTCTAGGAAATTTTGCAACGGCTCATGGACGATTCCATGAGTTTTATGGGATGGTATTGGACCATTCATTTACAGTGGATATAGCTTGAAGGAACGACTCGGATGCTGTAATGGCGCTTCTTCAAATTTGACGCGTCCTTGTGTAATGATCTTGCATTTTGTGTGTCGTTAAGGTGATCCGGTTTCAACGCAGAATCTCAGGCATCTGTCAAACAAGTATCTTTCTCCTAAATAAACATCTATCGAAAGTCTCGACAAAGAATATCCAATGTTTATAACCTATTCCTAAATTAATGAATCGTGGTTGTAAACCTTAAGCCCACAGATATGATGTAGCTGACAGCGTCCTATGAAATGATACCAAAATGGTAGAGATGTCCAATTTCTCATTGTCGGCTTGGATCAGATTCCAACGGGTATCTTTGTACGCAAGTTAACTGCGCAATCTTCGTTGTTGCCAGATGGCATTAGCATAACGTTCGTCTCCGGACGGCACACCGTCCGTAGAATGCATTTACTGTTAAGGCTCCGAGTAGCATTGCATTTGTTGAACCCAGTTTCTGATATTATGAATCGTAATCTATACCTTCAATCGAAGTGAAAGATGCTGAAAGGGTTTAATAATGCATGGACACGGAGAAGAATAACCTTGGCATGTCGGCCATTTCTATATATCCGCTGCAGTTAAAATCAATGCGACGTTTCCTAGATTTTCTCACCGGGCGAAGCGTCAAGAGTATACTGTTTTGACCACTTCCTCAAGAAGCCATCATAACGAGACGACCATAATCATCAATAGATCTTCGACATTGCTTGCCAACTGTAATTGTCCCCAGGGTATGCCCGCCCGTAGGCTTTCGCTCCGAAAAGAATTGAAGCAGCCTTCGCCAATGTTTCTTACGTGATTTCCCGAATAAATGTGCTCTGGATTTGAGCAAAATGCCTCGCATGACCATGGAAATGCATCCACGAATCTTCCATACAGGACTGACACATCGAAGCACTCTTTCGCGTATTTTCTGCAGCCAAGAAGTTCTTAAAAAACTCTCTTGCTCACGACTACTTGATGACATGCTGTTCGTAGTTTGAATATGCCCAAGTAGCTCTCTTCCTCTTTGATTTTGAGAATAATCATACGGGATTATTTAGGAATTTTGCTTAATGCTTTTCCACAAAAGGCATCCAACAGTCCAGATTACAGTCTCATCTCAAAGGATGAGAGTAGCCTCAGAATCCAAGTACGTCAGTGTTCGGGTTCAATGTACCAATGGAGTCGACGTTCGAGTGGATCTGATAGTCAGGTCAGGAACTCAAGAATCAGGAATATCGTACCGCTCCATATGGCATCTTAACCCCTTGTGGTTCGTGCGTGTGGGTAAGACTTCTGTTGTACTTACCGCCGGAAACAACAACCAAAGAAGCTAGCGCACGAGAGCGGGTAAGGTTACAGAGGGTCACGTGGAATAATTGGGCTTAGCATCTGAGCTTCATCACCTCTCCCACCACTCGACTCCACTCTTCGCATTTTTCATCATTTCTTTCCAGAGCGAGCGTTTATGATGCGGAATCGTCCTCCAGAGACGATAAGAGGAGTATTCAGAGCCATACCTTAAGCTTACCAGTACTCTGGGATGTCGACAGTTGGCATAATCCTACATCTGCGCTCGCGTTCATGATGCTACATTGTCGACACTTTTCTTTCCGTCTAAAGAGCTAATTCTCTAGACTCTCAAACACATCAATGAAGCCCCATTTTTTCGACGTAGACAGTACTCCTCATTCGATGACGGAAGATAAATCGGTAAACTGTATCGGTACTTAATGAGGTATGGAGTCTGGAGTCTGGACAGGACAACACTCACTAGATTGTGGACCTAGGATTGAGAAGAATATTAGCTTGAAGTGATCTTGGTGACGTCAAGTTTTCTCCCATTTCTTCACTGTGGCAGGACCAATCATGAGCTTCAGAATGTGCATATTTATCTTCAAACCAATGTAAGTACCTGCATTCGATGAAATTATTCCGCCAACTGCGTGTTCAGTTCCAGGTGCTTCAGCAAACATACTTTTTCCACATGCACGACCGGACGGCCAACTCAATTCGGCAGTTTTGGCGGGGCTGCGGCCCCAGGCTTCGACACTTGGTTCAATCTAACTGTCGCTGGTAAATCCTCCGGCTTACCCCGCAGATCTAGTTAATTACCAAGATCAACCTCTGTATTGCCGATTGGAGCGCATGGAATACCTTTATATTTGGACCTTTTGGACACCGGTATTGGATATGAATTATCTGCAGCTGTAAGATCCGCTCTTTTAGTCAGGAGATCTAACTGCTAACATAAAAATAAAGGTGACGTGGGTACTAGAGTGGAGAAAAGCCTCTCCAATCATTATGGGCGGAGTATAAAAGCTTTTTCCAATACTACCTACCATTATGCGGGGTGCATTCGAGGCGGTCTGGCTCAGCATCGAAATAGTGCTGTTGCTCTTTAGAATTTTACAAACAGGCCCTCGTGACACACATAAGACTGCTTCTAGGGAGCATCAGAGGTGGAATAAAGCACTCCATCTAACGTTTGCCTCGGGCATTCTCATGGGTGGCAATTTTGTGCGTGTACCATGCGTGCCAATTGGGAGCAGGCAAGCTAAGTGTTGCAAACTAAGTGAAGCTCATAAAAGGCACGCCGGTCCCCAAGCCTACGATGTGCTGTTCTGTGTCGGTAGCTATCTAAGCTTGTTGTTGCAAGTGTGCCCATCTCAACGTCCCCCAGAAGAAAAGTGATCAACATGTTCTCACAACCAAGACACCAACGCGCTCGCGCCTTCGCTCTAGGCCTCATTGGCACTGGCTCCCTTGTTGCTGCTGGGCCATGCGACATCTACTCGTCTGGCGGAACACCCTGTGGTAAAGTTTGACCGGTTCATTGATTTCACCTTCTATAATCCTCAAATCTGTTCTTCGATTCTAGAACCCACTTTTGTATTATCTTATGCATTCCCTTCTTTTCCAAATAAATCCGTTTCTTGAATTTCTGTGTGAAACTTTTTTGGATACGCAGTTGCTGACTCTTCAATCTTGCAGTTGCTGCACACAGCACTACTCGCGCTTTGTACAACGCCTATAGCGGCTCACTTTACCAAGTAAGTGATGGAGTTTTACATTTAATACTCCTTGGTAGCAGTCACTAACTTCATGCGTGATAGGTGAAACGCGGCTCTGATAACACCACGACAAACATTTCACCGCTATCCGCAGGTGGAGTCGCTAATGCTGCTGCTCAAGACACCTTCTGTGCTAGCACGACTTGTCTCATCACAGTCATTTACGATCAATCCGGGCGCGGCAATCATCTCACTCAAGCTCCTCCCGGTGGTTTTAATGGCCCAGAATCTAATAGTTACGACAACTTTGCCAGCGCAACAGGTGCACCAGTTACGTTGAACGGTCAAAAGGCATATGGTGTCTTCATTTCACCCGGTACTGGCTACCGCAACAATGCTCCTAGTGGAATAGCCACAGGTGACGCAGCTGAAGGCATGTACGCGGTTCTCGATGGAACTCATTACAATGGCGCCTGCTGTTTTGATTACGGTAATGCCGAAACTAGTAGTCGTGATACTGGTAATGGTCACATGGAGGCCATCTACTTTGGTGACAGTACTAGTTGGGGAAGCGGAGCCGGCAGTGGTCCTTGGTTGATGGCTGATCTTGAGAATGGACTATTCTCCGGTGTGAGTCCAAGTACCAACACAGGGGATCCATCTATCTCCTACCGATTCTTGACTGCAATCGTCAAGGGAAAACCAAACCAATGGGCACTTCGCGGCGCTAACTCTGCATCTGGTTCTCTTTCGACATATTACAGTGGAGTGCGCCCAGATGCCAGTGGCTATAATCCAATGAGCAAAGAAGGTGCTATCATTCTCGGAATTGGTGGAGACAATAGCGTTGGTGCTCAAGGAACATTCTACGAGGGTGTGATGACCTCCGGATATCCCACTGATGCTACCGAGAACTCGGTTCAATCTAATATCGCAGCTGCTAAATATGCTACCACGTCATTGACCAGTGGAACTGCTCTCACCGTCGGTTCCTCGATCTCTCTTCGGGCTACTACCCCTGGGTACACAACACGCTACATCGCGCACACTGGCTCTACTGTCAATACCCAGGTCGTTACAACATCAAGCGCCACCGCTCTGAAACAGCAAGCTAGCTGGCATGTTCGCACTGGTCTTGGAAACAGTGCCTGTTTCTCATTCGAGTCAAACGATACCCCCGGCAGCTACATCAGACACTACAACTTCGGACTTCTCGTCAACGCCAGTGACGGTTCCAAGCAGTTTTCTGAAGATGCTACGTTCTGCCCACAGGCTGGTCTCAATGGCCAAGGTAACTCGATCAGGGCTTGGAGCTATCCTACCCGCTATTTCCGTCACTACGAGAATGTGCTTTACGCCGCGAGTAACGGAGGAGTTCATGCTTTTGACGCTGCCACTTCATTCAACAACGACGTAAGCTTTGTTATTAGCAATGGATTCGCTTCTTAAGTTCGTCGGTATTGAGCATCTCGTCGCTTACAGCCTGTATGAGGTGCTCTTTCTTTACTTGTCATCGTCATCGGCGCGTTGAAATAGGATGATAGCCTCCAATGTGCAAATCCCTTGTAGCACATCTGTATATATACAGGGGCTTTTTTTAGTAGGGTATATAATAACAAAAAAAAATTAAAATTTGTAATCAGACTTCTCGTTCACATATAAGCATAGTAACTTGAAAGGGCAAATATCGTTGAATTATCGTGTTACATTTGTAATGATGGGCGTATGTATGCATTTAATACTGCAAATTCACAAATAATATTTGGGTGGTTCATCCATACATATGGCTGTCATCTCTCCATATCTCTACCTTCCCCTCCCAGCTTCAATACTCTTTAATTAATAGCTGTAATTAACTGCGATTGCAGGTCTCAAATGTAGGTAAGTTAAGACTAGACTTACTTTCTTTGTATACCTAGGTAGGTATATCTAGATGAAATACTTCATCAATAAAGTAATCGTACCAATAATCTCTTCATTAGATGTCGACAACTTGCTCGGGGAGTACCACAAGCGCATACTGCCGTATAGAAGTATCATATAAAAGTATCAGGTGAGATTACTTAAATGAAGATTTGGTACTAAATCACCGGATGAGAAGTCACCTACATGTAATGAGTTGGATGTAAGTGAATAGAAATGAAAGTATATTTATATTCGTCCTAATGGGGTAATTATCGTATTCTAAAAAAAACACAGGTCCCAGGTATGTCATGACCATAATATCCGACTAGAAATCCTAATTTAAGACTTAGGTATTCATTACAAAACCCCCCAAAGCAGCTGAAGAAATATTTTCTACCAGTACAAATATAGAAAGGAGTAACCCTTATACAAGCTAGTTATATCTCAAAAATTGCAAACGAGAATCTACTCTACTCCTTCATGATGGGGCTTTCGCTGACGCCGCTCCCATAATTAAATGTACCCATTTCTCCCATTTCTTCTCTTAACGCTGTCGTTCTTCTTTTTTCCTTCCATGTCACTAATATTATCTCCAGTAGCACAATAACGGCATATACACCTGCCATGACAGCTACGTCGAGGATCTGATCGCTAACGGGATATTTGCTCCCCTTACTCCCGTTGATCCCAAATTGCTGCTCTAATGCAATGACTTGCACAATACTCACCGCAATGCCTCCTATCCAAACTAGCATGTTTATTCCCTGCCACCATTTTATACGTCCTTGCATTCCTTCGCTCCAAAATAAGAAGGCTGAGAGGAGAAGTCCGATGTATGCGAATGGGATTAAACCAATGCCGTAGTGAAGCATAGATAATCGCACAATTTCCACAGTGAGCATGATAATGTTGGCAAAGATGAGGAAATAGTAGATACTAAGGAAGATGAGGTAGGGCCATGAAGAGCGGGTATTGGAGCGTAGATGTGCGGTGGATGGGTTGTAGTTAATTTTGCGGTTGTGGAGTCCTAGAGCAAAGAGGATGGGTATGAAGAAGAGGGCGAGCCAAGTTGGGAGAGGGATGAGGACGACGTCTGTAAAACATGTTGTGGGGAGGGAAGAGGAATTAATTTGAGAGTTTGAGCCCTGGACGATGTCAGTGGGGGTTATTGAAGCGACATATTTGGGAACATACAAAGGCTTCGGCTCTGTTTGTGCAGAGCATTGAGAGAATTTTTTTACTTGTAACGTTGATTGATAGATAATGCGCAATGGATTTCCTACTCTGATACAATAATGAAGGCCCGTTGTCTCGTTTCGAGGTCTTCTTTGCTCGCACAGCACTCGTCTGAAGTCTTAAGGTACTTGTGTATCTTGTATTGAACAGCTCAATCGTTCATCTGATGTTCAAAGCATTCCTAGCCAAGGATCGCTCTCTATGTGAAATGTTGATCGTCGTGTTCGTCTCAAATCCTACCCGTCGTGTTTCACAATTCCCTGTGCGTGCTACGAACAATATTCTCTTGGAGACAAAAGGAACTTTGTGATCATATCACGCAGACAACGCAGACATAGAAAAATCAGGAAGAGGAAGCAGAAATATGCAACAGAAAGAAATACAAAATATCAAGAAAAGTCGACCTACTATTTCCACTAGAGGTGTTCGGGATGTTTCTCTTCCGGAAGATCAGCAGTTAGTGAGCTTTAGTGAATGTTAGTAACTCGGAATTTAGGATATTAAGCTCAGAATAGTATTTGAGGGACGTGGGATGTGTGGGTCCGGGGACATGAATTCGAGCAAATGTATCAAATGTATCAAATGTATCAATTGATATGTGTTCTGGGTGTTGAGAGCTCCCCTGACTCTCTGCAATATTCTTGTGTGAATTTAAAGGAATGAAACTGCGCCGGCGTGGCTGCCTGTGCGAGAAAAAGCGACAAGGAGCGACTCCGAGCGAGGGATGAAATGTTAGATTATATGAGATAATGTCACGTTTCGGTATCAAAGACATCCGTGAAGATTTCCGTCAAGGTAGCTATCTTGCTGATGACTAGTTATCGGGATGGAACCCTTTGATGATGTTGTAAGGCATTCCAGGGAGGAGCGATGAGGAGTGATGTGATGAGGGGCATGGGGCATGGGGCATGATCATTTGCTGCGACCAATTTAACATAAAGCGGCGGTATACTTTTGCCCGTATCAAGTTTCTATTTTAAAGCGGCACATGTCACATCCGTGATTTACCCGCATCGCCAAGGCAAGGAAACTGACATACCAAACTTCACCCGTTGCCCCCGCTTAGTGACCTGCTTTAACCTTCTTTTCCTTTCGCTTTCATCGTCCGAGTTCACAATTTTCTCCCTTCTGATCCCTTCATGCACTGGTGAAGAGGCAAATACATCTAGCTGAGTCGATGATAAGTTTCAATGGTTCTTGCAAGGTTTACGCCTTCCATCATAGGCCTCGACTCTACCATTTTTGCGGATACTTCTCAGGTCTCGGTGAGCTCCATTGCTGCTGTCAATGGAAGTTCATCTACAATTTCTTCTCGAAGGGACTAGGACAATTCTCTGCAAAAAGCAAGCGTTTACTCTCGAAAGACCCTTCGACAGATCTCTAGCGGAGAAGCTGAAAGCGTCACTGATTTGTAGAGACCGCTCCCTTGCCTTACTCAAGATGAAATCTCTGTTTTGTCATTGTAGCACCGACAAACCGAGTGCAGAAACTGCAAAGATAATTGCTCAGGATGAGATCTAGTGTTTTTAACACGGCTGATTTTAGGCGAATCCGGAACGCATTTGACCTACCAATTGACTAACTATTATGGCAAGACAGGCAGGCTTCAAAGTTGAGTTCTTTTGACTGTTGAATCTCGCCATCGTCATGCTGATTTCCATACACTTTATGGATATCCGAACTTGAGTGTATTATGCGCACTTCTCATGAGTTGAATTCAAGGTGTTGAAAGGCAGTTCTATGCCTGGCTAGTATGAGAAAGGCTTTTTTGGATCATTGATTTCATAATGATTCAGGAACTCTGTTCAGTGACGATCATAATCGGATTTTGTATATACTGTTGATCGAAGCATGAAGCAGTCTTTCCTTAAGTAAAGGAACCGAATCAATTTTCCAAGTTTGCTGAATATATTTCGCCGAGATTTTGTGGGGTGGATAACAAATATACCCATAATAGTGCATATGGCAGATCTGATAATAAATTTTGACGTTTTAACCAAGGCGTTGAAAGCTTCTGTTTGTGGAGCTCTGTCAATGTCTGTATAGAAGCCATAATAGAACGAGATTTAGGCTTCTTCGACTCTGTAAAGTCAGAAAATTGTGTTTGACAGCTACGCACAATCACGCGATCGAGTCGCTAGATTACCAGAAGATTTGTTCTTTGAATCCTGTACTATAACTATTATTTTACTCCTGCCTCGCTTGGCAAGTTTACATACTGTTCAATCAGTTGCGGGAGTACATTTATCAGGATGAAATCAAGTTAGTTGACTAGATGAGATATTCCAGGGCCCTGCCAAAATGAGACTATTGAGCAATGGACTAGATAGTTATGATTAGTCATGTTTCCACAAATGAAATATCGGAAACCTCATTACATAGCTAGAATTGGATGGAAATCGACGCTCTTAATACGTCAGCGGATTACATGTAAGTCTTAGATGTTCGCTTATTTATTGGAATTTTTCATATCATGGGTCGAATAACACCATTTAGTTCCTAACTTGTAGCCAGTGTACTGTCTTCACCAGGCTTTGGATAATAGTATATAATGCATCAAGTTATTGCCAGCGCCATGCAAAGATGAAGATTTGACTTTATTGATTTTTATTCACTGCAAAAATTAATTAAATTATCCATTCACCCCTCAGTTCTTTCATCTAACTCCTACAATCCATAATTCTCCACACCTTTGCAGATATTTATGGATCTTAGCCATTAAATCAGTCCGCTACCTTGAATAGCTTGAAAGCTCATAGTCCTGTCGTTCTCCTCGCTTCCCTGGGTCTAGAAATAAATGCCCAAACCAAAGTCCCCATCACTGTCGGCAAGGAATTCCGGAGGCCCTTCTTCCATCTTTAGAGTGTCACTCAACAACATGGGCATTAGGGACAAAGGAGGAGTAGCAGGTGCAGAAGCAGGTCTATGAGCGATGTATTCGGAACTTGCTCCGGCTTTCAATTCGTCTTCCATCTTTGCTGTCAAGTCTGCTTCTACATCAAAATTCACTTTTCCACCAGGATCATGACCACACACAGGGAAATTAGCGCTAGCGAATTGATACTGACTAACTTTAGGAGTCACCTCTTCCTCCTCATCTTCCTCCAATCGTAATTGTCTCAAAACATCACCCCTCTCTCCTCTCCTCTCCGCATTCCTCTCTCTTTCCTCTCTCTCATTTCTCTCCATCACTCTCGCAGCCACTGCTTTCGTAACACAGCTAGAACAGCGATGTCTCAATCTCAACCTCTGAAGTGAAATCCTTCTACCATTCCCACCGTTTTCATCACTACATCTATCATTATCCCATGGTAAATTTTTCGTATCGCGGAATAATTCACAACGGACTAATTGCAGAGGATCTTTTTTTCCAGTCTTGCATTGAGGGTAGCAGCTGTATGTTATGTGGTATCGTTGGCACATGTTGGGGGAGGATGACGGGGTCTGTGGAGGGGAGTTTTTGGGTGTAGAAGTGGAAGTGGAGTTTCCTAGGATGTGATTTATGAGCCGGTCTATGAGGGGGATTTGGAAGCTCTTGGTGTGGATTTTTGGGGAGTGTTGTTGCTAGCTGTGAAGGTAATTGTGCAGTTAATGAAGAGGATAGATGGACTATTTGATAGTTTAAGTACTGATTTGCTACTGATGTAGTACGAACCGTAGACTTCCTGAATACTTGTTGTAGGTATTGCAATAGCATGTAGTGTATGATGTTGCAAGACGAAGACGTATTACGGCTGAGAATTTTCAACCGAGTACATTTTACATGGTATGGTCAATACAGCCCAAACACTGAATACGTTCATATCAATGGATTAGACGTACATCTCTGAATTCCTAACTGCTGTACGATGATTATAGTATTTAACACATGTAAATTGGATATCGACGATTCATTCTACATTTATTATGATTTTCCGTGTTATCAATACACGTTTTTTAGATTAATTGCATACTAGATACAGTAATACAGCAGCTATAAACATCTAATCATAATATCATGAATTCCGTAAAATAAAGTATAAATTGTAGATTTATTATCTTAGAGTAATACTTAACAAAAAGTTTTCTAATAAATAACAGATCTTTTACACAATGATAATAATTCTATGAAATTTAGCCTCGACCTTGAGATAGATTGTATAGAGACTAGTCGAGCTCTCTATTTAGAGTAATTATAATTTGTTTTTTATTATTGGAATCTCGCCACTCTGAGGCTGGATCCGTGGGATACCCATCTTCCCATATCTTCTACATCCATATATTCATCCTCATCTCCACCTCATGATCAGAGCAAAAGATCAGCCAATATCTCTGTATCGACACATGCATGCAACATCTATTCCTATATATTTTCCCCTAATATATACCTAAAAATAAATAATCGAAATCATTCCTTTGTCAGAAAATAGTTCGCTGCAGAAGGATTCTGGTCCTTTGTAAATTGTAATTAATGTTAATATTACCAATTGTAAACAGAAATATATATATACATACACAGTTGAGGTAAATTAAAAGACAAGAAACAATATCAACATCCTATATATAATTAGAATTGAATTGAAGTCAAAACCATTATCCGGAAAGACATTAATTTGCACAAGAGCCCGCAGGAGAAGAATGGCAATTTGAAGCATAGAAAATATGTCGTGATATCGATACTAATCTAGGATCATTGAATATACAAGCAGCTCGAGATTAGAACAGATTAAGCCCTGGATAGGAGAGATCAAATCTGTTTGTCAAACAGGGGCATGGAGCTGGAGTCTAGCTTTAGCGTTTTGGGAGAAGTCAGATTTTGCTTTGATTTATTTGCTTTGTAGCTTAACTGGAATCATGTATGTGGCTTAATGATGCGGCGGCAAAAGCTCCCTAGTTGGAAATTTAGTGGCTTTTCTTCTTTCTCGTTCTATATACATATACATATATATACTTAGGATATACAGTAATAGTATTTGGAGAAGAGGCTTGATATATTTCTTTTAGATTTTCTTTTGAGAGTGGGGAAATTATTTACTATTTTCCATTATTTCCAGTTTGCTGTGTCCGAAGAAGTTAAAAGGTTGGGAGTTTATTTTTATGGTCCAAGGTAATTGCTAGGGATTGTACCTTCAGATTTCGATATTAGTTGATGAATTTCATTCTCATCGATAGTTATCACTTCCTATAGATCTCCTCTGCAGGGAGTTTCTACCTCCGAATCTCGATTATGAAAAAGGGGAATCAAGGAACGTTCTACCCCTCTTGGATCTCTGCGATGGCCTTTCTGGGTATATCATATATAAGATCAATTGACCCGAAAACAAACACAACTCGCGAAATAGGGGGGCTTTTCATGTTTCATTGCATGTCAGAAATTCACATTGGAGGTATGCATACAAAAATATCAAGTAAGAATAAGAAATATCAATACTCATAAGTACGATTTCAAAGCATCACGTTACTGTATAACTACCCAAGCTACCATAACTAACCATAACCATAACCATCCTTTCCGTTCATCCAACCCAACTCCACCCAACCAAAAAACCAGCTAGCCATACCATTAACATCTACCTCCCGCCCCTAAACCCCAAACCCGGCACCCTACTCCTCAGAGCCAAGCTACTCAAAACCACACTAATACTACTCAACGCCATAGCCAAACTAGCCCAGACCGGATCCAACCTAACATGGACGCCTCTACTAACAATGGGATAAAAAACACCGGCAGCCACAGGGAGTGCAATAATATTATAGATCAAAGCCCAGGCGAAATTGAATTTAATTCTTCGAAACACCACTTTACTCAAATCCAACAATGTGATCAAAGAATTGAGATTACTAGAAACGAGGACGAATTCCGCGGACGAAATGGCAATGTCGGAACCGGATCCAATGGCTATTCCGACATCTGCTACTGTTAAAGCGGGAGAATCGTTGATGCCGTCTCCGACCATGGCGACTAGTGCTCTCTTTGTAGAAGAAGAATTGTGCTTCTTGGAATGATGAGAATGTAGCGATTTCTGGAGATAGGAAATCTGTTTTGCTTTTTCTGAAGGGAGGACGCCTGCGATGACATTGGTAGAAGGAATACCGACTTTTTTGCCGATGGCAGTGGCTGTGGTGGGATTATCACCAGAAAGCATCCAGACATCTGTACCACGGGCTTTGAGCGCGGAGATAATGGAAATTGCCTCGGGACGAATGGGATCGGAGATGGCGAAGATGGCTACGAGTTCATAAAGATCTCCAGATACGGACCAGGCAACTAGAGCGACGGATTTGCCTTGTTTCTTCCAATTATCGATGCTGGATTGCTGTTTAGGGGTTATCTCGACACCGTATTGTTTCATAAGCGGCTCGTTGCCTATTATGAGTATTTGTTTGTCGAATGTAGCTTTCATTCCATAACCAGGAATTTCTTCGATATTTGTAGTCGTGAATTTTCGATTGCTGGTACAAAATGAGACTATGGCCTTAGCTACCGTGTGGCTACTGTTCTCCTCGGCCGATTTCACCATACTAAGGAGATTCTGTTCTTTATCATTCAATGGGCCAATGTGGCCTTCTGGAATACTCTGATTGTCCGAGGCAATAACACTGCCTCCATCGTCTGGAATAAATACGTAATCTGTGACAGTCGGTTCACCACCTAGGGTTAATGTGCCAGTTTTATCGAAGACAACACAATCTAGCATACTCGCCTTCTCAAATGCCTCACCACCACCTTTCACTAAAATACCATGGTGCGCTGCAAGACCACCACCAACAAATAGTGCCGTAGGAGCAGCTAATGCTAGACCACATGGACATGCCACAACAAAGACAGCAATGGCAAATTGAAGAGACCAAACAGCCCATCCGCTGGAACCGCGATAATCGTCTGGTAAGGCTCCTGAAAGTCCTAGGGAAAGCCAGACGATAAAAGTAATGATGGCGATGAGAGTAATGAGAGGTACAAAGTATCCGGTCAAGGTATCCGCAATTCGTTCCATTGGTGCTCTTTTGGTTTGACCTTCTCGAACTGCTTTGACAATTTGATCAAGCATTGAAGATCCGGCAACTCCAGTAATTTTGACAGTCACTGGTGATTCTTTATTGACTGTTCCAGAGAATACTTCATCGCCTACAATTTTTTTGACCAGCTTCGCTTCTCCTGTCAAACTCGATTCATCGAATTTGGTCTGTCCCTTGATAATTCTACCGTCACAAGCTGGAGAACCACCATATAAGACCTTAATGGTATCACCAAACTCAAGCATATCAACATTAACACTTCTGATAGACGCTTGGCCATCCGACGCTGTTGAATGTTCGTCGGAGTATTGGACGGTTAGATCTCCTACAAAGTTCTCGTGGTCGTTTGATGAAGCTGGGACAATCAAAAGCGCCTCTGTGGGTCGCAGCTTTCCTAACATGGTAACTGCATCGTCAGTTCTCGATTTGCTATAAGCTTCGATGAGACGTCCAACGAGTAGAAACAATGTCAAGAAGACAACTGAGTCGAAATAAAAGGAATTATCATCTGCTGTAGAATTTGGATGAGCTCCAGCAGCGACCAGTTGAGCCACGGATGACACATAGGCAATTGTAGTACCCAATGACATGAGCATATTCATGCTCCCAAAACGATAAAATCTCTGAAGAATTGGTGTCGTGCTGCCAGGTTTCCATAATGCTCGAACTTCCTTCAGAGCTCGTCTATGGAATACATCGGCACAAAGAAAGTATACTGGCGTAGCCAGAACAAGAAGAGACCATTGCGCACGATCGACGTTGGCTATCAGAGGCTGCATAAGATATTTTCTGGTAGGATTAGTTGATGGCACCACACTCATGAAAATAATACCAATAATCAGAGTAGGAATGGCAATGGTAAAGGTGACGATAACTCGAACCAATATTCGTTGTTGCTCTCTTTTATGAATCATACGAGATCGTTCCTCGATAGTAGGTGGATGATATATTGTTGGTATGAATGCTTCCTCCATGCTGGAGAGTTTGGCGAGAATCTGCCTAATCGTGAAAGTAGGTGCTGATGGGATGTAACTTATTTTCAGTACCGGGTTCTGTAAAGTCAAGGCTCTCTCGATAGTAATGCGACCATCGAAACTTTTCAGGCTATCATTGATTCGTGAAGGACAGTGGTTACAATACATGCCATCTACCTTGACCTCCACCGTTCTCAAAACCTTTTGCTTCTGAGGCTCCGGCTTCAAATTGACCACACTATCCAAGGCGGCGTCGTAGCCAAGATCCTCGATCTCTTCAATTATTTGAGACGTGTATTTCTCATCGTCGAAGTCAACTGTAGCACTACTCGATATGAGATTGACCACCACATCCTTAACCCAAGATTTCTTCTTCAATCCTAACACAATATTATTGACGCAAGCGGCACATGTCATTCCACCTATGGCCAATGATGCTCGAAAGGTTTGAGATGAGATAGAATCAATAGAATCAACGACGACCAGATTTAACTTCCCGTTATCTGACATTCTTTTGCTGAAAGTCTTAGTGATACCGTCCACACCGCCTGTGTGGTGGGATTGCCGTTCTAAGAGCGGAGGTATATTCTGTTGTCTCAACTTCTTTGAAACATTCTGTCCAGCCCCTCCACTGGCGGCTTCTCGACGACATATTTCGCAATTCTCTAGGTGACGATCGGAGGATGAGTCAAAGTGAGACAATGGAAGCTGGCTAGGAGTTCTTCTGGTAGCTGACCACTTTTGAAGTACTTGGTCTAGGTAACCTGTATCGGTGTCATGTTGTATGTGTGATCTTGTAACGCTACCGTCCTCCTCAGATGTAACATCGCACACGTCAAATCCAGCGGATTGTAACGCCCCTCGAATAGCTTTAGTTGATAAATCTTTTTGGTGTCGAACAGTTACCCATGATGACATGAGAGATGGTATAACTTCTTTCGGCTGAGGACATAATGCGTAAAGGGATTTTTTAATATTTGATACACAAGAGGGACAATGAAGGTTTGATAATAAATAAGATGTTGTGATCAATGTTGGGTTATGGGTTGAAGGGATATCCATCTTCTCGAATCCTCCAGATCTAGAATTGATGCTGTCTAGAATATTGTTGTAGTTTGTTGTAGGACGGGCCATTTCTTTTGTTAAATCCATAATAACTTTAGAGGAAAGAGACTTCTAGTAAAAGTCAAGTTTGTAGGAAAAAAGGTAAACTCTAATCAAGGTTAGAGAAGGAAATAGAGATATATCCAACCATATTGCCATCCAAGAGGTGGCAAGCAATCGCAATACTATACCGCACAAAAAACGCAAACCGCAAAAAACACTCAAGACCGCACAAACCGCGCAAAGGGATAATAAGGAATGCCCTTTCTCATTGGTCCTTGAAATCATGATAAAAAATGTTCAAAGGACTTATTTAGTAAGTTGAAAGTCTGAGCATGTAGGTAATTCTATGCAAGCTCATGAGGTAGCAACATCATTTATCAATAATCAATGAATGTCGGTCGAGTCAATGTGTAAGATAAAATTCTGTTAATGTCGTGAAAAGTAATTGACAAATAAATTTGGTGGATGACTAACAAACACACATATTTTTTGATAACCCGATGGATGATGCAAGGTACCGGCACTTGTAAGATTAGATCAAGCTTAGATATTCCAAGATTGATTTAAAAGCGCTAGACCATTTATATCTATCTATTTCGGGGACTTTCTCTACATCTCCATCAATGAGATGAATGAAGGGTGGTCGATATATAATTAGTCACATTTCCATCCATGGCTGATCGATCATGAATGAATAAGCCAGATACATCAAACAATCCAAACAAGATCTGTATAACAAGAGAAGTATGTCTTTCTTCTCAATCTATAAAAAGAATCTACTTAGCCAGCCTTCTTTCTATCCATATAATTCTCAATATTAAAACCTGCACTTGTTGTTTCATTTTCGCAAACACACAATAAACAGTAATCGCGGCGATGTTGGCACCACAATCAATAGAGTAGTAGTAGTAGATAGGCACCCACCCACCGATAAGCAACCCCACACACAAAAAGTGCAAAAGTGCAAGAGCGAACGAATATTTGCTTCCTTCCTTCTCTCCTTCCATTCAAGAAGGAGAATAGGAAAAGAAAATACCAAAAGATATATTTCAACGGGCCTAATCCGGGATCGAACCGGAGACCTCTTACATTTTAGATTTCAATAACCCAAAGCAAGAATTCTACCACTGAACTATTTAGATGAATTAGTCACACGTCTCTTAGCGTGGGTTGGGAAGCATCTTACCTATCAGGCCTGTTTGTACTGTTTGATGGTTCCCTTGTCATTAATCCGCTCGATATTGATATCGATTGAAAAGAAAAAAGCATTATTAATAATTTTGTAAATTGTCGGAGGGACATTTCTTTGACTCTTCAAAGTCTACGCTTATATATATATATTATCATGAACCGAAAACATTTTCCACGATTCTATATTCTTCGAGCTATACTCCGTCTCCCCAACTCCGGTTTTCACAGCATGATTCATAATCTGGCACTCAGAACTAATCAACAAGTCACCCTCTCGGAGTAAGAAATCAGGCCGTGAGCATTCAGGCCATATTAGACTGATTTGATAGAGGGATGCTAGTTATTTTGGTATAGGCTTTAGGGATCTGCTGTGGATTTTTGAAAGATCACGGATGTTGAGGATTTGCTCAGTGGTGGGGAGCCTAGTCTTTATGTTGATGTTGGGTTTTAAGGTGATGGAGACATGGTGGTGTGGTGGTGGAATTTGCTTTGGGTTGTGTGAGATCCGGTAGCTTATCGAAGGATCTTGTGTGTTGAATGGGTGTGGCACTGGGACGTCCGTATGATGCATATCAGTCTCAAGTTCAATGAATCACCAGAAAAATCTAATTACCAGGAAGTTTCCAGCTGCAAATTCTGTAGTAATACTTCAGGGTAAAAGTGGTATTATAAATTCTCAATATATAAGTAATCTTTTATGTGTCTTCGTCCATTGCCCCTAAACATAAAGAGTACACCTCCCACTAACTGTAAGAGAAATGTATGAGACATGCAAGCATTTCAGTAAGTATAGGAATAGAATATTTGATATTGGGGCAATTGAAATTCAATGCTCTAGACTACGACGAGTGTCTGAACACAAATGGGACATCATTGAAGGTCTGTGGAGTGGAGAAAACACCGAAAGCAAATGCAAGTAGATATGTACTCGATGTCTATGCACACACTAGCTACGCATATATATATTGTACTGCCAGGACAGCAAGACAGACCGATATAGTTCGAGGCTAAACCAAAGTACATGATGTAGCTATTTCCATGATAATGTCAAAAGATATTAGTAAACTACAGAGTTACTAACAATTTCTCGGTTTTGAATTTCTTCACTGTCGGTATAAGGAGCATGGGATACCTCTAATTTTAATGTACCATATAGGAGGTAAATTAAACATTATTCCAGTCGAGGATGGTATCTGATAAGGAATGAAGGATTAACAAAACTGATGCTGCAGCGATGTCCAGACAAAAATCTGCAAAAATCAGCTGAAACCATAAGCTGGACTGCACTAATAATGGTCCCCAGAATTGTAATAGATGTGGTGCAGTCGCATGGCACCAAACTGCTGAGAATTGAAACGAAGGATTGCGAAAGATTCCAAATTCGTTGTATTATAGCCCCAAGGCATAGGAGGAAACCAGATTTGAGTGAAATTATCTAAAGAAAACTTCTTTACTGTTGAATTATTGATATTCCTGCTCGAACATATCCCACAGATCAACAAATGGATACTCAAGTCCATTTATCCAACTTTCGGTATCTGTGAGAAAGGTACGCCTGCCAGGTCCCCTACACCTTCAAACCCCATTCCCATACTAGGAGCTTCGGAACCACCCGTCTGAGCATCTATTGCTACCGATCTCGACGACGCGTTCAATTTATCGATAGATTCTGCACATTGAGCTAGAAAATTCCAGCCAAATCCCAATGATGAGTAATATGTGCCCGATTTAATAAGTACAAAAACGAGGGAAAAGCCTATAGCTCGTATCGTATATATACAGGACCTTATAGGATATCTCTGGATGAATGACACATAACTTCATATATGAATGAACACGGATCCAGTTAGGTCTCATGATATTGCTGTTGACTTTCACTGCATTACGACCTGGTGCTATTATCGAATCACCAGCGTATCGCTCTTCGGGACAGGCTATGTTATACAAGGTATATAAAATCGTTACTAAATGTTGCTTTCTTCGCTAAGTTGTTTCGAAGGATCTGAAGCTTTCCCTGCAGCAAGATCCGGAGGGTGGTCGACCGTTCATGACCTTAAAGATTTCCTTCAATCTTAGGAAAACGAGCTAGATAATGATGAGATAAGTACGTTTTGCACGTTTCTATACATCTGCACTTTCACTCGGGACGGGCTACACGAACGCTACCAATGAAGAAGCTGAGACCAACGCGAAAGGAATTTCCTTTTTCATCTCCCATTGCGTTCCCCGGTTATTTGCTTCGTTCCTGGACTTCTTATTAGGTGAAAGTAGAGTAGATGGCGAGAACTTTGAAATACATTATCGCCGCAAGTGCGAGACAGATATCATTGCCTCAACATCGAGTTCTTGGGATCATCCGAGCCAGCACTCGATGATACCCAAGTCATACCAGGACTGCGTCAACATGTCCGTTGCCAGGCGTCGGCTAACCACGAGACACAACATTGTGCCGAAAGGCTTCTAGCGTCTTTATTTTATATAGAGTTAGATGGCCTTCCTAGATTCGATCGATCCGTGTTTGTATGTCGGGCTCGTATACTTTGCCGTCTTAACCCCTCTAGTAAGGGACTGAGAGTGCTTTCAGGCCGCTTACAGGAAAAGGGTTCTCGATTTCATCTTGATTTCCACCACGCAGTACTTGCTGTCGACTCGGATATTATCAACAATTGAAGCCGGAAAATCCTTCTCTAAGTTCACTGTCTTCAGAACAAGGCCATTGACAGATTCCGTAGATATGAAGGTCGATGGGATTGTTTCTAGGCATCTGAACGCAGCTCCTCCGGGTCACTCACGCGAAGATCGACATAAACATCCCACAAATCCTTGATCCGATCCGGAACCAAGCAACATAGAAGATCTTCTCCTACACATATCCTACGAGCCTCTGCACTACTGGCCCGGTAGTTGCAGAGGTCCAGACGATTTCCCTGAGCTCCAGCGTACATACACATCAAACATGGTCCTCTGTGAGTTTCATCGGAGCTACTTATAGGATGAAATTAGCCAAAAGCCTTACACACCTCGCTGTATAAAATGTACTTACAATTGTCCTGACTCATTTGCGAGCCCCCATTATTAGAAGCTGAATTCCCTCCTTCTCCCTCAGAATTTCATACAGCTTTCGTAATTGCTGGTGGAGGTAAGTCTTACATAACATATCGTATATTGGGGAAAGCCCGAGCGACCAAGATGGTAATTACAGCATACGGGCTACCAACATCTTCGAAGATAGAGTTCTCCTGTAGAGAGAAGTCAAGTGCTTCGAGGAGATGCTCCGGCTCTAGACTTGGGATCAAGCAACCATGAAATGTGATAGGTTTCCTACACCAAGGTCTGCTATAGCGTAGTTGAATCGGTAACAACAAAGCGAATATGGCGATGCGCGAGGTGTAAGAGCTACAAGCTCAGGGCGGCGGGAACGGAGGTAAGTCCATTCCTCGTCCTTGAATTACAAACGGATCCCGGTCAAACTATCCGCGAACGCGCTGGTGAATATGGATTTTTATTTGGTTTCTTTCTGATCCGATAGTTACGACTGGAAGAACGGAAACTTGATTTGTGGGGGAGTGGATCTGAAACGTAGAAACAGTAATTAGTGTATGTCAAAGTGTATGTCAACAAAAAGGAGAGATCCAAGCAAACTCCATTGTAACTCACATGCAATCTCACTCTTTCTCTTCTCATTCAATGCACAAAACGTAGTTTTTGATGTAATACGAGATCGAGTTATTATGGTGAAAGGGGAGATTGTGCGAGATTGACGGTGATATTGCGAATTGATTGGTGATTTTTGAATAGGTATTGGGTTTAGAGGTTGCTGGGTTTGCATGCTTGGATTCGGCTCTGTGTCTGGATTGGATGAATCGAATGAAGTTGGAGATGACGAAGGTGATCTTGCGCTGGGGCTTGGTGTGAGTAGGCCGGTATTGTCATAATTTTCGCTGGCCTCGCGACCTAGATTGAGAATAGTTTCAATGTCCACATATTCCGGTAAAGGTGGTATAGGCTTAGACTGTTCGACATGTATTTCATCCTCCCAGATGCGATATTCATTTCCAGATTTGTCGATGTGCTGAATCATATTGGGGTCGAAGGGGTCGTCGTCGTCTTGGAGCTGGCGGGTTTCGTCGTGATATTGAGTTTCTGTAGACATGGTTTTGCCGCTCTACATTGACTTCTTGATTTTGATTAAGGTGTCAATGAGAATTTGATTTATATAGTAATGATAAAATGTAATATAGTTGTAATGTGGTTATGGTGTGATTGTATAAGGGAGTCACATGATTTGACTGTCCCACCAAGTCCCATCAGTACAACTGAGAACGAAGGTCTATATATGCAGCATGCATTTCTTCAGTATATGGAGCTTCGTGATCAGGTTCAATTACTACTTGTTTACCTACCATTGCGATCGATTTCCTGTGTGCAAGTTATCAACAATACACCCACGATAATACTCATAGTCTCCGACTATTGGTATTCGCCGATCCCGACCACTTCCTTCCACGTGATTCAGAAGCCAAGCAACATATTTCCCCGCTTTCTCGAGTATCCTATTATTCGCTACCCCTTCTCTGTCTTTCCCGCCCCCCAATCCTCGGTTCCTCTGTCTACTCTTGGTTCCAAGTGCTTGGGAGGCCATTCGTCGCTTCAATCCTCCGGAACGCGAGATTAGCTAATCATGTCCACTATCCAGACCCAATCTCACGTTGTGGCTCGTTTAATTCCTCAAAATTTGTATGCGAGACAAGCACATGAAGAACTCCGGGAATCCGACGTTGTTCAAAAACACTACAAAACACTTTTACGTTGTCAAGTACCCGAAGGTGATAATGCTGCCATTCCCAGAGCGCCAACTCAACTCGATGATCCCGATATGTTGCATGACTTTGGGGATAATTGGAGATCCACCCTGATGACGATGACAATCCGTCCTTTGCACAGTCGCCTAGCTTTGAAGGTGGGTATGGAACCATTGAGTTAGATATTGATCATATAAATGCGAAGCAACTAGGATGGATGATAGGAGGGGGAGATAACGGAATCATCAACAACAAGCTTCACATGGATGTTCTGGTTGTCTCGTCGAAGTATCGAGTAAAAATGGGAGTTGCGAGCTTCCACGCTATCATCCACTTTCATATAGAATCGGGAGTTCTAATGCTTCGGGCGGCAAACAATCGAAACCTAATCATTTACTACCTGGATAATAAACCTATCAAATTATTTGCTGGAGAGAGGCACGTTCTGTTTCACAATGTAACCGATTTCAACTTGGCAAATTGGATTCTTGCTTCAACATGAGCATGAACGAGACGATATATCTTAACTGGGCATCTGTACGGAATGGACTTCTTGCTGCATATGGGCTTCGTAGGCCTAATGACAAGATTATTGCCGTTCCCTATAATGGAGATCCCGATCGGATGCGCCATCTCATTTTACACGAATTCCTTGGGGCGGGATCGCTTGGCTGGGTCAGGGCTTGCGTGGACCGTCGGACAGGAAATCTTTATGCTTTGAAACAGCTAGCATTAAAATTAATGCGAGATCGTGAGCAATGCGCGAGAGACGTTGATAAGATGCTCGAGTTTAAGATGGACACGCCTAGTTCTTTTGGTGTGCTTAGCGTGATAACTGACATTTATTTTAGGACTTTCCTGGAGTTTTGACTTTGCACGAATTTCTATGCGAGCATGGACGCAATACTTGTTGCAAAACTCCTGAGCTATTCTACTTAGCTTTACCTCTTGCAGCCTGTGGTGATTTAAGCAGGCAGAATTGGTCTGCATGCAATGATCACTACATTCATTGCATCCATGCTTCGCGGGCCTCTACAAGGACTCCAAGCTCTTCATAATCGAGGTTTCATTCACCGTGATATCACGATGAAAAACATCCTTACACGGTCAATGTCACCTCCTGATGCCATAATCGTTAATTTTGGGAAAACGATCAAAGCAACCAGAGCAAGCGAAACTAGAATTGGACCTACATATTCACTACCGCCAGAAGTTAACGGCAAAGACTACGATAACAAAATCGATATTTATAGCTTCGGAATCGCGTGCTTCAGAACCATTATCCCCATAGCAGATTTCAAGAGACTCGAACAGCCTTCGGATTTCGATAAATACTTCAGTGCTTTACAGAAATATGCAGAGCGTAGCAGAACTCATAGTATTTTTGCAGATCTTTTGCAAAGTTTGCTAAGCCCCGAGCCTACTGAACGACCAAGTGCATCTCAAGCTTTGCTGCATCCGTTTTTTGATCTGTGTAATGGTCCGCCGGAATCGGAACTGCGTCATCAAAACACCTCGGACAAGGGCAATATTCAGTGTAGTGGTAAACCTGGTAAAATTGCTAAGCTCAGTTCTAACGAAAGCACCTTAACTTCCACTTAATCCTAGCGATCATAATCGGGACTAAAGAGCAATATCCTTGTATAAATAAGCGATCGAGGTAAGGTCAAGGTAGGCAGCCTGTCGAATGCTAAGAATTCTGTCATCGCACGCTAAGCGAAATCACACCAAAATCAACGATTTTTTCAACTTTTTAAATCCTTATTATCTGTATGAAATATCGAGATAATTTAATAAAATGTATATCTCTATAAATGTAATTAATCAACTGAGTACAACGGACGAACTACCCGGAACGTGATCTTGTGCTCCGTTAAGCTAGCACTATTTCCGGAAGGTCGCTTACACCATGACGGTTGCCGTCTTCCAGTCCTTGGCTCCTAGTATTCAAAGGTATGGAACGGTTAAATACAGTCAACAGCTTAGGTTGTCTTTACAGAGATCAAGGTAAAATAGTCAAGGCTGGAAATATGTTCCAGCGAGCATTTAAAGGATATAAGAAATATGCTAGATTATTGAAGAAGCCAAAATAAGAGAACTGCGAGCGACAACAATGACGGATTGAGAAGGGGAAGCATCATAACAACTTGTTTCACCTCGCTATAGAGGTATTATCATAGAATATTGTTCAAACCATTGTATCCTAGCCTATCTGTTGCAATATCTGGGTAGGAAAGTTATATGCCCTCCAGTCCTCAAACGTATGATCTCTGGCAGAGCCTGTTCTGCGTCTAATTTTCGTCTTTACAAGCTCATCAAGGCTTGGTAGCTCACATAACGAGATATTGGCGAACACCATACAGCTTGACAACTTCGTCGACATTTGGTCCTAGAATTTGTTCCAAGATCTCCTTCTGCTTTTCACCCGGTCGCTCACTTGAAGAAAGTTCTTCCCTTCGCCGGGAAACACTGGGATAAATCTCAGGATCCTTCGGATTGTCTGAAACAGTATCATATAGACGTCCACTTTTAGATTTTTGAGGTCGAGATTATGATTCCATATATTGTTCCAGTACTTGGATATCCTCTGCAATAACAGGACTAATAATCATGGAAGATTTTGCATTAACAATGGTTCTTTCCTGTTGACTATATTCGGGACTTTGGGGGTCACATTGCTCGGCAACACTCTCTTCAATAGAATGGCGAGAATTGTTTCTAAGTCTCGGAGAAGCCAGGGGACTTGAGCCAGGTATTCTGGGACGTTTGTACGAACGCACTGATGATTTGTTTCTATATTAAGCGTGCCATTTGTGGTTGGAGTGCTGCGTTTGCTGTTCCTGGGAGCTTCTGACCTAGTACAATCTACATCTTGATCCTGACAAATACGGTATGGTCCATTCGATAAGTCTGCTTCACATCTCAACTTACGCTTTCGGCATCGATCGTACGCTGGGATTTTGTGGGACCGATATGGTCGGGATCCATTTACTGAAGAGAGAGAATCCATTGGTTGATTAGTATTTCTGTGGAAATTGCTCCTGTACGAACATAAGCAAATACACAATGCTGTTAATAGTAAACGTTGTACATGTGCAAAGTAAAGATATCTTGCAAGACTTCAAAAGGCGGAAGCCAGTTAGTGAAGTCTTCCGAATTATCACTCGGAATAATTTCGAATGTTGCTTGGCTTGCACCGTGTATCTCATCTGTGGCTTCACATCATCAAGCAATTCTACATCATTCGAAATAGTTTGTGCATTCACCATATATAAAAAATGCTGGAGCAAACAGGATGACTTGGAAAAGGAATTGATTAATGAGTCTAGTTAAGTTAAGCATTTATGTTTAGCTAATCTGCATTGTATTCGGAGTGGTTCCCAAAGCCTCCTCAAAGATTCGAATTCCAGCCATCAACTCTTCGTCCGTAATAGTGAGAGGAGGAGCTACGAAATACACCTCCAAACGACTTCATAGTAGATAGATTCGCAGATAAACCGAGCTCACTCATTCTTGCCGTTAACGCTTCCCCAAATTCGGACGCTGGCTCCTTAGTGTTTCGATCCTTCACAATTTCTACTCCTGCCATTAAGCCCCTACCGCGAACATCTCCAATACCACCATAATTTTCCTGCAAGCTTTTCAACTCAGCTATCAGCTTCAAGCCTGTGACGCGAGAGCGTTCGACAAGATTATCTCTAACTACAATATTCAGAACTTTGGCACCCACAGCAGCAGGTAAGGGGTCATTTACATGGGTAGTGTAGAAAAGATATCCACGGGCGAAGCAAGTTTCTTCAATCTCTGCCAAGGTAACAAGCGCAGCAAGTGGAAGTCCATTGCCTAATGTCTTGCTGAGAGTTAGGATATCGGGTGTGCACTCATCGTGCTCGATTCCAAAAATCGAGCCGCATCTCCCAATTCCTGTTTGTGCTTCATCAACGATGAGAAGCATGCCGCGTTTCTCGCAATGTTTCTTCATGGCTCTCATATAACCTTCTGGTAAAACATGCATACCACCGGGACTGAGGATAGACTCGAGAATAATTGCAGCCAATGAGCCTGTCCATTGTTGGTCAATCAAATTCCACCCATAATTCAATTCCGTTTCCCAATCGTATGAGCCATCTGAAAGGCGGAATATGGAACGGTATACATTTGGAGATGGTAGAATAAGATTTCCTGGCATCTTTTTGCAGTTAGTACTGATATTCTATGCAACTTTGAATATGGAGGCTTTAATCTTCCAAGATAACAAACGAATGGATTCGATTTTTTCGGAATGCAGCAGAAGATGAAAGGCTCTGATTGTGAGGAGCATGGAAAATATACACAAGGACCATAACCCGTTCTCCCGGAGTGGTAGGTTGACCCACCCTCGTTTCCAGTCATTCCATGCCAACCCGCTCCCAATCCAACAATTTCATACTTCCTAGTATACAATTTGGCCATCTTAATCGCTGCTTCATTTGATTCCGCTCCAGTGTTGAGAAACATAGCACGATCAAGTCCAGGCGGTGTCACAGATGTCAATTTCTGTGCGAGTTCTACCACAGGTGGACTTAACATGCCACTGAACAAATGATTCAATTTTGCAGCATGAGCAGTGATTATCTCGACTATCTCGGGATTTCCATGACCAACGAGACAGCTCATCTGCCCAGAATTAAAGCCGAGGATCTTCCTGCCATCGGCGGTGTAGATGTAGATGCCTTCTGCTCTTGTAATTATATCGGACGAGAAATTTCCTCCATATCGTATAAGAGATGAATTTGCAGCTTTTCTCATGGCTTTCCCGTCAATATTCTGGTAAAGAGGTCCATGATTCAAATTTGAATCAAGCTGGAATGGTTCTTGAAGCGGCATCATGATGGTACTTTTTGGCAAGTGAGAATATGGGAGGTGAAATTTGAGTGTTGGGTCTGAAATGATGTCTGGAACTATCGCACTTGTATAGTTGTCATTTGAAGCAGACAAGCTGTGTCTTATATAGTAAATCCATCATCACTTATTTCCCTCCAACTCACTACTAATCTCCTCAATTCTCGTTTCATATTTGCTGATTTCATGATATCTCGGAAAACATGATGCGGGGCACGGAAAACATGGCTCCACATTCGATGAGATTTCCCTTGTGGGGCAGTCGGGAAACTTTATGGTTCCCGTTCGGCCACACGGTTTATGCAGACGTTATATAAGATACAGCAGAAATTTGTGATCTTATGATTTTGACGATGATTCGTCCTATCTTGTTTTAGCCAAGTCTTCTTCTTAAAGAGTGACGGACAATGGCTAACTTAACGCTCCCGCCGAGATATCGCACCCTTGAATAAAGCTTGAGACTCCAAAGCGACTCTATCAATACCCTCGATATCAATTTCATACACTAATGAGGCTTGGCTACGAGCTCCCTAGCGTTTAACTACAGTGATAGTCAAGTCCCTTATCCATGATTACAGTCATGTGGTCATCGCCCTAATTTTATCCCTCGATATCACATGCTTGCCTGCAGTATCATACAGGTCAGGTCTATGGATTGATGTCTTGAAGATACAGTCTGGAAGAGGATACTCTCTATTTACTTCCTGTCCGCCAGGAAGAGATCTCCATAGTGGCTGTCCTATTAGGATTCATTAAGATATGCGGAATTTTTCGCACATTCGTTTCTTTCATGCATCTAAGAGATTGGATTTGAGAGCTGATCGACTACTTGCTAATCATCTTCTTTTAATTTTAACCGAATAACTAATTCCCACTTCTCCGCCATATCCTCTCAATATCAACCTTCCATCTAATGGAAATACTTATAAACCCCAGAAATATGCTTCCACGCCGCCTCCAATGCCTCCACCACCTCATCCGGCAATGTTCCCTTCTCCAAATCCACCAAATTCTGCTCTAACTGCTCTGGACTGCTAGCCCCCACAATTACCGCATCGCCTAACTCATTCTTCATAACCGAATGATGTATCATCCATCTCAATCCACATTCTGCCTCTGTGAGCCCATATTTCTTACACACAGGTCTAAGGATATCTTCTAAAGCGTAGAAATTTCGCTCATTAATGTAACGACCGTGATGCAATTTTCCTTGAAATTTGGCGGGATCGAAACGTGAGTTGGCTTCATATTCGGTTTGATCGCGATGATATTTAGAAGTTAGGAACCCTCCAGCTAGAGGTTGGAATGCGTAGAGGGCAATTCCGTAGTGACGGAGACAGGGAATAAGTTCAGCTTCAATGGATCGATTGAATGCGTTGTACAGGCCTTGATAGACGGATGGTTTGATCCAGCCGTTTTTCTCGGCAATATCACACATTCTGGCTACTTCCCAGGATGCATAATTGGAGATACCGAAACGGTCGAATTTTCCCTCTTGATGGAGCTTGTTAACCTCGCTGAGGGTTTCTTCAAATGGTGTATTGCGGTCTGGGCCGTGGAGGTAAAACATCTCAATTCGATCGGCTTTGAGCGCTTTCATACTGGCTTCGAAACCGCGACGGATATCGGCGGCGGTATGGGAGTATTCTTCTCTGCTGAGTGCTGTCATGCCTCTTCCCTTGGTGGGATAGAGCTTGGTTTGCATGATGAGACCACGAGATTGCCAGCCAATTTCTGCAAGTCTTTCTTCGGTTGAACCGCCGCCGTAGGCCCGGGCAGAGTCGACCTCTGAATGTCCATGTTTTTGGAATACATCGAGGATCTTTTGAGCACCTTCAACGGTTGTGATACGAATGGTTTCGCCTGGAAATTGTGAGCCCGAGTTTACAAAGTTAAATGAGGTAGATATATACCTGGTCTACCAATGGTCATGGAACCGAAGACAACCTTCATTGTAGTTTTTGGAGTAGCCATATTGATCAGTAGTAAAAGTTAATTTTTGCTGGGGTGGAAGAGCTCGAGATAGATATCTGTTTTCTTTAAACTTGTTTGGTGATGAAGACGAATATGTCATAAAGCGTCCAAACGAAGATGATATAGTAACTTCTCGGCGGAGTTTACGGTCGTAGCAGCCGCTAATCCCAAAGCCAATGTATTATTTTGGGCGAACGATCTGGCTGTGAGAGGGGCATAGAACTCCCCAGGCACTTCGTATAAGCGAGAAGGCAGGCCAGCCTAGGGAGGCTGTAGGTATCATCATCGAGTAACGCAACATGAAAAAATCTGAACGTCCTTTAAACTCCGTCAAAACGCCGAGTGTTAAAACCGGAATCGGCAATAAATACCTCTTTTCAAAGTCTTTCGATTCTGGCTGCGAAGAAAAGTGGAAAAATGTGAGTTGTGGTTTTGACATTTCGGCCGAAATAAACTGGCAGTGGCTGGTGCATGTGGCTTATAGCTCGGATTTAACAACGAAAAGCGAAATGGCCTACCTACATAGTTTTATGCATATTGGAGAGATCTGCCGGCATTCAATATCAGCTATCGATGCACAATAGTTCGGCGCTACGTCACATTTAAAACGTTCTGGCAATAGAGGTGTTACCTCTTTCTACTCTCAGAATTCGATGTGAAATTTTCTGGAATGCGACAGGTGCGCAACGACGCACAGAGTTGGTCTTAAACTATCAATATTTGCGACATTCGCTTGCTCAGCTGGTGAGTATATACGAAATGTTCTTACTCTAGGTTTACCAACTCAGAGGTCTTCAATTTGAGCGCTTTTGTTTCGCAAAAACACATTGAGAATTTGAAAAATCCCCTCGAAAGCGTTATGGCAGAGGCTATTACTCACAAAGGATGATGGGCAACTCCACAGCTTCTCATACCATCGAAATTTATATTCCCGAGTCTAAATGGGATTACAGCACGTAACTTCGGGAAACAGCATTTATTTGCTCTGTTTTGAACTTTGACATCGATGAATAGCAATTAAATTTTTAGATATTTTTTGAAGGGATTCGAATGATAGTCCTACGCGGTATGTTTTAGGACGGAAAGATACCTACCTATACCTCAAGACCATGTTATTGATTTTCCGTCGGATACCTTTAACATCGATACAGCCTCAAAATATCTTTACACTCTCTTATACAACTATTGTTCCATCCCAACCAAGTACCCCAGATCATTAGTTACAAGTATTTTTATACTGGACTAAAAAATCCAGTCACTCAATTCTGGTATAATAAAGACTCTAATATATTGAAATTATATAATTTATATAATAAACCCAAACTTTACCTTTAAGAAATCAGTCTTCTTTTTTTTAATTTTAATATTAGTATCCTAAAAATGTGTCCAATAATATCTATAATGAAAATGATAAAACCTTAGTAAATATCCAGGATTCTAGTTTCTAGTAAAAATATCGGCTATAGGGGTTATAGCTCTCGCTTAAAACTCTGTCAGCAAATTTTCCCCCCTGACCACACTGTGACATACAGCATACCCACATTTAACAATCTCATCTCCATACAACAGCCAGCGAAACAACACCTAGCACAATATAGCGTCTAACCTAACTCCACAGATATCGCTTAAATCTCTGTATCAACTTTGTCCCGCAAATTTGAATAGAATATAATCTCACACGACCACTACGACTCATCGAACATAATAGATTATCCGGCATGGTGTAGTGGCTAGCATTTCCGCCTCTCATTTGAAGCTTCTGAAGCTTGAATCAAGTCGCGGGAGACCGGGGTTCAATTCCCCGTACCGGAAAAATATTCTTTTCTTTTTTTGAAGTTTCGGAGTCGTCTCGGCTCCATATGAGCTGGACTTTTACTACCGTATACTTAGTACATGATGATGGATGACATGTTTTACAAGAATAGATAGAGTATGTGTCACAGGATTCGTTTTTATACCTGAACTTGAAACCAGAGAATTGGCGTCAGGATATCCATGTGGAATCGGGTTGACGCATCTTGCACTACATATTCGACTGGAAAATGGCCCGAAAGACATTCATCTTTTCCTCATAGAAGCCCGGAATATACTCAACTATTGGCATCAGTGAGAGTATTGTCGCTCATCTCACTCAAAAAATACAACAAAAACGGTAATTTCTGAAAGTAAGAAAAGCCAGCGATCATCGTAAACGATAACGACGACACATACCAAGGGCCTTGCAAGAAATAACTTCCTCACTGGATATCACATGAAAGTCCAGTGTTTTCCCAAACTTCACGTCTTCTTTTCTTTAAATGGAGCTCTAACTCACGTACTTGGTTGTAACAGAGCGAAATAACTGTAGTAGGGTAGATAGTATCGATGTTTGGAAGTCTGAACTTGATATATCTCCACATTCGATACAAGTTCTACATAGGAAACATAACAGATCTTAGTAGGGCATTGCGATGACATATGTATCCAATATGCACGGCCTACATCGACCATCGATGTTAAGCTCAAGATTCAGGAAACCGCCTAACTTCTACTATGGAGGACAGAAACTCATACCAGTTTATAAACCTCCTGTCCCAAACCATAACGTAGGGGAAAAGACAATGCGAAGGCCGAGTAAGTATAGTGAAGGATAGCTGTAGTCCAGGATCTAATAGCTGAAGCTGATGTCTAAATATCACGATTCAAAGAAAAACTATTAGTATCTCGGGCAAGTATATAAATAGCACTTTACCCTATGATACACAGTAGATTGTCTCCCAAAGACATACACACACAAACATGAGATTATTCTCAGCCCCTCTTTCCACCTCTCATCACACAATTGAGGACATCCTTCCCCAGAATATAACAGTGCAGATCAACCAACTACCTATTATACTTGAGCTTAACATCGTATATCCTACCCACTACCCATAACACCCACGAATCTTCAAACCTCCAAACCCCAAACCTCAAAATCTACATGCTGCAGCTAAGTATACGAACGAAGCAAACTAATGACCTCACGATACATTTCCCATCACATCACCTTTTCTTTCCCAAAAGCAAAACTTACTAATTAACTTACTATCAAAAGCAATAAAATAATAATTTCACATTGAGTCCCCTACCCTACATTCCGGCCACTTTCCTCACTAAAAATGACAAAAATCAATATTTATAACTTTCTTATTTATGAATATAATTTTTTGAAATCTTGAATATAGATTTGTTATTTATATAATAGTAAATCTTGAACATTTTAGATTTTTCACAATTTTATTGGTTGAGATATAGAAATTTGGAACAATGATTTTATTTGTATATAAATCATATATAAATTCTATATAAAATAAAATCACTACTTCAACTTTCAATATCTCAATCAATAAAATCACGAAAAATCTGAAATTCTTTGAATCTATTTATATCTATCTAAATTATTCATGATTAAAATTTCAATCGATTTTATTTATTTTTTGTAAAGTTATTAATAAATGAAAATCGTGGTTTTTGGTGTAAAAGAGTGGCCGGAATGTGGGGTAGGGGACTTATGAAACACCTACCATTACCATTACCATAGCTATCATCATCATAATTATCACCATCAGTCATCCCAAGAAATATCCACACATAGCAAGTCCTACTGTGAGAAAGTTAGGATTATAAGCCAAATACATAGAGGTTTCTAACCAGTCAATCACATGACCTCCTGTAGTTAGATATAAAAGAAGAGCTTTTGCCTCTTCTTTCCACAATAATCAACCTTCTACATATATACATTTGAACCCATATAGCATCAACCCCAAAACCATTGTGAACCCCGTTTCCTCCATAAGTGACGTATTATGATGTGATCTAATTCAGCTTTCTCTTCCAATTCCCTCCTCACAGCGTGCTATCGGGACGCACGTATCTCGACCTACCACTTTTACACTACCTACATGCCCGCTACATACATCTGAGCACAAATACATCACATCACATTAATTTACCATCATATGCACAACCAACCGACATGTATCAAAAAGAGATAAAGTGAACAAAGAGCTTTCTGCATTTTGAACTACTATCAGCTATACTCATTCACCGAACATCTAATCCATTTTCCTAAACCAAAAGGCTAAAGCACATTCCTTCGATATCACCTCATCACCCCATCCCATCCCATCCCAGCCCAAAGGAAAATCCCCACACCAAATAACACTCATAAGAAAAGCCTATGAGGGTGATCAAACAAGGCTCCACCATTAATACAAATGCCCTATTCCTTTCCTTCACCCTCAACTTCTATTGGCGATCCTATTCCTCCAAGCGTTAAGATAAAGGCAAAAGTTAATTTTTTGAATTTAATCAGGATATCATATATTCGCCAACCATCCACCGCCGACCAAGTCTTCTAAATGTGTGTCATAATGTCTTTATCCAAATTCAACGGTGGTTCCAAGTCCTCCCAATCTCCTCCACGGAGAGCCCTACATTTCATATATGTAAAGGAGTTTTTCCATTTCCACCTAACCAGAAAAAGGAAAATGAGTAAATTTGAACAAAGGTTTGTGTTATGGCTTGAGAGAAGAACAAAATAGCCAAACGTTGTAATTGCAAATACAAGCTTTTGCTCGCGATGAAAGGTGGTTTCGCTTGCTGCAAATGTTAACATATGATGCGATCGAAAAAAAGCGCTCATGATACAAAAATTCTTGCTTCCCTTGGCTTTGCACACCATATATCCAGCTATGTGCATCAATCTATGACGAGTCCCGAAACCAAAGAACAAAAAAATACTACAAAGTAGAGGTAATGTAATGGCTTCATGTGCTTTATCCAAGGTAACAAATATATGCGACCAGCAAGTGAGGCCATTCCTTGCCACATTTCGCCATAGAACGCCAGGGTGAGTCAAATCATTGCTCCAATGCAACATTGTAGCGCCAACATCATGTTTGAATTCGTCATTCGTTCATGATCTAACTTTGTGAAGATCATGATAGTGCCTTCTGGGCCTTTTCCTGCGCTCGGGCGTTGCGTGCAGATCGTACCAAGGGTGCTAATTGTATGAGTTCTGTGCATTGTTTCATGAAATCGTGCTACAAAAGATATTTATTAGCCTCGGTTGATCTTGGATAGCGTGAAGGAATAAACTTACTCTTAATAAATCATGAGCACTAGCTCGCTTCTCTGGGTCGACCTTGAGCGCAAAGTAGAGGAAATCTCGGAAGACAGCACTCAAATCCTGTTCATTCTTGATAGCAGGAGTGCCATTCGTTGCGATCAGGTATAGAGCTCTCAGGGGCGATTCAGTGAGGTAGGGCGGCTCCCCTTCAATCATTTCAATGGCCATGATACCAAGAGACCAAATATCAACCTTGCGCCCATATTCTTTGCGCGTCACAACCTCAGGTGCCATCCAGTAAGGTGTACCAACCATGGTAGTACGTTTGTTATGAGCTTCGTTAATTTGGGCGCAGAAGCCGAAATCAGCTGCAAAAGACATTAGGGTTGGGATCACAAATGTCGGAGGGTAGAAAACTTACTCAGTTTGATGTTTCCATCCATTGACAACAGGATATTATCCGACTTGATATCACGATGAATGACTCCCTTGGAATGTAAATGTTGTAAACCCTTCAAAGTCTCCCGGCAAACAGCTGCAATTTGACCCTCAGACATGATATTGAAAGTAACAACATCCGTCAAACTTCCACCCTCCATATATTCCATAATAACCCAGAGTTCCCCAGTAACTAAGAAACTATCAATAAAGTTGACTATATTCGGGTGGGAACTGTCTTTCATGACAAGAATTTCATTAATGATTAAATCTTTCTTTGGCTGTTGTTCGAGATTCATTTGTTTAATGGCCACCAATCGGTTTGTCCCTCTCTCATAACCAGTATAGACACCACCTGATGCACCTTGACCAATCTTAGTGAGCTCCTTGTAAATTTCTCGAGGATCACCCTCTGTGCAGATTTGCTTCAACCTTGCAACTATATCAAAACCGGTGCTTTGTCGCGTTCTTTGTCTGGGGCGCGGGCCTGGTACTTGTCTAGGTTGTTGGGCCGGGTTTGGAATACCATTCGCCGAAAATTGACCTTGAGGTGTTGGTGGAGTAGGTTGTTGAGTGGGCTTCTTAACGCTGATCGACCGACTCATTGCCTGTTGAGCCTGCTGCATCGCTTGCTCCTGGTGATGCAAAATTTGTTGTTGATAGACTTGTGGAGATGTTGGCACTGAAGTTGCATATGGCGATGTGCCATTGACTTTTGAATTCGATCTTGACCTTGACCTGTGTTCCTCTGGGAGCATAGGACCATTGTCCTGCACAGTCGGAGGGACGTATGCCAATGCCGGTAAATCATCACTCTGACGAGTCATCCCAATCCCAGAATCTTTGCCAGCGGCAGATGGTGGGGGTGCAATTCGAGACGGTCCTTGCATCGATACGGGTGGCCTAGGGGCTGGTCTGTTGGGTATGATTCCGTTGAGCTCAGGCTTGGATTGAGAACCTATACTTGGTGTTCCGCGCGGGATCGGCGGCGGTGATCTTGGATTCTCGAAATTCGACTCGTTATTTGCAGGGAATCGAGGACTCGCTGGAGGACTCATCATCGGGGTAATTGAGCCATAATTTGAGGTGCTGAAGCCCGGAGACAATGGCAATGGCGGCGGCACAGGGCGCGCCATCGCAATCTCTGGCACTTTTGCATGATCGAATTTGTCAAATATCTCCTCGCCACCTTTATCCGTATTCTCCTTGTAAAAACCCACGATATCGACAATTGTTTGCGGATGTTGCTCTTGTTCCTTTTTCGTGATTCCACTTTCGTTGATCATACGCTGCCATTCCTTTGGCAGCCCCTATGAATCGGTCAGATATGCAATAGATCTGAAGCGGGGCAATTCGTCACTCGAGATACTTACAGTGAACTGTCCCGTTGTATTATCGTACCCAACATGAGTAACGTGTACAGGATTCTCAGGTGCCGAAATTTTGACTCCTCTTGGCGAGCCAACACCGATACTGCTCATAAAACCAGAGAAACCTGACTTCTTTCTTAGCATTCCAGTTTTTGGTTCCTTGGTTTCGTCAGAGTATCTTTTCGGGCTGATGAGCTGGTTCTCGCCCACACGTGGAGGGGCTTTTTCGTTCATCTTATCGCCTGCGGTAAAACTTGCAGATTGCCGTAACTGTGGGCTCACAGTATATGCCGGACTCGTATGCGATAACGTCGGCGGTGGTGGTCGTCGTAAAGTATTTTGAGCACTAGAAGACTTTGCCGAATCGATGTGACTAAATATACCAGAACTATCAAAGGGAGCACCGATAAACTCTTCAGAACTTTTCTCACTTATTGGTCGCGATGGAATGGAACGTCGATTATCATTCGCTCCTCCCATGCCCATGGGCTGAAGCACGAATTCTGAACCGGCCAATACTGGAGAGGGATGCGAATACTGATGCTCGAGAGACGAATTACTGGATGCGGGATTTGGTGAGGTGAGTTTTCGGGTATGACCTTGGGGGTTGTAGTAAGATCTGGGGTAAGAAGGTGCCGACGGGGCTCGCTGTAAGCTTCCAGAGCTTCGCTGACTTCGTAAAGATGTATGAAAGGGGAAAGATGAATTATCTTTTTGTCTTGCCTCGAATGAAGCTATAGCTTTGGATGGTGGTGGCCTTTTAGTTAACTTAGTTAACCTACGGCTGGTTGTTTTGATTTCTTGATCCATATCTTCGGTCACTGCTCAGACCTTCGTTTGAACTTTGGAGGGTCCGCCGCTTTGAGTGGAGGATGTGTTTCGTAAATTGCCGTGGCCTTTAAACCAATCAAAAATGAAATCTGCATGCAATATCAAATTGGTACAGGGTAACGAGTGATGGGGGTTCACAAGTCTGTGTCTTGGTGTGAATAAATCGGTACAGTAGTACAAAGCCAGTGAGTAGCCAGTGAGCCAGCCAATCTTCAGCGAAGGGGAAGAGTTGCTTGTTATTTGGTAGCGGGCGGAAATTCCGAGAGAATCTGTATGGGATTGAGTACCTAGTTGAACAGTGCAGTAACACTATGTGCTTGTCGATGAAATTGGCGGCCAAGATAGCTTGTAATTGAATGGTGGTGAATTAATTTAGAAACCGTTTTGTTTTTTTTGTTTTCTCTTTTTTTTTTTGCTTCGTTGTTTAGTTTGTTGTGATGATCGGGAAGCAATAATGAAGGGAGATGTGCTAGAGAAGAGGGGATAGGAGGGGTTTGGGATGAGTATAGAGTATAGATAGATTGGATATGACAAGTAATGAATGTTACTGTATGTATGGATGGATGTATGGATGGATGTATGGATGGATGTATGGATGTATGTATAGATGTATGGATGTATGGATGTATGGATGTACTCGTATGTTGTATAGATATGAAATGATGGTAATTCCTCGAATCAATGAATTACTTTTATTCTCTCCAAAAGGGTAACTGTCGATGCACATCTCTTCTCCAACTCTCAAGATTTTTATTCTCCGTTATTGCACCCCCAAGGGCCAGTAAATGATAAGGTAGGTGGCTCGATGGTGGTGTGCCAATGTATGGCAGGCAGGGCTTTCTTTCAACAATTCCAAAGTAGACAGATTGATTCCCTGATTATATTCCCTGCCCGATTATGAAGACTTTGGATTTTGGGTTCGGAAAGACTTTCGATATTCTCCACTGCCTGACCCTTTCGCTGTCAGTTTAACCGATTTGACTGGGAAGAGAGATAAAGACTGGGCCATAAGTTGAGGTGCAATCGTGATGAATCTTGAAAAGGAATGATCAAAGAATTCTAGAAGTTAAAATTACCAGGTATGGGAAGAAGTAATATAAAATGTTGGGTAATTTGAGTCAAACTTTTAATGAAGGGAAAGGAAAGGAAAGGAAAGGAAAGGAAAGATTGATGATGGGTTAAAATAAAATATAGGAACGTTCTTTGGGGCCGAAAAGAGACAGGAAGGAGTGGTGGGAGAATATCAATCAATGACATCTATCAGCCAACACGAGAATGCGAATCTAATCCTGGAGATGATAACAAGAGGGGGAGGATGAAAAGACGTTGGCAAAGACTTTTATATTGCAATTCCGGCAACTTAACTTTCACCATATTTGATGATTATGATTACCTACCTACCGTATTTGTACCTGGCTCGCCGGGATTCGTCTCTCCCCTCATGCCACAGTAGGTACTATAAAATGCCTACTTGCCGCTGAGCTGCTGCTCCATTTTCCTACAGTATTTCAAACAAGCCTCATTACCACAACATGTACATTACATGACACTAATGTACATCGACAGCATGTATTTAGTAGGGAAGCATCACACCTAGTCAGGTCTTTTAATTTGTATTCTAAAGTATTCGTGAGTCCATTCAAGCCATGCTACCTTGTCAAATTGCGATACAAACTCTGCAGCCCATTTTCTTACTGGCATATACATATTGATGTTGCATGTATATGCCTAGCTAGTATCCAATTATCGCTCAACAAAACATGTTCGTGCCATTTCCCAGGCCATTCTAAATTTCCTTCAAAGACTCCGAATGGCTTCGTACAGTAAGATATCCACTCTTCGAGGAGTCTCCCTTTACCTGTTTGCCTGGCTGCCTGCTATTCATTTGGAACTTCTCTCGTTTGTTGAATCAGAATGCATTCGTTGATCAGAGCTTTTAATGCGGTATATTTTATGTGTATGTAATTAGATCACAGTATTCTCTTTCGTCGCTTGCATTTCGTACCTAACAAAGGAAATAACCCACCACCACCCGTTTGTTCGGACCAAAAATTCTATCATCAACCCCCATACACCTCCATGGGTAGTGTACGTAACTGATAATAATTCATAAACTACCTGGGATTGAATTGTTGAAAACGTTGGTGCATTTGAAATAACACCCCATGGCTTCCATGCTTCCGGCTTCTAGATTTCTCGTTTCTTTGCAGATCATCATATTCTTTCCCCCACCTTTAACGATAGTATTAATATTATTATATAGGACTACGGAGGAGTAAGGTTAATAACGAAGTACCTAGTAACCTTACGAACTTCACAAATACCACGGGAAAAGTATGAAGCTGTATCCCTGATTCCGAGAGCAAGGATCAATCAATCATCACAGCCAATTCTACCTCCCTATCCTTAAGCTCATAATTACTCATACTCGAGTAGATTCAAATTTGAAATAGTCACCATGTGGTACTAACAATCTATAGCAGCCAAGTTGGTTTATCAATCTTCGGGATCTTTTTCGCTTCGACCTAAGGAGATATCCTCAGCCGTTGTATGTGATTGCGCTGGTACAGCATACTATCACTTTTTTCACAGCCAGCCCGAATCATTCTCAACCTCTAATTGCAACCTTTGACTAAGTATCAATACAAATCGTTCTCTTATCCCCGAAATCTCAAACGACATAGCTTCATATAAGGTAGTGAGGTTATACCTCTGGTTGCCGAAGAAACCACCGCCTGCTCCGTAACTTCAAAATAGACAAAGGGAGAGCACCGTTACAACATTGTACGGTACTTACTGATGATATACAACAGTGCAGCGGACCTCTTGTACTTTTCTGTATAGAGTGGTGACATGTTACATAGAGCAGGTGGGTGGGCTGACTCCGAAAGACTTTAAGACACTACATATGCTACACAACAGGAGGGGTGATCCTCAATCGAAATTCGAACTGGACTCGAAGTGTATGTCCATTCGACTATGTTACAAGCCATGGAAAGTAATCAAAAGCTCAGGACCCTCTCATCAAGAAAAGAAAGAAGCCCATAGCCACTTGGCACAGGAATTCATCATGAAGCTCTTGTCTTGGCAGTTATCTTCAAGTCTAAGGGTGCCTTACTTTTCCATACAAATGTCATGTAAGTGCATGTATGTATACCCAAGTGTTCTCTCCATGATGAAGCCACTCCAGCTCTACCTTCTCAAAAGCGTCAGGTGCATCATCATCGACCTTCCAAGTATTGTCTGATTAAGTCTCACACATTAATTGTGTACGGAGAGACACTTTGAATGTGGATATACCCCTCATTTCAACGAATTTTGGAAACGAATAAAGACAATTGGATTGAATGGAAGCCAGTAGTAGGTCACGATTATGTACTTGATATGGTCAACAGCAACGGACTGGGTGCAGTATCAAAGTTCCGGTACGCAAGCTTTGATTATTTGGTGAGGATTTGAAGGTTCTTTGTGATTATTGTGCTTTAGTTCGCTTGTGATTCAGGGACAAAAGACTCTCATCTAATCACTAAGTTTTCTATTATAGCCCCTAACCTTATTCAAGTCGCTACTTTGGAACCATTGAATCTTATAGTCATTTTGACAGCACCCGCATTGGATACTCTCTATGATCCCCGGATTTTTAAATAACTCGAGTCTCTAGGACGGGTCACGGGACGCCAAGAGGCTTTAGCTAAATCGGGGTTTCGCTTACTCAGTTCTTTTTATCGTCCAAGCTTCTGATTAAGTGTTCACACCTGGAAAGCTCAAGAAAGTTCCATAATTACGTCCCACCCACAGTATAACTTTAAGTTCTGGACAGCTTTAACGTCGTTGCACACAACAATTTATAAGAGAAAAGCAGTTGTACTTACAGAGCCTATTCAATTAAGAAGAGCTCTGCATTGCACCAATTTCTAAACCTCCATACATTGTTTCTGCATCGCCCCTTATGCCAGTCTTCTAGACCCTGGAGCTCATTCTCCCATAATTTTGTCTGCGTGGCCATACTTGTCCTTATCTTCCCGGTTCAATTGATCTGCGTTCGCCCTGTCCCCAATCACTCAGCAATTCTTCAATTCCTCAGGTATGTTATTCTATTCTCTATTCATTTATTATTTTAGTGAAGAGCAAGCAGTCCATTACACCATATTCTAATGCGACGGCGTGCCGTAGAATTCCTAGCCGATTTTAACCTCAACCTTGTCATTCTACAATCGTTATATTCACCATCCCTACTATGTCTGCTGTCGATACTGCCGTGCCAAATGGCCACTCCGAAGCCAATGGCAATGGCCCTGAATTGAGCCAGGCTCAAAAGCTTATGCAAAAGCATGACCAAGAACACCAGCCCACCATTGAGGATATTCCCGATGAAGAAGACTTGAAACATGGTGAACAACCTTCCTCTGCTAGCATCCTCGAGGATGCCAATGGTGATTCCGCTGCTCCGGGATGGGTTCCCCCTATGTCTACAAAAGCTGCAGGAAAACAGAAGGAGGATGTCCGCAAGGAACCGTCAATCGATACACAATCCCACGAGTTATTTCCAGCTCTCGGAGCCACTTCCCAGCCCAAGCCTCAAGCTCAAGGGATCTGGGGCGGCGGAAAAGCCTCAGCCAATGCCAATGGAACTCCGGCAAATGGTGCATCCCCAGCTTCTACTACCAACTCAGGCGCCGCAACTCCAATGTCTTCAGTCAACCGACCAAAGGTCACTCAGCCAGGCCAACAGCCCCATGAGAGAATCGAGTTAGCCCAAGATCAAATTCTCAAGCGGGGAGAGTTGAAGAAACCTTTGCCTGAAATTTTGAGAGAGATCAACAAAAAGTATAGGTCTAATATCACTCAATCAACTGGTATGGGAGGGAAGATGACTTTCACGGCGTATGGTCCTCCGTCAGCTGCTCGAACTGGTATTAAGGCCTTGATGGAACAAATTGGTGCCAAGGTAAGTTAAATTCCACTTCTTTTTACCATTCTCTAACAATCATTAGCAAGAAATTCGTGTATCCATCCCCAGCAAAGCACGAGCCTTTATCATCGGGAAACAAGGTTTAAAGATCAAGGAATTGCAAGAAGCTACCGGTGCTAGAATTCAAATTCCCAAGGATGATAAGGCTAGCGCTGCCGACGATGACGAAGATGCTACAGTAGATGTCACAGTCGTGGGCAATGCTGTTGCTGTCGCAGAAGCTAAGAAGGCAATCGAGAAAATTGTGGGAGAAAAAGTAGGCACAACCAAGACAAAATTGCGTGGTATTCCATCCGAATTCTACACCTTCCTTGCTGGTCCTCATAACACTCATGCCAACTCCTTGAGAAACACTCACAACTTGTCCGAGTTGGAAATCCCGTATAACTACACCTTGCCAAGCACTGCTCGCGATCGTGAAGGTCCACTTTTCGTTCCAGCAGCAGCCGATAACTGTATCACTCTCAATGGTGAACGTGCTGCCGTCCTAGCAGCACGCGCTGAAATTGAACGTCGGGCCAAGCAGTTGCACGAGGAGCTAACCCGTCAAGAACTGCAAGGAATAAACAAGGGCCGTCATCAATTTATTCTTGGTGATCAAGGTAACCCAGGGCAGGACTTTTTTGCCAAAACTGGATGTGCCATATTTTTACCAAGCGAAGCTGATGAAGACGATGCTATTACAATTGTTGGCCCTTCAGAGAAGATCAAGGATGCTGTGCGGGAAGCCAGAAAGCAAGCAATGGCTACGCAAACTGTCAACATTGACATCCATAAACAACTCAAAAAGTCATCGGGAAACACTAGTCAGCACGCGCAGAATCTCGCACGATACTTACGCCAGCGAAGCGAGATTGAGAGACTCGAAAAGCTTCATAATGCTCGTATCTTCACTCCAACACAAGCCGATGTTACCTCACCATGGGAGGTCTACTCTCGGGATCAAGATAGTCTGTTTGAAGTACAGGAACAGCTGATCAGCATGATTGATGCTCACCCTCTTTCACGCATGGCAAACATTCCTGTGGACTCCTTCTATCATAAACATCTTGGACAAGATATTTCCCCAAGAGTCAAGAGAGATTATGGCGTGCACATAGTATTGCCAGATGGCCCCAACGGTGATGTACTGCTTGTTTTCGAAGGACTTGCTGGTAGGGAGCCGGAATATAGCATACCCCGCACCCAGCCCTCGAGAAATGATATTGCAGAATTCCAACGTGGTTTGGAAGAGGCCCGCAAACACATTCTTGATGTTATCGGTTCTCAGGCAGAAATCATCAGCGAATCCATTGACGTGCCAAGAATGTAGGTCTTTCTTGATGACATTTATTTACTTCCAATGCTGACCATCATAGCTACCACGACAAGCTCAGGAAATTCATATTTGCGGAGAATAAGGCCTTCCAGATTCCTGCTCGTGTTAGTGCAAATGGAACTGTCGTTACACTCCAAGGGCCTAGACCTACTGTGGAAAAGTTGGCTGTCAAGGTCAAAGATTTTGTTGCACAAGCGATTGAGGAGGAAAAAGAACGTGGTTACACACTTACTTTTGATTTCCCTCAGAAGCATGCAAACCAGCTCATTGGTAAGGGAGGCGCATTTGTGAACGAGTTGCGTGAAAAGTTCGATGTCGACATCCAACTCAAGGATGGTCAAGTTGAAGTTAAGGGGCCCAAGGCCAAAGCGGATGCTGCCAAATCGCACATTTCGTCACTTGGCAGGCAATGGGCTGATGAAACAACCTATACTCTGAAGATTGATCCTAAATATCACCCTGAGCTCATTGGTGCCAAGGGTACTCAGATCAACAGATTGCAAACTCGTTACAAGGTCCAAATTCACTTCCCACGCACGGGTCGACCTACGGATGATGACCATACAGGAAGCGATGCTGGTCAACAAAGTGCTCGACGTCAGCAAGCCCCAGATGAAGTTACCATAAAGGGACCTAGGAAGGGGGCTGATGAAGCCAGAGATGAAATCCTTTCTCTATTCCAATATCTACAAGATAACTCACACGGTGCTACTGTCAGTGTTCAGCAAAGCCAAATTCCTTCCCTTATCGGTCAACGTGGAGCTGGTATGGAAGAACTGAGACAATTGACTGGAGCCAAGATTGATGTTCCAAACTCTCGGGACAGTGCTGATGAATCAGGACGAGTTGAGATCCAAATCAAGGGGACAGCATCTCAGGTGGCAAAGGCAAAGAAATTGATCGAGGAAAAGAAGAGTGTTTTTGATTCGACAGTAACCGAGTCTTTGGATGTTGATAAGAAGCACCATAGAGCTTTGATCGGTGCTGGGGGCGCAAACATTCATGCCATCATTGTTAATGCTGGAGGATCTGGTGACCGTCGAGAACTCGCTCGTGTTGTGCAATTCCCCAAGGCCGAGTCTGATGGTAATGCTATCAAAATTGAAGGTAATCGACAACTTGTTGATAACATTGTCGCTGCCATTCAAAAGATTGTTGTGGAACGAGAGAGCCAAATCACGGAAACTGTGGATGTTCCAACCGATAAGCACCGCCCTTTGATCGGCGCTGGCGGTGAGACGAAGAAGGGTATGGAGAAGAAATTCAAGGTCTCAATTGATATCCCTAGACAGGGTAGTGGTCAAACCGGTATCACCGTCACTGGTCTTCCAGCTGATGTTGAAAAGGCAAAGGCTCACATTCTTGAAGTTGTTAAAGGCCAGGAAGGTGAAACCGTCCAAGTTCCTCGTAAGCTTCACAACGATATTTCGAACAATGGTCAATTTTTCAGAAAATTACGAAATGATCTTCAAGTCACAGTTGATCATGCAGGAGCCAAGATGCCAGCAAGAGCCGCACCACCTTCCAGTGCCGGTGCAAAGGATGCTTTGATCACCGATGAAAAGGATACATCCGATGATGTTGAGGAATGGTTCGTCTTCAACAAGTCTGATTCTGGAGAGACTGGTGATATTCCATGGGTTTTACGTGGCTCCACCGAAAACATTGCGCAAGCCAAGTCTCTCTTGGCACAAGCCATTGAACAAGCATCAAAGAACAACTTTGTTGGACACCTTACCCTCGTTGATCCTAGCTTGTATGGATCAATTGTTGGCAAAAATGGTAGCAAGGTCAACAGCATTCGAAAGGCTACGGGCTGTAACATCACTGTTCCTCGCGGACAGGGAACTGATCCAATTGAGGTTGTGGGTAGTGAGGAGGGTATTGAAAAGGCAAAGGAATTGATACTTCAAGCTGTTGCCGAGGGGAAGAATAAACCTGCTCGCGGAGGCGATAGATATTAATTGCATAGTGAGCGAAGGATAGATGAGATGGTGTTGGGGGTTGATGTGATGATCAATGGTGAAGATTTATGGGAATGGATATAGCCGATACGTTTCATTATGGAGGATTCATGAGCGAAAGACATTTTATCATACTGCATGCAGAACTTATCTTTCTTTCCTGGGTTGTACATTCTGGGGATGTGGTGGGAATAGCCAGGTTGACATATAGGTACCGTGTCATAAAAAGATATTGGCGGGAAAATTATAGGAGTTAGCGTATACCTAAATGCATTTATTGCAAAGTGTTGAAAAGTTCATTTTGATTTTAAGTGTGTGAGAAGAAAAGTAAGGTATCTATCTTACTTTTATAATCCAATAAGAAGTTCTTGTCTTATCATGAAGAACTAACTAGTTATATAGTTATAATGAAGAGAGACGGAACCTACAAGTCTTATTTATACTCACTCATATGTATAACTATCAATCTATATCTTTATTCATCAACATACAACTAATGAAACTTAACTCAACCCTTTATCATTCATTATACTTTCTCTTCTCTTATTCTCTTATTCTCTTATAAGGAAGAAGAGAATCTCTGAAATGAAATGAATAATTATAAGGAATTTAATTCGGAGGGGAAATAAGAGGTGGTAGTAAGTGAGAAGAAAGATCTCAAGGATTAAAAATTTAATATAATATTGGTATGATGTGATGTGATATGATATACAAATAGAAAAGAATGCCTCAAAAAATCTATTATGAGTATATATAGGGAATGAGGAATGAGGATTATTATAACCATCTGCACCTGTATCTCCTCACCTCGTATTCGTTCATCTTTTGATATAGGCTTGAAAAGAGATGAGACGGAGGGATAGTAATAAGAATTAAATATATCACCGCTTTATCCATCACTAAAGATCATATATAAATCTAAAAATCTTATTCATATTCTCTTCGCATTATTGCTAATGCTATGTTATGCTGTGCTATTGTCATTACACATAGCCAGCCGTATCAGTTATGTTCTAAAAGTTTGACCTATCTCTCTTCTAAACAGACCGAACCCATTCGCTCAAATTCATGACCACATAGATCATTTCCATGCAACCTCTATAGTTTTAACGCCCAATATCACAAGGACCACCCAAGGCTAAATCCAAGTACCAGTGTGCCACTAGTGTACAAATCTTTAGACCCTTCTGTCGTCCATTTTGAAAAAAAATAATTACAGGGAAGTTCGCTACCCTTTTCCAGCCCGTGCATCAAAGAAACATCACATCGATTTGAAAATGAAATCTTTATGCAAGGGGTATTAGAAATCATTAAGCTCTTTCCCGAGATACTATCAAACGGCAAGCTGTACTTTTGGGATGTACCCAAAAGAATAAATATCCAGACGTCGATGGACTCTCAGAAAATTGAGCTCCTTATTATCGATTTAATACAAAGTGTAGCCACCATCGATGATGACGTTGGACCCAGTCATGAAGGCGGATGCATCGGAAGCAAGGAATACGGCAAGACCATTGAGATCATCAACAGCACCAAGACGGTTTTGGGGAGTGAGAGATTTCCAGATGACCTTTTGAGCATCAAGGGCAGGAACGTTGTTAAGGGCAGTGTCCATGTATCCAGGAGAGATCATGTTAACCCGAACGTTGTATTTAGCCCATTCAGCACCGAGGGACTTTCCGAGTTGAACGACACCGGCCTTGGAGGCATTGTAACATGATTGCTCTTGTGGGTAGTTGACAATGGACCCGGACATGGAGGCAACGAGAACGATTGAGCCAGGCTTGCCAGCAGCCATCATGGCCTTTCCGACGGCTTGGGACATGAGGAAGGATCCAGTAAGGTTGATATCAATCAATCGGCGGAACATGTTGTGGTCGTAGGTTTCGGCGGGGATGTTGGAACTAGAGGTTGTTGTTAGCATAAAGCTTTTGGCAGATCAGATCAAATATACTTACTCGGCAATACCAGCGGAGTTGATGAGAACATCGGGAGCACCGTGCTCCGCAACAACACTGTTGACAGCGGACTCGATAGCATCGGCATCACGAACATCAACCTTGAAGAAAGAGATTGGAATCTTATTTCCAGTGAGTTCATACAACTCAGCAGCTGATGAATCTCCCAATTCTTGGTTTGCATCAAAGATAACGAGAGCCTTGGCTCCAGCCTCAACACAGGCACGGGCCATGTGGTTTCCAAGACCTCTGGCTCCACTATAACTTTGTTAGCCTATGATATTCGCCTGTGAAACATGAGGTGTCTGAACTAAATGGACCCTAAACAACTAGTTGGGATGACAAGATCGAACGATAAGATCCGATAAGAATAAAATTTCACTCTCATTTTCGAAATTCGAGTTGATGGGAGAGAATATCACAGATAGTAATTGTGAATTACGGACTGAGAAAGAAAGTGTAAACATACCCAGTGACAACAACGACCTTGCCCATCAGACTCATCTTTTGCATAGTTGGAGTCATTCCCTTGTATGCACTTTGTGTGAGAGGTGTGACAACATCAACGACCTCCTTTGCTGCTGCTGCTGCCGAAGCTTCTTCAACTGGAATGGTGAGTCTTTCTGGTCCAGAACCTGAAACATCCGAGAGTCAGTATGTGACCGACCACCAGAGAAATATTCTCAAATCGAAAAGAAATTGAAGACACTGGGAGCCGAAGCTATGCGAGGAATTTGCGACCTCAACATAGATTTGGGCATTGGGAGTAGCATTAAGCTTACCAGGTTGAAACTTGGTTGCAGGAATTTCCTTCTCATGGATAGCCTCATAGTCGTTGGCTTGAGGGGTGGTGGTGAAGGCACGGAGCGCTTGTCTGCTGATAACAGAAGGGGTGGCTCTGCGGCCAGCCTTGGTGGCAGCTCGAATAAAGGAAGATCGGATAGCAGACATATTTTGTGTAGATTATCGAAGTGCTTTGTGAACGAAATGTAGAATGTTGCTTGCTTTTGATTCAAGATGATTGAAAGTATGAAAAAGCAGATGTGTCTTTTTAAAAGGGAGTTTGTCGAAGGTATTATATGTGAAGGGAAGGAAGTATGTAGTTTTTGAAAGTGGTTTCCAGAAAGAAATCTGTGGGAAGTAGGAAATGTTAGCGTAATTCTTCAGAACTAGTAAAGCCGAAGGACCGAGACCCAGATTTATTTCTCAATGACAGATAGGACAGATAGACATAATAATAATAACAATTGGGGAAGGAAGAACACCAGCTGGCCAGGTTCCAATATTATTCACCCTTTTCTTTTCTGACTTGGTCCGGGTGTCGGATGCAGGAAAAGAGGGAAAATCATCAGACGGGAATCAAGCTAACCTTTGAAATATCCGACAAGTTACAAAAATATGAATTGTGTGTGTGCTGAAGCTTCTAATTCTGCTAACTGGTCAGAAAGAAGTATTTTAAAGGATGTTGTTTTTGATGTTTGAATCTGCAACAACTGGCTGGTTCATATCATTTCCCCAAGGGATGTCAAATGTGATTGAGAATCGGAGCCTCAAAACAGAACTCGGAGTTCACAAGAGTTACCAGAAGTTGATTATGATGTAAGAAACTCGGATCGGAGATGAGTCTCTTCCTCTTGTGACTAGAAGAGATTTCAGGAGGAAAGAGAATGCAGAAAGAAAGTAATGCTGACTGTGTATGTAGGAATCCAGCTCTTGGTTTTCCTTTCAAATTTTTTATCGATGTATACGCGGAACAAATCTACAACAAGAAGAAATGTCTAAATGGTATCGAGTCGAATCAAAAAACAAGTGGTCTATAACTTGCGGAAAAGTTGATGTATGGAAAGAACTATACTGAGCAGAATGTTGGCAGAAAACAAGCAGGGCAAAGATGATTCGATGGATGATGAGAGTCTGTTTCTTCTAAATGGAATAAAAGGGGATATGAAAGGGAGAAAAGTTAGAAGTTTGGAAGAGTCAGAGACCCTTTAAAGCAAAATACTTTTTTCCTTCACTCAATTTCTCATCGGAGTCCCCCCGAAGCTCTCTTTGCCCCAAGCTAGTTGATCAGGGTTAAACAGGGTAGCTTCCATCAAAGCCGTGCTGATTTGCATGGTTTGTCCCACCTAAAACGCTATTGGAAAGCTCCCGAAACCAGGGCCGTGATACCGGGGTATCTGATAGAACATCAATGCAGAGAGGATCCTTCCATGATAGTGGGGGCAGTTGGATGACCATCAGATTGGCGTGTCACGGATGATGACTAGGTTATGCAGGAGAAGGTTGACATGGCGTACATGGAAGCCGTGGGGATGATGGACAAGTTTCAAAGGATACTTTTGTTTCCGATACTTCCAGAATCATACCAACCGTGGAGATTTTTGGGCAAAGGATGAGGCGGTGTGCCCTACCTACACATACGTTACTACAAGGTGCATGATTGTCGCTGCAAACTGTATGCAAGAAGATGGGTCAGATGTGGCGAGAACTTTGACATTTGGGGAAAGTTTCTCTGCATCTCAAATCATAATCTCATCGTATCTGTTTGAGAAAATTAAAAGGCTTGTCGATGGAATGTTTTGTTTCTCTCTTTGGTGGTATGTCAATAGGAATACGGGGTAGTGGCTAGGATGAGGATATCAGACTTGGCTGTTGGAAAATAATATCGCCCGATCTAGAAATTAAACCCCTGACGGGACAGAGTGCCTACCGAGGATTTCTTTAAGACATTTATTTGTGGACCATTAAAAATTCGAAAAAGTATAATGTTTCTAGAAGCCACAATTCAAAATGGAATAATTTGAAAAGCCACTGACAAGAAGAATACGTGGAGAGGTGGTTGAACTGTTTGATACGATTCATACCAAGTTCACGCAAACACCAATAGACACGACGTCGCCTTCAGGGTCCATTATAAGAAGAGGGTAAGGTTACATTTACATTGATGGGAGTGTGGGCTGGATAAACTGGCAGTGATCATAGTGATGCCATTGATAATGTATCTTCCAGCCAAAATAAAAAATAAATCCACAAAACATGTCACTCCGTCTCAATTCTCATCAAAAGCCTCGAAGATCAATTCCCCCCAACCAAAGGATCTTCATTATTCAACGTTAATCTCAATCCCTTTTTGATTATTTACCCACATTTTCTTTTTACATACGTAGGTACTTGTTCGTCTATCCCACACCTCTTTATTCTTCTCTCTCCATCAATTAATTGTTGTGTACGGAGTAGGAGTAGACTTGTCTTGAAGTAGGTAGGTATTTGGTAGGTACTTGGGTCTACGGTCTAGGTGGCGGTGTGAGGATTGGAATGAATATTGGAACGCCAGGTCGGATTTCTCCTCGTAAAGTTTATGCTACCGTCCAGAATGTCCGTGGAAGCTTGGATAGAATAGAATGATAGTACTCGCTCGCACGAAGCACTTTGTATATCAATATACGCGGTATAGAATCTAGATTGGGTTTATGTCAATTTAACCTTGCGTGCGAGAGACTCATTCATTAATCGAGTACAAACTTTATTCAAGTGGCCAAGGACGGGGTATCGTCGTGGTTGTGGACAGAAAGTCATCTGATGGAATCGATAGTAACCTTATGTGGGCGGACAGCTGCGAAAAGGGACAGCTATGAAAAGGTTAAATCTTACGAGCTGTTGGGACGGGGAGGGAGGTCTGTGTTTTTTTGCCTTTTACGAGTCTTTCTTGTTTTCTGGGGGCTGGAGGGCTGGAGGGATGGAGGGATGGAGGGATGGAGGGTTGGAGGGATGGAGGGTTGGAGGGTTGGAGGATAAGTTCATAGCTACATACCTTGTAAGTACTCTAGGGACCACCGACGATGTGATTTCTTAATGGTGTTTGGATAATGTATGTATGTATACCGGTATCCAGCTAATGCTGTATTTTCCGTATCTATTTCTTTCTTTCTGTTCATGAAAGAAGATTTCAAACATTACGATGTTGAGCACGCTATGCTCCTGCATTATCCAACGAGAGACGATGAATATCTGGACTCGGGAGTTACCTACTCCTTACCTACAGAGGACTTTCTTCCCGCTCAAAATCCCATCCTGCCATCCTGCCATCAAACATCAACCATCAAACATCAAACATCAAAAATAATATCATTATAAATACCTAGTAAATAAATCTTCCTAGAACTTAATGAGAAGCACATTTCCTATTTAGTCAATTCCCAGGTTTTACCGCCCGCGGATCAGGGTCTTCACTAACTTTTAGTCACTATGGATCTTTTTTCTGCGTCCTGTTTTGGATTCTTCATATTTTATGGAGTTTGTTACCACATTTTCTAGAGGCCGTGGAAAAGAAAAAGAAAAAGAAAAAGGAAAAAGAAAAAAGAAAAAAGAAAAAAGAAAAAAAATAAAAATAAAAAAGAAAAAACAAAAAAGAAGAAAGAAAGAAAAAAACAAGAAAGACCCTACCTAGGTACCTAAATGACTCGCATCATCGGTGGCAATAGAACAAGTTCTGAACAACTGAAGTTACTGCACGGAGTAGAGTCGAAAAAATCTTTTCTTTTCTCTTCTATTGTGGAGAGGAAAATCCCAAAAACTTTTCATTCTATTTTTTTATTATTATTTTTTTTTTCTTTTCTTTTTGCCCTCCATTCTTCTTGTTTTCTTCCATTTCGTCATTTCTCTCTCCCTTCTTTTCTTTCTTTCCTTCTTTACATCATTCATACATCAACAATCATTTCCATCACCCATTTCTACAAGTGCATTTCAACATCTCGAAAAACAGATAGGCATCAATTCCAAATTCCCATGTCAATGGATGTATCGAAAGGGTACCAGTGCATACCACAAATCGCTCACCCTACCACATGTACTGCTACCCGAATCGCGATTCACGAATCACAGAGTAAACATCGAGCGAAAGGAAAGAACTGGCTGGATCATTGGTTACATTTCGATAATAGCCATCGACCATATAACTATTTCTACCCATGAATACCTATGAACATGAACGACACTTTGGTACGTATACCAGATAGCTTCAACATCAACCCTCCCAACAAACCAAGCTGCTCATTGCGACTGGACCGGTCGGAGTGCTCCGAAAATCCCAATCAACGAATTTCTACCGCACATACACATTCATAAGCTTTATAAGTGGCGCACGACCAGCACGAACAGCATGAAAAGCGGATTAGGAGCTTCCGCATAATCTCCTATTGATAAAATTTTCTTGTCAAGATGATGTGTTGATAATTTGTCAAATTACGATGCTGAAGTTCCGTACGTACATCATCGCAGCCTGAATTCATCAGCGAAGAAATCTTTTTCACATTTTCTTTTGGGCTCATAATCATATGATGGTGTGTCACAAATCAAGGTTTGATGTATAGCCACGGAACCTCTTTCTGATGATTCATTGAGGAGGCTACTGTTGCATTCACCAACAAGGCATATCGAAACATTTTCAGCTTGTTGGGCTTTTAAAATTTGGATTTCGATAACAGGGAGGTATTCGTTGGGAGGAAAGGAGTTCATGCCACCCCCACCTTCCTATTTTACTAGCTCTTTTGCAACGTCATTTATTTCCTCATTGTCCTATTTTTAGTAGGTAATGATGAATGATGAATGATGAATGATGAGAGATGAGGAATGAGGGGCAAGGGACCTGATTTCCTCATCTAGAACATTAGTGGATCTCACCTAATGCAAATTTTTCTTATGGGAATGGAAAGTGGAGAGAAGAGAGGAAGACGAATAGATGAAAGGATCCTATTTCAAAGACTTATATGATGAATATCCAGATAGGGACAGCTTATATTGAGTTTCAAAAAGGAACTTGATGTGTGATGTGAACTGGACGAATATTTTAGTAGATGCTTCGTGTTTTCTGAAAGTCTTTGAGATAGGGTTTACTTTTTTGGATAGGGCTTTGGATTTGGCTGTGGTTATGGTTGTGTTAGTACGTTGATATGATTGAACATTGTTACAGAAGGATGGATATCTTTCTTTCTTGAAATCTTCATAAGGTTTGATTGTATTTCCTTCACAGCTTCCTGCTTCTATTTGTTCATATGAAAGACACATGTGAAAGATATTTGAATTGAAATAATAAGTATTATTACTTTTGTAAACATTCAAATATATACACCTTCTAAGATATCCAAACTCAATACAAACAAACATTACATCATCATCTTGGAAAGAACTCTTGAATTATATAATATATTTATGACTTAAATATCTAATACAGTATCTAATTGTCAAGTGAATTAAAAGCATAATACAATAGTATAAATACAGATTTGAAGAAGTCTTTTGAAAAGGTAATGAATGACTTCATTCCCGTACTTAATCAAGATCAGGAACCTGATGGATAATTCCTATGTACTCTATACCTTATACAAAATTGTTATTGATACCTACCTAACTAATAGTCATCAAATGTACGATATAAATGAGGTAAGGTAGGAGTATAGGGATCAAATATATAATATAAATAAGATAAGAATAAGAGTATAAAATTCTGAATTAACGAGTTCGGTTTTTGAGTTCGGTTTTTAATTAAAGATTCGTTTTGAGAGTTTGGATAATAAAAGAGTTTTCTGTAGACTTTCATTTGAATATTTTTTATTTTTATATATTGTCGCTTTGTTAATATTATTCAAAAGCGGTCTTAAAAACTCGCGGGTGTGAATGTGATTGATGAGGAGGATTATTGAGAACAGGAAATAGATTTGTAAAGATCTTTGGAAAAAGTCTAGTTTGTGATTTTGAATATCTAGATAGATATGAGAATAGAAACTTTGTTATCATATTATGAAAGTATTGATGGATTAGAAGTGGTATTGAGGTTTTGTAACTGGTTATCAATATTAATTGCTATATTAATTGTCATTTCTCTATTCTATCACCAATAATCAAATCATCATCGTCGTCTATTATTCAATTTCTATCTCCAATCCATCCCCTAGCGGGAAATTCTCTAAAGCTCTCGGAACATCTCTTAGTACTTACTGAAGTAACGAATCCGATTCTACTATGGTTTAGACTTTTTCACATGATAATTCCTTGGCGAAATCCTGGTTGGAAAGTATTCTGATTTGTTTTACGATCAGTGGAAGGACTGGGTAACTTTATAGTGGATGAATGATGCGAAGAAGGGTCTTGTTTCTTACTATTAGTCTATTGCCATTTGGAGATTTCTTCTTTAATATGGGTATGGAGTTGGATAGATAATATTCACACAAATTCATCAATGAGTTCTGCTGATCATGATTGCCTCGTTTCAATGTGACGAATCAATAATTGTTCTATCTTTGATGTAGTGGCATAGGAGAGAACTGAAATACTATAAATAACAGACAAATTTTGATATTTCTAAGTCACACAAATAGAGACCCTGCAGAGCAGCCGAATGGTTCATGCAAATCCTCCAACTGATACGTAGCTCATGAGCCTCAAAACAAAGTATTAAGAAGCGAAAGTGCAGTATTTTCTTAAAGTCTTGTGTCTTCTTTTCTTTCTCGTCTAATCTATTCACTACTATCAAAATTGATTTATCTCACTGTCATTATCATTTTCCGTATGTGATTCCCATTTGGAACTCAGCAAAAAAAACATCTTAGCTAGGTACACAGATATACCAACCAAAAGCAAAACAGAATCATTCCATCCCAGCTGAGATCTCTTCCCAGCGAAATTCCCATTATTGTCTACTATTGTTCCGAGATCATATTGATATGAAAGCTGTTTGAGATTAAAAACTCATCAATTTATATGGTCCATCTGATTCGATAGTTCCGTGTTTTCTGCTCTTCGCGCTCCTCTTGATGAGGGGTAGATGTAAATATTCTAGAGCCGAGAGGTGAATATTAAAGCTATGAATCAAACGTGATGCTATAGAGTGAATAACACTAATCAAAAACTAGAACAATGAAAGTAGTAGAAGAATGTGTTGATCAATTAACCCACCGTCGGCGTTTGATTTTGGTGAGATGCAGCCTTGAATCGATCGCAGATATTGGGCTGGAGAAGCGGAGATTGAATAATTTGCATCATCATCGAGCTGTGAGCGCGGCGGTATGTAAGGGGGCTTTTCCTTGTGTTTCTAGACATGGAAGGCTGGTTGAAATACATTATCTAGGGAGAGACACTGAGGAATAGGTCATGAGCCCTAACTACAGTATTCTCCCACTTCATCACTTCATTTTTGTCGTTTTTACTGCCATTCTACCCAAACATGTTTTATCACCATCCAATTCATCATACAATTACCCAGTATTTCCAGACTCCCTTCCCCAAATATCTCAAATTCGTTTATACAAACAACATAAAGAAATATCATATCCACTTACTTACTCGCGAATTGTCTAGCTTCTCGAACCATCGAATGTAGGTAATTGAGATGTTCTTATAATCTGCGCTCAAATCCAATTCTTAAGATGCGAGAAAAATATAAATAATGAAAGAGGCAAGAAACAACACGACAAATCGGCCATTATTGAAAACGGATATTGAGAATGCCCCATAAGACAAACCAAGTCAAGTCAAGTCAAGCAAAACAAAACAAAATGCAAGAGATTGAGAGATTTGAAAAATGAGTATCTTTCCGTACATCTCTAAATCTCTCCATCTCATCTTCCATATGATACCATACCTCCGTTTTAGATAATTGATGCTCCTGCTTCTTTGATACCAGATTTCTCCTCCATCATCCACCAACCTCTTTAAACACCGCTAGACGAGAATTAGAGATATTGAAATAGATATTCACCACTTCTACCTACCGATCCTAATTCTTCACGGCATTGTTGATTAGATCTCTCTGGAGTTATACTACCACAGGCTCCAGGGAAGTAAAAACACACAGCATAAGTCAAGAAACCTAACAATAAATAGGAGGAAGGGGAAAGCAGGAATTAAAACCTTTGATCTAGGGGATTTATATCTAAACATGCAATCTGTAAATATCTGAAGGTACCTACTAAGTATATCTTCAACAAAACCTCATTCCACTCTCACCATATTCCCCGAAAAGCTAGAAATTCATCCGCTAGAAGAATATACTTCCGGCCGCTCCTGACAGTGAATATAATTTTAAAATTCTCAGTAGGTATAAAGTATAAACTTTCCTATCATATTAGCTTTATTAAAGTACTATAAATATATCTAAGAAAAAAAAAAACTATAACACTTCTTTATGCCCTTTTAAATTCCGAAGCTATTAAACTTTCAAATATCAAAACAAAACACTTAATAAAGATCCGAAGTTTAAGGACAGAATATTTTATATAAACACTATTATAACTACTACTATTATTATCATAATTTTAATCAGTATCAGTACCATGATTATAACTCTATACATTATAATCATTAGAATTATCACATAAAACCGAAAACACTGAACCCCTTGAAACATAACCTCTTCTCACCCAACAAAACATCACCCATATCTCACAACAACAATTACTCCCTCAACACTCAACACTCAGCCCTCAACACATGAGCATTCCCACCACCACCACCACCAGCACCACCAAACCCTAAATCCCAAACCCGCACCACAACCAATCAAAAAGCACTACACTCGTGACTCAACACATATACAACGCAATCTAAAAACCCAAAAACCTACTCAATCACATAAAACAAAATAAGAAAATAACAAAAAAGCCAAAAAACCCCCAAAAAACAAAACCCCACGAGAGGTTCATGAGCAGCAATCATATCTCGCTTGAACAGTTCAAAGAAACAGGAGGATAATTAGATATCAAATGAAGCTAATATCAATATCAATGACAATGCCAATGTCAAATTTATGAGTTGTGTATTCTTAGATTCTTTCGAGATGGGGGTTAGTGTTGATATTGAGGGAAAGGATCTACTTGGTTCTCATGATGAGTTTCGCTTGAATAATTATGATAGGAATAGTATTTACTTACTTATCAAGGTCTTCTGGTAGTCCACACTATACATTCATATTTCGAAAATCGAGAACTAATGGTAGATACTATAGTTCCAATACCATTCATTCGTCACTCGCTTAATCCAATGCAAGCACAGGTCCAAAAGAAAACTCTTCAACTCATATTCTTTTTCTTCCTATATTCACATATTCAAATTTCCATCCATAACCACTCAATCACTATGTATCAAGGAATATCTTCCGCTGTGCTCGTTATTTCACAAATTTCTTATCCGCATCCTAAAGCCTGAGCCCAAGCTCTATCCTCAACCATGTTCCTCCCAAATCGAGAATGATATAACAAATGAAGAAAGGCAAAGTAATGAAACAAAAAACGATTCGCTAGTATGACAGACAGACATAGAGATGAGTATGAAAAAGCTAAGAGATGGCAATAGAACCCCGAGAACTCCGGTATATGGAACACGAAAACAAGCATATGCCTGAAGCAAACCAAGAGTGTTCTTCTTTTGCTTAAGAAATGTAAAAGGATGTGTGGGGAGTGGAGTCAGATGGGAAATAATGCCGTGCTTGATACACAAATTTTATTCTCGCATTTTAACATAATTTGAAGGGAAGATACCCGATCGTCCGTTGATAGTACCAGTCCTATTCACATGACGTATTAGCCCTGATTGTCCACTTGTTCCATCCTTATGTGCCAGAACATGTAATAAGAAGAAAGACATATACGTACCACCAATCTTCATTACTATCAGTCTTCTTCGTAACCGTAATAACGTCACCCTTCTTGAAACCTAAATCTCCTGGCTGATCGGCATCAAAGGTAAATTGCGCAATGGCTTCATTACCCCTCAAACTAGCCGACTTTGGTTGAAACTTTGGTTTCGGTGCCGCCGGTCTACCTGGTCCTGGTTTTCCGCTACCATTACCGCCAAATTGAGTCGAAGGTGTACGGGGAGAATCCGTATATACATAATCATCCTCAAATGCGGTTCCAGACCTAGCTCTACCTGCATTGGTAGGAGCTCTGTCGTAAATATCATCGGCCCATGTACTCGCCCGTTGAGGACGGTTAGGGTTGACATAATCAGAATCATTTCCTAAACTTGTGCCACGATCTCTTCGCGTGCCTTCTCCAAAGGCATTTCCTCTTCTACCTTCCCATACCACATCATCGTGCCGTTCGTCATAAACAGGTATATCATTATAAGTTCCATCATCAGCAATTTGCCCCGCGAAAACTCTCGAATTCAACACAGTCATAAGTGGTTGTGCTGCCGGCGGTGCTCGAACTGCTCCGCCCAGTAACTCCGCAGCTGTGAATCTTCTTCCATATAATTTCTCGTTGGCATCCCTTCGCTCGATAATTGCGCTTCCTTCGAGACTGACACCAGCAAAAAGCCCCTTTGTCTTGCTATAACTGAAAACACCAGCTACCCCCTTCATACTGGCGGCTCCGGCTGCCTCGGCATTTCGTCCTATCGGTCCAGCTGCGATACTGACATTTCCACCGAGTGTGAGAGAACCAGCTTGCGAGAAAGTACGCACAGCCGCGGCATCATTGAGAATGAAAACGAAATCCGTAAGTTCGAAACCGATTTGTCCGCCAACACCACCGCCGCCGATTCCAATTGCTGAAGGTGCGGACCAGGAACCATCCGACAGACGAGCTATTACTACACCATTGCCATAACGACCGGAACCAATAAAACCAGCTTTCAGGACAGTCACGATTGCGAGACCCTGGTTTGGGAAGAATGTTAGTGAGGAAGCTCGGGTTATTGGGAGGCTGGGGAGGGAAATAGCGGAAAAGAGGACGAACCTTTGCTTGCGCAAGGACATGTGGTGGAATAATCTTATCGGGACCAAAAGACTGTCGTGGATCAATGAAAGAGCTTAAAATCTTTCCGCATTTTTTGCATTCCGCTGTTCAAGAGTAGATTGTCAGCGTCGGTGCTCTTCTTGCAGTGGAATGATTTTATGTTCGCCGCTCCACAGAATGTAGTAACATAACTTACACGCCATAGACGAAGGAAGCGGGTTATTGATTCCTAAAGGCATCGTGATGGATTATTCAAGGAGTTTGAATTTTTTCCTTCGAATGTATAGTCAGTTGTAATGAGCTTGCGCGAAACTATTCGATGATTCTGTCGGGTTGTCTGTCTAGGTAGGTAGATATGGGTTCGCGAACCGAGAATCAACTGCGCCACAGAATATTTCGATGACAAAGTGTGGGGTTCAACTAAAGGTTATCCGATAGCCAGCCCAGCTAGCATGATCCTGTGAGATGGTGGCGGGCTAATGATAGAAATAACAATATTCGCGGGTGAATCAATCAATCACTTCCAAATTGTATGTATACCAGTTATTTTCTGTACATCTCTTGTTTCATGAATTTTTAAGTATCACATAAAAGAGTCCAAAAGTGGGATAGAGGTGACCTTTAATAGTTGTATTCTGCTAGGTATGTAGGTACTATAAGTACAGTGTAGGTACCAAGTAGGAGGTACTGAATAACTCGTGCTGCCAGCAAGTACCAAACCATCCACCTGTAAGCACATACCAGTGATGCCACAGAATGGTAAACCGCAAGGGGAATAGTGGCCCACATATAGTGGCCCACATATAAGTGGATGGTTTTGTACCTTCTGGCCGCACGAGTAGGCAGGTAGCTAATAAGTAGACAGTAAACAATATTAGACAAAAGCAGTTGGATTCTTAGCCTGATAACAGCTGCTGTGCAGGTGGGTGGTCTATGGTGTGGGTCTCTGGTCTGTGGTCCGTGATCCCGTCGTTCCCTCTTCGGAACGGACAAAGCGGCCGCTGCTGACTCCAGAAATCAATTTTTCCCCTCCACAAATTTATTGATTTTTGTCTGCCCCGCGGTGTCCAACTTTTATTAATCTTTTAACTCCAATTTGTTTTATTCTCACCACAATAGACCTCCTCATTTGTTGGAAACTTCCTTTTGAAAGCCCGGAACACCAGAACACGGAATCATCTAGTAAACACTGAGATCTTTGGATAACTATAATCAAGATGTCTTCCAATGACATCTACCAAACTCCATTGACTTCGCGTTATGCAAGTAAGTAACTCGATCTATGCGCCCCTCAACGGACAAAATAAATCACAATTTGATATCTTCTATGTTCCAATTCAGATCTGACAATCAAATGATTGCTTCAACCGACCTCAGAGATTCAATGCTAATTATTCCATTCCTACAGGCAATGAGATGAAGGAGATCTTCTCCGCTCGCAACCGTGCTTCCACATGGAGAACGCTTTGGATCCATCTCGCCGAAGCCGAGAAGGAGTTGGGTTTGGATATCAGTGCTGAGGGAATTCAACAAATGAAGGACCACAGAATCATGACAGACGAGGACTTTGAGGTTGCTGCAGTGGAAGAAAAGAAGCGTCGTCATGATGTGTAAGTTCCACTCTAGAGTTTTCACTTTCTAGATTGGACTTGCTAACCTTCGTTCTTTTCAGTATGGCACATGTTCATGCATTTGGCCGAGTTGCTCCAAAGGCTGCCGGTATTATCCATTATGGTGCCACCTCATGCTACTGCACTGATAATGCCGATCTCATCTTCCAACGTGATGCCCTCGACTTAATCCTCCCAAAGTTAGCTACCGTCATTCACAAGTTGGCTCAATTTGCTCTCGAGTTCAAGGATCTACCTACCTTGGGATACACCCATTTCCAACCCGCTCAATTGATCACTGTAGGTCGTCGTGCCTCTCAATGGGTTCAAGATCTTCTCATGGATTTGGAGGACATTAAGAGAGTCAGAGCCGATCTTCGTAAGTCCTCAATATGTCTTACACTCAAGCGCGATCAGGTTTCAAATTTCTATGAACACCTACTAACGCTTCTTGAATTTAGGTTACCGTGGCGCTCAAGGCACAACTGGTACACAAGCCAGTTTCATGGAGATCTTTAAAGGCGACGGTGCCAAGATTGACCAGCTCAACGAGATCCTTTGTGAGAAAGCCGGATTCCCAAGCTGTTACGCCATCAGCACACAGACCTATTCCCGTAAAGTTGATCTTAGAATAGCCAATGCCCTTTCCAGCTTTGGTGCTACCGCCCAGAGAATCTCAAGTGACATCCGCCATCTTGCCAACTTGAAGGAATTGGAGGAACCATTTGAGAAGGATCAAATCGGTTCATCTGCAATGGCCTATAAGCGCAATCCAATGAGATCCGAACGAATTGCAGCTCTTGGCCGTCATCTTGCCAACCTCAACAAGAATGCCAACGATACCTATGCTGCTCAATGGTTCGAGAGAACCCTCGACGACTCCGCAATCCGCCGTATCACCATCCCTGAGATGTTCCTGTCAGCTGACGCCGTCTGTATGGCTATGGACAACGTCGTCTCTGGCTTTGTTGTTTACCCAAACCGTATTCACTCCCGTGTCATGGAAGAATTGCCTTTCATGGCTACAGAGGTAATTATTATGAGAATTGTTGCCGCTGGAGGATCGAGACAAGAAGCCCATGAGGAGATTCGTGTTCTTTCTCACCAAGCTTCTGATGTTGTTAAGAAGCAAGGTGGGCAAAACGATTTGATCGACCGTATTAAGGCTACCAAGTACTTCGAACCAGTCTGGGCCGATCTCGATAACATGATGGACCCAAAGAACTTCATTGGTCGCAGTGCACACTCGGTCGAGAAGTACTGTGGACCAGGTGGAGAGGTTGAAGCTGCCCTTGCGGAATGGTCAGGACAGATCAAGTCTAGCAAGGCCGTTGAGTTGAGTCTTTAATTCGAAGTTCACTGACTTTACAACTTCTTCGATTGAAGAATGTCAAAATGGATAGATATGGGTGGGGGAAAATTGGTTGGAGTTCATGGAGTATGGCCCTCACGGATCTCATGGGTAGAGGATTTTTCAAAGTAGATGTGCGACTCATACCCATTAAACTTGCGTGTATTTAGTTTTCTGGAGGTACTATTCTCGACTTTAGCAAGCATGTAGTTTTTACAGCGACTTGATGCAAACATGATGATATACATTACATAATAATCCTGACCCTTGGGTGATCGCTTGTGCGCAATGAATTGGAGTAGTAAATGATCAGCCGTCGGACAGTAATAAAAGCCGAGCTGTGGCTGTGACAAATCTGCCTCAGCCTTGAACCATTTTAGTTGACCACAACACGGCTGTGACAAGATCACCTAGGACATACATTTACGTATTATATGAATTGACTGAGCTGGGTGAACGGAGCAACCAAATCAGTTGTCACACAGTGAAGAATCGAACTTTCGATAAATCACGAAATCCATTAGAGGTTGAACCTCGCAGACAAAGAAACGCATCCGTCCATCACAGCCCCCCGAAACTCGAAACACAGGCATCACATTACAGTCTCAGCACATCACCTCTTCTGTGTCTACCATACTCATTACTATCTCCCTATCAATAAATAATCACAATATTCCCACCCAATCCATCCAAAATGTCCGACGCCTACGAGCGCGAACGCCAAAATAACTCCCGTCTCAACGAACTATCCGCAAAAGTATCCGCGTTGCGCGGTGTCACGGTCGATATATATGATCATGCTAGAGCGCAGGATGTTATTGATAATACTGTATTTCTTTTCCCTTTTCCTTTTTGTTCTGTTCTCCTCTCCCCATCTTCTCTTCTCCCCATTTCAGACAAACAAAAGGATAATATAACAACAAAACAAAACTAACTACGAAACCTCATCCCAAAAATAGTCCGATACCTTTTCTAGCATGTCATCTTCGCTCAAGGGGTCCGCGTCGCGACTTGGTCGTATGGCTTCTTCGGGGAATAAGGTTGCGATTTTGAAGTTGAGTGGATTGATTGTGGGGTGTGTGCTTGTTTTGTGGTTTTGTGGGGGTTGGTTGTTTGAGAGGAGGAAAAGGAAGGACAAAGGGAGGGAGAGGGATTCTTGGGCTGTGGATGCGTGGGTGGGTTTGGGACGGAGGAGATGAAAGAGGTGAGAGAGAGGAGAGAGAGAAGAGAGTGTGGATATGGGAGAGGTGTGGATATGGGATGAGATGAAATGGAGTTATGGATGTAATGCGAGAAAATATACGTGGTGGGACGCAGATATGGAAGAGAATGAAGAGAGAGATTGTATTATATGTATGGACATCGGCAGATATATTAAACTGCGGCTGTGGCATTCTAACGGCGTTATGGCTGCATATACTCTTACGAATGAATGGATCAGGATACATGGCGATATTACGTTATGCACGGTTGGTTATTGCTTTCAGGGGTGGAATACATATCTACGCGAAAATTGTATAAAAACACATCAGACTAAATTGCGCCTTGAAATCATCTGCCATTTATAGGATATCTATGTTCATGTCATTTTTCATCCATCCATCCGTTCATATCCATATACCCCCTCCAAATTCTCGTCCCTGTCATCCCCCTACACACAGTACCGTATTTCTGCATCACTCCCATACATTCGAGAACAAATCCTCACCACCCGATGAGAAACCCCCAGCAGGCTTTCCAGCTCCAGAAGTCGCATTCGCGGCAGGCGCTGGAGCTGCACTACTCCATCCACCAAATTCATCATCTGCTGCCACTTTTGGAGCACTAACAATTGTATTAAAACTACCTCCAGCGCCTGGTACTATACTCTGGTTCGATAGCCCTCCCCAGCCACCAAAATCCCCAGTGCTAGTTTGAGGTGGTGCAGGCTTTGGAAGAGATGGACTTATTTTGGCAGCGCTACCCCAAGCATCATTTGAGCCCCATGCATCGGTATTGCCCCAAGCGTTGCTCATAGCGGGCGCCGCTGGTGGAGATTTTTGTGATGTCGCTGTTGCGCTTGAAAGGTTGAAAACGGATGGTTGAATGGGTGGCGAAGCGATTGTCTGCTTGGGCGCCGCAGCACTTTGTACAGCAGGTGTGGAGAAGTCGAATAGATCTCCTAATGCGGAACTAGCATTTGTGGACTGTGGAGCTGGAGATTGTCCTGGCGCCGAATCAAAAGCTCCAAAACCGCTTGAGGAGCTGAATGTGCGGGATACTTGTGAAGGGGCAGGAGCTGCTTTGGGCTTCGTATCAAAAAAGCCGCCGCCACTGAGCGATGGGGATGATGTTTGACCCCCGGAAGCTGCGGATCGATGGCTGGAAATGTTACCCAAGTTGGAGAAGGCTGTGGGTTTTGATTGAGCTGGAGGAGATGTAGAATTTGAGAAACTCAAGCTACTAAATGCATCGTTCATACCTCCGAATGTAGAACGTTGTGGTGACTGCTGTGGTGCAGCTTGCATACCACCAAAAGATCCAGATGATGCATGTGAGATATGTGATGTCTGTTGCTGTACTTGAGGACGGGGAGTGGATGCATATAGCGATAAAATTGATTGTTTCAGATCGGGTCTTGACTGAGTGCCTGGAGCTGGGGCTGTACTGGACGGTCGATTGGGAGGAGCAGCCTCAGTTCCAAAAAAGTCCAAGCCCAACAGGGAGTCCGCTGGTTTTGTTTGTTTTGGAGGAGCGGGCTCTGATTTTGGCGGAGGTCTTGCAGGTACCGGACCGGCAGTACTCGCCCTCGGCGGTGGCCCAATATCATCGCCAAAGAGATCCTGCTGCGGGGGAGCGCTGATCGGAGTAGGGGCTTTACTTGGTGGGGCTGTCCTTTGTGATGTCGATCTCTCGAGGTTGTGTTTTTCTTTAACAAGTCCAAGGGGCATATCATCATCTCCGTCGACATCAAGTGTTGAGGGATCAGGAATTGGCCCATCCATCACCCACCTCTTCGAATCGTATTTCGTTCTTATAAAGTTCTCAATCTTGGCTTCTGATGGTACGTGGCCTGGAGCCAGCTTTGCTTCCCAATACTTGTTTGCTCTGGCATTTCCCCATTTCAAAACGCTTTGTACTTGTTCGTCTGTCCAGGAGTCCAAATCAACCGACTTCACTCGGCTTATGTGCGTTCCCATTCCACGATGTATTCCAGAACATCTTATGCACATGAATACTCCCAAGTTCCAGCTTGCCCATCTTGGATCTGTCAACCCGAATGCAGCTGTCAGCTTCTGGCTCGTACAATTATTGGAAGGATAGCGATGGAACCTACGTTTATTTCTTTTGCAGTCACAACAAACCTTATTACACTCGAGTTTCAATAGACTCTTAATGGTTTGGGTGTTTTGCGCAATACGCTCAGCCTGAGGATTTGCTGGCCTGCGCGACATCCTGGCGAGATTGATCAAATGAAGTTTAACGAAATCGAATGGTTATGATCCTTTAACGGGAAATATTAATTACAACAACTGTATGTAGGTAAGATTTGAAAGATTAATGTCGCGTGTCCTGACTGTTTGGAATTAATGTTTCTGAAAGGAGCTTTCTTGATTCCACACAAAGCGCACAGGCCCGGACTTGTGCCCCCACAAAAATTCGTGATAACCTTACCAACGACAATTTGAGCATATCACAGAATTGATAACTATGCTAATTATTTCATTTATTTTCATATTGGGATGCAAATACTGGAGACTCCAGACTATATGTGAGTGATATCACAGAAGCAACGTGTACAACTGTACAACATGGATGTACGATTATAGCCTCCATCTCTCCGTGCTATCGCGAACGGCCTGCATACCATATATTAGTGTTGAATAGGTACTCGAGTATGTTGGTGGAATTAGGTTCATTAGCCTCCTAGCATAAAGTCAAAATCAGAACCGATTCCCCTCCTCATCAACTTACTTAAGTCTGATGTATCACTGCCAATCTGCCCGAGCCAGTAAAACCACACACATGTCCTTCCAGATGAAGGACACCTCTGCTAAAGAGATTCCCCAACCTTATGATGAGTAGTTTGCCTACAGACCAACTGTTCGAATAATGGCATCAGGAGTTGTGTCGAGAACTTGAACAACTTGGTTTGACTAGGCACTGCTCTCGATAACTGTCGCGAAATCTAGACTCGGTAGAAAGAATATTAATGAACTAATCAATCAAGTTTTCTGTTTCTCGTGAAGCTTGCCTAGTAGGATGTCTAGATAGTAGATATATCATCGAGAGGCAAAACTTGCATATCAAATAGCCTCTTCTAGGTCATTATCATGACAAAGACAGCCTCCAAACCAGGTAATAGGTGCGAGATACTTTGAGTACTAGGTGTATTATTGACCATATAAGACCCCCGATCTTATCCATATCGAAATAGAATTCCTATTCCAACATCATAGTGAAAGTCAATCTTTTCCTCAGATCCCGGACTCATTTTATCAAGCCACACCCACATTTTGCATAGATCAAGACGTGCATTGCAGTGAGCATAAACATCGTCAGCCTCGGCACGTGTCTGTATTGCTTGTCTGGGTGCGTGAATACAGTATAAATTTGATGTTGAAGATACTTTCATCTAATAGAAACAGGCTATCATTTAGGATAGATAGGATAGACTAGAAGAATACTCCGTAGTCGCTATCAATTCTTCAAAGTACACTTGATCTGACCAATGGCTGTGCAATGTGACATAAGTGGCGCAGGATCCGGAGTACAAAGGAAAAGGAAAGTCAATGATTCCAAAGACGACTGTAACCTCACTTCCCACTCTTACGTATCACATAATTTGTCAGAATATTAAATCAAATCAATTACAACTTCAAATTTACTATAAGTACTCTCCATGCGGATCCCAACGTTTCCTAATCTCGTCCGTACATTTTATACTATAAGCAATTATACCCTTTCTCGTCTACCAGCAACTCAATACAAAGCCCTTCAACCCATCACTAGAGGAACTGTCCTGCGATCTATGCCAACCATCCCATTTCTCTCAGCTTTTTTTGGTACTTCTAGCTCCCAACAAATGTCTTACCCGGTCCAAAAATCCGAGGAAGAATGGCGAGCTGTTCTCTCTAAAGGTAAGCTTTGCCGGGCCATCCTAATTTACTATATAAACCCATCTAACATCTCCCAAGAACAATTCCGAGTCCTCCGCAAGCAAGGCACTGAAGCTCCCCATGTTGGCAAATACGACAAACACATGCCCGATTCTGGCGTCTACACATGCGCCGGCTGCGATGCCCCTCTATACCAAGCCTCCCACAAGTTCAAATCTGGATGTGGATGGCCCGCGTACTTTGATAATATTCCTGGCGCCGTAACAAGACACACGGATAATACTTTGGGCATGCAGCGAACCGAAATCGTTTGTTCGAATTGTGGAGGCCATTTAGGACATGTGTTTAAGGGCGAAGGATTCAATACGCCTACGGATGAAAGACACTGTGTCAATAGTGTGAGCATGAAGTTTGCGCCGGGAGATGAGATCGTAGATGGCTCGAAGAAGAACGGAGAAAGTAAGGCTTGATTCGGGAGTGGTGTATAATATCGGAAGGAGGTGGTGAAGGGACGGCGAAGCCGAACTCAAATAGGAGAGAGACTGTAACGATACCGACGCGAAGATGATTAACGAACTAGCAAGTGCTACCTGTATTGATAGTAATCCCTTAAGGAGAGCCTGGGGAGAAATACATATTTTTACGGAATGTAATTCATTCTGCATGTGCATTTATTTTGTCTGTGCCAGTTCCCTTGGTTCAATTCATGTTGCTTCGCTCTCCCGTACTCGTTATTCTTCAATTATGGTCCGTTTTGAAGCAGTTTGATCCAACTTCGTTCTATTTTATGTCAATCAGAGCTCTTTTTCTCATAATGATGCCATTTTCTTTACAATACATGGTTTCATCTTCGAGAATGGGCCATTCCACCAGGTCCCATTATCTCCAGAGGTTCTCAGTAGGCCCAACCAGAGGTCGCCCCTTAACAAAAATCCGCAGCTTGACTTCCCACCAGCGAAATACACGTTTCAGGGACATCATTTATCCTTCTATCATGCTTTTGTCCAAAATTGTTGAAAACTGAGTGAAAAACAAAGAGTGAGTCTTCTCAAGTTCGACTCCGCTCTTATGTACTAAACCAATTATGTAGATTTAAACAGATTTGATCTTAAATATTGAAGATGGGAACCATGCTCCTGATATCTGCGTGAAATGGTGGGATGCGTATATACTCATTTCCAAATAGTACGATGTGGTGTAATCAAAAGTTCGAAGAAAGGTGTTTGCGATTCGATGATGCGGGGGATTTATATGTCTTTTTGATATATATGGGTGCTGTATATTTCCTCTTATCAGAGGGTGTGCTAGAGATGCGTCGGCGGAAAATGCTAGTCGTGGAGAAAGATGCGTGGAAAGATGCGTGGAAAGATGTGTCGAAGGATGTGTCGAAAGATGCCTGAAGAGATATGCCTAAGTAGACATGCCGGGGATCTTAAAACATCTGATTTAAAATTTTAAATCGTTTTATAAGATTTTAATGATTTGAGCGTTCGAAATGTCGCTTGTAATACTGGCTGAGTGTATTTGAGGTTCGATGGGTGCATGAAAGGAAGCACTGGAAAGTACGCATCTTGGATCATCGAAGCAAGTTCATGTCGAAAAAATTCTTTGGCCAAAGCAGCTTTTGCAACCACTTAGCAAAGGCGATGAAAAAATAAAACTTCATTCGATCATGAACTGGTTCAATGTTCGATGAAAACCATAGCGAACGAAGCGGAGGCAATTCCTTCTTGATGGCGAAGAATTGAGGGTTAAGAATTCCGCCAAAGTTTTCCACCTCAAACCAATTCGTCGTGTTTTCGCAGAAGTCGGAGCCTCCTTTCGATCTTCGTCTCCATCTCACCAATCTTCTTCCGATTCTTCCTCACTTGACTCAATCGACTCTTCCTCCGTTGACTCGCTCGACTCATTGAACTCATCATCGATCGATTGGATTAAAGTCGGCAGATCTGTCTCAATGGCGTGCACATATTCGTCAACATTACCATCAACATTCGTCACCATCCTCAACGAGCTCCTCGCCCCGTGGGGATCATATTTGAAGCCCGGACGCTTTTTTCTGACACCACTACTGGCTCCAGTTAATCCTTTACCGGGAGCCACTTCATACTTGTGATAATACAACATATACCAAGGCTTTGCACTTAAACAATGCTTTCCCCTCTTCAAAAAATCCGCTCCAGCGGCCTCCTTCAATTGATTGAAATATCGATCCATCGTACGAACGCAGTAAGAAGACTTACGTGCCCTGCGGATGTGGGCCAAACGAGCCGCTTTTCTCAGGTGTTCTCTGACCTTATTTTTTATAGATTTCTTACATTGAAGATCGTTCTTGCGGTCTTTGCGCTCTTCCAAGTCAGCCACGGTACCCCAGCCCTGCCCATCTGGTCCCTCACGGATCATCTCGTTCATCCTCCGGATTCCCCCTCCTGTGTCTGGCAGCTCCCCGCCCATCATGCTGGGGTTTTGTCCTACAGTAATAGGGTGGAGGCGCGGACAAGATAATTTTACTTCCCTATTGATAGTCCTTCTTCTACGGCGCAAGAATTTTCCGGGCTGGTCTTCCGTCATGTTCCGAGCAATATCCAGCTTCAGCTTCAAATCACTAAATGAGCCACTGTGCTGGGACATAGGACGATTACAATAGAGTCGGCGGACAAGCCACTTGTATTTTTGAGGTGTAGGTCCTGAGGGAAGTGGAGTTCGATGAGCTAGACTATTTTTTCCGCGGGTATCGGATGTAAGATTTGGTTGGGAAGGATCGCGAGGCGTTCGACTGTTTGTACAATCAGTTCCAGCGGCAATTTTCTCCTTTTTTGTGCGTCGTGAGCGATTTGACGGAGGCAACAAGTCTGTCGTCGTCTAAATTTTATTAGCTGATGTGGTTACTTGATTGCTTTATTTCCTCTGTTCTGCCGTTGCAACCTGAAGTCAAAGGAGTGGATGGATACTGATATCACTTACTTTATCATCTACATCATCGCGGGCAAGGATTTGGGAGGACCAACACATTTGCTCGTCGAGACACTGGAGCTCCGCTAGCTCAACGTTCCCACGTACCTCAAGTTCCACTCTAGCCGACTTGGCAGACTTCCAATCAAAATCCCAACGATAAGGATGTGAAGGAGCAGGAGGGACTCGGGGACCAAGACAAGGAGCCGCGGGAGAAGCTTCCCTGAGCTCATACGCGTCAAACCAATCTTCGACGTATTCATTGACAGATTTAACAGGACTGTTAAGAAAGTGATTAGCAGCGCTGCTGAGATGGCTGCGCTGGACCATCTTTGGGGTTTCCATCTTGTTGCCTGCGAAGCTTGATCGATATTTCAGTAGTTCTTGATATCTTTTGGGTTGATGGCGGTTTTTATTTACTGAGTTAATTGGGATTCCGCAATGCAATCGGATTTTTCTGATCGATTTAAAATTTTCCATGGAAATAACAACAAGTCCGAAGCTAATATGCCCTTAGCGAGCCTCGGATATCTGCTTGATAGTTCTTACTCTGTATGGATGACTTTGAGACTAACTCCACCTCGCGGACGATTGGGATGAGTGTGAAACTTTAATCTAAGGAACGAGGAGCATCTTGTGCTGTCAATTCTATGTACGAAATAATCACAAGCATTACACTTCCCGAACCTCAAGTTTGAAAGTTGGTTAACAATTCGCTCTATAAATTATATTCTGAAGACATTAAACATATAAAGTATATACTAGAGCAAACACGTTTAAAAACCCTATATCAAAAGTTTAATATAATTTGAAGATAATAATAATTAATTTCCGGGCTTTGAAATTGAGTTTTGATAATTTTATATAATTTTAAATTTTATAAAAAATGTTTATTTATAAAAGAAAAAATAAACCGGAATTGATTAATGTATAACTTTACGATAATTTAAATTCTAATTTAATATTTAATTATATAATCTTTAATATAATAATTATATATAAATTTATAATTTTTTAATTAATTTTATTTGTATTAATTTTTTATAAATAATTTTAATTATTTAATAAAGAAAAAGATGCCTTTGTAAATATTATATTGATGAGGGTGCACGTACCATTTCATGTGGTCAATTTCGGCCTGTTTTTTCTCCTATGTAGGGGGTGGTTCTCGCTTCATCTTAGTTCGGTTAAGCTTGAGCTTCCCCCGCTAACGAACGTTATAAAACTCTTTAAATTCTGAGTCAAAAAATTATGAGTTCAGAACGAGAAGAAGGAGATTGAAAAAATTATCGTCATCATATAATTTCTGTCTCCTTTTCGAGACTTTCGTGTCTTTTTTCTGTGAAGAAATGACATTGTTTGTTCTAATGGTAGAAATTCCGAGACATGCTTAGGTAATGAGCTAGTACAGTACTAAGCTACTTTAGCGAGTGACTACAGTACTACCACCGCAATAAAAAGATTTGGTCAGATCTCCTTATACAATATTGGTGGGATTGATAGATTCACAGTTTTACCACTGGACAAAACTGGAATATGTTGCGTACCAACTTGCTATACAGTCTTCGAATAACAATATTCAGAAATAGAGGGGGTGAATCGATCTACAAATAAGGAAATCTTCATCCAGAAAACTACGTCCACTGCTCTTCGCATTACGTACTTGGATCTACAATAAATCAAATATGCTTTGACAATAGTTACATCCTGCTTGTTTAAAGTGTCTGAGATTCTATGATACCACGGTCTCCAATAGTCTAGATTTAAGTTTTCAAGAATAAGAAATCCCTTGGAATATTTGAATACAATTCAATATTTGGCTACAACTTAGTATTTCAACTACTTTGAATTATCTAATCATACTTAATATTCAAAAGTGTATAGATGGTTGAATGTAATTCATTATTTTAGTTGATTTAAATATTCCAAATAAATCAGAAATCCACAGCTTTTCATTATTAGACTCCAGTCCGGACTATTGAATACCCTGATTCTATCGAGAGCAAACCCGGTCCCGTCCCGTCGGGTTGATTTTATAAAGTACTTTATTATAGCTATCTTAAACACAACCTGACTTCTCAGCACCCGTAAGGCAAGAAATGCTAATTCTGCATAAATCTAGGAGCTAGTCGTGGTAGATCGTTTCTAGATTCTCTTAATGCTATCTATTATCTTTCCCAAGAGTCTAAACAAAAACTGTATTATACCCGATCAAGATTGCTTTTGGGACGCAAGTATCGTTCCGATGAGAATAGAATATTGAAAGGATTTAATCAATTTCAAAATACAAACCTAGTTTGTATATGATTGCTAGCTAGACTATACCTATCCTTACCCACTTAAAAGATCTTAAACAATCGTTTTGATTGATACTTGATGAAATTTTTGAGAGTTCTTGGTTAGTCTTGATTGAATTGTATGAATTATGATTTTACAAATTATATTAAAATCGGGATAAGATATATACGTCACTATCTATAAGTACATCTCAACAGACGTGGTCATGTTCGGACTCTTGCACATGTAAGAGTTGCACTAACGCTTTAGGACAGCCAATAAATATACATAACTTTTCACAAATTCAATATTATTTTGTTCTTGGCGGTGGCAAGTCGAGTGCTTTCCTCCTCTCGGACCCGTTCCCTGCTGCGCTGCGTAAATTCTAAGCTTGATGGCTAGCATGCAGAAAAGGCTGGCGGTATGGGTACAGACTTTGATGAACGAGCCTCTAATCCTGGTGGCCAACTCCGACTCCGGCCTCTTGCACAAGCTCAATTTAGAGGCTCAAATAACAGCGATAGTGACGAAAACCATAACCCAGTCTAGAAGAGGCCTGTGTCAAGCTAGTTATTTATTCACTTACGGACGGATCAAAAATAGCCCAAGTAGCTGATTTTAGCTTTTTAACTTTCGCTTACGATATTTGCCTATCATGATAACCGATTATATAAGTGGGACCTAGAAAGAATTTCTCAACCTATGATCTATGTTTTCAAAATTGAAATAAAATTCCAGTTCATGATATTTTATCTTGAAATTTAAATCATATATTGTTGAATATTTTTTGAATATCAAAATATAATATATAAAAAATTCAATGGGATATTTCCAATTTTGAGTTTGAAAAACAAGAGCTTATCTTTCCCTATTAGAACTTTTTATAAGGAAAGATTAATTGATTTATAAAACTTTTGATTTTGATAATGATTATTTGATTTTCAAACTGAATATAGATTTTATATTTATTTATATATAATATCAATTTCAAAACGATTCATTGGGTAGTAAAATCTAATCCAATTTTGAAAATACGGATTTTAGATGTGATTTTGTAATTTACTTACAGCAAGTCTCACGAGTCCGTGCATCCACTGGTGATCTTGCCTATGGACCCACGGAGACTGCATTGACTCGCAGCGTTGCAGTGTTCAAGTATTGTAAACAATAAATTGAAATATTCTTCGACATCATAAGACTTATAAGCTTTCATAACCGTCTCATTAGGCGCCCACGAAATGCCGAAAGACCGCTAATAGAAATATTCGAAGGGAAATAATAACTTCAGTGGCTGTTAATTTCTATATTAATTATACTATGGGCATTTTGAAAAGTTTGTTGCTGTCGGTACATCATATGATCAACCTCGAAAGGGAGCCGTACGACTAGTGCATTCTAGCCCGTACCCCTTTCAATATAAATAGGTCTCTCTCCTCTAGATAGATAATAATCATCCATGAATAAACACAGAAATACTACTATGCATAGCACAGTACCACCGAAGTGATACCAACAGTTGCACATCTGAAAGACCTATGTACAAACTCCTGTTAATCCGAGTCATACTAGAACCCGCTCATATTCTCAGCTGATCAGTTTCACCAACCTTCTTCTTCGTGAGGACAATTCAGGTTCACCTTGTTGCATATCTAAAACATCTGCATTGAATATTCCACCAATTGAAGACTTGATAGTGTAAAAGTGGTAGGTCGAGATACGTGCGTCCCGATAGCACGCTGTGAGGAGGGAATTGGAAGAGAAAGCTGAATTAGATTACATTGTAATACGTCACTTATGGGTAAAACGGGGTTCACAATGGTTTTGGGGTTGATGCTATATGGGTTCAAATGTATATATGTAGAAGGTTGATTATTGTGGAAAGAAGAGGCAAAAGGCTCTTCTTTATATCTAACTACAGAAGGTCATGTGATTGACTAGTTAAAACCTTTATGTATTTGGCCTATAATTCCAACTTTCTCACAATAGAATATCTAAAAGATTTGCATAAAATGACAGCCTGTTAGCCTCTCATTCTGCTTCTAACTCACCACTTGCAACCTATCACATCCTGACAGGAATAGTATCAGAGATCTGTTGCATATCTGAATATTTGCACAAAATCTGCGGCTAATTGGAGGTTATTTGACTAATTCTGAGAAATCTGCATAAAATGTTTCAAAAGTTATAAGAGGCCAATAGCATTTGTTTGCTTCTAACTAACCATTCCGCGCCAATCAACTCACTGAAAGGGCATGGGCGGTAGTGAGCATCTGTGGGATCTGCGCGGATCTCTTGTGTCTGGCATTCAGTATTATTTTTCTACTTGGTCACCTTACGCCGATCACACCACGGTGAGTCATGATGTCTAGCCGACTTAAAAGCTAAATTCGGTATGCATAAATTTTTGCCTCTTGATAGTAACAAACTTGATGATATGCAGAATTTGATATATCGTTGAGATATCCATGAGACATTGCAGTTTGAGTTATTAGACAGTCTGTATCAAGAAGAACTTCACAACATATTTATTTATTCGGAGTGATTGAAGATAAGACAAAACTTTCATCCATTAAACAAGCCAACTGTTTATGGTTGACGATCGGAGATCGACACCGTTTCATGACAAACGATTTCCTCAGGCGTTATCAATCTAACGAATTTCAGCGCTACTAATATGATCGCCGCCTTTCCAAGATATACAAGTAAAATTCACGGGAGCCAATGACCTCCTAAAATCCAAAAAATGTTATAAATTTTCCTAAAGCCTCTTCCCTGCTGCTGTAAAGTGGATTCTTCTTTCTGTCACTTATACATAAAATCGCAGCATTGCATTTGATCTCCAATATTAACTATTCTTACCCATTTAAAGACCTTAATCAATCGTTTTTGAGCGGCATTTAGTGAAACTTCTGAAAGTTTTTTCTTAATCTTGATTGGATTGTATGAACTAAGTCTAGGACCCTACTTTTGGGTCATTCTTTTATACCAAAAATCATCATTTTCGTCTGCTGATAACTTTACAACCAATGAATATAATTCACTTTTGTAATTAGATATAAAAGGAGAGCTTTTGCTTTTCCTTTCCATAATAATCAACCTTCTATATATATATATATTTGAACCTATATAGCTTCAACCTCAAAACTATTGTGAGCCTTGTTTTCTCCATAAGTGACGTATTACGATGTGATCTAATCAGCTTTCTCTTCCAGTTCCCCTTTACAGCGTGCTATCGGGACGCACGTATCTCGACCTACTGTTACGGATCTCGTATAAGAACGATCACGTGATTCCTTATCCCTATCGGTGAGCTGATAGCCTGTGCACATCTTGCCAGATTTACCCTTTTTAGTATGGGATTATGGTCACCCTAAGGCAGGATATGCACAGCCATACAGCTACCGTATAGGTATTTTGTGTATATATATAGATGCTCCTTACGAGCCATAATTCTTCAGTTGTAGATTCTAAGGAATATAATTGACCCTGTTTATTCAGCTCTTATGAGGCTCTTGTACGTCACAATTTATATTATTTAAAATTTAAAAATATCAATAAAGATTCATTTATATTATTTAAAATTTAAAATATTGATTTATTATATAATATTTAATCTAAAAATCTTAAAAAAAATTTATATTTTATTTTTAACAATTTTTGTTGAAAAGTTATTCAATATTTTCAAATTTGTATGTAAATTTAGTACAAATTGAAAATCGTAATTTCAACTTTCAATTTCTCAATCAATAAAATCGCCAAAAATTCGAAATTTTCAAAATCTACTAATAATTATATAATTGTAACGATCTCGTCGAGGCAGCGGCTGCCTGAGGTTTCGTATGGTTGGTAGTTGTGGGTTAAGGCTACTAATCACTGGTTATCCACTTGAAAGTGAATTCGTTACTAGATCAATTGGTAGGTAAACTAATTGATAACTAAGTTGAGAACGAAGCTCTTAAACTATGAAACTATTCTGACTATATACTAATGAATGGAAAGGAGCTCTAGGAGCTTTTGAAGCTCCCAGGGCTCCTTATCACGTGATTAGGATCAGACTATATGTATAATTTCAACCGTGAATCGTGACAATAATATATATATGATTCAAATTTCATCAAATCCTAATGATTAATTGTGAAGTTATTAATAGCTGAAAATGATGATTTTTGGTGTAAAAAAGTGTCTGGAAAGAGGGGTGGCTGGAAAGTAGGGTATTAGACTTAATTTATAACTCAAAAAGAGGGGTAGAAGGGTAGCAAAAGGCATTTCTTATATAATGCCTCTTTTTGTGCTAGATAGTAATAGATGGAGTAATATAGGTCATTCCATTAAGAACAATAAATTTTTTTGGTTGAGTAAGAGCAATCTATGGTAATATTGGACAGATACCGGTCGATAATGATAGTGCTACTCATTCCTCGATGGCAACAGTGCAGGCGGCAAGGCAAGAGTAGTAACGGGAAGAACTCTGGATCAACGACGACAGCGGTATACTCATCCCTAAAACGATTCGACGATAGAAAAGGGTCCTGCATATCGTCGATGACGAATACGAAGTATAGAATATTGTACTGAAAGAACAAATTTGTATATTGCGATAAGGCTATTTCATTCATGTTTCTTGACAACATACCCAACGGACAGACTGGCATAGCGACCCTCGATGACTTTATATAAAACATAGGAACAAGGTTAAGAAATACAAAATTGTATTGGGTAGGCATTTATGACAAGATAAATCTGTATAGCTGACAGTTTCTTTATACTCTATACAAAAGGCATACCAACATGCATATTTTCCCTGCTTGTGCTCAAACTAAAAATCCTGGACCACTTTTCGCGATCCTATCATCATTCTAGATAATAGTACATTGGGAAAAGTATATTGCACACTTCCTCAACAAGGATTAAGGAGGCCATGATATGAACCCCCACGAAAAGAATATCCAACCAGTGAAAGAAACATCGCCAGACCTTGATCAGCCTTCTACACCTGACATGCTTGGTCCAATCATAAAAGTACCTTCTGACTTATCGACGGAAACCCCTTCAAAACTCTCTGTTCCGATATGCGTGATAGCTATTGGGACTGTTGACAATAAGGGTGTTTGTGAATCTGAGCCTCTTCTCAATCTTTTGGAGGCTCCGATCTTAAGAGTGTTGGATGGGACTGCCTGCAAGCTAGTACTTATTTCGAAGGATTCAGAAACTTCAGAAGTGGTTGACGAAATGGCTGTCGTGCCCAAACCTTCCGAGGTAAAGGCAGAGCAATCGATCATTTATGCGCAACAGTTATTAGACCTTGTTGTTATCGATTTAACCGAATCGAATGGTGAGGAATCAGCTTTACCAATGACTCTTCGGGAGATGCCAAAGGATCAAAACTTGCTATCCTTCAGTAAGTCTTCGAACCTTATCTTAATCTTGTTAATCTAATATATAGTAGAAAGCTCGACTACATTATCAAGTAAGAAGCGTAAGCATTCTAAATTATCTTATTCAATTCCTAGTAAGCTCTTTCTAATTACCCTTTGTAATTTCTTACTTACCTATAACAGCGTCTGAAAGCCAAGATAATGTCTCACCGACTGATCGACGTACAAGACGAAAAACCTCACTCCGCAAACACCTTAGCGATGAAAATGTATTCTTGAGTTCTTCGATAAAAGATATTGAAGAGCTGCTTGAGGAGGATAGGCAAGAGATGGCGTTGGTGGAAAAGACGAGGGTACGATTGATTGCATTGAAGAATAAATTTCTGGCTTGGAGTGCTCATGACCAGAGGGTGACGGAAGAATGGGAGGAAGTGAGTAACTGGTATTAGGATAGGAATTTTTTGTATTTTAGCCCCAAGTTTAAGTTGATATAAATAGAGACAATTCAGTTTATTTATAAGTATATAATACAACAAAAGAAAATGACGAACATACATATTCAAGTAATTAGTTAGGATGAAGTTGAAGGAACTTGCGATTGGCATTATTTAGCTCCGGCTTGCCATGTCATCCCTTGAGCCCACCAGTGACCACAACACTTATATTACCCCACATTTCATGTGATGAGGTAGCTCGAACAGCTAAATATCGCTGTCAGAAAGTATGGAGGTATGTCACACTCCACCTTTAAGCACAAGGGCAATCTCGGGAGGATAATACTAGGGAGAAGGATATGAGCGAGATCAGGAATCTTTTGAAAGAAATGATGGGGAGATGGAAGAGAAGGTATACCAGAAGCTCATTTAGGATTTCCTGTTCATTGACCTAATTTAGTAATCTTAATATTTTTATATGATAAGATACATCCGCGTCTGTGTTGTATCTGTACGATCTAGTTTGCGACGGCATTTCTGATCTTGTCATTTATAATTAAATAGTTCAGATCGATGGGTAAAAAGAAGAATGAAGGATTACAAAAATAATCGAAATTCGTATGGTTCTATCTCCCCTGCTATACATAACTTCCCTCTTTGTCATTTGTTGATTTTTATCGTTGCTAAATCGCAATTTTCCTCCAAAGCCTACCTTTCTTTATATCAATAGTCAGCTAGCTATACCATAGTGAAGGCACTCCCAAAATAAAACTGAAAATCCCTCTTCCAAATATTACCCTACAGTATCAAGAATTCATCATGATCCCAAGGCAATCTGCATAAGCCTTACAGAGCCCACCTATACCCGAATAGCTCCAAAACCCCATTGCGCCTATATCTGGTTGTCTTGAATCTTAACTTGCTCAAGGTAATACGTGGATAGCTTCAAATGATCCTACTTGTTCTTTTGTATTCAACAGCTCTTGTGCGAGATCCTTCAGCTCAGCGTCATTATATCCAGCTACTGAGATCGATTTGATATGGACATGTAATTTGCTGGAGCTGGATGGACTATCCTTCTCTAATGAATCGAAATATTCTTTTGTGAAGATCGTATTTAGGATTCGGATATTTTGATTATGAATAGAGATAAGTCGGATCTGGCATTTGAAAGTTAACTTGAACCTCATATAGATATACTTCTAACTAACAGGTAATTTTCGTGGAGAAGGCCGAGATGTACACAATTGCGGTGATTGTTTTTCCATCATTTCTTTCTCCATCTGCTGTTGAACGCTATCATCATTCTTCCAAGCAATAAAAGCAATTCTATAAATTGCAATAAATTCGGTCGTTAGGATTTCATTATTCATCGCAGAGCACGAATGAATTGTGAGAGCAAGCGCTGTTAAATCGCCAGTCGTCCAAGTATCTGTGAAGCCCCAACGCAAATTATGGGTTTCATACATATCTCTATGTTGGTTGTCAAGCGTTAACAGAATATAGAGATATAATAAAACGGATTAGTATAACATACGACCATCCGTCAAGCCTTCCGAATCCTGCCAACTCCAATTCTTGCATATCGTTGTAGAGTCCAGCGGCGACATCCCGGCTGTTGAACCACAGATCAGTATGCGATAGAGGAGTCTCAGCACGGTCAGTTGAGGTTGTCTGAATCATAGGTATATCTTCAGCTGAATCAATGATGATACCAAAGACATCGCTGACTTCTTTCCTCAAGATTTCGCTTTCCCTATATTTAGACTTCCTCCAAATAAACTTGCAAATCTTGATTAGAGCTTGTCGGCGAGGCATAATGGAGAGCGACATAGTAAACTTCAATCGATCGATAATTACGTTGTGGTTCTGTGATTTCTGTGATTTATTTGCAATGTGTTCGCAGGTTTGTTTATTTACGTTATCGAATATATGGATTCTGCTTAGCTTTGTTGCTCTGACAATTTTTTGCTCTGACAACTGTTCAAAATGCCTTATCGAAGGCGGGTGTACGAAGGCCGGGTTAATTAGGAAGGTATCACACAGATATGCAGCCTGCCTATCAAAGTACTTTGCTTAACATATATTGACAAATGCATAAGGGGTAACTGTTAGTAATGTTATAAAGTTTAGTCTATCTCTCATTGATGTTTTTTTTAACTTGTACAATCCCAGCTTGCTGATTCAAACCAGGCCGATATCTAAACTTCCACATACTATTGAAGCGTGGCAACGCTCCTATGCCGAAATCAATAATAAAGATTTTAAAAATGCGAACTTCGCAAGTAGGAGTAAATTCAAACTCGAAAGCGCTATTCTTCTACGGGTCCTTCACATTAAAGCCCGAATCAAATCTTCATCTTCAATACACTGGATCAATGATAATCAAATATTTCCAGCAACGCAACGATCATAAGCCGAAGTAGCATTTAGGGGTCAGCACTTTGAACCACTACTTCGAATAATAAAGAATTTTTCCAAAGATATAGGGTGGACTTTGAAGGACTTCACAGATTCAGGATATATAAGACCATTTTGGTCTTTTTTGGCACTCATTGAATACAACGATATAAAAGAAGAAGACAAAGAATCTCCAGTACAATATATCACCATTTTTATTGCTGTATGAACTCGATATCAATAATTGTAAAGAGATCTTTATATAATATTAATCAAGAAATCGATTGGACAATTAGACCTTTTTGGTATTCTTGGAGGAGGTTAATCGATAATAAATAATAATTATTATAATAATAATATTATTTATATTAGTAGTGGAAGACTTAGTCGTATTTAAGCTCAATAGGGTAAAGTCGAATATAATCATAAATTGAAGTCAGAATAGTAGAGTAGAGATTTTGTTGCTTTTTCTGTCTTGTTTTTCTAAGGATTCTTTGAAGAAAACCTCTGTATTTATAGTATTTAATATGATTCTAGTATATTCTGTGATTAATAATAAGATCAATTTGAATCGAATCTTATAGAATCATTTTATATAATAAAAGGAAATAATAACCAATAATATTCAATCTGGTGAATAAGAAATTCTATACGCTTTCATTTCATTCTATTCCCTTATAAATCAATCTGATATGAATTATAATCGAAATTTCATATGATAATGAAATTTAATAATATATATGAATATTATTAATATATCATGTGATCATCCGATCATTGGTTCGGCTAATATTATTAAGTGATTTAATAACTTATTAGAAAATCTCACAGGTATATTGATCGATAGAATGAAGTTGGATATACCCAATACTACCGAATTAATTGAATTATTATTGTCCGATGAAGGATCCGTTGCAAAATACAAAACGGCCAGAATAAAGATATAAAATGAACAAATAATCAATTAATATCTTATCGACTTGCTACTGCCCATCTTTTAGTCTCTAGAAATATCTAGTAATATCAATCCATAACAGAAGGCTTAAATATTTGTTCTACAAGACTCCAAAGTCTACGAAGCTCGGATTGATGATATAGTTACATATCCCAACCGCAATACCAATATCCTAGATTTCTTGGAAGTGAAATATAATCATCGAATAGATAAAGTTTGTATACAAAAGGTAGCTTAAATAATAGCATTCATATATTCGAAGAACAAAAATCCACTTCGTATAGATGATAATCCCTCGGCTTTGCAATAGTACGTTATTTCTGTTACTTGCCTACCTTGCTAATACACTCTATAACTCGTAGCTCATATCCATATACATCAACAAACTATTTATCACAATAGCAAGCTGTAATCAACTATAAATAAAATTCCTAGACACAGAAGAAGGATTGAAGGAAAACATACCGGAATTGAAATCAGAAAATTTTCTTTATATGAAAGAGTATAATCCATACACTTTAAACACATATCATAATTTGGTTACAATATTAAAGTATCTTTATATATTATTATCAGATATATAACTTTGTTCCTAGAATTGTTAAGAGATCATTAAATCCTCTAGCTCGATTTGGTCCTGTCCTAACGTCTTGTTCGATAGAAGTTGAAGGAGGGTAGAATGAATTCTAACAATCGAACAAACCGCAAAGAGAGCGGAACAAATATTCTTTATTACAGTTGTACTGTTTTCTTGTACCTGAATATATCAACTACACATCCAAATCCTATATATTTGAAGCATTGCAGACTGCATCATCGAGTTCGGTATATATAGATAGATTTCTCTTTACCGAATAAACAATAATTATAAAGATCCCTAAAGATGATATTGCTATAGTTCAAGTTCGTCTTGCTTCTCCGGCATAACACAATATATAAAACCCTTCAACAGTTAAGACAAATTGATGAAGCAGGATAGTCCCTTGTATTCTTCAAATACTTCAGCTTGAAATATACATCCTTACATCGAACAACAAAACACTACTGTAATCTTTTCATTGGAAGGCTCCGCCATATCCAGTTCTCCCTGATCTTTACTAGAATACAATATTTTCAACTCGATTCTTATTTGCTATTAGAGGAATACGAATTCATATCGACAACTTTTATCATCAGTTACATCGATACATTCTACCACCTCCAACTATTTTCCTTTTTATACCAAACAAACTAAATTTCCTCATCATTTCCACATGAATTCGCCTAATTAGTAACAAAATATCTAAACTCAACTATTGTAAGACTCTATTACCTTTTTATTCGTCTTTTCGATTTCTTCCTGAATTTTTAATCATCCACCTTCTTCAGCACTCTTTTTCAATTGCTCGCTGAATACTATACTCGCTTTATTCAAACTTATAACATAATCTTCAATCTTGACTTCGATCATATACTCTATAAATTTACTGCCAGCTCTATTCTGGATTCCGTATCTGACTCTACTAGTAATATTGCTTTAGTCCCTATTGCAAGCTCTGGATCCGACTCCGCTAATGATTTTAGTTTGTAATCGAAGTATAGCCTTCACCAGACACCAAATCTTCTAGAACCCTTAACTAAATCATAAGTATTTGAAAAAGGATTATCTGGTTCATATCTCTTTTAGCTCTCATCCATATAAAAAACTGTATCAAACCTCTCTTGAATGCAGCGCTCGCCGACAATCCCGACGATATGCTCATCTGGCATCAAATCTACAGAGCTATCATCGAATCCATATTTCTTTGTATCAATAAAACTGCCATATCACTACACTAGGACATACTGGAATCAAGGTGGCAAATAGAAGGTCTATATAATCATAGACTTCCCTAATCTCTCTGTTAAAAAGAGAGAAAAAAAATGAAGGATATTATATTAAAGATACAAATAATATAATCAGTAATGGATATATTGAAATTGATTTTTACTTAGATAATATGAAATTTTCACTCAAATTTCAGAAAAAAAAAGCCACCGGTAGAAAATGCCATAACTATAAGTCCGTTACAAAAATATATACTAGTTGGCCGATAATCTGGAGGTAGCCAAAGAATATTTCGCACTTCTTCATCTAATCTTTCAGCTATCCAATGGTTTGACTTAAAGTACCGTTCAAAGGCTGAGGATGTCTCTAAAACCGAATGAACCTCGAGCATTTGAAGCGATTCGCCTGTAGCCGTATCCCAAAGCCGGATCGTCTTATCGGGAGAGCCCGAAGCTACCTTTGTGCCATCTGGTGAGAAGGCAATTGAATTAACCGAATCCGAATGACCCTCAAGCGTTTGAAACGATTCGCCCGTGGTTATATCCCAAAGCCGGATCGTCTGATCGGGAGAGCCCGAAGCTACCTTTGTGCCGTCTGGTGAGAAGGCAATTGAATTAACCCAATCCGAATGACCCTCAAGCGTTTCAAACGATTCGCCCGTGGTTGTATCCCAAAGCCGGATCGTCTTATCGAGAGAGCCCGAAGCTACCTTTGTGCCATCTGGTGAGAAGGCAATTGAAGTAACCCAATGCGAATGACCCTCAAGCATTTGAAGTGATTCGCCTGTGGCCGTATCCCAAAGCCGGATCGTCTGATCGTCTGAGCCTGAAGCTACCTTTGTGCCATCTGGTGAGAAGGCAATTGAATTAACCGAATCCAAATGACCCTCAAGCATTTGAAGTGATTCGCCTGTGGCCGTATCCCAAAGCCGGATCGTTTTATCGCGAGAGCCTGAAGCTACCTTTGTACCATCTGGTGAGAAGGCAATTGAATTAACCCAATCCGAATGACCCTCAAGCGTTTGGAGAACGGCACTCCAATTTGATCGTGTCCTTGATATTTTATAAATCCAATTCGGCATACATTTTTGAAATTTTTTTCGAATAATACTATTCTCTGGAGCAAAAAAAAGGGCTGAACAATAGATTTGAAGAGGAGCTTGTTCAATTCCTATTCGATTGTAAAGGATAAAGCGTTTAGCGTCATGTATAAAAGTATAGAATTCAGAACCTTTATTAGCCTTTATTATCTATTAGCTGAATTCCTAAAAGAACTATCAAATAGTATTGACATACTAGAATATAAGATTCTAAAGAACTTATTGCGTTGATGCTCTCTGAAATTTTCCCCATCAAGCTCATAACCTCCAGCCAATGTAGCAAATGATTTTTGAGGAATTCATAAATATTGCCGTTATCTTGAATGTATTTTCTGTTTTGTTCAGGATCCCCATCTCTTAAATGGTTAATCCAGTAAATACAGGAATATCGTATAGAAGCCAATGGATCGGGATCGCGCTGCTTAACTTTATCAATAGGGAAGCCAGGATAGTGTAAGTTGTATATATTGTGTTTGAGTGTCTTGCTCATAACGGTCATCGAATTTAGAAATACCTTGTTATGGATTTCGCTAATACCATTGGGAAATATAGTTTTAGCAGCCTTTGTCAAAAGGAAATCCTTCGCTGATTGGTGAACAAAGAATATACTTTGCTCTCGAATAACCAGAAAAGAGCGACACAGTTGTATGATTTTTTTTGGTAAGACTTCATCCAAAATATTTAAAGATACCAGTTCGTCAAGAGTAATAGATCGATATGTTGTTACCATAATAGCGAGAACCTGAAAGCAGATGTCGGTCTCATATTTAGTTCCCTTATCTTGTACCTGTCGCAACATCCGATAATATAGGGAATCAAGTCCAGGAGGGAAATCATATAGTTCCAAAGGTATGGGTAGTTGAGCATTCTCAAGATCTTGACAGACCAAAGCCACCCAAAGGAAGGTTCCACCCGCATTTTTTGTGAGATAGTGTTCAACATCATGATACCTCTTTTCTGTATAGTTCTTTATTTTAGCAAGATGTTCTACCTTCTCTCGCACATACCGCTTGATACCAGCAGATAATGATTCAGTATTCAACTCGAGATTGAGCGTTGTTCCCTGCTCGGCCTGTTTTAACTTCTCTTCGATTTCAGGCCAGTTCCGACTTGAGACAAGCCATTTAACACGAGAAGAGATGGATAAGTTCGAAACAATCAGGCTAAGTAATTGTGGCAAATCTTTTTGACATTCGTCAAGTGCATCAATGATCAAGATTGTTGGCTTCAAACTCTTGTCCTTTAACATAGCTATGAGAATCTCAGAAAGAGTTGTGAATGTGTTGGTATCTTTGAACAAATGTTCTCCTGCCACCTCAAATTTCTCTTGTAAATATGAGGAGAGGGCAGACTGCCGATTTATAAGCATATAGATAAGGCTACGTAGAACAGCTGTAGCACTATTAATACGTATGTCAGTATCTTGACAAAAAAAATATGCCAAGATAGTTTCATCCGATCTCTCCAGCTCATTTATTATACCGCAAAACAACATGGTCTTTCCCTTGCCAGAATCTCCTTTGATCCACAACAGACAACTATCTTGATTGTAGCGCCATTGTTTGAAATCTTTGTTATCGAAAATCCAGTTGGATACATTTTCGAATAGTCCTCCTTTAGTCTCTTCGATACGTTTCTTGTCCATTTGTGGATCAGTAGTCCGCAAAGCAGCTAAACAACGATTTTGCTGGTCGGAAGTTGTAGCATTGTAAGGCTGGTGAAGTTGAGCACCTGTTATATAATGTCAATTGGATCAGTCAAAGGAAAAGAGTTTTTAACCAACCTATTCGGAAATCACCCTTCATTTTATGGCTTATACTTTTTGTTACTCCCAAGATTTCTCGCTCCACCATATTTTTGAACGTTGTTTGTGGAATATTTGACTCAATTTTAATACAGTTTTTATAGCATTGTTTAAGTGCGTTGATATGTTCCCAATCTTTGGTATAGATTTGACATAGTAGTTTCAGAAATGCTTCATGCTTGAGACTCATTAAGTTCGCAGGTTGGACATTCGACTGGAGGTTGATCGATAGCCAAATACGATCGTCCGTCTCGAAAAATGGAAGATAATCGATATTATTCCCATTGAGCAAGATTGGGATGATCCCATGGTTTCTTCCCATATGAATAGCACGAATCTCCAAGAAAGCCAGTTCGGTGAGCACACGGTGATAACCATCTTTTGTTCTATATTCCTTTGCAATTTTCCGTATCTCTTCCTTGAATTCTTCCAAACCATCCAAAGTCTTAAGACGACTTCCTTTTTCAAACTTAAAATAAACACCTTTAATAGCTTCGATATACCCCTTCATTCTCTTATCTTCGAGATAATGCTGAATCACTTCTGAACAGAATAGAATGACTCTGTCGATACTCTTGATATCAAAACTGTCCTTCACTTCGACAAAACTTGGTAGCAAACAGAATTGGTTTGACATTATATCGCTTCCTGCAGTGCCGTCTTCGCGATCATACCAATGCTGAAATGGTGATCGGTCGCCAAATACTTTTGATGTACTGACTTTCAACCATTCGAAGATCTCTGTAGCCAATTCATAATCTGCAGCGTGTGCATAGACAGGAAAGACTGTCGGGGAATGTTTTTGGGAAAGGATATCTAAATTGAAAATTTCCTTGAGAATCCTTTTAAAGATCCAGTCGCGCCCTATAAGGTGTTAGATTTATTTGTTATAATCTTTAACCAATAAATGTTCACATACGTTCTAGTTTATACTGTTTAATAACACTCTTAGACAATCCTGGCCAAGCTTGCCATAATAGGGCTATCAGAGCCACAACCGAAGTAATCAGAATGATAGTCCACATCACGTTAAACTGGGTTCTGGCTATACGAATATCTAAGAGAATGAATCTATAGATATCCTGACCAAAGCAACTACAAAAAATCACTAGGAGTCAATATCAAGCAAATCAAAATATGTGAATGAAAAGACTTACTGAAATATTATGACTAGAATCCTAATTCAAACCTAGATATGTAAAGAAGAAAGTTTGTATGAGCTGTAAAATCCGCAACTCATCAAGAGAGAGATTGTCTATAACAGCTGGTGTGTGTGTGTCATTATTTAACGGCCGGAGGCCGAGGGGGCGAAGCCCCCCCCCATTCTCGTTATATCCCCTGTTGGGGCAAAGGCCGCCAGGGAGTTACTCCTGGGGTTCCAATAGTTACGTGCATGTAGCTATATCTAAAGATTGTAACGATTCCTAGGCGCATTTCCATAGCTGCCGTGATCCTGAAGATTGAGATGAAAGTCTTCCTCATAGTGGTAATATTACGTAATAGGAAAGTCTGCCAAGCCGTTGCTGGTCCGCCTACGCCCCGTGACCTTCTTAGCGCTCCTATAAATGTTGATTTTTTATTATTTTTTTTTCAAATTACATAAGGAGAATTACAAAGGAAACAGTGTCGTTATTATCAATTTGTTAGTCTGCGGGGTTGTCGTTGTCCCCAGAGGGTTCGTGATCTAGTGGGGGGCCCTCAGGGTCGGGGGGAGGATGGTATCGAGGGCATATATCCGTGAAGAAGCCGTTTCTTTTTGTCCACTCTGCGAGTACCTCAGCTCCTTCGTATGTACCGCAAAGGAAGGGTAGGAGGTCAGCTGGTTTGCCTTTTGGTCGGGGATATTTTCTCTTCGCGGTGCGACAGAAGAAGAAGTGCAGGGGGGCTTTGCGGGCTCCGAATCTGCAGCTAGGGTGGGCATCCTGGTGATTGAAGCGTTCGTGGTATGCGGCAAAGTCCCCATGTCCTGTGCGGATCGCTAACAGCCGCCCTAGGAAGATCCTAGGCAGGGCAAGCTCTTTAGGGTTTTTGGGTGAGGAGTGTATCTCCAGATCTTTGTAGGATTGAGGTATCACCGTCGACCATAGCCTGTTGATTGCTTTTTGTCTGCGGACTTTGGTCTCTCTTCTGAGCCCTGCGTAGGAGTAACCTCCTTCGGGTTGTGGGAGGGCGGCGCCCGCTTTAGCTGCTTTGTCTACTGCTTCGTTTCCTGTTACATCTTTGTGTCCGGGGACCCATCGGATGTGGACTGTGCCGTTAAGCCAGCTTGTTGTCAGCTGGCGAAAGGACGTGAAGACCTCCTGGGAGGAACATGTAGAGTTTGAGAGGAGCCTGGCTGCAATCTCGATGTTGTCCAGACAAATCCATATGGCTTTTGCTGTTCTTGATTCGATCGAGGTTATTGCCGCTCTGAGGCCCTCGAGTGCTTCTACCGCTTCTGCATCATACATTTCTTTGTTCTTTCCTAGCGCAGAGCTTCCTTCGCAGATCTTGCGGTTGTCCTGATAGCCGACGAAGCCACCGCCCGTGCTGCCGTTTGCATGCTTCGACCCATCTGAGAAGATTACGATGTCTTCCCGGGGGAGTAGATTGTAGAAATCGATGAAGTCTACCGCGGCTTCATCTTTGGTTCAGCCTTTGGGGCCGTGTATATGGTCCAGGACTTCGTCTCTGGTTTCGAGGTCGAGCCACTTGGGGGCTGCTAGGGGGTTGATCCGTTCCGACGGCGGGAGGGACAGGATGCGCCTGGCGAATCGGGATTTAAAGTGGTCTGGGTTCTCTTGGATCCATTCTGCTCTCCACGCCAGGGGATGGTAGGGGTCCAGTCTTCTGGTTCTGACTGTTGCTGTGAGGGCCATATTGTCGAGTTCAATCTCAGGGGGTCTTAGTCCCGTTTCTCGGTAGAGAGTTGCTGTGTTCGTTGTTCTCCAGACCGGTAGTATTGCTCTGGCACATTCTAGGGAGAGCTTGTTGAGGGAGTTGATATGGTTGTCAACTCCATTATTGATGTTGTGATCCCTGCCCGGGCGTGTTCTGCCAGGCCACCATGTCTCAGCGCCGTAGTATGCTTTTTTGAGTGCGCAGGCCTCGGCCGCTTGTCGAAGTAGGTTGGCTGGAACTCCTCTTATCGAGTTTCCGAGGGATTTGAGAGCCTTGGCTACCACCATTGCTTTTGCAGCGAGCTCTCTTACGTGACATTTGAAGGACAGCTTTTTGTCGAAGAGGATGCCAAGCTACCGAAGATAGGGCCTACCATTGCTGAGTTCTTTGATTACTCGGCCTCCCATGGTGACTTTTGGGGTTATGTTGGGGTCCTTGTCTCGCTTGTGCTTGGAGAAGTGAATTAGTTTAGACTTGCCGGGGTTGAAGGTGATACCCTCTGATGTGCCCCAGTTCAGGATTTCGTCAACTGTGGATGTGATTCGTTTGGTATTGTCGGCCAGGGATTTCGAGGCGGCCAGTATGGCTAAGTCGTCTGCATATCCGAATTTGACTGTATCATCCCCCATCTTGAAGATTGGGGCAATGTAGAGCATGAAGAGGATTGGTGAGATGGGGGAGCCTTGAGGGAGCCCACATTCTATGTTCGTTTTTGGGCCTATGATTCCGTCTAGTCGAACCTGGACCGACCAGATATAGGCCTAGACTATCAGTAGTTTTCAACACAACCCAATTACACATAGTCCCTAGATGTGATATTGATAGGTTATGATTTCATGATTAACCGCCTAGATATTATATTAGTAAGAATGATATTTGAGGAACAGCTCTTTCTCAATCTACTAGTGCTTTTATTCAATCCTTATATAGAAATAAAATTTATATTCTATCACCAACTCATTTTCCTTTAATACAAGCCAGTTTCACAAAAGGCAACATGATGTTTGATAATACAGCTGGGAGCCTTCGAAAACAATGGAGCAACCCTGGGATATCTTGAGCCTTCTTCTTCTGAGAGGTGACGATACAGTGCAGAAGGCTATGGCTCAACACGTTGGGTACACTCTAAGTCCTTTTGGAAGTAATGGTCTGAGTATCGGTCTTACACCCGTGGCATTTTCTTTGTAGGCACTATCGATTCCATACTTCAATTTTCCGACCCTTATCTGCAACCCCTAAGCTTTCTGATATAGCTTGAATCGTTCTTTTCTCTCTCAAAGCATCCTTCAGCAGCGAATACTAATTATTCGATGTTCTAGTGGATGGGTCGCCTATGGGTTCACAAACCTGTTATCCGTTACTGGAGAGAGGAAATTGATGCCGATAGCTGATGTTCCGGTTATCGTAGTGAACTGTGCAAATGCTTTTGCTAGGACAAACCAGTCTTGCGTTCTTGGTCGATTGTTATGAGACCACGAGATAAGGAACGAAGTCGACTCATCAAACCCATTCAACGGCCAGCTTCTAAGCAACTCGCCGCAAGGACGAGCAGAATCAATCAGAATCGATATATTTGAGCTTGGAGCACCTTTAAAACCAAATCTTGGTCTAGTATGGTGGTTAGGGTGGGTGACTATCATTGCGGAGATCGGAATTGCTACTCCACCTTGGTATCTTAATAAAAACTGGGGGATTATGATGATTGTTCTATGCGGAAACTTTTTAGCCTTTCTTACATGCGCCTTGCCACAATGGAGACAGGAAAATGGGGCGGGCCGAACCTTAGGTTCGGACGAGGTTACTTGCTTGACACGTGGAAATGGATTTGCTCATATCATGGTATTTATCGGCCGCAAAGGGTCCTGGAACCTCGAAACTCTCGCGACAGCTAGCTCGACTCCTCGCACAGAGACCCCTGTTATATCTCTGATATTGGCTGTTTTATGGATTTGCCTACTTATCAGTGTATCGGGGCTTGAGGAACACGCCTGGTATTTGGTCGGTATTGGAGGCATTGGAATGTTACAGGACGTCTTTGCTGCTGGAAAGGCGCGAGATCCTGGTGCTTCAGACTTCCATCTTACTAGGTTCTCTCGGATGCCGACTATAATTGGAAAACGCCAAAGATTCGACGACGATCACGATGCAAAGGTAAACCTTGATCAGACCAAAAACGATTTATCACAATTATATACATGGTTGCAAACAAGTGATCTAAGTGTGCAGATGTCAAAGTGGTTGGATTCAATGACGAAAGAAGATGGTGTACCAAATTGGTTGGAGCCTATAAGATTCGGAAAAAACAATATTGCGAATGTCCATGGTGCCTTACAAGAGCTTGAGAAATGGGTTCCTACTGCTGGACTTGCGATGATGCAAATGCTTTTCCTGCCAGTCTTCGGTATGAAGACGACCATATTAGGAACAATGTGCATAAAAAATTCTGGAAAAGGGCTTATCATACGAGGGATGTTAGGAAGAAGGCAGAATATAAGAGGAGGGAATCAGAAAGAAATCATAAGGGAAAGAATGGATATGAGAAGAGTGTATTTTCAACTAAAATGCCGGTTTAATATCTTGAGCTTAAAGATTCACGATGGATTCGTTTTTATTCTGTCCTTTTTGAGTGTAAAAGAGTCAAGGTGAAACCTCAAAGATGAAAGATCTTCCGTCTAACTTATACCGTATATCTAAGTACACCGGCTTGGACTGCCGAAGTCTGCCGAGTCAGTCGCGGTTTTATACAGCCTTGACCGTTGGCTCAGCTGCTTGGCTCTTACAACTCCAGAAAACGGTGGTCTACCGCTCGCTCAAAAGCCGTTTCTTCTCATCCTCAGTTCCATCCGTGGACCCAGAGTATGGTTTTCTCCCCATCATATTCCCGGCTTATTCCCAGCCTAATGATCGGTGACCGAAAATCCAAAGCACGTAAGGTTACCGTTGATAGCCTTGGCAGACCCATAGAAAACAAAGAACCGAGGAAAAGATAACGACAAACTCAGCCTGAATGGCTTTCTTGGCCTAGATTCTCGGTGTGGTAATTAAGGCGTTTTCGCTCTCCAAAAGTCGGCGACCACAATGGTGACCAAGATTTGGACCAATAGATCGTACACAAAGAATCACATAAGATATTATTAATGTATCATCCAATCATTACCGTTTTTGAAAAACCATTGGTATAATTTTAGCAACTTCCATTGGTCAATCGTATCATCTATCGTCTCTACAAACTCTCTCTTTATTCGTACAACCAAAAGTATATCACACATAGATCCTGTCACTGATATCAAAGTGGAATGTGACATTCTTTTTGATAGTACGAGTAAGATACCGATCTGTTCAGTCATAGAAGGCGGGGCTAGGCTCCACTTCGGTAGTTCCAACACCTAATCGTTGGCCAAGACGGAATTCTGTAACGTTCACTGGCTAGTAGGCACTCTTGCCTCGGGTTCGTCGGAAACTGTCTTACTTACATAGACCTTCGTCCTCGATGCTATAACTTATGGCTTACCTGGGTAGCTTGTTCGTTTGGTTGTTTATCTGTCCACTGCCGCTTATTACTCGTATCTTTATCATTCGTATCATTAAGTTCGCGACGTCTCTTTCGTGGTAGACCATGGCTACAGTAGAAGAACTCCCCGTTATCAGCAAGATGCTTTGGATTTACTAGGAAGTCTTTGTATTTCCCAAGCTCTACCACCGTCATAATCTTGTTTACAAAGCAATAAACGATCTGACCACGTAATTCCTCAAATTTCTTCGTGAAGTCTTCCACAGGTACGTAATTAACACTTTCCTGGGGACGTATCTTAGAATTTTCGAAGCGTAGCTTATGCTTTGCATATCTCAAAACTTCTAATCTTGTGTTAACCATTTTCTCTTCAATCTGTAGGAGACTCTCCTTAATACACTCTTCCTGCTTTAACAATTCCCCGATATCCTGGCTGCTTGAAGTCTTTGCCTTGGCTACTACTGCTTGGATCCTTGACCGCTCAGCCTCGGTTTCGGCCTTCTTTTTCTCTAGATCTATCAGACTTCTCGTTTCAAATAGTTGACTCCTCAAAGCATTGATACGCTCATCATTATCATCATTATCAATCACGAATTTTTTATGCATCTTATTCAGTATGGAATTAGCTGCTTTCAGATAATTTTTCAGACGCAAGATTTGATCTTTGGAGGTATCAAGCCTATTATAAGCCTCATCCCTAGATGACTTCATGTTCTGGTTCAAGTCTTCTAGATCTTGTTTCGTCTTCTCCAATTCCTCTTGTCCCTTATCCGCCCTTTTTAACGCAGTTCCTAAATCGATTAATTGTTTTTCCAGGCTGCAAATTCGCTCTACCTTTTCCCGTAATGTTTGAGTAACCGTCTTCTCTTTCTGGAGTCGTATTTCATTCTCTGCCTTGGCTGCACCTAGTTCACTTTTGAGGGTGCTTGCGAGTTCTATATTTCTTTGCCTGGCATTGTGTGCTGTTTTTAGCCTTTCTTCAAGATCCTTAGTAACCATTCGTTCTTGCTGCAACTGCTTCTTCACCTCTATGAGCTCTCTTCGAGCCGTTCGAGAGATTCTGCTTTTTGCCGTTGGTTCTCGGCGGTTACCCTTGCCATGTCCAGTTCTGCTTGGAGGTTATGTATAGCCTGATTTTCTTGTTTTAATTCTCCTGCCTGTCTGCTTACAATGGCGAGCATCTGCTTCATATACGGCGTCTCTGTTTTAACTTCAGCGCCTATTCCGTCCGTAATAGCGAGCTGCTCGTTCGAAAGGCGTTTCTGCCACTCTAAAACCTTCGCATAAGCATTTTCGTCATGAGGTAAATTTTTCTGGCTGTAAATAGCAATGAACTTGGCTATCGAGTTTCTCAGGTCTTCTATCTCACCAAACTGTACTACTTCCATAGGAAGTTCTTCAGATTGGAGTTCATTTGAGTGGATCGTCTCGCAATCGCCACCTTTATAATTCTGCTCAAACTGGAGTCGCTCTGTAAAGGTTTTATTCATCATTTCCACTCCTTCTGTAGTTTCCTTAATTTGTATGAGTATTGTATTCAAGCCTCTGTCTTTAATAGTAGCTACGGCTTGGAATTCCTTAGGGATTCATCCTGCTGTTGACTAGCCCGCTCTAATTCGGCAATTCTTTCTTGATAGACTTGAAACATCCCTTTGTTATTTATATCCTCTGCCCTTTGTAAATCACCCCTCTCCCATTGAACAATTATCGACCGCAATGCTTCTAATTCTGTTGTTACTCGTTGTGAATATGCGGTAAGCTGCTGTGCCGCTGATTCTTGCCTATCACTCTCAGACTTATATTTCGAGATACCACTCTCGAATTCTGCTATTACCAAGTGACATTTCTTTAATTCAACCGCCATCTGTTGTTGATCTTGGTAATGCTTTGCTTGTAAGACTTGCATTTCGCGAACAGATTCGTGATCTGCAATTTTCCTTTCAAGAGTCTCTATTTTCTGCTGACTCTGCCGCAAGTTCTCAACCAACTCGAGATGTGCTTGCGAATTTTTGCGTGACTGATCAAGATTGATGGTCTCCAACTCTTCAATCTTGTTCCGGCACGTCTGAATCTCGGCAAGTTGCCGTTCAGAATTCACTTGAGCCTCTGACCACTTTATATTGTAACAAGAGATTCTCTCTTTGTTGTTCCACGACCTGCCTTCTACACTCTTCTAGCTGCGATGTGTCTGCGGCATCTTGAGTTTCATTCCTTACCGGCACGCTCGTCTGGGATTGACTCTTAGCTTGATAAGTCTGATTATGGTCACTTAGCTGTTGTGATCTACTACGACCATCGACGCCTACACCCTCCATCCTATTGCCATAACGAATGGCCTCAGGAGATATTTGTGGAAGACGAAAGAAAGAAAGCGCAATGCTTCGTTTAACAAATAAATCTGTGATATACTTACCACTCTCTGGTATTTCGTAAATATTGTGTAAGAAGAAATAAGGAGCACAATCTTGGAGTGCCCGGCTGTGCGGTCTCCCATACCGTTGTTTTATCTTGACATCCGAGAGTGTGGTAGTCCATACCGGTAGCTTAAGGATTTCTTGTTGCCTGTCATTAATGCCGGTTAGAAGCTGGCAGTGGCCTGTGATTTCTGTTTCGAGATCATAATCATATTTAGCCGGCGGTCTAGCTATTGTGAGCATGTTTTTGGCATGCTCTCGATCCGCGTCAGCGTTGAGGCTGCTGGTGATTGCATTGGACCTGAATCCAAGGGCATTCGCGAGCCTAGCAAATTCAAGGAGGCATTGTGGGTCGGGGCCGATACTCAGCACCTTTTGCTTATTATCCGACTTCGGGATAACGCTTGTAAGTCGATGGAAATCGCGCATAGCAAGCATGCACATTTGTACATACGCTATTTGGAATTCTTCTTCGTTGTCCATCTGCATATCCCCATATTTAGTTAACCCATTAGCATTCTCCAACAATATGTAGTCTCCCCCATATCCATGCCACATGCGTTGCATTTCATCTCTCACCTGACAATCTATTGGGTCGATGAGTGTCCGCATCGCTTTCGCACAGTCTTCCAGGTACAAGGAATCTTTGGCGAGCGTCTTGATCGAGAGGATTACTCCATCAACAGCAACGACGTTCTGCAACAGTCGCAACCTTTTGGCACCATCATATAATAGAGGAAATGCACGTTTACTCTCGATGGCTTCGGTGATAAATTCTTTGTCGGCTGATGATGTTTTAGGCGCCCTCACTTCAAATAGCTCCGCAGTCTCAGGATCTAGATTATACGTAAGCTCTTCGTCACCATCGAGCATAGAGGCCCAGACGTGCTTAATACGGTCTAAATATCTTATCAGTTCCTGGGATGGCATGTTAGCGTCGCACATGCCATGGAAAGAATACCTACATCATCACATCTGAGCGATTTATATCGGTGCAAAGTACCTTTCTGAAAGGATGTCCAGAGTCCGACAAATGGCCTTAGAGATGTGAAGCCCTTATACAAAGATGGCCTCTTCTCGATAGCTTTGAGGTCATTCTCCGCGTCATTTGACCGCCACGCCGTTTTCCAATCAGGCTCCGAATCTACGAATCGGAAGACAATCCCATCGTTGTGTGGAATGGACTCGATGTTACGGTTTTGCTCTTGCATATGACACTTGTAGTCCCATCTCTCTGTACTGCTATTAGATTCACTTATATCAGTATTCAAGACTTTTTACATACCTTCATCATGGAGGTCGACCGCCCACCACTTGTTGCGGGAAAATATGCTGCTTTGCAGCTTCTAATCGATGTTGCCCGTGATAATACTTCAAAATATTGCCTTCCGAAAGGTCAAGATAGTTGATGGATTCTGGATCTTGGAGATCACTGATCGTCAATTTGGCGCGGGCTAGAGCGTTAGCAAGAACAGTCCGAGAAATTTCGGCCTTGATACGGTTTTCTCAAACATTCGGAAAGCATCCTAGACGTCTGAAATGTTCTAGCCAGTACTTGGCCTTTCTTGGTTGGAGAGGAATTCGGGGCCGTCCTGCAGGAGGTTGATATGATAGGTTCTCTAACCTGACCATGGCCACGCCGAGGCGCGGTGTCTCACGGGAGCGATCCGGAGGCTCAACATCATCACGAGGGAACGCTATCCGGCTAGACATCTCATCCAACTACTCGTAGACAAGACGGGTAGATCATGGTGTTAACGTATGGATTTAGTGACTATTATGTCTTGTTTGCATTTGTATCTTCGCTATCCTAGACCAGAATCTATTTTTGGACTATAATAATATTTGCTATTCGCTACCGCAGTACTTTTATTGGAGCCCCGGGATACTCGTCAGCAGAATATTCTACGCAAGTCAGAATATTCTACGTACAATAATATTCTACACAATTCAGAATATTCTACGTGCAGTAATATTCTACCCCAAGCGTCATCCGCATCTCAGATAAAACACAATTGATACATTTTTGTTTACTACCGCAATATACCCTAAATTGACATCGCTACAACTATCGGATATTAGATCCAACCACTAATCCATTCGAAAAACCTACATCAAATCTTAGAAAAAATCCATTGTAATTATCTCTCCCTCTATCCTTAGATCCTATCTTCTTTATGATCCTTCGATGTAGAGATAGGGCTTGTGGATGTTGAGGGGACCAAGACTGTATATGGTTTTGTAGGGACGGAAGTGGTAGCGCCGACATCACGTATAATTTGTATCTCGTCTTACCTAGAATGATCTGCGCATCCTTCAATTTCAGTTTCTTTATCGATATATACATTTGGTTCTTAAAGAAAGCTGGGACGTATAGGGTTGCTGTTAGAAGTGGTGGTGGGTTGAGACATCTTTATTTCGAAGAAATGAAATGTGCATGAGTTGAGAACTGAGTTGAACGAACAGACCTGGCAACATATAGTTTTTCAAACCAGAACCTTCCCCAATACTCAGCATTATCCTGCTCACAGATGAGCTTCCCTTCTCGAAGAGGCTGCGTAAAGGTTTGATTGTCACCAAGTTATAATCCTTTCCGAACAACCCCTACACTATGCATTGGAAAGTCACTCGATGATGTCAATTGGAGGTTTTCAGCCTGAAGAGGATGATTACATTACATTCTTAAAAGAAAATTTGAGGAGACTTTTAAAGTATTAACTAAGTATGGAGCAATTTATGAAAATCCAAAATTATAAAATGTTATATATTTCTTAATTTAATGATTAATGATTGTAAACAATTATTTATACCTTTTTTTTTATAACAGAACTAGATATTTATAATATCATTTTAGATAGATTTTGATTAATAAAGATTCAAGCGAAATTAAAGTGTTTTTATCAACATCTAGAATAGTTTATAAAACAATCTTATATTATCTTTTATTCCAATCAAATTCTTTTTATCTAATTATCTTTTGAGAAATAGAAAATCGATCGATTTGTTGAACAAAATATTAAGCGATGAGATCATCAATTTGAAAAGTATTAAATTGGAAGAAATAGATAATTACATGAATCAAATAAGATTGATATTCTATAAAAACAATCTTTACTATTATAAATTATTATCGAAAAGAAAATTATAGTTCTCAAAGAACTCAAACCATTTTTTATTCGATTAATTACACCACTATCGCCGATTTACAAATCTCTTTCCCATCAAAAGTTTGAAGTATTCGATTTATATACTATCACCTCTATTACCTTCTAGCTTATATATAAGAAACAAAAACAACCGAACTCTCCATAATCACTTTGAAGGAATTCGATAATATATTGAAAATTCGATACAAAGAATAATATATAAAAGAATAAATATTAGTTATACTGATTGTGACGTACAAGAGCCTCATAAGAGCTGAATAAACAGAGTCAATTATATTCCTTAAAATCTACAACTGAAGAACTATGGCTCGTAGAGAGCGTCCATATATATATAACTCAATATAAAGAATTATCCTACCTAAAGATTATCTAAGAAATTGGGCTTTTTTATTCAAGAAAGATCCAAGATCATTGATTGTATTGATAGCTCTTTCAAACTCGAACTTCCGATTACGATAAAAATCTATCTTGTTTTCCCTTCAAATCGATTATGCAAGGTATACAACAATCTTCTTCCTAATCAAATACTGTGAGAAAGTTGGAATTATAGGCCAAATACATAAAGGTTTTAACTAGTCAATCACATGATCTTCTGTAGTTAGATATAAAAGAAGAGCCCTTTGCCTCTTCTTTTCACAATAATCAACCTTCTACATATATACATTTGAGCCCACATAGCATCAACCCCAAAACCATTGTGAACCCCGTTTTCTCCATAAGTGACGTATTACAATGTAATCTAATTCAGCTTTCTCTTCCAATTCCCTCCTCACAGCGTGCTATCGGGACGCACGTATCTCGACCTACCACTTTTACAATATGTAGAAGGTTAATTATTCTCGAAAGAAGAAGCAAAAGCTCTCCTTTTATATCTAACTACAGGAGGTCATGTATTGACTGGTTAAAAACCTCTATATATTTGGCCTATAATTCCAACTTTCTCACAGTATTAGAAAAGTAATGAAAAGTTTTGAGATCTTCTTTTTGAGCTCCTTTTAGCTTATTTCGAATATAACCGATTCTTTGCAGTGTGATTCTTATAGAAATTATTCAAGGTTTTCAAGATTTTCAAATTTATATATAAATTTTATAGAAATTGAAAATGGTAATTTCAATTTTTAACATCTCAATCAATGAGATTGTAAAAATCTGAAATTTCTCAAATTTATTATTATATAAAAAACAAATATATAATTAAATTTTTATAAATTATATTTATAAATAAAAAAGTTATCAAGATTGATTTTTTAATATTTTTAATATAAAAGATGACCGAAAAGAAAAGTGATTGAAAAATAAAATATTAGATTTATTAATTTATTTTTATTATTTATCTTAAAACTTTTTATTAAGACTTTATTGTTGTTAATATTATTTTTTCCAAATTATAAATTATAAAAAGAATATTCAAGAATAAATTAACTAATAAAAACAAAATTAAAATTAATAAAATTATAATTTATACTATATATTAATAATGAAACTTTTATTAAAAAAATACGAATTTAATTTTATTTTAATAAGTAAATGATATAAATAAAATTGTTTTGTAAAGTTTTTCAATATTTTATTTATATATTTTTCCAATTTAAATATAATTAAGAATATATTATAAAATTGTTTTATTGAAAGATTTATTATAAAAAGAATTATATAATAAAAAACTGAACTAAAAAACTGAAATAAAAAAAATAGAAATTTAAAATTTAAAATAGAAATCTCTTTAAATATTTAAGATTTTTTAAATAATTTATTTATATAATGATCCTTTTTAATAAAATGATTAAAAATAATAAAATAAATAATAAAATCAATAAAAGTGAATTGGCAGTGATCTATTATATGCCCGACTGTATAACGAGTTTCAGTAGTAATATTATCGGGTAATAAAGAAGTAATATAATGTCCCTCTTGAAAATTTATTTATTGTATTGTTTATTTTACAGTATTAATGCTCAGATTCCAATTTTGTCTTCCGGTTGTACAGTAGTAAGCCAAGCTTCAGGCACGCCAGAGCTTTTTTTCATTGACAGATTCCTTCGCATACGAATAGGCTACACAAAAATAACCCCCGGGTTGCGGATATCTATAGATTACCCGCTCTACGGGTTACTTATTAGATCTATAATCCATCCTGCAAATATCTATAAAGCTTTGCGGATAATCTGTAAAGCAGATTATTTATAAATATTTATAACTAATCCATCAATCTGTTTTGCAGATTATCTATTTGAACTTTTGAATAATGCACTCTGCAAATGGGTTAACCGCGGATTACCCATCAAAGCAATAATCCGCCCCGCAGAGCCCCGTTGCGCAGCCTACATACGAGTGTCGTCCGCATACTCGGTTAGGCAAGGTTGAATGGCGTTTCTAACCTAAAGCTCGCTAACATTCTTTGAAACTATACCTATTTGAGCTAGACCTTATTCTAGCTCGCTTAAAAACGATTAGCATGTGTGAAAAACCACCATCATGCTAAAACCCCAAACCTTGATGCGCATACCACAGAATCCATTCGCCACAGGAGCGTCCAGATTAAGTAACCACAGTTTCTACGTATAACATAAATGACAGAACCATGTTGGTCACTCTTCTATCTCCCTCCCAACCATTGTACCTGGCTGTAGTCTGTGTCTAGAACTAATCCGGTAAATTTCGGGGACTTGACCTTGTCTAGGTATAGCTAAATACTAGATACTGCTAATACAATACATGACTCTATTAGCTCTGGAAAATGTCGCTTTCATCAGCTGATTACATTGTTATTATGTTTCATGTCTAGCGAATTTCGGCACTTAGGTTTGTATATGCCATTTGTTGCACATCTATGAAATCCTCAGGTTTGGTGTTTCTAGCTTATACAAAGACATTTGTTGCAAATCTCATGATTTCTTGGTATTTCAAGGCTCGGCATTAGTAGCTTGGCCCTCTTAATGTCGGTGTTACAAATTTGGATTGTTATTATGTTGCATATCTAAGGATCCTAACACTTTTAGATTGGGTATCGCTAGCTTTGATAATGACCGTGGTGACGTAAAGTTCGAGACCGTAAATAATACATAAACTTCAAGCCTATTTTCTTCAAGGTTCTTATTTCAGTACCTGGCAATTATGGTTACACTTGCTAACTACATATTACGCATAGATACGATCAATAAAACACTTATTACACTTCTCACATGGTTGACGAAAACCAAAGCAATGTATTGGGCTTATGTACATGAGTAGAGAAAGCAAGCGGTAATTTTTGGTTTCTAGCCATGGTCCTGGAAGATAATAAATCACGGAGGGAAGCCTAGTCCGGTCCCTGAATTTAAGCAAACTCCTAGATATCCAGCCAATGTATGTCCTCGCATCATGCTATACGGACGCAGAAAAGACAGCCTTAAACATATCCGTTAGCCAAATGCCATGTTACCCCATAAATTTTCCATCAGTTGCTAGATGCAGTAATACAAATAATATCGAACCTCAGATTATCTCGTGAGACCCTTCCTACGCCAAGAAACATCCGTATCCTGAGCCATCTTAAAAAAGTCCTCATTCTCCAAATTTTTTATGATGAAATCATTGAGAATTTTATGACGTTCCTCGGCCGGAACTTTGTCATAATTGGGGGGCAAGCTTATTCGCGAGCGAGAACTGTACCTTGATATAAATAGGTCTAAATCCTCTTGTAATACAAAAGCCGTTGGAAAGTTTGACGGAGGCTCTACAACAGAAGCATTCTGCGCAGATTTGAGAGCTGCAGTATGATCCCGACCTGAAAGAGTTTGAGTTTGAGTAGACCTCTCGACCATCTTTCGAGTCGTGGGTTTATCGAGAGGAGTTGATACAAGTCGTTCTGTAGCGGGGAATCCTTTTTCTGGCAATTTCGGAGGTAGATCTAAGGTGGAAGGTGCGGTGAAAGCCCTCAATGCAGGTGGAAACGGCTCTCCAGGTAGTATGGGAAAACCAAGGCTATCACCTGCTGAAACATCTTTTGAAGGTACAGGTTTGGTTAATCGGTCATTCATCTCTGGTAGGTGCGTGGCTTTTCGACTTCCGGAGCGTCTCTTTGTTGACTTATCAGTAGGTATGGTAACCCTATTTGATGAGTTTGCATTAAAAAATTCTCCAAGTGACCTCTTTCGGTGACCCGAAGCTTCAACAGATTGATTGGTTTCTGTAGCAAATACAGATTCGGATCTTGAAGGATTTTTCACTGTAGCGAACGGCAATTGACGCTTTGGCGGTATGGGAAAGCCAGAGCAGATATCATGCTCAGTTGGAAGAGATATCGGGCGTTTCCCAATGGCACTGAAGATAGGATACTCGGCTGGACGAGCCAGTGGTCGACATTCAAATGGGCTGGAACTATCCAGCACAGACCCATGTCCGTTGTGTCTGAGATTATTTGTGCCATCGATCAAAGAGAATGAGGCCAGTCTATCGGGCAGGCATTGTGTTTTTCGAGTTTCAAAAGAATGCGAAGTAGAGAAACGACGTTGCGATTCATCGGGGTTCGGCAAAAAGATCGGGCTTCGATATGGAATCTGACTTGGAGGAATGTCGTTCGATGAAGGCACTATGAAATTTGAAGGTTGTGTCTCTACTTGCTATAAAGAAGTTGAGAATGAAGCCAATCAATGTGAATACAAAATTGCAACATACCTCTCTCTCTATTTGACTAGTATATAGTGCTTGTTTTTTCTTAAGCGTTTCGATAGATGGCTTAGAGTGAGGCATGAATGAAGTTATAGATATGGCGGGCTGTGGGCTGCTGAACACATAATCGTCAGATCGAGATGTATTCGAGCTAATCGGTCGCCGAAGTGTAGAAGTGGCTGAGTCTGGCCGCATGGGAACCTTGAATTCTGTGTTTTGCGGCGAAGGGATGTAAATTTCAGCAGTAGGAGTGGGATGTACCATAGATATTGGCGAAGATGACGAGCTCGTGGTTGATGGATATGATTGAAAGGCAGGCGCCGGCGAAATACTCTCCGTTGTCATCAAACCTAGGCTTTTCAAGGTATTGACAATCCTATTGAAGTCTGAATCATCACGGAATCTAAATTGTATCCTACGAATCTACAAGTCCAACATCAGCTTCATGTACACGGCAGGAACAAAGCTGCGGCACTCAAAACCTACATTATTAAGCTTTGGATAGCGCAGTGCAAGAAGTGGACGCTTTACCACTACGTCCACTGGAGTGCGGCTACCTGGTGATGGAATGAAATCCTTATAGATCCTTGCCATGTCGTCCAAATTTTGTTCTTCCTTGAAAAGTGTTAAAACATTGAATATTGTATACCACACAAGGAGATGCAAGATACCAGATACTCTGCACCTGCCACCACTTTCATCATTAGATTCTTTTCATTTCCAGAACCTCCAGCTTGCATCTCTTGAATCACAAGCTCGAGATCGTTCCTCAAGTAGTGACTCCATTGAATACCTGTGGTACTACCCTGATTGACTAAAGAGCATGAGAACTTAACGAGAGGAACAACAATGGTTAGATTTTGTTGTGATTGTTGGAAATTGAGATGAGACTGTCGAGAGAAGAATTGAGTCATTTCGAACTATAAAGATAAGAACATTTGAAGGGAATAAACCACAACGACTGCATAGAGTGGATGACAGATAAACAAGGAATGCACAAGTGAAGAAATGATAGAACAAATACAGAGAAGAGGAAGATAAGTACAAAATCCAGGAATGAATGATAGATACTGCAGAGTAAGTAATGGAGATTAATGTCAGTTTGTGATCAATGTTTGAATGATAGTAATGGTGACAATGTTGAGATGATAGTAATCTTTATTGCCACAGTTCATGTGTTAGATAATTTTGATAGAATCCATCCGGAAATTCAATTGACCTTCATGAAAGTGTACTGAAGTTGGTTGAGATGGTTGTAAGTGAGAAATTTGGAGATGGCTTCATAAACGATCACGTGAAAGGGATGATTCATTAATACCTTGGATATTAGGTAGACTTATTTTGGCACAGTGACTCGGAGCTCACAATTGAACGACCGATCGCGTCGCCGTCGCAATTTCTACGCGTTGGTTTGTTCGTCGCATCAAAAGAAGGTTTTCAGACAACCATTGGATCGCCATAACTATTGCATGGCAGGAAACCACAATGGCACCCCCAAGAGTTATTCATCACGACACCTCAATCGTTCATACCCCAGAATATGAGGATTTTATCGCAAAGCTCAGAGTCTATCATGAAAAAAGAGGAACGCATTTCGATCCTGAACCACGAGTTGGAACCAAGACTATAGACCTTTTACATCTTTACAATACTGTGATTGAGCGCGGTGGCTATGATAAAGTCAGCGATGAGAAGCTTGCATGGAGAAAGCTTGGTTCAGATTTCAACTTGGGAGCTAATAATTTACCTGCGCTCGCATTTAGTCTCAAAACGACTTATTATAAATACTTAGCTGCATATGAAATCTCGACTTTTCATGGCAAGGTGCCACCTCCTCGTGAAATTTTAGAAGACACAACGGCTAAGGGTGGGGGACTTCTTTTTCGGACTATGGACAATTTTAGACCCTCAATTCGCAGAGAAACGGGCATGCTTGGTACCGAAAATTCAGAGGCTTCTGGCGACGATGGCACACCTGTGCGCGACAGGAATGGAAGTGAAGAAATGCCGGGCTCTGGGGGCAGAGTGACTCGAGGTCTGCGACAAGCTCCTCCACAGCGCGTATTATTCCAACCTGATACACAACCATCTCGACAAGTTCGACAACATCCTTCCGCAACTTCTCATCCACCTCCAACCCCACAGCACCACTTACCCCAACATCAAACACCATCGCATTCGCATCAACATCATATGCCACGAGTCGGCGGCCCCTACTCGCACAATCCTTCCTCTGGTACCGAAAGTATGTCACTCGCGGTTGCAAGTTACGAGCCTCGGCTCCAAATGCCATTGACACTCCGTCCTATAATCACCCCAGGAAATAACGCTGTTGAGTTTGCGCGACGCCAAAAAGCTTTGAAAGATGCAGCTGTAGCTGCAGCTGCAGAAGGTACCAAAAGTAATGCAATTCCTAGGGGGATGATGTTGCCCGGCAGTAAGTGGTCTAGTTTTCCTCTGCAAGTGTTTTTACCTTTTGAGAGTGGTGGCTAACAGTCCGAAAAAAAGCTGGCTTTGATGGACCTAATATTTATGTTCGTTGCCTCTGTTCTTTAAGATCTGGTATCAAAGAGGAGCAAGATTACGCTCTGCACCACCTGGTTAAGATCTCGATGGAACGTGGTGATAAATACAAATTCGAAGGATTTCCAGGTTTGGCCGAAGCCCTGATCGAGAAAATGCTCGAAATCGGTTCATTGTTTTACGATGTACATTGGCGGATATCCTACACGGAAGATGGCGGAATGGTCTCAACCACTGATACAATCAATGGTTTAGAAGGCACACCAGATATACTGGAAAGAATCAAACGTTTAGCTAAGCTGCCAGTCGACGATAACATTCAAACCGAGGAATTTAGTGACTCTCTTCTTCAGATCAATGAGGCAGCATTGACTATGAGAAATATGGTCATGTTAGAAGAGAACGCCTTTTACGTATCAGAACTTGCACCTCTACGAGATTTTCTCAGTATTGCCTTAAACCTCCCCAACTCTGACGCCGTTGTAGAATTAAAACACTACGCTTTAGACATTGCCGAGCAGCTTACCAAATATCTTCACTTCGAGGTTGGAGACCCCCTTTATCTTTCACTTCTCAAACAATTGGATTCACAGGACCGGGGCGCTATTTTGACTTCACTGAGAGCCATTAGCAGAATATCAATGAATCTGGAGGAGAATAATCTTCTTAAAGGTGTACCAGCATCAGCTGTACAAAACATCATCGATTGGACCTTATTAAATGACGAAGATCTCGCACATGCTTGTTTAGACTTCCTCTATCAATACACGGCGGTCGTTGAGAATGTGGATTACTTGATCACGGAGGTAAAAGCAGAGCCACTGGTTAAACAGTTGACGCGACTCCTCATGCATGGGGCTCGCATCATCGAAAAGGAGTTTAATTTAGGTACGCAATACAGAAAACCTGCACCTTCGGAAATTGCGCCTATCCCACAAGATTTACTTCTAGAAATTTCCAAGTTCGAGGAACCAGAGCGGAGCTCACGTTGGTTACGTTGTCTTTACGAAGAAGATCCTGATGAATCTATTACGCAAATCGCCTTGTGGCATGCCTATCAACAACAATTTAGTTACCTGGCTACGGCAACATCAAAGGCACTTCTACCTGCTGCAGATTTTATCAAGAATGTGAGCACTACCTTCGGCGACAAGGCGAATGCCCAGGTTCAAAACGGTCCAGTGACAAAATTTATCATCAAAGGAATTCGATGCCGCAGTGAGCCAGTAGATCTGCAGGGGGAGGCATACACCAAATGCTTGTGGCGCACTCATCTCGGACGACCTTGCGGAGAATTCTTCATGACCCCTGAGGCAGGCTATCAGCATATCCTCAGAAACCATTTCGGAGCCCAACTCAATGCGGAGAACAAATACGTAAATTCAGCTACAAATCAACAATATGTGTGTGCATGGGATACGTGTTCTCGCTTTCGTTCCTCCCCCGCCACCAAACTATCGGAAGTTGCTACCCATATCAAAGTCCATCTCCCTCCTAAGCGCACTCTTACTAGCGAGCGCGAATCCCAGGAACCTTCTGGTCCACCTCCAGCCAAGAAACACAAACCTTCATATATCGTTCAACCACCTCGTATTAGCTTCAAATACCACTATACAGCTGTCGATGAACATAATGATGCAGCAGGTATTCCACTGAGTTCGGTGTTAGTTCTCCGGAATTTGGCGAGGAATGTTAGTAAAACCGAAGCAGAGGAGACAGCTCTTAAGGAGGGTGAAGTTTCTTGGGTTGACCGATTGTTTAAACCGGTGGAGCCGAGATTGTTTGCTATTTATGCGCACAATAAGATTTTGGTATGTCATCTATTATTCTATTTTTTCCCTAAATCCCCTCATCAATGCTTTCTTGTCTCTGTTCAACTCTCACATGATTATCAAAAAAAAAATCCACATAACTTTCGTTCATCCGTATTGACCGCAAGGTCGTGGGGAGACAATTTATCTCTACATGATTTTGGTGTTATCCTGGACACCTAGCTCTCTCGCAATCAACAAGTCATTCGGGCATACTAATTTTTGCAATTAAAATAGGCAACATACATGACAGATCTTCTCGTTGCAATCAAGGATACACAAAATTAAAAAGAAGAGACTCATCTGGGATATGGAGTGAGGGACTGGTATTTCGGGATTCAAGCAAACAGCGAAAATATGCGTATGCTTTTCCATAGGCATGCACGCATATGATGTGTTAAATGGCTATTTAATAAAGGAGGCGGGGCACAAAATTTAAGTATGACGGCTAGGCGTTATGGTTGTTCAGACTTGCTTGGAGAACTAATTATCATGGTGTATGATAGATGCCTGACTGCTTTACAATACCTCCGCAGCTTGCCTATAGTGATGGGCTTGGAATGCTAGCGAGGGAAAGAGACTATGAGTTTTGACCCTACTACTATCATTTTTACTTACTGATAATGTATGAGTGAGTGTCAATGGTGATATGAGAAGATAGAGTAAAATCCAGATGCAATCTGTATTTGAACTTCATCCTACATAATATTCAGATAATTATATCGAACTTCATCGAGCAGTAATAAGTATACTTTAATTTAAACATTATTGATTTTATATGAGTCTTATATTTTAATTTTAAGTCATCCTGAATTTAAATTATCTTTCCTTATTAAAAATAACAAAAATTAATATTTATAACTTTTTGAAAATAAATTATCAAAAATAAACTATAAATTTCTTTAAAATTTTTAAATTTTTAAATTAATTCATTCAATCAATTATAATAAAAAATTTAAAACCTTTATTATCGACTTGCCGACACCAAAACCTTGCTGTACATATAGTATATTGTAATTTACCGGTCATAGAAAATGAGAAACTCGCTTAAGTGAGTCGCGATCCTGATAATCTGATTGGTCTAAAATACCCCGGTAAATAATCTAACAAAAAGCTTGGCATAAGCCTTATAACCTCAGGCAAATCTGACTTGGCGCTTTTTTCAATTCAACTCAATTGAAATCTTTCAATTTGTTACGGATCTCGTACAAGGACGATCACGTGATTCCAATTCCTGTGCACTTGGGATCCGATTTACCCTTTTTAGTATGGGATTATGGTCACCCTAAGATCGAATGTGCACAACCATGCAGCTACCGTATAGGTATTTTGTATATATATATGGATGCTCCTTACGAGCCATAGTTCTTCAGTTGTAGATTCTAAGGAATATAATTGACCCTGTTTATTCAGCTCTTATGAGGCTCTTGTACGTCGTAGGGTCCGGGGGGCGCAGGCCCCCAGTATTAATTAAATATTTTTTATTTTAATATATATATATCACTCTCGATCAATTAAATCAAAAATAAATTATAATTCTATATAAATTAATTAAAACAAATTGAATTTATAATAATTTTAATAATTTTATCAAAATTTATAATTAAAATAAAATAATAAATTTTTAAATATCTCCTTTATCGCTTTCGTCTTTGCCCCTCGCACACAAATATCAATGCTAACGTCAAATGTGAAGACAAAAAAAAAAGATCAAATCAATCAAATCATATGAAATTTCCTAAGGAGGGAAGCAAAGTCCCCAGAACCTGCATCCTAAAACCTGATCCAAAAAGTGCTGAGCAAAAAGAAAAGCCAGAAATCTGTATCCTAACTAAATAACTCCATCCGTCCGTCCAATCCTATCCCAAGCAATCCCCAAAAAATGTAATCGATCGACAGATTAATCGATTAACCTCAAAGATCATCCAAATATCATCAAGGCGGCGCTCCACTTTCCTCATACTCCACAACCAGCCCCGCTTCCCACTCCCTACCTCATCCAGCCACACTCTCTCACTCACTTAGTCATAAACCCCAACCAATCCGCCACAATCAATGTAACCATAGCATGGGGAGCAATCCTCACATAATACGTACCGAAACCTCTATAAAACCTCAACATACCCTCCTCCCTCGCAACCTTCAAAAAACAATCTCCCATCCCCTTATAAACCCTCTCCTTCCCTCTCCCCTGTTTTTGTAACCTCGTCTTCACAAAATCAAATGGCAGACTGAAGAAACTCGCAAAAAATCCTGCGACAGCCGACGCGGTAAGTGTTTGTGTCTTTGGATTCCATTGCGTGTGTGTCTTGAGTTGTGATTTGGCTTCGGAGAAAAATGCTAGTTGTCCAAAATTAAGTGCCATGGCTCGCACAACCGTCGGTGCACATCCAGCCCAGAGAGCTGTGATACCTTCGGATTTCGTGATGGATGTTAGGGCGTCAATGACGGATTTGTAGTTGTTGCGTTGGGATAGGGGTTTCAATCCATCAGATTGCATACGAATGAGTGCGAGATCTGCAGGGTTGCCTATCATAGCTGCTAAGCCACCTGCTGTGAGACCTGCCGCGGCGCGTTCTTTGAAACCGATGGTGGTATTGTTTGCTTTTGAGCGAGCGGAGAGGGTGTTCATGAAACTGTCGAAGAAGCCAAGACGAGCGGTGGTGTAGACGGCTTGGCGGAGGAGGCCTGCGCTGAGACCAGTGTAGAGATCGAGTGCTTTACCCGAAGCAAGAATTTCCCGCGTGACGGATAATGGGGTTGGTTTGGTACCAGTGCGAATTCCTTCCCCGGCGAGTTGGAGACGTACTTTTATCATATCGATGGGTTGGATGACGCTGGTGGCTGTCATGCCTGCAAGACCACCGTTGATAAAGGGAAGAGCAGCACGCATAAAGGGAGTATGGAGGATGTCGTTTTTAAGGGCTATGGGATCTGCTTTGGCAGATTCGGCAAGACGTTTGGTAGTTTCCATTGCTTCTGCTGTTTTGTTTCGTGCTGCTTCTGCAGCTTGTTTGATGGAGTTGGTGGTAGACATTTTAAAGTTTCGGTAAGGCTTTGTATTTGAATCAAGGTAGGTTGGTAGGTATTGAGTAGTTGTACTTCTCTGTAGGAGGTTGTGAATATTAGCCCAAATAGTTCTACGTCTAGTGTATTATGGTAAAATCAAGAGGTGGGAAATGCTGTTTATATGTATACATCCAAAAACAACCCTTGATCAATCGCATCTCATTGGACTATTTGCATAGGTTCAAATAAATGTATACATGCAGCTTGCAACAACGATGACATGGCTACAGGCGTCATACTAAAACGCTCGAACAAGCCCTGGGATTCAAAATCCATCTCGGAAACAAACGAAGTACTTGGAAGCTCGAGGACGAATGCCAAATCGTTGTGAGCGGGAAAGCAGATAACCTTGGTAAAACAAATAGATAAAATAAAGAAACATATATTGCTTACCTGAAATGCTCCGCGTACCGGATTGTTGCAACGGATTTACCGTCGCGCACCCTTGGTAAGGAAAGTGGGCTTGGCTGGTGGTAATTGGGTTGATTGATATGCACAGTCGATCGTTTAGTCAATATCAATCAGATACAGACAGCCTTTTGCTGATAAGACGAGCTCATATAACGTCGTTTACGATCTTGAATGATGTGAAGAGGAGAATTGAGGTTGTAAGTTTGCAAAAATAAATAATCGGAAGACGACTATAATAAGTACATGAATGATAAATATGGCTTTTGATGGGCTCAACGTATTGGTTGGGTAGTGTTTGATTTCCCGGTGGCCGACTTGGTACTGAAGCAAGAGTGGTAGGATTGATTATTGGGTGCGGGGTCGAAGGTTTGAATGGTTTGAATGGTTTGAATGGTTTGAATGGTTTGATTGATTGGATTGATTGGATTGATTGGATTGATTGGATTGATTGGATTGATTGGATTGATTGGATTGATTGGATCTTGTTTGGGCTGCAAGGCACTTTTGACTTCTTGGTGCGGAGTGTTATGCTACGCCTGCTACAACATGGATTGACCTTTTCTTTTACGGATGGAACGGAAAATAAGAAGTGCTTCCAAGATTTGTGAAGAAAGAACCTGATACCAATCAATCATGAAGCGTGTCTTAGCAACTTGGCTTCCTACACATTATCACATTATCGGGGATTACCACATTGCTGATATAGCTAGCACCTGGTTTCTCTTCTCTTTTCCTGTTTCCGAGGTCTTACCCTGAGGAGTCGGGGGATGCAATGGGAGAATACGGAATACGGGTACCTCTCAGGCTGATGTAATTCCTTCGATACTGGTAATGCATGATTGTCTGTTTTCGGGAGGTAACTTTATGTTCTACAACAGGACAACAAAAAGACAAAGGATGAGTTTACCCTTGTTGTCGATGACCATTTTCTCTTTTTTTTTCCAAACACATGATTTTAATATTTATGTCATATTCGTCCAACTCGTTGTAGAGAGCTCATACAGATCAAAGCTCATACAGATCAAAGCTCATACATTTAAGTGGAAATAGATGCATATTTTGAAGTACAGTAGTTTGTGTCGTTTATCTTGGTACCTTTCTTGGTATAAGGTGATCCACTCCTAGAACGATGGGTATCCGAGGGTAACAAAATGCGGGGTAGCTCATACCATAAAGGGTTTAGTCTCTTACGCATCCCTTGATTCCATAACCGGTCCAAGCTCCTTTTCCACATGGGAAGCTTAGATAGATAGATGGGTCGACTGACTAGACACGAGATATGAGAATACTCAACAAATACATTTATTTTATCAATCTTTATTTTATATCGATTTACTAAATTTCAACACCCTCACATATTTATCTTCACAAATCACATCGACTACAATAAAACAGCTTTACATGTCAGAATCCCTAGTATTCAAAGGCTGAAAAGAATCTCGGTCCTTCCACTATATCACCATATCCTTCTCTTCATCCAGTGACACAAAGAAAAAGACAGACGCGCACATGTCAAACTTCATCAACCAATCCACTTCTTTCATCTATCAAACAAGTTAGCTCCCACAACAACATTCATCATCTCCAAGCGCAATTTCCCACAATGCGGCATTCATCAATCTTTGAATCATTCCGATAATTTATCGTCTCCTTTTCTGGATGCGAGTATCGCTTCTTTCTCGCGGCTTGATGGTATAATGTGTGGAAGTATTGGAGAGACCGAAGATGTGGAAAACATTTGGGAGTCGTAACCGTGAGTGCCCGAGGCTATGCGATAGGAAGCGAGTGGGAACGCGTCGAAATCCGTGGGGGCTGTGGTGGGGATTCTCCGTTCGGAGATCCCATGACGACTTGAACTGAAGGTTTTATGAGGACGAAGCAATGGAAAAATTATTCTTCTTCTATCGGACTATTTGATGCGTTTTTATATGTCTCATCATCATCCATATGTTGGCTTGATTTTGTAGGTTGATCTGCTAGAATGACGTCGCGATATCAAGTCAAGGATAACTTAAAGAGGTTTCAGCAAGTGCAATGCAATCATGATAGTTCACGATGATTAAAGGGAAAGAAGTTGATAACATTCAGAAGTTGCATCCTTGTTACCGCCAGGTCCAGAAGAACTTCCAATCAGAATGCCTCGCTACAGGGGAAGCCCATTCATCAGGATACCTTAGCCTGCATTCCGAATGGTATTCGGTATCATGCTAGGACCAGGCATGACCTAACATTCCATCATTCGCAACGTTCTATCATACCGAACCTTCACTAATTCTCCTTCTCCTCCTGCTTGTCATTGTTGTTCAAATCCACTTCTTGTGGGTAGTCTTTGCCATAAGTGTTGTCATAACCTTCCGTCCAGCTTCCAATACCTGCTAATAGCTGGTCTTGTGACACTTTATCAAATAATGTTCCGAGATTTGAGGATTGATCACTTGGTATGGTTGACCTGCTGGTAGCTGAGGTAGAGATAGATGTGGATGTAGATGAATACCCATGGCGATATTGGCAATGGTGGCGATGACGAGCAGAGGAATTCTTCTTCCTATTATATATCAGTTTCTGATGTAAAAGTAGGGGATGCTTTGTTCACTTCTTCAAAGCCTGAGATTGATCGCTTGGTGGAGTCGATCTACTGGTCACGGATGTATTCGTATCTTCATGGTGATGTTGTTGGTGATGGTGGCATGCAGCCGAACCTTGCTTTCTATTCCATGTTAGCTGTTTTGATGTGAAAAGAGGGGGATACTTATTACATGGGCTTCTCCACAGTCTGAGTCATGGTAAAGTAAATCCCGACCAAAGTGTTCAAGACACTACTAATTTCCAACATATATATAAGTAACCCACTAATATTCAGAACAAGAAACATGCTGGGAAATTGAAATACTTATCAAACTTTCACTTAACCTCTGTATACCATTGTTCCTCTCTTACTCACCGATCAAACTTGAAGCCATACACGATTTAAACACGTATCCAACTCACCAATACCAAGAAAGTCATCGATTCCTGATCGTGAGTGAAGTATGATATCCAAGGGGGTATCTGCGGGGCATTTTTTAAAAACCATCTCACAAGGTTGCTTATCTCATTGGACAACTCAGTCCCCGAGCACCTCGATGCCAGCGAATGGCGGGAATCTTCCTCAAGGTGAACCAAGAAAGACATAGTCTCATATAAAAATGGGTATCATTGGCGTAGAGAAGCTCAATGCGTCACCGTGTGACTTTTGAGCCGCGATATATACGCAATCTACGTGGTTGGATTAATGAACTGCGGCTGTGATGAGCTCAAACAAGATGGACAACGCATGCATGAGAGTTTTGGGGGGGCGGGGAAGGCGTATAGGCATTTCAAATGCGTGTAAGTGCTACAATAGAGTGTTACACAACATATCATATCCGGTTCCGGCGATCTCTAAATCTTCCGATCCCGCGCGTTGTTGCTGTTGTTGTTATATTTATAATAAGATCAATATTATATATCTCAACCCTATCTACCTATAGCTAATTAACCAACATCATCTTGAATTTCTACAATCATTTTATTCATTAATACTAACTCGTATCTATAGCCATAGCTGTAGTCATAGCCGTTGTGAAATAGCATACTTATAGAGAACCTGACTCCGATTCAAGGCTCAAGTTCAAATATATTAATTAATCTTATATAAACTTTTACATTTCCGCTCTTTAACTCTTTATACATATGTATATATATATAATTTTATTATATATTTTTAAATATAGATTTAAATTCTTTAATCAATTAATTAATTGATTAATTATATAAAAATTTTAAATAATAAAAACTAATAAAAGTTTATTTATTTCAATTTTATTCTTTTTAATCTTATATATAAATTTTATATTTAAAAACATATTATTAAAAAAAACAAGAAAATTAAAATCTATAAATTTATAAAGATTTAAAAATTATTATTATTTTATAAACTAATTAACTAAAAAAAAATATACAAAAATAAAAAAAATAAAAATTATAATTTAATTAATGTTTTTTAATTTTAAATAATAATAAATAATTTCAATATTATTTTAAAATTAATTAATTTTTTATTATTTATAAGTTTAATAATTATAAATTATATTATTTGATTATTAAAACAAGAAGTGATCTAAAAGTAAAATATTAGATATATTTTTATTTTCAGATTGCCCAAAAATTTATACCGAGAATGTGACGCACAATAGCCGTATAAGAGCTGAATAAATAGGGTCAATTATGTTCCTTAGAATCTACAACTGAAGAACTACGGCTCATAGGGAGCGTCCATATATATATACAAAATACCTATACGGTAGCTGCATGGTTGTGCACATCCTGCCTTAGGGTGGCCATAATCCCATACTAAAAAGGGTAAATCTGGCCAGATGTGCACAGGCTATCAGCTCACCGATAGGAAAAGGGGTCACGTGATCATCCTTCTAGTTTCGTGACAGAGAATGAGGAGGATTGGAGCTCCAAACCCTCCAATCCATCTCCGCTTCCTAGTATTTGGTATGTCAATGAGCTACAAATAAAACATATTTAATGAAAAAATGAAAGAGTCAGGGATTGATAGAAAATCTAACAGTGAAAAAAAGATCAACTCAACCTATCGCCCATACCAGAGTATCATCCAGTTACCACCATATTGCTAGTACATAGTCCCGGAAACCATACATCTTGGGTATCTCGGGTGGTTTGGGACTTGGATTTACGAAAATTTCGGCAAGGATAAAGAGACAGTGAGACCAGTAGCTCAATTCCCAGCATTGATATTTGAACATAATCATTATTTTTCATACTCCTTGCCCATCCGCATCAAAACCTGTTGGCCATTTTATTCATCTTGATCTTCATCCTCACCATCCGTACTGACCTGCGTCAAAGTAGGTGCACCCCTACTGCTCATTATCTCCCTCTTCACACTCTTTCCTCCTATCCTCATCATCCACATCTAAAAACGTACTCTCATCGACTAACTCCTCAGGTCTATTTCTCTGGGTACCTCTTGGAGCATCATCATCCTCATCCTCACTATCATGATTTCTCTCTCTCTCTGTAGCCCTCTTCACCTGTCTCATCAGCAATTGATCATCATACATGTCCTTCATAGCAATAAAATTTTCACATCCCATTGCCGGACACTTAATCACTCTTTCCCCTTGATGAACCGTCGCGTTTTTCCTATGATACTCAACGATTGCTTCCTTCTCAAAACTATGGTTGCACTTGTTATTGGTGTATGGTTCGCGGAAAGTGGCGAAGGTGAGGGGACATTTGAGATCTTTGACGATTTTCTCAATGACAATTTCATCATCAGAGGATTCCTCTTCACCTCGTTGGCCTCCCTGGGCAGAAGGATGAGAGCGGTCGGAAGGGAACCATGTGGATTCTTTAGCAAGCGGTACGTCTTGGTCTGGGTAGAGGGAATCGTGGACTACGCGCTTGAAGCTCTTGTAATCGTTATGAGAGGCATATCTGTAAAAGAGAGTTTGGTTAGTCAATACGCCAAACCTCAGTAGCCGACTTCAAAAGTGCTCATAGAGAAGGATATAATACCTTTTCGTCATAGTTTCGGCCTCATATTTAGTCTTGTACTCCTCCTTGATTTGATCCAACAATTCCACCGCACTGATGACCTCCCCATCCTGCTTCGCTTCTTCCTCATCTTCCTGGCCTCTGATTCTCCGATGTGAAGGAGGAGGGTTAGCCTCAGCTAATTTATCACAAACATCTCTAATAACCATATCGTTCCTCTCCATCTCATCGCCCTTATCAATCAAGACCCTCATGGCTATCTCCGCCTGCTCTGTCCAAGCCTTAACCTTCTTCGCCATATGTCTCGTGTGAATTTCCAAATCTTTGTGCTCCGCAGGCTTCTCTTCATCTTGTTGTCCATCCCTCTCTCTCTTGCGCGCATTTTTTTCTACTTGTCGTTTGCGTTCCCATAATCTATCGTTATTGGCAACAGTTGTGTCTGTGATATTTTTGATAGCAGAGCCGAGATGTTTCTTTAGCTTAGTAGTGTTATGAAGCGTGCGAATATTGGAAATGGCACGTTGAGCATTTGCGGAAAGAGGACATGTTGGTGGAGTGTATTCAGGGAAGGAGCTTGGCTCGTTTTGATGAGAAGGGCCGGATCTGGCTGGTGCTGGGGATGATTGTGGACCATGGCGCTCAGCGCCTGTCTGAAGACGTCTCAGGACAGACATGACGTGAAAATGTATTGTTGGGTGCTGGTGTTCGTTTGTTGTTGTGAAAAGATGATCTATAAATGACGCGATGTAAGACTTACTTTACTTTACTGTATGTGGGGGAGACGCGTTGAATTGCATGTGAAATAAAATGGAATCTGGGGACGTGAAGTTTAGTGGGTCTTAGCCGCGATCCCTTAGCGCGGGCACCTGACACGGCATACAATTTAGAATTATTTCAAATAACCTTACCTCCGTCTACACAGAGAACCGAAATCGTTTAGGGAATCATAATTTGTATGTAAAATTCCACACCAGTCTTATCATGCATTGGGAATTGTTCTTTAACAGCAGCAAGGCTCTACCAAAGTTGCAGGAACCGAATAGATTGCCTTTCACAATCGTCCGAACACAAAGTAGTTTACTTCTGGTGTCTATATACGCACGCCCAGGCCCGATTCATCGGAAACAACATCTCTTGAATAATACCTTTGCAAAGTAGTAAATCTGTTCTTTTTTGCATTGTGAAAACACTGTATTTGAATGCAAAAAGATGGCTATTTCATCGTTCTAAGCAGAATGAAACATTAAAACCTCTGCGGAAGCCCGAAATTCACTTGATGTGCGAAGGTAGAAACCGAGCGATCAGCAATGAAAGTTTCAACATTTTTCGCTCACCAACCGGACCCCCTCCCACCCGACCCCGGCTTTTACTACGGCCGTGTGACTCATCATTCCACTATCAATGTCACGTTCCACTTGACTCCTTGATTCTCCTTCTTTCCATGTCAAAATTTCATTATGTTAACCCTCAAACATTCTCCAAGCTTATCCTTCTCTCTTAACCATCAGTACCTAACGATTCCCAAGAACTTATAAAAAAGGACTTCGTGGTGTTTCAAAATGTCAAACTTCCCACCTATCACCGACCGCTCCTACGGCATGATTACCATGCGCTACTTACCTGGCCTTCCACTCTCCACACCTCCACCTCCTCCAACCCCAGCCAATACTCAACTTCTTCTCATTCAGCAGAAGACTATTTGGGAAAGTGTTCCACCATTTTGGTGTTTTCCAAAAGGTCACGCTGAACCTGGCGATGCGTCCACCATTCATACCGCCATCCGAGAGCTCGAGGAAGAAACATCTCTGAAGGTTAAACTTGAGGATATCATGAGATTGAATTCAGCTGCAGACACCGGGGAAATTGAGGGACAAGATGCAAAGGACTGGGATGGGAGTTTTTCTGAGATATACATAAATCCCGTTAGGAAGAATGGAAAGGAGGTTAGGTACTGGCTTGCTTTGGTGGGGAAGGAAGAAGGAGAGAAGCAAATTAAGCTACAGGAGAAAGAGGTTGCAGGGTATAAGTGGTGTTCGTGGGAGGAAACAGCGGAACTATTAACCTACGACGAGGCAAAAGAAAAGTTGAGGAGAGTCTTGGCCCGATTTGAAGACTGTGGGAAGGTTTAAATGGAGGCCAAGATTAGATTCTGAAGAGACCACTAAGGTCTTAAAACTGGACTAAGTTTTTTCGTACCATTAGGCTGCGCAAAAATAACCCGCGGTTTGCGGATATCCATGGGTTATCCGCCCCGCAGGTTACCCATTAGATCTATACCCGCCCCCGCGGAGCCCCATTGGGATTTTAAAATAATTCGCTGATTCATAAATATGTATAATTTGTATAATTTATGAAGATTAGTATAAAAACTAGCATAAAAAAATGTGGGAATAGCTTCAAAATTTAGGCGAATATCCACTCTACAAATAATTTGCGGATAATCCGCAAATAAGCTACAGATAATCCATCTACCCGCGGATTGATGGATTATCTGCGAATTAATGGATATCCGCAAATAATCCACGGGTTACCCACCAGAGCAATAATCGAATCAGCCTCCTTTCAACCAATTTGTGAATCACAATGCAAATCAATTATCAACCTTAGACTGCATGTAAAAAAAAGTCATTTATTGTTTGAAATAATCCTATCAAAGTTGCCACCGTCATAGCCTTTTGTCATCATTCATAAATCATCATCAAAAATCAAAGCGTAGCGATGGACTCCTCTACTCAGAAATTTTGACCCCTTTTCCTTAACCGAACGTGCTTATTCACCATCACAATCTCTATCCCTGTCCAAGTCTCTGTCACAATCTCCATTCTAAGACACCAATTTCTGATTTCCGTCGAACTCTGATCAAAGAAAGATAACTCCAGCCATAATAACCTCGTCCCAAAACTTGCAATTTAAAATGGATTTTTTTTTTCAGAAGGTTTTCCTCCCTGCCAATCAGTGTCTCTTGTTCTTAACAGTCTTTCTCTCGTTCTTAACGGTCTTTCTCTTGTTCTTAACAGTCTTTCCCTTGGTTGCATTATTGTAAAGCTTACTCAGCTTCAATAAATCCTTCCATTGCCCCTCCTTCTTCCATCTATCATGTCTCTCCTTCAGGAGTTTCTTACTGATAGGAAAGCCTATAACCATGCCATTGCTTGCTGCTCTAGCTCGATCTTCTTTTTCGGACTTCAAACATTCGACAGCTAGTTCCTGAATATGCTTCCGAGCTTCGCATAGGGGAGCAGAGTCATCCTTTGGTTCTGGCTTTGTCAAGGATAGGGGAACAGAGTCATCCTTTGGTTCTGGCTTTGTCAAGGATAGGGGGACAGAGCCATCCTTTTGTTCTGAATTTGTCAAGGATAGGGGGACAGAGCCATCCTTTGGTTCTGACTTTGTCAAGGATAGGGGAGCAGAGTCATCCTTTGGTTCTGGCTTTGTCAAGGATAGGGAAGAAGAAGAGGATGGACCAACGGCCTGTTCCAAATCAAAGTATTCAAGAACTGCTTTGAGCCATTTTTGAAAAACATTTGGAAATTGATCCGTTTGGCAACTGAGCAGTAAGTTGGCTTGAGCTTCCATGACGGCTTCGATTTGAAAGTCGGGGGATGAATCAACAAGTGGGATAAGCTTCTTTTCAGCTTCACCCAAAGAAACTGCGAAGAAGGCTTTAAACATGGCTTCCCATTCTGAAGGAGAGTCCTTCTCTGCCATGAATTTTCGACACGCATCCATGCAACCCTTCAATGTTACATGATGCGCCTCAGTATTTCGTGCTTCCCGAACTCTCCTAGTGACTTCCGAAAACATGCCATCTGGTGTGCCCTTGTCCAAAGTTACATGTACCATGTCTCTTAGAACATTGAGGAATTCACTTTGACAAGAGAGAGTCTGCATGTTTGAAATTTTCATCGTCAAATCTCCCACTTCCATCGTCAAATCTTTCTCCTTCATCTTCAAACCTCCCACTTCCATCGTCAAATCTCCCACTTCCATCGTCAAATCTTTCTCCTTCATCTTCAAACCTCCCACTTCCATCGTCAAATCTCCCACTTCCATCGTCAAATCTTTCTCCTTCATCTTCAAACCTCCCACTTCCATCGTCAAATCTCCCACTTCCATCGTCAAATCTTTCTCCTTCATCTTCAAACCTCCCACTTCCATCGTCAAATCTCCCACTTCCATCTCCAAAACATCTAGTCTCGCATCCATCTTTCGAAATTTCTCATGCTCAAAACTGAAATGAGGCTCATTGTTTGTTATCATGACCTCATCATCGGCAACAAACTTGCGAAGGTTTTTTGCAACATTTCTTCCAACACTTTGAACAACCAGTTCGTTGAGTTTAGGTAATTCCTTAGCAAGGGAGGAATTGTGTTTAAGTTTTCGAAAAGCATTGTAGGTTTGCATTTCAAGTTGCAGGTCTTGGAAGGTTCGGATAGGAACAGTCATTTGTTGAGATACAGCCTGGATTGTAGAGAGAACCATTAGTTTGGGATTCGGTATGGTTAACAAAAGCAAAGGAAGAAATCATGATTGAAGGTATAAGAAAGATATTCCAGATGCAAACATACCTGAGACCATCGCCTAGGGGAGCTGGAGATCATAGCAAGTGCTATGATAGGACTCTGTGGAGAAGTTCTAAAAAGAAGGTTGGGGGGACAGGATTTGAATCTGCCTTTGGTGATAAGGAGGTGGCATGGCCTCAATACAAGATAACCGATCATGATCGATCAATGTAGTGGGGATTAGTGTGATGAAGGAGCAGTGTGATAAAGGAGCAGTGTGATGAAGGATCGGTGTGATAAAGGATCAGCGTTATGGAGAGTACTATGTATATGAGTAAAACATGGAGTTGGGTGTCTTGTTTGGGTTGGTAATTGCAAACACAGGAATCCACTTTATGGAAAACAAACGTAGAAGCATAAAAAACACTAGGAAGTATGCACCAGCGCTAGGGAATGGATAGTAGCATCAGAAAGCATACAGCAGCGCTAAAAGCTGTATGATTAAGTTAATATAGGTTGTAATTCTCCCTGATGAAAGCACCCAGGCATAACAGGCTCCGACATCCAGTAGATCATTCTTCAGATAGATCATTCTTCTGGGATCTGAACCTCTTCTCAGCCCTATACTAGTTTGTGTCTCAGCTTTCTCTGTATTACTCTGTAAAACAAAACTCTGGGATCATTTGATTATGTCCTGATATAAAACAACCAGTCTCTATAGACACACAACTAAAGAGTTGTCCTCAATCATTCATGTTCTTAGCTCACTGCACCTCTTGCTGCACTTCTGCACCTCTCACCGCAATTCTTTTAGGAACAAACACTCTTTTCTTACATCCTAACCAATCCTCACATCCCTCTCAACTGTCATTTATAACAAAAATAGCATTCCCATAAACCAATAAGTTCACAAAGAATCAATATGATTAATTAAAATGATAAAAGTACTCTCGATTTATACCTCGTCCAAATCATCTAAATGTGCCCCCTAGTCACATTTTCAACATTCCAATGAAATTAAATTGACAAGATTGATTCAGATTTGAAGGGTTTCTTGCGATTGTGCATCTATCCGGACTTCAAAATTACTGCCCGACTGCAGGCTTTAGGGATGCGGGCAGCTATTCTGCGAGCTTGCAGTTATTTCATCCGTCCTGCGTTCCAAAAAACAGGCTCTTTGATATATTGCCCTTTGATGACTGTATGAAGTAGATTCCAAGCTATAGAGCACTTTTGTACACAGGTTATTTGAGACGGTGATTACTATTCCTATTATGCATTGCAGATACTATCCACGAGCTGGTTATCATGATGGAAATTATAAAGAAAGCTGAACTTCTCTCCAAAAATTTGTACACCATATTGATTTTGTGATGAATGATTTTCATCATTATCCGTAGCTGCGCTGCTGAAAGGAATACTGCAGAAGTATGATGAACTGTTCTCCCTTTAATATGCACAGGCACTGGATGAATCTTCCATATCCGCATGTAATAGGATGGAAAGAGCAACTATGTAAACGGGTATCGGAGAACTAGTGGTTTGGAACTCTTTATTCACCTCTCGATATGCATGGACAGCAAGAGAATGTGGCAGAAAAGAGAGAATCATGACCAATTGCGCGCTTCTTACTATTATCAGCGAGCATGGCTGCAATACATCAAATGAGGGGAAATTGTGAAGGAGTGGTGGTGGGAAGGAATTCAAACGGGGAATGCGTTGCTGCAGATCCTGAAAACAGCGGAAGCGTTTGCTAGTTTGCTAAACCCGAAGGGCAGGGAACTGTGATATTGAAATGACATGATGTTATTAACCAAATAATATTTCACCACGACCTACGGGAAAAACTCAATTCATCAAAATTTCAAAGTACTTGAAGTCTTTGAATCTTTATTACATAGTTGAAAACGAAACGGGTTGGAAGCGTATGAAGATTGACAAAAAATTGTTAAAGAAGAACAAATTGGCCTGATAGAGTAGTTCAAATATTGTTTGTTCTGTTACCTCATAATCGGTTTGGTTAGTCACGGGTTTGACCGAGAGTAGTTCAAATAATGTTTGTTCTGCTACCTCAGGTGGGTTTGGCTAGTCACGGGTTTCGGTCAACTCAACATCATTGTGTTTCACTCGGTGAGTACAGGCAAGTTGAACTATAGCAACTCTAAACGGTGTCAGATCACATCAGATAGGGCTGAAGCTTTCTGGTATAAAATATGATAGACGTTTACCACTTGAAACGCTGATTTTCATCAATGTCACCAAAAGGCGGTGGCACAGAAGAATGCAAACGCATGACAGGGCTGGGCTGATGGAAGACAAAAGATAACAGATGGAGAAAGAGACATTTATCTCCGAAACCTCGTTCTTATCAGTTAATCCGCGCATACGCGGCATAAACAAAGTTGGCCAAATCCTAGGAAAAGAAAGAAACAATAAATATTTGTCCTTCGGGTATTTAGAATCCTATGCCAAGGGTAGTAGTTCTTGCCCGACAGTTTGGATAGAAACTAGATCTATGTCTATCTATATCCTTGAAATTGGGCATGCTAACGCGTCTTTACAAATTACCAATTTTTGACCAAGATTGGAAGAATTACTTATTGGAATGGTAGGTTATACTACGTATAACCTCATAGTAGGTAGCCCCTCCAATAAGCAGCATTTACACATGCACATGCATGTACTAATACTCGCGAGTAGAAACGGTTCGTGTCAAAAGAAGAGAGAATCTGGGACGCTGGGATGATCCTTCTTCATTGAGTAAAGTCGTGCCCCATTGTCGAAATCGGGCAAACCGGTGCGGATTTATCTTCGATAGGCTTCCTTATCGTTGATGGGCGTGCTTCATCACCTTTTTATGATTGGATGAGTGAGCTGACTGGATTCTCCACAGTACGGAAGTAGAAAGCTTGATATCGCCGCGAACCAGGATAAGAAAAGTTAGAAAGGATACCGGTAGGAGAAGTTTCCCCTCGGATTGAGCGAGTGGCTTTAATAAATGCTCTGGGTTTTATGCCGAGTTGACCGACGTAACGTTATGTTCAAAATCGAGTCATGTTGGTAACGTTAGCGAAAATGTCTAGTCGTGATGATTTTGAAGGTTTAATGATTTGATATTTCAATATGTTTCTTCTCGGGATAACAGATGAGAGATGAGAGATGAGAGATGAGAGATGAGAGATGAGAGATGAGAGATGAGAGATGAGAGATGAGAGATGAGAGATGAGAAACGAGAGATGAAAGATGAGATGAGATGAGATGAAATACGAGGGATGTATAAATGGAAATTGTGGATTAAAGATTGGATTGGCGGCTGTTATCTGATAACCAAAAAACACACACACATTATGGCAAAGTTGATTGTTATCGCAAGGACCTCGGTCATACTTTTCGTCTAGGAAAAAAGCTGGAGGGTGGTCCACAGACTACCTAGCATGGTCCACAATTTACTCCGCAAGTCATATCCACATTCACCCCACCTGAGAAATGGATGCTGATGATTGGATGAAAAAAAAAAGAGTTTTTGACATTCACACACGGGCCGGCTTACTCTCACGGCTCACAACGTCACAATCAACTCATGAATTTCATGGCTGGGTATCACATGCAGCTCTCTGCCTTGTCTTGCCTGTTACGTCGCAGCAGACGAGAAAAAGAGAGACCAAGACACACACACACACACACAGAGAGAGAGAGATTTGAGCACCTGCCAAATTGATTTGTATCTGATTGATCGATGAGTGGCAGAATTCTAGAATCCAATTCAAGACTAGCTTATTCATTAATGTCTCCCAGTCAAGCAAATGGAAGAGATCATCAGGTTCAAGCACCAACAATTGGTATACTCGATGTCACAAATCCATGCCATGTCTGTCCTTGTCTTCCTACCTCTGCCTAAGAGATACTGCAGGAGAGTGGGATTACTAATTTAGCACTACCCACCAAGTCCATATGGCATATGCAAGTATAACCACTGCATCAATATAACAATAACGGTAGGCGTATTTGGGTTTGAGCTACTGACCGGAGCAGAAAGCTTGACTTTTATCTACCATTCCATTTACAGACTACCCACTTCTAGACCCCAGACTTTTAGGTAAAAGCTAGCTTCAATTTGACTTGGCTGACCTTCCGTACGTCGTTACATTTCCTTTTCATTTAAGACTGACTACTTGCCCGCCCTTTTTCTTTTCTGGACACTTTTCTCACAATCTTCCTCAAAGATTCAAATCCCACATCTAATCTTTAGGTTCTTGTGCGCTTGTCACTCAAGGAGAATGTTTAATCGGAACAAGAAATCCGCGGCTGAGGCCAATGATCTTACTGTCGATTCGAATTCGAGTCCAGGAAACAGTGACCCTCTTGCAGACATTCCAAAGACAAAATGGGAACGTCTTTGGCCAGCGATGGCTTGCGGCTCAGGATTATTCTCTGATGGTTACATCAATAACGTACGCTAATCTTCTATACTCCAAATTCCTCAAGTATAAAAGCATACTAACGTTCTCCATGCAGGTAATCGGATCGGTCTCTACCATGCTCGGAAAAATTTACGGAAAAACATACACTGAATCTGCCGCCGTTAAAAATATCTCTGCGATTACATTTGCTGGTACCGTTGCGGGTATGATCATATTTGGTTACACCAGTGACAAATGGGGCAGAGCAAATACACTTACGCTGTCTACGGTGATTCTTATCGTCTTTGCTGCTCTTGGCGCTGGTTCATATGGATATCAAGGAAGTACGGGGGGTTTATTCGCGGCACTTGCTGCCTATCGTTTCCTTGTCGGAGTAGGAATTGGAGGAGAATATCCCGCTGGATCTGTCGGTTGTTCTGAGGCTTCCGGAGAATTAAAAGCGGGTACTCGAAACAGATGGTTTATTATTTTCACAAACGTTATGATCGATTGGGGTTTTGTTATCGGAGCTTTTGTTCCATACTTATTGGTGGTCATTTGCTCGGAAGATCACTTGCGAGCTGCCTGGAGAATTTCACTTGGTCTTGGTGTAGTTCCTCCATTGCTCCTATTCTATCTTCGACTCAAATTGAAGGAGCCAGAAGAATTTCAGAGGTATGTGCTAGGGTGTTGATTATTATTAAACCTTGCTAATTATCAATAGGGAGAGCATGAAAAATGTTAAAACCCCCTACGGCCTTGTGATCAGATACTATTGGTTCAGACTGTTGATAGTTTCGTTGATCTGGTTCATCTACGACGTATGTAAAGATTTAATTTGTCGAGTTCATTTACACTAATACATAGCAATAGTTCTCCACCTATTCATTTGGTATCTACTCCTCTAAGATTCTCAGTAACATTTACGGAGACTCAGCACCACTATCTCAATCGTTCGGCTGGAATACCGTCATCAATCTCTTCTATATTCCTGGGGCTATTCTCGGATCCTTCTTTTCCGACTGGATTGGACCACGATATGCTCTCGCGATAGGAGTCACATTACAGGGTATTGTTGGCTTCATCATGTCCGGATTGTACCCAGTATTGTCCAAGGTAAAGAACGTTCCAGCTTTCGTAGTTGTATACGGAATCTTCCTCTCCCTTGGCGAACTTGGTCCAGGCGATAACATCGGACTTCTCGCATCCAAAACCTCCGCAACTGGTGTGAGAGGTCAATACTATGCCACTGCAGCTGCTGTTGGTAAAATCGGTGCTTTTGTTGGCACTTATATTTTCCCATACATTGAGGCAGCAGGCGGTGACGCAAATGCTTCAGCACAATATCCATTTTATGTTTCGAGTTCTGGGTGTATCCTAAGTGCCATCTTGGCGCTTTGCTTTTTACCGCATGTTGGGCAAGATACTATTACTACGGAGGATCTGAGCTTTAGAGAGTATTTGGAGAGTAAGGGATGGGATACTAATCAAATGGGATTGAGAAAGGTAGAGAATCTTGAGGAGGCTACGGCTAGACGTGAAGTTGGAGAGAAGCAGGAGGAGGTGGTTTCTTCTTCATGAGTCAAGAAAAGAAAGATATACATAATGAATGGGATTGAAAGTCGAGTTTAATTCAGAGGGTAATTAGACATGGAAAGAAAAGTATTTACTGTATTGGAATGCAATTATAGATGTATATATATCTATCTACTTAATAATACTCTATTTAAATATTCTCTCAATTTCAATCTATTAGATATCTGTGATGTATTTTGATTGTGATTATCCGATGTAAAATACCAAGTAGAAGGTGAGTCTAGTACTCTACTTTTCGGCCACAGAAAAGTGGATTGTACTAAACCATACCCCTAAGGGTATGAAAACCCATTCATTTATAGACTATACACCATTTCCGTACTAGCCTCCATTTCTGCCACCCCTTTTTTCGGCTACTCTTTTACACTGAAAACAGCGATTTTCATCTAAGTCTATGTTACAGGGTAACAGTCAACTTGTCCACATGAGCTTAGGCCCTATCGAAAAGCAAGGCGATTTGTATACAAATTTGTATGGTAATCGCCTCATGTGGTCTCCCCACCTTTAGCAAGCTCGGACATATGGTCTGATCGTAGTCACGTGATAGATCATAAGGATCTAGGAGAGCTAGAGAATCGTATTCTAGATCCACTAGATCCAAGGGATCCAATTGATACGAAGGTCTATATAGCTAGGAAAGGATTCCTTTTGTACCTCAACTCTCCCCAACCTGCAAGATCTATGCAGGATAAAGAGGAAACAACAGATCAGTCTCGAAAAAGAGCAGCTGTCGAAGATGGTATATCAGCAGGTTCAGCATCACTATTCCGGGAACCTTCCGCTCATGTTTTCAAGCGAGGTGATCAAAGATCCTTGAAGGCATCCTCGCCTCAAATTACATCCCGGCCAAAACCTCAAGGAAATCAACCTCAACAACATCACCATTTTCATACTCAGACCAATACTTCATCTGTAATCTCATCTCAAACCTAACAGTACAGCATGATTCTTCAGCCAGCGACAAGGTCTATCTTTCAAAAGCAACTGGTCGTAAAGGTTAAAGGCATATATGCTGGTCTTGTAATGGTTGAAGCCAAATGTATTGAAGCTGATTATGAGCAAGCTATATCTACACAAAGTTGTCTCAACAACGAACAATAGCAAGCTCTTATTGATTTGTATCGTGCTTTACTTTACAAGTATTACAACTTCTTTTTAACTTCCCAACATCCATCAGCTAATCCTATTATATATCGTTTAACATCAGAATATACTATACCTGTTAGAATATGGTGTTATAGTATTCAATCCTTTTTGGAATTTCTCAGACATCGACTTCCTACCTCGTTTGATCATACATTAAAGCACTATTGAAACTATAAAGCTAAAACATCCCCTCTTTCTTACACAATAATCCTCATTATTCCAGTAGAAGAATTTAGCTATCTTCTTCGTCAAAATGTTTAAATCTATTCTTTTGCTCTCTTCATCCCTCTTATTCTTTTCTTTAATATGTTGTATTCTCGATCTCAATAAATATAGAATTTTGAAGCGACAAGCTCCGAGATTCCCTCCCCGCGACTGGCGAGAACTTGGGCGAATAACGATAATATGGGCTGTAATTATTGGGTTCACCATCTCCATCACAGTCTCTTCATCAACATCAAATACAAAACTTCTTTCTATCCTTTCTCCTTTGCTCAATAAGATTATTATACTTATTCAGGTAGGTATATTGACTTTGGGGGGTTAGTTTTGTGGCTAAAACGAATTTATTGGTGTACGCCATCAACCAGATACCTTTATCCTTAGTTTTGAAAGGCGGAATATGGGATAAAATCATATTCAACATTATTTTCGTATGGTTCACAATTTTATATATTATACTCTCTGTGTTAGGTACAAGTTGTTGGTCATTGCCAGGAGAATTCCTCTTTCTTGCTGTTGTAAAGTTATGGCTTCTTCTCACTTCCTACAACAAACGATATTGCAGAAAAATAGGATCTCACAATACTTTTTTACCTGGCCTAATCCTTGATATTACCAAGAATATACTAGCATGTGGTGGTAGCATCGCTAGCGCTATCATTGGCTATTTCGACCAGCAGAATGATCCAGGGAGCTCAACATCAATACAAGTAAGATAAGTGAATAAACAAAAAATTGGGTTATGAATTAACTAACTTTATAGGCTTATATTCTGCTTGCTGGTCTTCTCTTTGTCTGTGGAATATTAGGCGAACTCTGGTGGTTATGGAAGGTCGGGGATCAGGATAGTGTAGTTATGGAAAACCAAGGGGCAAACGATATTATGCAAGGTCAACTGGAAAGTGTGAATAATAATTGACTGATACATCCAAATTTAATATATACGATAGGGTCAAGGGATCGGGTAGTCGTCGTAACGAGGGGCAATGATGACGTGGTCAATGAATATCTTATTTCCGAAGATCTACAACGACCATCTAGAGCTTTTGCTCTAGGTGGTCGTCAAACGCGGGTACAGTAGAGGATTTAGGCCATCAAAATTGAAAAAAGGTCTATTCTCGAATTACAAAATGCCCGTGTAAATTCCTGCTTTCACTTAGCCGCTAGACCAAACGTCGAGGGCGTTTCCGCGAAGACAAATCTACTGAATCCACCCTTTTCCTTTTAGCATGGTCCAAAGTACCAAAATGGCATTCAAGGTGCTGCGCAGTGACCAGGGAATCGACCGAAAACGGCGACCTGCTGATGCTATATGGCTGCGACAATCCCTCCTTGAGCTGGATGAGAGATGGGGTGTGCTTGTCAGGAACCTCGAAAGAAGTAGCATTGCTGAAGTTCCCATCTTTATCTTCATTAGAATCGCCCCCAAAGGGACCTTTCAAATGATTTCCTTGAATCATAAATACTGCCGAGGATCTGTCTAACTGTTCTAGGAGAACTTGCAAGGCAGTATTATGTGCGCGAAGGCGACAGATGATACGTCCTTGGCAAAAGTATCTTCCACGCTCCTTCTTAGGTATACTATCTAATTCGAAAAGAAAAGGCTCCGCAACTATACATCTAGCTAAATGGTCGAGTTCCTTTAATTCGCATATCGCAGATCGAGCTCGTTCTTTCACTTCTTGCATCCTAGTTGTATCATCCAACTCGGGTTCAGGGGGATCAAATTCAATATCGAATCGAAATTATTGCTCCCGAGAACCTTACCTGCGGAAGCTTCGATGTTTGTGAGCAATGGTGCTCCCAAAAGAAAGCTTGAAGGCACGTATAAGACGTGGATTGAATCCATCTTTGAGGAGATGCATGGCCAAGTTCGTATGTAGTCGCTGTGCCGCCAAGCCTGTCGAATCGAGCTCTATTCCTTTCAATCTCAAGTGACATTCCATTATCATTGTCGTATCATTTCATTATGTATCGTAAAAGAGATGTGATTGTCTTTTTAGAGTACTAAATGGAAAAGGAAACGAAGAGACAGAAAGCAGCTGATCGTAAAGTACCATACAATGGGATATTTAACAGAGAGCCCTGAGTATGGCAACGCTAAAAACTTCCGCCCTGAAAGGCTACACCTCATCATCATCTAGGTTTATCTTGATCGTTCGCGGAATAGCCCTTAGAGATATAACCGGCGCTTCCTCCACTACAGCTTTCCGACACATTGGACATCGTAATTGATTATATTTTCGCATCTTCTTCCATTTAATATGTTTTTGCATACAATCATTACAGAACCAGTGCCCTAAATATAATAAGTCTGATATCATACGTCTCATTTTGAATTCTATCCTTACCACAGTTCAAGCGTGGCTTTTCAGTGCCATAGAGATCGGCCAATGATTTGGAACATATCGCACATTCGAGTCCCCAGGTCCTATACGCCGTTTGTGCCTCCATATAAAAGTGATCTTCCCTCGAAAAGAGGACTCCAGAAACTTTAAATAACTTTTTGGGCGCTTCATTTGTATCTGTGCTCTTACATATACAAGGGATGCAATTACAGAACATCTATAGATAATTATGATTAGCTCTGGAATATACAAAGCAGCTGAGCATCTACCTACACAATCACAACCATCCAGGGTATATATCACATTCTCGTTCTCGTTCTCTACCCCTAAAGCTTGAGGACAACCTGTACAATATATAGTATCTGTTGCCACGTCGAAAGCTTGGAAATATCGACGGTGTTTGTACGGTTTAATAATTAAACTAGTATCGAGTTCCAAATCACAAACTCTCGCGGATCAGCGGCGTTTGTGAATATGAGATTGTAGACTGAGGTCAATTTCGGAAGTAACAGATATCAAATCCATTGTAACAAAAGATGCTCAATTAAGATTCAAGATAAAACGCATCCTTTGAATAGGAATTTATAATCATCCTAGCGATGGATGCTCGGCTATTTTCACCAATAGCAAGAGCAGGTATCTTATTTAATCTATCCTCTATTTAGTCTTTATGCTTTTTATGTACCTTATCCTTAAAAGGAATAAAATTAATTTCAGATTTTCTTCAATATATAAAGGACAAAGAAAGGATTCGAGATAAAAAATATCTCCTTTAAATTCTTATATCAATACAATCATTTAACATTAAAAAATATGAAGTCATATATTTATTATTATGTCCTCTTTACACATTGCTTGTATAAAGTTAATTCGTTAGGAACTACAATTAATGAATACCGAAGTGTTGCTTATTATATCAATTGGTTAAGCTTTTCTATTTTATACAAACATTGGGATATTCATTTCGTTGTAAGGCTATCTATGGAAGACAATTCTTCCCGCAAGAGTTGCTTGTCGCAAACCTCACACATGTACTATATGCTTTTGCCAATATTGATCCAGAATCTGGAGCTGTGTAGGCTATTAAATCTCCACCGTATAATGGTTGTTAATCGATCCTAGATATTTGTCGGATCTCTGGGCAGATATAAATGCACCATTGCTAGGGAATTCTTCACAAAGCTCCGATGCTAATCTCTATGGCTGTTTTCAGCAGATGTATATCTTGAAGAAACAAAATAGAAATCTCAAGGTACTACTATCTATAGAGGTTGGACATACTGTGAGAAAGTTGGAATTATAGGCCAAATACATAAAGGTTTTTAACTAGTCAATCACATGACCTCCTGTAGTTAGATATAAAAGAAGAGCTTTTTGCCTCTTCTTTTCACAATAACCAACCTTCTACATATATACATTTGAACCCACATAGCATCAACCCCAAAACCATTGTGAATCCCGTTTTCTCTATAAGTGACGTGTTACAATGTAATCTAATTCAGCTTTCTCTTCCAATTCCCTCCTCACAGCGTGCTATCGGGACGCACGTATCTCGACCTACCACTTTTACAATACTCTTCAAACTTTCCTGCAGCCGCATCTACTATTTCCAAAAGAGCTACATTTGCGTCATCCGTAGTTTCTCTAGTTCAAAATCTAGGTTTAGATGGGATTGATGTTGATTGGGAATATCCCTCAGATGATATTGAGGCAAATGATTTCGTATTATTGCTCCAAGAAGTCAGAGATGCTCTTGATAGATTTGGTGACTCGTTACAGAGCCCTTATTATTTTCTCCTTACTGTTGCAAGTCCAGCCAGTCCTGCTGTATGTCAAAATTGGCAACTATCGGAAATGGATCAGTATGTGGATTTCTGGAATTTCATGGCCTATGATTACTCTGGTCCTTGGAGCACTGTTTCCGCTCATCAAGCAAATCTATCTCCTTCCGGAAATGGGTCAACTCCATTTAATACACAAACGGGCATCAGCTATTACATTGCTCGCGGTATTACTTCAGCCATGATTGTTTTAGGGATGCCTATATATGGAAGATCATTCGAGCAAACGAATGGATTAGATCAAAGCTTTCAGATGTCGGACAGGGAACCTGGGCTTCTGGAGTCTATGATTATAAGGTATTACCTTTAGCAGGGGCTACGGAGGTATACGATAAGAAGATCGGCGCTAGTTATAGCTGGGATACTTCAAAAGGAGAAATTATCAGCTACGATAATCCTATGGTCGCTATTCAAAAAGCCGAATGGATTCAATCCATGAACCTTGGTGGCGCAATGTGGTGGGAAACTAGTGCTGATGGACGAGGTTCCAGAAGTCTCATCGGAAGTGTGATGAGTGTTCTTGGAGGTCATATACAAAACGTAACAAACCAGCTATCATTTCCAAACTCCACTTACGCCAATATTAGAAACGGTATGCCTGGATTTTCAAAGTTGCCTTTATTCAGTATTACAAGCCCGAAAACCAGCACTTGCTATTCAACGAAAGCGTACACAAGTTCGGGCTTGGATATTCCATCCAGTCTTTTAGACATCACTACTACCAGTTCACCTTTGGAGGCCACAACCGCCGTCGGTTCATCCCAAGGAACCACAACCACCAGTTCATCCCAAGGAACCACAACTGTTTCAGATAGTTCCTCTGTTACTAATGTCTGTTCACTCGTCAGCGATTGTTCCATCGTTACAAAACTCTTTTCTTATTCAACACCAACACCCATAACTCTAACATTTTGTATATGTAACAGTTTTTTTTTTGATGTTCATTATGCTGTATTAGGTGCAAGTACTACTACTTATTGCGGTAATACCTTTATCGGTTCCTGTTGGTTTCACAAGAATTAATAACGGAAAATTACCTATTTCTACCACGAGGACGACAATACTACCGATACCAACCGAAAAGACTACTACAGCAATAACAACGACAACAATGTTATCTCCAAAACGAAGATCTGGATGCAATCCAAATCTGGAATGTTACACGAGTAGTACTAGGATAGTAGGGCCTGGATACTCACCTACGGGTTTGGTATGTGCAACAGATACCAATAATGATCCAGTATGTATTGGGGATTTTATTTGTTTACATACACAGTCTTGCACAACCAACGGAGACTGTGCTCAAGGAGAAGCATGCATCTTTGATTGTTGTCCTTGTACTACGAATGATTCCACGTGCACATCTCGGCATTGTACACAATTGAAAGCCGGATGCTTGGAGTCAAACTAAAATTAGAATTAAGATAAAAGAAGAAAGTAGTAGTCGCTGTATCTTTAGAATAGCAAGATTGGCAGCCTTTAAAAGGCCTCAGAAAATATACGTCAATTCCTCCCTCAGTCTGATCACGGCTCGATCATCATTACGACACGATCATCACAAGTTAAGCAGGGTATACGAATTCATGTTCAGAGGCTAGATGTCAGGGAAGGTCTTGAGATTGTGTCTAATATGTCAGGGCGTAAGGGCATTGAAAAGGGTATGTTGGTATAATTGATAGTGGGAACAAAGATAATACTAATAAGGCAGATTCTGATGCTATAGCACTCGTCAAGGAACTCGACGGCCTACCACTTGCTTTATCTACAGCAGGGGTATATCTCGAGAACGTAACGACGAGCTTTTCGGATTATCTTCAGCTCTATAAGACATCATGGTTGAAGCTTCAGATGACAAGTCCCCTGTTGGATTCCTATGTAGATCGTACACTATGTACGACATGGCAGATCACTTTCGATCGGATCCAACAGCAGAATAAAGCATCAGCAAAACTACTCAAGCTATGGGCATATTTTCATCGACAGGACCTGTGGTTTGACCTCCTTCGGCATGCAAACTCTGTAGACGATGAATGGATCCAGAAGCTTACGAAGGACGAACTGAACTTTAATGAGGCCATCACTCTATTATGTACCTTCGGACTGGTTGATCCAGACAGGTCTCCTCAGCAGCAGGTCGGGACTAGAGGGTATAGTGTGCATAGTTGTGTCCACTCATGGATAGTGTTTGTGCTTAACAAGGAGTGGGACAAGAGCCTTGCACATCTGGCTTTAACCTGTGTGGCCTCGGAGGTTCCTGATACAAATGAAAAGTACTGGTGGCTCTCACAGCGGCGGCTCCTTCAACACGCAACACGACAGGCCTTCTTTATAGAAGACGCCAAGGTAGATATAGACGGACTATATTGGGGGTTTCACAGCCTAGGCAACCTCTACAGAGACCAAGGCAAGCTAGCAGAGGCGGAGAAGATGTATCATCGAGCGTTGGAAGGTAAAGAGAAGGCACTTGGACCAGACCATACATCAACACTCGATACAGTCAACAACCTAGGCAACCTCTACAGAGACCAAGGCAAGCTAGCAGAGGCAGAGAAGATGTATCATCGAGCGTTGGAAGGTAAAGAGAAGGCACTTGGACCAGACCATACATCAACACTCGATACAATCAACAACCTAGGCAACCTCTACTCTGACCAAGGCAAGCTAGCAAAGGCAGAGAAGATATATCTTCGAGCGCTGGAAGGCAATGAGAAGGCACTTGGACCAGACCACACATCAACACTCGATATAATCAACAACCTAGGCAACCTCTACTCTGACCAAGGCAAGCTAGCAGAGGCGGAGAAGATGTATCTTCGAGCGCTGGAAGGCAGTGAGAAAGCACTTGGACCAGACCACACATCAACACTCGATATAATCAACAACCTAGGCAGCCTCTACTCTAACCAAGGCAAGCTAGCAGAGGCGGAGAAGATGTATCTTCGAGCGCTGGAAGGCTATGAGAACGCTCTTGGTCTTGAACTTGCCTCGTCTTATCTACCGGCGTTGAATACTATGTTCAACTTTGGAGACCTCTTCTCGCAAACTGACCGGAAAGACATGGCAAGGGCAATGTATAATCGAGCATTGTCTGGATACACAACCGTCCAAGGGCCTTCCTCTAAATGGTCTAGGCAGGTTGAAGATCGGCTTCAATCGTTGCAAGTTGCGTCTGCTGGGTCGAATGTAGGTCGAAATGAGTTTACAGAGCCTGAAGTAGCAAATTCGAGGTCTTTGAAGCAGAAAATCCGCAAGCTAGGAAGGTGGCTGAAAATTAGATAAGCTACAAGGGCTTCTTTCTTATGGTTCTGCCATTAACTTACAAGTATTGATGTAATTAGAGATAGCAGATCTGACATCTCTTTTAACTTCTGGTCCAGAATCGACCGCCGTTGTAATGACCCTGCATAGCCATTCTTCTCCTCACTAGCGCCGAACAATAGAAGCTTACTAAGCTATTGGCCGATTTTGGCCGAGCTGCTGATCGGTGCTGAAAAAGATGAAAAGCGACATTGATTTCACTTCTGAAGAACAGTATAGTATCCTTTACATTATGCTTTTGTTTATGCCCCATAAGTGTCCTCACAGCTCATCACTTTACCATAGAACAGTAAGCCTCTTCGATATTCAGCCCTAGAGCCAAGAGGAATCCCGCCTTTACAGTGATGGATAGATCGCCAACGAATTCCATGATGACCTGATGACAGAATCTGTAAGGGTTGTAAGAGTGCCAAGAGGAGCACGGTATCAGCGCACCAGACCGCGATGACCTAGCAAACACGTTGAGAATAGCTCAGACGATGACGACAGCAAAACAGCGGTGTGCTCGGTGATAAGAGGCCACACTACCCAAGATACATAACAAGGGCATAATGGCAGCGGGCACAATAGCGGGCATAATGATAGCAAACAATAGTCATCGCAGGGTATAATAAGAGAATCATTGTAGAGCAAGCACAGCAATAACACCAAAGGCTTGTACAACCCATTATATCAGAAACCAATGCAGATTAATATTAACTCTACTTTATAGCAACAAGTCTCGAAGGCAGCACGAGCTTACCTCAACCAAGGATCAATTCTATCAACTCTATTAAAATATCGTGCGGCAGTCTCTCGATAAGCCGCCTTGAGTGGAGCAAACACTGCTACATCACAAGGTTGGAGCTTGTGGGAGGTTGAGAGGGGAGACGACATAAAAGAATATTATTCTCGAAACAGAACTCAGAGTCAGAGCACGCATATTGCCATTTAGGGGTAGGGAACGTGGTCCAGTTGCTTCGATGGGAATTCGCTGGCCAAATAATCATGGGGTTTAAATATCTACCATCACTAATGTGTTCGATCGCAGTCACAGTGATACGCTTGACTCACGCACCTTTATAATCTTGCATATCATGCTTACTTACGAGGACTTTGACAGAGCCTGGCATGGATAGCATCACTTCAGTCTCGTCCATGTTATACACATTTTCGGCTAGGACAGCCGGATCTTGTAATACATATTTTATCACCTCAAAAAAATGTGTGATCTTCCCATAAGTGTTTTTCTCCTGACGATTCCAGTCCAACGCCTTGAATCTTCGTGCTATGAGTTCTAGATGGCGTTTCTCTAGAGCCTTTGTCAAATTCCGACCGGGAGGCTTGAAAGGTCTATCGATGGCAAACCGATGATAGCTGACTCTAAAAGCTATAAAATGAATAAACTTCATTTGTATCGGTTATCCAAGGTCAGACATTTGTAACAAATACTTAACAATATCTTCTTCATATAGTTTGACATATTATTGGCCTCGCGCCTTCTTTTCTATCGAGGGTCTTCTGCAAGCACAATAATAAAATGTAGAATGAGGGATGTTGTTATGATCTCCAAGAGTACGATATGATCTAAGCATGCTAGGAGGTACGCCTTATACTAGGACTTGACTGGCTCTATCCATATTATCCTGTTGTTGTGATGGTGATATAGAAAGAGACAAGAGACGGCGCCCAGGCATTAGGGTGCTGCCACCTGCTGATAGAATGTTCGAGAAACCTGCACTTACACTACATATATAACTATTATACGCTACATACATGCTATGACTTGAGGTCGTCTCCTCATATCGGAGTAACTCCCGGACTACATTATTTTCCTCATTAAGTATCTTCAAAATTTGGGAGCTATATTCTTTGGATATAGAACCTTTCCTCAAATGCTCCGAATTTTAAAAAAACTCTAATCGTGATCAAGCAGAGGGGAACAGCCGAAGCGACGATCGGTGGCATCATTAAAACGATCGATTGTATAACCAGCCACAGTCTTTTTCTTATTGCTAAGTGGTTTCCTTAGAGACAAATAGTTATAGAAAGTGACATATTAATAACAACTTCGTAGAGTTACTAAGAAAATTTATGATTCCAAAACTATAGATTCGTCTCGTGACAGGGTGCGTCTCGCTACACTGGGATAGACGTTACTATGTTAGGATTCTTTCTCTTTTTCTTTGCCGAGAATTGTTTAGTTGTATCTTACTTCTCTCATATGTTGAACGGGAACGAGTATTTTAGGTTTTTTGTCATTTTTTTAAGAGTAGAGATGATAACTTGTATAATTACAAATTGACAATGTACGAATTTACTGAAGTGTCCGGGTAAACAAAAATGATTCAGCTAAAAAGCCTCTCTACCATCTTCTTTTATAGAGCACTCCTTATAGTGCGAAGCCTATTTAACCTCAAGAATCTTTTTCTTATGTTCCTTCTTAACATTCTGTAGTAACCAAAAGTTATAAATCAGAAATGATTTTAATAGAAATACTGTACAGCATCCTGTTACAGTAATAGTAATAATCGCTGTAACCGACCAAGCTCCACTTCGAGCCGCATATATATTTATAATTGTTGTAAGGAGTCCAGTAATGGAGTGAAGAAAGCCTGGTATGAGTCACATATCAGCAAAGATACTGCTATACTTTTGTGAAGGTGAGAATTACTTACAAAATGGTTCGATTCAAAATCCATATATAGTTCCTCTTCCACATCCACCACAGCCAGCTCATACCAGATGCTCCAATAGCGCAGAAGATTGCAGCTATCCATAATAATGGCAGATTTTGATATGTTTTTAGAATTAGCTTCCCAGCTTTGCTTACTTCCGATGCAACGGTGCGAGAATTCTGAAGTGATGTGAATGTAGCCGGTAATACCATATATCCAGCGAGCAGTAGCCAGGTAAAAAGGCCGGCTAGAATGTTATAAGTTTTTTTCGGTTATACTATCAAATTGAAGTAGCATGTTGATGTAATTAGTCTCTCCGTGTTCGTGTCTAGGGTCACGAGCATCTTCGCCATAAGGTGCATCTAGGCGGAACATTTCCTCATTGAGCCTAGTAAATTCTTCATCGCTGGATATTGAAGAACTATTACGATGCTGTACGGAATTTGAACGTATTCTTCGAACGTGTGCTATGGAGGGCACTCTTAATTGAAATGATTCTGATGGGTGAAAGGAATCCGGCATAACTGTGCTCATTATTATATTATAGTAGATATCATGGAGAAATTCATCTTTTATATATTTATATTCGTAATGCTAATTAGACGATGGCTTAGATTAGCCTAGGAAAAGTAGGAAATTTCTAAATAGTAAATTCATTAATAATAATATACAGAATTTCTGTCTTTTCGTTTTTCTTCCTCTTCAGATAGTCGGGGTATTAAAGGTATGATTTAATCATTGAACCTAATTTAGAATTTCTATTTATTGACCTGGACAGTCTTTTCAACTGGATTATCAAACTGGCATTCTATACCCTTTCAAACTTGGTCGCCGATCTCGATCGTCGATCTCAAGCCATTCCCGATAGACTGAGAAAGTATTTGACCAATGGGCATAGTAGCTACTAGTCACTTTAGCTAATTTGGTCATTTGGTCAATTTGGTCAATTTGGTTAATTAATTTGGTCATTTGGTCAATTTGGTTAATTAATTTGGTCAATTGGTTAATTTGGTCAATTGACGAGCATGGTGACCATTAGTCGAGAAATCAGCACGTACAAAGACATTAGTATGATGTAATCCTAAATGAAATTGTCGGAACGAATAACTTTTTATCAATTATAGCAGTTTGGCTATATAAAACATCTTGAATAAATATTTTCCTTGCAATACTCCTAAGGGAAAATCCCCCTACCACTTACAATTGGTTACAAAATATATAATTATTGTATAAGGGGAATTATGGAAACTCTTGTGTTTTGTTTTATAAACCAATGAAGCATGCCTATCGTTCAGGACAGATTAAACCCTAAGAATATTGTCCTATCATATACGAATATGTAGCACATTGATTCTGAGACTAGGGTAGGCCCAGGTATACTAAGCATACTAGCACAGTCGTCCTAGGCTTGAATTTCTCCTCACATATTTGTCCCAGGACAAATAGAGGTTTAGACAGATAATCCAGGCCACATAACTATCTGGGGTGTATATGATTTTAGGACTAGTGTCCTATATACCTTGTCCTATGTATTATGTCCTACGGCGATATCACTCCTAAGATATTAAGGATCCTGAGATATTCTAAAAGCTAGGCCAGAAATCCTGGATAAGAATTCAAGTTGGAATTTCTTAGCCAGGACAAACTTACATTTAGGAAAAGTTCTCTAGAACTCTCAAACGCCTAGAATTCCTAAAATCATAGGAAGTTTGTCCTAGCTGGAGTTACATGCTAGGATAGTTCGTCTGGGTTAAGTATCTATTGATCTCCTAGATACCTAATAGCATCAACTTCTTTTCGATATAACTTTCTCATTGATTTTGACCCTGGCAGCGCATATATATATGTTGCATAATTCATATACTGAGCAAACAACCTCAACTTTCAACTCCTTTCATTTAAGATATATTGTATGCTTGTTTGCTTCAACTTCTAATATGCTTTGAATCCCGAAGACCAAATGCCTAACTCAATTCCCTCCTTGAGGTTATATTTGCAACGTAATTGCTTACCTAGTAATCAATTAACTCAACCTACATGCTCTTCCTGTCTTGAATTACGCCAAAATATCCTCTAATTGATTATAAATCCAACTCGACCTGTGACTTCTTATTATACTGCCTCAAGGAGAGTGGAGGCATAAACTAAAGTTATAAGCACAATCTAAAACATAATCCTCTATAGAGAAAAGAACGTCATATTCTTGTTTTCTCATTTCTATACAGGCTGGTAATCAAGTTCAAAATATTTCACGTCATCCGCCAATTTATCCCGTATGGCACTTTTTAGCTCATCTCGAACTTTTTTAGTACCAGAGACTTCAAAATTGTTAGCAGTCTTCAAATAGTAGATTATTGAGCGTACCTATGACAATCATCTTTCCATCAGATCTTCTAGATTCGAGTTCTTTAACCGGCTTCGTCTTCATCTGCCTCTTTGAAATTTCTTCTTGGATAATATCATGTATTGGGGCCTTGCCAGAGAGACGCTTGCTCGCTTTCCAGAGGATACGGTGGTGTCCCTTGATTCACAATAGATCGAAATGTCGAGAATCTACAATTTTTTCTCAGAAACCGATAACAATATTAGGGTCACGATAAATACCCAACCATCATCAAGTGTATCCTCGCTCAATGCACCATTGATTAGCGGTTGCACAGCTATTGTAACGTCTGTTCTTGTCAGATACTTATTTTGATAAACATATTGTGCTTTAAATACTCACCAATATCTCGGACCTGCCAAACCAGATGGATACGTTGGGTACGTAGCTTACGGGTATTATAGCCATGGATCAGCTGCTTGAGATATGGTAATTGAGCCGCGATCCCGAAGTCGCTGGCTACCATGAGGATATTTTCACAATCGTCCATGCGGATACTATTTCCATGAGGACCACTAAACAACACCAAGGAGTGCACAGAACGCCCATTCTTGGCATGATGCAAAAGCTTGCGAGTAATTCCTCTCCGAGGCTCGATGAAGGGCTCCAAATGATCCTGTGATTGTTCTGCCCAAGAGATCACAACGAATGGGTGACTTTGCAGGAAGGACCAGAAGTTGACCTCAGGTATCCAGAGATTAATGTACTGCCCGGCTTTGATAGCTAGTGGCTTTCGACATTGTAAGCGGAGCCGGACAGCACCAGATACATGCGTGATATGAACTTGTGTAAGACCCGACAGAAACCGTTTCGATAGAAGAAAAGCAAGCATTGAGTTACACACATGAAAAGAAAATCCCTGCCAAGATATACAAGTAAAGAAGGGGAAATAGTGAATCGGATGATATGTGTTGCCAGATGGCATAAACAGAAAGTGCTGATAACGCATGGTGTACACGAAGGAAAATTTCATAGGAAGGTTTACGAAAGATAGGCAGAGAAAGCAGGATAATGCATCCTAATGATGATGCTTCCTACCGACTGTCAGAGGGAAAAGGTGGCGAAGCGATTGCGGACTTGCTATATCGCAAACAAGTTGTGGTGCAGGTTTAAAGCGAAAGGTAATTGTGCTGAGACTGCATAAGAACATGAAGGATGGCAAGTAGGACTGTCATTACACCTGCCGATCGATGAATTTGCCGAAATGTGTCGAGGGTCAGACCTAAGTAGATCCGCAACAGTGCTAAGGTGAGGACCGGTGAATAGTGGGATTAGATTGACAAGGAGAGGGTCCCGGCTCGAAGACCGGCTTGTGAGAGAGGGGAAAATCGGAGGCTAGATTCATTTATTTCTAGACTAAAGCAAGCTATATTTCCAGCGATGTAGACTAGATGTACCAATATGCTCGCTCGGCTCCAAGGGCCTATGTAACGATGTCGACGAAGAGTATAGCTATAGATTAGATGCTTCGAGATAATAATAGAAAGAAATCGCACAATATGAGTAATCCAACGGCGGCTATTGGTAAGCAGGAGTATGCAGAAGATGCTAGCTATAACAATAGCATACACTTGATTTGCATTCATAATAATTGAATAATGAAATAATGAGTTGGGAATAAAATATAGAAATTGATATAAAATTAAGATTGATGATTATGAAGAATAAAGGGAGTGATACAGCCTCAAGTCAGTGTTGAGAATAAAGTGAGAAGAAAAATGTGGGAGAAGCAGAGTGAATAGAAGGTACGGCTAAGGGTGAGGTTAAGAGAACCCATATGAGAGGATAATGTGGAAATCATGAAATTTAGCGGGAGCCTGAACTAGATATTGACATTTTATAATGTAAAAGTGGCTTGGTAAATGCTTATATTTAGGGAGAGCAAAATTATGTGTTTTAAATCCATATTAAGAGAGACTTTGATGAGGATTTTCTTATTTTAGCATATGTCATTTTAAGGTCGATGTATGAGGTTGCGCACTTTTGCGGAGACAGGCCGGGCTAGGGCTCAGGATGGAGTGGGGCTGATGATTTTTTGAAAATCCCATTGGCGAGAATGGATAAATTTCAGGAGTAAGGAGGGACACGGTAACATTTGAGCAGGCACTTTTCAAAAGAATTCTGTTGAATACATTTATGAATATGAATTAACCTCGTGAATTTTATTATTTAATAAAAATAGAATAGAAGATATTTTTGGGTCTGAATTCGTAGACTATTGTAAGGCAAAGTATAACAGTTTAAAGTTACATCAACATAGTTACACTTTTGGTGTATACTTGTAACGACCACGTAAACAAACTTGAGCTAAAGATATCAAACCAACGAGAGATTCCTTGCGCCAAGGACTAGTCAGAAGGGGATGCTATTAAGTTAAAATTAGAATTGAACTTTGAAATAACAAATTGATGTACCTTGAGCAATTCCACAATCGAAGTTGCGGATGTTGTAGCAGAAAGGAACCCGACGGCATTTGAGTTGGGATGCCAGCGGTGTAGGTCGTCGATACCGATTGCACCATCCTCTTTGACATACTTTTGCATCAACTCCATCACAATTGGAGAAAGGGCCCTCAGATCACAAGGGTCGCCTGTGGTTTCTGCTAAGTGACAACATTCTTGATTTGCTATAAACTCATATTAGATTAGGCGTTTATTGGAAGAGAATCTGTTTACCAATCTTGACTTCTCCATTTGTGTTTAAGAAGATATTTGAGCAGCACAGAGATCCGTGTTCAAATCCTTCCGCCGAGAGGTAAGCCACACCATTGAGAATCTATTATAATTAGCGACTGCTTATATGTAAGTGAGAGACCTTACTTGTCCGAGGATAGCAGCGAGTTGTTGCTCATCAGGGTAGGCTGGGGAGCTGACGATTCGGTCGAGAGATATAGGCATATGCTCGAGAATGATAAAGAGGCCTTCGTCAGTGGTAAAAGCATCTAGGGCAGCAATAATATTATGATGCTGAAGTTGTCGGAACATATGAAGTGCCTTCTCGGCCACCGGTTTCAAAAATGCCCTCACATGAACGAGCTCTATTGGAGGCACTTTTCGGACCGCTACTGCAACGGGACCACCAAGTTCAAGATCATAGATCTTTTCATACTTGTCCCACGGGGATTTCCATGCTGCCCTGAGTTGAAGGGCAGAGCTTTCCAGTGTCGGTCTCACCTTTTTCACCTTGGGCGATGGCGGTGGCTTCAAACCATATCGTCCTATGGGCTGAGGCTTCTTATTGTTTTGAGTATCCTTCTGCGAAGCTTGCTGTCTAGTATCCTTTGTAGATAGTACTGTCGATTTGTCACCCGTTAACGCGAACATATCAATTTGTGTGTGCCGATTTTTGGGTGGAATCGCCATTCTAGATAGCTGTTTGTGTGTTAATTGTTAATTTTTGGTTAATTGAGTAGTAATGGAGGTATAGAAGTTAGAAAATAATTGAGGAAATATAATGGGAAGGACAGGCTCCAAAAACAGTTCAGAAGTAACAACGCATTTGGAATTAAAAAATTCAAGTAAAAGAAACAAAAAAATTGAAGAGAATAAAAAGAGCTTTTTTAGGCACAATTTATTTTAGTCAACCCGCCCTTGCTCTGCCGCAAGTAGCCAAGTAAATGAATGTACCACCCTCTACTCCCCCCACCTGCTACTTCCGATCACTCATCCCCCCACCTTTCATTCAGTCTCGCTTTTAAATTCCTTCTCTTTTAGTGTTAAAAAATAGTTAACTTCTAATATTATAAGAAGTATTTTTTAGATGTATCGATCACGGTTAACTAAAGACGAGTTGAAACTCGAGGCAGAAAGACATCTCAAGTATAGGGGTATCGCATGCGTCAGGTTGGAGAATCTCCATTTTCCATCGGAAGACTCAAGGGAGCTCAATCAGGAGAATGTTGAAAGGCTGAAGGAGTTGTTTCAAAAAGATATAACTCGTCGGCTAGATCCTAAAAATCGGATCGCCGCTGAGATTAATGAAATCGACCTTAACGAGGCGATCCGAACCTCCAACACCTCTGCTGAATTATTGATGAATATCCATGATGAGAATCCCCCATTTCTAATATTTCCTTCAAATTATCAATTGACCTGTCTTCATGGACGTCATCGCATTCTGGCTGCCCGAGAGATTCTGCCGCCGGCGAATGCCTGGTGGACGGTTGATCTATATCTTACAGGTATTAAACCTTTCTGCTCAAAAGGTAAAACGATATATGCTAAAATTTCTGTAGACACTAACCCAGAGGCTCGAAGGACCCTAATTGAAGAATATTCGAACGAGAAAAAACCATCGGATGGAGAGATATATCGTAAAGTCCGGCAATATGAGCGAGAGGGTAATATCCTCTTCAAGAAGCGGTGGATAGCTCGTCTATCTGATCATGGCCGCTGAAGTCTTCGACAACTCTTCGATTATGAAGATGGAGAGCTCACAGCGGCTTTTGACAAGCTTCTAGATATTCCCGGGCTCTGGAGCGGTATGAGAATTAGTACACTTCACAAGCTGCTAGATATGAAATGTTATGAAGTGAGTTTGCTGCTGTTACAGAATTGACCCGCTCTCCTTATGCGATGATGAAACATTCTCACATATTCAATAGGAAGCTCTACACTATCTCGAACACATTAGACAATTTTGGCATAGCCTTTTCCGTGGGGATAAGAACGCTCTCCGGAGGGTGAATAACGTCGATGTAAAATCCTTAGAGCTCAAAGCTCCAAAGTACTCCAAACAGGACGCTCAAATCTTACAAGTTCAACTACTTAGTGGACAGATCTTCAGTGCGTTCAGTCAAAAAGAGCGTGAAGCTATCTGGAGTGAGCTACAATCTATTGAATATCTCACCCCTTCACTCTTTACTTTCTTCGAAGATTTAAAGTATCTCAATGCTTGTGCCGGAAGTCTAAAGCGGCTGGTAAAACTATCGTGCAGAGACACGGTATTTTCCGCTTTCCAGCAAAACTTTCATTTTACGAACGAGTCAAATGATCAATACGCTATTGAGATCGCAGAATCTACCTTTATTGATAAATCAATACCAGCTAGACATTGTTTTGATACAGGATATCGGCAGTTGTGGGCTTTTGTGATGAGAAACTACAAGGAGATAGCGCCTAATACCAAGAAGAAGAAGAAAGATCTCCTTGCAAAGTCTGGAGTAGAGAAAGCGGACGAAATGATTTTATTTGAATTTGCTGCTCTCGCCGACCGTTTAGGTTTTGCATCACCCGAAATTCAAACCTTAAGGCAAAGTTCATCGGATAGAGAGATCGCTTTGCATGCCTTACTAAAGGCGCGAAAGCCCGATCGGTATCAATATGACGACATTACCTTAGCATCCAACGTGACACAAATTATGAGATTATTTTCGACAGCTTCCGTAATTTCTCACGATAATATTTCCCCAGCTCTTATTTCCGATAATATTAATTCATCGGGAAATCGTTGCGGATTTCCGGACCAGGATGCCCATCGACAAGATAGGAAAGCGCTCTCCCTACCTTACTTAAACAATGAGAACTTTGAAACCAACAGAGTGACACCGAACCTACGCCGAACACCGGCTAGGTTAGGTAATAATTCAGCTCAGTCTTCAGCAAAGCTCGCAACAACATCCAACGATCGAACAAAACAAGGTAATCTTTTGAGGGTTTGGCTCGGTAGCCCATGGTGCGACTATCAGTCTGTAACGCCCATAACAGCAAAGGGATGTTTGTTGGCTTGTCGCAAGGGAGACTACTTTGAAAAGGTGACAATTGGAGTTTATGAGGGGGATGATACTCTTCAATTCCTCCAAGCACTATCTGTAATTCAACATGCGAACATTTCTAAAATTAGGTCCTGAAACGTTCGGAGTACCTTCTTTGCCAAGGTGTCTCATGTAAAGCCTTGTCGATATTGAATATTCGTCTCTCAATAAATGGGGATGTTAAGATTGGTGGGCTACAGAGTCTATACGTGAAATATCTCTAAAACTTCTTTCAGCTTTGAATTTCAAACAATACACATACGGAAGAAGGCATTCAAACTTGAATCTTCTACATAGCTTTCTAGATTTACCATTCCTAGCTGAGATTGTTGAAGAGATGATGCTTCCACGATATTATTTGATTGGTAAAAAATATGCGTGGTCTAACGAAGCTCTACAATTCCTTTCATGTTGTATATCAAGCTCGATCAAAAGTATGCTTAAGGTGACGACCCTCTCTATCTCTCTCATTTTTGGTATTCACGCTTAAATGTAAACAGCATCCATTTCTCCAACAGGCCATTGCACCAAGCAAGCTAGCCCGTCGTGTTAGGTTTGCAATGGAAGTCTCAAGGTTAAAAGATATCAAGCAATAATACGACAATGCATTGAAAGTACATTTTGCTATTCTAAATGTCGACAAGTGAGGCTTCTACAGCCAGTCAGATTATGTATCCCTACCTCCTTGTTCTATGTAGCCGTCATCGCAGGAATATTCGGCGTTGGGAGATACAGGGCGAGGAATGATTTGATTGATATCGAGTGAAGTAGATGGAGAATTGTGCTCAAATGTGCTGGCGGCTGTTGTGAGGTGAGAGAGGTCGATTCTTCCTATTGGTCGAGGAGCAAAATCTGAGAGGGTGATAATGGATGTCCTTCAACAGTATTCTCCGAAGAAATCACAGAGACAATTTCGAAATCACACTCAAAATAGTTGAGCTTTTCATTTGTTGTACTTATCGGCTCCCATGGCAATTTCGGATCATAAGGATGCTTCGCCCCATCCACTGAGTACTAAATATAAAGTCGTTAGAGAATCGATGAAAACATACAAAATCAGAGGGACAAACAAAGTAATAGTATCTATGACGGCTATTATGATTGACTAACAACTTCAAATCAAGTCTCCAATTGTTACTATCTGTTCTTCGAAGAGGGTGACCTTCCCATTCTTTAGATAGGGCAATAAAAAATGTTGTAGCTTTCGCCTGAGGCTCGACATGGCGTACATCAACGAACATTGGTATTTCAACCGCCATCACCAATACAGTAAAAAATAAATAAGCACAATACAGTAAGAGGATATATCGAGTATATATCACGGAATAAAGATTTTAGACAACTACCAACTTAAAAACAGAGCGAACTTTATAATACGAAATGGCACAACCGTCCTATATACTTTCAAAGATCTATCCTAAGTTCCCATGCCGTTGGAATAGATGAAGATATTTGGAAAGAAATTTCTTAATTTGTGTATCCTTTTCAGTTGAGGGTCTGTTTAAGCGCAGTTCCTTTAAGGTTTCAATCCTTGGACTTTGGCTCTGAACCTTAACTTTGGTCGTTGATTTGACGCTCGTTGATTTGACGCTCGATAGTGAACCCTGTACATTGTGTGACATAAAATGCGGATCAAATCTTCGGAATTTATTATAGGTCAATATAGGTGAAGGAAGTCCTTTGGGGAGATGATTATCAAGTATTTTCTCGCCTATACTTATCTGTCTATCAGCTCTTTAACAAACATTCATATTAGTATTTCCTATAGTAGCATTTCTTATTATAGCATTTCTTATTGTAGTAGTTCTTATTAAAATATTTCTTATTGTTTTATTTATTACCCTATCTATTATTTTAGTATCAAGGTGAAAGACTATGTATATGAAAAAGGGTTGTACTGGGTATGGAATGTAGTTGGAAAGAGACAAAGATGAGGCTATCCCTATAGTCGCCAAGAAGCTTCTTGCATTCACGTAAGTGAACCTGTGATAGTGATATATATTATTCTAGCATTTCTTATTTTGGCATCTCGTCGCGGCTGTACCGTATGCGGTTCCGGACTCTACATGGACTATGAAGCTACTCTTATTGATCAAGCAAGATCCTGGTCGCCTCCCGAAACCCTTAGTAGAAAACTCTTATTTAAGCATATCTTATTTTAACCTCTTTTATTTTGATCTTTCTTATTTTAACCTCACTTATTCAAACATTGTTTATTTAGACATTTTGGTATTGAATATTCTATCTTAATAATTTTTCTATTATTATTTAAATCTCAGCATCTTTATGGGGAAAGATTTACAGAATAAAATGATTACGGTAATTCAATCATCCCAAATGAAACAGCAGGTGGTTGAGCAGAGCCATCGGGGCCCTGGTATACTGCCACATTTTCACAGATCTTCAAAATTTCCATTTCGAACTCCTCTTTTGCTGCTACTAATCTCGGTCTCAATGCTTCAGTGAAAACTTTTGATATTTTCATACGATGTAGCTCGTCAGATTGGCGTATGGCGTCGGTAGTTTTCTCGTCGGTGACCATGATGCAAAATTCATCAACTTGTTCATCCCCTAATACTATATGACATTATGACATCCGTTTAATCACATAACCCATCCATAAGAACATCCTGCCGCGGTATTCGGCCGACGCCCCACGTGAGATGAGAACTTTCACATCAAAAGCCCATCGCCTTGGTCGAACACCAGCACAGTAGGGGAGGTAATTATCATCAAGAAATGTACACATCTTATGAAACATCTCTTCGTTGCCAGGTGATAATCCATTGGGAGTGAGAAAATAGCAAATATCGTTATCGGGATTTATGTGTGTAGTTTGTGTCTTTGATGCTGTGTTGTGTGGGCGGCATATAAATTGCTTGTAGTATTCCGATGCGTAATGCCTTGATTCTTGATTGACATAGAGAAGAGCGGGCTCTGGCGTCAAGCGTAGCCACATCTTGAGATTTGCTTTGAAATCAAACACGATAACGCGGTCGTGAGTCAAGGCTTCCATCCATATCATTTCACGAACTTCAGCGGATAGTTTTTGAAATGGATGAAAGGATGAAGACATTCTATAAGCAGTGCCAGCTTTCATTGGGAGTTTGAAAGGATTGCAAGATAGTATGGCAAAGAAGTCGGAGGTAAAGATTTATGACATACAAGCGTACATTCTTATTGAAAAGGAACTTCAATCGAGAATGAATTTCAGATATCTTATAAAAGAAATGAAAACAAGAAGATCGGGCAAAATCGAAATAGGATAAGCTCAAGGTGGTGATACTAATCTGCACCTAGTGAAACTAGATATACCAAAACAGAAGATGCTAATATAAGGAAATACCAGAGGATGGATGCCACATCTTACTTTTTACATCAATTCTAGCCAACTAGCCTGAGTCATTGCTGCTTGGATTTGAGCTCTTCTAGGTATAAACTGAACCTCACAAGTTGTAACATATTGGAGCAAGTTCATATTAGTCTAAGAACAAGTTCGTATCAATATTTTGTGTAACTGTAATTATCTGTAAATCGGCGCACAATCCACTTGTTTATTATTAAGATATACATAAGCCTAAAGTTCTCGACGAGAATCCCGATCCCATCATAAACTTAACATAAGATCTGGAAAGAGATCCGATACACCATGAGTCCATGCATATTTGACTCGCGCCGCAGTCCATCTGCTGCTATGCATTACCATTAATGCAGCGATTCGCTCCCAACATCCGTCATAATCCGCCTGCCTCATATGTAGCTCCATGATTGACTCCCCCAAACGCTCACACGTCTTTACAATATCTGCCTGGACCGCCTTTTTGAAGTAACTCATCTGAGTAAATGTTAGACGGTTATTTATACAGGTTGAACATAAGAATTCTGACCTCCTTTAAAGTTCTATTGTAGTATGAGTACCAAAATTGCATATTGTTCTTCCTGATACCCCTCTTGCCGAATTCATTTATTATAAAGTCCCATTTTCTATTTTCCCTCTTCCAATGTCTCAATTGAATTTTTGATTGAAACTTCTCCGCCCAGTAAACAAATGAGGTATCCGTTTTGAATGGTGGATATGGAGACGAGGGTAACATCACATCAGATGGCTCTAAAGGAAGTGAAGATATCGTACCTGGTGAAGGAAGAGATGGAGTAGATATTGTGTCAGATAAAGAGATAGAAAGTGAAGATATTGTATTTGGTGAAGGAAGAGGTGAAGTAGATGTTATATCAAATAAAGGTAAAGAAAGTGAGGATATTGTATCTGGTGAAGATAATGAAGATGTTCTATCAATGTCAAAAGCCCTGTGAATGAGTTCTTATTGAAGGGCTATATATTGGGGGATGAAGTAGGAGGGATCGTATTGAGCTTGTGAAGGATAGAAGAACTCTGAAGGAAAGTCTGTGGAAGGGAAGTATGTATCGTCCAATTGTGTGAATATAAATTGTAATTTTACAGAATTTCTCAAATCTCTGATATTTGAGTATGTGAAAATGATGATGAAGGATCTTAGAACTAAGAACGAACACTTTATACTCACAGAGTCTTCTAGCATAATATAATTTGTATCCAGGGCTGGGCCCTAGCGGGGGTATTTGGGCTCTACAGAATGATTACCCTACCCTATAGAGATTTCACAGAATGGTTATCCGGAAAATATCAGAGGGTACGCAGGGTAAATATCATGTGATCGTCCGATATCACATAACATGAATATCATGTGATAGGAGTCATACATTCACCATTGTGACACCTCATGTGATATATTCCCACGGATACCTGTTATTCAGGGCCTATAGAGCTACAGCAAGGTGAATTTTTGGCCGAGGCTACCCCCGGCTACCCTACCATTTGCCCAGCCCTGTTTGTATCTAGTCTTATAGTAAATGCAGAATAGACAACCTTTCATACCATATCGGCACAACAGGTATATAGAAATAGGTTCGATACTATTCTTGTGCCTACGGAACTCTATATATTGAAAAATCCTTAGAAAGTTGAGATATTACGAGGTAAACAACTCATGTGGGAGACATGATAGAAAAGATCCCGGTGCTTTCAACAAGCCATTTACGGATATCTTCGGATCTTTGGGCTTACTATCGTATAGCCATCGTTATACATGACACTTCTGTGAATGACAAGGCTGGAATATCGGAGGACGGGTAATCATACGACCCCGGTAGCTTCGACATACCTCGCCTCCGCAATGCATGTTATAGCTTCCTGCAGCTAAAAGACACCAACCGTTGAAAAATGGGGTACTTTTCATCGTAGCTTGTCACATCTATCCGGTCCGCTTGCGTCCAAACTTAAGACAGATAATCCTTCATAACTTGAATAATTTTGCAGCACCAAAAGGATTTAAAAAACCTACATCACAGATACGTACATCAACGTACTGTAATTGTAACTGTCGAATTAAAACATTTCACTAAAGCTATACATAGTCGATGAAATACTTCACCAATCAAATCATCCTAAAGTTCTAAAGCTTAATCCGTGCCAAACAATCTGTTCCCTCCAACCATCCTCAAAATGTCATCTTGTTGATCGAATCCCCTAGAATTCCTTGATTGACTTAATATTTCCAGAAACTTACTCAAAGCTTTGGAGATTCATAAGTCGGTGATGGCGTTAATCATGCCGTCTTATCAAATGTCGACTCCTCAAAAATTCTGGCAAATCTGGTATGGGTGGTAGCGATAATGAATCTTTTAGCTCCTGCTCCCGCAAAGTGGAATATGGTTCAGATGAGTTTAGATCACTAGAGGATCGACAAAGGGAAACGTGTGACATAGGATAAGGTGGATCTTGTGTAAAATAATCCAATTCACCTTCCGGAGCTACCACCGCGGAGAGCAGGCGGCAAGACGAGTTATCCGATGCTTTACAAGACGACCCAAGAGCAGGAGATAGTTGATGTGATTGCCCGACGCCAGCACAATCCGGCGAATCCAGTCTGTTTCTAATATCCAAAGATCCAAATTGTCCCTCTAACATCATTGAAGCAGGCGGCGTATCTTGGACGGATTCATCCAATTCCTCGACGAAAGATCTTGGAGTAACAAGAGATGTTTCATGTGATATTTCAGTCTTCTCATGATGTTGCGGTGATGGGTTAGATCCGTGTCCTGCATCAAAATTTTCGGTCTTCGCCTTTTTCCGCTTCAGAGAGATGTCAGGAATTTTGTTTCGTCGCTTCTTCCCAGGACATGGATCTTCGTCGACTGAAGTTGCATTGCTGTCTTTCACTTCGAAATCTCCAGGCAAGTAGTTGATTGAGATGCTCAAATTTTTCTGAAGTTAATTAATCGACTAAATTTTTCATGACGGAGCAGAACATATACGTACAATTTCCATTATTGGAGGCGGCCAAGAATCATCATCCTTTGATCTATAGATACAATATTGTTGAGAATCTGGATCGAATATAATCATGGCTACATCTAATTTCGCCACCTTTCGAAGTTGCTCTGCTTTTTTCAGCAATCCGTATTGCCGCTTCTTAGACGATTGTCGAGCTCGTATAAGATCTTGAGACGCTTTGAATCGTTGAAGCTCGAGAATTTTGTCTTCAGACATTTCGTTAAAACTTGATTTTGCCTTGAAAGTCTATCGGTGAAAATGTAAGAGATATTATCTGCGCACTTTTGGTTAAGTTTGTTTAATCTCGAGAGACATCTGTAGGCCATTCACACTGACTTAAGAATAGTCTTATTTAGCATCTCTCTTATTTAGCATGTCTCTTATTTAGCATCTCTCTTATCTAGCATGTCTCTTATTGAAGCTCATGTACTCGTGCTGTCATCAATACATTTGTCATAATCCACTTTTAAGTACATACCACAAAAGGGTAAAATACAGGGGATAATGGCCCATATCTAAGTGGAGTGTGATATACTTTCTGGCCGCAGGAGTATCAGGGGATATACATTGTACCCAAACAGTCGGGATTTGATGGACACAATACAAACAATACAAGGGCAGATCATTTGACCGCTGCTGATGTGGACTCTAACTCGAAGTGTCTCTGAACTAACTTATGTGCCTGCATACATCAGTAATTTACTGCATGATAAACCTTTACTACCAACAGCAATTAAAACACCATTAGAATAACTAATCAAATTCTCCCTGTGCATTGCACCAATCATTCTCGGCACCCCTCTGAACTTTGATAAATCCTTTAATCGTCTTATCCACTCGTTCTGAGATAAATGTTGTATCATCAAAAAGTGCTTGCATTGCATCTCTCATTCGTTGGTAATAACGTATTTCCAATCGCAATTGACCATTCTCTTTCGTCAGCTCCTCAATCCTTTGAGCTGTACTCGAGGATGGCATTTGCTTTGTTGCTTGCCAACGTTCAGGGGTCACTTCTAGTGCAGCGGTGGAGCCCCTCTGAAGTCCTATTTGAAGATCAATAGCCGTTGGCGCCTGCGGCTCATCCGATAGACTTTCGGGGAATGGTCTATTGATTCTATCCATGGTGTTTGATATGTATTTTTGGGTTATTGACACAATAGAAATTGTGCAATAGTAATAGATACTTGGATATTCTTTATATGTTGCTAGGATATGCAATACCAAGGATGATGTTGAACCCTGTTTAACAAGATCTTAATTTATCGTGATTTTATTTATCTCAGTAATAATAAAGACTAAAATTGAATTCAAAAATTAAATATTGTTAAAGCACTAGTAAGGAAAGCCTGTATTCAACTATATCCAACCCAGTATAATCGATGGTTGATTAAAATCTCTAACAAGAAGCTAAGGAACTATGCATCGCGCTTCTCTCTGTTGTATCTCTGAATCATCGAAACCCAAGGATAGCGACGCTCCCGATGAAGCTCCTCGAATGACCACTCATTCAACAACGAAGCCTCAAATTAGAAGTAGTCTCAACAGTAACCACCAACCCCTTGTAGAGCACATCAATCCTGGGAATTTTACTAAAGCGCCCCAAATCGTCATTCATCTTGCCAGTCCGGGGAGCATCATTAAAGATGCAACCCCTCAGCCATATCATTTACGCCCTTTCTACCATTCACAGCATCGTGTCTCTTTTGCAGGGAAGAAGTTCCAAGATACTTTAGGAAGTTTACCAGAAGAAGATGAGGAGGCCATTTAACAAGTGACGTAGCAACCTTTTGTTAAGAATTTTAGGAATATCTTTCTGGGGAATATTCAAGCTAGAAAATATGAAATATCAATATATCCTAGTTTGAAATCTATTCTATTGTTTATGTGACTCTCTCCCTTTTATATCTCTCATACAATTCCAATCAATACTAGCTTAAATAGGTCTAAAAATCGGAACACCTAAATGCCAAGCTCGAACAAACATTACAAGGAAAGTGATAGTGTATTCATAATTAGGTAATGAGCCTGGAGAGCTCGACAAGCTCGTCGTGTTTAGGATTGATGGTATAGGGACAGGGCTATGATCGATTATCAACGAGGTGCCCACCGCTATAGAAGGTGAAATTGTCTCTGTTGACAATCCGATTGAAGTAAATGTTGAAATAATAGGTGAAGTATTGATAAGAGTTTCGAGATTGAGTATTGTTTCCATTGTATCGTAAATTTAGATGATAGATTTATTACTAAAAGCTTTCAGACTTTGATTAATATCTTAGCAGTATACTTATATCGAAAAAGAAACAAGAATTATTTAAGCATATACTATTTAGTGGTAGCGATTATAAAAGATTCTGCGGTTTTAAGTACATCTGTAGAATGCCTAATTAAGAGCCCACGCTTTCCTATAACCAATAAATACAATATATAATCAATCTCATAGACAAATTTCTAAGACTACAACAGCAACTTTGTTTCAAAGGTTGACAACATGTCTGTTCTTTTAAACCAGGCGCGAGTCGAAGATGACCCTATGGAACTCGACCAAAATAGTTCCGTAACTCATCCCAATTTGGACCCTTCGCAGAATTCCCTAGAGCATGCAAGTCCAGTATCTCCGCTCTCACCAAAAGTTCCATCTGAGCCTATAGAAAAGCCTACAAATGAAGAGCCCCTCAACAAACCTGCAAAAGGTCTCCGTCGAGCGATAAGAAAAATTCTTAACTCCGCACCCAATGATCTTTACGGAATAGCGAATTCAACTAAATCTGATGCAACAAAGACCATTAAAAAGAACCTTAACCGAATCTCCAAACTTGTTCATCCTGACAAAGTCCCCAAAGAATTCGATATTCGGGCTACTATAGCTCAAGCGAGTAAGTACCTATAACTAATGAGTGTATCAAATAGAATATTAATCATCTTTGAAGGAATTAACAATGCCCGTGAAGTGCTACTGGATCCATCCAGGACGACTAAGTTTGATACTGAAGGTGTTTACACAGCTCCTCAGGCAGAGGAAGATAGAAACAATCCAGACTTTGCGCCCAATGCTTGGGACGACGATTCTGATTTGGATTCAGATTCAGATTCAGATTCAGATGATGGAGATGAAGATGAAGATGAAGGATCCCAAGATCCACCAGATGAATATATCAAAAGCGTTTATGCTGAAGCAACAACATGGGTCCAGCAGGTTTTGAAAAAGGGTCAGAATTTTAATCGGAATCCAACAGGAGAAAAGGAGATCCAATTCTCGGAATCAAAGGAGTTCGAAGATATCAAAACCAAGCAAAAGGAGTTCCACGAAAAAATTAAAGCTCACAACGAATCAAAAAAAGTGGAAAAAACCCGACACACTTTTGATATCACAACAGTCTATCTCTCCAACAGTGAAATGGCAAAGAAATATGTAGAAATTTGGACCAAGAACAAGTCTAATCTTCCTACCTTTGAGTTTATTGTCTATTACAGCAATAATATCAAGCGTGTCAATAAAGAAGAAGGATATCCACTTGAATGGAATTTTTATTCATTCAAAGATCCAGCTCCTTCAGATATCCCCAATGAATCTGTCAAAGATCAGGATCAATCAAATAAAAAGGGAAAATCTAGTGGCGCCGGAAATGATGCGGGTACTAACGGATCATCTGGAAGTCAAGGTTCACAGAGTCAAGAGATCAAACCATTGAAATCCGGGTTCACAACAGATGGTGAAAAGATAGTTGGCAAGTTGCCTAAGACCGTTTACAGTAGCTACACTGATACATCGATCATTACTGAATGCAAATTCTTTGTGGAGGTTTATTTGCAGAATCGGAAAAACCAATCAATATTTGATATTGAGCTCCGGACTGAAGCCGATATTGGCTTTAAAGCAGCACGAAGTTATTTGTATGATCTCCCTGAGGAAGAACAAGTGGAACTTTTGGAGATATATAAAAATGAAAAGGGGCGATATAGGAGACAATTTCAGGGTATTACAGGAGTTACAGCTCAAGAGTATGAAACCCTAAGTGACAAAAGGCTTCCTCCCACATATGTTCGTGGTAAATTCAAAGATGGACGGGCTACTAAGGAATATTTCATGACCCGAACAACTCTTCGAACAATCTTAGGCCACCAAACCGCCGATCAATTGATTCAACAACATTACAACCAGTATGATATTGAAGTAAAAGAACCACCTTGGCCCAAATGCATGGATTGGAAACCAACACGGAAGGCAATCCGTGGTGGTAGATCTCTACGGGAGCAAGAGCAATCCGATTCCGAATCCGAGGAAAACCATACACCTAAAATCAACAAGGGACGAAATCGAATAGCACGATCCGAAACCCCGAATGAAATAGAAACTCTGACACAAACAGTAGAGAAATTGAAGCAAGATTCTCAACAAAATGACGAGGAAAGAAACCGTTTGATGACCGAAACAGTATCAAAAGAAGTAGCTAAAGCGGTGGCTCAGATGATGATGCAGATACAGCAAGAGTTCCAAATTATGAGCATAAAAAATCAAACTTCCGGTTAAATCGGATGAGAAGTTCCTCTTTCTTATGTCTTTCTTTCCTTCCCTCTTTCCTCCCTTTCCTTTCCTTTCTTTCATTATATCTCCTGTTTATTTGGTTTTTTTTCCTTGATAAAGAAGAACTGATACAATTATCTTACTTCAGTATTCTGTTTGGTTCACTTATTTTCATTATAAAATTCATGTTACCTGTTGCAGTTAATATAGATACATCATCGAAGTTTAGTCTTTCTCATTGTAGATAATCAAATTAAAAATGATACTCGTTCTATTCATCTTAAAGTCATAGAAGCGCGGCCTTACATTGACAGAAGTTGTTGACCTGAAGAATGACTATATGAGCCCGATTAACCACTTCTCAGAAGTGGCGTCACTTTTAGGCAATAGAAGTAATATGTTACGAGGTTTGCCGTCTAGATCACGTGGAAGTGCTCTAGGCTCTCGAGGTGGTTTATAACTAGGCGTCAAGCAGGGACTTAAAGTAATGACAATAATGGTATGCAATTCGTAACTAATAGTAGAGTATACTAAATGATTGATCTTGAGCACGAAGCTCTATACAAAGGAAATCCATCTTGATTATATAGACCTTCATGCCTATGGCTAGTCAGGACCGCGCAGCGGTCCATAACGTGACTTAATCACGCTACCTTGGCTTAGTCATGTGATGCGGCGTAGAAGATAGCCGTCGAAACAAGTAGCTCCTATTTTCGAAAGGTTGGATCTAGGGTATCAATTTATGCAGGATAATGCTCCTATTCATCGTGCTATAAAGGTACGAGAGTGGTTTCAGGCTAAGGGCATTCAATTGGTTGAGGAATGGCCTCCATACTCCCCCGATCTTAATCCTATTGAGCATATTTGGTGGCATTTAAAAGTACGGGTTTTTGAGATGTTTCCCGACATCGCCGCTGATAAAAGTGATTCAGAATATGCTAGGCAAAGGCTAGAAAGTGCTTTACAAGCAGCTTGGGATACATTGGATGATGGATTATTCGATAAATTAGGGGCTAGTATGTCGAGTAGGATTGAGGCTTGTATCGCAGCCGATGGATGGCATACTAAATATTGAATGCTAGAAACAATATATATAAATAAAATTCTATATTATTAAACTATATATTGAGATGTTAATTATATCAAAATTCTAGATTAAAATAATGAAAGATTGATTTAATAATATGCTTTTAATAGAGTGGTGTTGAGAATCAATTCCGGGAAAAATCCGGGCGGCCATTATCAGTGCGCTAGTACTGCAGCTGCAAATGTCAATTTGCATGATAATCGCATCATCGAAGCTTCAATCGAGCATCCTACCGAACGAATACGAAAGGCCGACAGTGGCAGGATTGGTGAGAAGCGGGCCACGCAGTCTCACTTCTGCAAAGGCAGGTCGCTTGCGCTCAGCTCTGCGAAGAAGCAATGGCAGACCATAGCAGATGTAATGTGTATATATAAACTTACGAGCATCACACGAAACAAAAATTGCTCTCAACTGATATACCTTTATCCCTCAAATCACGTGATCTGCACCTCGAAGCTCCAAATTATCTGCTCGCCTTCGGCAACAGCGCCCCAACCATGCCCACTACTCATCACTGTATGTGCTGTAATACAAATGGATTCTGCTCAAAGCACCAAGTCAAGTGCGAAGTCCACCCAAAGGTCACATACTACAAAGAAGACAGCACTGGATACCCTAAGAAGTGTAAGAAATGCGATCGCGGATAGTTTCCGGGGCGCGCCGAGAAGTTGTGCGATTGGAGACTCCGTGGACGTTCGAACCGTTGATGATGTAACGAATGTGACTCTGCTGGCTCAAGGGGGTTACAATTCGATTTGGCTTGTGAAATTGCGTGCACAGCTTGAGGTAAATTACAATCTTCAATTTGGTTCCTGCCAAGCAACCGCTGCGTTAAGCAGAAATGAGTTGAATGAGCATTGCGATTTCTGACGCCCAAACGAAGATTTTCGTACCTACAGCAATTATCCCACAAGACACGGCTTATATTCACTCCCTACTACAAGAATGATCACTAACTTTGCCTAGATTTCGCAGGCTACTAGCAGCAACGGCAGTCCATCGCCAGCACAGTGTTACTTCATCGACAAGTTCATTCTTCGCCTTCCCTGCAAAGATACTCTTCTTCCGAGTCAAGTCGCCAACGAAGTCGCATTCAAAAGATTCGTCGCCTCGAACCTTCCTCATGTCCCTGTCCCTCGAGTCTACGACTACCGCGCAACAGATGATTCTGAAACTTCATTTATTGTTGAAGAGTTCATTGACGGCACTCCACTCAACGCAACATGGATGACCTTTACCGAATCTCAAAAAGACAGTATAGCCCGCAAACTCGCAACCATCGTAGTCGATCTCGTACAGGTTCGATTCGACATGATTGGGGGTTTGGATCCCGAGGGTTTTAATGCCGCTCCAACAGTTGAAGGTCCCAAACTCTTCAAGGGTCGTGGCAAGTTCCACAAGAACGAATGCTATCCCATCGGTCCTTACAAATCTACCAAGGACTACATGCTTGCTTGTTACGCCAAAGAGATCTACTATTACACCCACGCATCTGAGGACGACATTGACGCAGATCTCTTCGAAGACGTCTCGATAACGGACTTCATAGAGCAGTTGCACAGGAAACAGGCATCTCTTGCAGCGACAGATATAACCGACGAGCCATTCGTGTTAATCCATGGCGACTTACACGGTCGGAATATCATGATGAAAGGTGACCAAATAGCCGCAGTGATCGATTGGGAATTTGCAGGCTCGTATCCATTGAGTGAAACCTTGTCAGATGGAGGCATTGATGTGGTAGAAGCAGATAGTGAGGAACTTGATAATGAAAACACGGTTTGGGGTAGGAAGATAAGATGGTATATTCGTGAGTTAGCGGTGGAGAGGAGGTGGGAGCGAGAAGACATTGATTTGCTAATGGGAGATGGGAATTCAGAGTTGGGAAAGGCGAGAAGTGAGATGATTCCTTAGAATAGTTGGCCATCCGCCATATGTTATGAACGTGTAACCGAGGGCTTTCGGGATTACGGGACCAGGAGGAGCTTAGTACTTGGGGAGTATAATGAGATGCCTGGGAGGATGTCTCTCTATAATATTTCATGACCAGTAGTAGGGCCTCGCCGGCTAGCAAGACCGCCAGGCATTTCGTTGAAATAATATTACGTGCGTGCCATCATACCGATCATACCTGACCGCTATGACCCAAAAGTAGGAGGGTTCTACATAAGACTGGGTCTTTACCCATAGATAAGAGCTTCGTGATCACTCTCACCTTCGAACACAAATTTTGAAGAAAAATTATTTTTCGAAATACACCCTTTTTATATCTCCATTGCACTAAAAAAAATCAGCATCAATCAAATGCAATTGTCCCCAAAGAAATTGAACTAGTAGTTGTTGTGATACTGTCGCCGACGTCTAAAACACGTGAAACCACGCTAAAACGCGTGAAATTTTCACCCCCTTCATCCCTCCATTACGAGGGAAGAGAACTCAATGACGGGGACCACCCAATCGAACTTCCCAGAAGTGATCTTAGGCACTTCATGCCAAGAGAATCACACTGAACAAACCCATGAAAGAGGCAATAGCCCGCCATTCATCCTTTCCAGTCCTACCCTCTCCCAACCCTTCAACTTTCAAACCCAATGCAATACCTTGAGCTTTGATGATCTATTCAAATCACCAATCAATCGTCCAACGTTCCAATTCAATAACAAACGAAGACGACAACTCAGCTATTCAGAACCCTATATCAACTCATCAAAAGAAGCTATCCAAAAAGCTAGAAGTCTACTCATTCTAGCTGCCTCCCTGGAAGAGGATACCGAAGAATAATCGAAAGTCCTAGACTTAATCGAAATATTTCGTGAATATCTGGAAAAAGGAAAACTTACAAAAGCCTCAAATATTATTATATCACAAATCTCCCATCTAGAAAATGCTATTAAACGGATCGAAAAGCAAGCCAACCACCTTTCAAACCTCCCCAGTCATATGATCCCCTCTACAATAAATGCCTCTGGAACCAAAGCCAGCTATGTCACTATCATCAAAACCTCAGGAGAATGGAATCTAGTTATGAAGGGAAAACCTACAAAACAGAAAACTACAGAACAAAAGGAAGAAGTCCCAAGCAAACGACTAATCTTTATCAAATCCCTTATTTATCAGCCATACTCTTTTGTACTATTAAATACGAGGAATAAAGTCAACGAAGCCTTCAAAAAAGCAGGAATCAATGGATCAATCACCTCAGCTATCACTATTACAAGGAGTGGCAATTTTATACTAACCATTAAAAGTCCTTTCAATGTACAATTCCTGATGGAAAAGAAGGAGATCTGGGACAAAACCCTTGATGCCGAAAGAATACACATCGATAAACCCTGGCATAAAGTCATAATTCACAAAATCCCAATTCAGGAATTCTCAGGTCTGAAAGGTATGGACCTAATCAAAGAGGAAGTTAATACCTTCAATCCAGGGCTCAGTATTATGGGTACTCCTTATTGGCTTACTAATGCCTCCAAGAGAGCTAAACAACAGGATGGAGCAATAGTCATTGTATTTGTTACACAAAAAGAAGCAGATATAGCTATCCAGAAAAGGCTATATATTGCAGGCATTAGTGTTAGAGTAGAAAGATTCTATCCATCTACTTCTTCATCTCAATGCAACAGATGTCAGGGATTCGGTTATAATGAATCATACTGCAAAAAACCTCCAGTTTGCGGACTTTGCAGTAATAATCATGCTACAGTTGGTCATTTCTGTATAATCTGTCAAGGAAAACGCAAACCATGCTAACATTTAAGTGTCAAATGTGTTAATTGCAAAGGAGAATACAAAGTTAACTCGAAAGTATGTGAAGTATATCTATCAACCATCAAGGAATCCAATTAATGCTGTACAACAATACTCGTATTCTTCAAATCAATCTAAACAAGAGCCCTCAAGCAACCGAAAGTGCTTTCCAACTTGCTTTAGAATTCAAAATTGATCTCATAGTCATTCAAGAACCCTGGATCCTCACGAATCCTGAGAAAGACTTCTCCTCAACCAGATCTATCGCCCATTTCAGCTTCTCTCAACTCCTCCCAAATAATCCTTCGAACCTGCGTCCCCGAACTATGATCTACATTTCAAAAGGATTCAAACCGCTAGTAGCCCTAGCTCTCAACTCCCCTAATGATCCAGATATTCAATTTATTGATATCACTCAAGGAAAACATATAATACAACTCATCAATATCTACAATGAAGCGGACCAAGCCAAAGAAAAAGGCCATACCATCGAAAGATGCCTTTTCAATACTCCTCTTACTCATCACACCATCCTCGTAGGAGATTTCAACTCCCATCACCGTTGGTGGGTTCCCTTCTCTGACAAGAGCTCAAATGCTGATCTACTCACCGAATGGTTTGAGGATCACAATCTCATTCTATTTAACGAATCAGGCACGAGCATCTTTTATCGAACAAATATGACAAATCCAAGTGTCTTAGACCTTATTTGATGACATATCATTTCCGGAATGTTGATCATTGCATTTAGGATGAGATCGACAACGGATGAAAGCGAGAGCGTTCTGACGGTCTAGAACATTGAGGCAACATACTTATAGGACTGCTTTATATTTAAGTAATTGGATTTATGTTTATGGAAAACTAAATTGGAAGAAAACATTCTACAATAAAATACTCTTTTTTGCAATCTTGAATCGGTATCAAACATAAATCCTTTTCATCATTATATTAACATTCGTAAGTCTTGAACCTATATAAACATACGATCATTCATTTTCTTATAGAAAATTCCGTCCAACTAATATTCCATTCCACCAAACAAAACTTCTTCCAAGCAAGGATCCATCAATTACGATTAAGAGTATCCAGAGAAATTTCCCCTTTTTACAATTGCAGCCACAACCGCAATCGCATCCACATTTATAACCATATCCATAGTGACAACGTCTTATTTTATAGCACCACATGATTTGACAGAGAAGATATCACGTTAGTGTCCCAGTTTGGGGAATGCAATGCAGGAGAATGATATCGCTTCGTCCTCTCATCCTAGCCTAACCCCTTCTCGCTACTGTCAAGTCACTTTCCATTCGTCGCCTCTCAAAGTCTATGCTTCTATTCCCACTATTCTCATTGATCTACAATTTCTCTCATCATACATTTCGCAGCACTCATACAGGCCTTCATCGTTCTTAAACCTTCCTTCTGTTTTGAAGAAAGATTCAACAGTCTCGACTCTAGTCTGGGACGGCATTTGCCACATCAATCTCCATGCCAATTTATAAATGAGCAGTAGTTAAAGAAGTAAGATTAGTACTATCAATAGAAGAGATCTAAGGATTTGAGATTATATCCTGCCCACCCTTCTTCGCATTATCGTCAACTTTACGTTCTGCTGCATTAATAATTTGCTTGCGTAGATTGTTAACATCGAATATCCTTCCTTCCACTTTATTATCCTTCACCATAAACATCCAGGATTCTACACCATGATCCAGATTTTTATTCCCCTGGCGACAATGGCGATGAATCCCTTGAGCAATAGTATCTGCATGATAATCCGGTTCTAAGAAACCGACTGATATAGCCTCTGCTAGAGTCAATCCTACAGCAAAGGATGAACTAGTCGAAACAATGTATCTGGCGGTTTTCTGTTCCTCAGCTGGTACGTTGGAATCGACATCGATATGAAATCTTTTCAATGCAGCATTGATTTTCGTTTGACCCAGAGGCCTGTATAAGAAAATAATATCCTCAGGTTTGATTTTAAGGATGTATATCATCCACTAAAACTCTTTGATTAGTATTTCATTGTATTCTCATAACTAGAAGTTTAAACATACCAGATACATGATATAGGCACCCGCAAAGAAATAGGAACAGAAGATTTGCCTTGCCAACCTATTTTCAGCATCAATAAAGTATTTATATTTATTGATCTTTTTCTCAATCTCACGAAGCTTGCCCGAAGATGTAACAATTTCCTTCAAATGTTTGAAGTACGGATCTGTATCTGTCTCCTGTTTCCATTCCGGATTCTTTCCTGTGGTTTTCTCTACCCATTCCCGCTCTGTCAATTTCAACGAAATGCCATCATCATCGGTAAGCTCCAAGAGATAGGGGAAAGATGCGCATAACCGAGAACGATAATAGATATTAACATTAGTCTTGTCTAATGGTTTATATCCCTTAAGATGACCATATTTCGCTCGACGTATCTTTTCTCTCTTCTCTAATCTCTTAGATTCTTCTTGACCAAGAGAGTCAACCCTAGGCGTCCAGTATGGTCCATTATCGCATTTGATATCGGAGTAGAGATTCCGTGGTACAGTAACAGGTTTCTCACCAAGAAGATCGCTGTTCGTAGTCCATCGAATCATAAGTTTCTCTACCAGTGGACTAAACCTGTGAGTTATTTCATGAGAAATATTTTGAGTATCAATAGACCTGCTATCAGTCCATTTCCTCCATCTTTCACCAAGATCCTGCAACTCGTTATGCATCCAATTTCGCAAAACTGCATCCTTCCTCCAGCTATTTCGACACATCAGTTGAACAAAACCGGAAATATCCAATGGTCCTGTCATCAAAGGCGTACCACTTAACAATACTAATGCGATTCGATGATAGACTTCGTGTCCACAATCATGTAGCGATTTCGTTTCGTTCTTGATATGTTGTCGCATTTGAATATCGTGGATAGCTCTAATAGATTCTGTCCTTCGAAGCTGGAATTCGTCTTTGAACAGAAGAGAGACAATACATGATTGATAAGCTGGTGTTTTCCGCTGTTGTCGCTGGGGTTTGGTAATATAATGTTTCCCTTGGCTGTTGGTAGATGGTTTACCTGATGGCTGGTACCACCATGTCTTTATATGCTGAAATTTATTCAAGAATTGGCTGGCAAATGATTCTGGTGTGGTAATAACAAATACGTGCCCATTTTGAAGGCGTGGTGTATAAATTGACGGAATTTTCGGCTTTTCGGACTCATCCAGAGATTTATCTTCATCGTCTTGAGAAACCTCTTCTTGGAAAATCTTTGTACCTTTCAATAGAGCTTGCGTGCTGCCATCCAATTGATCGCCTCCACTGGTATTAGCAGTACCATGTGCTTTGACCAAAATCTGATCAGGAATGCCTTTAAAGCACTGTTTATGCTCGGCCTTCCAAACATTCAAAAGACCGAGGGGAGTAAGAGCAACAGTAACGCCTAGTCTCTCCTTCAACCAATGGTTTGTACTGTCAGCAGAGCAAGGGCAATCGAACCCATATGTTCTATACATCTGCTTATTGGCTGGACATTCGCCATGTGTAGCATGAGCCTTCGAATTAGCGTGTATGTCAGCCCACATCATATTGAAGATATGTTGAATCCAATGGATCGCGAGCGCCATAGTTGTTTTTCCAATACCCATAATGTGACATAAAAAAACAGACCCTGCAATTCCATGGATTTGACGAAGACTATGCCATACACCATGAAGCTGACAAGGTAGTAATTGATGTCCAAAACCGCCAGGAACCTTAACACAATATTCTGGTTTCTTTAGGGTTGGCTTATGATGGATAAATTGACAGACTTGAATCCAAATCCGCTCGTTAAAATGCATACATGCTTCAGAATCGCAGCCTGCTTGTAGCCTAGAAAAATTAGTCAATGGGCATGCGAGCGCTCAAACATTACACACCTAGTTAATTCCTCGTGTCGAAGTTGATCGATGTATTCTATCATTGCAGCATTATATTCATCCTCATCTTCAAAATCGTCTATAACTGGCTCTGCTATAGTCTCATTCGAATCGGAAATGTTTTTCAATAGAGTTTCAGGATTTATAAAGATACCTTCCCTTTCTACATCCTCATCCGGCTCTGATTGCGATTTCTCGAGTTGTTTTTCCGAAGATTTTGAGCTTGGAGACTGGAATTCTTCTGACTCCAAACTGCTGGCAGGCGGTAGTGTATCCTTCACCGTTGTGCTTTCAATTTGTGGTTGTGTTAGAGGTTTATCACTTGCATTTGTGCCTTGAGAAGATAGAGTCGAGTTTTTAGCCTTTTTTTTTCTGGGTTGCTCTTCTAGCTGCTCGGATCCTTGTCGTTTGTTGCTTTTTGATATTGCTGCTGCCTTCGTATTACTGATGTCAACGACATTTGAGGTTGGGTGCGATGCAATGAGACCTGGAAAGAGTGGTTTGTTCTTGGAGTTGAGTTGCTCAACTTCAAGTTTATCGTTATCAGCCTCCTTCTCGTCTGTTTCTTTTGGTATAGATTCGTTGTCTTCGCTGTTATGCTCCATAATCTCATCATCATCAACAACATAAGATTGCTGGATCACTCCCACAAGATCCGTAAATAGAACTCGGTGTACCATTCGCATATTCAAGTCTTGATCATTCGAACGGACGGCACACCAAAAGTCAATTCCAATGCCTGTGGTTTCGGCAAAAATGGTCCAATTAATATTGTAGAATCCATTGATCGGGACCAATTCGCTGGCGTTAACTAAGGGATTAGGGATGCTAGGACTGAAGTCGATTTCAAATTCAGTTTCCTTTACTTTAGACCTCGTACTCTGATAAGACCAGCCTCTTTTTCCAGCACCATTTTCCGCGATCTCGTCTTTATCGTTATCCATCACTTGCGATGTGTCCAAACTTGGACAAATAAATACCATTATAGGCACTTTGTAATCTGTGGATTGGTTTGCTACAGAACCCTCTTCATCAAAGATTTCGGCCATCTTAATAAAGGGCATCTGGTCGATGACGCCATCAACAACGCAATTTTCCCCCTAATCAGTATTTAGCATTTTATTCCCAAAAATTGGATCTGGCAACATACTGGTTGAGCCCACCACTGAATGGTCCTTACTTGCTTTTCGTTTTTCATCTTGCCATTTTTTCCCATAATATCGTCATTCACAATATCTGCTCGAGGTATATTGGTGTGCTTTTTCTTATCATAGAACTCCTTCCTTGCAAGTCCTATCCAGTAATGGCTTTTTCTAATCGACATGACAGATGTGACAGCCCGGATTATAGCCCCATAAGCCACAAGTGTTGCACTATTCACCGTCAGATACTCATATCCTACTTCAACAATGATATATACGAACCTATTAAATTCCCCCAAAAAAACCAGCTCCGTATTGCGAGAAGATTGACTCTCAAGAAAGGATTCTATACATGTTTTCATAACCACAGCATTGCTAGACCCTCCTATCAAGAAAAATTTTGAAGGTGGGGGGCAATCAAGTCGTGCATAATATTTCTCATACTGCTCGGTAAGGAAACTGGTAGTGAGACGTATCCATTCATCGAACCAAGATTTCATTTGATCTCTAATATCAACAATAGTGATTAGAAATTGTAAAGATGTAGCAAGGGAGGTTTACCTTGTGACTGTGATCTTTTGTCCACAGATACGGTACACTCTATCCACTTCCTTCCCGGACTGTCCCTTGTATGCATGCATACTTCTGACGAAACTCGCTTTTGAAGTGGCTAGGTCTGATTCAAAATGGTCAGGATCTTCTGACTCTTTCTTACATAGGTTACGGATGTGCGACTCCCAAAGCTGTAGTACAGTCCTCGACCCCGCAAACAATGCTAATAATAGTATCAGCAAGAATTCTCACTTTCATAAGACTAGAAAGAATGGCTGACCGGCAGACGGTATAATTTCTTCAACTTGAGTTGGGTCGCTAGATATCTGACGAGAGACGCTAAAATCCTAGAATTTTATTTAGTAGGAAATCAACAAAGGATGAGGGACTTCACGAACAGATGTTCCTTTACCAATATCAAATGTGAAGAAGACATCGCCATCCTTCATTCTTGATCCCTTTGGGGATTGGTGTATCAGCCCTGCGATGGCGCTTTCTATCTCCGATTGCAGCATATATCTGCCAGCAAGAATCGGAGAAGCATCCAGAGCAAGCGTATACAACTTGATACTATTCTTGTCCCAATTAGACGGGATGGTACAAACCCAGATCAGATATCCTTGAAAGTCTTCTTTGATAATGGTTGAGTTCACCAGCTGAGCAAGCCAAAGTATGTAATCAGCTAGCATCCAGATCTCTGGATGAGCTGCTAGCTGGGTATCACTATATCGAGTCTTAAGATAAGGAATTCTGAGTGCCAAATTCCTGAGAGCCTTGTTTTGTTCCCTTGCTTCTGGTCCAGAATACAACGCCTCCTTGATTCTATCAATAACCACTGCCCCAGTCTCATCGCCTATAGGGTCGACTTCGTATCCATGTTGAGCTTTGGATTCATCTGTTTCGCCAGGGATATGAGCGCATATAGTTGGGACTTCTGTTGTAAGTTCCGGTCGCTGATTTGGATTACTAGAATAGCGATAAAAATGGGTCGGCTTGATGCTTTCCAAATTTGTGAGCTCCCCCGACTTGACCTCGATGTCTGCAATATGTATGCTTGTATATCCAGTACCCAAATCCCATGATACTATCTTGTAAAGCCCATCGGAGGCAAGGTGATTTCGTAATGCAGCTGGAATGCGACCTTTCGAACTCGATCTTGGTTGGTCAGTCTTTTTCGGCGGTAGTATATTTTTACTTCGTGCCATCTCTGATACTCGGGAAGGAGACACGTTTATCATACAAATGAAGAGGCCGGGTGATTGTATATGAGCTACGAAGGCTTGATAGCACAATAATCCAATTCACGCGTTTTTAAAGGTGTCAACGCAAACGGCAGAACCTGTCTTTATTGTATCGGCAGAGTGGTATAGAATTACATAGGATCGAGAATGATAGGCTATCGTAATTATGCCATGCGAGACCGGACGCCCTGAGAGTTCTCAAAGATAAGAACAGTGTGGCAAGGCTGGTGAACGACTTTTCTGTGCAGGTGGGAGGCCGTTAATCACAATCAATAGAATAGGAATTCTCAACGTGTCGCAAAGTCCAATCGAATCCTGTAGTGATATGGACTGCTTGATCTCTTGATGCTTCGACTGAAAATAGTGAAAGCGACTGATGTTATGCATACTATCTGTTTGAAAAAGGACTACGATGCTTCATTATCGGGCGATTTTAATCAATACTGAAAAAGAAAATACAGCGTACATACAATAGGTCAAACGCGCGATCAGGTGATTCGGCCAATTCATCGCGTCGCATTTGACTTTTTCCTACTTGATAATTTTTATTCCCTTTCTAACAACAATGACTTGATAGATGCTATAATAACACTTATTTATTCGTGATTCTTGCATACAAAAGAATACGCAATGGAGACTGAAACATCATTGGCATCTCCCGAAAAACGCTTCAAACCATGTGACTGTTGCGATTTCAATCCTATGGAATGGCCTTGGAGGAATGCTATCTTAAAGATCCGGAAATGTATGGATAGATGTGTTTATTGTGGGAAGAAATTTTCACCAGCCTCAAGACTGCGAAGACATCTTAAAAAATCCAAGGAACATGAAGCTCAGCAATTCACTATTGTAAGTGAAGATGCCGGTAGACCGCCCAGAAAGTGAGTCAGGACCCTTTGATTTGATAAAAATAGGGTTAATAGCAGTATGAAATCGTATAGGAATATTCAGAATAGCATTTCCAGTTTCAAATCCAATAGGAGATCATACAGCGCTTCTAATCTCTCCACAATCTCAGCCCACGAAGAACAAATATTACACCTGGAAAGGGAAGCTTTTGATGATAATGTAATAAGAACGTTCCAAAAGCTCAATCTATCCACCGTTCACGATATTTCACCCGAAATGAAGGAGCTATGGATAAAATATAATGGTAGAATGCCTTCAAAACTCGATGCTCGTCGTTGTTGGACAGATGAACGACCCAGCGATGCCAAGCTGTTCGCTGCTACCATCGAGCAGATCCAAAACTCATCTGTAACCTGCACTGTCATTCAACGAGGGGAGCCTACTGACGAGAAAAAAGCTATTCAAGCTGTAGCACAACTAGCTTTCCCGGATCCCTGGAACCCGTTAAAGATATTAGATCTCCGCCTTCCTATTTTAAGAAATGATATTTTCATGGTCCCGAACGACTTAGTGTGTTCATATGAAGTAGACAACTTGCAGGTTTTACTTACCCCAAAGTATTCTTGGTCCCAACTACATTTTGGTACGTTCTTCACATATCAGCTTTTTGAACTCGGGATCTCGACTAATAATCACAGATAATGCAGATGGCCTGTCAAGCATTATTGGTAAGACAGGCAGGAAGATTTTTGCGACCTTTCCAAACAGCCCTAACAATATAAGACTCTTTCGAAGTACTTTGGGCAGGGAAGCAAAACTCGAAGAAATTGGCCCATCACTTGAAGGAGGACTCACATTCACAATAACTTCTGATGATGCCATCGATTTGCCTGGAAACTGCTTCCATGCAGTATGGACACTCGAAGGCGGCTTCCTCGCAACATTGGACTTTACCACACCCAGTACAACTAAAGGCTACTCGAGAATTATATCTGCAGGGTTAGATGAGTTTATTGGAACGATGCGCCAGAAAGATTTGTTCGATTGGTTCCTTACGTCCTTAGAGATAGCTTTTAAAAATGAGTATGTGGATGATGCCGTTTCTTCATGGATTGAATTGTTGGATCGCACAACAGAATGGGCGCATGGACATCATGAATGGGCAAAAAAAGCAGCAGATTTATGTGAGAAGTTTCTGTCATCGCCCGCTTCATTAGACCAAATTTGTCCATGTGGAGGGGGGCAAGGAAAGGCATTTAGGCAACACTTTCGAGATTATCATCTTCAAGTCTTACACAAACGACAGCATAATAAGAGTAATAAACCTCAAAAGAAACTATGTAGATAATATAATGAATAATCCTGAAAATGGAAAAATCAACTTCGTTTTGCGTATATCATTTAACGTATTACAAAGTAAAGAACCAACAGTTGATGGACTACAATGTTTTCGTAAAGACCCAAATTTTCTTTATTTAGTATTATGTCGAAGTCAATTTGGTTGATTTCGTGTTCCTGCTGATAAAATGACCGAACCATAGTTGATCGAAATTCCGTATACTTTAATTTCTTATATGTAATAAAGTCCAGGAAAGGAAATAGGGTAAGGGGAGCGTTGACTGCATAAGGTAATCATCTGTTCAGATAGGAAAAGAAATCAAATTGGTATATTCAGGTGTTTACGAGAAGTCGTCAGCTCTAAAGAGCAATCTCTTACGTCGGACGAAACAATAGGCATATCACATGACAGACAAGGCTTAGTCATCCATAAGTAGTTCTGTCATGTGATCTGAAAGCCGATAAGTCGAGATCGGTTTTGCGGTAATCGGTTCGTCGGTCTTTCAGCCATCGGGTTCGGAATAGGTGCGGAGGTCTATATAATCAGGATGGATTCCCTTACTGTAGAGCTTCGTGCTCAAGATCAATCATTTAGTATAATCTACTATTAGTTACGAATTGCATGCCATTATTGTTGTTACTTAAGTCCCTCCTTGACGCCTAGTTAGTTATAAACCACCTCGAGAAGCCTAGAGCACTTCCACGTGATCTAGACGGCAACCCTTGTAACATCCGATTGTTATAACGAATGTATTGTGATGGTAATGATGTAACTGAGTATAGTGATTGCCTTGAGCACGAAGCTCTAGAATAGGGAAGCCTTCATTCTCCTAGCTCGCACTAAATCGCTGCTCTTTCCTATACCTCCCAAGGGTACTATTATGATTATTCCAATCACTGAACCTAAGGTCCCTTGATCATATGTATCCTGTTGCAGCCTATTGTAATATCAAACTGCAAAACAGAATATTAGGAAATCTGTACCACATCGTCTTGATCACCAAACAATATGAAACGATGCTGAATCCAACCCATTCCAACCCTTTTGAAAGATCTGTGGTCCGAGCATTCTGTAACAAGAAGTATATAATACTTCCATTCATCATCCTTTGGTCCAGCTTCTCTTCCTATTATAGCAAACTGTATCTCTGTTGCAGACTTTTCCAATTTGTTGTCAAAACAAAAATGCCCAAGCTCTTCATTCTTATCCTTATCAGACCATAGATACCCATCTTTGTCGTCGTTGTCATGTTCAATCTTAAAATCTTGATGTCGTTTCACTCTAGCCTCCAAGATATAAGAATTATTCTTCTGATTGCTGACCACTAGTCTGACATGCCTATCCCATTCAACTCTTTCGGGAGAAAGATATCGTATTTTCCAGGGATGTGACATCCAAGACCAGGATGGAGGGGCCTCGTCAGTTTTGAAAGGTATTTGTTTATCGGAAATTTTCTGGGATCGTTGCCATAAGAGACTTTCGTGAAGATAGCATTCAAAAATACCATATGTGACATTGGTGTCGAGTGCTGCTCCCAACTCCATAGCTAATGAATTGATTGCAATGGGTCTATCTGTCTCATTTGTAAGGTTTAAACCTGAGTATTCCTCAAAAAGAGTCTGAAAAAGCTCGATTCGAGCCTTTACTGAACGGTTCTTGATAGATTGAGGAAACTCTGGGTCGCTTCGAAAAGCAAACAGGTCGCTAAATTGTAAAAAAAAATCAACAAATGTATTAATAAGTATTTAATAGCGATAAAGAAAGGTGAAGTATCAAAAGAAAGCAATAATTTTGAATCAGAGACTGACTTTTTCATCCAAGTAAGCGTTTCGCAACGCACCCCACCACCACACTCCCAGTACGTTTGTCTGTTGGTGAAATGAATTGTTCGTCGTGACAAGGCTCGTTCCTGTAATACCCAACCCCGTGTATTCAAGACACCGTTCTGCACATCATCAAGAAAGTTATCGATAGATCTGCAGATATGGACTTTGCCATGTGAGGATTCTGACACTGTCACGTATTGCAAATCTGACTCATTCGTCGGTCGATTGAGAAATCCTTTGGTTGAATCTTCGGCAGAGGTAGCAGCAATCGTGCAGTAAGCGTTCTTGAAAACTGTTTGCATACTCTTGGATTCACTTTTCCAATCCTCGTCGTCGTCTTGAATAATACAAAGCGAGTCAATCCAAAGGTATCGCTGGCCGATCTCTCGAGTGACTCTGATTGCATCTTGGAATGTTGCTGGCAATTCTGCGACCGGAAATCCTTTTTTCCTTTTTTCCTTGTTTTTGCATGTAGTACGCCATTTGAGTAGCTGATCTTTCGTTGATTTGCCCCAACAATGAGATAGAGCAACATAGCGTCTTTCTTTTCCCTTGGTAAACAAGATAGATCCCTTTGTCGAAACAAGGCACACAGTATCGGGACCAATTTTCCAGAACCCAGTCTTTTCTCTTACATCGACAAGCCTAGTTGGCAACGTATTTATAGACTCAGGACAACAGGATTTCTTGTTTGAACATTTGCCTTCGTCACAAAGTCGAAGCCACTCCTTGATCAGCTGGAAGTAGCTTGGGCTAGCAGATTCCAAGAATAGAGGCAGTCCAAATGGTATCTGGTTCGGAGTTGTAAGGCTGTCTTCAGTAACTTCTAAATCAAAAAATGTTAAATAAGACATTTGGAAACAAACAAAACAGTAGCACACACCTGATACACTACAGACCCTTATATAGGGTTGACCTTTAAGGAGTAGCGTTTGAGTTTTATCGATAGTAGCCTTTTCAAGGATTTGATACAGAGGACAGTGGTTTTTTGAATGATTTAACGCAGAGATAGTGGTGTTCAGATTTATTTTCAAACAGTTATCGCATAACCCTGACGAGGTTTCATGATATAACAGCCGCTCTCCGAAGGTAATTGCCAATTTATTATCGGGGCGATAAATCCATTCATCCCTAGCATTCTGATTTTTTTTCGAGATTAATACTATTTGATGTATAAGTATATAGACCAACTCACATACTAGTGAAACAAAATTAGTTATTTGAATAAGATCATTATATCATAAGTATTTTCTTTAATATCATCCATAAGAAAGACTTACGAACTATATCATCAGGAATATCTAGAATTAGCAAATATATCCTCTCATATCGTTGATTCGATGAAAACTTACACTCTATACCATCAGGAATACCTAGAATTAACAAATATATCCTTTCATATCATTGATTCGATGAAAACTTACTAACTATATCATCAAGAATATCTAGAATTAGCAAATATATCCTTTTATATCATTGATTCGATGAAAACTTACACGCTATATCATCAGGAATATCTAGAATTAGCAAATATATCCTTTCATATCGTTGATTCGATGAAAACTTACATCCTATATCATCAGGAATACCTAGAATTAGCAAATATATCCTCTCATATCGTTGATTCGATGAAAACTTACACTCTATACCATCAGGAATACCTAGAATTAACAAATATATCCTCTTATATTGTTGATTCGGTGAAGACTTACAATCTATATCATTAGGAATATCTAGGATTAGCAAATATATCCTCTTATATCGTTGATTCGATGAAAACTTACACGCTATATCATCAGGAATACCTAGAATTAGCAAATATATCCTTTTATATCATTGATCCGATGAAAACTTACACGCTATATCATCAGGAATACTTAGGATTAGCAAATATATCCTTTCATATCATTGATTCGATGAAGACTTACATCCTATATCATCAGGAATACCTAGAATTAGCAAATATATCCTCTCATATCGTTGATTCGATGAAAACTTACATCCTATATCATCAGGAATACCTAGAATTAGCAAATATATCCTCTCATATCGTTGATTCGATGAAAACTTACACTCTATACCATCAGGAATACCTAGAATTAACAAATATATCCTCTTATATCGTTGATTCGAAGAAGACTTACATACTATATCATCAGGAATACCTAGAATTAGCAAATATATCCTCTTATATCGTTGATTTGATGAAAACTTACATCCTATATCATCAGGAATATCTAGAATTAGCAAATATATCCTCTTATATCGTTGATTTGATGAAAACTTACATCCTATATCATCAGGAATATCTAGAATTAACAAATATATCCTCTTATATCGTCGATTCGATGAAAACTTACATACTATATCATCAGGAATACCTAGAATTAGCAAATATATCCTCTTATATCGTTGATTTGATGAAAACTTACATCCTATATCATCAGGAATATCTAGAATTAACAAATATATCCTCTTATATCGTTGATTCGATGAAAACTTACATACTATATCATCAAGAATATCTAGAATTAGCAAATATATCCTCTTATATCGTTGATTCGATGAAAACTTACACGCTATATCATCAGGAATACCTAGAATTAGCAAATATATCCTTTTATATCATTGATCCGATGAAAACTTACACGCTATATCATCAGGAATATTTAGAATTAGCAAATATATCCTTTTATATCATTGATCCGATGAAAACTTACACGCTATATCATCAGGAATACTTAGGATTAGCAAATATATCCTTTCATATCATTAGGAATACCTAGAATTAGCAAGTATATCCTCTCATATCAATGAAGACTTACACGCTATATCATTAGGAATATCTAGAATTAGCAAATATATCCTATCATATCGTTGATTCAATGAAAACTTACATCCTATATCATCAAGAATATCTAAAATTAACAAATATATCCTCTTATATCATTGATCCAATAAAGACTTACGTCCTATATCATATTTTTGTTAACAATACATAGTGATCCTTTAGCTTATAACACCTACAAAAAAGTTATTCCCCTCATTATCGGGAATGTCACAAGCCATCATGTAAAGGAGCAAGGTAGAAAATTGTGAATATATTTACTTTAGAATGTAAGACTGAAAGCTAAGAGAAAAGAAAGGGAAAAAAAAAGGTTCCCCTCAGTCTGAACACTTTCAATCCACCCCTCACTCTAGTCTCTTTGTGGGGTAGTATTGATCCTCCTCTTTTCGTCCAGCACTGGTCCTAGCGCGTGGCCATATGCTATTGGTGGTTATGACTGAGTGGGGCATTTTCTGCAACCATGGCAAGTTGGAGTCGAAACCCTACTGAAATACTTTGACGCCATCAAATTCTTGGCAGTCCCCGGTAATCACAAAATTCATATCCAATCCATACAGTCATACCATACCGCCAATTGCTTTAGCAGCATCGCACATGTTGGTGACGATTTCCCGAGCACCAGGTACTTCTCAGCTTTGTTCCAACAATTAATACTAAATCCGGACATGCCTCAAAGTTTTAATTAATAATATCAAGAATGCCATCGTCCCAATGTGGGTTTCCGTACAAAAGCACATTAGGTTTCAATTCGCCGATATGGAGTGATCCTCAACCTTTGCATGACTTTTTTGAATACACTGGGGACAGTTGGGTAGATTGGTTTAGCAAAGAGATAAGCCTGGAACTGGGAAATTCTTTGGCATATACCGCATTCCACTTGGTCAATCTGGTAAAGTTTTCGTGTTGAGATCAGGAGATTTGTGTTCTAGACAGTCTATATTTTGTGTAATGTGGCGAAGCATCTTATGTATCCCTACACCTGTTTACACGGTTTTGTGGGGTTGTAAGAGAACAAGCGCTTAAGGGCTGAGCGTCCTACATCATGCCCTTATATTTTATCCGTATTATACCCTAACAGTCCTTCTCACTACCCCTCACATCAAGATATGGTCTAGTCTGCAAGCAAGTCATAATTTACCATTGTCCCGGGCAAGGCCAAGTAGGGACATCAAGCAAAGTGTTACGAGGGTTGCCGTCTATATCACGTGGGAGTGCTCTCGGCTCTCGAGGAGGTTTATAACCAGGCGTCAAGCAGGGACTTAAGTAACAACAATAATGGCATGCAATTCGTAACTAATAGTAGATTATACTAAATGATTGATCTTGAGCACGAGGCTCTACAGTAAGGAAATCATCCTAGCTATATAGATCTTCGTGGAGGACCGTTTAGGCCCCTATGGTCCTCAATGCTCCGGACCCCAGTCGCTCCTGTATGGTCAGTCACGTGATCATTTGATTCAGTAGGGTTTCTTCATGTGGGGTACTGATATAGCCAGGGCAGTCGTAGTATTTAAAGCGTTCGAAACGTTCGAAACGTTCGGAACGTTTGAAATTTATATCTTTCACATTCATCATCGGCAATCATCAAAACAACATTATGGAATCAACATCCTCCAAACGCTACCAAATCTGTAAATGCCTTGAGCACTCAAACAAATTTGTTAATGCCCCAAGTCGTGATATAGAAATTCAAATTGGTAGTTGTGGCAGACACTGCCCATTCTGCGATGCCGAATTCTCTAGGGCCTCAAACCTACGTGTGCATATCAAAGTGTGCAAGAATTGCACGAATGTCACTGTTAAACTTGAAAACAAAGGTGGAATTGTTTTGTAAGTAAAAGATAAATTCCTTATATATTTTGTTTACTTATAAATCTTCTAGACATCACTCATGGAAAAACATTGAATCCAAACCTTTATACGGTTTATCTTTACAAAATTCCAGCAAACACTCAGATATACAAACGAATACTTTCCTAACGCAACCCTCAACGTTCCTTCCACCGAAACCCAACCGAATTTTATGGATTCCGATTAATCCTGTACATGAACAAATCTCGATGGCTCCGACTCTAGCAATTCTATTTCAGCCTACAAATTCAGAACTTGAACAAGACTTTCCATGGTTCAATAGACGAGATGCCACTCAAATTTCTGAGAAACTTGGTCCTGCTTTCATTGAAGATGTCGGAAAAAACGAGCGACCTATTATACATCAGAATATTGTTACTATGCAGATCTTCAAACATAACACTCATTCCGATGTTGATTTTTGGTCATGGAAAGATTTTCAAGAAGTTATCTATCGTAATGAAATCACCAAAATTTTGTTTAATCAGCTACGCCAACCTCAAAATATACTCATCCTCCTGCATTGGACATTCGACGAATCCATCAACGAAATTGACTTTCACAAAATTTTTAATATTCTCCAGAAAGTTCCAGCTTCATATGGTATTCCCCTACAATGCTTTCCGAATTATACCGAAGTCTTAAATACTAGAGCAAAAGTTGGAGATATACGAGCTCTCGATTCTATTCCATCCAGCTACCGGCCCAAAACGTGCTATCCTGGTCATTTTTGTATCTTGCAGGATCATAAAGAAACTATTCACAAACGTACAAATAGTTGTGGAGCAGAACATGTTTTGAAAAATCAAAAATCAACGAAAAGGTTTATCTTGTATTTTGGATAATGCACAACAGAAAAAATTAAAACCTCAATCACAAGATGACAATCTCTGGTTTCATCAAGAACATATTTCAACATTTAAAAGCTTTGGCGAATTCCGAGTTTTTATTGTTGCCCATCCGAGTTCTACTGATGTTCGTGGTCGAGAAGGAAAGATTGTCAAAATCATCCATACCTCTTGGTCCAATCAAGATCATAAAATCATTTATGCAACATCGGTCGATTCATATCTGTTCAAGAAGCCAGAGTGCACCCCTCTCACCGAGGAAGATCTTGCTACATTCTGTTTGGATATATATAAAAACCTACGGTTGCGTTACGATTGGAAGGAAAATTTTGAATCACTCGAGATTGGCGTTCGTCTTGATATTGGCATTTCTCATACAAAGTGCTTTTTTGTCAATGAAATTACCCGTTGGTGGCAAGCAGATTTTTTTTCTGAAGATACTCTCCCATATCCCAAATTTTCTCTTTGTGAGGAGTATGCAAAGGCTATGGGACGGTATTTTTGTTATACTCGCTGAACACAATCCTTTGTCTTCCTTGATCTTGTAAAGAGTTCTACAGTACGACACTCTTGATGGGAGCTACCAATTTTTATCTGCAATCTTCTTCTTTCAGTATCGCTATTGATTTGATAGCACCTACAAAATTCTTCTCCTCATCAGATAATAATTGTCACAAAGCATGTATTTCGCAATCTTTTTCCTACTATCATTTTACGCAAGGTCTTTTTTTCGAAATTTCCTTTTTTATTCCTCCCTCAATGCTGCAATCAACTTTCATTCTTTAGAATTGTTAATATTCCATATTACCTTTTACGATATAAAAAAGTAATGAACAATATATAATTTCAAAAATTGATCTGATTTGATGTGAAACTTTAACCAAGTGTATCGCAATTGTTATAGCCATAATCCTCATTACCTAGTTTGACTTTAGATAAGAAATTACACTTCACGGTATAGTCTAATCACAATCTTACTTTTGAATAAATAAGATATCAGTTTAAAAGTACTTAACGAAGCATGTTTAAAGAAACATATAGTAGGAATTTCCTTTGCATTTATATTAGAGTATAAGGAAAGCTACGCGACTGAGAAAAACTTATACTAAGGAACGATGCTTAAGTGAAAACTCTACGCGAGATTCGCATTTTCAAAACACCCGTGATAGGAAATCCACCGCCGCTCCCTTCCCCGCCACCCTTCTTCCTCGTACTATACCAGGAGCGTGGGCTCCTCGAGGCTCCCGGAAGGGCCTAGTATATAGTCAGAATAGTTTCATAGTTTAGGAGCTTCGTATTCAACTTAATTATCAGTTAGTTTACCTACATTCCAATTGATCTAGTAACGAATTCACTTTCAAGCGGATAACCAGTGATTAATAGCCTTAACCTAGAAGGACGATTACGTGACCCCCTTTTCCTATCGGCGAGCTGATAGCCTGTGCACACCTTGCCAGATTTACCCTTTTTAGTATGGGATTATGGTCACCTTAAGGCAGGATGTGCACATCCATCCAGCTACCGTATAGGTATTTTGTATACATATATATAGATGCTCCTTACGAGCCGTAGTTCTTCAGTTGTAGATTCTAAGGAACATAATTAACCCTGTTTATTCAGCTCTTATACGGCTATTGTGCGTCACATTAATCGTTTATTTCTTTCATATTAGTCTAATCACAACTCTCAATAATTTTTAGCCTCATTCAGCTATACTTATCGTATTTACCTTCGTGGGTTATTTCATACAGAGCTTGCAACGAATTCAGTTCATTCTGACATTGGTTCAAAGGGGTCTCTATGTGATTGAGAATTCCAGGTACTTTCAAAAGGGTAAATGTCTATGGGGCGAAGAGTGGAGGTGTATGATCTTCGAGGGTTACTACGATCAGATCTCTTGATCTTGAAGAAATTAATTGCACGAATTGAGAGCTCGGTTGAAAGGTTAGAATCTGGCAACATACATATAGTCTTTCGCATCGAGTCTTTCCAGATACGCGGCATTACCCCGCTCCTTGCCCACCTTCTCTTTTTGAAATAGGCCGCTTAAGGATTGGGTTGTAGTTGAATATTATCTTCTGGTCCTTACCAATGATAACGTTGTTTTTTTTTTAGCTGCACCCTAGTCGATAATCTACTCTATCAATAAATTAGAACCCGACAACGTCTGTAGCACCTCAACAATCTTGAACATTGCATATGTTTGCTTTTGGATGCACCAAAGAAGAGGGTTGACGGATAACTATCATGGTTGACGATCGGGCTCTTTGGATGTTGAGATCTAGAGGCTCCATCACGTGATTAGGATCAGACTATATGTCCGAGCTTGCTGAGACCATATGAGTCGATTACCATACAAATTTGTATACATATTTCCTTGCTTTTCGATGAGGCCTAAGCTCGTGTGGACAGGTTGACTGTTACCTTGTAACACTCTATAATCTTAGATGTAGGTGATTCGTGACAATAAGCTCTCCATTGTGACGGTGGCGAACTTCAGCCAATCATATCAATCATTTAAACTCCGGGTACTTTTATTCAGCTTTACAACAAAAAACAAAATCTGAGGTTAACAGGGTTTGTGCGCATTTGTTCCCCACACCACCTCAATCCCATACTAAATCGATCAAATCGTATCTCGTGAGCATACGATCGGTTAGTAAAAGATCCGTGATCGTAATAAATTCTGACAGGGGTAATATGAATGTTGATTGAATGGTAATCAATGGAGTATTTGAGTGAGTGATGTGTTGAGTTTTTGGTATTAGAATTCTACAACTATTTGATTCCTTAATACAGTTCTTTAACAACCACTTCTCTCTTTGAAACCCCTAAACCAGCTATACCTCGAAAGCCAGCTATACTCCGCAAGCTAAATACGCTCCACCACGCCAGCCTTACCAAGCAGCTACATCACATCAATCACAAGCAATTGCTAGCCCCCTCCTCTCCCTTTCAACCCCCTTTCAAACCCCCTCAAATCAATCCTCACTCGCTCACTTCAACCACCCTCCATCCCCTCAATAGCCCTCTCAAACGCCTCAATCATTCCATTATACATAATATTCGAAACCTTATAAGTCCCCGTAAACAACAAGCTACCCTTCATCGGAAACAGAACACTCCGCAACTCCTCCGCTAACCCCTTAAGACACGTAAACTGCGGAGAGAACTCTGCTGTGATATCATTGAAGCCGACAATATGTCCTCGTTTTGTGTTTGCGATTTGGTTGTAGTCGCCTGTGTACCAATAATGGAGGATTTTGGGATTAGAAGATTTGAGGGATTTTTGGTTGGTTGGTTTTGGCTTGTCCGAGGGGGGGTGTACATCTTCATGACCGTAGCGAATGCACATCCATATAAAGACGTAGAAGAATGATTCGAGGTCATGTCTATATGTGTGGCCTTTACCTTGAAGGACTTCAATTGCCATGAATTGCATAGTACCTGTTCGGTAACTAGCTCCACTTGGTTTACTATTCAACTCTTTTGCCAAGTCCAAGTCAATCATTCTTCCTTCGGAGCCTTCTTTCGTAGCAGAGTCAACGATAATAATGTTATTCTCAGAAACATCCCGGTGAAGTATCTTCCCATCATCAAATAATGATTTGTGACCAGCGATTGCATCACGAAAGACCACCAAAAGTTCCTTAACTGATCGATAGGTATGAAGTGGTCGTCCAGCTCCCAAAGTAACTATACAGTAATGTATTCGGTTACCATAAGCCTCAGTCTCTTGACCAACCAAACTATCCACTTCTGCTTCCTCAATACTATGATGCATATCAGATACATCTTCATGTCCTTCCGTAATCCCACCATCATCTGACTTGGACCTCTTCATTCGATCATGCCTAGCATCATATCCCTCATCTCTTTTTCGTTTCTGCCCAGAGGAAACTTGGGTAGTGCTAGTACTGATTCTCCGACCTATTGAGCGATCTGTACTTGGTTTTGATTTACTCTTATGGAAAAGACTCTTTCTCGAGAGGTGTCGACTACTCTCTAGACTTTCAAGCCAAGATGCTTTACCCGATGGTTTCTCTAGCGCTCCAAACTTCATGTTTCTTCGAAGATGTGAAATAGTATCAGGTTCTCCATCAATAGTGACTTGCTCATCATAAAACCATTCAGCAATACCTTTCACCTCTCTCTCTTTAGCCAACTTTAACAATCTTCCCTCTCTTAACCTTTGATCAGATGGCCAAGCAAACTTCACCACATACTTATAATCCGATGAATCAGGTTCTCTTCCTCGATAACAAGTCGTTCCACGACACACTATTGCTTTTTGTGAAGCGATTGGCTTTTCTTCCAAATAGATCTTCGTATCTCGTACAACAATATAGCGACCTATACCATCAGACCTAACGAATGTATTTAAACCCAATTCAGAGTCCGACATTAATGCATAACCAGAAATAACTCTAACGAAATTTTCAGGTTCTTCATGAATATCGAATTTCTCAGAGCTGTATGATCCAGACCTATCGAACATCCAAAGCCGCATTAAACTTCCACATATCGTAAAACCAGGAACAAATCGTCGACCCGGTTGACTTCCAAACACTTCTCGAGCATAACCAGCTAATTGTATCAATGTTGCTGGAGCACGATCCATTTCAGGATTGCTTTTATGCTCTCCAATAACCAAAACTTTTGACCATTCATGCTCCTTCTTCGCTGAAGCATCTTCGGAAGTCAAAAAGATATCAAGCTTGCGTTTAGCCTCTGAGCCTTTCAATACTTTTTCGTTTGATGTGACATACTGGCGGTCAAGCGTATGAAGAACAGTACCTTGGAATTTCATAAACCATCTATAGAATTCAGTTTCAAGCGAAAGGTTTGGAAAATCAATCCAACAACCATCCCGATATTGAGCTTTGGACTCTTTGTAGATATCCCAAGTCTGGTTTGACCAATTCTTTCCATCAATGAAGTTGGTGATAAAGTTTTTGGTATCGTAATAAATGCGCCCGGCCAATTCTTCAATTATTCGCTGATCAACTAGTTCATGTGTTTGCTCATTCCCCAATTGAGAAGCCGAATTCGGTCGAATAGGTGTATCATCGACGATAGCTTTGTCCAAAGCAATGGTAGGAGTAGTTGGTCTTATCAACGAAACTAGGTCGGATACGTTGTCCCAAAATTCCCCTTCCCCTTCACCACGTTGTATTGAATTGAAAGCTTTTTCGACGAGAGGGGCAGCTGATGCAACCTTTACAGTATTAGCATCGACGAGACTGTATAATGTCGAAATATCACGGGAGAGGGTTCCATTCGTTATTCGAGAGGGAAGGCGACGAGCTGCTAATTCCGCCTGTATAATTAAAAGGAAGGAAAGCATTGATTCAGTTTCTGTAAAGTAAATATTAGCAATGAAGTATTCATTGGGAATTGATCCATACCAGTTGTTGCTGTCGAGAAGATTGCTGGCACATTATCTTTTGATGTTGCCAAAGCATTGAGATATTCATTCTTGATTGGATTGTTCTTGATGATCTCTAGTTCAATGGATATGGCCATTATAGAGAAGATCTTTGGTAAGGTGAAGGCGAAAGCGTATTGTATGGACTGTATGATAGATGTCGTCGCGTTGCGTTAAGACCTTGGTATGCTTAGATACTATTTGAAATAATTAATCTGAGGATAATTGTAATGAATAAAGAGAAAGTGGATAGATTCGATGGAGGGATGAATGAATGCGTGCGTTGTGAGCTAAGGAAAGAAAGCAGGGGTTCCGTGAGTAGCACGTGATGCCAAGCATCACTCTAATCTATTAGCTACTGTATGGTGAGCTGATAGCCGGTGCACATCTGGCTAGATTTACCCTTTTAGTATGGGATTATGGTCACCTTAAGGCAGGATGTGCACAACCATCCAGCTACCGTATAGGTATTTTGTATATATATATGGATGCTCCCTATGAGCCATAGTTCTTCAGTTGTAGATTCTAAGGAATATAATTGACCCTGTTTATTGAGCTCTTATACGGCTCTTGTACGTCACAATTTTGAGTTGAATGAGAGGGATTAAATGAGATAAATTGAATAAATAGAGTTGAAAAAAGTTCCAAGTCATATTTGCCTGAGGTTGTAAGGCTTATGGCAAGCTTTTTGTTATATTTTCTGCTGGGGTATTTTAGACCAATCAGATTGTCAGGATCGTGACTCACTTAAGCGAGTTTCTCATTTTCTACGACCTACACCGGGTAAATTGCGGTACGCTACGCGTACAGCAAGGTTTTGGTGTCGGCAAGCCAACAATTATGAAGAAAAAAATGATATCTCTCCTCCCAACTAATTCAAGCTTTCTTCTAAGCCTGATTTCTGTGATAAGAACTAATCAGCCTGTGCAAAGGTACAAGTCAAACTTTGCCAGCTTTTTTCACGCTAAATTCCAAGTCACAAATTATGGCCGGGCCAGTTCGATTCATTGGGAAAAAGACTTGATACTTGAGGGGAAAATTAGAATGAATCTCTTGATCTTAATTCTCCATCAAAAGCGCAAGAGTCACGAACCTCAAATCTCTATACCCGTGGGCATTCTACACAGTAAAATATCTGCTTGTTTTGACTTGATATACTATATACATCCACCCATCTAAATAATCTCAACCGGTACCAAAGTGGACAAAGAGCATAGGTTTGACTTTTTGCTGAAGATGCAACAATCGCATGACCCTTTCCATTTTCGAGTATCAGAGAGATCAGCTTTGGACAAAGAAATACAGTTCAACTCAGCATGACCTTCAATTTTTGCACAAGGCGGAATTATAAATCGGAGTTCCATGTTACGAGGGTAGCCGTCTAGATCACGTGGAAGTGCTCTAGGCTCTCGAGGTAGGTTTATAACTAGGCGCCAAGCAGGGACTTAAGTAACAACGATAATGATATGCTATTCGTAACTAATAGTAGAGTATACTAAATGATTGATCTTGAGCACGAAGCTCTATACAAAGGGAATCCATCTTGGTTATATAGACCTTCATGCTAATCGCCCCTTCGGTCCCTTCTGTCAAGAGATCGAAGGGATCTAAGGGACCACGTGACTTAATAAGTGGTTACATGATACGAGGCCCGAAGCCGTCGTAACATTCCACCATTGCAGTACATTCCTTCAATCGCTTTTGTAAAGTGTAAGCTTCAATTGCTGTTGTCGTCTTCGGTAAATTACAGGCGCATTCTGTGCTAATCGTATGTGTATGCTATTCAGGCGACGATATATGGATAGTGATTTTCTTTATTATTTTGACAACCGGATAGTTCATAAACGAGTGTGGAGTGAACGAGAAGATGGCCTTTCTTTAGTAAATTAAGACTGCCCTTTGAAACAGGATTTCGAAATCATTCATCTCTTAAGCATACGGTTCAGTTTCCTATTATTAGAGTTAATAGTCTGGATGTTCGGCATGACTTCCTTGAGAATAATGTCCCAAACCTCTACAGGGAGGTGAACTTCTCGTTGTGGCATTGTCAGAATTAAGCGTTCTTCTGCACTACAATAAATGATTAGCTTGTTACTTTTGTTCACTTCTGGGTGCTATATACAATCTCAATCGTCTGACAAGCGACATCAAGTTCGATAGTTCGTTTGATTTAGCATCGTTGATGGTTGATACTACTCTCTCTAGAAATTCCAATCGATTATGAATGCTCAGTACTTCTTGAGCTACCTGTTCCTTCTGATTCTTCAAGCTGTCTAATGTAGGAATGTGCGAGAGGTAATCCGGGGGACTCAATCTTGTATTACTCCTCAAAGTTGATCGACGATCGGTGACTTTTCTCACGTCGAGTCTAAATTGTACATCAATGTAACGGTCTACTGATAACTCAGACATTTCCCGATATTCCTGTACCAGCTCTTGTAAGAAATTGTACGCAACCATGAATTTGACCATGAGTTCCTTCGATATCTCAATACAACAGTCCAATAAAAAACCGAATGTGTTGAAAAATCCTATTCGGTGTTCCCACGAAATATACTTCGTGTAAGATATATCACTCAGAATATCTATCTTAGTCTCTTTACGATGGCAATAATCTCTGTGATCTGCGTTGAAATATAAATCATAGGAGCTGTATTGCGCCTGGTTAAAGGGAAGTGCTGTAGGTCTTGATCCTGGCTTATAATCTGCGAACCGTTCGCCAAATCCCTTATGATAGTTGCCATCGATATATTGTACTTTGCGTCGTTCTCGAGCTAGCGATATAGTTCTTTTTCGGCTACTAATTTATATCTATTGTTGTCCAAAGAAGAGAGGGAGGGAATCAGACTTTCAACCGAAGGAAGACGTTCCGTCGCTACACTCAACAAAAACGCTTCCAAATTAGTTGGTACTCTTTCTCGAGAAAAATCCATGTCTGAAAGCAATTTTTGGTGGTTGTTGATTTCGATGAATATAATGATAAGTAACAGACCCAGGAGTAAATGAGGAAGGTTTACTTGTGCAACCAGAAAGTATAGAACCATTCACTTTAAGTATATACTACTGTAAAAATGGTAGGTCGAGATATGTGCGTCCCGATAGTATGCTGTGAGGAGGGAATTGGAAGAGAAAGTTGAATTAGATTATATCGTAATACGTTATTTATGGAGAAAGCGGGGTTTATAATTGTTTTGGGGTTGATGCTATATGGGTTCAAATGTATATGTGTAGAAGGTTGATTATTATGGAAAGAAGAGGCAAGAGCTCTCCTTTTATATCTAACTACAGAAGGTCATGTGATTGACTGGTTAAAAACCTCTATGTATTTGGCCTATAATTCCAACTTTCTTACATTACAAGGCGAACAGTGGCCTATATTTAAGTGCATGGTTCTGCACTTTCTGGCGGTACGAGTGATAATAACCAGGGTTACTGACTTCGCCGCTATGACACAAGCTGCAGCAGGGATATGATTTAATGTAGGGATCTTGAGTATGAGGGGATACTCGCTTCTTGTGGTCTTATGCGATCACAAATCGGATTCATAGCCCACTTTGGCCATCATGTTTTTCGTACTTCGGTAAACCATTCAAAATCTTCTCTTACATTCACAAAAGTTCCAAATTTATAGGCTCAACGCTTCGACTATTTTTATCGACTTCACATTCTGAAAGAATAAAGATATCATTATCAATTGGTTCTTTTGATACCTTTCTGAAGAAATCCTTTAGCTAGCGATTTGAGGAAGATAAATTTAGTTGGATATTATCAATTATTCACAAAAGTTCAAAGACATTCTTTCTAATAAGTTAATTTGATATATTGATGAGAGGATTGTTGATCTAATAATATCCCAAACTCATGACTTATGGCGGGTTATCAACCTGTGAGATATGCAGCTCTCCTGGACCGCGTTGGCCTTGATGCCGTTACGGATCTCGAACTATAAGAACGGCCACGTGATTCCTTTTCATATCGATGAGCTGATAGCCTTATGCACACCTTGCCAGATTTACCCTTTTAGTATGGGATTATGGTCACCTTAAGGCAGGATGTGCACAACCATCCAGCTACCGTATAGGTATTTTGTATATATATATGGATGCTCCCTATGAGCCATAGTTCTTCAGTTGTAGATTCTAAGGAACATAATTGACCCTCTTTATTCAGCTCTTATACGGCTATTGTGCGTCACAGATGCCATTTCGTACAGACCCTGGAACAAATCGAATTAGATTAGCTATACAGAGCTTATTGGTTACATCTGCAAAGGTTACCTTGATTGGAATAGATAGGGGTATCTCCGAGGCAGACTATGTGCTGGTGTGTCAGGGCTGCAGATACTTCCTTCCTAGTTGAGCAATGTTATGTATCTGCAGATTAGACAAAAAAAATTGAAGGCAGACTTTCGGATAGAAAGATAAACTTCCCAAAATGATATCCTAACAAGAAGGAATTTTCAGTTTTTCAAAAGATTCCTGAACTTGATCCACTATCTCCTTATCAAAAACCTATATTATTATTACAGACATAATCCTTATTACCGAATTCTTTACTTTACATTGGAAGTCACATCTCTTGGCATAGTGTAATGAAAATCTCATTTAGCATATTTAGAGGCACGTATATTAAAAACTTCCTTTGCATTTGTATCATATATATAAGAAATTATACAAACGAACATAGTAAATCTCATACCAAAGAACGATAATTAAAAGCAAGGATATCTTTCCTCATTCTTCTTCCTACGCATAGTCTCTTAATACTATATTTCTTGAGTACATATAAAACAAAGCTTGCTATTTTTGAAGAGGATTCTCTGATCCATCTTTTCTTTAATGTATTGTCGATGTATTCCCTAAACGTCCTTAATTCAGGCTCCGACATCTGATAGATTGGCCCGAATGGAGGCGTCTTGCTTTCCTGCAATACTATCTCGTAGTCCCATAGCTTGTGTTCTAGTAAAGCCTCATAGCCCCTTTCTTTCTCCGAATAGTTTCTGTACTTCTGGTATTGTGCCGGTATTGGCGCTTCTTCCTGTTTCTTTACAAGAGTATTTTCAAGCACTTCTTCTGCTTATTCTTCATTTGTACAGGAGGTCACCTTCCTTCACCATTAATGAAGGACCCTGGACTAGGCGCCCTAAGTCGATAGAATTGTTCGCCTTCAATTCTCCATCACATGTATACAGCCTCGCAAGCTCTAACGCATCTCCTAGATTGCTTTTGTTTGGAAAGCATACAGCTTCTGTAGACCAATCGAGTTTGAAGTTGCATACCTTCAACTAGGGTATTCCCAAAATGATCTGTTGATTCCCTAATAGAATAATATCAAACTGGATAACCTTCTTATACGAAACTATACTTATCCATACTAGAAGAGTCTCACTAGAAATTTTGCCGTTTAATCCGGCTAGTTGTCCGCCTATTAGCTGAAATTTATAGGGTCTCTGTTTCGTCTAGAGATGTACCCTAAGTACTTCACAGTTCCTGGTACAATAAAATTTACCGTAGCTCCTGAACCGATTATAACTCAGATTTTTCGTCCATTTATCTTGGGATCGCAGTAAATCTGTCCTGCTTGCCCCATAATGTTTAATTGTTGGTTTGGACCCGTTTGGTCAATTTGGTCATTTTGGTCAATTTGGTTAATTTGGTCAATTTGGTCAATTTTGTCAATTTGGTCAATTTGGTCAATTTGGTCAATTTGGTTAATTTGGTCAATTGCTTGTTTTTGATTATTTTCTTCTGTTGGTTCTTCCGGGTATCTACCGGTGATTCTTTCGATAAAGGAGTTGTAGCAGTGACTCCGTACCATAGAATTAAATGTTCATCGATGAATTTTACTTCGCAGGTCTCACCCTCTTCAGCGCTTATTACGTCGAAGTCTTGGTTCATAGTTCCCTCGTCCGTATCTTCGAATCTCCAAATATGACGGTTCCAAGCGTCTATCTCGCGGATAGTCCATAGCTCTCCTAGGCTAGGGTTTCTGTGAAGCCACCAAAGGTTTTCTTCTTCCGGTTCCTCTTCTTCGGTTTCGACCGGTGGTTGCCCAATGGCAAGTTCAGTAGCGCTAACTGCGCATAATTGAGGGGTGAAAGTGGCGTTGAGTTAGCCCTTGCCGAACTTCTTTTGATAACCTCCCCCTGATGATTTCTTGCTTTGACAATCTCTAGCTCGATGTTCTAATTTGCCGTATTCGAAGCAGAGCTTGTCCTTGCGTCTTCGTTCTACCTCTTCCTTAGGTAGTTTGTTTTTGAAGGTTACATCCAATTGTATTGGGTCTCTATAGGGTTGTCTGTTATCTCGAGGTCTTCCTTCATTTTTGTAGTATTTACCACAATCTCGGTTCCCATGAACGTTGGAAGATCGGTGTTCCTTCTGATACTCGTAAAGCATTTCGTCCGCCTTGATGGATTCCTCGATTAACTCGTTTAAGTCTTCCCAAATGCAATTGCAATCCAATTCCAGCCTGACTTCAGACTTGAGCCATTTTCGATAATAGCTCATTGTCGCGTTATCTTCCCAATCAATGGTACCTATGTACCTTCTGAATTCCATAGCGTACTTGATTGCTGACCCTGTTTGCTTAAAGCTATAGATCTTGGACTCAGCGTTATGTAATTCATTGATATTCTCGAACACTCGTCGTATTTCTCTTTTAAACCCTTCGAATTTCCCAAAAATGATCTGAATAAGATATATTCGTTTCTTAGACTTGTTCAAATTGATAAAGTAATCCTTGTGGTAGAGTTGAATCTATTTAACAACTTCTTCTCTAAGATAAATAGCAGCCCAAACATTTTTGTCGATGTTATAATTGAACTTATTCTGATTGAATTAAAAGTAGATCTCAAATTGGTACAAAAAGGTTCCTAGTTTTTGTTGATTGCCCGTAAATCAGTCTGACAGAACGAATTTAAAAATCTCGCTGACAATAATCTCCTTGAGGTTTTCGATACCTCCCATGGCGATATCTCCGTCCTTGTCGGTACTTTCGAGAGTGACCTGGCTGATTATGGTGGGGTTGCTAAACTGTAATATCTTGGAAAACGTAATGTCGTTACTATCGAATCGGTACTTGAAGCAATAATGATGCTGAAAGTGTTACGAGGTTTGCCGTCTAGATCACATGGAAGTGTTCTAGGCTCTCGAAATGGTTTATAATTAGGCGTCAAGCAAGGACTTAAGTAACAACAATAAGGAATGCAATTCGTAACTAATATTAGAGTATACTAAATGATTGATCTTGAGCACGAAGCTCTACAATAAGGAAATCCATCTTGATTGTATAGACCTTCATGCTTCCATGATCACTAGTGATCACGTGTTTGGTCATGTGATGGTGGTTGTGTAGTCCGGCGTAACAGTAAAGACCATACAAATTGAAAATCATAATTTCGACTTTCAATATTTCGATCAATAAAATCGTGGAAATTCTGAAATTTTCAGAATTTACTTGTATCTTTGTAACAAATCTACAATCCAAATTTGAATTGATTTCATTTGTTCGTTGTAAAGTTATTAATAGGTGAAAGTCGTCATTTTTGGTGTAAAAAGGTGGTCCGAAAAGCGGGTACTAGACTTAGTTTATACGCTAGTATGGCTAGCAAAGTCGAACTCCCACCTGTACGTGGTGCCGGCTACGAACCTATAGCACACAAAGTCTGTAGAGCCAACGGGAGCTCTCGCAACGACCATTCGACTACCACGAAAAGAAATCGATATCGATGCTGCCACCGTGGCCTTTCGACCTACATTATAAGGGGCGGAGAGGAATAGAGAGGCGTTAGGCGTAGCCGCAAGGAGGATAAATCCGCACTCGAGGACGTTCTATATAAGGTGTAGGGAGGCTATGACTCTCTGTCGTTGGAAAGGGCTCTGGTTATTGTAGTTTTCGTGGAGGACGTCGTCGCCGCCGTGGGGCGGCTGTGTATCTGTCTAGGGAGCTTCTGGCTACCTGGGATATACTCAAATAATGGTATCTCCACCCCAAATGGAGTGGGAGGAGCGTACTCGAACGGCTGGTAGCTATACATGGAGAGTAGCCACATTTAGCCTCGCTTTTGCTGGAAATGCTTTCTATGGTTTACGAGAGAACTGCGACACCGTCGGATCAGGGACCCAGGGCTATTCACTCAAAAGGATCTTTTCCCCCTTGTGATTTTGGTTCTTTTATATAAATAGGACTTTGTATGTAAAAATCCTTAGCTTAGCACGTCTTTATACCCCTAGGGAGGTCTCCCCGACGAAAAATTAATACTACTACTACTACTACTACTACGCTAGTATAATATAGTCATAAAGCTCCCTTTATAAACACTCGTGGCTTTCAATAGTTTCTTATTCCTTAAGCATTAATGACAAAACTAGTATAATACCATTAATAACTTCAAAAACCCCATGATGATTCGAACATCTACATTTTGGCCAATTGGAAAGGGATTAGAATGGGGAATATAAAATCCTAAGAAGCTTTAAGGTTACCTCCAAGCACTTAACATATCCACCATCTTACCATATCCATATCGTTAAGAAACCAAAAGCGCAGTATCGCCTTCAGTATCTATAAAGGTCGGATTTGCCTCGGTATTTAACAAGAGCTTCACAATCTCTTCATGCCCATTTACGGCTGGATAGAAGATAGGTGATCGTCCGGAAACACTAGTGGCATTGACATTGACGGATTTAGTCTCAAGGAGTAATCGGACTACCTCGATATGACCATTCGTGGCAGCGATCCAGAGAGGTGTCACCTTTCTAGGGTTTGAAAGATCCGACTCGACCCCTCTTTTTAACAATCTTTGAATTTTATTTTTTTTGCCTAAGTTCGGCTGCGTTGTAGAATTGAGCAATCGTGAACCACTTTTCCTGACATGGTAGCATCTTGAGATGTGTATCGATGATATGTAGAACTTGTTCTTGCCCAATTGTAGCGGCGGCTTTGATCACCTCTCTGTAATTACTACCTCTGCCCCTCGTTTCTCAAGCAAGAGCATCATAATCTCCTTTCCACTATACCGATTCTCCGCCGCTGCCTTCACCACCTCTTCCGTGATTACCACTTCTGCCCCTCGTTTCTCAAGCAAGAGCATCATAATCTCCTTTCCACTATACCGATTCTCCGCCGCTGCCTTCACCACCTCTTCCGTGATTACCACTTCTGCCCCTCGTTTCTCAAGCAAGAGCATCATAATCTCCTTTCCACTATACCGATTCTCCGCCGCTGCCTTCACCACCTCTTCCGTGATTACCACTTCAGCCCTCGTTTC